GAATAATATTAATAATCTTTTTATATTAGATAATAAAGAGCAGCCCTGTAATAAAATCTATTGTTAATTTAATAAAGAAATATAATAAAATTAATAATAATTTAAGACTATTATATAATTGATACTTTGGAGCAGTGATTTCTTAATATATTAAATAAGTTTAAATATATTCAGCTATATTATACTATAATCTATTTTAGTGAAATTTTCTATATAGCAGTGCTTCTGTTCAGATCTTTTCGAAGTATCCTGCTAATAGATTATTATAATATAACTTAATAAATATCTGACATAGTGTCTCAGAAGAGAAGATATAATATTAATCTTTAAAATAAATATAACTAGTTATTTTAATAATCTAATATTTTTAATCTAATTATTTTTATTAAATAGCAGTCTTTTGCTATTATATCTCTGGATTATTATTCTGTAAATATAAGATTATTTCTTAAAGTTTGGAATTATATATATCCAAGTATAAAACTTCCGCGGTATATATTTATAATATTATAGATTAAGAAATAAATCTTTTTTAAAATAAGTTCTTTCAAGCAGTCCAGTTAGCTGTCTCTATACCGGCTTGATTATTAGGATTTTTTAAGCTTAATATAATACAAATATTGAATCCAGGATAATCCTGTATATCTTAAGATTTAAACTGGGTTTTTTCTTTAATAAGATCTTTTATTATCAGAGATAATATACTTATAAATTGTGCTTAAATTAAAATTAATAGTTTCTCTTGAGGAGCAGATTTTACTTAAGATTTAAAAGATATTCTGGAGAATCTATCTGCTGAGTTTAATTTTTTTGTTCTATATTTAATAATAAAATTATAAAGAATTAGACTTATAAGCTATCGAGCTTGTCTTTTATTAACTTAGATTTAATATATAAAAGATTGTAAGTTTGAATGATCTAATAGAATCTTAATTATTTAAGAAGTATCTTCTAAATATTATTGCTATTGTTTAAAAGAATAAATAATAATAAATAGCTCTTAATCTGAAGTATTATAGTTTAGCTTAATATTAAAGAATTTACAGAATTAGAATATAACTAAATAAAATATACTCTTAATATTAAATTAAGATAGAATACTATTTATCTTTTTTTTTAATATATTAGTTTCTAAACAGCGGGGTTTTATAGAATTAAAATATATTAATAAAGATATTTATTAAAAGATAGTAATAAGATAGTAGAAAGCAGTTTATTTAATTAAGATTAGATAGATTTTTTTTGACTTCCGCCTGTTAATTATTTTATAAAACAAAGAAGTAAGAAGCAAAATAATATAAGAGTAGTCTTAAATAAATTATTAATAAAAATTATAGAATCTAAGAAAGATCTGGATATTATAATAATTTTTGAAAATTAATTATAAAATAATATTATTTACTTATCAAGAATCTATAAATACTCTGTCAGAGTTGATAATATATCCCAGAAATTTAACTTAGAATTAATAGAATAAATATTTTAATAATTTTATATAGAGCTAAGCTTCTCAAAGTCTTTTTAAAATTTAATAAATATATTTTATATAAGATTTCTTATCTGATAAAAAGATAAGAATATTATTCAGATATATTATATAAAAATTATTAAGAAGTTCTCAAAGTATAATATATATATAGTTTTGGAAAGTTGCTGAAGTATTAGTTAATCTAAATAATATAATTATATATTTAAAGTGGCTGTATTAGATACAAAACACTGTTTTCTATTTATTATCTTTTTTAATATAGATTTAATAGTATATATTCTTGATATTAATCTTTAAAAAGTAGATACTTTCCAAAATTCTGTTAAGAATCTTTGAAATAAAAGATAAGAAATAATAATTCTTAATAGAAATCTTATTAAGATCTCTGTAGTCTATATAAAGATATAAATTATTATCTTTCTTAAATATAAAAAGAATAGGGGCTCTAGTAGGACTTTTTAAAGATTAAATTTAATCTAATTTCAGATTCTTTTTAATATATTCTTATAGAATCTTAAGTTCGGCTTCGAATAAGAAGTATATTAAATTATAAGAAAGTATTTTATTAGATTTAATATTAATAATATAATCTGCAGGGTCATAAGAAGATAGCTGTTAAGAGAAATCTATAAAGAATATATTTTAAAACTGCTTGAGTTTAATAGAAATTATCTTAGAATTTAATAATAAATTATAAAATTCTTCTTCTGATAGCCAGATGTCTTCGGGGAGCTTAATAATAATATATACTTTTACTGAGTTTTAAATTATTTTAGTAAATTAAGTAATAGAAAGCAGTAAAATAGATAGTATACTAAATTATTACTGATAATTCTATATTAATAAGATAATATATAGATTATAAAGTGTAGTTATTAAAAGTAGTATAGGACTATCTTTTAGTTGGGGATCTTGATTAATTTTTATATAATATTATTTAAAAGTATAAGTATCTTCTCGCGAATTAATAATAATAATAGAGACTTTCTATATACTATAGATAGAAGTAATAATTTAATTAATAGCTTTAATCTTTGGTGCAGTAATTAGAATATATTGGAGATTATAGGCTTTGATAAACTAGTAACTAATAATATCCATTTCGGCGCAGCTATTCAGGTCTGTAAAGATTTCGAGACTGTTTTGAATATAAATAGAAATATAAAAATAATATATAGTTTCTACTATAGATAAAAAAGTTAAAATTATAGAGTCTATTCTAACTTCTCTACTTTTCTCTCTGAATTTGATAAGAATTAATAGATTCTAATAAATTAAATTTTTTTGTCTTTAGTAGAATATTAGTTCGCAAGATATTAGATATTTTTGTATATAAAGTATTATAATTAATTATTATTTTTTCTGATAGGATTTTTTCTGTGATTTGGGATATCTTTTTTAATAATTTTATTAGTGGTTTCTTAAAAGCGCTTGCGTGACTTATAATCACTGAATTGATTATTATTTTACTTGTGTTTTTCTCTATTTTCCCACAGTTTATAATAATAAATAGTAATAGCCATTATTTTGTCCCGCTTCTCTGATAGATAGAGAATATACTCTTAAATATAATAATTTAGATCTGATAATAGCTTAGTAAAATAGAATAAAACTCTTTTCTTTTCTGCTTGATGAGGAAAATATTACTCTAAGATATTAAGATAAGTATAAGACTCTCGCGGATTCTGGCTATATTACTAATAAGTCTGTTTAAGTTAGATTATAGTATCTAATTAAAGAATAGTAGTATTTTAAATTAGTATAAGAGTCTAATCTTTGAATTAAGATTATAATTTCTTGAGGAATTGTCTCTTTTCTGAACTCTTATTATTTATAAAATAATATTATTTTTATTTATATACTGGGTCTATATAGCTGATAGCAGCAAGAATCTTATATTTCTCTAATAAATATTTCTTAGATATATCTCTGAATATATATTCTAAATCAGTAATTTATTTTTAATATTTTTAAAGATTAAAGTTCAGGGCAAAGTAAGAAATATTTTTAAATTTAATTTTTTTTTTATTCTTTTCTAATTTGGGAGAGGATTAATAATATTTCAAGAAGATTTTGCTCGGGGAGTTATTTCTTTAAAAATAAGCTATTCTTTACTATAAGTTGATAGCTTATTTTAATTAATAAATATAATTTTCTAGCTGTTAAATCTTTTTAATAGTGGGAATAATATTTAACAAAAATTCTGAATTAATTTAATTACTGAGTGCTTCTATTTTTTTACTATTTTTAATAAATAATATTTTTCTTAGATAGTCGAAAAGAGAAGAATCAGAATATAATAGAATCTACTTGTCAGGATAGAAAGCCTATTAATTAGATAAGAAATTAATTATAAAATACTGTATATTTATTTGATAATAATAAAGATAGTTTATATTTATAAGATAAACTGATTCTTGAAGGATCAGTAGCTTCTTATAAAGAGATTAGTATCTTATAGATGCCGGAGAGATGTAGAATCACTATTAATAATCTTATAACTCTTACAATCATTATAACACATTATTCTGATGACACGACTCTCACAACCACTATAATACATCATCCCGATGACCTTTATCCCAATAGCTGGGTTATTCTATCACATTAATCTTATTATTATAAAATTAATTTTTTTAATTATTTTAAATATTAATTAAATAATAATCTTTTTTTTTTATAAATTTTTTTTTTAATTCTGTATAGTAATTTCTTGCTGAAATTTCTAAAAAGATTATTATTAATTATATTAGTAATAATTAAGATAAATATTTTTTTATTTATAAATATAAATATATTCTGATTTAGATTAATATATTTTTAAATATTTAATTAATATATTTTAATTATAGTTTTAATATTTTTAATCTATTCTCTTTAGTTATATAATATCTTTAATATTATAAAGATCTTTAAAATATTTATTATTTTATTTATTTATATAACTTTATAATTTTCTAATCAGAAAATATAATTAATTAATTAATTTAATTAATTAGAAATAATTTAATAATTTAATTAAGAGCTTCTTTTAACAGTAATATAAAATATAATTAAATAAAGTAACTAATCAGGCTTATAACTATCAGATCTAAAATAATAATATAATAAAAATCTATTTTTATAATACTACTGCGCAGGCAGTTAGATTATATAAATATAAAATCAGATAATAATCAGATATATATAAAGTTATATATAAGATTATATATAGACTAATCCAGATTAATCAGGGATTAAAGAGCTAAATCTTGTTCTGTTATCATGCCAAGCCCTTGTTCCACTTGATACATGGTGTATCCGAGTTCGGCGGCAACCCCGCTGTTATCCGCGTTATGCCCACGCACCGCGATGCTAAGCGGGGAGGAATACGGGGATGTGCTGCCTGGGCCCCTAGCATATGGGCAACTGGCGATCCTCGCCGACTGACCTCGGCAGTTCCATCTGGGGCAAACTGATGCTGGACAATCGTCCAAAAATTGGGAGCAGAGACATGTTGGAAATGGTATGGCCGACCCACTGAGGAGGACCTCTGATTGATCCGAGGGCTTTCTCCGCTCGGGGTTGTGGCCGAACGGCTCCCCGCATGCTTTCTCTCCGCTCGTCAGTCGTCACTCCTTCTCCCTCCTTCCAACTGCCAACTCTCAACTTCCAACTCTCCACTCTCTTCTTCACTCTCAATCTCAATCCCAATCTCAACCAACCACTCCAATGTCAAATCCTTCCTCCTGAACAGTGAACAGTCCCAATTCTGCTATATACACAACCAGCATGGTCTCCCTCCGCATCCCCCCCTCCGCCGCGGGCCGCGCCCGCAACCTGCTGCGCACCGTGCAATACACCCACCCCCCATCGTGTCCCTGCCACGCCAACCCCAACCACCATCACCACCACCGCTCGCCCACCCTCGCCGACCATGTCCGCCGCCATATGGGCGCCCCCGACCCGTCGCGCCAGAAGGAGTACGCCTTCGAGATGGCCGCCTCCAGCATCCGCTTCGGCCCCGGGGCCACCAAGGAGGTCGGCATGGACTTCGCCAACATGAAGGCCAAGCGCGTGTGCATTGTGACGGATCAGAACGTGTCCAAGCTGGACGCCATGAAGCAGGCGGTGGAGGGGTTGACCCGGGAGGGCATCGAGTTCACCGTCTTCGACAAGGTCCGCGTGGAGCCGAAGGACAGCTCGTGAGTATGCATTCTCCAACTAGACGAGCTCGATATTTAACAACCAATGCAGCGTGAAAGAGGCCATCGCCTTCGCGAAACCCTATAACCCTGACGCCTTCCTCGCCGTTGGTAAGTATCAATCCCCGGCCCTTGGACGACGGAGCTAACCGGCCAGGCGGCGGGTCGGTCATCGACACCGCCAAACTGATGAACCTGTACACGGTCTACCCGGACGCCGACTTCCTCGACTTCGTCAACGCCCCACTGGGCAAAGGCCTCCCGGTCGACCGGGCACTCAAGCCGCTAGTCGCAGTACCAACCACAGCGGGAACCGGATCCGAAACCACCGGCACGGCCATCTTCGACCTGGTGTCGAAGAAAGCCAAGACGGGCATCGCGCACCGCAATCTCAAGCCCACGCTCGGAATCTGCGACCCGATCAACACGCGCACCATGCCGTCCGCGGTGCACGCCGCCTCGGGCCTGGACGTGCTGTGCCACTCACTCGAGTCGTGGACCGCCATCCCCTACAACGAGCGGACGCCGCGGCCGACCAACCCGATCAACCGCCCCGCATACCAGGGCGCGAACCCCATCTCGGACATTTTCTCGCTCCAGGCCCTCCGCAGCACCGTCAAGTATCTTCCCCGCGCAGTGCGAGACCCGGACGACTTCGAAGCGCAGTCGCAGATGCTGCTCGCCGCCACTCTCGCGGGCGTCGGATTCGGCAACGCGGGCGTGCATCTCTGCCACGGCATGAGCTATCCGATCTCCAGCCAGAACCCGGGCTACCAACACGCAGGCTACGAGGTCGACTACCCGATCATTCCGCACGGGGTGTCGGTGGCCGTGACCGCTCCCGCGGTGTTCCGGTTCACGGCGGCGTCCAACCCCGACCGACACTTGGCGGCGGCGGAGGCGTTCGGGGTGGATATCTCGACGGTGAAGCGCGAGAGCGCGGGCGAGGTGCTGGGCGAGGCATTGGCGAACTTTCTGATGGAGCTGGGAGGGCAGCCACGGGGACTGAAGGACCTCGGGTTCCAGGCGGGCGATATTGAGTCGTTGGTCGAGGGGACGATTCCGCAGAAGCGCGTGCTGGCGCTTGCGCCGACGCTGAGCGATGAGCTGGAGGCGGAGCGTGCGGAGTTGCGGGGGCTGTTGGAGCAGTCGTTGGAGTATTAGACTGCCTAGATTACAATGACGGAGTGCGTCTTCTGGTACATTTCTTGTTTTCCTTCCCCGTTCTTTGAAATCAGCCCGGCAGTCACCCGACCGACGCTTGGCAGTATGTCGATGGTTCGTAGGTGTAGTACATGGTTAACTACAGTCCAGCCCTCCTGACCTGACCGACTGAACCCTTCCCCTGCCCTGCCCTCCCCGCATTCTCGCCCGCATTCCTGCAGATCACCTCCCACACTCACTCGTGCCCATTTAAACCCTCCCTTCCTCCTCCTCCTCCTCCTCCTCCACCACACCCATCCCATCATCAACAACAACCACCACCACCATGAAACCCCTTCCCCCATCCACCTCTTACCACTCCTCCCCCTCCTCCCCTTCACCCTCTCCAGCCCGAACCCAATCCCTCCCATCCAAAACCCCCTCACCCCCCGCCCCCCTCCTCAGACACCTCCCCGCCCCCCAACGCCGGCAACCCGATCATCCCGGGCTGGTACGCCGACCCGGAAGCGCGCCTCTACGCCTCCGAATACTGGATCTTCCCGACCTACAGCGCGGCCTACTCGGAGCAAACCTTCTTCGACGCCTTCAGCTCGCCGGACCTCCTCACCTGGACGAAACACCCCACCATCCTCAACATCACAGAGATCCCCTGGTCGACCAACCGGGCGGCATGGGCGCCATCCGTGGGGAGAAAGAAAGCCGCCCCATCGACACCCAAGTCCAACGCCCCCCAGCCCCTCGAAGAAGACGAAGAATACGACTACTACATGTACTTCAGCACGGGCGACGGCACCGGCATCGGCGTCGCGGTGTCCCCGGCCCCCAACGGCCCCGGAGGCCCCTACACCGACGCACTCGGCGCGCCGCTCGTCAACGGCACCATCCGCGGCGCCGAGGCCATCGACGCCCAGATCTTCCAGGACGAGGACTCCGGCCGCAACTGGCTGTATTTCGGCGGCTGGGGACACGCGATGGTCGTCGAGGTGGGCAGCGATATGGTTTCGTTGATGGGGGAGTTTGTGGACATTACGCCGCGGGATTATGTCGAGGGGCCGTGGGTGTTGAAGAAAGGGGGGACGTATTATTTTATGTTTAGTGTCGGGGGGTGAGTGTTTTTTTTTTTTTTTTCCTTCCTTCCTTCCTTCCCATTCCTTTCATCTTCATCTTCATCTTCCTCCCCCAAAACAGACCACCACTACACAACCAAACCCCCAACTCTCCATCCGCTTATATATGTACTGGCAATAATAAAACAGCTGGGGCGACAACTCCTACGGCGTCTCCTACGTCACCGGCCCCTCGCCCACGGGCCCATTCTCCAGCCCCCCGATCAAGATCCTCCAGGGCGATGATCGCGTCGGCACTAGCACCGGCCACAATAGTGTGTTTACGCCCGATGGCGAGGATTACTATATCGTTTATCATCGCAGGCCGGTGAATGAGACGGAGCGTGATCATCGGGTGGTGTGTGTCGATCGGATGTTTTTTGATGAGGCGGGGAGTATTTTGCCCGTTAATATTACCGTCGAGGGTGTGGGGGGGAGGGGGTTGTGAGTTTTCTTCTTTTTTTTTTTTTTTTTTAATCATGGTTTTTGAGGGGGGAGAGTCTAGAGGGGTGGTTGGGGTGGGGGGTGTTATAGAGAGTAGAAGTATCTGGTCAGGTGGTTGGTGGTATTATTACACAACCTGGGCAGGGGGGGACTTTCTTCTGGTTGTGGATATTGATATTGGGGATATTCATGCTGTGGGTGGGGATGGTGAGTGAGTGAGTGAGTAGGGGATATTTATACGGAATAACTAGAGCGGTGGTGGATAGAGATCCGTTGTGGGTTATTTTTGACGGTGACTGGTGACTGGTGACGGGGTATTTATATAAGAAAGGAAGGGATCCATTAACCTAATGAGTTCCTAGAAAGTAGGATGGATCCCTAGTCCAAGTTACAGATCCCTCCTATAACTATAACCATATCCCAGCTACAGTGTACGGGTTGAATACACACACCGGGAAGAATAATATTGATGTATAACCCTCATACTCCATTTCCCTCCATCCATCCATCCATCCATCCATCCCATCGGCACATACAAACCGGGTATCAAACCAACACCACCATAAAAATAAAACCATCAATCAAAACATCGAACTCCTCTTCTTACTCAACTTCGCCTCATCCGCCGACGACCTCCTCAATCTAAAGAAACTGCTCTTCTTCGGCTGCAGCGCCGGCCCGGGCTCATCCCCCTCCTCGGGCAACGCAAACCGCACCGCCGACTGCCGCCGCGGATCACTCATCCCCCCTCCCCCGGTGGACAGGTACGGACCCGTCTGCTGCCGCCGTCTTCCGTCCTGGTACGGATACGAGTAATGCGGCTGGTTTGCGGGTCGGAGGGGGAGATGTTGTGTGGACTGCGTCTGCGTCGGCGTCTGCAACTGAGGCTGAGACTGGGACTGTGAGGGGACAGGGCCAGCCGGGAAGCGTGTCTGGAGCTGCGGGAGGATGCCCGAGTGGGGACGTCGACGGGGGGGTTGTGCCTGTGTCTGTTGCTGTGGTTGTGGCTGTGGTTGTTGGCGTGGTGGTAACGCGGGGGTCTGCATGCGCGCGCGCTCCTCCTCTTGTCCGTAGATGCTCTGCAGGCGACGGGTTTCGCGGTCGATTTCGGCCTGGCGCTGGGCTTGGCGCGCGCGGCGCTCGGAGGCTTCCTGTTCGAGGAGTTGTTGGGTGCGGCGCTCTTCGTCGAGTTGTTTGGAGCTTTTGCGGGGGGACTGGGGTTGGGGCCGTGATGGCGAAGTGAGTGCGCCCGAGGCGACGGCAGGAATACCAGGGAGGGGTTTCGAACCCCCCGCGCCCACTCCTGCCCCCGGTGACGACGCCATCATGTTCGCTGGCTTGGTGACGTGGAACGCATCCTTCATTGACGCGAAATACACGTCTCGGATAGTAACAGCGCCCAGAAGCAACACGACCTCCAGACCCTTGAAATCCTCCATTTCGACGCGATACAGATTCGGTTCGTAGAGGGTCAACTCACGCTGACCCTTGAATATCGACACGGTGATGTCCGGCTCCTTGCTCTTGGCTTTCGTCTCGGGGATGGTGGTTGTCTTCCCGGACATGAAACACGTCATGTCCTTGGACAGCTTGCCGTCCTTCCGCCAGGTGAAGCGGAGTTTGGGCGTGGTGTCGGCCATGGCGGGGTCTGTTTGGGTGCGGTCGAGCGTCGAGGAGGAAGGCTGTCGGAAGCTGTGCTGTGGCATCTCGAAGGTCCACGTCGCGCCGCTGTTCCATGTCTTGGGCTTGAAGTGCACGACGACTTGCTGGTCGGGGTTGTAGAGGTTGATGGTGAATTGGGACGGGAGGAGGGGTTCAGGAGGGGGCGGGACCCCGTTGTTCAGTCGGATGGATTCCGCGGAGAGGCTGGGTTGCGTCCATTCTGGGATGATCAGGACTTCGCCGAAGAGGATGTCGGGCACGTAGGGGTCGTAGAGGGCCGAGGCGTAGCGGTTCTGCGACGAGGGGGAGGACGGCTCTGGGTAGCGGAGGGCGTAGGCTGGGTCCGGGTCGTTGCCGTGTTGGCACAGGTAGATGGTCCAGAGTTTGGATTGCTTGTTGAGTTTGAGGTAGAAGGCTGGGTTGTTAGCTGGGTTGCTGGTTGATGGGAAGATGGGAAGATGGGAAGATGGGTCGGGGAGAGAGCATACTGGGCAGATTCTCATCTAACATCTTCACTTCGGCACCTGGCGGAATCAATTCAACGGAACGGGTCAAGCTGCACGGTCCGTGGGCCTCCTGCCATTGGGCTGGTCTGGTTATAATGAGACGAGTCGAGGGGAGGAACGAGAACGAGAACCAGAACCAGAACCGGATGAAGTCAAGTCAAGTCAAGTCCAGGGATGGATCGGTTCCTCAGGCTCCCGCCCGCACTGCCCCACCGCTAAAAATAGCCAGGTACCGCCCGGTACTGCCGTGCGTCGCGGGCGGCAATTCGCCCGGCGGGGTTCATCGCGGTACAAAAGGGTACACTTCGGACCGAACTTCCAAGGCAGCCGTCATCTGGGACGGTGTGAGTTTCAGACCTTCAGTTGACAAACAACGCGTGGCTGGGCGATGCAGCTATTGTCGCGCTGCAGGAATAGGCATCGCTATTCTCCATTCCCCGCATCTTCGCTCCGAGGCCGGATGGAGATGCGATCTCCGAGGGGAAGTCGCACTGCCTCGTTTGTCTGTTGAGGGGATAACCGGGCTGGGTTGAGGGAATTGGATGTTCGGGATGGGATGAATGGCTGGATGGATATGTTGGCAGAGGGCGGGTTCTCCCGCACTGGCTGACGCCATCTACTACTACTAGGGTTGTGCAGGATGCTGTGTGCCTTGTAGGCAGATATATTCCACCACCAAACTACATTCACATCAGATCAGATCAGACTCGTCTTAGCTTCACCGCCCCACAAGCCAAGGCTCAAGCCAAGGCAGGCAACTACTAAACCCCAGCACCGCGATGAGGTGCGAGTCCGCGCTGGGGGGGGGGGGGGGGGCTAGAGTCCGTTAGTCACGCTGAATGCAACCTACCTGAATCTGATCAGATGAAGGCTGTCAGGCGTCGTCAATGGTGGGCTGGTCGGTAAGCTGAGCCCTAATCATCATCTGAGAGAGAGAGAGAGAGAGAGAGAGAGAGAGAGAGAGGGAGGGAGTTTGTGCGACCTCGGAGATAGCAGGTTGACGGTGAACTGGACTGGGATTCGCACGGTGGTTGCGTGGGCTTGCTGGGTGATTAGCTGGTGTTGAGTGTTGGGGAGGAGACTTAGGATCTGATTTGGATTCTGATCTTGGCTTGGTTGTGGTTGTGGTTGTGGTTGTGGTTTTTGGGCTTTTGGCATTTGGGGCTGTGGTGGGTTGATGTAGATGCTCGAGATGCGTTGAGTGATGATCTGATTTGCTGAGTGTTGGGGTTGACATGCCACTGCTCTTGATTGTAGGGCGATTGGCATGGGGGTGGTATATCGCCTCAAGGCATGGTCTCTGGATCATTAGCCGTCACCGAGTCCGACTTGCTCACCGTGCAGGATATGAGGTAGTCCATCGTAGCAAGCCAGTCCAGCGGATTGGAGATGGGATGGGACGGATGGGATGGATGGGATTCTTATAGATGGGCCGACGGTGGAGTTGGCTTGTGTCAAGTTGCTTCTGTCAAGGTTGATGAGGGACGGATTCGTTGTTTCTGTCTTTCTTCTAGAATAGAACAGTCCTTGTCTGTGATTATCGTCTGGAATGGACCAAAGGCATTGTCGGGTTCGGTCTGAAGTCAAGACAAAGCCAACCGCTCAATATCTCTCGTCGGAGAAAGCCTGGCCAAACCCCATGGCTGTGAAAATGCGATTGTATGCCTCATGGCTATATACCAACCTTCTTTGATCTTCCGTCCTTTATTTTTCATCTGATCCTTTATACCTCTATTCTAAAAACCCAATCGAATCAACTCAAACCCTCACCCCATCCACCTCCCTCCCCTCCGCCACCTTCGCGCCCTCCCTCTCCGCCGTACTCAGCTGCAGCCCCTGATCATCCCACCCCTTTGTACCCAGCCGATACAGAGTCTTCTGCTGCTCGCGATCCGACATGGCGCCCGTCTTGCCCCGCCGTTGCCGCGACTCCCGCGTCTCCACCAGACTGGCGTTATCCCCGTCCAGCTTCAGCCCCTCCAGATCATCCAGGTGGATGTCCTCCGTAAACTCGTACGTGCGGTACTCGGTATTCGTCCATCCAGTCCCTGTCCAACCAACCATTCATTAGCCGCTACCCTGGGCACACACACACCCCCCACAACCTGAAAGAAAAGTAGAGATGACGCATACCCTGGTACAGACTACTCTCCTCCCAATCCTCCGTGAAGTAGTGTAGAAACCCCCCATGCGAGACAAGGACAATCTCCTTCTCCGGCCGAGCCTTCAGCCAGCGTCGCGCGGCCCGCGCCCGCTCCTTGATCGCTTTATGGGTCGGCGCGTATCGACCAGTCTGTAGATCAAATCAAACATAGAGCCGTTTGTCAGCACATATCCACATACACCACACACCGCTTCAACCCCCCCGCCTTCGAAAACAAACGGAGAAGCATACCTTCACATTCCACCCCTCCCTCACCAATCCCAAATCCACCCGCTGTCCCATCTCCTCCGCCAGCGCCGCCGGCTCACTCCCCGTATCGCACGGCACGTCGCTTGTCTCCTGGACATCCGGCAGCGCAATCAGCTTTGTGTCCGGGTGGGCCTGAAAGACGGGCTCGAAGCTCTGCAGCGCGGTGTACAGGGTCCGGCGGAGCGGGGAGGCCGTGACGAGGTCGATCTGTGCGTGGCGCGGGAACGAATCGCGGAGTTTTTGGCATTGTTCGTTGCCGAGCTCGGTGAGGAGGGGGTCGGGGATGACGTGGTTGGCTGTGTTGAGGTTGTGGACGCCCTGGATTGTGAATTAGGTGGGGTTGAATTGAGGAGGAGGGGAAGAAGGGGAGGGAGGGGCGGACCTGGGCGTGGCGGACGCAGTGGATGATTGGGGGCATGGTGGTGGGTTTGTCTGTCTGGTTGTGGACTGTGTTGGAGAGAGGGTGGTTAGATTGAGGGAAAGAAACGGAGGGTTCGGAGGGATGGTGGATGCAGCTCGACGTGGGGTAGCGGGGCGACCGACCGGTGATAATAATAGCGCGCCGCGGTCAGGGTCAGGGCTGGCTGGACCTTTAGCGTGCTGTCGAACTGGAGGGACAGAGGGACAGTCTGGCAGGGAGCAATCTGGTAAAGAGCAGTCCGTCTGCTGAGGAGGGCCGCCCTTATATGGAGCCCGCCAAGATGCCACCCCCCATTCTGCCAATCCAGACGGACGACAGCACACCGTGGTCGCTGGTCGGTCGGCCATGACTCAACGGGGCGAATCCTCGTCGTCGCTGCCGTGATTCCCGCGACTCCCCGGTCGGGTCAAAGAGCCGATCACATGGCGGGCAGAGATTTCGAGAGGGGTGAAGATAACTTGAGCTAGCTGAGGGTTTTAAGGTCAAGGTTGCTGCAGCTGAGCTGGGTGGTACCCGGCGGAAGGTGGCCCGACCGCGGCCAACTCGGACGAGTCAACTGGCGGGATTATATAGAGAAGACTAGTGGTAGCCGAATGAATTCCTCCACAATTACGCTCTATCCACGGGTATGAGAATGCATATACAGCAGGGTATGTCCACAAATCCAATCCGATCCAATCCCCGATCCAAAATCACGCAACGCCAAACCCCGGGCGTTCTCCAACGCCTTGTTCAGCTTCTCCTCCAATACCCCCTTCGACGAATACTCCGGCAAAAGCAGCCGGCCGAAACACGTCAGACTCGTGGGAAGGCGCTGCGACAGTTAGTATCATCCAAGGTGATATGATATAGGTGGTGGCACTTACAGCATCCCCCACTCCGTTCTTCTGGATCACAAACATGATGCTCGCGATCCCGTTGACCGGCACCCGGTCGCTGGCCGTCACGAACTCCAGCAGCTGCGCCAGCTTCTCCGTGGGATACCGCCGGGCAATGCTCCAGAAGTTCCGGATCACCTGGTGGCTCGGGCTGAACCCGCCCTCGTACCGCGTGTGTCGCTCCAGCTCGCGGATGTCGATCGTCGGGATGCCCTCTACCACCGTCTTCAGCGCCTCCGGGGTGAAGATCGAGAGCGCCGACCGGTCCAGGCATGTGTAGAACCCCTTGGTGAACGCCTCGAATTGCGGGGCGATCGACTTGTTCGTGAGCCAGAAGATGTAGTCCTTCACGAACTGCGCACGGTTGCTGTTGGTCACCATGCACGCTTCGTCGGCCGGCGGGGTCGGGGACTGGACCGGCGCCAACGGGTCGGGCGCTTTGGTGATGTCCCCGAAGGAACCCGCGGTCTCGGCGGCCATCGACGATGGCGGGCTGAGGTCGACGTGGTCCGTGTAGCGGCGCACCTCCGACCAGGGCGGCGAGTACCCCAGGGACCGCGACCCGCTGGCGCCGCGAACGGGCGTGGACGGCGTCGGCCATGGCGAGTCTTTGTCGACTTTCTGCATGTCGACCGTCTCCACAGACCCGAAGGCCTCGAAGCTGAACTCGTAGGTTCGCATAAAAATGTCGCCCACGTCTCCCTCCTCCCACGCGAGGAGATCCTCCAGACCCTTACTCAGCTCCGGCCAGCCATCCCGGATATGATCCAGATGCTTGACTTTGAGTCCGAGAAGCTTGCGGTAAAACGCCGTGGGGAAGGTCACCGGGAGAGTGAGCCCGTTGTAGACAGCAAGAGACATCAGCAGTCCGAGCAGCTCAAACTTGTACAATGGCTCCCACGAGCAGGGCTGGAACCACGACATGCGCGTCCGCCCGTCCGTTGTGAACATCCCGTAGGACGTGTCCAGTGCCTCTGCCATCAACACTCGGAAGAACTCCTGTTGGACACCACCGTGGTCGAGACCCTCTTCGCCCTCATTCATCCCCATCTGCACCTTCAGAGGTCGCATAAGCTCCCGTCTCTCGCGCCGCCAGAGCTGGTTGAGCGCATCCTTGAGGATACTGTCCCGGCGGACGACAAGCACCAGGTAGGTAGACATCGATGTCTTCATGTGATCCAAAAGGCCGACGTCGTCCTGGATTTGGATGGGCCCGAAGCCCGTCTGCGTCACGTGCCTTGTCGTAGTCATCGCGGCCTCGTAGTGCTTGGACATGGCGGCGTAGTTCAGAGCCCGAAAGTAGATCACCAGCGCCGACGGGGGGAAGAGGAACGGGTAGGAGAGGAGATGCATCGTCTTGTTATTGGGGATGCTTCCGATCCATTGCACGGGCATATCCAGCGGCTCCAGCCGGTCTGCAAGGAACGGCGTCTGGAAGTCTTCGGGCACCAGTCCCAGACGGCTGCGCTCTGTGTACAACAAGGAGAGAATTTGCACGGCTCCCCCAGCTGAGCTGCTCTTCGACAACTCCGGGTTCCCGTCCCATTCCCGGAGGAATAGAGTCCGGAGCCATTCGGCGATGAGGGCGGGAGCACCCGGAACGGGGTCGTCTGGGTCGTTGGTAGCGGCTGCTGCGCTATGCTGCTCGCTGAGATTATTCACAATAATGTCAAGAACGCCATTTTTGCGCTGCTTCGGGGGGTCTCGGGAGTACACCTGTCGCGCCTTGGAGATTTCATGGAACGCCAGTCGTGCCGTAAGAGCACGCACCAGGCGGTCGAGAAGCCGCAGGGAAAGCTCATGCTCGAGGGTATCAGTAATTCCTATAATCAGTCGTGCCCGGGGCACCGGCAGCCTTTGCAAGTTTGCGCTGGAAGCCACGCCTCCCGCCGCACGCATCTTCAACATGGCTCGCCAGGTCGGCACGTCCAGGACCTCCGAAAGAGAACTGGTCAGGGCAAAAATAGCAACCGTGGCAACGTCAGCTGCCTTGGCATCACTAAAGTGCTCATTGCCCTCCGAGTCGGAACGACGGATGATGGGCGTGGTGGAAACGGCGGCAGAGTTGTGGGATGAACGGCGCGATCGCCTGCCTGACATGGAGAGTTCCTTGGGCGGGACAAACAGTGTTTCAGCCGCGCTCCAGAGGCTGTGAAAGATGATATCCCGTGGGCAAATACGATACAGCATGCGGAAGGATGGTTGCAGCTGCTGGACGTCAAGTCTGCTGTCCTGACTTGTTTCAGACGGTCCAGCCGTTCGGCGAAACGAGTGCAAAACTTGCCTGGTGTTGCTCAACGCGTAGAATACACTTTGCGCAACAAAGGTGAACACCAGGCGCTGTCGGGACGATGCGAAGCGACCTTCCGAGTCTTCGAAGTTGCCGGTCGCTTCCATGTAGTCTAATTCGTCCCGCCATTGTTCAGCGTCTTCCTCGGAAAGAACCAGCATCTGCCCGAAGGCGTCGATTATATCGCCTGTCAGGTGGCTCACGGATTGAATGGTTGGGATCATCCGTTTCTGGTTCGAACTTCTGCGGTTCGGTTGACTGCTACTCGGAGACTGAGCCTCCAGGCGGAGTTGACCGTCGGGAACCTCCGGCTTCTCAGAGTCGGATAACTGCACATTGTTCAGGAACTTTGCTCCGTCCCATGACACCCGTCGTTCCTTCTTCTGTGTTTGTGGCTGGACATCAGTCCCATCCCCAGTCCTCCCGCGGTGCTTTTGCGGGCGGTGCCGCAGGGCGGGCGGAGACGGTACATTGCGAAACTCGTCGCCATTTACATGTGTATTGACAGCTAGCTTCCGGGCAGGCTTCAACTCGGTGTGTGACTTCTCTTCGAGGCCCGAGCGCGGACCCTGACGCCACTGATCCACTTCCGTCAGCGACACTCGTTTGACCTGCTGATTCGGGAGTCGCAGCTCCAGTGCCGTCGGTTGGACCGCGTTGCGCGACGAAGGAGTGTGAGGCGCACTGCCTGCTGCGCCATGCTGAGGCGTGCGTTGCCGGGTCAGCTGTGGCCTGGGTTTATCCACCACCGACGGCGTTTGCTCAGGCTCCGTTTTCGGTATTCGGGTCTCGAGACGCGCATCTAGGCGATCTGGATCAGGCCCAAATGCAGTTGGACGCCGGAGAGGTAGCCACTCAATCATCCGGAGTGACAGCGTATCAAACAGGTTCTGGCTGAATGATTTTGGGTCTCTCATCCGCTGCGCTCCAGGCGCCTCCTCCGGAGCAGCCACCGGCTGATCCTGCAATCCCAAACCCGGGGACGCAATCTGTATACTGCCATCATCCGGGACAGAGGACCCTCTCGTAGCCGGCGATGGCCGTATCACGTCCTCCCCATTATGACCCACTCCTTCCGTCTCGCGTTCTTTCGGGGCATCGGTCGGGGGCAAAACACGGCTTCGTCGTTTCGATCGGCGATTTTCCTGCTGGGACAGGTCGTGAGGAAGGCGGGGGATATTGCGACAAAGACCGTTCTCCGCGTTGTCAACGCTGGCCAGATAGCACGCCAGCGTCCGGGCGCTGAGCTCAGTATACCGACGGAACGGTCCCTCGGTGACCCGGCGTCGATAGCTCGCGCAAGTTGTAGTCTGACATCCCGGATCCTGACAGCCGTGGAGGAGTTGATTCTTGTACCTACGCCACCCGTCAGCTGCTGCCTCACCGCGCCCCCGTCCGCACCCGAAACACTGAGCACTCACCTCCGCACAAGAAGGTTAAACTGGCGACGTCGTTCCTCGCGACACCATAACAGCACCTGGGCCGGGTCGGCGACGTCGACGGTGTTTTGCGCGATCACGTCGGGCGCATTCGGGGGAATTTTGGATCGGTGGAACTGGGGCCTGTCGATGCCACCACGCGAAACTTCGTACGAGCTCACGGAAGCTCCGCGGAGCCTGGTCATCTTGACAGGCTGCGGAGCATGCCGCGGCAGGGCAGGGAGATACCGATCGGTCGGAGATCCCTGGTTCTGGTGCAGGTTCGCCACGGGATCGGGAGGGGGGGAAGAGCGAGGTGGGGATGACGATGGAGGGGAGTTTGGGGACTGTCGGTCTGGTCTGGGGTGGTGCAGCAGCCAGCCTGTCTGCCCGCCTGATATCACCGCCAGCTGCCCGCCGTGGCCTCAGGCGCACAGCCCGTGCGTGCTGACTCAGTCGGCGGGAATAACCTATCCCCGGTAAAAGATCGCGCTAGTCCTGATGGAGGCCAAGGTCTTCTATTTTAGAACTGGTCTCTACATACGAAGTCAACAGTCCAGTCCGCCTATTTTGTAACCTTAATCAGCTGTTGTAAGCCTCGCGCATTTTCTCTGTGATCGATGAATCTGTATGTGCAAACTCCACCGCAATCCAGGATTCCCAGTCCCAATCTATCCACTCACTGAACTCATACGGCCGATTCGTCTTCCAACGTAGCAGCGGGGAGACATATTGACCCCGGAACAACTCTTTCTTAAATCTCAATAAATCCTGTCTTATGCGACCGAAAACCGCATCCGCCAGATCAATGAAAACGAGTTCCCTGTCCGACCCAGAATCGACCCCCACCATCATGGCATTCCTAGGACTGAGGTCCGTCAGAAGAATATCCTTCTCATAAACCAGACTCTCAAAATCAATCACAGCCTTCATGATTTACTGGAGGACATGACGTGGGAACTCGCTCGGGTTCGCTTGTTGCATGGATAACCCCGGTATGTACTCGATTAGAATCAGACGAACGGCGCGTGTCCCTGCTCCTTCAACAGGAATATCCAGGGAAAACGATCCGTAGAACCTGGGTATCAGTCCTCCTTGAAACGCTGCCAGTGTTTGATACGCCCGCACCTCGTGCGTGTAAAACCTGTCCACGCAATGGAATTGATCAACCAATCCCCCATCATCGTCGAGGTACAGAGGGTCGTATACTTTAGCCACCAGCGGTTGGTGGTGAGGCACGAGTCCTTGCTCTTTGTGGGCCTGGATGGTAAAGACTTGCGCGCTGTGACAGTCCCCTACACGAATGGTATCCAGGATCTCCAGTGGAAGAGTACCACTCTCCAAGCGACCGGGCAATGGGGGATTGCGCAAGCAGTTCTCAACTGGCGTGAAATGTTGTCGTTCTTCGCGCTTGGCTGGGGTGCTGAGGCAACAATTCGTTGTCACGGTCGTTGGTGGTGGAGGGGAATGCGGCTGGACAACAAGGGTCCGGCCCGTCGTGTAGGGGATCCCATACTCCTTGCAGATTGGATTAGACCGGGAGCACCGTGGGCAGACGGGGCCGATAAGATCGGATAGGGTTCCGTCGCCTATGAGTCACAATGAACGTCAGCAAGTAGGTTCATTCGAGGAGGATGTTCAGGCGTTAAGTACCGCGGCATTTTCCGCAGCCCCTACTCAGCATCTTGCAATCACGTCCGATGTGTAAATCAAAGGATTTTGGGAGGGGGGTGATCCAGGAGAGAGAAGAAGGGCTTTGGAGATGGCGAGGAGAATAGAGGCCCGGCGTGGAGGAAATGCGCGAGTCGGACAGCTCGTGACCTGGTGGCGTGAACAATCTGGGGCCTCCGGCCTCCTGCCCGGAGCATCACGTCAGGAGGTAGACTCGGAACCTACTGGGACACTAAATCGTATAGCCTGATCAGGTTGAACAAAGACAACTCCTTGCAAGAATATCGAATGGCGTTATCAACCGCCGGAACTATATACAGAAGAACCCTTACAGCCATTGCTGGTTCCCGTGGTGCGATACAAAAGAACCGCCATCCCCATTCTCAACGGTTGCTTTATCCATCACAGAAAGAACATCCTTGACAGCAGCCTGGGTGGTGCTGGGGCCCTTGAAATCAGGTGCGTACTCCTTGAACGAGTCCAACATCCCCATCAAGCCTTGCATTTGCTCCGGGGTTGCTGCACAAAATATATATTAGTCAATCTGGTGACCAACGTCTTCACGTTGTAGGATCATCACATACTGTTGGCATAGTGTCCCGTATCAACCATTCCAGGGCAGATCGACATAAACAAGATCCCCTCCTTCGCATACTGTGCGCTGAACTTGGCCACTGCAATGTTCAAGCCCGCCTTGCTAATGGTATAGAGCGAGCCCACCTCTAGACTGAACTTGGGAATCAGGTCAAGTGCGGCGTGGCCACTGGAGATGGCAATAACCTTTTTACCTTGTCCTTGGCGGACCAAAGGGACGAAGAGGTTGAAGAGGTGGATGTTCCCAACCACGTTGACGTTGAACAGCTTCATTGCCTCCGCTTCGAGGGCTTCGGGCCGTTGCCCACTGTTCTCGCGATGTCAGCCGTGGCCAATCGAGCTCAGGCGGGAAGGCTAGCTTACAGCACCCCGATCGGATCATATGCATCGAACAGAGATACGAGACCGGCATTGGCTATGAGGTAGTCGAGCCCCCCGCCAGTAATCTGCGCCGTGTCTGCGGCGGCATTCTGCGAGAATGGAATGCGTCAACACGAGCAGCTCCAACAAATGAGACGGAGTTTCTGGGTCTCACTTTGAGAGAGACATAGTCGGTAAGGTCCCCCTGCAAGATATAGATGTTGGACGGCCCTCGTAATTCTTCCAACACCCTCGTCTGAGTAGCAGACTTGTCCCGAACGAGGCCAATCACGGTATTGTTGGGATTGCTGGAAAGCTGACGGAGGAATTCCCACTATATATTCCCAGACACACTTGTCAGAGGTTGTTTTCACATCGGGAGGCAGAGGTGGACTCACGCCAATGCCTCTCGAGGCTCCAGTCACGACGTAGGATGGCATATCGAGTTATTGACACAGTGATAAATCGCTTGTTTGCGCCTGCTATAGCCATCGAGAACCGCAACCACGAGGTATTTATGCTCCTGGGAGCTGCCTGGATGTATACGATAGAATCCCATGCCTGCGATTTGCGATTGCCCTGGCACGGCCTTTTGGTTTGAAATCAAGGTGATGACAGAAATGCCGGATGGGGAAAGGTTGTCTCGCGGGAGCCACGGTAGACGCTTGGCCGTTCTCCGGCACGTCGGATGTCGGGCGTCGACAGCCCCGGCTGCCCCTCCCGCCATACAGAAGGCTGGACTCCGCCAGAAAGGGAAGGCACGCGTGTCACGTGCCTAGTGTTCTAGTTCTGCGATTCGTACAAAGCACCCTCAATCTTCTCATCACTTCCCTCTGCTGTCCTTATCGCACTGTGACCGCTCCAGCCTCATCTAATGGTATGTCATCACCCCTACAGCCAGGAATAAGGCCGTCTGACTAAGAAAGGTGCCTCGACAACAGGCCCCAGTATGGCGACCGTGGTACCGCCACCATGGCGAGCAGTCGAAGCCACTTTGGGCGGGACCAAGAGAGGGGTCTCCCCCGCGACTCTGTCACGCCTAACACCATCACACTTATCACGGTGCCTGGAACTGCGAGGTTCTGGGATGGCACGTCAAAAGTTGCTCTCGCGGAATGCTGTCTGCCGTCTGAGCGCCGCAAGGGACCCACGGAACTAGGCGGATTCGCGACTAGCCCTCCTGTCAGATCGCCGGGCCGATTACGAGGGTACCAGTCTGCCCACTTCGATCGCATGCCCCGTGCTTACTTCTTCCCACCAACTTTCTCTTTCTTCTCCAGTCTGGTCCAGACCTGTCAGATTCCCTCCCGCCTGGCCCAGGCTGTTCCCCTTTCCCGCTTGAAGCATCGCAAGGTGACACAACCTGACGCCGTGTCAGATCATGTCCCAATCAATATCCGACAGCAGAAGACGGGAGAAGCCCATCCTGAGCTGTACTGTCTGCAGGGGACGCAAGTGAGTCGGTCGCCTTCATACTCTCATGACCTGCCATGTTGAAAATCCTTCAGGCTGCGTTGCGACCGACAGTCGCCGTGTGGCTCCTGCCTGCGGCGTGGCAGGCCCGAGGAGTGCATCTACACCTCCTCGGCACAGGAGCGCCGAGATGCCGTCGACTATAGGCCCCGCGCCAGAAACCCCTCGGCCAAGCAGGGATTTGCTCGCCTGGAGAAGTTTGTCCGAGAACAGATCAGGGCGATGGACGAGAAAATTCGCCAAGAATCTGGGGTTCGAACGCCATCCCACGAGCCTTCCCACTCGATATCACCGCCCCCCTCTCAAGAAGACCAGATTGCGGACACGGTGGGCAAACTAACACTCACCGATGATCAAACCGTATACACGGGGAGCTCTCACTGGGCCAACATGCTAGAGGATGTGAGTTATGATGCTTAAGATTCCATGAATATCACCTGGTGACTGGCTCGCCTTCCAGATACAAATCCTCAAAGACGAACTATACGATGACATGTCAGAAAGCCAAGAGTCGCCCTTTTCTGATCCTGATCCCGGAGCCCAACAGCCAGCCTTCAGGATATCACTTCTCACCCCTGTTCCCTCTCTGCGGAGGGAGCAAATTCTGTCCATGATGCCCCCACGCAACGTGGTTGATGGGCACGTTTCTGAGTTTTTCAGAACTTATCCTTTTGTCCAGTGTAAGCCTTGAGATGATACCTTAGCTCCTCGATAGCGTTCTGCTCCTACTAACGCGGTCCAGTTCTTATACACCAGGGGACCTTCCTTGCAGAGGTCAGATATTCCTCCTATAGCATTCGTGACTTTTCTTTTGATTGATCCCCCCTTGGCTTACCTTGTATACAGTACTCGAACTTCTGGATTAATTCTTCGTCTGTACCCATCATGTGGATCGGACTCTTGTTCGGTATCATGGCTATTTCCGGATATATAAACCGACAAGAAATTGGAGCTATCGGCGGCGTGTGTGGTTCAAACTCACGTGATGATGAAATGTCGGAGACCTACCGAACCCTCACGATTCACTGTTTGGTGGCGGGTGATTATCTGCAGCCAAACCGATACACAATCGAAACCCTGGGTTTGCATTATGTCGCGGAGCAACGAATGGGCCGCAATACCGATCTCGGGAACTGGATCCTATTTGGTGTTATCATTCGGGTCGCGTTTCGCATGGGACTCCACCGTGACCCATCTCACTGGCCCAACATTCGACCCTTGGAGGCGGAATACCGACGGCGGCTCTGGACTTCAATATATCAGGCAGACTTCTTCACGAGCACCCAAGTCGGACTACCACGGATTATCAAGGACTCCCAGTGCGATGTGCGTCTACCTCTAAATCTGTTCGATGAGGACTTGGAGCATGATCCAATACCGCCTGGTCGGCCGTTGACTGAGTCTACACCACTCTCACATATCATCCAACGGCACACCATTATCAAGTTAGCAGCAGAGATATATGATGCGACGGAAGTAGGACCACCATCACCCGCTACCATTGCTGAACTAGAGGCCAAGATTGAAAGGGCGATGGCATCCATACCGGAGCAGTCAAAATATCAGTCCGAGACACCGCTGACGGATACCCCTCCTGCGATCATCAACAAAGTATTTCTCGACATTCTGGCCAAGAAGGCTGTCTATTTACTTCACCGACAGAGCTTTATGAAAGGCACTATCAACCCCTCAACTCTCAGATCTGCCGAGGTCTGTATCGACTCCGGCTTGGCTATCCTGGGACACCATAAAAGAATAAATGAAGCGTCCGGTGGCGATTTGTCCGGTGTTCGCTGGCGGATAGCCCTGTCGCTGACACATGAATTTCTGCAAGCCACAATGATGCTATGCTATGCGCTGAGCCGATCCCACGCGTATCAGACGGATTCGGCCAACCCCTGCCCCCTCCATCGACGAGAGGAAATCATAGAAGCTTTGACCACTGCAAAAGGCCTTTGGGAAACGTATCCCGACAAGGCTGAAGAAGCACGCAAGGCCGCAACTGCCATCGCATGGGTCCTGAAGCAGGAGTTTGAGTCAAGTCCCCCTACCTCGTTCGGCTCGGATGGGCTGAACACCCCAATGCCCGAGCAGTCTTTCAGTGCTTTTCCGCTGCCCGGGATTTATGATCCAATACCTGGGGGGCCGACATTTACCGACCTTGGTGGCTTTCCCGGTCCTCTTGACTGTGGGCAGAATGCGATGGCGGGCAACCCTTTCGCCGGCATTGACTTTGAACCGGCGGCATTCGCAGGCCAGTGGGACGACATTTTTCCTGACCCCACACAGAGCAACTGGCCGGGGATGTAGTGGCCGTCAGATATGTCGGGTTTCATACACTCCCCTGAGATTTACTGGGTAGCTGCCTTGCCCGTTGGCAGAATCAGTGCCCGTCTATTTGTACCCCATTCCCATTAATGCAGGGTAATCCTCGTAAGATCGGGTGGGGTAGCTTCTACTCATTATCTTTGGTGTTTGGCCAGTGACGCGACCCGACAGCTGTGGCTTCTTCGGCGCTTTTGTTGGTATCCTGTCCATTCTCGCCTCGCGTGTTGGTGCGCCTTTTTTTGAATACCTGTTGGTGATGATGGTACTACTCTGACAGTTGGAGCAATCGTGAAGAGACGGTTGGCATTCTGATTTGTGGACATTGATGTGGCAAGCTTGATGTGTTGGTGGATATTTGTTTATGCTGGCTGTCTGAATCCTGGACAGGTTGATTATTTCATTCTCTTTCCTTTGACATGGCTCTAGCGGGGTTGGCTTTCTGAAGTCCGTGCCTGTCGTTCAGTCTCTAATGTGAATAATCAATTTAATTAATTCATATATGGATTGAAGTGTGGTCTTTCTATTCCGGAACCGTTTTCACCGGCCCATACTTGATTTTATGACCTGTCAGTGATCGATATTACGCCTGAGAATCGAATCACTCCTACGATCAAACTCACATCATGACCCAAGTTGGTCCGTGTAATTAAATAAGATACCTCGCGATTACAACCGAAATACCACCATCTCCGCCAGTATATATACAAACTCCTTCCCCTCACTTTATTATGATAACCCCCCCTTCCTCCCCAACTCATCCCCTCCCTCCCCGTTTTCCCACCCGCCAACAGGAAATCCCAGCGCCACCCTCTCTCTAACCAACCCCAAGCCCAACAACCAACTTCACCACGACCACTACCACTACCACTCCCTCTCCTTAAATGTCAACGGACAATCATCCTAACCCATCCATCAGCAATCAGCAATCAGCAATCAGCAATCAGCAATCAGCAATCAGCAATCAGCAATCAGCAATCACCCAGCCCTCAACCCCCACCCAACCCCCGCAAAGAAACGCAAAGAGGAAAGAGAAAACATACCTTCGGAAAGATCGTCGCAAAGACCTTAATCTCCTCCGACAACGGCGTGGCATGATGCGTCCAATCCAAGAGCAGCGAGGCCTTCCCGATGAACAGCACGAGATTCATCATGGCGTAGTGCTGCCCGATGCACACGTGCGGGCCGGTGCCAAAGACCAGGAAGTTCTTGGCGCCTGCGGTCTCGGCGTCGCCGGTGTAGTAGCGCTCCGGGTCGAAGGTGTCGGGGTCCGGGTACACGGTCGGGTCGCGGAGGGAGAGGTAGGTTGTTGGGATTATCATTGCGCCTGGATTGGATATTTAGTATTAGGGAGGGATTGGGGGGGGGATTTGGGAAATCTCACCCTTGGGGACGGTGTACGAGTCCGTGATCGGGAACGGACGCTTCGCCATATACGGGGCCATGAGGACGGGGGGCCGGTAGCGGAGGAGTTCCTTGACGACTGCGCGGGTGTAAGTCATGGATTCGAGCTGATCGAGATCGACGGCGGCGTGGATGTCGCCGTTCCGAGTGCGATAGTTCTCCTCACGCACGCGGTCCAGGACGTCCGGGCGCTGGGCCATGGTTTGGAAGAGCCAGGTGGCTGCGCTGCTGGTGGCGTCCTGCGAAGCGAAGAGGAAGGCGAAGACCGTCTGGGCGATTTCGTAGTCGGAGAACTCGCGCAGCAGGGGGGAGGGTTTCTCGAGATGTTCGGTGGACAGGCCGTTCGCCTCCGCGCGGACCCATTCCTGTGACGCGAGGATGTTTTTGATCCACGCGTCCATGATGCAGGTTGGTTCGGCGCCGGCAGCCATATTGGCTTTGCTTTTGGCGGAGGCGTTGGCGAACTCGGCCAGGACGAGGTCGCTGGCCTTCTTGCCGTACCAGGTCTTGGTGAACGGGAGGATGAGGGGGAAGTTGACCAGCTCGAGCGCCTCGGTGATGAGGTAGTAGTCGTCGGCGATCTTCTTGACGGCCTCGTCGGAGATGTAGTGCCCGCAGAAGGTGCGCAGCGACACGGCGCACATGATCTCGCGGAACTCGGCCATGAAGGGCACCGGCTGCCCCGAGGCGTCCTGGGTGACTTGCAGGAACCGCCGGAAGTATTGGTTGTAGACGGTCTCTTGGCCCGGGAGGTACGATTGTAGGGCTTTGCGCGTGAACAGCCCGTTCAGGCCCTTGCGGAAGTCGACGTGTGGTTTGCCGTCCAGGAAGACGAAGTTGTCGTGTCCCAGCAGTTTGTGTGCCACATCCACGACGCAGGGTTTGACGTACGTGGGTGAGTTGAAGACCTTGCGCGCCATGTCGCGGGTGGAGGCGATGACGACGAATCTGAATGCGATGGGTTAGTGGGTTGGGTTGGTGGTGATATAGGGGGGGGGGACAGGAGAGGTAAACTGACTTGTGGAAGACGGAGACGCAGCTCAGCGGGCCGCTCATCCATTTGGCGTAATATTCCTCGAATTTGGGGTTCACGGATTGCAGGAACGGGCCGATGAAGGGCTCCTTGAAGGCCGGGCCCACGATGTTGCCTTTGTTGGAGAGGTACGTGACTGCGACAGGTCATGCGTGTCAGACGTCATGTCAACGGTGGGAAAGTTCATGCCTATATTTCCGATGCGATCGACGTACTCTGGTCATAGGCCACGAGGACCGCCAGAATGGTGAGCGCGATGGTCCACGGCCCAGCATTGGTGACGGCGTTGACGAGCGGCTCGAGACGGAGAGGGATGGCCATCGGGGAGGCGAAGGCGGAGTTGTCCATCTCGCCGATTCCAGCTGTCAGATGCGGAGGTGGCCGATCGAGTGACGGGAGGAGGGGGGAAAATACAGAAGAGAGAAAAAGGAAGTCAGTCAGACGAGAACGGTTTTCTTCAATGGCTCGCTCGGACAGAGGACGCGCCGCCCCTGATTAGTTAGTGATTCCTTCGGGCTTCCAGACCCTGTTCGTGAAGGCGCGCGCGTCGCAGGCCCTAAATGAAGGCGATGGATGGGGCTCGAGCTCGGCCACTGTTCAAGATCAATCAATTGATAGCCCTTGTCGATAATTGATAAGAGGTTTCTCGTCCGGATTCACAACAACAACAACAAACAATGCATGCACACACCCGGAAAGAACTGAATCCATCGCATGGCCTGTTCTTGAACAGATGGCCAAGCGCCATTAGTGCTGACATCCGGAGATGGCGATGGCCGCCACACAGCCCAATCACAGCCCCGGCAGCTGCCCCCTCAATGGCACGATGGCAGCCAGTCGGAATTGCATGCATTTACTTAGTAAGTGGCGGGACATCCATTCGGACGACAGTGGGCCGAGCAGCTGAAGGGAACTCCCCCACATCACAACCAACCTTATCGGATGCCTCGGATGCTGCCACCATCGCCATGGGGAGGCACTCCAGCTGGGCCTCCGAACCGCCCGAGTTACGCGCTGTATGTGAAATCTGTCCGGGAAAAAATAAAAAAAAAAAAGAAACAAAGAAAAAACAAGTTGGCGGACCGCTAATAATACATGTCTGTGTGACTACCAGTGTGTGGAATGCCGGGTAAGCACGGAGTGCCGGTGCAGGATTAATCGGCTTGACTGACCAGGACATGCGGATATCAGAAACGGAAGGGGAAGGTATGTTGCGTCATAAACAAAACTTAGGAGATATAGAGTATTGAGATTGACATTGACATTGTCAGTGCTCCGGGGCTGCCCCGTGCGTCTACTGCGTGCGCACCAAGAAGCGCTGCAGATTCGACCGAGTGCCGTCGCGCACCCCTCTGACTCGCAAGTAAGACAAGATAGGTACTCTGATAGGTGTCACTCACTCTGACAGTGAATAGAAACCTCGATGCACAGGAACGTCTTTGCGCGGGCCTGGTCGCCCTGCTCCGGAAATTGAACCCGGATGTCGATATCGAGGAGGCGTTGAAGACACTCTCGTCTCCCGATGAAGCAAGTAACGACAATGACAACAGACGTCAACCACCACCACCACCACAACAGAGCACCGCCCATGACAGAAACAGCCCGACCCCGCCGGCGCACTTCGAATGGAACGAGGCTCTACTCTCATCCTCGCGGGCGCAAGGAAACCCGCTCGATGGGATGGCCTCACTGCCGGCGGGGCGATCGGAATCCGGGTATCTCGGTGAGCCACAACCCTACCCATCCCCATCCCATCGATGGGCCTGGCCTCCTCTGACACCATCCAGGAACCAGCTCCGGGTCCAGTCTCCTGCGCAACATCTCCGATCTGCTCCCCGAACAGCATGCCTCCCGCGGCCCCGTCCGACAGACCGAAAGCCCTCGCCTCCTGACCGACCCATCGCACGCGGCTGTACTGGACAGCCTAGTAGACGCCTACTTCATCTCATTCAACACCTGGTACCCCATCCTGCACGAGAGCACCTTCCGCCGGAAATACCAGAACCGGCAACACATCGCGGGCAGCTCGATCTGGCACATGATCGTCTACCTGGTGCTGGCGATCGGGGACTGGATCCTCACCGGCGGATCCAAGATCGAGCAGTCGACGTACTACATGGCCGCGAGATCGCGCATGTCGATGCACATGCTGGAATCAGGGTCCCTCCTCACAGTGCAAGCCTTTCTCCTAGCGGTGCGATCGAGAGAGATAGACCCGCATCCCCACGTCCCATACTAACAGAAAACACAGGGCTACTTCCTCCAGCGCCGCGACCGCCCCAACACCGGCTACAACTTCATCGGCATCGCCTACCGGATGGCCCTGGGCCTGGGCCTCCACCGCGAGCCACTGCCCGGAACCCCCGACACGCTGCTCAACGAACGCCGCCGCATCGTCTGGTGGATCGTATACACCTTCGACAGCGGCTTCAGCATCACCACCGGCCGCCCCCTCATGTCATCCGACTGCTTCATCGACACGCGCCTCCCACGCAACATCGAAGACTCCCACCTCCCTCTCGCCTCCCCGCCTCCGCCTCCCCTCCCCACCCCGACCACCACCTCCACCCTCATCGCCTTCTCCCGACTCGCCCGCATCGGCAACGCCGTCTACCGGGACATCATCGCCACCCCGACCAAACCCAAACCCATCCCCTCAACATCAACATCTACACCCCCCTACACACCTCCCGCACCCTAGACCACCAGCTCAAAACCTGGAAACTGTCCCTGCCCATCTACTTCACCTCGCGGACCGCACCGGCGTGGTTCCTGGCCCCCCGCGCCGTGGTCTCCTGGAAAGAGCAGAACCTGCGCATGATGCTCTGGTGGGGAAGCCAGCGGCTCTGCACCTCCGCCTCGGACGCCGAAGAAGCCCTGAATATGTGCCATTATGCCGCCCTCGAGTGTATCCAGGACGTGACCACCTTCTGTCTGGATCATCCTGATGTGCTGCATATCGGGCTGAGTTGGTATGCGACGTACTTTCTGTTCCAGGCGGCTGTGGTTTTGAGTATTCATCATTTGAGGCGGGGGGAGGGACAGGCACCGACACAAGCACATGCACAGGTTGGGGTTGCGGTTGCGGTTGAGGATCGGGATAGGTATAGGGATCCAGGATCCCTGTCCTTGGCGGCGGCGAATCAGGAGCTCTGGCTATTTTCGCTCTCGCGGGCGAGAGATTGCCTGGCGAGTTTGAGCACCGGGAATGAGGGCGCGGCGAGGTGTTTGGAGGTGTTGGAGCGGATTAAGGTGAGGTCGGAGCTGGGGGTGGAGGACCCTGTTGCACGGTCCCCGACGGGTGTAGATGTTGATGTTGCGCCGGGGCAGGATCTAGGTAATGGTGGTGATGGTGATGGTGTGGGTACCCGCCTGGGAACCCTGGCTGTCGATCCATCGCTGCAGATGTTCTTCGATGATTCGTCGTGGAATAAGGATATTTTTGAGGGCCTGGAGGGTTTCCCCATCACCGATGAGGTCGAGTCGTTTGATTATGTCCCCGGGAATGTGTTGACGGCGAATATTGCAGACGGGTGGCCTCCCCCGGCTGCGGGTCTGGGTGGGTGAGTTGGTAGGTACTAGGTAGGTGGGCTTGTGCAGGTCGATAGGATGTATGTTCTTGGTTGCTTTTCTTGTTTGAAGGGTTAAAAGCCACCAGGGGATGAACAATGGAATCGTTATCTGCGGCTAGCACAAAGAAGCAGAAGAAAGAGATCATAGAATCAAGCATAAACTGCCAACTGTTACTCTGTAAGTCTCCGCGCTATATCTGCAGATACTCTGGGTAGTATGTTGGTTGTCTCGGAACCTTACACTCCCTGTGTTCAACACAGGAAGAAATCGGTCTCTCACAAGTATGAAAGGTACACACTCCCCCTATTTCTTCCCTCGGTCATACTCCCTGTCCGCTTCCAAGCAAACCAGAATTATAAAAGACCCTCGACCCAGTCTCATCCCATCCCAGTACCCTCCACCTCCACCTCCCGGATCTCAAAATATACCTAACGGAAACAGACCCAAACCCAACACAGACCCAGATACAGACCCAGATACAAACACACCCAAAATGTCCTCCTCCCAATTAGTAGTAACCGCCCCTAACCCCCCACCCACCAACACCCCCACCCCCTTCCAACACTACATCCCACGTCTAGCCATCCTCTTCCTGGCCGTCAACATCTCCGCCTGGATATGGACACACCGACAGATAGGAACACCATCGCCATCGCCATCACCAGCGCTATCAACATTTGGATCAACTACCGATCCTATCTACGGCGGATATAACCCTGCGACCTACGACATGGGGGGCTGTTCATATCGGAGACAGCGTTTGTCCGGTCGATATGGGTATGAGCGGCGCCATGGCTTCTTATCCATCGTCTTCCTGTGGGTGGTGATGTGGTTCTGGTGGGTCTGGTGGAGGAAGTTGATGCTGAGGGTTGTTGCGCTTCGGATATTGCGGGAGAGGGGGGTTATTTGATTTTGATCATTCTTGTTGTGTTGTGTTGTGTTGTGTTGGGCTGTGGGCCTGGCTGTGGGGGTTGGTAGTGAGGGAGGGTTTCTTTCTTTGTTTGTTTGTTGGCTTTGGTGTGATAAATAGGATCGTTGTGAGTTTGGGGAATTGTTTTATGTATGTTTTGGTAATTTGGGGTCCTCTGGGCTGTGGACTGGGTTTGTGTTTGATTTTTTTTTGTTTCTTTCTTTTGATGGAGGGTTATAATATCTTGGCTTTTTTAATCATACTATAAGTGAAGAGTGATTAAGTGTGTGGAATGTTGATGTTGGTGATAACTAGTATGCTTACGATTGTTCATCACCTGCTGATATAAACTGTTTCTTTGTTTTGTTGTTCTTACAGGTTAGATGAATAGCAAGTTTTCTTATTATAATATCCCAGACCCCAGGCCCTCCAAGACCTACCCACTCCCCCATCCCAAACCAGATCCTCGATCCCAAACCAACCAACCAACTAGAAAACCAACCCACCACCTACACAGCATCAGCCATCATCCATCACACCCACCCCCCTCCCGAAAATCAAGAATAAACCTACCATCAACCACAATATCAACACCATTAACATAACTCCCCCCCAAATCACTACACAGCAGCACCAACGGCCCCGTCAACTCCTGCGGCGCCCCCATCCGCCGCATCGGGTTCCGATCCGCCCACACCCCGCGATGCCCCACCAGAGGATCGCCCTCATTCAGCACGGTATCCATATACCCCGGCGAGATCGAGTTCACGTGGATGCCATACCGCGTCCACTCCGCCGCCAGACAACTCTTCATATGCAGCACCGCCGCCTTGGACACGTTGTACGCCACCTGCGGCTGGGGGTAGTTGACCCTGTGGCCGCTGATCGAGGCCACGAAGACGATCTTTCCGCCGCTTTGGTGGGTGATCATGTGTCTTTTGTTTGTTTCGTCGTGTTAGCATGCATCGTATCATGTTGCCATTCGGGCGCTCACTGGCAGCGAGCAAGCCGAAGCGTGGCTGCAAAACAGACCAACCCCACATGTGAAAAGAATTAAGTATGATGGAAGATGGAACTACATACCTCCCCACCGCCTGCGCAACAATCCAACTCCCCGTCACATTCACATCCTGCATCCTCTTCCACGCGTCCAGCGACATATCGGTCGACGGAACTACATTCACAATCCCGGCGAAGCAGCAGAGGATCCGGATGTTGCCGAGGGTGGTGATCGCGGCTTGCACGGCGGCCTGTACGTCTGTCTCGAGCGTCACGTTGCATGGTATCGGGGTGATCTTTGCAGAGGGGAAATCTTCCCGTAGGGCGGTTAGCTGCGCGGTGCCTTTTTCGAGTGCGCTGGGTAGGTCGAACAGGGCGAGGCCGGAGAGGCCGTGCTCGAGGAGGGCGCGCGCGCTGGAGAGGGCCAGGGTGCCGGCGCCGCCGGTGACTGCGTTGGGTTGGTCAGTACGGAGTATGGTTGACTGGCATAGGATGGAATATGGGTGGGGAGACGTGCAGACTGCGTTGCCGGTTATGGCAAACCGCTGGCGCGCGTTGTCGGATGCGCTGTTGGTTGGAGGGAAGGGGGGTGGGGGTTGCGTCAGGGACGAGGTGATGTCTACTTCGCCCAGGCGGATCCAGGGGATGGTCGGGTCTGAGGCCATTTGGAATAGCTGATCACTTGTTTGATGTGTTCTTGTCGAATCCTGGCTCCTGTTGGTTGTGATCGTGGGACAATCCCTGGTTCCCCCTGGTTCCACCCGGTTACACGGCTGAAATGTTGGGGGGGGGATGAAAGGCAGTGAATAAGTAGGCTTGAACTCCAGAAAGAGAAGATCTGTAGTCAGAGGGATTGAAGGGCAATGGGGAGTTGATAAGTACTCGTACTGTCTGTTCCGCCGAACAACAGCAGCTGGCTCACTCACCACCGATATGCGTCCCCTCGGGCAGCTGTCGACCGATGGTGGCCAGAGTAAGTTATTCTGGGTAGACGGGTCTACTTACCTGCAGCAAAGTCCACTCTTCAAACAAGCACTGACCATGGCCTCCCAATGATGCTCAATGTGTATATATGGCTGCGGGGATAAGACCGGCGGGGACGCGGAGGCCCTCCGATGTTGCAGCCCTGATTCAATCGGTCCTCTGTCGTCCGAGTGTCTCTCTCTCTTTTGCAAGAGTACTAAACAGGCACAACCATCAACTCACATCTCGGACTTTCTTCCAGAGAAGAGGCACATCAGACACGTCTTTCGCACAGAAACAAGAGTGGTTCACATGGCGTTCCGAAACTTAGATCCGCGAGCTCAGGGCAGCAACCACACGGCTGACTGTGTGCCGACGAGCCCCTCGGAAACCCTCATCTCGGGGTGTTCCTGTTAGGCGGGGCTGTGTTTAGTGTATACCCCGCCACAGGGTCAGATGAGGTCAGAGGGACCCTGGAGGTGTAACCGGATGGAATCCTTTATTAGCAGGGCATCCCGGACTCCACGCGTCTCCCCGCAGTCAGTCACCCCACGTTCGTCCATTCGACATCTACACAATATCCGTAACCAAGCCATCGCGAACCCTTTCAACTCACAACCACCACAGCCGTCAATATGTCCATGAGTAAAACCGACAGTGCGACAGTGCGCGAGGGCTTCCCTCGCCCCTTCCCGAACACACCAACAAACGTCCTAGAACAGCTTCGTCTGACCGGAAAGGTCGTCGTCGTTACCGGGGCCGCGGACGGTATCGGCTACGCGGTGGCGGAGGCCATGGCCGAGGCCAATGCCCATGTCGCGCTGTGGTACAACTCGTGAGTTATACTCTGTCTGCAGAGTGTCTTATACGTGTCTAATTGCTATGATAGAAATAATGCGGCGGTTGAGAAGGCGCGCGAACTGGCTAGCACGCATGGGATCAACGCAACTGCGTACAAGGTTGATGGTGAGAGTTGGAGCTGTTGGATTTCCATCCGGATCCCACGCTGATCGATCAGTCTCCGACCCCGAGGCGGTCCAAAAGACCATCGCAGAGGTCGTCAACGACCACGGGAAAATAGACGTGTTTGTTGCGAATGCCGGTACGCACACACTCTATCCATTCAGGCACCCCTCAGAGCTGACCCAAAACAGGAATGGCCATTTCCAAACCCATCCTAGAGCAAACCCTCGATGAGTACAGGAAACAGATGGCGGTGAATGGTACGACATCTTTCCCGGCTATCAGTCAGTTACCAGGATCTTCCTAACCCACAAGGCAGTCGACGGCGTCCTCTACTGCGCCAAATACGTCGGAGAGGTCTTCCACCGACAGGGCTTCGGTAACCTGATCATCACCTCCAGCATGAGGGCCCATATCGTGAATGTTCCTGTCGATCAGCCCGTCTACAACGCGAGCAAGGCCTTCGTGACGCATTTGGGGAAGTCGCTGGCGCGCGAGTGGAGGGAGTTTGCCCGGGTTAATGTTGTCTCGCCGGGCTTCTTCGATACGAAGATGGGGGCTGGGCCCGAATCTCTGCAGGAGGCGTACCGCATGTCTGCGCTGGGGAGGCAAGGTCATGTCAAGGAGATTAAGGGGCTGTATCTGTATCTTGCGAGTGATGCGTCGACGTACATGACTGGGAGTGATGTATTGATTGATGGGGGGTATGTGTTGCCTTGAATAGAACAGTTACTGGTGTGCGTTGTGTAGTAGTTCATAGTAATCAGATGGGGAGTGGATGATGATATATAATCCCGCTGACGTTCTGTTTGATATCTCTTCTCATATACATCATCCGGGATAGTAGATATGGTTTTTTTTTTTTTTTTTTTTTTTTCATTCCTCACCCAAGTTTGACCTGGCAGATAGACAATACCGGTAGAAAAGTCTTTCGTCCTGCCATGTAACTGTCGAGACTGGCAACAGACACCGCACCTGCTGCATAAATAATGCATAACAATAGCTGACTCAGCAGCCACCGGGTAGTTATGCACGTGCCCAACGTCATATCGCTTAAAGCGGCACGGTGAGGAAATTATCGGCGGTGATTATCAATTCTGCGCGGAGGGGCAGTCGAGTCACAGCATCGCATCCACCATCCACCACCTCACTTCCTTCTGCGTGAGGATTTTCGACCGTTCCCCTTCCCTCGCACCCTTCCATCCGTGCGACTCGATATCCGCGTCCCCTTCTTCGATTGTGCGATCCCTTGGATCCCGATCATACCCCGCTCCACCACACACTCGTCTTCCGACTCCCCCACGCATTTTCTCTCCGTGATACCCTCTTTCCCTCTTTTTCTCTTTTTCTCCAGCAAAATGTCTTCCCTCCCCTACACCTGCAACACCTGCCTCGTTGCCTTCCGCGGCAGCGATGCGCAGCGCGAGCACATGCGCCAGGACTGGCAGTAAGTCTCTTATCAATCCCACCACCGCCCACGGACTAACCCCTCCAGCTTGTATAACATGAAGCGTCGGATCGCCTCCCTCCCCCCCGTCTCCCAGGAAACCTTCAACGACAAGGTGCTCGCCGCCAAGGCCACCACCACGGCGGCCGCCGCCAAGGCGTCCTTCGAAACGACCTGCGTCGCCTGCCAGAAGACCTTCTACAGCGAGAACTCGTACCAGAACCACGTCAAGAGCTCCAAGCACAAGGCGCGCGAGGCGCGGGCCAGCCGCGAGAACGCCGACGACTCGTCCTCCGTCATGAGCTCCACCTTCTCCCTGGGCGAGCCGATCAACAAGTCCGACGTGTCCAAGGTCGCCGACACGCTGAAGAACACCACCATCGAGGAGGGCGACGAGGAGGAGGACGACGACGACGACGAAGACAAGGACGAGGAGATGTCTGACGATGCCTTCTCCCCCTCCCGCTGTCTCTTCTGCCCTCAGCAGAGCGCCGACATCCAAGAAAACACCGAGCACATGTACAAGGCCCACGGCATGTTCATCCCGGAAAAGAACTACCTCGTCAACATCGAAGGCCTCCTCTTCTACCTCTACCGCAAGATCAACGAGAACAGCGAATGTCTCTACTGCCACTCCATCCGCAACACCCCCGAAAGCATCCGCACCCACATGCGCGACAAGGGCCACTGCATGATCGCCTTCGAGTCCGAGGCCGAGCAGGTCGAAATCGGCCAGTACTACGACTTCCGCAGCACCTACGACGAGGAGGACGACTGGGAGTCGACCGGCAGCGAGACCGCCGCGGAGGGCGGCGTGAAGGTCGAAGGCGAGGACGAGGGATGGGAGACCGACGCCTCGTCCATGGATGAGGACGAGGAACTCGACGACAACCGCAAGAGCGCCCCCGTCCTCTACGCCACCGACTACGAGCTGCACCTCCCCAACGGAAAGAGCGTCGGCCACCGCTCCCTCGCCAAATACTTCCGCCAGAACCTGCACAACTACCCCACGCCGGATGAGCGCGCTGCCCGCCAGCTCGCCATCGAGAACGGCGAGATCGAGCCCGATGAGCCCAAGGCCCGCGGCCGCAACCTCAACCGCGCCCTCATCTCGCGCGCTAACGGCGGTACCGGCATGATCGGCACCACGGACTCCCAGAAACACGACGTCCAGATCACGGAACGCAAGGAGCGGATGCGCGCCATCAGACAGGAACAGCGCTTCACGGCGAGAATTAACCGCGGTGCTAACCACCAGAAGCACTTCAGAGTATGTCCCTCTCTTCTCCTCTCCTCTCATCCCTTGATGATATCACCTGCCCTCCCCTCCCCTCCCCTCCCCCTTGATGACATCCTCCTGCATGAAAAACAACGCTAACCCAGTTTCTTTCCCTCTTCCAGGATCCCCTCCTGCAATGATCGCATCGCATACACCACCCCACACCACCCCTGGGTCTGTGTTGTGTTATGTCATGTCTGTATCTATCTCTGCATCGTATATTGATGAGTATATGAAATCTGAATCATTCAGGCTTGGTTGGCTTTTCTCTCTCTCTCGCGGCATTGAATTTCTCCATGTTGTGTTGTGTTGTGCTGTGTTCTACTGTCTTCTGCTGTCTTCTGTTCCGTTCTGTTTGTTTCCGTTTCCCTGGCATTTCCTTCTGGAGTTGTGGTCGACTAAACATGTACATGCTTTTCGTATGACAAAAGTATAGCTATTATGGGGGAGAATATAGATGTTGTTTCGTATTGGTTTGTTCAGTTGGCTAGGCTAGGTACAGTTACAGTTACAGTAGGCTAGATAGCTAGCTAAGTAGGTAGCGACCTACCTACATAACATACCTATTAGGTAACTAGTTACTGCCTAGGCACTGAAATACTTACTTACTACTACTAGATATCGACGGTAGATATCGAGATACTGCATCCATGCACCACATATACTTACTATATAGATCAGAAACCCCCTCCCTCCTCTATTATTCCTCTAACATCATACGATGATCCATTACCGACTGGGGAAGCAGAGGTTCATTCCATCCATCCATCCATCACATAAAACATAAAATGATAACTTACGCCCCCTCCCCTCCCCTCCCCTCCGCCTCTTCCCCCCGGGATACAGTAGTTAGCAACTGTACCATCAACATCATGGATCCGGTAGTTAACCAACCACTAACTTAATCCCCCCCCCCCCCCCCCCCAACTCCGCTAGTACTATACTATTACACTATACCATCTGCATCCCGCAAGGGAAAGAAACAAGAAACCTTCCGTTCTGTTCCAACAACAACAAAGCAATAAAAAAAAGTAATATAAAAACAATATTAAAAAATCCACCAGGCGGAAACCAGATGCGAAAGGGGAAAAAAAGAGTGATATTCAAATGCATCATCCGTGAATCGAACACGGGCCTCATCGATGGCAACGATGAATTCTACCACTAGACCAATGATGCTTTGATGACAGAATTGCCCTTATAAGGTTATATAGCCCAAGCCTCGAGAAAGCATCCATGGGGATAGAGGGCAGGGGAGGGAGGAGAAGAGTCGGTGACTGACGACAATCCCCCAGTCACGAACAGGCAGGGTCGTGCAGAACTCTAATCTCTCGATGTAGTACGGCGTATGCAAGGGAGATGTAGCTAGATAGGTAGGTACTTTAGAGCTGGAGCTGGAGCTGGAGCTGGAGCTACCGCTTCACCCCGCAGCTCATCACTTACGCCTACCAAGTACTCTGTAGAAAGTATCACCTCGGATAGATACGGTCGAATTTTTAAAACAATCGGTCGGTCGGTCGGTCGGATTTCATCTACCGTACACGTACACATACATACACCAGTCTATCCACCGTACATCAACGTTTAAACAGACAAATAACAAAACAACCGAACAGTACGGAACAGTTTTGTTTTGCTTTGCTTTGCTTTTGCATCAAGGAGCGCTATTGGAGACGGTCCAGGGAGGGAGGTAAGAAGGTAGATAGGTAGATAGGGATGTCGGGCTATGCATATAGGAAAAACGGCAAAAAAATAAAAAGAAGAAGAAGAAGAATTAAACAAGCCGCTGCTGTTCTGCGGATCATACATGTGCATCAATCAGCGACGGTGACAGCTATCTCTCACATACACACACAGGCACATGTCGTGTCGCTCTGGCCAGCAGAAATTGATCGATTGGGTCAGGTCATTGGGACAGCAGGGGGGCGTTCTCGGCCATGATATCGCCCTTGGAGCCGTGGCCGCGCTTCTTGCGACGCCGACGACGTTTCGATCCGGAGGCGTGGTTCTGTCCCAGATCGACGACTTCGCCCTCCTGCCGGACGGGGAACTCGGCTCGCTCGCGGGTTCCCGGGCGTTCGGACTCGGAGGAGCTGGTGCTGGTGGTGTGGAGGACGACCTTGCGGATGCCGTTGACGTCGACGATCTGCTCCGTGATGCTGCCGCTGCGGGCGGGGCCACGGTGGAGGTAGCTGGCGGGTTTGAGGAAATCCGACTGCGAGTCGCTGGAGCGGGCGCTGCCGGCGCGGCTGCCGGATCGGGGGTAGTCGTCTAGCGCTTCTTCGTGCACCGCTTCGGGGATCGCGATGGCGCCGTCTTTGGTCTGCGTGCTGGCGTCGGCGGGGAGCTTGTGCCCGATGGTACCGTAGCCGCTCCGCACGGCGTACACGCCGTCTCGCGCGTCCATGCCACTCTGCACCAGGCCCGCGCCGATCCCGCCCTGCAAACCAGCCGCCGCAAGTCGAGTCTGCGAGTCCGACATGCTAAGCGTCGAGTCCAGATCGGTCTGGCCCGATCGCGACGGCGACGCGCTCCGCTTGATCTTCACGTTCTGGTACCGGGTCTGACGCGGGCGGCTGGCCAAGTTTGACGGGCCCAGGTGCTTCAGGTGTTCGCGGATCTCGTCGGTCGTTCCTCGTTGTGTGAATAGGCCGTCGGCCGGATCTGAGCCCTTGTCCGCCTGAGGCCGACGGAGCTGGAACCGGGGCAGAGGCGCTTCGATGGAAAGCCGACGGTTGTCCTTCGGGGCGCCGTTCGGGGCAGCGGGAGGATCGTTATCCACCTCGATCAGCGCCGTCTCCGGCGGGAGCATCGGGGGCTCCTCCACGATACGGCCCTTGGGGACACGAGACTTGGGCGCGGGCGCCATGCGGCGGATGGCTTTGTGCACATCCACGAACACATCGGATTCGTCAATGATCTCCCTGTGGAATTGTCAGCGCGGTCGCTTCGTGCCGGGCATCGCGGATACATACTCGCCAATGAGCTCTTCAATCACATCTTCTAGCGTGACCACGCCCAGGGCGCCGCGGTCCTCACTCGGGAACTCCGAGACCAACACCATGTGGGACTTGCCCTCCTGGAAGAAGTTGACGATGTCCAGACAGCTGGTCTCGGGGCGAGTCTCGGGCAGAGTGGCCAGGGCAAAGTCCCGCACCCGCTTGCAATCCTCCGGATCATAGGTAATCAGCATCTTCACCAACAGCATGCCGACGAAATTCGTGGCGTTGTCCGGCGCATGGATGGGGACACGGGAGTAACCCTGCGAGAGGATGAGATCCATGGTGTCCTCGTCCAGGATGGTGTCGGCGGACATGGTGAAGACGTCCTCCATGGGGGTCATGATGCTACCGACCGCCTTGTCCTTCAGGTCCAAGACGGCGCTGATGATGGTGACCTCATCGGAGTTCAGCTGCTCGCCGGCTTCGCCCAAGGTTTTGTGCAGGGTGACGAGGGTCTTCAGACCGGCCTTCTTGTAGATGGTGCCGTGGTCCTCGCCCAGCAGGTAATCGAGCAGTTTGGCGACGGGGTACGCGACAGGGGACATGATGTACATCAGGGCCATGACACACGGGGCCATCCAGGCGCCGATGGGCAGGCCGTAGCGGACGCATATCGACTGGGGGACGATTTCACCGAAGATGACTGGACACGGTCGGGCGCGCTGGTAAGCAAGGATCCGGCGAGCCAAGAAGAGGGATTTTTCCCATACCAATCAAGACAGTGCTGCCCAGCACGGCGGGCCAGCCACCGCCAAGGGAGCGGTCCAGCACAATCGGGAGGGTTTCGTTGGTGATCACGTTGCTCAGAAGCAAGGTGACGAGGACCCAGTGTTTCCCCCGCTGCAGCAATTTCAACACACTCGCGGCGTTCTTGCGCTCGGCGCCTTCACCGGAGGTCTGGATGACCTGGAGGTAGACCTCATCCTAGAGAGAGAGCACAGACAAGCCAGAGTCAGCTCAGCTCAACTCAGCACCGCATCGCGGCAAGGAGGTGTGCGGTCGCCGGGGGGGGAGAAGAATACCTGTCCCATCAAGGCAATGGTCAAGCCCGCAAAGGCACCGCCGCTCAGGACGAGAGCGGCGGCGACACCGAGATAGAGCCATAGACTGGGGTCGCCGGGGGATTCGGGGGGGTTGGGGGTATGCTGGGAGAGGAAGGTCGGGGCGGCGGCGATGACGGGGAGGTTGGCGAAGGTGAGGACGAGAAGTTTTGCTAAGCCAAGGACGAGAGGCCGGGCGGCCAGGATGCGAGTGGCAGAGGATATCGCCATCACCGAAGGATGGACTGGAGAGAGGGAAGACAAGAGGAGGCCCGGAGGCTACGACAGGGACATATTTGAAGGAGCGAGAGGGCTAGGCTGGATTGGGGGAGGGGGACGCCAGAGGGTACTAGTGGCTCAATACTGGCTGGTCGCCGACGGTCGCGCCGCCGCAAGCAAATAACAATAATCCTCGGTGACGTACGACGCGCCCTCTCTCACCGCGCGGCTTCCCTCTTTCCCGCCCGGTGGGGACGCGGGAGGTGGGTTATTGTTATTATTAAACGTGTGAGGATATTCAGGAGTCTTGTCCCTGTCACCTGGATAGGGGCAGGTAACACGGAGTCGTTCTTTCCGGGGGGCTGGCCTCGTACTCGTACTCCCGTCGAGAGGTGCTGAGCATCTATCTATCTACAAGAGGATGAGGGAAATTTCTCATCTTCTCATCCCAGCGCTGGGAACGGAGGCTCGGAGGATTCCGGAGTATCAGATTGGGGGCGTTTTCTGCACCTCGTTCCCCAATCAGAACTCGTGGCGGAGGGGCTCACGTAATGCCTGAGTCAGAATGCTTGGCGTGCATCTATACGTCGACCACCACCACCACCACCACTGCAGCATGGAGCCGAGAAGCAACCTCTGCGAAGAAAGGGATTGGCAGTACGATTTAAAAATGCAGACTCGAACTGGAGCTGCGGCTGGTAGAGTGCTGCTCTTTCTCCCATATAACATCCTTTGTCTGGCACTGAGAAGGTGGCTTGTGGAGATATATATTCCGGCTACATACAGCATGGCACATGTGTGTGAAGATTCAGAAAAAGGAGACTCGAATCGACAAAAAGCACCACATGGCAGTGGATAAAAATGAAGCCATGATCTAGGAGCAGGACACAGCGGAAAAAGACAGAGATCGTGACAAAGGCAAAACGGATTACATAATAAAGGCCTGGAGAAGAGCTACACCACTGCACCCAACCACAGTTACTTCCAAACCATTTCTGGGGAACATGTAGATGGGGAGGATGAAGATGATCAGCAAAAAGCCCGGGAGTGTTGCCATCTTCGCTACTACTGTACCTGCGTTCCTAGACCTCGAGATAGCTTCAACTCGGCTGCCTCAATCAGCTTTCGTCAGCCAGAGACCCTACCTCTGATAATCAAATAAGTCTACAGTTAAGACCGGTCTATTGACCTCCTCTGCCCGAGGAAGCGAAACAGGCCATACAGTTGCGCCATGGGGAGCTAGATACCTAGGCACACGACAAACACCGCTGTAGGCAGATCACCGACCGCTGAGTATGGCCGATGGCGTGATCCAGGCAGATGTGAAGAGCCGAGTAGTGAAGTATAGCTAATTTGCCAGGACCACGGTACAGTACTTGCTGCCTGGCGAAGTGACTGGGGGATACTTTGGTTTGATAGACGCGCTAAGGGGAGGGAATCCGGGGAAGGACATGTCAGTTTTGTCGGCATCACAGATTTGCATATAAAATGTTAGCCTTTCTGATATGCCGTCAAACACCCATCCAGCTGGCTCTCGGGGGCGGGGGGACCGCCGGGTTGATTCTGCCAGTCTTCCCTTCTGTCCTTTGTGGCAGAGTAGCGAAATGGCAGCCTGAGGGCATTCACTGTCGCTCTTCATTGTTGTTTCGTCCTCCCCCGCCTCTCTCCCTCTCTCCCTCTCTCCCTCTCTCCCTCTCTCCTTCTCTCCCTCTCTCCCATCTCTCTCGCTCCCTCTTCTTCTCTTCTTCTCTTCTTCTCTTCTTCTCTTCTTCTGTTTCTTCACTTCAGCGTTGCTGCATGTTCTTCTTGTACTTCAAGAAAGCCATCGTCCCAAAGCTATCTCGTTCCCCAAACATCCCTTCTCAACTTCGTTCACATCGTCGACCACTGGTCGTTAAACCTCATCGAAACCTGCTCTTCTCCTGTGTACAATCTGTCCCGTCTAGTCTGGTCGTGTCTTCTGTTCGTCGAAAATGTCGACTTCCGCTGAACAGTTGTTTCTGTACGGGGAGGTGCTGGAGCCCGAGTTCCACTCGGTTGTTGACCTGCTGGGCCATCTCGACCTCACTGCAGGGGCCGCGGGGGTGTTTGCGGCGATGATTTTGCTCACCTTCCTGGGTGTCTTGTGGCAAGAGGTCATCTTCTGTATCTCCACCGGAGTAAAGCATCTCGTCTCGCTCGTCCGCGCCGTGGTGTCCGGGGCCCGCTGGTTCGTCCAGTCCGTGACCGCCGCGCGCTCTCCGGGAAAGATGTACGCCATGTACCGTGACGGTGCCAAGTTTCCGTTCTGCGACTGGCCGCTGTGTCGACTCGTCTATGCCGTCGTCTGCTGGTGCTTCCCCTCTGATCGCCCGATGATGTCGGCTTGTCGGCTTTGGGGCACCTTCCTCTGTGTGACTGGCGTGTACTTCGCTCTATTGCTTCCCGGCTTGCATCAGGTCTCTGGCATCGCCGGCGGGCTTGGGCCGGAGGGGTGGGACATGTTGGAGTACTGCGTCCACGCCCATGGGGGTGGTGTTGCTCCAGGTCGGTGGGTGTGGCGCCAGTGGTTGGAGATCGTCCGCTGCAACGGCGTGGAGACCGGCTTGGTGCTGCGCGACCTGATCGACGAAGGTTACCGCCTGCTCCGCGATGATCGTGAGATCGACCATCTTCCCATCCTGGCTCTCGCGGCTGTCTGCGTCTCACTCATCCTTGTGGCGGCGTGGTCGTTTGCTGCTCTCGCCGAGGTCGTTTCTCGCAGGAAGCGTGTTGTCGACCCTTTGCCTCGGGCAGACTCAAAAGCAGCACTCACGCCCGTCGACGAGACACCGCTGCGAGGGACGCCCCCTCAACAGAGCACGGCAATCCCATCGGCTCTGGGCCGGCTCCTATTTGCCAAGACGGAGGAGCTCAGGGCAGCCAAGCAGCAGATCGAAGAGATCAAGGGACAAATGGAAGAGGCCTGCGCGCAAGTCAAGAGCCTGACTGCCTGCCGCGTCGAGGCCAAGGTGATGCGGCCTCAGGATGTGGTGGTCATAAACAACCTCCAGAGGGACCTGGCCGAGGCTGAGGGGCGGCTCAGCGTGGCCCGGGGAAGATTGAGGGTGGTGGAGGAGAACGCCGTATCGAAAGAAAGTGCCCTCGAGGAGCGGGTAGCCCAGCTAGAAGACCAGCTGGAAGACCAGGTCGAACACAAGAGACACCAGGCCCATTCCCTGAGTGAGGTCTCCTCGCTCAGAGCCGAGCTTCAGGCTCGGAATGACCAGCTCGTTGCCCTCGAGGGACGCTTGGCTGCCGCAGAGGCCAGCCCTACAGTCAATACCAAAGCCGGTAAGGCCGATAATGAAGCCATCCTTGCCGAAAACCAGAGACTGGCTGCCGAGAACCAGAAACTGGCCGCCAAGTGCCAGGCTGTCGCAGAGGCCGGCCCTACAAGCGATAACGAAGCTATTATGGCTGAGAACAAAGCCCTGCGTGCTGAGAGCCAGAGACTGGCCGCCGAGAATCAGAAACTGGAGGCTGAGTGCCAGGCTGTTGCAGAGGCCAACTTTACCATCGATACCGAAGCCAGTATGGCCGATAATGATGCCCTTCTTGCTGAGAGCCAGAGGCTGGCTGCCGAGAACCAGAGACTGGCTGCTGAAAACCAGAAACTGGAGGCCGAAAGCCCGGCTGTCGCAGAGACCTGCCCTACAATCGATACCGAAGCCATTATGGCTGAGGTCAAAGCCCTGCGTGCTGAAAATGAGCATCTGATTGCGGAGTCCCTGGCTGCGACAGAGGACCGCCCCTTCATGGACACCGAAGCCATCATGGCCGAGAACGAATACCTCCTGGCCCAGAACCAGAAACTGACCGCCGAGTGCAAGGCTGCCGCAGAAGACCGCCCCATGTTCGATGCCGAAGCCATCATGGCCGAAAATAGAGCCCTCTCTGCCCAGAACTTGAAACTTGCCGCCGAGTCCCTGGCTGCCGCAGAGGCTCGCCCCTTAATGGACACCGACGCTATCATGGCCCAGAACGAACTCCTCACTGCCCAGAACCAGGAACTGACCGCCAAGTGCACGGCTGCCGCAGCGTTCGACATCGACGCCCTCGTGGACTACAACAATGGCCTTCTTGCTCAGAATCAGCAGCTGGTCATGGAGTTCCTGGATCTTCAGACCGCGAAGGACGAACTGTCGCAGCGGGTGGAAAGTTCTTTAGCAGCAGCCCATCAAGAGCGCGATGCCGCCCTCGGGCAGGTCCTCTCTCTGCAGAGCGAGCTTGGGTCGACCCAGAAGGTAATGGAGAGCATGGCGAAGGATGCCGAGGAGTCCCAGGTTCGGGCTAAGGAGACCGAAACAGCTCTTCGTTCATCCAACGCCGAACTGAAGCGCGCCTGTGAACTGGCTAGCGAACAAGGAGGTATGCCCGCCGGCGAGGCGCCGGGCCGGATCTTGGCCCTTGAGAAGGAGATCGAAGAGCTCCAAAAAAAGGTCGGCATAGCTATGAGGGACGCGCAACGAAAGCACTCGCAAGCGGTTGACTCACAGAGGGTCAATGAGGTCCTCGAGCATCGTCTGGCCAAGTGGGAGCATTCGAGGGACGGCCAAGAGATCCCCAAGCGTCGTACCGGCGACGTGGGCTCGATCACGACCGCCCTAGAGCAGAGTAGGGTGAAGGTGTCCGAGCAGCAGACCGAAATCGAGGAACTCCGGAAGCAGCTCAGCAAGCTCAAGGAAACGACCCCTAGTCCCGATGAGCAGGTTCAGGCTTACCGTAAGCACATCGAAAAGCTGCGCGAGACCCATGATGAGACGAAGAGGGAGCACATGAAGGAACACATCCGGTGGGCCCGCCGGACGGCTGAGCTGGACGAAGAGGTCCGAAGGCTCCGCATCGAGTTATCCGAAGCTGGCTTCACGTCTCGTCACAGGGGCGGCAACCATTAATGCACCACTCTCCGGTTTCCTACAGGAGCTGGTCTACCTCCATTGTAACTCTGGATTGATGGAGTTCTTGGGCGAAATTTCTGCGTCGGAGCTTATCGGTGTGATTTTCGCATGGTGTTTCTTTGTTTTTGTTCGATTGTTACAGTGTCCGGCCGCCGAGACGTGTGGTGCAAACCCTCCGTGGTGCCCGGGCGTCGTGTTTTTTTATCCATCTGTCATTTGATCTTCGCGAGCCTGAGGGTGGGCGTGGCGCGTTCTTGGGGTCCCGTGCGAAAGGTACACTCAGTGCTCGTCAAGATTCCTCGAAGCTGGCCCGGTGCCATCCCAGTTGACCGACAACCGACGACCGACCGATCTGTGGAACTGCTTTTGTTCGTCCATCTCATCCAGACATCTCAGCTTGAACTCTCAGCCGTCATTCGTCATCTGTCAAGACACGCTGTAACGACTGGACCCCCATCACGCCCAGGAGGCATGCAGGAAGGTCGTAGTGGACGGGAGGATGGGAGGGGAAGGAGACCGTTGGAAGCAGATGGGGAAGTGCTTGCGAGTGCTTGCGAGGGAGAGAGAGGGCGAGGGGAAGGGAAAGGGCAAAGGATCATCGTCGAACTCTCATGATGGAGGAGGGATGTGGGGACGGATGGGGGTTCACGACTTGGCAACCCTTGTTTGCGGTTTTGCAAGGACGGGCGGAGATAACGGCGCTCCACGGTCCACCAGCCAACAGCAGCAATCAAACAGTCAAACAATCAATCTTCGGCTGGTCAAGGCTCCAGGAACGGCGGATTGTGGCACGATGCCTGACTGGCTGCCGAGTGAGTCGGTTCCCCCCGTGTCCCCTCCGGCTGATTGATTCGGAAATTGATCCGGCCAACAGCTCAATAGTGGCCAGTAGTTCGTCTCCAAGCGCCGCATCATTTCAATCCCCCCCCATGCCGTCGTGTTTCACCTTCGCCTACAACCATGGGCCACCCCCATTCCATCGTCCGATCCACATTCTTCCATGCAGCCCCTCTTCAATCCTCATACAATAATAATCCGTCGGTCCCTCTTTGGAGCGCTCGCTTTTGTTGCTCGCGTCAACCGTCGGCCTCCGTTCGACCGCACAATCCTTGGGCTTGAACCACCCCCGACCATTGTCCCTCCTTGCAGCTGGTACAAAGCCGGTGCCTGATCAGTCTGTCTGCAATCTGCTCGTCTTCCTGCGACTACGATCGGAACACTGCAGCAGCACGCGCCAGGCTCCTTCCCCTATCTTGGCACGTCCCAACCCACCGAGACTTGCCGCCCGCGTCGCCCCCCCGAGCGTCATCATCTTCATTTCTGAGACAAGTTCAATGGCCATTCCACATGGATCCGCGATGATTGACAGGCCGTCCCTTGGACTTTACCCCAAGCGACTCTTAGCGGTTATGCGCGATTGATTTTGCTAGCCGCCGGCCACTCTTACACTCCTTGTCGCTCGACCGTGCACTCTCGTACAAAAGCATCCGATTCCCTCCCGAGTTCCGTCCGCTCTTTAAATCGCATTTGCGACGTAACTTCGCCCGGCTGGTCCGACGAAGATTCGCTCTTTTCGCCCACCCAAATCGCCATCCTCCTGCAGGTCTGGATCATCCAACATGCCCTGCTGCGGCGGAGATAGGGAGAAAGGGCCCGTCGCGTTGGAAGAACAATGGGATTATATTGTAAGCGCCGTTGATCGATTGTGTTCTTTCAACGTACTGACCGACTCGACGCTTAGAATCTCGACGACTTCAAATCCGAGTCCTGCTTCGCTCCGTTCTCTTACTTCCTGGTCTATGTCTTCCTGATTATCTCCGTGGCCGTCTATGGCGTCGACACGTTCACGGCCGTCAACCTGCTCATCTATGCCCGATGGGAGGGTCAGATTGAGCCTGCGATCCCTTTTTCAATCTCGCGATGGATCTTTGCCGTCTGTATCATCATCTCCTTCGCGCTTCTATTCTACCGCTGGCTGCGCGCCATTCGGGCCATGCGCTCCGGCAGCATCGCGAAAAGCTACCTCGATTCCCTTGCGGTGCGCATCCAAAGTATTCGCATGGGCAGCCGCGGCCGCGGATGGAGACGGTTTCTGGTCTTTGCGGAGTTGACGAAGAGTAAAAAAGGCGCTGAGTATATCGCGCTCTTTGCGTACTTTTCGTTTGAATGTGAGTCTTCTGTTCCTTTGTCTGGGGTTCTGCTGACGCGCCTAGCCTGGATGAGCATCATCTTTGCCGACGGACCGCGACAGGTTGTCAACGCCATCACCCTGTACTCCGTGATGCAGTTGGACCTACTTCCGGGTGGAAAGGATACCACCGACACCAGCGGATCAGGCGTGTCACAGTTCTTTAACAATTTGAAAATCCTGGCCGAAGACAACACCGAGCGAGTCGTGGTCCTAGCCGGCATGCTGTTCACGCTGGTCATCTGGGTCTTGTCCATGCTGAAGCTGTTCCTGGCGGTCGTGTTGTACCTGATCTTCCTGTTCCACCACATCCCCTCAGAGGATGGCTCGTTGAAGGCATACTGCAAGCGCAAGATCAATACGCGACTCACTCGAATTGTCCGGAAGAAGGTCAACAAGGCCCTGTTCAAGGGTGTGGCTCTACAAGACCGAAAGCCCACCAATCCGAACTTTGGCCTGGACAAAAGACCAACCCTGCCTGCCTTGGGCGCCATGGACGATGACAAGACACCGGTTGTCACGACCATCTCGCGCAGCACAACACAAACTACACTGCCTGCGTACTCATCCCGCCCTGGCACCGCCGCTCGCGACAATAAGCCTACTCTGCCGGATGTCGCGGCGTTCAATGACAAGCCTCCTCCGCTGAGCCGGACCATGACCGAGTCCTCGGCATACGACGATGCAGCTTCGATATCCGGCAGCACTGCAGTGTCGGCCTTCAGCCCATTAGACCGGTACGGTACCCCAGCGCCACCAGTCCCCCCTCTTCCCAGCCAAGGGCCTGCCCCGATGCCACGCTCGCAGACCCCGAGGATGCGTCCGAATTACAACCAACCTCCAGATGGATACAATGGTCCAATGGATCGAGCATCGCCGGCTCCATCCATGCCACGCACCCAGACACCAATGTCGCGCTCCGAATTTACCCCCACACCTGGTCCAGTACCGCGCTTGCAAACCCCGGTGTCGCGACAAGGATTCACCCCAGCTCCTGCTGCTGCATTCAGTCCTGTCCCGGTTGACCGAGCATCCCCCGCGCTTCAGGATCAGGCTCTGCGCTCTCAGACTCCCATGTCGCGACAGAACTTCGCAACGGCCCCGGGATACGGTCCGGTCGATCGCGCATCTCCCGCACCCCAAGTACCGCACGTTCAAACCCCCATGTCCTACACACCAGCTCCAGGATACGGCCCAGTCGATCGCGCGTCGCCCGCACCCCAAGCACCGCGCACTCAGACTCCAATGACTCGTTCAAACTACACGCCCGCGCTAGGATACGGGCCGGATCGTGCGACTCCAGTATCATATGCGTACCATGCTCCCGCCTCCACACCGGCCCCAGGATATGGTCCAGTCGATCCCGCCCCGCGCACTCAGACTCCCATCTCGCGTTCGAACTACACACCGGTTCCGGATACTGCGTACGAAATGAACAATATAACGCCTTATGCTGGAACTCCTGGCCCTGCCGAGGGGTACAATCCGTTTGAAAACAACCATAGTCTTGCTTCAAGCACGCCGTTCCGTCCTTATAGTCCGGCTGTTGATCCAAATTCGCAGGGCCTTGCTTCGGGAACTCCTTTCCGCCCTTACAGTCCGGCTGTTGGTCCTAACTCACGCGCTTTGAATCATGGATTGGACTTCAACCAGGGCGTTGATCGGACCCTTTCCCCCAGCCAGTCGGCTGGCCTGCCTTACCCTGTTGAACCGGATGAATATCACTCGGCCAGTACCGGCGCCATGCGTTCTCCACTAGCTGCTGTCCCCGCCTCTAGCAGTATGGAGAGGACCTTGTCACCGCTTGGTTCGGGCGATTCAGGTGGCTATGTCGCTTTCAGCCCTGCGGTCGGAAGCTCATCCATGCCGTTCGCCGAGTCTGCCCCGAGAGAGGAACACGCTGAATACAACGGACGGGTCGAGTCTGTCGCTTCTGATATGGAATCTCCTTTTACTCATGAGACAACTGCTGAAACCGGCTACCATGCATTCGACCCGTCGGCTTTGTCCGCTGAGTTCGGACATGATCATGACCATTCTCACCTTGATCTGATAGATGATTACGCTGCAAGACAGTCGTATCTGTCTCTTGGGCCGTCTCAGGCGGAAAATGGTTACCTTGCCGTCAACCCGCCGTCCACGTCCCCATTTTCTGCTGAGTTTGGTCATGAATCACCATCGCATGAGCATGACCACGAGCACGAGGAGGAGTCTCATGTCGATCCCACTGAAGATTTCACGGCTAGGAATTCTGTCATCTCACATGGATCCGAACATCACGACGGATCCAACTCATCGGTCCGATCCCCCTTCTCGGTAGAATTCGATCATGAATCACTCGATGATGAGCACGAGTCTCATGTCGATCCAGCGGATGATTCTGCAGTGAGGAACTCTGCTATCGCGGACGAAGCGTCCGGCCTTGCTTCGCCATTCAACGAGCAACAGGACGAGTCTCACGAGGAGTCCCACGACCTTGACGACGACTCAAGAGCTTCTTCTCCCGCTGGCTCACAGAGAGCAGCAGAAAATGAAGCCTATCTTGCGTTTAATTTCGAAACTTCCCGCTTGTCTCTCACCGAATTGAACTTCGAACCATCAAAGGATGATGAACCATCAACCGACCCTCATTCTATTCAATCAGCAACCGAACCTCGATCTCATGAACCATCAATCGAACCTCACGATGAACAATATGCCATCGACTCCGCAGATACCTCAACCAACCCCTTCTCAGACATCACTCACGAAGCTTCCAACGACGCCTATATTGCACCCACCCCCTCAAACGGGACATCCACGGAGTCCGCCATCTTGCCATCAACTGAACCCGATCACCACGACTCGGAACAACCAGACCCAACAAGACCACTCTCACTCTCTCTCCACCCCATCTCGCCAGCCGAGACAAACACCAGCTACATCGCCTTCAACCCTTTCATCAGATCGCCTGTATCTCCACCTGCAGAGCAAGAGCAAGAACATGAATCGCCTGCCACTCCAGCAGAAGATCCCTTCTCCAGCCCCGCCGACGCGGAAGACACTCCACAACCACAACCACCCACATCTACATCTACATCTACACCTACAAGCTACATAGCATTCACTCCTTCGGCTGTCTCACCCGCTACACCCACCGCGGCGTCGCACGACCAACTGCAACAACCCAGCGAGACGCAATCCCCGGCTCAGAGCTCCTCTCCCCAGGCGAGAACCTTCTCGCCCGTGCAGCCGTATCGTCCGGATCATGGCTATGACTATGGGCAGTTCTAAACAGCCAATCTTACTACCTACATCCCTCACCTACCCGTATACCATTCATTCCACCAACTCCCTGCCACGGGACTCTACTTCAACCTTTACTTTACTTCATGAACAAAGAACAAACAAAAAAGCAGAAGAGCAGGTGATCTTCTGTTACGATGCCGATGCCGATGCAATGGCTTTACTTTACTTTACTTCACTTCACTTGATTCTCATTCCCTTTCCCATTCCCATTCCCTTTCTCTTCCTCTTTCTCTTTCTCATTCGTGATGAGCGAGAGCGAAAACGAGAGTGAGAGTGAGATTCTCGAGGTTAATCATTCCATTTGACATCACCTCACCCCCACCTTTTCATTACTTTACCAATAAATACCCTTTTGTGTTCTTTCTTTCTTCCATATTTGTGTTGAGTTGACAGAGGTTGAAAATAGTAGTACATTCTGTTCCAAATCTAAAGAGCGAGATCCAGTCCGAGAATGCGGGTGATAGATCGGTCCGTCGAGGAGGTTGATTGTTGATTGTTTAGCATTGGACGTTGGACGTTAGATGTTGGATATCGATGCATTGGGGATAGTCGTGTATGTATATGTATTTAATGAGATGAGATGAGCGTTGATGGGGGTTGATGTAATGAGTCCGACTCACTCGCTTTCCAACCTACAATCTACATTCTACATTCTACATCCTACATCCTACAACTTCCTTGGTCTGCTTCACGGGTGTATTCTGTAGTTGAATAGAGTGGTTACCAGTTACTCTTCCGACCAAGGCCTTTGACCTTTGCGTGTGGCGCGAGCACCAACACCTTACAAACAACAGCTATAAAAGCCAATCCTTTGATCAAATTTCCTAAATGACCAATAAACCTAATATGCCAACACCAATCTCCCATATTAAACGCCGTACACACAAAAAAAAAACAATGACAAAATAGTTTACCTCCACGTATCAACAACCACCTCACTCCCACTCCCACAATCCGGAACACTAAATTCCCTATTTGGATCACTCTCCCAGGAAACGTCTCCATCTGTCCCCACCTTAATAAACTTATATTCAAAGTTCACCCCGGCCGGCAAATCCACCGTGACATACCACTCCGGATCACTGGCCGTATAATCGGTAGCAGATAGTTTGACCGCGTTGCTGGTGTCCCAGTCTCCGAGTTGGGAGATCGAGCCCGAGAGGTAAATTTCTTCGCCGTAGGTGGTTGTGACGATTTCTTCAAAGGTTATGGGGACGGTACTTGTTGTTGCGGTACAGGTTGCTGTTGCACTAGTGACGGTGGTGGATGTGGATGTAGCAGTAGCTGAAGAAGAGGATGAGGTGCTGGTGGTAGTGGTAGTGGTACCGCAAAGTCCACTCCCCTGCACATCCGCTGCTGGCAAGAACACTCTAGGCAAGCCGGAAGCCATGGCGACAGGGATATCGCCGTTCGAGTCGACGGTCACCTCGACACAGGAGTACGCTTCGATCAGGACTGTGCCAGAGGTATACCCGCTGCCGCTGAGGGTTAGGGTGTAGCTTGCCCCGTCGGCGCCTTTGTTGGAGAGCACGGTGATGAGTTGGTGTCCTGAGGGGCCTTTGCGCATCCCGAGGGTCGTGGTGTCTTTGTAGATTGGGTCGTTCTGTTTCATCGTTTTTGTTAGCTCCGTTGTTTTTGTTATTTTGGTGGGGGGGGGTGTCAATGATGATGGAACTGGATATCAAGTATATCCTGTATACGGATATGGGCATAAATGAAGGAAAGAAGAAAGGAAAGTACCTGATAAGTTATATACGCACTATCCATCTCTACAGCAATCTTCCTAATCGCATTCGTGGTAGCAATCCACTCGTACAGCTCCGCGGAGGTGTCGTACCCCGACAGCCAGGTGGCTTCGCGGTTACGGGGCACGTCGCCGCCCGAATAGTGCTGTTCTTCGCCCGCGTAGACGATGGGGATCCCGTCCGAAAAGAAGATGTAGCTGAGGACGTTTTTGGCTTGGGAATAGTCGGATGTGTAGCTATATGAATAGGTTAATTGTGAGTGAATTGGAGCGGTGGAAAAATGTGGCATGGAGAAGGGGCAATGTACTATGCAAAACGAGGATTATCGTGGTTTTCAGCAAAGTTACCCAGCAAGGTTGGGTCGGAGCAGTCGCTCGCAACGGAGTTGATCATGTCGTAGAGGTTAGCGATGCTGCCGCTAGTGGATTCGAAGGCGTAGAGGAGTTTCCAGTAACTGGGTTGTTATGTTAGTATGTGTATCCATATCTAGGGCTGAGGTTGGCAGTCTAGGATAGAAGCGTAGGGGAGGAAAAATCGTACATAGGATAATTCAACACCCCATCCACATACTCCTGATACGGACAAACCAGAGCCGGATCGCCATCATCAACCTCCCCGACGCAGTATACTCCCGCCGCGTCGACATACCCGGGGAAGAAGGAGGGCTCGACCTCAAGAACACTATCAATGCGGAGGCCATCAACTGGACATGTTAGCTCCTATCTATCCATCAGTGAGAACTAGGAGGATTCGTACTGGAATAATTAGCCACCAGATCCGCCACCCAATCATACCAGATCGTCCGCACGGCTGTCTCCGTGGTATTCAGATCGGGAAGGGAGACGATCGTGTCGCCTTCCCAACAGTCCTGGGCCATTTCGATGTCATTATAATCGGTGATGAGGCAGTAGGGGTGGAAGTAGGAGGAGGAGTTGAAGGGGTCGAAGACGCTGTAGTCGACATCGTCGCCATCACCGGCGTAGCCCTTGTTTCAATATTTTGTTAGTTTGTTTATTTTGGTAGTAGAGTGTGGTGTCACTGAAATGGGGTGAGGGTTACCATGTGGTTTGGAACAACGTCGACCATGAGATACATCCCGCGGTCGTGCAGGGCCGCGGAGAGGGCTTTGAGGTCGTCGGCTGTGCCGAAGTTGGAGTTGACCGAGTAGCTGGGTTCATTAGGTTTCGATAAAATAAATAACGGAGAGGGGGGAATACATATTCTGCTGCCAGTAGCCATGGTAGGCCTCGCCGTCGGAGGTGTCTTGGGAAAGTTGCTCTGTTATGGGCGAGATCCAGATGGCCGTGAAACCCATGCCCTGGATATAGTCCAGCTGGGAAACACGATTAGTACCACCTGCACCAACAAACGAAAGGAATGAATGCTTACATGGTTGATAATGCCCTGCCAGCTTCCACCACAATACACCTGGACATGTTAGTACATGAACCCAGGGCGACAATGGAAGACCACTGAGGGAAAAAAGAGTCCCCCCCCCGCGCTAAGGTCTTCCTAGAAGGCCTACATAGGCCTCCTGGCACGAGAGCAGGGTAATAGAAAAGAAAAAAACACAACATACCCCCTCCACAGCATCACACGTCGCCGTGGTCGAGTTATCCGTGCGACCAAACCGATCCGTCAGGAGAAAATAGATAGACTGAGAGCGCCATTCAGCAGCAGACAGCCCCAGGGCGACTCTCCCCCAGAGAGCCGAAGAAAGCAGAAGACTCGCCACTGGGAATCGCATTGTGATGATCCTCGCAGCCGATACTCACAATCCACAATCTCTCAACACCAACATCAACCCCCAGAACGCCGGAGGGCATTTATATACCCAGCCCTGTAGTCTGCACTGCCACTCGCATTCCATTCCACTCCAACCCATCCATCCCAACCCATCCACCCCCTCTCATCCAACATCAACCCACACCTCGTACTCATGAACCAAATATCCATAACATCCATCCAACATGTGGTAGCCCGCTGATCTCCCAGCCAGGAACGGGTTTACACACGGCCACTCATTGGCCAGGGCCCCGAGTGCCCCAGTCCAGCAGGATTTAGCCGTGACCCCCCTTAATTCAATGATTGTTACAGGACCGCTAATTTCCGACCAGAACCAGGGTTTTTGCCAGCCTGCTCGCGACACAGTTGACAACTTGACATTGACACTGACTAAAAGGGATGCGCTAGTGAGCCACGAGGTGCGACGGAAACTTAAATTCCGGGGGGGAATGACTCGTCACGGACTCGCCTGCGGACTGACGGATTAGGTAGGGCTGCTGGGGTGCGGAAGCGAGATGACCACCTGCATATAACCGAGGGTGGCGCTGTGAACTGAGCGGAGGGATCGATTACTTGAGTGATGGGATGCGATATTCACGGGTTGGGGTTGGAGTTCCCCTCTTTAACGGTTAATCGCTGCTTGTGTCGGTATGTTCGGAGACAGGGCGTTGTGGGGCGCGCAGGTGGGTGGGGCCTGGGGCGGTGCCCGCAGGGGATGCAACTGCAAACAAGCCTCGAGCGGACAGGCCCGTGGTTGGGGAGGTATAGCTTGAGGCATTTGTGAGGGAGTGTGCCTGGTGCCTCGCGCAGTTGTTTCTTCACATGCATGCCATGCCTGTCCTGCCGAACAGGCTGTCGGCAGTACAGTCCAGTTATTTGTCGTGGGTGTCTCCGATCGAGCAATGTGACCATTGCATGGAGATGGTGATGGCGAGGTCGTAGGATCGTTGGATCGATAAAGGTGGAGTGGGTGGCTATGAGGGGAGGAAGAAGAGGAGGAAGTGGAAGAGGGAGAGAAAAATAACTGCCAGATGCGCAAGCCGTAGAAGAAGTCACTGCAGGCGCCCACCTCAGGCATCCTGCTGACACACCCCTCTAACGACTGCAGTAAGCAAGTGAAGTTATCCAAGTAACGAGAGATAGCCCAATCGAGTAATAAAAGAGGGATAACGGGGTGAATTAAAATGCCCAAAACAAGGATTATAATATCGCTGAAGCAATCGATCAAATTGTGGCAAGGCGAAGTGATCAACATCATGATCATAATATTATTTTGAATGTTTGTAGGACGAAGATAATTGGTGAGGGTCTCCGGCCAATGAAATCTTTGAAATACCGCCGCTCCAGGCGGAGGTCTCGGTGGAGCGCTCCATATAATGGAGATGGAGGCTGCGAGGCATTCCTAGGGTGAATTGCAAAAGTGTTTTATATGAGATTATAGGCCAGATAGAACGCGATCAACCGGAGAGTATCGGGTTGATCAGTGGGAAAATTGAATGAAATGTATTGGAGAAGTGAGTGTCTATCATGCTATCTACTACTAGCCTGACGAAATGATCCATGTGATGACTATGGCTGTTTGGTCGCATCACAGCTGGTGCTTCCGCACCGTCCACCCGATGAAGGACCCCAGGATCGAAAGCACGAGCGAGAATACTGAGAAACGTCAGGATTGGTGGATGACAGTTCATATCGGGTTGGGTGACTTACAGTATGTGTGCCTCAGACCAGCCACATATCCCTTGACCACTACATCCCGGACATGTCCCTCGAGGCTGTTGATGTAGTTCGTATCGGAAAGGGCTCGCTCGATGATCTATCAATCAACCATTAGCAACGTCGAGAGGAAGGTCAAGACATAAAAGGTGCACCCACCGTCTTGGCTCCCGGCCCCGTCAAGCTCTGTTCCATCTGGCGCTTGAAAACCATTCCCAGTACGCTGTTAGTGACCGTGACACCCGCCGTCATGGCAAAACTAAACAGCAAGATATATCCTCCAGTAGCCATGGCAATCTCCTGGGGACGCAAAAAGGCAGTCATGCTGACGAACGCCGCGGCAGAAGAGAAGCCTGTGCCCAGACCTCCAGGGATGATGTACAAGGACTCCCAGAAGCCCGTGTGGCCGTTCCAGCGGAGGAAGAGCAGGAGGTAGGAGACCGATGCGACCAGACCGGCGAGAATCAGAAGAACCTTGAAATGGCCGGTGCGACGGATGAAGGCACCCGCAATCAACCCACCCAGTGTGTTACCGATCACCGCGGGCACGAGATGTCCGCCAGCGACGGTGGCGGAGGCCTGCGATGTGACCTGGAAATACAGCGGCACGGAGAACATCATGCCCACTTGGGCGGAAATCTGAAGAGACCCGATGAGGTAACTAGGGGCGACGTTCGGACGGCGCAGGATACGCAGTTCGAAGATCGGTTCGGCGGCGACGTAGAGCTCGACGATGATAAAGGCGACGAACGCTGATACACTGATACTGGTGAGGATAGCCGTGTTCAGAGATGCCCACGCAAAGGCCCGGCCGGCCTGGTCAAGGATGATGGTGGCGGTGAGAATGCCGATAGCGAGGAGGAAAGATCCAAGGAAGTCGACTCGACGAATGCTCTTCCCTTCTGTCGGGCTGGCAAGACTGAGTTTCCATACAACCAGCAGGGCTGCCGCGGCGGATAAAGGGCCCTGAAGAATAAACGACCTAGTCGTGTCAGAAAAGCGCAGGCAGACATAGTCTTGGATCTTACCATCTCCAGCCGACGGTATCCGCCAGCCAACCACCAATGGGGCCTCCTGCGCTACGCCCCAGGGTCATCGCAATGTTGACATAGGCCCGCCAGTGAGCAACGTCGCGGCGCGGGACGATATCTGCGCATGTCAGCGGCATCTACCAGGGGTTATCAGCTGGCATACCCGTGATAATAATCGAGCCCATAGCCATTGTCCCAGCACCACCGATACCACTGATTGCACGTCCCAGGATAATTGTGGTCATCGATGGACCGATGCCGCTAAGGACCGTCAGCGTGCGTCGGAGACCAAAGTCTGTATACCCACCTGATGATGCATCCAATGCCGAAGAAGAAGTACGCCCACAGCAGGAGCGGCTTCCGACCGTAGATATCACTCAGTTTGCCGTACTGCACTGCCGTCAGTATAGCCCTGTATCTAATTTGCTGGATAGCTAACCATCGGTTGCGTAGCACATAACCCCAGGGTATACGCCGTCGCCAGCCAACTCGCATCGCGCAATCGATCGAACTCGGAGGAGATTTTGCCTGTCGTTGCCATTACCAACGTCATGTCTGCGTTGGAGATGAACTCGCCTGGTATTGTCAGCTTCTAGTACCGCAACGAGACTCGCGTGGCATACCCAGCAACAGCACCCCAATGACCGTGGTAATACTGGTCAACGCTTTCGTCTCATTTTCACGCGACTCCGGCGGGTTGACCTGCTGTTGTTCCTCGTCACTGCCTTGACCGCTGTGCACATCATCTGTAGGTCCCTTCGCGATGCTGTTGTAGTCCGCCGCAGTTGTGTCCCGTTCCGACGCATTCAACGGAGTCCTCTCATCAACATGCGTGTCATGCGGGTCGGGATTCGACGTGCTCGCAGTCATTCTATCGGATTCCAGCTATTCTCAAGCTCAATTCGCAGCAAATTTGGATGGCGATGGCGAAACCGGTTGCTTCACGCTCGTGGCATTGGGTGTGAGGACGACGGAGGTCGAAGAAGGAGCGTGGAGGGGGAGCCGGTTTTCTTTCTCAGACGTCAGGGAAAGAAAATAATCTTAATCTTAACGAGCCCGTCCGGAATTGCCGCTTATCAGGGCCTTCTGGCCCCTCTTGCATGGGGTTGGAGACATGGGCATTGGCTGGCGGCGTCTCAGAAAGCGTTAAGCGATGACACCATCGGGGGGAGATATGCGATTGCATTGGGACCTAACCGGGCTGGGGCTAGACGAAGCGCACGGATGGGCGAATGCTGGATGAACGGAGAGAAGAGGCGACGAGCTGCAAATGATATGGATGGTAATGAAGATAGTGGAGCAGCACGTCATGGCTCGCCGCGATGGCGACGAACCACTGCGGATCCCGCCAGGCACTCAGGCAGCCAGGCACCCCGGCACCCTCCGATTCATATACAGTCTCGTCGGGGATTATGTAGGGTCGACTAATATGCTTCCTCCCCATCACAGTGATATACTGGAGTCTTCCGGGCTTGCGGAGAAGGAGCAAACTTAAAAGATGGCGCTTTTTTGTTTTTCAACCTGCGACTAGAATCCCCGAGACATCTTCCCGAAACCAAGAATGAACCGTTCGATCTTCAACTCTATATTGCCGACTGACTGACGTCAAGGTTATTGGTTAAGTGTTGCTTTTCATCCAGATATTGGCACACATCCGCCCCATCACCAATAGAAGACCCTTTTAATCAAGGTAACACAGACCATGTACATGAGACGAAACCAATGCAAGCAAGAAACTCTTTCATATTTTATTTTCCCCTGAAAGAATCGAGGAAACTTGCTCAAAGAGTGAACATGTTGAAGCACCCATATTCGCCTCACCATACTAGGACTGGCTGAATTGTAACCTCACGAAGCTGGACGGTATTAATCAGTCCTAACCAAGCTGACTGAGCTCGTATTATCCACCAGCAAGAGGGTGGTCTAGATGTCGGCCCGCCGATCTAGATCCGGAGGAGACGACCAGGGAGAGGGGGAACCGATCCACGGTACTGAAGAGGTGACATCTACATCGAGAGGATGATTAGTCCGGGACCGGACTTCCCGTATGATGATACTGTGGACTTTCAACATGTGCGTTGGGGTGTGCATTGGTATGGTCTTTGTCCCGGGTTGTGCAGCACAGGGAGATCATCAGCCGACGATGGGCTGCGCGAGTATTTTTTGTTTGGTCTACATGTCCAAATCTCGGCACGACTGGGATCCCCGGGTTGGATTTGGCGCGTGCCCACGGCGTCAAGGAGCCAAGGAACACGGCGCCACTGCGAAGGCTAATCGTAGCTGCATGCAGCTGCGAGGTGCTATTTATAAGCAGTGCTCATGGATTATAATCGATGGCCAGGGGAAGGCTTCCGCTCAATCTCGGCTTGATTGCAGCTCGATTGAATTCTCTCTTCTGAAGCACAGCATGGCGCGGCCCTGTAAGGTTGTGATCGCTGGAGGGGGGATCGCCGGCCTCGCCCTGGCCCTGATGCTCGAGAAGCACGGCGTCGACTACCTCCTCCTAGAAGCCCATCCGGAGTTGGTGGCTACGGTGGGCGCCGGCATAGCTATGGTTCCCAACGGCCTGCGGATCCTGGACCAACTGGGCTGCTACGAGGATCTGCTGTGCCGTGCGCAGAACCCGGTGGATCAAATTCACCTGCGAAGGCCAGACGGCGAGCCTCTATGGGCAATGGAGGAAGGATTAGAGAGGGAGTCTACGGAAAGGTGTGATTCCCAATTCAGTCAATCTTCATGGCGGAGCTAAAGATCGGCAGGCATGGGTATCCCATGGTCTGGGTCGACCGGAAAACGTTGCTCGAAGTCCTGTTTGATCACATCGCGGACAAGTCCAAGTTGCTGTCGAGAAGGCGCGTGGCAACCATCATACATACAGATGACAGAGTGAACGTCGTGACAACTGATGGATCCATGTATTCTGGTGACATTATCGTTGGGACGGATGGAACTCATTCGACTGTCAGGCAGGAAATAGTCCGACGAGCACGCGAGCTCGGACTGGGTGAAGATTATGCGGAAGAGGATCGTAAGTTTGGGTGCCTTCCTGCCGAATATCCTGACCAGTGCTGCAGAGGTTGCTGCGAATTATTCGTGTATCTTTGGCATGTCCACGGCAGTCCCGGGCATCCCGAGCCGCTGCATCGATTTTGTGTTCAACGAGAACTTTTCATACGTCATGGGCAGCGGACCAGAGAACCGAGTTTATTGGTTCATCATGATGAAGATGGCTCAGGCTGTCCACGGAAGTGAGATCCCTCGGTTTACCGAGGAAGACAAGGAGAGGGCGATTCGCGAACACTGGAATGATCCGATCACGCCGGATGTTCGACTTTCGGACCTGTACCGCGCCCGGCTGAGGGTGATATATACTCCCATTCCCGAGTTTGTGTACAAGAAATGGCATGTGGGGAGAATGATCACCATAGGAGACGCTTGTCACAAGGTAAGCCTCGAGAATCCCGGTTTGGGGCAATGTATGTTTATGGGTGAAATAGGTACTCCCAATCACCGCCCAAGGTGGTAACCAGGCACTGGAGAGTGCTGCCGCGGTGACGAACGGTCTGATGATGGCTTTGTCGCAGCCCCCATCTTGTGGTCCGCTCTCATTGACGGAAGTTCAGTCGATGTTTGAACAGGTGCAGAAAATGCGCAGTCCTCGAGCGGGTCAAATTATCCGGACAACTCACATACGACAACAAGTCGATGCGATGGAGACGGCAGAGCTGAAGCACTTTGCGTTGAACGAATACGCAAGGGGGCTCCCAGGGGCGCTTTTCGGAAGATGGACGGAAACGTATGGCCCAGCGGTGTCATTGAAGGGGCTCCCGATTCCCGCCCGACCCAGACGGGTCCTGTTCAAGGATGAGTTTCAGAAGGAAAGGCTGGCCAGATTGTAAAATTAAGTCCTGAACCGGCGGTGGTTTTTGAATGTAGTGTCCCGGACAAGCTGTCTTGACAGTTGCTCTGCTCGGGACGCAATTAGTAATATGTTGATCATGTACTCCCTACCCCGCGGAGGTATATACGAAAGCGTAATGACTAGATCTGAGGTTATTGCCATATATCATAGAGAGATGAGACATGGTGAAACGGGATCGGGTGTGAGGAGACCCTCCATGGGAGGAGATGGAGCATGACAGTTGATCCGTGCGCCGCCGAGTGGAGAAGAGGAAAGAAGGGAAGAAGGGGGCTGACCGCCTTGCCTCTCCGCGGAAGTCGCCGCCGCCTCCTTTCTGTTGAGAACAGCCAGCCTGTGCGACTTCGCGACATCCCTTTCGACCCATCCCCAGTGCTCCGCGGTCTATCGGCTTAGCGGACCCGGTAGTCTTCTCTCTTGATCCTTCTCAGAATGACTTTGAACCCCCCATAACTCCAGCTCGCATGGTCGCTTGACCCGCCCTACCACCGCGTTTGTCCCTTTATCCACCCCGCACGAATTCCCCGATGCTCTTCTCGGACGATGCGCCGGACGTCGACGCGCCTTTTCCCCTCCCACGGAATAGTTCGCAATCGGAGACATCGGCTATGGACAATTTCAACAACCGTATCGACCAGCGAAGACGAAATACTGTCGACGGCGTCGCGGGGTCATCTCGACAGGACACTCCGGCATCCCCCCGAAAGACGGAACAAGAGGGAGGAACAGATAACAGCGCTCGGACCTCAGAAACGCAAAAGCATCGACGAGACACATCGACAGGAAGTTCCTGGGCTGCGGACCATGTGCACCGTGGAGGATCTATAGCGCCAGAAGCTCCAAAGGCCGATACCGACCGGGGCGATGAAAAGGGAATCGCTCGCCAGGAAAGCGCCGACTATCTTAGCCAGAACGGGTTCCCCAGCCAACGCAGGATGGACGGCGAGAAAGGCGGTCAGTTCTCGCTCACAGCAGACCAGACCTTGGGGATGGTCTTCGAGCACTCCGTCAAGGGCTCGGAGGATGCAGAGCATCGTACGACGTCGCGGACATCCTTGGTGGAAGTTTTGGAAGGCCCCGAGCTCGCTTCCGCGTTGCATCAGTGGTCGCGGGACACATCACCCCCCCGGAGCCAGGACAAAGACCAGGAACGGGTGTTGAAGTTATCTCCGGCCAAGATGCAGGAACTCACTGCATCGCCCCAGTCTATTCCCTATCGTGCAGCGGCCGAGGAGTCCAATCGTGGCCGACTCGGACGCGCCGTGTCGGATGGGACGCATGCAGCTCTGTCGGAGGTTAATCACTCCGTCGCGCCTCCCCCGGACGAGACGAAAATCAGCGACAGCATTCCCAGGCTCCGGCCCAAAGACCTCTCGATCGATGTCTCCGCCGGAACGACAGCGAAGTCCACATCAACAGCGCGCAGTCGACCGCCATCCTCCCGCGCCGTATCCACGCCCAACTCATCACGGCGTCAGACCATGCCGGCGAATAATGATCGCTTGGCCCAGACATGGGCATCCCGCATGAAGCCAGAGCGCCCATCCATCAGCCGGGAGCCCGAGACGAAATATCTCAGTCCGTCGCCGCAGATCGGCGAGCTGCCTCTGCCTTCACCCATGCCTCCCTCCATTCCTCTCCCCCCGTTATCCGTCCCGACATACCTGCAACTAGAGCTGGCCTCGGGTCGTCCTTCTCCGCTCTACATCCACCGCTCTGCAATGAGCGACTTCCCCTACGAATCATCTCGAGTCAAGCTGGAGCGACTGTCGAATTTTTTAATGCTGCCTCCGACGTTGGAGCGGGTGCTTTGGTTCGGTACATTAGCGTGTCTGGATGCATGGTTGCATTCCTTTACTATCCTTCCTCTTCGTTTTCTCAAAGCACTTTATATTCTGTTGGAGTCGTGGGCCCTCAACCTGGGCGTAGAGTTCCACTTCGTGTGGGGCTTCGTCATCAAAGGCGTTGGACGCGTGTGGCGGAGACGGAACCGGGCGTCGTCCGTGGATGAGGCACGGGGCGAACCAGGGCGAACGATCTCAGAGAAGCAGCAGAATGGGTCGGCCGAGCGAGAGGTCCGCAGCAGGACCGCGGAATCGCGCAGGCGACACAGGCATCGGCGGCAGAAGAGCATCCCGTCGGCCCTGATGCCGGATGACAAGGCGGACATTCTCAAGGGGCTGCTCATGATCACGACGTGCTGCGTGCTGATGTACTTCGATGCCAGTCGGATGTATCACTGGATCCGAGGACAGGCGGCCATTAAACTATATGTGATTTACAACGTGCTGGAGGTCAGTGACAGACTGTTCGCTGCCATCGGACAGGACGTGCTCGAGTGTCTGTTCTCGCGGGAAGCTCTCGAGCGTCGCCCCGACGGGCGCAGCAAAGTCTTTCGGCCGTTTGGGCTGTTCTTGCTGGCACTGGGGTACACGGTGATTCATTCCACGGCGCTGTTCTATCAGGTGATGACGCTGAATGTGGCGGTGAACTCGTACTCGAACGCGCTGATCACGCTGTTGCTCTCCAACCAGTTCGTGGAGATCAAGTCCACGGTGTTCAAGAAGTTTGAGAAGGAGAACCTGTTCCAGCTCACGTGTGCAGATGTGGTCGAGCGCTTCCAGCTCTGGCTGATGCTAACCATCATCGCGTCGCGAAACCTCGTCGAGACGGGCGCCTTCAACATCCTCGGAAGCTTGGGATCCAGCCTGGGGGGCTACACGTCGACGGTGACGAACAGCACGCCTCTCTCAACACCCCCGCGGACATCGTCGTCCATCTTACCGCAGGCCTTCACTATTGTTCCATCATCGATCATCGCATCATTCAGCCAAGTCAACACGTACCTGCCAACCCTAGCGCAGGTACTCGGCCCGTTTTTGGTTGTGTTGGGATCGGAGATGCTAGTCGACTGGCTCAAGCATGCCTACATCGGTAAATTTAACAACACCCGGCCGGCCATCTACACTCGGTTCCTCGATATTCTCACGAAGGATTACTACACCAACGCATTTGCAGACCAGAACTTAACTCGCCGACTGGGGCTGCCGGTCATCCCGCTGTCGTGTCTTTTCTTCCGCGTGTCGGTCCAAACGTATCAGATGTTCATCACCGCCTTGTTGCCCCAACACCCATCCTCGACAGCGGTGGAGGCCACGTCACTATCTGCCATCCACCGCCAGTACGTGCCCGCTCCCCTGCCCTCCCCACCCCCCTTAACCCTCCGCAACATCATCCCGACATCGACCGCCTACGCCGGCGCTTTCTTCCGCCAGATCCTCGCAAACGCCATGCCCTCACCCGCCCAGTCGGTATATATCTTCACCATCGTCCTCATCCTCACCGGGTTCGTCGTCCTACTTATCTTGAAACTCCTTCTGGGCATGGTTCTGCTAGCGTACGCGCGATCGCGGTACAAGGCCATGAAGCTGCGCGAAGCCGATCAGGCCCATCCGCATCCGTCGGGCGGTGCAGGTGAGCCCAGCGGGGCGCCCCCTCGGGGAAGAGAATTCGCGGTCGAGGGTAGTCGGCGTGTTGGTGGCTGGGGCGTCGTCGAGGTTAATGAGGATCAACGACGATGGATTTATCTCGATGATCCCGAGGGTCTGCGGAGGCTGAAGGCCAAAGAGGAGAAAGATAAGAATACAAAGGAGGATATGAATATGGATCATGTTCAGCGGTATGAGATGGTTGCTAAGCGGATTTGGTGATTGTAGATAGCCAGGTCTTAGTTAGTGGATATTTCTCCGAGAATCATCTGGTGACCTTTGGTCAATCCCGATTTCTGTATTGCCTCCGCTTCCACAGAAGATTCAACTTTTCCGGAGACTATCTCATGTCCTTTCTCGCGCTTTGTTGGACCTCCTTGCTACCTTGCTGTCGAGCGACTGATAGGACATTGGGTCATGTGACAACCAGTGGATTTCCACTTTGGGCCGGTGGATGGATTTAAGCGCCGAGTCCCCCCGTGTTTTATGGCTATATAGGGCTACTATCTTCTGTGGAAATGGCAATCGTCCGGGATAAAGGGTATACCATACGCGCCCCGGGGGTTGGTGGCGTGCCCATCCACGCCGGTCTGGGAAGGCTGCCTTTTGTGCCTAGCTACTGTTTTAATATCAGCAGGAATCCTTCAGTTCGCTAGGTTTAGAATTCAAGAGTGATTTTATTGAATACATATCACCTCTATCGCAGGTAGCAATTCACAGCAAAAAGTCACAGCGACAGAATATATTTTGTGCATGGCAATATGTACAGGTTATGCAAGATGCTCTATATACAAAGTCGTAAATAAGGTTTAGTCGTCACGCTGATGAAAACGCCGAATGGGTAATGTGATCCCAATAATGTTGAATAAGGAGAGTACCGCGAATGATAAGACTCAGATCTCACAGGTGATGCCGTACCTCGGACACCATGTCACCGTGGAGTTCTGTACATGTTAGTGGAGGGATATCCAGGATCAATGCTCGTGCAGGAAACTCACCCTTCCAGGCGTCCAGGGCTGCCTTCTCGGCATCCCAGCCCCAGAGGAACTTCTGCGTCTCGCGATCCGTCCACCGGTCAGGGTTGGAACCGCTCTTGAGCGAGGAACGGAATTGCTCGTCCCGCGCGCGCTGATCCGGGCCGTCGGGGAGGTGCAGGGTGATCCGGTTGTCGGTGCCGGACTGCTGCACTGTCTCCGCGCGGCGTTTGCGGGACTTCTCGTAGGCTTGGAAAGCGATGGGGATTTGAGCGCGCGATGTGATGGTGGAGAGGAGGACGCCGAGAGCAGCGGCATCTTCTACAGCCTGGGCGGCGCCTTGGGCGACGTATGGACTGGTGGGTGTTAGTCATCGGTGCGAAAAGGGTGAAAGGATAGAACTCACAGCATAGGGTGGCAGGCGTCCCCGATAAGAGCCACAGAGCCTCTAATCCATGTTTTCAACGGAGCGTGCAGACATAGCTTCCACTCCGGGACTTCATCATCCGGAACCAGATCGATGAGCTTCGTCACCCGTCGGTCCCAGCCCTTGTAGTTGTCAATCATGGCTTGCTTGGAGCCCTTGGTGGTCCATGACTCTTCGACACCATGGCAGTCGGGGTGAAGCAGGACCACATTGTATAGCTCATGGTTGCGTACCGGGTAGGCGATGATATGGCGGCCAGGCCCGAGCCATCGGGTAGCTTGTGGTTCATCAACTAATACTCTCAATTCAGGGTCGTTCTCCAGTGCGCTGCGTGGCAACATAATCCGGTAGGCCGCATCACCCGTAGGAATGGCCTTGATGGAGGCTTCGTCGAGGAGTTGGCCACGGATAGCGGATTTGATGCCATCGGCAGCGACGACCACATCCCCCTCCACAACGGTGCCATTGGCCAAGGTCACCACTGCACGGTCGAATTGGACCCTAGTGACGGTTGAATTCACCAGCAGCTCCACATTTGACAGCGCCAGCGCCTGGTCGATGAGAGCGTTGTGGAGATCGGCACGATGGATGACAGTCTGGTGCCCGTAGGTCTTGTTCACAGGCAAAGTTCCAAGCATGCTGCCATCCTCCCACCGTCGCACATGAATATGCTCGAGTGCAACGTCTTTGGCGTGGATTGAAGGAGAGACACCCCACCCTGACTAGTTAGGGGTGTTCGGTGTTTATTGGATGAGGGGGGAAACTTACGGTCAAAGAGCGTCAGCATATTCGGAGAAGCTTGGATGCCTGCTCCAACCTCCATAAGCTTTATCATCTGTTAGCATCATGACAGAGATGGGATGAGTGAGGGGCATACTTTGGTGGCTGATTCGAGGACAGTGACATGGTGTCCTCGCAAACCCAAAGTCAGGGCCGCGGCCATGCCGCCAATGCCTGGACTAGTCAGTGACACATTACCGGCGTGCCGTCTCAAGGGGCTTCATACCCGCACTGTGGATCATGATGTTAGCAACGGATCCCCTCATGTCTGGCATAGAGGATTGACATACCCAACTACAATCACCCGCAAGGGGATCTGTGTCTGTTCCATCTCCATGGCGAGTCAAGAACAACAACCCGATCAAGAGGGGAGTGGAAGGACGATCAGGCGAAACGGAAACCGAAATCTGAAAGAGAGAGAGAGAGAGAGAGAGAGAAGAAAAATAAAAAAGATGAAAAATTGGACCTCCTAAGCTACCTAAAGGGGAACGCAAATCTGGTTCGTATAACGGGATGAAGAATTTTACCACTCAGGTACCGGACTGACTCCGCTTACACTGGGGAAATCAGAAGAAAGGCAGACGTCAAAACAGAGAGGGTTCCAGCTGGGAATGGAGGCCTTGATAAAGAGCATTCGCAGACAGGCGAGGACATCGGCAACGTCGGCAAGACGCGACTGCAAGAGGGCCGGATCCCCACCGCGCAGACCGAGTCGGCCAGGCCAGCCATCGAGGGTGTATAAATCGCGGTCCAGCGAATGGGGCTGGTCCATTATTGGGGTGGGTGCAGATGGTTGGCTGGGAGGGGGATGCGCAGGCTGGTGGCAGATGGATTATGGAAGATGGGAAGGAAGATGCCCCGGAGAAGATGGACGTTCCCCCACTTTAATTGCTGCAGGAGCATAGTAGGTGCAGCAACGGCGCCGAGGGAAAGCAGCACAAGCAGCACTTGCAGGCCCCCCCGGCTGTTTCGGGGCCCGCCATCTGCCGGTCGTCCCCAGCGCCGATCCCCTCCTTTCTTTCTTCTTTCCCATCTTTCCTTCCCTCCTTCCTTTCTTCCTCGCGGCCGTTGCCGTGTCCGGCCACCGCTGATGAATAATGATGTATCGCTGACGACGAACTCCCTTGGGAGATGCCCTCCCCTCATCCATGGTTTCAGCCGTGCCACCAATGATAAGCTGCATCAGGAGCCGAATCGCGTCTCGCGCTATTGTTCTCGAATCTCGAATCCTGCCCGGCAGGGATGGCGACCGACTCCCCTCGTACCCCTCAGGTGCATGCGCCTACATACGAGGAACATTGTGCGACCTGGGGCGCGCGCTTTGGTGATTCCATCTCGGTTCAGGATATCACGAAGGGAAATGATCCTCTGCCCGATATCGGATGGCGAGAGAACGAATACCCCTGCATCAAATCAGTGCCCGCGAAACGATTCCATTATGTATCGGCTCGATTGTTTGCCTACCTCTCCTGCGACCGTCAGCTTACATCTGCTACGCCGCCAGAAGAAGCAACAATGCTGCCCGGGTCGTCCATTGGGCGAGGCACTGCAGGTACCCCGAACGGGCACCGCTTCAACGTGGCCCTTCTGTTGAACTAGACTCGGATGCCGTGATAGTCTGATATTTCTTTTGGTGATGACCTCATGGTGCTCCAGAGAAGCCCGTATGCGGTGAGGTTTGTCCGAGTCACCGTCCCATCTCGGATCGGTTCGCGAGCAAGCAGGCCGCGATCCTTGCACGATTGATAGTGCCTGATCTGATCACCTCGTGGCTCTGGTCAAGGTTGAAGCAAACTTCCTCACCGCACCCCTCTAAGCGAGGCTTTTCTGCAGCTGTTTGGGTCGTGGGGCTTTTGGCGGCTATGCGAGGGCATTCCTGGGTCGTCGATGCCAATGGTAGGATTCTAGGAGGCTCTCGCGGCTATGCAGATATCAGGTCGTCCCTCGTAAGGATCGAGGCTGACGTCGTACATAAATCTCGACCCGTTATTGCGTCCCCTGGCTCAGCCAATTGATGCACCTGATGGTCTGGCTGCGCTCAGATTGCGGCTGAAGTTGCTTCTATCACCAATTGATTTGGGATCTGTGTCGCACATCCTTCCGCCACAAACATCCCCAGGTACGACAACTGCCAACTTGCGGCTTATCCAAAGGAATTGAGTCATCGATTCCAGTTGTAATGCGAATATCTCGCGAGCATAATCGCTCCAGAGAGAAGTTACCGTAAACGCCGTTGTCGAAAGCTAACCAGTGGAATACCCAGCATCAAGTTCTATCTGTAGCTCCAGCATATGCTACAATTATGGTCCAATCCTGCTCTTGAGTAATTTCAACAAATTCCAAATCATGTACCCCTGTCTCATTCTCCAAGTCCGATCGTGGCATACCCCTCGCTTAGCACATCACCAAGCAGATATCCACCTTACAACATGAACTCCTATCGCTGCACGTGAATTCTCGGGCTTTGTTGAGATGCGCATCGACCCATGACATCATGGGCGAGGAGTTCTCTCCGATGCGGGGAAACTAAACCACCACTATGCGCTATCTGCACAAGCTCTGCTACAGATGGATACTCCGCGTCCTCGAAGCGAACAATGGATCATGGCCCCAAATGTCAGGCTAACTCACTCAATTCGGTTCTCATGATGGTAGCACCACGAAACTGACAAACAACAACCTCGAACCTCCTATGAACTATATACCATCATCGCTCCCTCCCTCCCAAGCCCCCGCACCCGCATCTGCACCCTCGTTCCTAAAAGACCCCTAAACCTCCCCGCGCCCACCCCCAGCACCGCCCAACCCCAACACATCATACATGGTTTAACTATCCCAAACCACCAACCACCATCCCCGACCACCCACCTACTCAAAACCAACCACATACCTCTCCCTCCTACATCCTACCTCATACATACTTTAGTTTACATACTTGGCTCTTGGCTTGTGGATTCTCTGGACCCGTCACACTCCATCAATCATCACGACGTTGTTCGCGTCAATTGGCTCGGTGGATTTACCGGGGTGAGTCTTGTGGCTGATGTTGTAGGGTGCTGAGTGAGTAAGATAGTGAGTAGTATGTTCAAGGGGGTTGGGTTGGTGGTGTGGTTATGCGGTTTGGTCAATTATGCTTGGATTATGGTGCGGAGGAGTGGTTCGGTGGCTAAGGAGAGAGAGAAAGAGAAGCGGGAGGTCTTGCTTGATTCGATTCGGTTATAGTTACATAGCTACTCCGTTGGTTCGCGAGGTCGATATTTGATGTCGTGTACACACGTACGTAGATGCTGTATCGACAGATGTGGCCTAAATGGGAGTGGTGTTAGAGGTCGACTGATCGAAAATATTGAATATCTAGCAGTCAGACGATTAAAGCACGGCATGGGGGTATTCCAGCTGGCCATGACCCTATCTTCGGGACATCAGGCCGATGGAAATATCGTCAATTGCTAGCAGGGAGCATGCATGCTTAGTTGTGCTGCTGTTGGCAGTGTCATTGATATCCTGATCGTTATCTGTGTCAAGGCTTCAATTGGGCTGACTGCAGTCTTCGAATGTCTGTCAGTGTTGACTTAGTTGGTTGCTGATTTAGCTATGGCACGTTTAGTTCCTGAGGATGCTATAAATTAACCAGAGCCATGGAAATATTAGTTGACAGTCAACCTGAATTCAACTTGAACTTTTCATCGTAGCCTCAGAACGAGGTGCCAACGTCTATATCATGATATTTGCATATAAACAAATCTACATGCGAACAAGGTATCAAACGCCATATGTGCAAGAATATCATATCAAATGATACGGACTCGGTCCCGAGAGACTGAACAGAACACAAGCCACCAATATAAACAAGGAAAGAAACCTTCGCTGGTTCTAATCGCGCCAAACAAGCAAACGTCCATCCATCCTGTCGTCGTGTCATCCGAATTCGGAGAATACTTTATTATATACATGTCTGTCGTTATCTGTGGTCTGTCGTAAAAAGTGAGGGGAGAAAGAGGTAAGTGTGGGAAATCAGGCAGTAAACATCAGACGCAGTCGGCTGGATCGCTTCGGCTTCTCTTTCGGCTTCCCCTCCTTCTCGGAGTACCGGGACTCGGCCTTGGAAGGGGCCTCCGATGGTGCTCTCGATGCCCTGGTGGGTGCTCTCGACGGAGCCTTGGATGCGGGTGTGGGGAACATCTTCGAGGGTGCGCGGGAGCCAGCGTGGGATTCCGGTCGACGATCCGCGCGGGAGCTTCCCCGGTGCGTACGCGACCGATGGGAACGCCGCGAAGAGGCCATCGACCGCTCATCATCGTCATCGAATTTGAATCGTGGGTCTCGTGTCATCCGCGCTGTGGTCACGTCAATGCCCGACATAGCTGCCGCGGTAGGGGTGATGAATTCCCCGTCCACTGACGTGCCGACGCTGTGGGCTTCGACGTCTGCGACGCCGCGGCGCCACATCTCAACAGTGCTCAGGCATTCAGTGTTGAATTCCATCATGTCCTCCATCTCGGGCTGTGCTTCAGGGCCGGCTGGAGCCACTGCCGGAGTCGCCGCTGGGGCTTTGATGGTGTTCGTGGTGGCAGCCTGGAGCTGCTTGACAATCTTGTAGCCACCAAACATGACAATGGTGACGCCGATGCCGACACCAGCGGCAATCAAAAACTGCGGGCTTGCAAGCAGAGCGAAGATACTAGGAGCCACAGTCTTGAGGGCTGTCAGTGCAGACGGAGCCATCTTGGTGACCACGTTGCTGATCTCAGCTAAGGTGAGTGCCACCGCAGCCATGGCATCGGGGTTCTTCTGGAGATGGGAGATGGTTGCGGTTGCGGTGTGTTGCATGCAATCGGCCTCCTCCAGCAGCCACTGGGCCCGGTTGACGAGGCCGTTTAACTCGGGGTCCTGGATTCTTTGGACTTGAAGTTGGCCCTGGTCTGGGGATGGCTGCCGCTCCAGTGACGAAGGGTGGAAGTCGCCATATGCCAAGTCCATGTCGACCTGAGGGTCGGATTTAGAGCGGCTAGCTGGCGGTCGCTCCGGTTCGCGCATGGCGACATCATGGGTGTGACGGCGAACCATTTCACCTGGCCGACCCGCGTATGACGTCCCGCGGGGCGCCTGCCAGTGCATGTCTTCTTCATAGAGCGATCCCTCGCGCGGATGCCGACTGCGACCCGAGTGGTGTCGCGAATGGCTCCTCCGGGAAGACCTGGAAGATGCGACAGAAGGCGCTTCCTCAATCCGATAGTTTTCACGGTAGTCATCATGGTAGTCATCATGGTAGTTATCGTGGTAATTATCCTGATACTCGTCGATATGGTAGTTCTCCAACGCCCTCAGCGCTTCTTTCTCGGCGATCTTAGCGTTCCGCTCGGACTGGACTTGGGCCTTTCTCTCGCGATAAGCGTTCTTGGCTTGGCTGAAAACACCGAACAGATGTTTACTCTGTCAACCACAGTGCGTCAGTACGGTCACGGTATAGTATCCCATGGAATGAAGCCAGGACGCACCGTGCTTACTACCTTGCCGGACTTGTCGATCACGGCGATAGTCTCACCCAGGGGAGCCATGGTGCATGTAGCTGTCACACGAAATCGACAACACCTGATAGAGATGGTTGACTTCCTCGATTGAAATGTCGTCCAGCGAACATTCAAATATCGAGGAGCATCGATGGGCGACGGGCTGAAATTCCGCGAACAATCCAGACGTAAGACCAGCGGTGTAGCACAACCAGGTGAGCAAGTATATTAATGGAATAATATCGACACTAGTAGGGCCCCGGTGGAGATTTGGCCCGATCTCAAAGTTAGAAGGCACGGGGTGGGGTCGGGGCCTTGGAAACACAAGGAACGCGGAAATCAGAGTCCCGGGTTCTGCGGGAGTATATATGAGGAGGCGAGGGCAAAACGAAAAACGGATGCCTGGGGTCAAGGTTTCCAGTTCAGCTGTGGTGGTGGTGGAGGAGGAGCAGGAGGTGGACGGAGTAATTTTATATGATCACGATAAGCGGCGGGTAGCTCCGGTTCGATGCGACCAACGAGCATGCAGGAGGATGACCACGCCACAGAGGAGATTTTCACGGCTAGAAGGCAGAGGCACAGGGAGCAGCAAAGTCAGATGCAGAGCAGGGACAGGGGACGAATTTGAGGGGGCTGGGGGAGGGGTCAAAAGCGAAGCAGGCCCGGCGCGGCGCCTAAAATAGGCATAAAGCAACGAACAGGAGCAGCATCCGCCCTGCAATTGCAAACCGGTTGGGTGTCGATGAAGCCGGGAACAGGGCAGCAAATGCGCCAAAGGGATCGATCAGCAGGATCTAAATGGCTGCACGGATCCGTGGGGACTGCGTTGCTGTCACTGCGCGATCCCACGGAGGCGGCGTTCCATTGGCGGGGAAGACGCTTGGGTATTGACGTGTAGACAGTGAGAGAGTCTGGGTGTACCTGACGGTGACGCAGAAAGAGGGGGAAGTCCAAAGTATTCCAAAGTATCTTTTTGGATACCTGAAGACCCCCTCAGCCTTAAGGCGAACACGCATCATCGCTGCATTTCCGGGTAACCTGCCAAGTGCCAATGATCCCACTAGGAGGCCGCCCGTCGAGGGGTTCATGGAGGCTAGTCGTCGTTAGTCTGGAGTAGAAGTCACTAAAGTCACTAAAGTCGCTAACGGAAGACGGCGACCCGCGGCAGCCCGTTGACCACCTCGACGGCTCGCGGGTGCCTGAGGACGCCAGGAATGGCGGTGATACGGCTGCTGCTGATTGGTAGCTCATATCACCGCCACTGTGGCTGGTGCAGGACCACCACCTGAGCTGCGGTCTGGAATGTGGCTCCACTGCCGGTACCATACCATACGTGGCCTGGTATCATCCATCAGCATCCAAGATGCCTATCCAGGCATGGAGCAGCAGCTCGGAGACGTCCAGCTGGTGGTAGATAGATACTATGCGACTACACCGTGGCTCAAGATATACCTGCAGGAATAGTACGGAGTAAACTTGTCCGGGAGAATTCTGGCCGCCCTGTTTGCTTTTTCTCGCCCTTTTTCCGTCTCAAGGCGACCTCGAAATACTCCGTGCGTCCGTCAACAAATGTCCCATGCGGATTAAATATCACGGCCCAACCAGCGCGGAGGAAAGACGGATCCCGACAGCTGGCCCTTTTTATCGTCCTCAGCATTCCGTCTGGAAAAGATAGGTCCAGGCTGGCTAGAAGTACCTACGTCAAGGACGCGTTATCTAATCCCATACTTCCACGTTATGTACGATGTCGCAATCACTGTCAGACGTTTACCCCTTATCCCAGACACCATCCCTCTTATAAATGCAGCCTCCTCCAGCGGCGGCTGCGGCAGATGCGTTCTGCAATCCATCGTTGGTCCTTTGAATGGCCGTCTATGAAACATGTCGCTGTGCATGACAGAATCCGCCCTGATAGCCCGGCTATCGTGGGAACCTAGGTGCGTCCGGAGTAGTCCACTCCACCATATCATGGCCTGTTCCACGCTTCCACGCTTCCAAGGTTGTTCGGTGGAGGTTGCCAGGGACCGATGGAGTATGGAGACGCGGAGTGGGAGGCGCTAGATCCGATTGCTCATGACTGCAGGGACAGACGTTATGGGAAACATCCAGACCAAGAAGACCCAGACGAAGCGCCAGGTGAGTTGTAACTTTATGACTTGACTTGACTTGACTTGTTCGGTCCGGTTTCGCTTCCCTGCACCGCCACACCGGAGTTTCCCAATCGGGCCCCCCCTTCTCTTCGGCCCGTGATTGGCCCATCTGCCCCGAATGAATCACGACATCTCCAGAGGTGAAGCAATTAAGCTATTCCACTCGGTGTCAAGATCGTGTGCCATTCCTCCCGCATCACTCCCCCTTTGCCCCCTACCCCCGTTCCTGATTGCTGGATCTTATCTTGCCTTGTCCTCCAGCGACTCCATCTCCTGTACCTGTCTTTCTTAGTTCTATCTACCTATCGAGTGCCAGCCCCATTGACACTCACACACTGTATCACGTCACGTGCAGACCACCTCGCTCTGCCCGATCACCACCACCCCTGCAAGAATTACATAGCTAAGGCTTTTTGGCTCCGTTGCGGGAGCAATGGACCACGCAGTGCTTGCCGAATCGGATAGCACATCGGAGACCGATGATCAACTCAAGGCTTGGGAGTCCGATCCGCGTGCGGTGACGGCCCAGCTGGCCGAGAACTCGCCTCATTCCCCGTCCCCAGTGGAGTGTGGCATCGGCCATCGCGTCCAGGCTAGTCGGTCAGTTCTAGCCTTGGAGCTAGACAACGAGTGTGTCTTTGCTGGCCTTCAGGGAGGAGACATTGTCGTACGTGGTTCTGCTGACATCATTGCCGTCGCCCACTAACTCGTCCCAGGCCTGGTCGTTGGAAACGTACGACCTCGTGCTCTCGGTGCATGCGCATCAGGAGAGTGTCCTGGATCTGTTCCTCTCGGAAGACGGTGAACTTTTGTTCTCCAGCGGTGGAGATTCAGTCGTCAATGTACCTGCTTATGTGTCCTTAATGCGCCTTCAACTGTTAACCACTCGCAGGTTTGGTCGACGAGGACCTTCGACCGTCTCTTCTCGATCCACTCCCACCACGATGTGGGCGACATATTTGCTGTGGCCTACTCGTCTACCTTGAAGACCATCTACTGTGGTGGACAGAACACCAGCATCCAGGTAATTCATACATTTTAATATGATTTCGTTCCCTACTAATACAATCAGTGGTGCGATATCTCGCAAACAGACGCGGCCTCGACCCGCCGCTCAGCTGCTCAACTGTCTAGACGGACTCATCGATTCTTTGACTCCCGAGGCCCGGATGGCTCTCGTGCCGGCGTGGGCCCAGACGGTGCTCATCCCGTCACGCAGGGTGGTCAAGTCCTCACGTTCAAGCGTGACCACCACCGTCTCTTCTCTCACCATGGATACATCTATACCATGCGTCTGGTGAGAGGGCTCATCGAGTCTGCGCCTAATGAAGAGGTACTGCTGACTGGTGCGGGCGATGGCGTTGTTAAGATGTGGCGCCTGGAACAGGAGAAGGAAAATGGAGTTCCTTCTCAGATCGCAAAGCTGCAGAATGGAGACCCGGTTCTTTCACTTGCCGTCGAAGGGTCATTCCTCTACTGTGGGCTGGCAGGGGGTGCCCTGAACATCTGGAATCTGGACTCGCACCAGCTCATCAAGCGGATCTCCATGCACACCGGCGATCTCTGGGCAGTCGACATCATCCATGGCGTCGCAGTGTGTGGAGATTCAAATGGTATCATCAAGGTGAGCAGAGTCCTATCAGACTTTAAACATACAAAACTAATCAGCTTCTAGAAATTCAACTCGCGGTTTGAGGAGATCGGTAGCTGGGTCGCTCATGGAGGCACCATGCTGGCGTCGGCGGTCGGCCGGTTCAAAGATCGTGATATCTTTGCCAGCGGAGGAAACGACAACACGGTCGGCATTTGGGACCTGACCGACGTGTCTCGCTCCCAGGGCGAACAGCCTCCTATCAACAACGGTAAGTCTGAAACCCTGTCCGCGAGAGGTCATACTAAGTGGCATAGATGAAATGGTCAACTGCCTGGCCAAGTTCGTCGCCTACAAGACAATCTCAGCCAGCCCCAAATTCTCCGGTGAATGCAACCAAGGGGCGGCGTTCCTTCGCCGACACTGCATCTACCTCGGGCCAAAACCAACCTCCTGACGACTGGCGAAGATACGAATCCGATTGTGCATGCGCGGTTCAATGCCACGGCATCGGATAAGGTGGATAAGACCATCTTGTTCTACGGTCATTATGATGTCGTAGGAGCTGATGCCAACCACGCCAAATGGAAGACCGATCCCTACCAGCTAACTTCCATTGACGGTTTCTTGTACGGTCGCGGCGTGTCTGACAACAAAGGCCCCATCCTGGCGGCCCTCTACGCAGCAGCCGATCTTGCGCGACGGAAAGAGCTGCGGTGCAACGTTGTGTTCCTCATTGAGGGTGAAGAAGAGTCCGGGTCCCAGAACTTCCACGAAACGGTCCGCAAGAACAAGGCCCAGATCGGTCCGGTGGATTGGATCTTGCTGGCCAACAGTTACTGGCTGGATGACTACAACCCGTGCCTCACCTACGGTCTCCGTGGTGTTGTCCACGCCAACCTGGTCGTAACAAGTGACCACCCCGACCTTCACAGTGGTATCGATGGAAGTTCGCTGCTGGACGAGCCTCTGAAGGACCTGACCATGCTCCTGAGCACTTTGGTTGGGCCCAAGGGTCGAATCAATATCCCTGGGTTCCAGGACCCGGTTCTTCCCATCACCGAGGCTGAAAAAGACCGCTACACTGCAATCTCTGATATCCTTCTCCCTCGCCACCCCGAAATTGCAGACAGCGAAGCCCTCATCAGATCGCTCATGCATCGCTGGCGGGAGCCGTCGCTCACTATCCACTCGGTCGAAACCCCCGGTAGTAGCAGAGGAACCACTGCGACGATTTCCCGCAAAGCGAAGGCCAGCCTGTCACTCCGACTGGTGCCAAACCAAGAAGCGGACGAGGTGGCCACCAGCCTTACCATGTATGCGCAAGAGCAGTTCGATCGACTGGAGTCGCAGAATGACCTGACCGTTGAAATCACCGGCAAGTCCGATCCCTGGCTGGGCGACCCGGACAACGAGATCTTCGAGACGCTTGCTGAGGCCATCACGGCGGCCTGGGCGCCCGACAACAAGACCCCTACACATCAATTCCCGCCTCTTCAACAGGGCCGCAACGACCAGACCACAGAGTCTAAGCGGCCCAACGAGCGATCTGGCCTGCAGCGCAAGGACTCGGTTGACAGTCTGGCCTCTCACATCGACCGGGTGATCATGTCCACGACGACATCTTCCACACGGAAGACGGCGCATCAACGGTCGTCGCTGAGCACGACGGTGCCCACATCATCAACCCTTGCGAACAAGTCGGGGGCACCCGTCCCCGACAAACACGCCGAGGCATCGACAGCCGATGGCGCCGAGAAGAGGGCTCCCACATCCACGCCTGGCCAGGCCTCTTCCGGTGTGCGGCCCATCTACATCCGCGAGGGCGGGTCCATCCCGACGATCCGGTTCCTCGAGAAGGAATTCGGCGCGCCAGCAGCGAATCTGCCCTGCGGCCAGGCGAGTGACAACGCGCATCTGAACAACGAACGGCTGCGGGTGGAGAATCTGTACAAAAGCCGGGAGATTTTTGGGTATGTGTTTTCGAAGTTACCGGAGAGGTTGTAGATATGCGGGGACCGGCGTTCGATAGGGAGTGAGTGAGAGAATAGAGAGAACAGTATTACAGCAATGCAAGAATAATCACTGGAAATCCCCCGGGGAACGTGTATCCACCTCGGCCCAGTTTTGAGGGCGTCCATGACTCTGAGGGTTCGGCGGACGAACAGGTTGCTATATATGGTAATCTCTGAAACCGTTGCGGTTTAGGTTTAGTATTATTCCTGCACACGATCCCAGCGGCATATGTAAGCGACCCGACGCCACCTTTCCCGATCGGGTAAGCTTTGCGGCCCTCCCCGTGCCTTCCCGCCAATCGCAATCCGTCGAATGGCCGGGCCACAAGCCCCGCCTGAAAGATCAGGCTTGTCCGTCGCCTCGAAGGCCTCCTGATCGAGTATCCACCCGCAGGTTGCCGACGATGCCTTGTCCTGTCCACCCCTCGAAACAGACTCCCTCAAGCCCATCGACACCATACCCGTTGTGGTAGTCATGCACGTTCGGTCCAGTGGCAGACCTGTTCCGCGTGGCAGAGATGCCAGCACGAAGCCCAATCGCAACCCCCCGTCCAGCCCTCCACTCTGCTCGATCCGTCATGGTGTGGAATAAGCACTTGCGCGGTGCCACAGGCTGAGGCAGAAGTCTTTCCCTAGCGTTTGGCCGCTGTCCTGGGACCCGTCGATGCCCCCCGTCTCTGACATGGCTTGGGAAAATCTCCGGCTAGCGACCCGTCATACTGGACGCTTGTCTATATAAAGCTCCGATCGAGCGGTATATCACCTCCACATAAAGGGGCTGTCTTCCTCCTCGTGTCCAAAAGTTCTGGTATATTTCTATCTGGCTTTGAGCTGCGTTTCTCTTTGTTGGTTTGGCCGATCAGCCATTTGATCTACCTGCCTCTCCATAGATCTATCGGTGATAGTGCCAGTTTTTTTTTCGCAGTTTATCACTATGGCGGAAATCCCGTGGAAGACCCTCCATGCTAGTATCGCCGCATACTGCTTTTACAGGTCGACATTTCCGAACTTCCTGGCCTTATCGGCTATCACCATTGTTCTGAGATTTTCCTATGCTGTTGTTCTCTACCCTGTCTACTTCAGTCCTTTAAAGAACGTTCCTACTCCTACGGTAAGCTATCTTTCTATAGTCCAACGACTCAACACATTCTGATTTACCTTGGACAGGCCCGATCATGGATGAAAGGCAATCTAAGGACCCTCACTGTCAAGGAACAATTCGATGACATGCGCCGCTGGAACGAAGAAATTCCCAATGATGGCCTGATTCGGTTCTATATCGCGGCCAACCTCGAGCGGTTGATCGTGACGAGCTCCAAAGCCTTGAGCGAGATCCTCGTCCAGAAGGCGTATGAGTTCGAGAAGCCTCTCCTGGTTAGACGCGCGTTGGGCCGTGTCACCGGTGAGCATGGGGTGCTCTTGGTGGAGGGCGCCGAACATAAGGTCGGTGATCCAACCACACGTTCACTCGCGCCGCTGCTCATTGACTTTCTCCAGAGACAACGAAAGAGCCTGATGCCCGCATTTGCATACCGCCACATCAAGAACCTCTACCCGGTGTTCTGGTCCAAGAGCATCGAGATGGTGAAACTGATCGAGCAAGACCTGCAGCACCGAGAAGACCCAACAAACAACGTCATCTGTATCGAGAACTGGGTCAGCAGAGCCACGCTCGACATCATCGGCGTGACAGGAATGAACCGCGACTTCAACTCGCTTCACGACCCCTCCAACGACCTCGCCCACCACTACCACCGAATCAGCAGCTCGCCCCCGACGCGCCTCGAGATCGGCCTCTTCCTCGCCGGCCTCGTCCTCGGCACCGCCCACCTCGTCAGCAAACTCCCATTTTCGCGTAATCGCCTCATCGACGAAAGCGCAGACTACATCCGCAACGTCGCCCGCCAAATGATCCGCGAAGCGCGCGAAACCACCACCACCACCGACGAAAAGAAGACCCCCACCGACGCAATCGACATCATCTCCGTCGCCCTCGAAAGCGACGCCTTCACCGAAGAAGAGCTCATCGACCAAATGATGACCTTCCTCGCCGCCGGCCACGAAACCACCTCCAGCGCCCTGCAATGGTGCATCTACACCCTCTGCAAACACCCGGACGTGCAAACCCGCCTCCGCGAAGAAATCCGCTCCAACCTTCCCTCCATCTCCCTCGAAAACCCTTCCCCCCTCTCCGCCGCCACCATCGACGCCCTCCCCTACCTCCACGCCGTCTGCAACGAAGTCCTGCGCTTCCACCCCTCCGCCCCAAACACCATCCGCATCGCCAACCGCGATACCACGCTCGTCGGCCAGCCCATCCCAAAAGGAACTGTCATCCAGATCGTCCCCGCCGTTACAAACAGGGATAAGGCGCTGTGGGGCCCGGACGCGGACCAGTTCAACCCCGAGCGGTGGCTGGGGCCCGGGCAGGCGAATACGGGTGGCGCGGCGAGTAATTATGCCTTTTTGACGTTCATTCATGGCCCCAGGAGTTGTATTGGGCAGGGATTTGCAAAGGGCGAGATGGCTTGTTTGTTGGCCGCCCTGGTGGGCAGGTTTCGGATGGAGTTGGAGGATCCCGATAAGGAGCTCGTGTCGAGGGATGGGGCCACCACGAGTCCGCTTGATGGGGTCAGGGCCAGGTTGGAGGTCGTGGAGGGGTGGTAGGTTCGTGAAGGGTATGATATATCTAGGATATTTAATTTTAATGGATTTCGTATTTACTTCCTGATTTCTTGTGCCTCTGCTTGTGACGAGTGGACGTTAGGAATGGCATCTCTGGCTGCATCTATAATGAAGTAATCATCTTTTGCCCAATCTCATGGTCTGACCTTGATCTGTCTCGTTCTTTCTTAACGCTCAACGCAACCAGATGGTTTCACTTGGCATTGCAGGCGAAAGACTGTCATTGTTATCATATTTCATCATAATATCATACCATCTTCACTCCCGAGACTAAGGACTGGTACTCGCCGCCTTCACCTTCTCGGCAAGATACTCTGCCAACACCAAGATCTTTTCCTCCTGCAATCGCCGTCCGAAGATCTGCAGACCCGCTGGCGCGCCGTCGTATGTATCGGGGTCGTCTGGGACGGCTGGTCAGTACATCATCCCACATAAGATGATACAGCGAGGAGGATCCATTGGGGAACATGGGAAAAAGGTAAAAAAGCAAATCAGTAAAACTCACACTCTCTCTGCGCCTTCTCATCCAGCTCACTCAAAAACACCTCCTGCTCCCTCACCACATCAACCGTCTTATCGGCATGAGTGACCGGGATCACGACACTCGTGTAGTCCAATACATTGATAAACGAAGTGTATCCGACAGTCGCGAGTCGTTTGGGCACAGTCGATGCCTGAGGCGCGCAGGGATAGATGACTGCGTCGACGGGACGCCCGGTGCCGGTCAGATCGGCCGTGCTGTTCCAGTAATCCATGTAGCGTTTCTGGTACTCGCGTTTCTCGACGTTGAGGGCGGCGACTTCCATGGCCGTCTTCTGCGTGCCGGCTAGGTTGAGGATGACTTGTGCGGCGCGCTCTTCGCCGGAAAGGGTGAGGTGGTAGGCGACGTCGGCGCCGCCGTCCAGGCTGTAAGCTCGTTCCTGGGGGTGTTAGTTTCGGTTTGCGCCTCTATTGTTGGTATGCCGAAAGGGGGAAACTTACAGCCAGATCCACGGCGATCTGATGCGAAGGCGGAGTCCACGTAACGACCTGCAGAGATGGGTCTTAGTTAAGTTAAACATCCAACCGGTCACGGATAGGTAGATATGAATGAACTCACCGTATGGCCCAGCCCGCGCACCGTTTCCTCCACGATCCTCAACGCCCGCTCAATCGGCGGCTGCAGCCCAATGACCCCATCATGGTACATAACCCCAAAGGCCAACGCCTTCGGCTCGCCCCTCACCAGCTCCCTCGTCTCCCTCTCCACCTCCTCCCTCCACGGAATCTCCAAAACCAACGGATCCCTCAACCACGGCCCCGTCCCCAGTACGCCCTTAAACAGCGCCATCAATCCCCCCGCCGACCTCGCTAACGGCCCGATCACTGAAAGAATCGTATTCTGCCCATCCATCGAATTCGCTGCCCCCTGATACGGCATTCTCCCAGACGAAGGCCTAATCCCAAACAGCCCATTGAAAGCAGCCGGAACACGAATACTCCCCCCGATATCCGTCCCAAAACCCCCCGGGGATCCCCCCAGCGCAATCAACGCCCCTTCGCCGCCCGAACTGCCCCCGGACGATAACAACCGGTTCTTCGGGTTCGTCGTGTAGGTGATGATATTGTTGACTGTTTCGCCTGACATCAGGCTCATGGGCACACTTGTCTTGCAGTAGAGGATTGCGCCTGCGGCGCGCAGGTCCGTGACGAGTTGGCTTTCGAAGACACGGCTGCGCGGATCGTTGGGGAGACCCTGGAAGGTATTTATCCATCCGACGTAGCCCATGGTTGTTTCAACGCCGCGGATGTGGAATTGGTCTTTTAGACTGACGGGGAGGCCGTGCAGCGGGCCGATGGGCTGGGAGGTTTTGACGAAGTGCGCGTCTAGCGCTTGTGCCGTGGCGAGGGCGTCGTCGAAGATGATTTCGTGGAGGCAGTTGACCTGATTTTCTCTTTGTGAACCTTTCTTTCAGTGAGAGGGGAGAGAGGATGTGGGGTTAAGTACCAACTGATGCGCCAGCGCAGCCCGATGACAAAACGCCTCTGTGACTTCCACGGCGGTCCATTTGCCGGTCGTTGTTCGTTCGAGGATCCCCACAACGTCGGTCTCAGTGATTTCGATTTCCCGGGGCGTGAGGAATTGTTGGATGTAGGGGCCTGTGACGTCGCGTTGTTCCTCGGGGGAGGGGATCGGGCCCTTGATGCGCCATTTCGGGGGGATTGCGTTGAGGATGGACTCGCGTTTAGCTGCGGCCAGTTGTTGCCAGGGTTGGAGGGTCATTCTGGGTGGTAGATGGTGGGTAGTGGGTTGGTTTGACTTGGGATGTTGACTGATGATGAGATGGCTGGAGATGTGCTACGAGATAAATAAGTAGCAAGGGTGTACGCCGAGTCGGGGAAAGGTGCCGGTTCTTATCGGTTGAGGTTGGGGTGATGCGGGGAAGACTGGCCGTAGCACGGTTTCGAGCAGCTGTAGTGGCGGGGTCCCGGCCGCGAACAAAGGGGAAGGGATCGAGCATGCCAGTTTTGTTTCGGATAAGCTAGTATGCCTTGCCATTGGGCGAGAGTAACAGGGGCACGTTCGGCCGAGTATCAGTCTAGGAGGTGAGATCGAAAAGGTCAGCAAGGATCAGATAGAAATGGACCTATTGGTTAGTTGTTGATCAAGTGAGCTGTTGAAAGCAGAAGCCCAGTCACACGCTAATCAGATCTACAGGCTGAAAGACTCCATAATATTATACCGTTGTCGTTGTTTGGTGCATTTACTCATTTATGGGTATGTACGCATAAGTCAAAACACTCCTTATAGTATCCAGTACCCTATTCTTCCTGCCAGAGCACTCCGCAATCAACGCCATAGAAAAAGATAAACACGAACAAAGGAAAGAATTGGGGCATCATAGAAACATGGGGATACTGGGAGAGCCGAGGGCGGACACTGAGCCGGTATCATTGTGGTTGGATGACCGGACACCATGCACCAATGTCTGCCCTGTCTGTCCACCCGCATACATACAGCAGTCGAAAGATAATGTGCAGTATCGCGGCTAGTGGGCTCCATTCCGGCGGGTACGTCCCGAGTAGAAGGCACTGCCGTTCTGGAAGTAAGGATGCATGCACGCCTGTTTGGCGGAGAGCCGGCGTGCGGGGTCATATTCGAGGAGGGCATCCAGGAGGTCCAGTCCATCTTCCTCGAGATCCGGGACGAGCGCACGGGTTTCGTCGCGCTTCCATCTGGGGAATGTCGCCTTGTAATCGGGGAAGGAGGTGACGCCGGGCCAAGCGGCTTCATCGGGGGTACCGAGGAGACTATTGAACAAAGAGTTAGACGTCACGCTAGTGATACGATGCAGGAAAGCATACCGGAAAATCTTGAAGATCTCATCAATCTCGGAGTCACCGGGGAAGAGCGGCTTGCGTGTGCACATCTCCGCAAAGATGGCTCCACAAGACCACATGTCGACGCCGGTAGAGTACTGACGGCCACCCAAGAGAATCTCAGGGGAGCGGTACCACAGGGTAACAACCTGGCAAAGGTCAATGACAACCCACAGCAGCAGCGGAAGACCGGGCAATTACCTCGTGGGTGTAGGTCCGAAGGGGAACACCGAAAGCGCGTGCCAAACCAAAATCCGCCAGCTTAAGGTTACCGTCCCGGTCGATCAGAAGGTTCTGGGGCTTCAGATCACGGTGCAGGATACGGTGGCTGTGGCAATAACGAATGCCCTCAACCAGCTGGGCCATGAACTTCTTCACCATGGCATCTCCCAGACCCATGTTCTTGCTCAGATTCGACCCCTCCGGCAGGGCCTTTCCACGCCCACCTTCGCTCACAGGAAGAGCCTCCATGTATTTCTTGAGGTCGAGATCGAGGAATTCGAAGACGAGATACAACTTGTGGCCGTCGGCGTGAACGATGTTGAGCAGCCGGACAATGTTGGGATCGCTCATCTCCTTCAGCAGGGAGATCTCGCGGATGGCGGTACTCGGAACACCTTCATCCTCCGCCTCCAAACGAATCTTCTTCAGAGCGACAATCCGGTTGGGATGGGTGAGCTCACGGGCTTTGTAAACAACACCATAGGTTCCTGAAATAACGCAATAAGTGTTAGCCAGCTGTGAGAGAAAAATGAGAGCTGGAAGAGTTGCACAGGGGGCTGGGATGATGCTGTGTGTTGAGGAAGAGAGGCCGGCCTTGGCGGCCCATCCAAGTAAACATACCCTCCCCGATCTTCTCGATCTTCTGATAGTTCTCCATGATCAGAAAACCTCGCCTTTCCTTCTTTCCACGCACAGGTGCTACCGTTGACCGGGGATATCGAGATGGAACGTGTCCAAGGTGTTGTCGAGCCACCAGGACGCGGGGTACCGGCGATAAAGGAGGTCTGCACGGCGATGGCTTTGTTGCCGGGGAAGAGAGGACGAGAAAACAACGGTAGGCGTTCAGCAGCTGCGAGGAGTCGAGTCGACAGCGAGGGGTAGGAGCCAATTCCCGATTAAGAAGTCGAGTCGAGCATCCAAGGAGGGGGATCGGCCGAGTCCGGAGAGTTTGCTTACCTTTTTTTGTGACTTACCTGGGGTTGGCTGAGGAACCTGAAGCAATTGAATTGGAGTTCTTTTCATCCCTGCTGGTGGGGAGCCCAAGGCGGTCAGCACCGGCCGTACACAAACAAACCCGCGCGTTTCCCGGGCGGTGAGCGCGTCCCCAGCTGACCGGCGCCCGGCGGGTCGTTTTTTCCATCCGCCGCAGATTCCAGATTCGATATGCAAATGCAATAGCCCAATAGCCGAATCCCACTGCAGTGGTCTATTGATCGATCATCTGGCCGCCACAGGCCCCGGACGACCGTGATGCCGCTCATCAAAGACCTCAACGCCCATGAGCGCCCTCCCGAGGCCATCAAACAACGCTACAAGAAATACCAGAAGTCCACCCTCTCCGAGATCGACTCTGATGCCGGCATCCTGGACCTCCAGGCTCTGGATCCCGACAGTCTTCCCTATGAGGTTTCCCTGACTCAGTGGATCCCTAGCGAGGATCTCCGGGCCGCATTCAACCAGTTCATCGGGAAAAGCAAGGACATGCAGGGGACTTGGCCGACGAAGGATATCCCAGTTTACAGCCATCGCTCTATCTCTGGTCAGCATGATCCGCCCGGTGCTTTGTTGGCGACCGACTGTAGCATGGTGGAATATTAACAGGATGTAGGTTTACAAATAATCCCATCGCTTCTCCCCCCAGCTGTTCAAATAGAGTTGTTATCGCGTTTGTTCCATCGAGACTTGTCCAATCCTCGGCATAAAACCAATCTACACCTGCACTACGACATCACTTATCCCAGTCCCGCAGGAAGTGAAGCCCAGGAATATCAATCCTCTTCGGTCGACCCCAACTCAGTAGGCGGCCATCCATCATCCTTCTTCGAGGATGACCCGGCCCGTGTCATTGACCCGATAGATTCCAGTGTGCACAAGCCCCTTACTGTCCAAAGCGTCTTGAACAAGAAGCTACGGTGGGTGACCTTGGGAGGTCAGTATGACTGGACGGCCAAAGTGTACCCAGCAGAACGTCCTCCCGCTTTCCCAACGGACATTGCCAAGCTCTTGCATGCGATGTTTCCCGCCACTGAGGCACAAGCGGCGATTCTGAATTTGTATTCGACAGGCGACCATCTTAGTGCTCATCGTGATGTCAGTGAAGAATGCGATGTCGGGTTGATCAGCATTAGCTTTGGCTGCGATGGTCTGTTCCTCATCAGCCATGATGACGGGGCGCACTGTGAGATTATTCGACTTCGCTCCGGGGATGCGGTGTATATGGACGGCACTTCGCGCTTTGCTTGGCATGCAGTGCCGAAGATCGTGCCCGGGACCTGCCCAGACTGGCTTGCTGATTGGCCATCATGTTCCGTTGATGAAGCAGCTACATCTCAACGTGAGACCTGGAAGGGGTGGATGTCAGGCAAGCGAGTCAATTTGAACGTTCGGCAAATGGCAACCCCATGATTGAACCTGAAGATATGTGGCAACTATGTAAGGACAGCAACGTCCTGGCAAACCGCTTGGAGATCAGTCCAGTGTAAAACTGAAGGCTGGTCAACATGCAAGGCCATCTACCGAATCCATGAGTCGACACCCCAGGATGTTACACACTGGGGTCTTCGGTGACCGGTGTCTCAGGAACCGCGTCGCTTCCAAGCCAGTGATCATCTCCACTCTACGTGGTGCATCCTTTCATCAGGGAGAGCTATACAATCTGGCGCCTGGAACATCCTCTGATCAGTCTCAGAACTATCAGTCCCGCGGTAAATGAACGCCGCTTTAAGCCCGGTCAGCGTGGTTTCAACCGTTCAAATCCACACACCACCGAAAATCCTGCAGTCGCGGCTAAAATGTGTAACGCACCAGTTGCTTGTTTTAGCTGCTGATGGGATATTGCATGGGATCACCTGCACAGAGTGCCATGATACCTCAACCTTCAGAGCCGATTGTATATATTAGTCTGTTGGCGCCTTTGACCGAACCTTCAATAGAAAGACATTGTTAATTACCGACGCTCATCAACATGCTTCATTTCAACAATTTTTATATAAATCAGCCAACAGTCTTACGACGACTATGGAAGACTTGCTTGATTACCGCTTCTTCCTATTCTAGCTGCGGATCGAGGGAGGGCTAATAACAGTTTGAACCTATAGATCTGCTTATTCTTGGTATCAGATTGCGCGATGTTCCCATCTCCCGTACATAAATAGTTGGCCAAGATAGGTTCGCCTCACAACTAAAACCAATCACCCCCTTGAGCTCAGCCTTGCTCAAGGACTCTGCACAGACCTGATACCGTTAAAAAATAGTACTAACCCGGTAGAATCAAGTGCAAACTTGATGCATCGTTGCTTTTCCTGCCATACTACGGATTATATCGCATTCTGTTAACCGGGACGTGATATATAATTATGGGTCATCGGAACGGTTGTATCACCTCCACTCTTTCTGTTGGATTCCAGTCTACACACCACGACCTCGAGTTTGAGAGAGGGGAAGTCCACATTCATCTTCCCTATCTACCCCACTTAGCCTGAGGCCTACAGGCAACGATGGTTCTGTCCAATGAGCAAGTCCAAGGCCTGTCCCGTGCCTGAGCGAGCGGCTACTTTGCCGCCGAGAAAGCGCTCGTATTTCCCATCCACGCGCTTTCCCCTTCTATTAATAATGCCCACTGATAGGAACCCACTCTCTGGACTCCAATGGTCACTGTCATTGTCGAGTCCTTTGGCCCGTCAGCACAATGCTCTGGTTCTCTGACCGATCAATACCAATGTCGTTATAAGCATAAATTGCTTACGAGCTGAGTCTCAGCTCGTGACACCCCCATCCACCTGCTTCTCAGGTCCCAGACACACAAGGCTCTGGCTGCCATCCCGTCACACCATAGCCTAGCGCGCATAATCATGCATACGGTACAATGACTGTAACCGCCGATCCCAAAAACCCAACCAGATACTCGATGCTCCGAGGCGCTTCGGCGAACACCAACGGCAAAGAAAGCAGAATCTAAATCATGTCGATTGATCGATGCCAAAAGCCGTTCCCTGTCAGCCCTGTGGAGGACCTCACGGGTTCAGGGCGCGTTTCCTTGATTTTCTGGGCCTCGGGACACGATACGAGAGGGCACTCCGACCATTTAAGGCGGCACATGCGCTCAGCAATGCGGGTATCAGCATCGCCCACCACAGGTATTGATTATTTTCTTACATTTAAGTTTCTCTTTCGTGTTCCCCTCCTTGATACAAGAGCCTCAGCCAGCCCTCACCTTTCCGTTCGACAAACTGCGTCGCACAACAACCATCGCCATGGAATGTGAAGACCATCTAGACATGGTTTATACCCCTCCCCCATCGTCGCGCTCCGAGAGCAACATGCGCGGAAAGGCAAAACAAGCTCCTCAAGACACAATGAAGCAGTTTTGGGATGACTTCAATTCCAAATTTCCTGGATTGGTGAATACGGTCTTGCCGGACAATCCGTATGCGCGCATGAAGGCTGCAAGGACCCCAAAAGGGGTGATACAGGGACACCACGTGGGGAAATCATATGAACAGGCCCAGAAGGAGTGTCAACGTGCGGTTGAGCGCATTGCAAGAGAATGCGAACGGCTGAATCAGAAGTACTGCGATCCGCATTTCGATATTGAGGTTGACCTCAAATGCGGGCGAAGGAGCTACCTCGATGGCCTCTTTGCGAAGAACCAGGAGATGTGTCCGAGGGGTGTCAAGCGAGTGACGGTATGTACTGAGGTGTCTGGAAGTGGTTACTTCGGATGGAACAGGCTGACATTTGATGCCTATTACAGGAGATCTTCGAAAAGCCGCAATTCTACGTTAACGGACCGACTGCTTCGGATGTGCGCCAGGGTCGGGACGGCGACTGTTGGTTTATGGCTGCGCTTTGTACCATGGGTAATAAAGAAGGGCTGATCGAGAAGATCTGCGTGGCTCGCAATGAACTGGTCGGAGTCTATGGGTTTGTGTTCTATCGAGGTGAGTGGCAACTGGCGTCAAAGAAAAGCGAGCCAAGATGAGTCTGACGTTGTTTCTTAGACGGTGAATGGCAACAATGCATTGTGGACGACAAGCTGTATTTGCGGGCCGCCGATTATGACGAGTCCGTGGATGAGCGCCCGATTTGGGATGATATCAACCGAATTGACACGGAAGAAGAGTATCGCAAAGCATGGCAGACTGGGTCTCGCGCTCTCTACTTTGCACAATGCGTGGATGAGAACGAAACCTGGCTACCATTACTCGAAAAGGCTTACGCTAAGGCACATGGTGATTATTCTGCCATCGAAGGGGGCTTCGTTGGGTAAGGCTCTCCTAGTACACACTTCACATTCCGAGCTAATGTATATTAGCGAGGCCCTCGAGGATCTCACTGGTGGTGTTACGTCTGACATACTCACGAGTAACATCCTGGATAAGGATAGATTTTGGAAAGAAGAGCTCATGCAAGTTAACAAAGAATTCCTCTTTGGCTGCGGTACAGGACTATTCTCCAACTGGCTCGACCCTGATTACCGAGGCCCGCCACGAGATAGAGAGGGAATATCCGAGAACCACTCATATTCCATCATGGACGCCAGGGAAGTTGATGGACAACGCCTTCTCCGGCTGAGGAACCCCTGGGGAAAGAAGGAATGGACCGGGGCATGGAGCGATGGATCCGAGCAGTGGACCCCAGAGTGGATGGCAAAGCTAGGTCATAAGTTTGGCAATGACGGGGTAGGGCCCCTTGACAGCTCGTCGATCCGAATAGTTGCTGACAGTTCTCAGTTCTTTTGGATTTCCTACGAAGACCTTCTCAAGAAATATCAGCATTTCGATCGAATTCGCCTGTTCAACGAAGAATGGACCGTCACTCAGCAGTGGACTACACTAAATGTTCCATGGTCCGCGGACTATCACAGTACTAAATTTGTTTTGGATGTGACGAAAGCTGGACCTGTCGTTATTGTTCTCTCTCAGGTGAGTTCTTGATCAGGTTACATAGAGAGCGTTGCTGATCAATTCCAAAGTTGGACGACCGTTATTACAAAGGCCTGGCTGGCGAATATGAATTTGTTCTCAAATTCCGACTTCAGAAAGAGGGCGAAGACGACTACTTTGTCCGCAGCCATAGCAGCGAGCTTATGTGTCGCAATGTGAACGTCGAAGTTGAGCTTGAAGCAGGGCGTTATCACATCCTCATGAAAGTGACGGCATATCGAAACGGCAATAAGCTTCCTACAGAAGAGGCCGTTCGTCGTCTCGCCCCTCTTAGACGTGAAAAATTGCTCCAAATCGGTCTTTCTTACGACCTGGCTCATGCAAAGGGCATAGTCCAGGAGACAGAAAAGGAGAAACGGGCACGGGAGGAACGCGAGGAACGTCGCAAGGCAGCCGAGCGAAGGAAATTACGAGATGAAATCAAGAAGAGCCTACAAAAAGAATGGATCCGAGAGCGAAAGCTGGAGGCTCGCAGACACAGAATCGAAGCACGGCTTGCCGCTAAACCTCATATCAGAATGGATGTCAGGAAGGTTGAACCTGAGCGGGTCATCCCAGACGGCCCCGTGCAATTGCCCTCGGATATGCACAATGGCTCTAGCGATGGCTTGGACTTGGAATCTTTAGAAAAAGGATCAACTACTCAGATGTCGTTCCATGCTTCTCGTGATTCGGGAAGCCATCACCTCCGGACTTCTCTTCCCATTCGGGACCACCACTCGTCGAAACACTCGTCTCACCATGACACCGAGTATTTAGAAGGGTTTGAATTTGACTCGGATGTCGACATGCCTCCGGATGATCATATAGATATCAGGACGCCTGCCAGACCATCCTGCAGCAGCGATACAGATGCAAATAGCGATCCATGGAACGCCGTTTGTGTGGTGGGCTTGCGTGTCTACTCGAAGGATTCCCAGTTGTCTCTGGAGGTTCTCCGCCCCGTTCATGAAGACGATGTGGAGGCATCACTCGATATGGATGACCCGGCCGCAAGTGCAACACTGGAAATGTGTGCGATATGAATAGTTTGGTTGGCTGAAGCTGATGATTTGTTAAATTTCGGGAAATGCGCCACACCTATAATGTCTCTGCTTGTCATGAATCTCCTACGTATCGATGTCGACTACAATGCTTTCTTTTGCCACAGCCAACTTTTCAATGATGGAAATCTCTCCTTTGGACGTGTTGGTTTCGGGTACGGACAGCACGCCTGTCCCGGGAGATTCTTTGCCTCGCATCAGGTGAAGATTCTGATGTGTCATATTCTTATGAAGTATGATTTCAGGCTCTCGGAGGGTGAACCCCTATTCGAGGGGGTTTAATTATAATGCGGATCCGTCGGCAAGAGTTTTGATTAAGCGGAGGAAGGAGGAGATCTTAATTGATTGATTCAGAGGGGTGTCACAGCCACACTTCTGTTATCACAATTATGTTATTTTAATATTACTGCCTGCTATTTGGAAAAATTTATGATATGTAACTGAATTCATCATTTAATCATGGTATCAACTTATTGATTTACCTAATCATTTAGTTATTTAATTATTTACATATCAACATGCAGTCTATCGAGATGCAGACACGGTAAAAGTGTCGGGGATAGGTTCCTGGCGTTCAAGTACACACCCTGTGAGAGTCCCCACGGGCCCGAACGCGAACTGGCATACAATGGGTGAAGACTATATCAGTTTCTCCAGGATGCCGCCCTGGCCGCGAAAAATGTTCGAAATTCATGAGATCTTGCTGGCAGCATCTGATGGCGCATTTTGACCACCCGGACAGTGTAATCTGGAGCGACCTTTGCGACGCCCTGACAAGGCTGCCATTTCCCAGCGGTGCGTGCCACTCTCATGATTGACCTTTTCTTTCTACTCTTTGCAGCGACATCATGGAAGTAACCGTTCCGAGGCTGACACGCCACACGTCCCATAGAAGGTGGCGAAAGCTTCGGGTTTGATAGTGGGCCGTACGAGGAACCGTCCCTGGAACAGTTCCTACAGTCTCAACGGGAGCAACCAAGGTGCAACCCTGAAGTAGAGAAGACGCTGGCAGGTCGATCAAATCCGAGTGACTTGTTTCGGTGCCTTCCACTGGAGATCATAGAGGCTACTGGTGCGCTTCTCCCCACTCACGATGCCCTCAAAAGCCGGCTTGTATCACGATCACTGGGTGTTCTATTCCACAGTCTCAGGTTCTGGAAGACGCGGTTCGATATCAACGCAGAACGGGGGTTTCTCAACTATTTCCTCCGGGAAGGCCAAGCGATCGACTGGCGACTGCTGTACCACAGCACGTGCATAATGAGATGTGGTCGTTCGTTTGACGTGACCATTCGATTCTGGGAGACTTGTCGGTGGGTGCGCGATGCGGTGCTATGCAGGCCGGGGGGGGGTCTCTCATGGAGTTTGGGGGTCGGGCCTTGCAGCACTACCACCATACCTCGTGGCCGGGACATTATTCCCGCGCCATTCGATTCCCGCCGGACCTGGTGCAAATCGGCTTCTCGGCAGGTCTGGAGAGGGGAGGCGACTGGAACGATATCAAGGGGCTGGAGCTCATTCGACGGGACGGGCCAAATATCCTTCTGGGATCGAAAGTCCCAGGGGCTCGAGTGGTGATGGAGGAAGAGCCCGAATTGCAGCACTTTCACCAGAATGGGTCCAGGATGATCGAACATGATTTGACTGCCTTTTACACATATCCGGGAATTCATGTGCTATTGGATGCACGGTCACTCCGAGGGGTTTCCTTTGATCGTCAGACGCCGGGGCGTGTCATTGGAATTCAATTACTTCGATCCAGCGGCGACTCTGCGTCGGTCGGCCACGGCGAGAGTACCACATACGCAGAAGGCTACAGCTTCAACAAGGACGAACCTGTCGAATTAAATGTCACATTTGATGTGGGTGGATAATATCCATTTTGGAAAATCCACGACTACCCGGCTAACACATTGGCAGCTTCATGGGCTGGTACACCTGGGCGTTCGAGGCTATGGGAGCGTGCAGATGGAACCCCACTTCGAAGCTGGTTTAATTCAAAATTTCAATTTTAGAGACCTATGGTTTAGCAGTCCGTAGTCAGCAGGGATTGGGTTCTAAAATAAGCAATGGCCAGCTGCTCGAACAGGGGACATAGAACCAAAGCATTGGGTATATGTGAAACGCAATGTCGTCTCCGGGATAATATAGATGCAGCTACAACCACATTATCCCACCCAATGCAGTCAACCCGTTAAGCGCTCCCGTCGGGTAGACCCGGGTAGACCCACCCTGCAACTGATCATCGAGGGTTGGCCGATCGATCGCTGGGTGGAGGAGGTACGGAGCTAAAAGAACACCGCTTGGTCTCGAAAATGGTATCTAGTTACCCCTAGCAGGGTCGTTTAGTGCTAGGAATACTATTGGGGAAGCTGTGGCTCCAGAATCGCAGCAGGCGCCTAAAAATCCTCTGTGATTTGCTACGTCGATCCCAGCAGTATGGTTCACTTCACCTCTAGTCAACGCCACTGATGAAACGAAGGTCAGCCGAAGAGCTGTTGTTGGGTTTGTGAGTGCCCGACTCTGTTATTGGGGCCCTTATCAGCACATCTCGATCAATAGCAAGCCGTCTTGGGGATAGCTTGTGTGTTCGAGCCTCTCGAGGAGCACAGCAGGACGATTCAACCACAGGATCCTGGTGCATAGTAAGTAAACTTTTTGGGGGGGGGGTGGATACTGACTGTGAGACGCGTAGCCAGTGTGACCCCTGATTTTTGCGCTGGTTTCTAATGAAGGGGGCCTTGATGCCTTCGAGAGTGTACAGCGGAGTACTCCGTATACCTGAGAAGATAGAATGTATATAGGTAGATAAAAAGGCAGACATAAGATATATATGTGGTCCGGTAACCAAGGCATCAACATCATAATCGTAAATTCGTCTCGTTACACCGTGGCTTTCTCCGTATCAACAGAGCTGCTACGATGAAAGATGTCCATCTCTTGTGTAACATTTCCAATGTAATAGTCGATCTCCTGATCAAAGACAGAGCGCCACCACTTCTGATGGAGCGACTTGAACTTTGGGAGGTCGCCCTTGTTGTTAGCTAGAGGTTTCTGATTCCAGTCCGGACTCAGCTCCCTCCACGGCATTCTGTCATCCGTTTTATGGGCGTAGATCAGTAGGTTCTGCTCTGGATACGACGTATCGAAAGAGTCCTTTTTGTCGAGAAGATGGACATAGTAGTCGAACAGTTGTCAGTTGTTCCGACGGCGACAAGATGAAGAGCCCCGCATTAATGTAATATTCGCGACGTAGAGACCTCGCCCCGGACTTGGAGGTAGCGCCCATTCCACCCAGATATCGTGGACTCCGGCGATCAAGTACGACTCCGGAAGTGAATAGGCTGTGTCGCTTGAGCCCCGGTAAGGTATTGCTTCTTGCAACGCAGCGGTGGCATCGGTAAATACGTCGTCCAGAGGCTGAAGAATGATTGTGTCTGCATCAATGAAGGTAATCTTCTCATATTCAGTGAGCTTCCACAAGTTCAACTTCACAAGGACATTTCCTCAGCAACTCCACTTAGGATGCATTCACTCTCGAACCAGATTATCTGCGGGGATGATGATGGCAGGAAACGGACGCGAACTGTAGGGTCGATTAGGGAGGGGCCGGGCATTGTATCGCAGGGGTAGGCGGCGGTTGTGACAGTGGTAGAAGTGGCAGCAGCAGGATCGAGTACCTACACTTTCTCGCTCCCTCATGATGGAGACACCGATCTCTGTCAGGTCAGATGGAACCTCGATACTCTCAACGTATGTGCCAGGCCAAACGCTGCCGTGGTATTCCTGTAAGGCCCTTCCATTGAATTCCAGCAATGGTGCCTCCCTCATACATGCCCCTTGTGCCAGAGAGGTCTTCGATTGAACCGCATCTCTGACCCACCGAAAAGCCTCCCACGCCTTGACTGTCACATCAAATGACCGGGCGCACCTGAACTTGCATGTACTATGTTACAACAGCCGCCAGTCAACATTATGAGTTCTTATTATCTAGCTAGTTATAATAATATTATCTTTATTAATATCTTACTATTCGCAAATGGCTTTATCTAATATTATCATTATATAACAAGGACTGCCTACCTGCAGCACACTAAGCCAGCGCCAGTCACTTGAACCTCATTTAATAGAGGATTAAGAAAACCCCTCTGTCCGACGAACTCAAATCGTGATTTCCAGAATCCTGGACTCTCAAAAAGCCCACTCATTGCTCGAGATGCAGGCAGGTGTTCAAGGCGTCATGTGTACGCAGGAGCACGCTGATTTCCTCTCTAATCTCGTAAGGCAGGCGGCCAAAGCCATCGCTTGAGTTCCTCTTTGTGTATAATCTTCCTTCCAATTTCCAGGTCCCGGGACGGTATCTTTCTTTTCGATTGCTGGAGCTGATCTAACGTTGGGATCTCGAAAGGATCGAAGACGCAGTGGAGACCGTATTCAATACCTAATTTATTTCCAGCATACGTCAGTTTGGAGGGAAAGGGAGCGACATAGCCAACAATGAGGGGGAGAGAGAGGTGAAGGTGAGAACGTGGAGGAAACATGGAAGCAACGAAACTTGCAGGATATGGTAGCTTGACCAACGCGTCGAAGATGTCCGTCAAGTCCGCGCCATGCGGCCCGAAAAGCTCCAACAGATGCTGCCAACACCTATCATGGAAAAGGAATATCCATGGCCGACAAGGCAACTCGGACAGGGGCAGCCACTCGTCGTCAGCAGTCATGGCGTCGTTCGTACATTTCTATCAACGGGAACTTCGAGAACCCTCAGCTGTGATCGTATCCCGATGCCAGATACTTCTACAGTGTCTTGGATTCGGTAAACTGTGCAGGTTCATGGAATAGTCAGCACTGGGCCTGGGAGCTGTTGGGAAGTTACTCGCGGACTCGGAAATGATCACTTCATGGAGGTCCTTGATCAAGCAGACTGTCATCAACAGCAAGCCAACAGAGCTTGCACCGAATGAATCTTTTCGTGTGACCGAATTCCATGTTTGCCCTGACACTAATGTGGGGATACACCTTGAATAATCTTCCACCGTCAGCGATAGTTGCGCTGCATAGCATCTCAAATACTGAAGGGTGAATAGTGAATCTACCGCGGCCGTTACACGGGAGTTACGTAACCCTGGGCCTGAGACGAAGAATTCCTGGCCAATCCTCTTCCTCAATAGGAACATCTTGTATTCGATACCTTAGACTGAGAACGATTTCAACCACATCTTATGTACAAGGATAGACTCAACTACACACACTACTAGTACATCCAAAGTTTCAATTACCAGACCCCTCCGCTTCGACAATTCGCAGACATCCCTCAAATTCTATATTAAGCAACGTTACATTCGACCAACCCCCTAGTTACTTCTGAAACACCACACACCTATGCCTGACAGCCTTGAAGCGAAGGTAGTCAAGTCAAATGATCCTACCCAATTCCATAAACCCGTTAAGCGCTCATGTCAGTCATACTACTCCAGGGACCGGAAGGTTCATGCTTAACCCTGCTGTGGCATCCGCCGGGTAGACCCGGGTGGATCCATCCCCCTAAATGGGGGTTCGGGCGGATCCACACCCCTCCACAGGCCGTGATGGATTGATTGGAAAGGGTGCTCCGTATGCAGTTCTGGTATCACTGCAGGCGCCTAATAACTGGCTATGAGGTAGGAGGCGTCCCTGATGTTTGTCTCCGTTTTCATCACCCCGGTTATAAAATTTGCGCGTGGAAGAGTGAATGCGACTGACCCATTTTTCCCAGGAACAACAGGAACAAATGTGGACAAAGACCCATAGGTATACTTCGGAAATCTCCGATGTATAGATGGGAAGAGAGGCCCAATATTATATTCTCCTCCTGTGAAGTGCTAACCTGGTTGTTTAGCGGACAGCTGATCCACCTTGGCCTCAAGCACTATGGAATGAAGGATTGATACTCATTTGTGGAAATTAAGCTTCAAATTGAGTTAATCATAGGGAACTCAATACTTTGCCAGACTAACAGTGTCTGTCGAGCTTAGCGGCTAGCATTGAATATAAGGTGGGGGCTTGGTGTCACACCTGAGGAAGGATGGGGCCAAAGACAAGGTATCTAGCCGCCACGGGCCCTTGTCCGGCGTCAGGAAGCCCCGGTCTTTAAGCAAGGCCCGATCGCACCGCTTGCTATATATCGGGGCGGCTTCCACCCATCCAGCCTTTTTTTCAAGCACCTGCGTCCAACTTTAAACACCACACTCCTTCTACTCCTTACACATTCAAGCAATCCTCATTCCTCGATTCCTGCTAATACGTCGAGTTCATTTTCTTCTGCAACCACAACCACGATGGTCCCCGCACGACGCGACATCCTGCCGGACAGGCCACTCAATGACTATGAGCGATGGCTCGAAACCCAGAATCAAGGTTTCTAACCCCTTGAAAACACACGATACTCTTATCGACGCGCTGACACGTCCCAGAGAACAACCCAGATCCCTCTCCCCATGAAAGTCAGCACGTCCTGCATCACCACACCTCCGTACCGCATGGCAGCTTTCCCGCCAAGGCGAGAGTCCAAATCTCCGACGGACTTCTTTCCCATCAGTACATGGAATACATGGAAATGGCCTCGAAATTGGCATTACTTGGTGTTGTGCTAGTTGTCCTCGCAAGACTTGTACGGCGTTCCCGAGCCCGACACCACCCTCCAAGTCCTCGAGTCTCTGAAGTGGAAGCAAATACACATGGCACAGAGGAGAAGCGCTTGCTCTGAGGAGAGATGGGAAATGGGACAGGAGTCGAAATATGGAATCAAGGCTGGTCTTTTTTTTTTTGTTGTTGTTGTTTGGCTCTCTTGGGATACTGCCTACGGTTGGAGTTCTGGGGCGTCTTCGGGGCTACTTTGATATTTGGATACCACGTCCGACTTCATCATTTCTTTTCCTTTCTTTGATATGCCTGTTTCTGTAATCACGCGACAGGAATGAAATAATACTCTGACATCAGGATGTAACAAAACCCATGCCAGGCATGCACAGTCAGTGTAACATTGACGGCATCGGTCACACAGACAGATGTTGAACGGCGCGAGCTCAAAGACCCTTCCACGGCCCAGGAGACGACAAGCATTCTCCGGAGCACACGGCTCACTTAATGCAGGATGATCCAACCCCCAGGCCAGCACGAAGTCTCTGATTCGCTAACTCCATCCACCAAAGTGGCATTAGATCCAAGGCGGTTAGGAGATGCATCGATTGAGCGATAGCGTGGCTGTCGCGGACAGCCAACCAGTAGTCTCTATGCCCTCACGCCCATTGGATCTCCAACCGTTGTCGTGAACGCGAAATGGCCCCGGCTCGGGCCTAACAAAACTGAAACGGCACCACACGGTCACTAACTCGGTAGAGCACGGGCAGAGAGAATCCGGAAGGTAGTGCGGTGCGATTTTGTATATCACCGTATAGACTTCGTATGAGACAATTCGACCTACTTTGTGCTCCGTAACGGCGTATATTGAGTGACGAAGGATTGCAGATACTGGAATACCACTTTATTTAAGAAGGGGGAAGTGGGGGGGCCTCTCAGCCCCGATGGGGGGGACCGGATATGCTCGGCCGGGGTCGGTTAATTAGCCCGCAGTCACTGGTTCAGCCACTACCGAGAATGATCCTCGATTCGAGGCGTTTGACTTGCTCAACTCCTGCCATATTGCTGCTGTTGCTCCCAGGGCGCGTATTTGCTTCTTGGTCAAATAACATATGCTACAATTATCGAAGTCAGTTCAATAAGCAAATGCCATGGGGTTTGTACTCTGTACAAACCACGAACTTGACTGTTCCTGCAGCGCCTACTGAGATAAGATAATGAACACCCCTCACTGGCAATGATAGAAAAGAGATCAGGCAGATAGCAACACAGCGGGCCTGAAGAGTGGAATGAATTGTTACTCGGGTCATGGTCATATCTATACCCTCTCACTAACCCTCCCTCCTCGGCGCTAGATGTTGAGTGGTTCAATTTCCCATCAGGCTTAATTCCGCCGAACAACTCACTATGGACGGTCTATCTCCGAAAGGCGTCAAAGGGAAAATGTCAAAGGGAAAGCGCTAAAAGTCATATCTCCGACAGAGCAGTACTTATCCTGAGCTTTACCTTTCTCCGCTTTCTATCAAAGCCTCGATGCATATTGGTTGGTTGGTCAATTTGGGTCGGGCGCTTATATGGTTCGAGATGGCATGGTTGGCTGTGCATCAGAGCCGTCTGTTAGCCGCCGACCAGTTTAAGAGACAAACCTTGCACCTGAACAACCCCAGCTTCTTTTCAGCAACGATCATTGCCTTCTCTGCAATATCCAGCATCCTTGCCGCTTGCTCCCACCCATCCCCTCAGAATCTAGAGCCTGATCTCCAGTCCAGATTCAAACAGCAGAGCGTGTGTACATCTCCACCGCGTACAGACACAAACACATACCACAGATTATTTGTTCCTCTTCTCAAGCAAACATGTCAGATGCTCTAGGACCCCCATACGGCTACGCCTTACGCCGAAACGGCTCCTGCCTCACCACCGAAAACGACTGCGGTCAAACATGGGCTCCCTTCCACATCTGCTGCCCGAACGGCACGACATACGATTCCAGTAACGGCTCCAAATGCTGCCCCTCTACGGCCGACTGTACCAGTGACGTCAACGAGCCTCCGCATTGTGCGAATTCCACTGCCGTTCTTTACCTCGAAAACGCCTACTTTTGCTGCCCGGAGGGGACGGATGCCTTTGCCTGGACGACATACGGTTATGTGGGCTGTACGGAGGATATATCGGTCTTGGGGGCGGAGTACACCCGGTTATCGGCGGTACCTAGTTCGACGACAAGTACTTCGACCTCTCAATGTACGTGTATTCTTACGTGCAGGTTTATCTGTTTTGAGGTTCGGTTCTGATGGATGAAAGCTTCAACTATGATCATGAGAACATCAGATCTCTCCATCACATCTACGTCCGCCACGACACCTGCAACAAACACAGCTGCGAGAGCAACAGCTGCGACAACGACACTTCCTCCTACGGCAACGTCTGTACCTGACCCTTCAAATACCCCCTCGAAAACCAACACCGGAGCAATTGTGGGTGGAGTGGTGGGTGGGGTGGCTGCCGTGGCTTTGATCGTATTATTGACCTGGTTTATCCTCTATCGTCGAGGTCTGGCAGCACAAAAGGCCAGGCAGCCGGATCCATCCATATCTTACTTTTCCCCAAGAATGAAGTACGATCGGCCTACTGAACTCTACGCCGGGCATGTCGCGCCACGGTATGAGTTGCCAACACGCCAACCACACTATGAATTACCGACAGCCCCGCCGCTTTATGAGATGTCAGCTGGCACGCCAAATCTGCCAAGCAGGCCAGAGCTTATATGATAATATACCACCAGCTCACGGTTGTAATGATCTTTATATAAGAATTCTAGGGCTGACTGTTGAGCCAAAAAGAAGAGGAGATTGCAAGAAATACAAATAGTAACCGAGGGAACATGACAGGAAAAGGTAATTTGTCGACCCTGCCGTGAAATCCATTCCATGGTCGGTTTCTTAAGCAGCTTCAAAGCTGCAAGGCAACGTAGCTAGGTACTATATATCTGTTCCACATCCTCTCAATCTGTAAGCGGCCATCTGAATCTGTCATTCCCCCAAAGAAAGGCCCGTGTGAGCGCACCAGGAGCAAGACCCTTTTGACCCTGTTCAAAGTTTGCCTTCTCCAGCTTTTTATTCTAAGGCGAAGGGTGAAATCCTGTTATGCTCCACAGCCGCTGACAGCGACGGCACCCACATGCGCGGCCACAACAAGCTTCTCTCCCAGCAGCACAGTCCTTGCAAAGAAACGGCGACATATACCACCCCATCGGGCCCTGTCGAGTCGAGACCATCGCGCGACGGACTGGCGAACGACGCACCCTTTGTCTGCCCACGTAGCCTTCTCTAATGAGGCGCCCGCGTTCCTTATTCAAGTCACTGAGTTCCTTCTGCCAGTCCCGCAGCTGACATCGTTCTTCTTCCGATAGACCTTTTCTGTTCAAACGCCGACATCTTCCGAGGATCGCTGCTTTCTGTTGAATGGCGTCGCGTTCACGCATGTCCGCAATGAGACTTGAACGCACTGGGTTGTATGTTTCCCGGATACCGTGAGCTTGAGGGCGGTTCTGTTTTCCACGCAGCCAGTGCGCTGTTTTTGTTTGTTGTTTTCCGTCGGCGTCGAGCTTGTCAAGTCGGATCAGTAACGGCTCGACCTTTGTGGCGAGCCATCGTATAGGCCCCATTTGGAGGGTCTTGTTGTTTGTTGTCTTTGGATGCTGGGGAGGAGGTGTGGTTGGTGGTGGAATTGGTTGGCCGTACAATTGGTTGATTTCTTAGTAGGGATGAATGGAGAGTGTCGTTTGTTTGGGTAGTACGTCATTAATTTCGCTCGCCAGTTTTTATACATCATGATGCTGTAGTATGCCGGGCCACTTGCTTTCCATTCTCCTTTGGTAAGAAATTAGTTATAGCCTTGGTTATAGCCGATGGAAAGTCTCGTGGCTCACTAGTATAAGAATGTCAGCTTTGGCTCTCCAGCAGAAGACTTGGAACTCTTTGTTGATCCCACTGGATTGATTATCTCGTGCTGCTTTTCCACTTCATCGTCTGCGCTGTTTTGCATGGCGTTTGCTATCGTAACTCCGCTTCTGGGTAGAGCTTTCTCTGAGCTATTTCTAAACGTGCGACTCTGTTTCTAAACGCGTAGGATGGCAGATCCAACTTTCTAGATGAAGCCGTCGGTAAAAGGTGGATCAACATTGAAGATGAAGGGCGCATGTGGAGAAGGCAAGTCGAAGGAATCTTGACGGTAAAAACCACAAAAGATGTTCAAGTCACGCCAACAATTCACAGTTTTTTGTTACCACCTACTCCTAATCTACCTTGCGGTGCTGTAAATATACATGCTGCCAGGCAGCCAATGACATGCCCTCTCTGCATCAGCCTATACCGAACACGGCTAGCGCGGAACCCGATCACCTGCCGGCTTGGATCTAGTCTCGTCGGTCCGCCCTTTGCATCCTTTTCCGCCTCATCTATCATCATCACCACAGGCTAGACTAACAACAAGGACTTGGCGCTATGCGCCTCTACTTCCCAACCCCGTTTTCCTGTATACGAGGTAGACATGTCACTGCCTTCAAACGGCGTATAAATCCCGTCTTCTACAGCCAATGCCATATCCTCTGCAGAAATAGCGCACGACATGCATCAACATCAGCATATAACAATAGCCAGACCGTCGACATCCCCGTCGGAAACAGTGGATATATCTCCCTTCAGTCAGTTACTTACTCCACCCTTACAATCAGATTCTCTCAGAACTAACCGCCCATCCAGAATAACCCACCCCGTCGCTTCCCCGGCGCAAACCCGCGGAAACGTGATCATCCATCTCCCACCAGGACCTGTCTTCGCGCAAGCATCCCCAGATGCAAAAGAATACAGAGATGGCCAACCCACCATCGCCTCTCACCGCGACACCACCCCCCAAACCCTGGCATCCATCACCTCTTCAACAGTAGTAACAATCAACTACCGCCTCGGACCCCTCCTCAACACACTAAACACAGCACCAACCAACCCCGAATCCCTACCTTCACCCACCAACCATCTATTCCAATACCCGACCCCCATCCACGACACACTCGCTGGCCTCGACTACATCCAGCAAACCCTCACCCCGCAACGCCTATCCATCATAGGCACGCACGTCGGCGGCTCCCTCGCACTCATGCTCTCACTCACCGAATCCCAATCCATCCACGCCATCGCAGCCCTCGACCCGATCTGCGACTGGACGGCTCTTGACGAGCACTGTCATCAATCCCCCCCGGCCAATCATGGGGATGATAATCCCAACAACAAAAACAACAACAACAACAATACAACCCCCTTACACCCCTCACGCAAACGCGGTCCCCGCTCCCCCGCACCCTGGGATCTAATGCCGCTCCTCGAGGCCCGGAGGGCGTATTTCACCACTCCGGAACGGTACTTCGATGCGTTTGCTTCTCCGATGCTGTTTCTTAGGTCGGCGGGGAAGCTCGTTCCGAGGTTTTTCCCGGAGTATGATACCGGGGCTGGGTATCCGGTTCCTGTGCTGAAGGCTAGACCTACATCTCCTAAAGGGTTGGGGGAGGGAGATGATGATAGGGCTGCTGATTGGTGGGAGGCATATTCGAGGTTAGATGAGCAGAGGGACGGCGCGCGGATTACGGATTGGGATGCGGACGCGGATATGGATGGCGAGGGGGAAGCGGAGGCGGAGGAGGTTAATGTTCGGAGGAGAAAGGCGCTTTCGAGGTGGCCGCCTTTCGGGTTGGATTATGGGCTTAGTGGGGATAGAAAGAGGAAGGGGAAGGGGGAGGGGGAGGGGAGGACGCCGGATCGGGAGGTGAGGGAGTTGGAGATGACTCTTCCGTGGGTGAGGGTTTTGAGTCGCCAATGTCGGGGTAGTAAGGGCATGGGGAGAGGGCGTCCTGTCAAGGGTGAGACTGTGCTGTCTGCGCAGGCGAGTGAGATGGTGGATGTTATGCGTCGGGCTTGTTTCTGGGGAAGGGAGAGGGGGTTCGCGGAGGAGAGAGTCACGCTTGATAAGGTGCCGGGGGAGGAGTGGGTTGGTCCTGCGGAGAAGAGGGCGGGGGAGTGGGTGAGGGGGATTATGGAGGTGGATGATTAGACTGACTCCCCCTCCTTCCTCCATATTGCTCGATTCATGATCGCACTCCTCAAATAAGGCAATGCATGCAGATGCTCTTTACCACCAACCTGCAGCGGTCTAAGCCAGTTAGAAACGAATTTATGTAGACTAATTAGTAGATAGAACTAGTTCTTACCTATCCACTTCTAGCAACAGGTTCAGAGACAAGCTGGGCCTCTCTCTCTGCCTTTTTTGCATCATGAAATGCAATGACATCCGCGTATAATGCTACAACCTTGGCCTGGGTGAAGACAGGGACTTGCATCAGATGTCGTTCTAGGCGGGGGAGAGAGGAGAAGTCAGAAACTAAGGTACAGGCAGACCGCGGTGCCTGAGGGTTGCACCTGTCAGTGACCGCCTGCAGGCCACCTCTTCCCTCCTCTTCAGGCAGTCTCTGCTCCCTTCCTTTGAGTCCCCGCCACATCATCATATCATCCGGACAACGCAGTCTATATCCAGGGCTGCAAATTTGCGAATCTCCTTGGGAAGGGAGTCGATCCTCGCACCGGTCAGTACAGCTATGCAATCAGTCTTTGGGAGACACCAGCACAGGGTAAAACAACGCCGAGTCTTTGATATTGTTTATTGGTTATATAAAGCTTCGTTCTGACAGTCTCAGGAAATCCTATAGGGCTATGATGCCACAGAGCCAGAAATACAAATTCGTAAAAATCAGAAAGCGATGTCCCCCTGAATATCAGACTCGACGGTGAAAGCCTAGGGCGAGGTTCCGAGGCATCACACCCAAAAACAAACCTCTACCTATGGTGTTAGACAACCAATCTGAAACAGCGAACTTTGACATCCTCACTGGAAACCTTGACCTCGTGTCGGACGCTTCTGATGTCCACCAAAACCTTATGCCGCTGATTTCATAGCTGTGGCAGGACTGGTTGGAGATTCCGTTGACTGGCTAGCTCTATTGAAGACGAGCTTGACGGTCAAGGTTGTGGTAATCACGAACAGGAGCCATTCCACGGCTCCAAAGACTGTCGCCGCCTTGAGCGACCCACAGCCGTTCTCTTCTGCCGGACATGCATTGCTCCCTATGTTGATCGCCACAGCCATGAAGCCAGCAAGCCATGAGAGGAGGGCCACCGCCTCGACGGCGACACGGATATAGCCAATCCACCTCTGGTCCGCGGAGCGGATTCCAGCAATGAGGAGAAAGATACCGCCCAGGAATGTCCATCCAGCGCAGAACAATAGGAAGCCCCACGCGTTAGGAACGCCTTCGTACGCGTAGAAGTTGCCGTACACGAAGTGCTCATAGACAGTGTGGCCGCGAAACACGTGGATAGCTAGGCGATGGGGTCAGAGTCTATCGACAGAGTAGGATATAGTGGTTCTCCGTACCGTGTCCGTCTATTCCTAAGACGATGATGGCGAAGATGAGCTGCAGCGCTCGCAGGGCAAAGTCAACTGTTCTATTCGTCGCTAGGTTCATGGCCATGATGTACAGCAGCAATCTGTGGTTGAATTGGGAAAGAGGTGACGGGCCCGTCGAATAACTGAAGAACTGAAGACATGAAAATAGAATAGAAATCCGGGCTCGGGGTGCTTATAACTTACTGGCAGCGAGGGCACGGGACAAGACAATGTCCCAACCGACAATGCTGCGCCGCCAACGGTCAGTGGAGCTTAGCTCGATGCCTGGTGCTCTGAACCTCAGATTTGCTAGGCAGTATCTACAAAGTAAAGTACTAATCTATAACAACGTGCATGGTGTTTGTCGAGCTAATCTATATTTAGCAAGGCTACTTACTTACTTTAGTATGTAACAATACCCACCTGTACGAACGAGCCAATCAGCCCTTTCACCATCAGAGTCCCGCCTGTACGAACGAACCAATGATATGCACCATGATATGCACCGGCCTGGAGCAGGATTTGTAATCATTGGTCTATATTCGAGCTATATAGTATAGTACGCCTCTTAGTTTGTACCATGCGGCTGTTCCCAGCCAAGTGTCCTTCGCAGGCTGTGAGAGATGACTTCCCCGCTGGTCTACGAACACACCAATAGACGACCCTCTTTTAAATTCGATTGGTACCCCATATGATTTGCTTTTGAAGCCAATGCGGCATTCAACTGACGGCGTATGGATCATACTGGCCCTGGGATTCGTTAACATCAAATGTGATGGGTGAGATGAAGAACAAGGACACCAAGACAGCGGCCAGTCAAGCTTGGAGAAGAAAGCCTCGCAAGTTTGCTCCAAAGTCAAGACTAGGCTGTAAGACTTGCAAGTGAGTCTTGACTTTGTATATTGCTGCAGAGCAATCAGTCATGTTCACGGACTCACAATCCTCAGGATAAGGCGAGTGAAATGCGATCTATCTCTGCCTTCATGCCTGAAATGCCATTCCACCGGTCGCACCTGTGACGGCTATAGTGAAATGCCCCTCGCTTTCAAGACCGACAAGACCGACAAGACAGAGACAACAGAGAAGGAATCAAGATCAAGCCACTCTCACGGCGAGAAGCCCGACAGAGCAAAGAACTGCACCAGCTACCCCCTTGACACCACGACCAGTGCTTACCAGCCAAAACAATGGCACGCGAAACACCACGGCCTCACCTTGCGGAATCTCAGACCCTGCATGATCCTACCGGTAAACGGGCCAGCCCAGGCAGACGCAATGTGTTTTTTCGAGTGTATCTCGATCAAGCATCTGAATGCATATAACCCCTGCGAATCCTGGCGGAAGACTCTCGTTTTCTTCTCCCAAACAGTGCCATCGGTGCGGTATGCCGCAATCGCTCTGGCCCTGATCCACAGAAACTACCTGGATCGTGATTCCAGTGACCTTGTGCATCAACCGCAATCCAGAGCGTGGCTATCGGACAATAAGGCCCCCTTACTGCACTACAATCGGGCCATTCAATCCTTTCTGAGCCAGACGAATGGGGACAGCACCGAAACAACGACTATCGCCCTTTTGGTCTGCTACCTCCTTACCTGCTTTGATCATCTGGTGGGCAACTATGTCCAAGCGGTGAAGCACCTGCGTGGAGGTGTGGAGATTTCACGTAACATCAACATCATCATCATCAACAACAACAACAGTACTTCTGACAATCCTAATCCCTCGGGACTTTGCACGTTTATCCGCCAGGTGACGAGGCAGATCCGTCGCCTCGACATCCAGGCCGTATCATTCCTGGTCGACTGGACTCCAGGCGACATCCAAGAGACACGGATGGCCCCGATTCCACCTTCTTGTACATGCAATACTACATTTCACTCTCTCGAACAAGCCGCCGACCACCTCCAGATCCTCGTCGCGCAGGTGATGAGACTGTGCAACACGGAGCAGCAACTGTCCCCGATGGGCGAGATGCCACCATTGCCCTCGTCACTAAAGGATATCGTTCTCGGGCAGTTGGAAACGTGGCTGAGTCTCTTCGAACAAGGCAACCCCTACACGACAGACCCTGAAGCCTACCCGCTCGCATCCCTTCTGCGCCTACAACATACAATTGCATGGATTCTCCTCAGATGTTACGGACCCGGTAGGGAAATGGCGTATGACGATTTCCTGCCCCAGTTCCAGCAATGCGTGGCCTTCGCGGGCGACGTGGCCGCCGCGCATGAGCGGTATTCCGGCTCTTTGAAGCCGACCTTCACGCCAGAGGTCGGGATTATCCCCGTGCTTTATATGATCGGGGTCAAGTGCCGGCATCCTGTGGTTCGACGCGAGGTGTTGGGTATCTTGCGACGGCAGCGGATGCGGGAGGCGGTTTGGGATAGTATCTCTGCTGCCAGGGTGGTCGAGCGGGTAATTGAGATTGAAGAGAGTGGGACTGGGGATCAGATGGTACTGAGTATGGAGGAGATCGCTGTGTGGCAGAGGGTCGAGGCTTTGTCTTGGGTACATGGCGGTGGACAGTCTGCGGCCAGGTTGGATATTACATATACGTTCTGCGCGCGTGAGGGCTTGCATATTGAGTCTCTCGTGATATGACGGACAGAAAGGCGGGGGGTAGCCTCGGCGGCAGGAGGGTGGCCCTTGGTGACGTTGCAGAAGGTCGAACGGCAACATGGAAGAGCGTCGGGGTGGATTTCGCGATGGGCGCTGCCGGTGGCGTTGCCTGTCCTTTGCTGGGGAAGATTGGCGGCTCTGGGCTGTATATTGCCGAGATTCTGAACTTGGGTTTTCGATGCTCGTATTCTCTGTCGCGGAAGGATGACGGAGGTGAGAATGGTTCTGGATTGTATCTTTCTCTTAGGCGTACTTTGCGCGCGCCGTCAGACTGGAAATCCTAGGAGTCTTTCTTGGGAAGACTGGATGTGATTGGATCTCCATTTGTCTAACACCCTTTAACCGTTAGATAGATGCATCAAGTTCTATCGAGGAGTTGTGCTGTCATTGGAGTGTCAATCCAACTATTCTTCATCTGATATAAATGTATAATGTCATCTGACACAATGTCATCATAATAATAAATCTTTGGACAAATTGAAATGTAATTGCAGAGGGCTAGAGATGGGTACCGTAGAAACGCTCAATGTGACATACAAAAACGGATGGGAGAATCATGCGAGCTCAGATCACAGGAGACACAAGTGAGGAGGGAGATAACAAGGGCAGCTAATACAGGGGTAATAAGTAGACGAGGTGGAACATAGAAAAGAAATGATGAAATGGTCTAGAAATCTTCAGGACTCTCTAGGTCCTCCAGCTTCTGACCCAGGAACCTTCCTAACGCCGCGGATTTGGACTCCAGCGCAAGCAGGATATCTGGCGATGAGGAGAGATTCAGAGTCGCAAGACGAGCGAGGTCACTGCTGCGGTCGATTTCGTACTGGGTATCAAGCTGTGCGGAGCCGTTCTCGCCGTGGCTTCGGCCTCCGTTGGCGGCAACGACGCTAGCGTACGACCGACCATCGTGCGCGGCGTCGGATCCTGCTGTGTTGTCGGCTGCCGGTGGCGCAGAACCGTTCTGCAGAACGGGTGCATCCTCTGCGTCGCCAAGTTTCGAGGGTCCAACCGCAGCAAGGAGGACTTTGTCCGCTATTCTTGTCACGACGGCGACCAAGTCGTCCAGCTCAAACACGATGGACCCGACATCACCGAGGGAGACGGACGGGGTGGTGACGTATGATGATGGGTGGCTGGCTGGGTTCACGCCGGTGAGGTTACCACTTGAGGCATTTTTCGCGTAGCAGGTGTAGGCGGCTCCGTAGGTTGCGCTGAGGTTGCGAAGTTGTCGGGAGGAGAGGGAGGAACCGTATGCGAAGATGGCGCCGTTGGTGGAGAATACTCTGGATGGATGATGAGTTGTTAGCAGGGCTAACTCAGGTGGGGTGGAGTGGTTGGGCTGGTGGGGTGATGTGTACAGGATGGTGGTGATCTCCGGAGGCGACAGGTTATCCTCTAAGAGGTCGCTGAGCGCCTCCGCATCCAGCATCTTTATGTCGGGGAGACCGGGAATCATGATGGCTTCTTCCTCGTACAGCTCGGATGCGACGTCGTCTTCGAAGGTATCCTCGATGATCAGGTCCTTGGGCGGGGAGAAGGAACAGTCCTCCGGGAAGAAAAAGCAGTTATCCCAGGAGTCGCGGTCGTCGTAGTCGTACTCGATTGGGTCTTCTGAGTATCCGAGGAGGTCTTGCGCGTACTGAACAGGACTTCGGGCCCAATATGGACGGTACGGGGGATCGTGGAGGCTATCAGGTTTCCGGGCAGGGATGTCGGACCGGACTGGGGAGTCAAACTCAGCCATTTTGCTTTGATAGAGATAGTGGTAACGATGATTGTGTTTCAGGGGAGCGGCAGAGAAATTAGGCAGAGCGTGGGGTATATAATAGGGCGTGGAAGTTGTGGAAGGGAAAGGGGAGATGAGACTCGGGGCTCCAAGAACGAGACGCAGCGTGGTACAAATATTGTACCGGGAGGGGTGCCAGGCGCTTCTGCCTGTCGTTTGCAGGAGGAGACGGGCGTGGGATCAACTGGGATCTCCTGCCCAAGACTGAGCCCGAAATTCGCATCTCATGGTCGAACGAGGCGTGGTATGATCCATCTGACGTTCCAGAACACAGGCAGTCGACGTGGGGGGGGGAATGTCTCACGGAGGAATGTCCAGACTGGGGTCAATGGCCACGGGGAGGTGATTGGGGAAAGTAAAAACACGAGGGCTGTATCGGATAGGAGGCAGGGTGGTAGGGGAAGAGAAAAAGAAAGGAAAAGTGGCAGTCAATGGCCAACAAGGCCGATGTCCGCCGCGCAAGCGATGATCGCGTAGACAAAGGGTGACGATCCACGATCCTGGGGGGATCCTTGCCCGGGATGCAGGGAGGGGAGAGAAGGAAAGAAAAAGGAATCACAAACCTTATCGGATCTGGGTCAGCGACCTGCGCTAGGGGTTCTGGAGGCAACACGAAGCTGCAGAGGGAGGGACGAGACGAGAAGCTGCCAAGGCGAGTTGAGGTTGGAGATGAGAGGGAGAGACGATCGATCGGGGCGTCGGGGGGTTCGCCGGCAGAAAAGAAGTATGGGGTATCCGCCCCCTCACCGCCTGGCTGGAGCGTTGTCGTGCATTCCAGGATGATCATGGTTGATATCCTCTGTCTTCTGGTGGAGAAGATGTAGGATAGGAGTATGTGATAGAATGTGGGAGAATGCAGGAAACGCAAATCAGCCAACACAGCAAGAGCAGCTTTCTGGCCTGGCCTGTCCTGTCCTGTCCTGTCCAACTGTTAATCTACCTGGCAGACCACATGGTTCCCTACTCCTGTTTACCGCCAAATATATTCTTATGACCTCCTACCCTTCCCATCACTTGAACGAGCGCTGAGCTAGCTATATTCTATCCAATCGCGGTTATATCTTATTCCTGAGCCAATACATCGCACCAAAAGTATACAGTGCACGATTGACTGGTTCCGACCCGATTGATTAATAATGGCAGCAGCTGGGGAACACTGGATAGCGTCATAGGCGGGCGCCCCCACCTTTTTTCCGCGCGGTTCTCCTTCCAATCCATGCCGCTCGCTAATCCAAACAAGTGAACCGCCCATCCTCTTACCCCTCCCCCCCAATTCCCCCTCTTTCCTGGATGTATTCCTTGCCCTCTCTTCGCTCCTCCTTCCTCAGGGTCCTCGTCCCAAGATTCTCCATCGTGCCTGGTATGTTCCCGACCAATTCCACCACCCCGAGTCGTTTCCCCACTCGGGTCCAGACTGCCTGCTTGAATGCAGTTCGCTCACTGACGGTCGAACTCTACACAGTAGGAACCAGTTCCAGCCGATCACTCGCAACCATGGCGACCGACACTTCGAAGTATAAGCTTAACCGTTAGTGGCTTCCCTGCCAGACATGACAATCGGTCTGCTCTTAGCTAACCATGTCTACTATCCGACAGACACGATGATTCGGGTCAAGGACCCGAAGAAGTCCCGTATGCTCTCCCGGTCCCTCTCCCTCTCCCCTTCCCCGGCGCATTGTATTGGTAGCCCGCCAGCTCACCCCCCATCTAGTGGAATTCTACAAATACCTTGGCCTCAGCCAAATCAACAACCTCGACTTCCCGGAGGCCAAGTTCTCCCTGTACTTCCTCGCCTACACGGGCCCCCAGTCCCTGCAGGGCGACCGACACTTCACGGACCGCAACGGGGTGCTGGAACTGACGCACAACCACGGCACTGAGACCGACCCGAACTACAGCGTGGTGAACGGCAACACGGAACCGCACCGCGGGTTCGGCCACATCGCCGTGTCGGTCGACAACATCGAGCTCGCGTGCAAGAGACTCGAAGATGCCGGGTACCCGTTCCAGAAGAAGCTGACGGAGGGTCGCATGCGGCACATCGCCTTCGTCAAGGACCCCGATGGATACTGGGTTGAGATCATCCGCCGTCACCACCAGGATGTCGGCAACACCACCGACCCCTCCACCTACCGGCTGAACCACACCATGCTCCGTGTCAAGAACGCCGAGGCCAGTCTGAAGTACTACCAGGAGGTCTTCGGGATGACTCTCGTGCGCACCGTCGAGAACAAGGACGCCGGCTTCAACCTCTACTTCCTCGGCTACCCCGCCGCCAACCCCGAGATCCGCGAGGGCGCCACAAACCCCGTCTCCGAGTGGGAGGGCCTGCTCGAACTCACTTGGAACTACGGCACCGAGAACCAGGAGGGCCAGGTCTACCACAATGGTAACACTGAGCCCCAGGGATTCGGTCACATTTGTAAGTTAGCCCTGAAACTTTTACTTACCCTCATCGACCGAACCGACCTTCGGACGAGACGAGACGAGACAAAACGAAAACTACGGTCGTGAGTGAGTCGGTATCACTAACGCCACTGGCTCCCTTCTCTAGGTGTCTCTGTCGACGACCTGAACGCGGCCTGCGAGCGATTCGAGTCCCTGAACGTCACCTGGAAGAAGCGTCTCACCGACGGTCGCATGAAGTACGTCGCGTTTATCCTGGATCCCGATAACTACTGGATCGAGGTTGTGCAGAACGAGGCCCTCAAACACACCGGCAACTTGTAATAGAGTCGCGTGACTGTGACTGTGACTGTTCGTAGTTATCAACCTTAAGCGATGTTATGTTTCTATATCATGATTGTACCTATGATCGGTTGATCGATCGATCGATCGATTGATTTATTCCTTCTACCCTGCTGTGTTCCAGTCAGCAATCCTCTATTTCTCTCTGCGAACCATCGATAGACTTCAGCCTCGGATTGTATGTATATATGCAAGAACACCTTACGTGAAGTCCTAGATCCTTGACGGAGGCGAAGATAATCATACAGCGAATGAATCAAATATGGTCTAAAAGATATCCCTCCCATCATTCTATACCGCAACTTAAGACAACCAACTACTAACTACCTGTGAAGCCCTTTTACAGCCGATCCCGATCCCCCAACCCCCAATCTACAACACTGTCTAGACCACTTAACACAACTACGCTACTTACAAACCTCGCGTATTACAAAGTAGTAATACCTAATATGCAAAGAAACCAAAATTAATGTGCCAGCAACATTAAATACATTAAAGATCCATCATGGGGATGGGGTTGGGTGTCAAAAAGAGTCTATCCAAGAGAGAGAAGCGAAGGATAGATATCAGAGAACTTGCCCGATAGTGTCCAAAGATGGTAGGTATACTATAGCAAGGCAAGGGCGAGATTGTCGAAGAAGTATGGCGGGTACGGTATACTGTGCAATGCTTGAGAAGGGCAAAGAAGGGGGAAAAAAAAGGGAAAGCGGTGATCCAACGTATGATCGAAACCAATGGACAAGAAGCCAAGTGGTGGGGGCGGGGTGCATGGGTGGGTGGTCAGACAGACAGACAGACACGTAAGTGTTCATGTGCATGAGACACTTATGCTTATGCCTTGGTCTCGGCTGCCTTCTCGGCGGTCTTTTCAACCGTCGGGGAGGTTGCTGCAGCGCTACCGGAAACAGACGGGAGGGAGGCCGCCGTGCCGCTGGTGTTGGTACGGCTAACAGCGGGAGGGGAGACCGGCGATGGGGCTTCCTGGGCAGCGCCTGCGGCGGCGGCGCTCTCCTTTTCGGCGTAGGCGGGCGGCTGGTTCGCTTCGGCGGCGACGGGGGAGATGGGCGACGACGCGACGGGAGACGTGTGCTGGGGAGCGCGGGTGGCATCCTTGATGACGGTCCACCACTTCTCGGCCTCGTTGGAGTTGGCGGCCTTGAAGTTCAGCTCGGTGTTAGTGTGGAAGGCATTGCCGACCTTGCCGCCGGAGACGTCCTTGCCCTTGACGCTGAACTTGGAACCGTCCATGGCCCCGATGATGCAGTCGGGGAGGAACAGGGACAGCTCAGGGGTCGGGTCGCGGCGGAGATCGTCGGTGTCCTTGAACTCGTGCAGGTAGCGGGCATGGGTGACGACGTAGTGGCCGGGACTGTAGCCCTTGAGCATGGCACGGGACTTGCGCTCCAGGGTACCCTCGATCAGAGGCTGAGTGTAGCGGTGGTCCTGGTTGGGGAAGGTGATGTTGGCCAGCGACCGCGGCGGTGCGTCGGGGTTGACAAGAACGCTGTCGTTTCTGGTCATGAAGTTGACCCATTCAAACTCGGGGGGGACCCTTTGGCCCACGGACAGCATGTCCGTGTACATGGCGCGGTGGCGATCCAGCTGGCCGCCCATGTAGGTGACAAACTGCTCCATCGCAGCCTGCACGGTCTGCAGGACATGCGCTTCGAACTGCTGGAAGTTGTTCTGCACCACGATGAGGTCCTGGCGGTTGTTGTTCTCCTCGATGACCTGCTTGTTCAGACGGTGAACGACACCCCGACGCAGCACGTACGGGTCATGGGAGGTTTCAAGCTTGTTGTGGGACGCCGCATCAAGCGTAGCCGTGTGCTGGGCGAGAAGCTCGATGTGCTTCTGCGTTACACCGCGAGCCTTCTCCACTGCCTTGGCGCCCTTAGCCGCGCCATTCTGCAGCTCCTTGGACTTGGCCTTGATTTCTTTGTGCAGGCGCTCCAGGGGTGGCAGCACAGAGCCTTTGAGGTTTTTCTCCGAGTCGGTATACAGGTTGACCATTCCCTGAGCAGAACTTAGCGACTGGCGTCATTGCAGGAACGGCGTATTTGGGCACATACCTGAGTGTTGGCGCGGATGTTCTCAAACCAACCAGCAACGCCCCCTGCGCTCTGGGAGAAATGATGACCTTCTCTCAGAGGATCGCTGACAGTCTGCGCGTTGAGAGTGGGATGTTAGTATAAACACAACCCCCAAACTCAGGGGTATTCCAGCCGCGCGCACCTTCAAGACCTTCTCAAAGTCCTTCGCCTGGGACTTGGACACCTTCGCCGTGACGGAAACGTAGTCCTCCAGGTATCCACACATATGCTTCCAAGCGCGGAGGCGCTCGAGGAGGAGATTCGTAGTCTAGCAATCAGACAGCCGTCAGCTCTATGTCTAGAATCGAAAGTTGGGGCGGCAGGGGACATTTTCGTCCCGCGTACCTCATTGCTGTCGGAACCGGGGATGGCCTCCTCATCACTCATGGAAGTCCGGCGGGTAAAGCCAGTCATGGTGCTGGACACGGTGCCAGACCGCTGGGGGAGCCTCGGCTCCACGGGGCTGCTGGTGGCCGACATTGATGCTGCGGGGTGGGATGTTGGACACAGGTGATCGAGAGAAAAAGAGGTCGACGGCGCCGCGGAGACACGATGGGATATGAATGAAACTGCCGTCGGAGCTCGCAGTGGAGGTCACCGGAAGCGCGATCGCAGACTAGTCGAGCCGGTCGAATCGTTAGAGGCTCGCCAGCGGCAGCCTACGTCGAAGCGGAGGCAGTGGGGCGTTTGGGGGACGACGAGATGAGGGCGAGACTGTCAGGGTGTGCGTAGACCGTAGTTAAATATAGACTAAGAGGGGAAAGGGATGGATTGATTTTGCGGCGCGTCAAGCGACGAGCAACAGGAACGCAAAACCCCCGAGAAAATAATGAGCGATGATGATGATGGTGGGTGGTGATGGTGACGATGGAGGGCGACGGATTAAAAGGGCAAGCGATCGACCGATGAAGTCACCGCCCGGGGGATTTGCCCCTCCATGAGCAATAATGAAACTCTTCAACCAGGGAATCGCTCCACGGGCTGCGCGCGCCCCTTCTTCCGGTTGTTCGATCGATCCCCAAACCAGTTGATCCGGGTTCATCCTGAAGCTTGACTGACTGCTTCAGAAATCCATCATCGCTGCTGACCCGGATCAGGCCATGCCGCCATACCCCCTTCGGCAATGCCCACTCCGCAAGCGGATCCGGCCACGCATCGAGGCACCGGAAAGCAAGGGGTACAAGGGACCACCGCCACCTCGTCTGTGGCTGCTTTCCCACACACGCATGATATCAGTCAGGGTGCTGCGGGTGGTTTTTTGTGTTGTGCATTCTAACGTCCGTCTACCTACACCATAAACTGCAGTCTCACGTGCGAGAAGAGTCGACATGTCTATTGCTGTCGTAACGCTAATGCTAAGGTATTATTTATTTATTGACAGGTCGATGTAGAGAGGAATCAAAGTGCCTGGTGTATTTTGGGGGGGTAACATATGCATAACTCATGTGGACGCCTGGTCATGAAAAAGTGGTTCGTAATGTGATGAGCCTGTCAGCCAGAAGGCCAACCCGACAGGAAGAAAGAAAAGAGACCCGGACGCCCTGTCAACCCCATCCTGTCTATTATTTGCAAACGCCGGTAAACGAAATCGAGATCCTGCCCACCAAGTAGCTCTATGCGATAGTCTGGGATCTGGATGGGGAAGGATGTCCCCAGACGTCCAGCATCTGATAGGACAGAAGATAAGTATGTGCGAGGTGGTGGTGTGCTTGGAAAGGTTGAGGGCGATGATGCTCAAAGGTATCTGTAATCCGATTAGACCCTGGCCCGAGCTTGAACGAGACGCAGTCGACGGTCTTCGTCGTCGTGACTGGTGGGGCGAGGGTTGAGGAGTCCAGACCGACTGTGAAGCGCATCAATGGCTGTGAAATATGAAGACCCCCGGCCCGCATTGGCAGTGCGGAGGTATGCCTGCTGGGGCGACTGAGGGGCGGAGATGACGACATCCTCGGCGATGACAGTCGAGTAATCCGGCAGATCAGAGTCGCAAGGGCGAACAGTAGTGCGAACGGCAGTAGAGTAACTCGGAACACGACTGAGGGTCTCGACCTCGGCATATTGAGGGTGATACGGCGTGGCCATGCCGGAGTGGATGTAGTCGTGGTCGTGCTCGTGCTCATCCGAGGGACGGCGAGAGAGCTCTGGGCTCGTAGGGCTATGCGAATTGGAGCCGGATGCCGCTCCAGCGAAATAGTCGGGAGGAGGGTTCAGGCGACGAGTGTCGAGTTCGGGGTGTTCATGCTCGGTAGGTGAGGCGGGGTAGCTGTGTCCGTTCGCGCGGAGACTCGATAGACGGCTGTGCAAGGCAGATGCGGAGATGTCCGTGTTCGTCAGGGCATTCATGGAAGCAAGGTTCTCAGACGACATATTGCGACTCAGAGTTCCGAAAGGAGTGCCAGCACCGCCGCTTCCAGGCCCAGGGGTCCGGTATCCAGAGGGATCAAGCTGACTGTACAGCTGATCGAACTGGTGCTCGCCGTACAAGGGGGGAGCTTGATGAGCCAGATCGTCGACCGCTCTTTGCGTGGACTGGGGGGTTTGGTCGACCAGGTTGTTGTTCTCATCAATCGCAAGGGTAGGAGAGATGAAGATTGAGACAGGAAGGGTGGCCCGAAGCTGCAAACAAGTCAGGATAATTTTGTTAAAAAGAGACGCAGTGATTCTTACCTCACTAACGTGCCCATCGGGGTTGAGTAGCTGAACCCGGAACTTGAGCTTATGACGGATCTTGATGCCCCTGGTGTCGGTGTCCTGCAAGCATCGGGTCAAGGTTTTAGGTAGCTCCAGGTGCCGCGTGAATTGGTAGCCCTCGGCCATTTCATCAATAATTTCCAACCCATTGTCCTCATCTAGATCATGCTCATCATTCAAGATGGTCCTTGTGCTTTTGTATGTGTTGCGAATGGAATCGGGATCTTCGGGGTTGAGGGTAAGGTCGTGGCTTTCGATCAGCTGGGAGACGATCTGCCCAATTCTGAGTCCCTTTAGTAGAGGAATCAACTTGAAATCCACCCGAAGACAGGTGCCAAAGACAACCGCTTTGGTTGGCGTGCTGATGGAGTATTCAATCTTGTTTGGCCAGACGTTTTCCACGGACTGTCGTACAGTTAGCGGGGTCAACTGCAAAGCGGCATCTGAAACTGCCTACCATAGCGTGCGCAAGTTCAAGAGCGCTGGGCTCCAGAGTTCGGATGATACGAAGCGGCCGGCGAACGATGATATCCTTGGCATACTTGCGTCCAATCTCCGCCTTGAAACGGTAGGTCACGTAGGTGTCGGTGAGACCCTCCACGCTCTCCGGCATGGAGCCCTCAAGGACGATGTTGAAGGGGTACTCGTAGTTGCCGGCCGGCAGGACCTCAGTCTTGCTTTTACCAGCATCTCTGAATCGCCAGGTTTTCTCGTAGAACACACGTTCTCTCCACGACTTCCTCCCGCCACCGGCGGTACTGGAGGGCAAATGCCAGCTAACCAGTCTCGGTCAGTACCCAGTCCCGAAAGATTCTGAGCGTTCCGGGCACCACTTACCAAACCCGGGAAATACCCGTGAGGTGTAGTCTGATGTGCTTGATGGACAAGGGTTCTGACAGGCAGAGGATGAGCTTCCCGCTCAGATGAGCACTGGCGGCTTCTTCCTCGCCTCCGCGGAACACAATGTAATCTTCATCGAGGCTGTTGTGCGACAAAGTGGGTGGTTAGTCGGGATCGGGAATGACGCCGGGCTGGCGGAGCAACTGCGAGATCGCATGATGACTCACCGGATATCGAAGTATTTCGCGTAACTGGCGCTGCCGCCGCCACCAAAGAAACTGAGAGCCATGACGGAAGAACCAACAGCTGCGGGTTTGCAGCTGCTAGCAGATAGATGGCCAGAAGAAGACGGTGGATTTGAGGATGGTAGGAATGGGAGGCCGAGTGGGTGGGCGGGCGGACGATAGAGTATTTAATCAAACCCAAAAAGGAGGGCGTAGAAAAAGGCCGGGCGAGAAAAATTCAAAAGGGAAAGGCGCCAGGGAAGGGCGATAATGCGACGGGGACTTTGGCGTAAAAGGAATAACGCCTGCCACCGATCTGCTGAGGAGCGTCCCGAATTGCAGGCGGACTGGGTCGAGGACGGGTCCCACTCTTGAGTATATGAGCAAGGTGAGCAGGGAAGTCGATGGCGGTGGTGGGGACTTCGCGCAGCCGTTTCCGTCACTGATTATTGTCGGGAGTCGGAGAGACTTTTTTTAGGCCGGGTGTGGCAAAGACCGTCCTTGGGTTGGGTTCCGGAGATGATGCGATTACCGGCGGCGGTGACCAAGTAAGTCACTCACTTTAAGTTCGTTCGGCGCTAAAGATAGATAGAGTCTTGACAGACAGCAGACAAATCAGTACCTCAGTCGGAAGTACCTCGTGGATAGATAGATAGATAGTCGTATCCAAGGTGACGTGACAAAGGTGAGGTGTGTAATGGCGGTACGGCCGGTGGAGTAGGAAGAACAACAACTGAGTGTGGGCCGGACGGAACAGGACGACAACAGTCTGTCTGTCTGTCTGTCTCACTCACACACAATCTTTGGTCTGGACAGAGCTGAAGAGGGAGACCCGGAACAGGAACGGGGGGAGAAGCGACGAGACAGAGCAGGAGCGAGCGAGGGAGGCAAATGTGGATGTAGTGTGTAGTAGTGTACGGAAAGAGATGTACGTTACATCAGAAACATACCGGACAAAATAACGGCGGGCGCAGGAACCAGGAGGAGTGCTGGGTGATGGCAGGGTAGATGTACCCCGTACCTTAAGCAGAACTGGTTCTAGAATCGAGGCGTCGTCAAGGGGGGGGGGGGGGAAATCAACGTAATCGTTATTGTCTGGAAAAGATGACTTCCTCCAGAGAAAATGGATGTTCCCCTGGGATCGTCCGGTTTTATCCCACGGCGCAGCGGTACTCGTAAGATCGGCCCCAGGCCTTGGCGGCACTCCGGTTACCCGGTGGTGGTGGTTATCAAAGGCCAAGGTCGGAGTAATGATAGTCGTCGCAGCTGACGATCATCATGCTCATGGCAACATCAATCAATTATCCTTTCCGCTACTCTGTAGGAAGGCGCAATGGGAACATGCCTCGGGATCATCCTTCCCGCATGATTCGCGATCTACTGGCCCTCCCTGGGGCGAATCGGGTTCGATATCCCGCAGGAACAGCCGGTCTGTTAGTACTACTAACTACTAGATATCCTCGGCCCTAAGTACTTACACGATAGTTACGGAACACTCTGTACGACGATGTACTCCGTACTATTTATCTATCTATCTATCTAGTCTATCCTCACCAGGACGAGACGAGGGCTTGGCGCCCAGAAGGTGCTCAGACGTCACAACTCCCCCTCGTGTGCCATGCCCATCCATCCAACGCGCACTCCCTCCCAGACTGCATGCAGGCAGGGCTGTGGCAGCACCACAGCTTTGCAAGTAATCCCAGCTGCAGGACGGTATGCACCAGATCGTGACCAATCCACCCTAGTATTCGTCACTCCTGACGCCCCACTAGATGATTGATCTGCTTATCATGCTACATGCTGGAACCCTGCACCTTCCATTTGGTGTGTTTTGGGTGTCATATGTTGTTAACTTGTTACTAACCTGTTGCCGATTTCCCCTCCCGATTGTGGACACTAGACAGTGGATACACCATCCGCTGCCCCCTTCCCCTCATACCTTGGACTTCTGCAGGAATTGCCTACGCGGGTGGTCAGAGTGGTGATGGTGATGGTGGGTGGCATGACATTTCGAGAATCGAACCATGTGCGGCCCGATACTGATAAGAGAGACAGCGGGAAAGGGGGGGGGGGATTGATTGAAGGATGATTGATGGGCTGTCGCGTATGACTTTCCCAAACAATGGCGACAGACCGACCTGGTATTTGTGAGACAACGCCGGCCTAAGTAAGAAAGTCAAGCTTCACCAAATTATCCCATCTACTATCTACTTACTATCTATCCATGTATGCCTGAAGTGGAGAGATGCATCCGTCCTACTCTCGGGCAGGACCATTGGTTTCCGGTCACAACTCCACCGCGGGTATTTTAGACAAGCACCTCAGGTTAGCCCACGCTATTGAGTGACACCACCAATTATACCCTGTGCCGGTCGGCGCTAGGAAAGGGGAAAGATATTGAAACTTCTGATATGGGCAGGGCAATCTCGTAATCCATGCACGATGGCCGCCGAATCAAGATGCATCAACGCGGACTCGAATCTCAGCGTTACATTCCTTAGATTGGCACGGCTGCGACGCGCAAAGGGAGGTCTCGCGGACTCCGAGCTACATGGGTAGGACACGCGGAGATCAAGCTACTTGTAGCTGTTGTTCTGCAGAGCACGGGGTACCACTGTGGTATGATAGGATCTACTCCCTGTCCGGTGTAGTTAGCTACCGCTGACGATGATCTACACAGCTTCGTCGTCCTCCGCCGGTGCCCATGCGGAGTGCGGTCGTACAGCGCATACCTAGGCTGCAGAATAGCCATGGTCTTGACAGGCCCCCTCTCTGAGCACGGAGTCTGGGCCATGCTTTTACAAGGATGACACATTACCTCTTTGGGGAATTGGAGGTGCTGGCAGGGGCTTGCTGGGCTCATGGCGGAAGCACGAGAATCTTGTCTCGAGCCGAGACCATGTGAAATCGCATCTGGGCTCTATCTAGATAGATACCTCCGACCGGCTCCCAGGGGCTTCTAGAATCAGCAAATCCGATTTCACGGGTCCCTTGCCTTAACACCAGCATTATTGGACCCCCGGTGTAACAAGAATACAAGCCTTTGTCACATAGTTAGTAGTATACACCGCCATCGGGTGCTTCCGGGGCCATCAAATGCGATCGGGGAAAACCGCACAACTCCGGCGGTGCCACTGCCGCCGCCCGAACCTGCGCGGCCACGCCGTTGCGGAGTGCGTCCGCGGCATCGCGTCCAAGTTTTCCTTCTCGGGGAAGTGGCTGGAATTATTGTTGCTGGATGACAGTGAGACAACGGCATCATTGTCGGTGACAACCACCCTTCTTTGGCACGAGAGAGTAGATTTCGCACACAGTCCAGTCCGATTTTTGGCCACGATGACGCCAGCTGAAGGGGAGAGGAACTTTCGGGCCGCAATCCCCAGCAGCCTAGACACACCCGCCAAGCCCGGCTTGACGCAAACCATGATTTCACAAGCGTGACAAGCAAAAGCTCCAGGCCTCGGCGAACCCTTCCCATCGCGACTTTCATCGCGGGCGCCAAAGGACAAGGCCCACCCACCCTCCCTCGTTGTCCCAGCCTTACCGACTGTCAATAGTCGATAGAATCAATCTGCCGGGGTCGAGTGGTCCAGTGGGCAACGCAGTACGACAGAGTCGGTGAGTCAACTTTCAAGCCCAGGTTCCAGAACGGGATTTTCAGGTGGGAATGATGTGCAGAATTAACCTGTGATCACATAACATCATCCGAGCCAGAAAAGTCAATAATGTGGGTCGCGATAGGGAACTACTTCTTTGGGCCCGCCCTAAGATTGGGGCTCGACTGTCAAAAATTCTACCGACGGCTTCGAGGCCTTCCTACGTCCTACGTAGATACCCAGTCTCACACCGTGATTTTGTGTCCCATGGCCATCCTGGCTGTGATCTCTATCCAAGAATGAGGACAAGGTCTCGCGCGATGGATGATCAGATAGCACTTCCCCCCCAATTATGACTCAGGTCTGGCACATGCCCATCACCCAGAGCACGCGTGCTTGATATCGGGAATGCACATCGGGAATTAGATGGCGGATATCGAAGCCTGCATGCCGCCGCGGCCAGCGTGCAGCAAGCCATGTTTCACCATCCTGGACCGATATCTACGTAGGGATGAGATGAGATGCGAAATCTAAGATTAGGTACGGAATGCCGTGGTCCGTAGGGCCTTAGGAATCGATCCCTTCGGCTTGCCGATGGTTCTGACCCAACTCTTAAGCTCTGGCACTATAGCTGCGTCCAGCGATCCGGTGTCTCCATTCGGCATAGAGCTGGCAAATAACAGGCGCCAGCAAATTTGATCGGGACAGACCGTGCCTGAAAAGTGACAGTTGATTTGCCGGGACTAGATAGACGATGGGGACACACCAAGTTACCAAGAGCCTGACATCGTGAAGAAACAAGAGATAGTGCAATTTGCACAGGGGAAAAAAAAAACTACCACATCAGCCCAAGCCTCCTGTCCCCTTATCCTGAGGCCCGGTCAGATCATTGGCCCGCCTGGTACCAGCCACAAAAGCCAGCCAAGGGCCCTGATTCGGATGATTCCAGCCGTTGGTCTCGTATGATGGACCAATGGTTGATGTCTAGGGGGGCGGAGCCAGGGACAGAGACAGAGCACGGACTCGGGGGGCTGTTGTCCGCGACTGGTGGACGTCTCCCGTCCGCTCTCTGCGGTCGTTCTTCGCAGCAGACAGACAGGGAAAGGAAAACGGAAGTCAACACGGGAAAAAAAAAAGTCCAGAGGAGGGTGTTTTCTCTCTTTCGCCCCCTCCCAACGCCACTTAGATAATTGTTCAGTCTTGCTTGCGCAATATGCGTATCTCCGAGCCGGAGCAAGACCGCCGGGTCCCACCGTCACGTTTGACGGGCATAAACCCCCGATGTAGCAAAAGCTTGACAGGTATCTAGTGTAGCCGTACACCGACTGGCTTGAAGAGGGATAAGGATTTTCGCGATGGGCGCCATGGCCGTGACGGAGAACTGTAGAGCGACCAGGCCGACAAGTCATCATCCAACGGGCGGCAGCGGTGGCCGGCACGTGGCCCGAACCGGGTCTTTTTCCCTCTTATCCGCTGCCCGAAGGGCCCTTCCAGTCTCTCCAACTATCTTGCCAGGGTCATAACACCCCATCATTACTATTTACCCGAGCTATGCGAACGCCACTTCTACCTACCGGTTGATATGGCTCGATAGCCGCGTTGGTCCCAGCACCAACCCAAACACCATCTATCTTATCTCTGACTGACCGCTAGCCCTACAGGACCCAAGCCAACGAGGTGATGGATGGTGATGGTGATACTGCTTCAGCCTCGAGCCTTCAGCTGCTGACCAGGATCCCTTCCTCCCGCCTGGAAAATAACGCATATTCGCCCCGACACTGGCAACCCTCCTCCCCCCCGGTATGATCCATGATCCGGAAAATCCCTTTGCAACGGCCTGTCCGTCTAGCGTGGAGACCCGGTCGAGATCTGCAGGAGGCCCCCTCGCTACGTCTGGTCTGGACGGTCTCGACCTCGAATTCCCCGATTAGATAACAATCCCACGCGTGCGTCGTCTCGCCAGCTCCTGTCCAAACCCTTCGAGGATGCACTGGCCAATGATCCCTGGTCTATTCAAGGTCGGACAAAGGAAGATTATTATCATGGTGACAGGCTTGTACTCTGTATCACGGCGCTTGACATGATCCCGGCCAGTTATGTAGCTACTTACTGTACGGGGTACTCGACCGTGGACTGGCCCCGACCTCCCATTCGAGCAGCTTTCCATCTGTGGCGGCCGTACGTGACGTATCAATATGATCGCCCACATAACCCAGAGCTAGCTGCCTCCATCCGTCTAGAACATCTTGCCTTCACAGAGGGAGGGTACGGCGATTTGATACCCTAGGCACAGTGCGTGCAACTGTGCTTCGTACTCCGGACATTGCCGAACCCTGGCTCCGAAGCAGGCTTTTGACCAGCAATGTTGCTTGCTTCCTTCCTCTCCTTGGCCTACTTACATCTCATACGGAGTATACGCACACAGTAGACATCTCTGACCGCATCCCATCCACCACAGACACACGTCATGCCCACCATTGCGTGATACTCCACACTGAAGATGAAACAGATCAACATTGCGCAAGCTATGACAATGAATGACATCCACATCCACAAGGTAACTAACTCCACGGGTCCTCCCCATCCCCATCAAGGCCGATCCGCCTATTCGACGATCCTCTTCACAGACTACTCGACTCATTCCGCACCACACTCCACACAGCCATCCATCCTGCATGGTTAGTGAAACTCGTGTTGCAATAATAGAACCCCGAACCCAAGCCCAAGCCCAAGCCCAAGCCTCATCCCAGACTTTCGGCATTAAAAAGCCCCTCAGACGGACGTCCCATCACCCGTGTACCCTCTACCACGGAAAGCCCACGCCGCAATGTTCTGGGCCCGGGGTTACTCTGTAGGTATGTATCTGACAGACCAAAAAGACCACTCGGCTACAAAGGTGTCCAGACAGCTAAGTAGGTGTGATACGGAATGATACTAGGTTTGACAGTATCAGCCATCAGCCATCAACGTGAGAGAACCCCAGCTCATAATTGGATTGGCGACTATCTGTCTATCTATCTAACTATCTACCTACCTATCCAGTACAAAGAGATGCAGATACAGAGACATAGACGGAAACAGTGACAGAGACAGGATAGTCGGCATCACTGAGGTAGATGTCACAGTTTACCTACCTACCCCTGCTGTCTTATCAGAGGATAAGAACATGACAAAAGACCATCCATGTCACAGAATGTCTTATCATATCATATCATATCATATCATATCATATCATATCATCTTCATAGGGACATGGGAGTCCTCGACAATATAGTGTGGCCATAATCCCTGCACCTGAAGCCTAGAAGCAAAAAGCCGTGCGAGGATCCATCCATGTCGGTCGTTGGACAAACCCCAAAGATACAGTGAGTGGTACTCTACTCATATCAATATCTAGTGACTCCAACCCTGAACTTCACACTAGGTACCTACTTATCTCTGTACCGCCTCCCCTCAGGTTACTCAACCCCAACCAAGTTCCAGATCCAGATCCAGATCCAGCTTTGCTTTGCTTTGCTTTCGGATCGATCACGTCGGACAGACACAGAAATAGTTCTTACAGGGAGGGAGGAAGGGAAGGAGGGAGGGGCTTATCAAGACGTAGTTACCGTACCATTCCTCCTTTAGGTAGGTCAGGTAAATCAAACTGCCGAGTACAGCCCAGCCCAGCCCAGCCCAGCCCAGCCGCCACGGGATTCAGGTTTCCTGTCTGATACATGAAGTGACACTGTTGGCGTCTACTTCTACTTATCAGGGTGAGCTCGCCGGACTAGGAAATCAATGGACATTGGTACACAGACCACCATCTCCGATCCAAGCCAGAGTCTGCCGGGTCTAGAGTTATCGTTTCTCGTGTTGAGGATTACGAACTGAACTGAACTGAACCGAACTGAAATGGATGTATGGATGGGATGAGATGAGATGACATAACATGGCATGGAAGCAGAGATTCTTTCCGTTGTGATTGATTGATTGTCTTACTTCAGGTACTTCAGGTACTTCAGTTCCTACTTTAGTACTTACTCCGTGGGATATACAGAGCTGAGCAGAGAGGCTGTGTGTGAACCACAGCCCAAGCAAGCTGCAACGTGTTGTAACACATAACATATTGGTTTATTGATGTGTTTTCTACAGTTCTGCTCTGCGACTGGAGGATCTTTTTGTTCATTTATTATACCAGATGGGTGCATCCATGCGGGTTTTGTTTTACATGTTGGGGGTTTTTTCCTTTCGATTTCCAAACTTAGGGTCGGTCCGTTGTCAAGATGAAACCCCGTCGGAAGGCCTCGACAGCTCGAGATGAGAGAATGAAAGCTAGACAACTGGGACAAGCTCACTTTATTATTTCACTGACATGAATGAATCTCTCTAAGTCTCCTAATCTCTCATGCCACCCAACCCCAGACTAAACCATCAACAGCAGCAGCGCAAAACCCACCAAAAAGTCTAGGCAGACGATTGACCAGATGTATGATGTATGATGTATGATGTATGATATGCATGTCTCTAATATGTAAATACACTGCGCTCGAAGACAAAAGCTGCGCAGGAAGATGAAAAAGCAAGGGACACAGAAAAGAAAAATGAAATGAGAAGAAAAAGCACCCACCAGTCCCAACCTGCCCCCTTCCCCCAGCCACAAGCATATTTATACAGGTACCTCAAATCTCCCCCAATCCACCGCACAACACCGCATCGCATTCTTTCCAAACCTCATCTCACCCAACCAGCCACCCCCCAACAAACAACCCCAGCAACCAGAAAGCTAATAAAGCAGACGCTATACGACGAAGACCCCCGAGCTCCCACACATAAAAAAAAGAAGCAGTAAATCAACAGCCAGGTCTCTGTCTCTGCAGATAGGTCGGTAACCACATAGATAGGCAAGGCAGGCAGGGTAGGTAAGTAAAGTAGGTGGGTATCAACTCGCCCGCAAGCCAACACCCACCCACCCACATTACTTCACCTCCTAACCTCTCCACCAACTCATCCTCAAAATTATCCCCCCCTCAATCAAAATCAATCATGATCATGATCATAATCGGCAAGCAACGCAACGTAGGCAAATAAACCCCGTATTAACAACATTAACAACACCCCACCATCCACCCCCACCCCCAACGTAGAAGGGGGGGGGGAAAGGAAGAAGGTATTCAAAAGATCCAGCTCAAAATAATCCAAAACACGAACCCAATCGTGGCCACAATGCCAGCGACCTTCAACACGGCAACCGTATCGCCTTGTCGCGCCATGCGGGTCAAGCGGCTCGCGCTACCTTTTAGGTCCGTGGAGAGGGAGGAGAAGACTTGGTTCTGTTTGGGAGATGGTTATAGGTGTTAGTATATTGTATATCGCATAATGGATCTTGCATATTGGATCTTGCATATTGGGATTCAAGGCCCCCTTCGCTCGGTATCGGCGATTAGAGAGAACAGGGAGGGAGTCCCGTGCGGGGGAAATGACGGAGTGTAGAGAGGAGAAAGAAGAAGGTAGACGAACCGAATGATCCAGCGTATCTTGATCGCGGGCATTATCGTAGATATCGATGGTGACGGATTTCAGGGCGGAGACTTTGGAGGAGAGGGAGTTGAGGAGGGCGTTGTTTTGTCTGTGGATCACCGGGTTCGTTGTTAGTTATGTAGAAATGCAGGTATGTAGGTATGGAGTTTGGTGCTGGGTTGGAGGTAGAATGGGAGATAGTAGGTGGGCAGGCAGGTAGATAGGTAGGGTGGTATCGTACTGTTCGCGCTCGTAGGCTTCGGCCATTTTGTCCGGGTGGAGGTGTGGTGGACGGGTGATCGCTTTCTAGTTGCCGTACGTGAGAGGTGTTGGGATCGGTTGGTCTGGTTGGGTTGTTGAGGGGGGGGTGTGGCTGCGACTTGAGGGTGGATGGATGGATGGATTGCTTGACGCAAGATGGATCGCAGACAGGATGACGCTGTGGAGGCTGTGGGGAGGACATTGTCACGTGATGGGGCGGCGCAGGCCGCGGCTCGAGTGGATCGGTCTACTTTAGTACGGAGGAGTATGGGCAACAGGGAAATAGGGGTTCGGGTGAGGAAAGCTTGAGGAATAGATAAAGGATTTGTAGATAATGAAACTCTGGGTTCTGGTCCATGACTGGCCAGATACTGTCAGCTTTTGTACATAGTATTGGCTATTGAAGTAGAAGGGTGGAGGAAATAGAAGCATACAGCACGGAGATGCAGTAGCAGGGACTCCGTGAAGCGGGCTGGAGTGAGATATTTAGAGTTCTATAATAAATAAGGCGTCGAGTCAAGCCGAAGAGGAAAATAAACAAACCCCACACGCTATGCGAACAAAAATCCAAGGCAAGAAGTCGTCTTCTCAGGCCCCACCCGGTCATCGTGGACTATTCAAACGACCACTATATAGAGACGACACAATAGTGTGCAAGTGTGAACCAAGGGGCACCGGGTAGCTGGCTTCCATGGCATACCCTGGTCTTCCCTGTGCATGAAAAATGGAAAATGGCCACCGACGGAAAGAGAGAATGGAAGGGTGACGCAAGAAGGAAAGGCTAATATCAGTGTACATAGTTCGAGAACTGACCGGACTTGGCAAAGCAGGGGTATTTAGTGCGCTGCAATGAAACCAACGGCAAGAGAAGGGTCCCTCATTTTCTTCCCCTTCACCACATGTCATCGTCGTCGTCATCAAGCTGGACATCATCGCCAAACGATGAATGATCATACTGATAGTGTCCCGGGCCATATGCATTCCCGTTCTCATAGCCACCTTTGCTACCATGCGATTGGGAATGGTAGGGGTCCTGTTGATCATCGTTATATTCGTACATTTGAGGATCGTCGTAGGAACTATCGGCATATTGTTGTTGCTCCTGAGACTAAATCGACGGTTAGCAGCGGCAACAACATCCAGTGCCGAAAGAGACTCACCTCCTGATATCTCTGGTATTGCTGATACTCTTCCTGCTGCCTCTGCTGCCTCTGCGCCGCTGACGTGGCCAACATCATATGCGGATGCATTTGCTGGACTTTGGCCAAGTAGGAGTACATGAAGTTACTGAGCAGGACCTGCGAGTACAGCGCACGTCGAGGATTCGCAAGTTTTATGTGAGCCATCCGGTAAATGGCTCTTTCTTCCAAAATCGAAAATCGAGTCCAAGCATAGTCAACGTCCGGACGAAGCTCCCGGACTGGCGGGTCGGGCGACAGGTTCCGGGATGCGCTCTTCTTATGGTGATGGCCGCTGTCGCCACCGCTTTTCTTTCGACCACCCCCGAAGATGGAGGAGAATAACCCTGACTCTTTGTCTTTCTTTGCTTCCCCAGATGTCCGTCGTCCGTTGTCTTTTCGGCGCTCATCCTCCAGCTTCGGGTCCAGCCGATCCAGCACAAGGCTTTCGCGCCCTCGCTGGCTAGCAGTGTCATTCGATGATGGTGCGGAGTGTGTCGTTTCGTGTACCTTGTCCACCAACTTCGCCTTGAGCTTCTTGGAATCACTATCCTTCTCCTTTTTCTTTTCCTTGTCCTTATCCTTGTCGTCGGTACCCAGCAGCCAGTGCCAGCTCGACTTGCGGCCACCTTCCGAATCCTTCTTGTCCTTCGACTTCTTTGATTCCTTGGAGTCTTTGGTGTCCGATTTACGATCATCCGAAAATGTTGGGATATATGAAAGGTTGTCGGTCCGATTGCTATTGCCAGGAAGAGCTGGTGGAGAATTGGCAAATTCATTGAGTGTGGGTGTGGTGTCTTTCGCATGCGTCCGACTGTGTGCTGATCGTTTGCTCGAGCTGCGTTCCTGCGTTTTATCCTGGATTACGGGTGCTTTCGGTGGAATGACCGGTTGGGGAGTCGGAGCAGGAGGCGTAACAGTAGTTTCGGGAGGTGGCGTCTCCACGATCTCTGGGATTTGCTGCTCTGGAGGTGGAACGTTCAAAGTTGACCGTCCGTTGGAACTGATGCGCGAGTGCCATTGACGCGAGTGTGCAGGTGCACCTGCCCTGTTCGAAGTATCCGATGAGGCTGGATCCAAGGGACGATCAGTCGCTGACTGTGACTGATCTACGGCTGAGTTGCTAGTGGAGCTGGCTGTCGTGCTAGGGGCCTGCGGTGCGCCCTGTCCCGACTTAGCCAAGGCTTGAGCTCGTGTTACACTGGGGGTAGGATCAGTTGACACCCGCGTGAGATTCGTTTGGCCGCCGGACGATGGAAGCGGTTCACTTGGATCAGAACCCTTCGCCATGCGCTTGGAATACGGTGCCTTTTCGCCCTTCTTCAGACTTCCAGCCTTCCTATACTGGGTTCGTGTCGAACGTCTTAGACTGTGACCCGGCGGTGCAGGGGGGAGGATCGGTCTATCATCATCGGCGGAGATTCCAAGCTGCTGAATGCCATTGAGAATGGATGATGCGCTAGTTGCTCGGGGCTTGACATCGTCGACTATCGTCTCTAACTCATGTAGATTCGGGCCCGGGGAAGCTGGAGATTCACGTTGTGATTGTGACCGTTTGCGCTCGAGCCGCTCCGCACCATCCGTATAACCCTGTGATGTGTCAATTTGCCTGGATAGCATGGACTTCTTTCGCCTTAGGCTCCCAATCGATCCTTCGCGTTCCGGACCTAGGGCGGAGTAATCACCAGATTTGCGCTTAATCTGGTCCGTCTTGCTCTCGAGAAAGGATTTGAACTCCTTGGGGGCAAGTTCCGGGTGTAACCGAGCCGGAACCCAAAACAGTCGTGAAGCGTCATTTTCATCTGCGGAGGGAGAGGGTGCGATGGAGGGGACAGAGAAGCTCGGCAGATCGGGGTCTCCAGTAGCAGCAACATCCATGGACATCCGCCTAATGGCGGCCAAGTTACTCAGTTCTTGTGCTACGGCGGCAGGGTCGGATTCGTAGTCGATATCGTTCAAGGGGAATGAGGTGGTAGCTGTATCGGTAGATCCGGGCGAGGTGGTCGACACGGGGGACGTCGGGCTGCTTTCAACAGACCTGGCTCCGTGCGACCATGACTGCCCGTTGGTAGGTCGGTGATTGAGCTCACTGAGGTGGTTCTGGATTTGTACAGACTGTGGGGAGGTAGGGGCTTCGCAGCCGGCGAGGTTCGAGGGGATGATGGTGATCGATTCGCTCAACGGGGAGGATATGAAGCTGAGGCGTCGGGAATCCCGCTTGTCGTAGTCGTCATCGTACATATGGCCAATCGCCTCGGTGACATGGTGACTCGGGTCACTGATTGACAATTGAGGCACATGGCCTCTTCGCGACCCATATCCCCCGCCTGGCTCAGAGGGGCTCGGTGAAGCCTGAAACTAACGGCGATGTGATCAGAGAGTGGCCTGGAATTATACAATTGAAACAGGGGTCGGGGTTCCACAGTCCATCGCTCAAACTGGCAATTTCCTCCTGACAAACGGATAGGTTGGGAACCGAGCAAATGCCGGGGGGCACGGGAGGCCACATCCAAAGGTCGAAGAAGAAAGGAACAGGTGGGGGGGAGAAATTTGATGGAACGCGGTTATAAAAGAGAGCGACGCACCTGCATGAGAGCGAAAGGACCGGGGATCGGACAGGAGGACGTCCCGAGGTGGACTAATGATCAGGAAAGTCGCCTGGTGGAGAGGGGGTCAATGTACCACCAGGGCCGTAAGACAACGAGGACAAGAGGTAGTCATGGAATCATGGAAGCGGGGGAAAGACGTCGACAGAGAGGAGTAGCCAGCCAGGTATTGCGAGGAACGAAAGGAGGACGATGACGGTTAGGCATCCGGCGACCGAAGATGGGGGGGGTTCTGGCGATCGATCGGGACGGGGTCGATCGAGAGGAGGGGAGAGGGGAGGGAGGGAAGGACTCGGAGGAACGAACGACGAGGCTGAAAGGGCGGCGACGGAGGAGGAGGAAGAATAGGAGGTGGGCGTGGTAGAAGATGAGATGAGAATGGAAATCACAGCACGGAGCCTGGAGCAAGTAGGAGGACCTGAGGACTTGGAGAGTGGACGAGACGGAGAAGGAGGCCGCTGTGGTTGGCTGGCGGGTTGGTCTGGCCGAGATGGGCGGACTGCACCGATCACCACCACGGCAGCACCGCAACAGATGTGTTTGAGGGCGAGTCAGCGACCGAGATGGGCGCCTGGAGCATTGGGATAGCCGTCAAAACACCATGGAGGGGCCGAGCCGGGGTTCCTGGTCTGTTCCTGGTCTCCGCGAAGGGCTGGAGGGGGTTCGTCAGGAGTATACAAAAGGAAGCATCAGTTCCCGACGTTGGCCATGGATCTTGGGCAGGACGCACCGCCCTCTTAGTCAGCGCTCCACTGCACTGCTGATCAATCCCCATCCATAATGTTTTTCTACACGGCTATCTACGTGCAACTACTGGATAACTCTCTGCCCTCTGCGCAGGCGATCGATCGCTGCTGATCAGCGTTACCCCGTGCTGCTGGTCGACAGCGATGGTCAGTGGCACGGTCTCTGGATGATCTTATTTCAGTTCGGCAGGGTCTACTGCTACATAAGTAACATTGTAGTGTCAAGGTAGCTTTTTGTGTGCAAACGAGGGATTGCTCCACTGCAGTAGGTACTAAGGGAGCCCTTATAGGCTCACAGGCTCATCCCTTTTCCTTACGGGTCATCGGCACCTCAGGCGGCTGCACACCCACCCCAAAAAGAGGATATCATCGAATGAGCCTTTCACACTGAAAGGTAAAGGTAAAAATAGGGGGTCAAGAATAAACACACACACACACACACAAACACACAATGGACACACAATAAGCGTATGCATACACTCCGTACACTGCAACCTTACACCATCCTTTATTTATGGCACCAACTCTGCTGTTATTTGTCTTTGATGCTCACCATGATTCTCGCAGCCTGGCTAATACGTGGATCGACAAGGATCCCGCCCCTCATGAAAGCAAGCATCTTTGGACTGTATTGTGGTGGGTACTCCACACTGCATCTATCTACACCAGTCAGAATGCCTTGTAAGATCCAGCTACTGGGGTTTCTGCCCCAGCCTCGGTCTCGTATTGGACTACAGAGTAGACAGGTTGGTGATCTAAGATGCCAGGAATGCTATTCTTCCTCCGACCTCCACACGACTCAGTTCAACAAAGTAAGTCTATTGCATTTCAGGTGGTTCGTGTTGCATCAGCCTCCCTCCTTCTTTTCGCGTGAGACCTGTGCGAGCCTCGTGCCATCTATTTCTGGCCTCGATTGGCCAGGTCGGCCTCATCTGATGGCAGCCGGGGGCATTGCGGAGGGGTTGCGTCCAATGATCCAGTGGCCCAAGAGACCGGGTCTTTGTTGAATTCGGTGTACGCTATGTCTTCTGAAGAATGTACATACAAGGCACAAGGCATGAGCAGGGTACCCCATACATACATGGGGGTCCCACTGTCCCTGTCTGCACGGTGGAACTGACAAACAATCCCCCGGACATTTCATCGGCAGCCGCCCGTTCCTTTGTCCTAAATGTCCCAGCCCATCCATCATCCCTCATCCCTTGCAAGGGATGGAAGCATCGCAGCCAAGCAGCGGGTAGCTTTCCTTGGATAAAGACGGTGACCTAAAACTTATCCAATCAACCGGTCGATCCCACGGCCACAAAGAGGGGTAGCCTTCCATTCTAACAGCCAAACTGACGCGCCAAAAAAAAAAAAAAAAAAAAAAAAAAAAAAGGGGGCAGGATGCAGGAAGAAAAGCGCCCGTAACAAATGATCAAAGGAAAATGGACGCTGGCGTCATCAAATATCATTCCGCGTAATAAGGCTAGGGCACCTGGGATATTTAAGCAGCGTCGACATAGTTGCTGATTGCCATTCATTAGCCTTACGAAGCCAAAGAGGGGGAACGAAGGATTGCTTACCTGGGGAAAATGCCAACCCGGTCCCCAATCCGACCCGTCCACCAGTCCTCCTTCTTCTCGGTCCGTTTGAGGATGGTGATGATGTCGCCTTTCTTGAACCCCAAGTCACCCTGTTGATCCGCATCAAACGAGTACAGTGCAATGGCCTGGTCCTGGCGCAGAGCTGGAGCCGCTCCTGTTCGCTGCCCAAAGACCGGTTTGGGAGCCGTGGGTCGGGTGGGTTTGCGGTCAGAGTAAACGTAGTCTTCATCGATGGGCGTGGTGTTGCTCCGGCTGCGGCCGTAAGAGTCGGGGGTGTCATTGCGGACGCTGTTCCGAGTAGTCGAGGAACGGCTCAGCCCTCCGGCAGGGCGGTCGTAAATATCGTCAGCCCATGAGTTCGCACGACGTGGTCGATCCCGGTACTCGTAGTCGTCCGAGCCCGAGCCATTGCGACCTGTGCGATCGCGCCGGGTTCCTTCCCCGTAAGCGTCGCCCCGGCGGCCCTCCCAGACCACATCATCATGGCTGTCATCGTAGACAGGGATGTCGTTGTACATTGCTTCGCCCGCCCGAGAGTTGCCATAGAAGGCCCGCGAGTTCAGCACACGCAGGAGGGCATCCGTAGACGGCGGAGGGCGAATGCTTCCGCTAAGGAGCTGGCGCGCCGACACCCGACTGTTGTACATTTTCTCGTTCGCATCCTTCCGTTCCACCAACATACTACCCTCTAGACTGACACCAGCAAAAAGACCCTTGGTTTTCGAGTATGAGAACACGGCCGCCACACCCTTTGTACTTGCCGCACCGGCGGCTTCTGCGTTTCGCCCGATCGGTCCAGCAGCGATCGAAACGTTTCCACCGAGCGTCAGGGTGCCCACCTGCGAAAAAGTCCGAACGGCAGCGGCATCGTTTAGGATGAAGACGAAGTCCGTTAACTCAAATCCAATTTGTCCTCCAAACCCGGCGCCAGCCGTTGCGATGGCCGATGGAGCAGACCAGGTCCCGTCGGCCAGTCGGGCGACCACCACTCCGGAACCGAATCGCGCAGAGCCGAGGAATCCAGCTTTCAGGACGGTGAGGACAGCGAGACCCTAACGGAAGAAGCGATCAGTGGCGGTGCGACAACACGTCTACGATATGGACTTGCAACTCACCTTAGCATTGGCCAGAATTTCCGGAGGGATGACTTTATCGGGGCCAAAAGATTGTCGTGGATCGACAAAGGATGCGAGGATTTTGCCAGCCTTCTTACATTCGCCTGTCTGTGTGTTAGTCGCAGCTTGAACCACCTGTCAAGGAATTGCGGGGAAACTGGGATAAGAGCGGGCGCAACATACTTCCTAAGGATGAGGGCAAGGGATTGTGAATTCCGAGAGGCATCTTGAGGGTGCTCGTCGGAACAAAGGAAGGAAAGGGAGGGGAAAGAGGCACAGAGGAGGGGGGGGGGGGGGGTTGAGAGGATGTTGATTGTAAGATGCTCTGCAACGGTTGTTCGTCTCTATGGGAGCGACCGGAAGTGGAACCAGATGACGGCTGACACCGATGGTGGTTCGCAGACGATAAGGATTCCTATTGGCGCCGCACCAACACAGCAGCCCCTCGTCGTATGGTTGGTGAATTAATCTGCCCTCTAGTTTGGTCCTAGGAAAGATATAAATGATATGGTTCCGTGACTCATGGAAGCTCAAAGCCTATAACCTGGATTGTGGTGGTGAACAGGAAGAGGAGGTGGGCGCCTTCCGTGGCCGGACAAAGAGAGACTTGTAATACTACCTCAGTACAGGGAGGGGAGCCTAATACTACTAGGTAGTAGTACTGGCTAGATAGCTGTGGCTATGCACCTCGACCAGCATTTTCACTCTGTGCCTGATCACTATCTTAAATTTCGATCACGTCAGTTCAGTGCCATCCCCTGGGCAGCCTTTCTCTGCCCGAATTCCGGTGCGAATCAAGAGGCAGGCGGGCGGCCTGAGGCCACCAGGACAGCACAGCCACTGCCGAGGCTCCGACAATTATTTCTACGGCAGGCCATTGCGGCCATCAGGCAAAAGTGATTTTTCAATCGTCGCGTTCAACCAACACCCCCTTTGGTTCACAGCCACACCCCTGGCCCAGAAGGCCTTAGTACGGTCACATGATGTCAACAGAGCTATTTGGCTAATCTTGTCTGGATTAGCGTATGTGTAGCCTGCCACTATGTAAACAGCCTGTTTACCTTAATTTAATGTTTATTACACTATATATTATGCTTATAAACTTTTATCATCATAAAGCTATGCACATTGTATCCAATACGGTTAGCTTACGAAGAGGCTAAGCTACTTAAAGGCAGCCAAACCAAGGGGGTGTTCGTCAACCGAGAGGGGGTGTTGGTCTAGCGCAACCCTATATAGTACATATACTTTTAAGTAGCTAGGAATAAGTATACCCTTAACTCTTATTGTCGCACACCAGGCAGCAACTGCTATACTATGAACATGCTTGCACTGGCTATGCGTAAGATCATATGACAGATATATATAAGTTTGATCAATCATCTATGTTACTGTATGGCCAATTGGCCATAAATGCTTCAAGTCAGGTGTGCCCATGATGGGGCCTTCATCAAGTAGTGCGCATCTATGTATGATTATAGGGAAATGAAACCATGCGATTATTCATATCTGTTTTTGAAAAATCCGCGGATATAGTCCCGCGCTAGTTATAACGACATTATATGCCTCTCTTGCCAGAGGCTCGGCCCAAAGACTACTACAGTCCCTAAACTACCACGTAGGTATTACTGACAAAATTTCTCTCCACCATCACTAGACCCTAGGCTCATATCGGGAATGGCCCATAACCTCTTACTCATAGATGTGGATTAGACAGAGCAATATACCATCGATAATTAACTAAGCCTTCCGTGCTGCGGCACGGCTACAAAGGAGGTAGAAAATCTGTCAAAGTGCGCAGTATGAAGACCAAGTCACCTACGGTAGGTAGGTATGTAATCAGACAGCCAAGTACGTATTAAGCTAGGTAGATACCTACTTACCTAACGCAGGCAGCTACATTACTACAAACCTCACTGTCTGGACGATCCTTCCCCGTCCGCCCAATTCACAATCCAACCACCTACCGGTAAACCTGATAGTCATGTAGCACCACTAGCATTGGTATACGGCTGGCGGCGGTGACAGTGACAGTGATGTTACTCGGCAGTGGTACTCGCACCCCAACATGACACATCTGATGCGAGGACACGGGACTAGTGAATTCAGTGTGCGCGCGGCAATACTTCTCCTGCACAGAGGTAGTAGTGTGGATCTTGTTCGTGATAGAGGTTCTGCATATTGCGTGTCTGGATTCTAATGTACCGTCTCTGGCCATAGAGTTTACAATTCTCCGGACTCGTTCAGCAGCAGCAGTAGATCGTATCCATAAGCTATTGCAGTGTTGCATATACAACTAAAGTTAGTTAAGTAGTTTATAGGTATATCTACTACTATGACTCAGCTAATATTCATCGTATTCAAAACGATGAAAAGCAATTTTATAGAGATACATAGCTAGCTCTTCCACCTATGGGTCTCGGGAAGTTGTAGAATCTGTAGCTAGAGACGGTAATGACTAAGAAAAAAACATAGACAATGGAGAGGAAAATGGGGGGTTGATGGATGGGAGTTTATTAGGGACTGGGGGAGGCGGGAATCGGTCTTGTCGGAGATCGGTTTTGATTCGGGCCCTCAACTTTTTGATCGTACCGTACCTGATGCTGATTCATGCTTACAGGAGAACGGCGAGAGAGCGTATCGCGAGCGCGCCGACGACGGCAATGGGGCCGGAAATCGAAAGCGGGATCGAGGCAGATCCTGCGGACGAGGAGGTCGCGGCAGCTGCGGTCTGGGTGGCGCTGGTAGTACTAGAAGTGGCTGTAGGTAGGGGAAGATGATTTAGTTAGATAATTGCTTGGCTCAAATCTTTGCTCTGGAGCTGGAGGGAACAGTGCTTGGTACAGGGGCGGGAAGTAGTTCTTACTTGTCTCGACCTTGCCAACCGCAGTCACATTAAACTGCGAGGACTGGCTTAGGATTCCGGTGTTCGTCGTGGTGTTGGAGATGGCATTGAATTGGTAGCCAAAACTATATATATAAGTAGTTAGAACTAGATTCTGATATTATGACCAATGGCGTAATCATAGAAAGCTTACGCAACCGGGATCCCTGTGATTTTATTAATAGTATATTCGTTCGCTGAGGTCTTCACATTGCCGATATTCTTGCTAACACTAGGCTGGCTGTTCATATTAACTAGTACAAGACTGAACTCGGTTGGGTCGGATCTGGTACGAGAACACAGTCAGCTCTATTAATAACAATATATAAGATATAATTACCTACCCAGCGGTAGTCCACTTGATAGTGTAGGGCTTGCTAAAGTCCACCTGATCGTTAGTTCGGGGCTGGGTGATGGTAAGGGCTGAGAAAGAACGTTAGCACGAGAAGAAGCTATTAAGCCGTCAAGATTTATACCTAGAGCCGAAGCAGCAAAGGCCATAATAGAGATAATAATATTGAGGAAACGCATCTTGATTGTCCAAGTTCAACAAGCGAGGGTAAAATCTTAAAGAAACTAACAAAGACAAGCAGCGAACGTGTTTACTGACTGGAAGAAATCTGGAAGATAGACGGACTGGCTTGAGGGACTTTATAATCGCACCGGTTGACCATACCTACACCGCAACGAGACACCTTATCGCAAGGGTCCATCGCGGTTGATGCCTGCCTGTTTGGGTCGCGTTTTGATCTCCTATCTTACTCTGGCTGCAGTAGAAGCGAGCTCGCCAGCACAGACCCCCGATTCAGATTTTCGGATGCGAGCAGAAGGCTGGCCAATACAACAGACGGCAGTTGTTCCATGGATAAGGCAAGGTACGGCTAAGTTTTCTCTGCTGTGGTGTGACATCAAACAGCGAGCCAGGTCAGCACCGAATCCACTAGCGTTATCAAATCGAGCGACACCACTTACCTAGCTGTGACGGCTGTTCCTTGGGAAACAGACCGAGGCTTGGTAGCACCATTCGACAGGTCATATAGCGGCGGCGCAATAAATTCAGCTATTGCTTTTAGCCTTCCGCGATATCTTGGTCTGGGGATCTACCTAGAGCATGGAAACCGGTCGACGCGTCAGGTATACGGAGTATCAGAAACAGCGGCATGTCTAAGCCGGGATATCGAGGCGAAGAAGTAGAGGCGAATTGGGAGGTGACGAAGCAGCTGTACGCCCGACGCGCGCACGTGCAGCACCGCCGCGACTTCTTCGCGCCTTCCCCTCTTCACTCCTTCACCTCTTCACCCTCCGAAGCACCAACTCCACTACTACAGCCAACGCCTCTGTGGGCTTGGTCAATGGTAGCCTCTCACTCGACCTGTGGCCGGTATGCCGACCAAGTTATGCTGTCGCCCCAACTTAGCCAAGTCACAAGTCTCCAATATGGCACACTCTGGCCTCGACTGGCTACACCTCGCCAATGGTAATGCTTCTACAAGAGACGGACTGTGGTGAGCTGTCGCGGCCTGGAGAGCCTACGAGAAGATGGCTTGCTGGTAACTAATCCGTTTCTCGTTTGAAGGACATCCCGGTACGCCCGACTGAGGTGGACCTAGCTCTATACCTTGATGATCTCGACTAACAAAGCACCCGAGGTATCGCTCTTATGTTCTTTGAATTGGCATTTGCCCGTGTTTCGAAATCCTCCTACATCCTTCTCATCATGCAAACCCTTTCTACCTCGGTATTGCTCTGGGGGTTACGGAGGAACAACCCTTGGACTACGGGTGGACCACGTTTTTAAGCTATTTTTGTTATCGCTCGAATCCCCTCGGAGCTTGACTCGATGGGAACTGTCCTATATTTGGTGAGCGAGTCAAGGCAGTCTTGAAAGAAACGAAGTGGTCTTCAGCCAACACGTACACCGGAAGCCTCTTCCCAAGAATCTAGGGATGGAGCACATCCTGTGCTATACATTCCGATAGCCGCGAGGGACAACCCAGATTTGAATGCACGAGTAGACGCATCTCTCATATAACTCAAATTATCTACTAGCATGGGGTTCTCGATCCGAGCTGAACAGACATGAGAAGTGTGATAATACATATTGTTTGAATCATCAACAGATAGCTGTTAGGCTTTGTTGAATGCTGACTCCTTTTTAGACCAGTTTCGCCTTTAAAAGCGATGCGCAACTTATCAACGATACATTCCAATGTCTGTGGGCTCCATGAAAGGCAACTGCAGAACATCGGGTGGCTCCCAGAATTCCTCGTTCTTCCAAGCATTGCCCCGAACGGGCCGCAGGAAACGTTGGAAGGGGTATCAACAGATCGAATGTGCTTCATACCAATCAGTTGATTGCATTGCCTTTGATTATGGGCTTTCACTAATTGAGCCTGATCGACAATAGGTGAGCTATGTATGTTTGTGCAACCTGGAAATTCATTGCGTATGCATTTTGCAAAATATAAACACAATCCTCTTCCCTATTCTACTTGTATCTTTCCTTTCGTCTTTCTATTTGCATTGATTTTCGCTCCGTCGGACCTGGTTTAGTCTATCCTTCAAATCACAGGCCAGTGTCATCCACCATGAAGCTCCAAACTGCGACCATCATTCTTAGTTTCTGCGGGTCTGTCCTGGCCGCCCCTGTCCGCAACGCGCACGGAGAAAGAGGCATCGAAGCGCCTACACCGAGCTATAGTGCCAAACCCTGGACATCCAGCTGGCCTTCTCATGCCCGCCCAAGTGGTTCCGCCTCCCCTCATGCAAAGCCCGAACATGCCCAGACTTCCGCCGCTGTCCACGGAATCAACCAGGCGATGGCAGCTAGTCCGAGCAAACAATTCAGTGGGCCCCCGGCTACTCAGCCTCAGCAAACCAATGTGCCTTCGTTTGGCGAGCTTTCTTCCCGGCCTTCTGGGGCCCCTGTGAACGCTCCTCAGGGCGGATTTGCGGGTGCTCAGGGCTCTACGGCCTACCCTCCTGCCGGTCAAGTTCAAGCTCCTGGCACTGGACATGCTGGTGCCTCCACTGGACCTCAGGGCTCCACGGCCTCCCCGTCTATTGGTCAAGCTGCTGGCTCTCAGGGACTTCCCCAAGCTGGTCAGTCATTTGGCACTGGAAGTGCAGGACCTGCACCTGGTACGGGATTTGCCGCAGGTGGACAATCGCAGGGCAGCCAATTCCCTGGTTCTGGATCTTCCGCGGGTCCCTCTACTGGGACTGGATTTTCTGGCAGCCAAGGACCTTCTACTGGATCCAGTTTCCCGGGCTCTGGGTTTGCCGCTGGTCCCTCCACCGGTGCTAGCTATCCTGCCTATGGATCTTCTACTGGCCCTTCTACTGGAACTGGACTTTCTGGAAACAAAGGACCCTCGACTGGAGCTGGTCTTTCTGGCAGCCAGGGACCCTCGACTGGAGCCGTCCTTTCTGGAAGCAAAGGACCTTCGACCGGAGCTGGGCTTTCTGGCAGCCAAGGACCCTCGACCGGAGCTGGGCTTTCTGGCAGCCAGGGAGGACTCTCGGGAAGCAAAGGACCTTCGACTGGAGCTGGTCTTTCTGGCAGCCAGGGACCCTCGACTGGAGCCGTCCTTTCTGGAAGCAAAGGACCTTCGACTGGAGCTGGGCTTTCTGGCAGCCAGGGACCGTCGACTGGAGCCGGACTTTCTGGAAGCAAAGGACCCTCGACCGGAGCTGGTCTTTCTGGCAGCCAGGGACCCTCGACTGGAGCCGTCCTTTCTGGAAGCAAAGGACCTTCGACCGGAGCTGGGCTTTCTGGCAGCCAAGGACCCTCGACCGGAGCTGGGCTTTCTGGCAGCCAGGGAGGACTCTCGGGAAGCAAAGGACCTTCGACTGGAGCTGGGCTTTCTGGCAGCCAAGGACCCTCGACCGGAGCTGGGCTTTCTGGCAGCCAAGGACCCTCGACCGGAGCTGGGCTTTCTGGAGGCCAAGGACCCGCGACTGGAAATGCATTCTCTAAGAGCAAGGTCCCCTCTACTGGAGGCAGCTACCCCGGCTCCGGATCTACCCACGGTCCCTTTACGCACTCTCCGATGCACGGATTCTAAGGAAACGACATGTCTTACACCCACACCTACTTGGCTGTTACTCGATCAGCAATTCAAGATAGATGGCGCCTTCTTATCACGCCCTCGCAACCCATTAATATTAATGAATTATTCACATTTCTTTTTTTTTAATAGAAGTCCTAGACCTGGTCCAAATATCTCTGTAAACGTCTCCGTATTCCAATATTCTACACGCGTCAGGAACTACCTGATATCCCCCCCCCCCCCCAATTCCGCAATACGATCGCCAATAGATCCTACTCTGTCTTTGCCATTCATGAACCAATGGCCCCGAAGTCGTGGTCGCAATTCACGCAATGGTAGATCCTAATCCGATGTTCACTCCTACATTCGTGCCCCTGGCTCGTGGGAGTTTAAACAGGGGATTCCTGGATTCCGGATTCCATATCCGTTTGGTGTCTCGGATGACGCGTAACTTTCCTTCTTTTTTTTTTCTTGTCTCTTTTTTTCCCTTTGAAGTCCCGTACGCATCGGAACCTATGGAGATAGTAGTAAGGTTGGATTTGTGCTTTTCTTGGGAGTTATATGAAGTCTTGACTCTTGATTGATGTGTTTGTTGAAAGGTATCTCGGTAGGTAGTTAGTTACTACTACTCATGGCAAGAATTATTCAGTTCTATCTCTTGGATAGTACTATAATTTAAATGCTTAATTTGACAATTTTATTTGGCTAACAGAACTTTGGGTTGTAAGTTAGTTTCTTAAAAGGTGATCATGTAAAATGGGCGTGCCAGAACAAGTACTCTAGTGCTAAGGTACTATATCATATATATATATTTTTTCTCAGGAGGAAAGAACAAAAATAAGTACTACGGATTTGAGAAAACTTTGTCCCTTGACACAATCTAAGATTCCACCTCAACCTGTCTCCAGGTATCTTGAGTATACGTATCTATTGTGTACCGGTTATCTGGATGTTGGACTTGGCACATTGATATAGGCAGGCTGTGCTTTCAGCCTGGATATTCAGGCAGGAAGATGATCTCAACGTGGGGTAGGCGGTAAGAGATAGATAGGTCTGCCGGCGATAAGTAGTTATATAGGTATATGTCGGCTGTCCAGATCGAGGAGGCGGAGAGAGTCCGGGTGGGGTCACAGGGTTTTGAGAGTGAGCCTCAGCCCGCGCGGTGTGTGTGTGTGGGGGTCCCGACTCCCTCCCGCAGTTATTGTTGTTTGCCGCATATCTCCATTCTCTCGACTCCTCATCCAGCATTGCACCACCATTGAACTCGGCATGCATTTCGAGTAAATAATATGTTTTCTGATCCCCAGCCTCGCCCAACCGACAAAACGAAACAATGCAAAGTAGTTACCGTCCGCATGTCTAACACAGGCCGCCAATTTATCACGGCTTCTCCTGCCCCTGCTCCTGCTCCCGCGCCGCTGTGAACTCCTAATACTCCTTAATATTGGTAACGCCCTTCGGCATCCCATTCACCTGCAATTCCTGGTCATCCATCAGCCTCTGACGCACCTCCATGCGCCGATGCCACGCCTGGACCTTGGGATACGGCTCTAGGGGGTCTTCGCAAGGCGGAAGACCAAGCGATATGTTGACGCGATCGTTCCAGGGCTGGAAGGCTAGGTCCTGGAACGTGCATTTGTCCCTGACGAGCTATGTCTTGCCTTTGAGGATGGTGTTGAGAACACCCAGGACTCAATGGACTTCATTGACGTAGCGGTCGACGGCGGAGGTGATTTTCTCGGCGTGGAGGACTTTCAACCTATGGTGGGGTGAGAGGGGGGTTGGGGGGATGTGTGGGTGTGGGACTTTGAGAAGAGGGAAGGGGGACAATCCAGCCGCATTGGCCATATTATGGCCCCTGACCACTCATCTGAAAATGGAGGTATTGGTTGAGTAAGTGTCTTTCGCTGAGGGTGTCGTAGGTCAGCTTCTTCTCCGTGTCTTATACCTCTTCCAGGTACTGGATTATGGCGCCTGACTCCCAGAAAGTTAGGTTGGTGTTTGGATCAACGATTGTTATACGTTACGTTTTTGTGAATGGGATGAAAGATTGAGGGGTTGCAGGAGACGTGTCTGGAACTCGACCGTTGGGGTTGATGTTGATGAAGGGGGGCTTCTTCACGTCGTCGAACTTGAATGACTTGATGACGTAGGGGACTTGGAGTTCCTCGAGGATCAGAACGAACTGGGTTGAATGGGTGTCATATGTAGAATTATCTAGAAGCGTAATCGTTAGAGTATGGCATCATGGCACAGCTAACAGTAATCATAAACACTGAGAGAAGGTCAGCATAGGGAATCCACCTAGCAACTTATTTGGAAGATATGACTTACTGAGTATTCTCCACTCGCCTAGGAATTGCTCATCGGAACTCAGGTTGTCCCATATAAGGATTCTCGCCACCATCAAAACCACTCATGAATAACATAGACCATGTTCCATTGTCCGGGGGGGGGGGGGGGTGATAAATCTCGTGCTCTCTATAATGGGATGCTAACTGCCCTCAAATGCCCAGTAATACAGGCACAGGTGATCATGTCAAGCCTGACGGGGTCATATCTCTTCTATCCCTCAAGGGGAATTGACTAATCTTCTGCTCATATAAAGAAGGCTGATGACTGTAAGTAAGCGAAGATAAAATGCCAGCCAGCATCAGGTACAGATAGATACGTAGGTACTTAAACCAATACAAGATCTCCGTCCGGGCTATAGACACAAATTCAAGCGCAATAATACGGAGTACAGAATACACATAGCAGCCACAACCACAGTACTAAAATAAGCACAATCCAAACCAACACCATCAAAACCTCCAACTCCATCCACCCAGGAAATAAATCCCATATAACTAACGAACTTAATTACTTATCTATCCTCCTTTCTCCATAACCAAACAACACCAACCCATCTTCTACAAAACTCAGATAAATACACAACCCGCACAGTCCATCCGCATGCGCGACCCCCGAAAGTTCATGCAAAGGATAATCGACAAGCTTTCCCTCGTAAGGCTTGTTGGGACTTGGCTTTGGTCCGAACTCTGTGATATGATAGCCGTGGGGTGAATTGGGATGAGGAACCGGGGGAGAGGTCAGCACAGCACAGCACAGCACAGCACAGCAAGGGAGGGCTTCCTGTGGAGGAGAAATGCTATGGGGTGTGCGTTGCGCGCTGGTTTAGGTGATGCAGGAGGTACGGAGCACAGTCTGTCAGAATGTCCATGATGGTATGGGTGGAAGGGGGAAAGAGTGGTTGGTGTTGTGTAACAGAAGACTGGATTTGGATTCTATTTAACCTACTGTCTACTGTCTACTGTCTACTGTCTAACTACTACCTACTTGGGTATAATGCTACTTAACGGTGAATACAAGGCTACTACCTACCCAGATAGGAAGTGGTAGACGGATTGGACATATGGGGGTGTGGTTGGTTACTTGGGTACTATTTAGTACTATTAACTGTTTGTTAGATACTACTGCTACTGCTACTACTACTACTGTTCACCGAGATGATGCAGGCGGTGCTGTGCTGTGCTGTGTTGTGCTGTGTTTACTGGTATAATACGGAGTATTCCACCTACATACATGATACTGTGCTAGGTGGGACTATGTATGTATGTAGGTGCCTATACAGGTAGGTAAGTAGTAGTACGGAGTACCTTACTACTTATATGGACATACATAGTACTACATAGAGGGGGGGGGGACGGGTATGCATGGTGGTCCTGGCTGAACCGAACACTACCGACCGGTACGGAGCACTATCATTAAATATCAAAAAAAAGAAAAAAAAAAAATAAATAAATAAAATATTTACTCCGCACTACTATTCCGGGACATAGGTACATACATACATCGACTAGACTAAACCACAGACAAACTCGGAGGATCAGATGATGGGGTGGGATTTTCAGGACGTGCCTGGCTGGGGTCCAACCACACCGCCGGACTTGGGCTGCCTTGCTCACCGCCACATGCATGGATGGAAGCGATGGGATGCGACGCGATGGGATGAGACGGGATGGCACGGGATTACGGTCCAAACTACGGACTAGTAGGTCCTGGCTTAGCGGCTGGCTGGCTGGAGCCCGATGTGGTCGATGTGTTAGTTAGGTAACCGAGTGACGGGACTGTAACTAATAGATACTGGTTGTGCTCCGCTTATGTAGGGAGTCATCGTGGTACTATCCGGTTCTTCACTTCAGGCGTCCATCTGCAGTTGACGTAACCCTTCCGGGCCTCACTTCAGTTCCAGACTCAGCCCCTGTATTCAGTATTGCCATTGATTGATCCACTGCGGATCGGAATCTTCAAGTCCCCACAACTGCTGTCATGGCTCGAAAATGACCCGCTGTCTATATTCAGGCAAAGAATCCTGCGGCAACCTGGCTCTATCGTCTATCTAGTGTGTACGCATGGAGGAAACCCACAATCGCTCGCATCGGGTGAACAAGAAAAGGATACGAAGGGGAAGAAATGTACACATGGGGCACGCGGCTGGAACACGTAATCTTTATAAATTGAATGCTATAGTTTTGTGTCACTCTCGGACTGCTAAATGGAACAAGGATAAATCAGGGCATTTATCATCATCTCTCATCAAGGTCGTGAAGACGTGGTTGTCGTCACTCAGACGGTGTGGAGGTGGTGGTAAGGTGCCGCAACAGACCGCAAAGCTATAGAGCAAGTCGCACCCCATCAGGGCCTTATTGCACCCATGGGGGCACGAAAAAGTTGTTGCCGTTGTCGTCCATGGACTGCGCGTTTGGGTCGTAAAGCGTCACGGGCCAAACGGGCTCCGTCGGGGACGTCGCCATCGGCATGCTTGCGGTCGGCGTGGTCGCGGGCTTGAAGGCTTCGGTATTTGGGAGAGCAAAGGCGTCCTGGGACGGAAGAGGCTTGGCTTCCATGCCCATGTTGGCCTGCAGTTGATGTTCCAGAGCAGCTGTCGACTCATTGGCGGACTTGAGAAAGTCGTCAATATCGATCGAGTCCAGGTTGTTAGACGACAGGAGCTGCGCCTGAGGCAGACCAATGAAAGACGAGGCGGAGCTCAGGCGGAAATGATCGATGTCGGAGCCTTCGCTGACACTGTTGAGGTCGTGCAGATCGCTCCCCGTACGCCCCAAGCCGGGAATCGGGGCGAACTCATCCGCTTCCGATATATCTCCCGAAGAACTCGGGGCCGGGAATCCAGGAGCCATCGAGTTGTAATCAAAGCTTGCGTAGGAGGGTGCTTGAGTGCTGGTCGCGGTCGGGACATCCGAGGCGTACAGAGGAAAGCTCGACCAGTCGACTGGCGGAGCGCTGAACGGCGCGGAACCAAGAGACATGTCGCCCTCCGGTGACGTAAAGAAGGGTTCCTTGTAAGGATCTTGGAACGCAAGGCAATTGACGGGGGATGTCGCCGTGGTTGGAAAAGAAGAGAACGAGGACACATCCAGAGGTAGCCCAGCGGTCACAATGTCGTCCAGGGGCGTCTTCGCCATAGGCATCGAGGCGGGTTCGGGGACGCCCACGTCGCTGGGCTTGTCCAGCGGCTGGACCTGAGGGAAAAAGGACGAGAGGTCGAGTGGAGTAACGGTCGTCGAAATATTGTCCGGCGGCATGACGGGGGCACTCTCTGGAGATCCATGTTCGGATTTGACACGCCGATGTAGCCCGCGGGTGGGCGACTGTTCTGCAGGCTGCTGGCTGGCAAGACCTTCACCCATCATAGTCGACTGGGCCAAAGGCAGGTGGTCAACGGATCGGCGGGCCACATCGGAGGTCGAATGAATGGTATGAGAACGGGGTATCGTGTAGGGCAAACCACATTTGTGAGCCATATCGTTGTGCTTGTGGGCCGGCTTGTGGTGACCATCTCGGAAAATCGTCAAAGTACTTTCCGATTTTGTCGAGGTCAGCTGCGGCTTCTTGGGCTGATCCAAAAGCGCCGCAGGCGGGGGTGGAGGAAGGCCGGTCTCCGGAACGGTATCCAAATGGGGTTCCTTCTTCAGCGCACAGGTACAGCGCTGTCCATGAGTGCAGCCACATCTCGAATGCGAGTCCTCTGTAAAATCCACATCAGAAACAATGAACCAGTATGCCATCACCATCATGCTCACGCTTGAGATCCCTCTTTTCCGCAGCGTGGGGATCTAATTCATTCTTGTGGCTGGTCTTTTTCTTGTCACCACACTCGCACTTCGTGTGGGTTGTCCGTGACTTGCGCAGGCCGCGACAGTGGGCGCATTGGGAGACTGGGCGGCCTTTTTTATTGATGTGGGTCAAGGGGCGGTCTGCAGCAACGTTAGCGATTGCGGCTCGATATCTCAGCCCGAACACGAGGGGTTCCTCCACATACCACTGTGGTGACAGCTGCTGACGCGGTGACCCCGGACGCAAGCTTCACAAGCCCACTTCTCGCCATCGATGAGCATCGCCGCGGTTACTGGGACAGGAACATGCGACGATTCGCGACGATAAAAATATGAAAGTCGGTTGTGAATAGAGCGGTAGCAGAGAAGTCTCACAACCCTCTGCCGATTTTGTATTTGTTTGTATTTTTTTTGGATGGGTCAAGCCGAACAGGAAGACCTGTCGGGGGAAAACGAAAAGGCCGTCAAGGCGAGAATTCGAGGGTATAGGTGTGTGGTCCGTCGGGAAGATCGGACCGACAGAAACCAAGGAGAACTCCAACAAAGCAGGGGTATCTTCAGCGAATATCCCAATGCACCGAACGAAGTCACAGAAACGCCGTTTCACCTGTAAAAGGTCGAATCGCAACTGAGGTCACCAGGTGGCCAGGCTGCCGGTCGATTGGCAGCCAGGAAGCCAGTACCGGCGGGGAAAGTAAAGTAGGCGAGCGAGGTTCACAATGTAGTACCCAGGTATTAAGGACGGAGGTGGGTAGTCGATCCAGAACAGAATAGGCCCAACAGGAACATACAGAAACCCAAGGAGAAGAAATTAAGAGAGGATATTGGGGGGGGGAGGGAGGGAGGGGGAGGGGGCCAAAGCCTACGCACCGTTTGGCGCCGGCCGTGAGACAGGACACCAAATACCGGCTGTGGCGGCCAAGATGAAGGAGAAGAGCGATCGATGTCGGGGCAGAGTTGCAACCGTAACCCTGTGAAAAGGAAGAGAGGAAAGGAAGAGGAAAAGAGCAGGAGGGAAAAGGCGGGAGGGGAGCGGGAAGAAGTAGGCAGTCGGTCGTTTGGGTTTCGGCGAGGGTCGAGGGGGCGGCGAGTGGAACAACTCGGCGGCCGCAAGGGAGTGGCGCAGCTGGTCCCTCTGCCGAGCCGGACGAGGTGCCCACTGCGAACTGGATCTGGTACGTATCGCCGTGACCAGGTCCGTTACCGTCCGTACCATTACGCGGGCAGGACTCCACAATCCACACCTCTTCCCGCCCAGGTTTGGTTTTATCGATCGGACATCCATCATCCATCTCAGGCAGGCATCTCTCTCTCCCCCCCCCCTCTGGTCGATAGATGGATAGATGGATGGATGGATGAATAGATAGTTCGATACATAGTTACATGGACTTTGACCCGATCTGACAAATTTTTGACACATCTTTGCATCTCCCATTCATACCTGAGACGCATCTCTGACAAGACCCTACCACACTCCACAGCCTACGGACAATTCCAGGGTACGGAGTACGGCTCCCCTGTTAAACGAGCCTCGTGCTGGGCTGGGGGAACAAGGCTGTCACACACAAATACTGTACCCAATTTTACTGCCAAGGAACAGGTATGCGATCCTCCATGTCAGCCCTGTGGCTATCCCCCGATCTCTGCACACCCTTACGAATCGGTTGCCTTGCCCCTGGATCTTCATCCTGGGTGTCGAAAACAGTAACGCATCCATCATTAGGTATTCGCGTCCTACCTACATGCATCAATGACTAGTCCCCATCAGTGTCTGCTGCCGCTGGGAAAATTGCCTGTCCAGAGCAAGGTACCTTACCGACAAGCATGCAGTCAGGGTGCTGATGCTTTGTGCTTTGTGCGCAGCGCGCACCGCCGCTACCACCACCACCCACGCAGGTCTGAAGGCGTACCGTACCGTACCCTACCAAGCATTTCGGTTGCCATTGAGATCTCAAAATTCGAAACTTGGACGTATCAATGCAAGGGATCTCCGACGACGTAGCAGCTTTCGTGGGCCATTCTTCCGGCCTTCCTTCCGTCCGCTTGCTCTCTCTTCTCTCCTCCTTCCCGTCCTTATCTACAAGTGGGACGTAATCCCTTTGAGCGTTGAGTCGGTTAGCCGCGCCTCACGCCAGACCAGCCCACTGAACTTGCTTAGGTCGGCTGGAAGTGGTTAGAGAGTTGGAGTGAACTGTCCTTAGGTCTTAGGTTAGGGTTCCAACTCCAGAGTGCTGAGGGGCCTGAAATGCAGCCTTTAGTGCCGGTCTGGAGGCTTCATGGAGACGAACCAAACTCTGTCGGGGCCCGATGGATCCTGTTACGAAAATTCTGGGGCAGAACAACCGGCCCGGTGACTAATGACCAACCTGCCTTGGTTGGCCTGAGATTTTCCGAGACCGGCCGTCCAAGATAGCGTGGACAATACGCAACTTGAGGGAGAGTGAGAGAAAGGAAGAAAGAAAGAAAGAAAGAGACAGCAATGCTAGGCGACTGGCGACTATGTGGTGCATGGATGATAGTTATTTCGGGAAAATTTTTAGCGTCAGCAGGCGTTGTATGATCCGCGTCGTGTGTTCCGAGCCAATAATTGCTGGGGCTAATGCCTGCTGCCTTGGGAAGGCAGAGTAACTTGGGATGGAGAGCCATCGGATAGCCACCCAGTGGGAATTGACCACACACTCGAACCAGCCAAAGGTTCTAGAAAACCAATTTCGAGACTTCTATGCAGCGAGGACCTTTGTCTTCCAGCCACTCATGCGCTGATGGCTGGGCATGAGGACTGAGGAGATGCGAATGGGCAGGCACTTGGATTTTTACCATGGTTGACCCCATGGGTTGAACCAAGACCTTGGAGTCTGTGTGCCAGCAGTGGTTCATTGTCATGCATGTGCCCTGACTACTACTATGTACCAGGTTCCTGTCCCTGTGCCTGTACTCCGCACTCCGGGCATTTGTGCACACGGGAAGATCATTGATTCTTGCCTCTGAGCAGGGGATCGAGTCGGTGATCCCGTTCTTGCTGCAGTGTCACTGGCTTGCACAGTGGTAACCTCCCCTCGAGGCCAGACAGAAGAGGGACGGGACCAGACCTCGGACTCAGGGTCGATGTGTAATCGCGGTGTAATGGAGATGTACGGTATGGTATCGGTCTGAAAGGGCGTGTCGAATTACCTTACTATTGTGAAAGAGGCTGTCAGTTGAATGGGCGGTCCATCCGTCTGATCATCAACGTGGACCTTGCCGACCATTGAGAATATCAGCCCTGCTTTCTTTTTTCGCCAAAAGGGAACAAGGCCTATCAGGAATCAGGGAAAAGGATACCTCTTTCCGCTAGGAACCACGTTTACATCACCGACGACCGATCAACTAGATGCTACTTTGTGCCCCTAGGACTCAGATCGCATCGTAAAATCACGGGTCGTTCGAGTCTGCGGGATGGCGTCACAGCTTCTCCTTCGGGGCAATTGCAGCGCTTTTGACGGTCGGTCATGCGGCGGGGCCTGATCTACGGCAGCGCTGGTGGATGTTCTGCCCGCCAATAGAGGCGCCTGCGCCGGAGGAGGAGTCGGGTCCCTTCGGGGGCCCTGCCCGCCCTGGTGAGCTTCGCCCTGCTCCCTCGACCGCTCTAACACCCTCTGGGTATACGGCCAGTCGCCCACAGGTGGGCCTGCGCGCCCCCTCGGCGTCAGCCCGCGAATAGACGGCTGCGGTCCTCGGCCGCTCTGAGCCTTCTTCTCTCTGCGTACTTTCCCTCCGCAGGAAGTACATGAAGTAAGTACATACACCCGACCTGGATGGCTGATGCAGGTTACCTGGTTTGCCGGATCGAGGGGGGGATCGATCGCCTGTGAGCGACCCCAGCGCTTCGCAGTAGAAGCATTCTAGCCAACAATCAAGAAACTGAAACGCCAACACCCCGGGAACGTCGATGATAGGGCGGGGGATGAGCTAGTGTAGAGTTACATGGTGTCTGAACTCTGAGTGCTCGACCTCCAGTCAACGTTGAAACAATCTCTGATTGTATGGAGTACAGAAAACAGCGTGCTGCTAATGAGACTGACGGTCTAGGCTCTTGTCTTGATTTCTCTTCCATACATCATTGTCTCTTGAAACATCACAATATGCTGGTTATCTCACCGATAACCACAAACCTGTGGACTAGTCTACAGGGGGGCTGCATCATCTGGGGGAGCTCAGAAATCGGATACTCTTGGTACTGGCCACTATTGATCATAGTTGCTGAATGCAGTGGGCTTGATAAGTTGGTTGGGCCGATAGCTGTTGCCCAAATACCCGAGGAAATAGCAGGTTCGATATATGGATTTCTCGATCTATCTACAACTCAAACTTGGATACTAAACCTGCGAGTTACACAGGACTTCGCTTCTTCAATTATCGGTGAATCAAACAGAGATGGACGCGCCGCCACACTCCGAAACACAAATGCTGAAGCAGCCATGTCCACTGGTATCCTTTCTCACATCCTCACTTCGACAAAACCAGCTTCAGCAACCCTGTCGACCCTCCTTGCTGGGCTGATCCCCCCAGATTACCCACAACATTTATGCGTGCACGCCTAGTGACTCGCACGCTCATCAGCATGCCGTGTTTTATCCACCGCATGGCTGCAGACCCATTTCCAACATAGTCCAGCATTCTCATGCTCTCTTCCAGAAGGCTTGCGCACATGAAACAAGAACAACAGATGATACATACTATCCCTCTGTTGATCGTCTCATTCATGTCTGTTTACTGGGAGAAGAGCGACAGCTGCTCCAAAAGCTTGTTTCAAAGTTTCCCAATCCCTGTGTATCAAACTGATGTCAATCATCTGTGCCTGCAATGGCTATCCAGTTTGGAGACCGCCATTTTCCAGTGCTCATCAATGACAGAACACAGGGATCACCCTGACCTTCTGGTAGGCGTTGTACGATCTTCCTTCAACCCCTTGCCAGCTGGTGCTGTTCCTATGATAGCACTAGATAGTGTTGAACGTGTGAAGTCCCAGTCTGGATATGGAAACATTTGCCATAACCAATGCCTAATATTTAGTAAAAGAATATCAAGAGGCGTCTCCTAGCCACTGATATCTGGGAGTCGGATATCTCGCCATTGTGAACGCGTATCTTTTCCTTTGCCTGTGGCTGGCTTGAGGGGGATCAACCTTCGCATTCACTCTGTCCATACTAAATGCTACATCTCACCAAATACTAACAGAATAATAAAAAAGAATCATAATGTCACCAGTAATTCAATAACCTCCCTTAACCCTTCCATAAAAATGATACCCTCCAGCTGTCTGCACGTCGCAAAAAAAAATACCCCCACCCCGTCCCGACAGTACGAAAGCGCAGCAGCGCGCAACTGAATCAATAATACCAAGGTGTACGGGGACGTGGTCCCCTTCTCGGCGTAGTCCGTTCGCTATAATACAACCAGCCGACGGAGCCAACCTCACAGTAGTTAGCATCCCCATCCTTAGTGGCAGGCTTGACTTCCCTCGTCTGGTGGATCCTCATCACGGACTCTCACTCTCTCCCCCTCCATTATTGATTCCCCAGATAGTGTCTAGTTCAGCCCGCCCCGACCAATCCTCGGTGCTGTGGCTGAACTATTCACTCCCCCGTCCGGGTTTTCCTCTGCAAGCCATCGAGCAAAAATCAACAAACCCGTCTACTAGAGTACTAAATCGATCGGTCATCGGCGATGATGAAATGCAGTAAGTAACATCAGTTCTTTGCTTTGTTTGCAACAGTTTAATATCCAGGTAGCTGAACGATGCTCCTAGGGGTTGGGACTAGTTCGATAGATACTACGGAGTACTCCGTCGTATCTATCTCTAAATGCTATTTACCTAGAAGCCCGGCTCAGCAGAGTCACACAAGTTACAACACCGTGCCGGCGGCACCGGGTGGGCCGGTTTCAGCCTACTGCGCGCCGGTCAGCCCCAGCCAACGGACCGTGCCCGCGATGTGGAGGGAAAAAATGAAGCTACGTTTGCTGGTTGGGATGGAAACGGGATCATGGCGGTTCTTCTGGAGAGATAGACAGATAAGAAAGAAATTTACCTAGCTGATGAGGCTTGAAATCTTGAAGAGTCCGGTAACGGGGCAAGAGGGGGGCAACAAATGATAAATAATGGGGTAGATGGATGGATAGTATGATACTACTCCGTACTATGGACTTAGTTCGTCTGGGTCACCGGCTATAAATGCCTTTGTGCTCCGGAGACTGGAGTATCTATCTATTGCGACGGCGGTGCTAAGAAGGAAGTACTCCATACAGACCATTCGAGACCTCAGGCATTTGCTGATTAGCGTCTTTTCGACGCTGGTTCCTCGAGGAACCACCCATGCAGGGGGAATCGTTAGTCGATCGGTGATATTACCCAGGTATCTATGTAGTATCTAGTGTGTACTCGGTACAATGGCTTTGTACCGTATCTACCCCGTATCTGTCTGCTGTAAGTAAGTACTAAGGTATTGTGGATGTTGGTGTTAGGCGCGCTAGGAGCTGCCTTGAAATACGCCTTAGGATATTAAACTCAGATGCGCGAATATGCGTGGCCGAAACTACGAGCCATTTGGCAATTGTCCGGTGGAAAATGGCTGGGGGTGGTGGCTACTAGGCTAATGGTTGTTGGGCTAAGCCTCTGCAGATGCCTTGTTGGCACGTTGCGGCTGGTTGGCAAGCGAAAAGCAACAACGAGGCCAACTGGTCTGCTACCTATAAGGGCCACTTGCAGTTGAAATGAACTGCATCTTCCGCTGTTGGGGGCTGCAATATATTCAGTACTATAGTCAATTAAGGCGACAAGCATGGTTTATTAGATTCCAACCGCTTGAAACCGCTTGAACTGCGTTGGAACTGAGGCGCCTGCACTACGGAGCATGTCTAGAACATGTCGCTCTTTCACCAACAGCTCACATAAATTGCCAACGAGACACTGGGATCATGGATTTTACTCGTGCAGATAAGGCAAATCTAAACGCTTAGTATATGAAGAGACTCTGGAGGAGAGTATGCCTCGGGAACGCCTTGACTAGCCATTAGAGTCTGACATCGGTATGCCGTGGAGGTGAAGGGGTGCAGCTGGAATTTCGGATACACCGTTAGCTCGATAGTTCGCTGACATGGAAGAGAGTGAACATATTTGTAGGATTCCACGTCAATGCTGCTTTGTGGCCACCTAGAAGGAAGCAGGCTAATGCAGTGCCCCAAATTAAGCCGGTCGCTGGGAGACTTCAGGATCCTGGTGGAAGCTTGCCATGCACGTGGAGGATCGTGACATGCGGGACAATATGTATGTCCAAACCCATCAAATCTAGGGAAAGGATGTTATTTTGATGGTCCCGGAGAAAAAGTATTTATTTCGAAAGTTGTTCGGGGAGGACAGATGTCATACAGCGCACTCTCACGTGAGCTCACATGAAGTTGCACTTGATATTGAAAGGATCAACTCGACAGCCTGGACGATAGGTAACAATGACAGCTGAGTCAACGCTGGACGAGTTCTTTCAGAGACAATGTACTCCGCACGTAGCATGTAAAGGGCTGGTTACTTCATCTGCCCCCCAGGGAACGATCGCGGGTTGAGGGCGAATCCACGACTCCACGACTGCAGTCAATCGCCTCATATACCAGGCCAGGGAGTTGCGGAGGCGAGGAAGAAACAACTCCAGGGACCCCGAGGATCAAAATGGAAACGATCGAATCGAGGCGCCCGACGTCCAGTCTCCCTGGGGCAAAGGAGGAGGGGATGAATGAATGAATGGTCGAGTCTGGGCCGGTGGGCAGGAGGGAAATAGTATTAATCCGTCGCTGGACGCAGAAACAAAAGGCCGGGCCTCCGCGTCGGCGCGATCATCCCAATATGAAACTATATCCTCGTCAACCCGAATCGACATCAGATTCGGTGCGATGGAATTCCTGCAATTCGGTCGCGCGACCATGTTTGCTGAGACCTGCTCGTCGGCGACGGCCTTCGGCGCTAACCCCTTCAAAATGTCTCCCCGCCCAGGTAATTTTAGCCTGTAAAACCTTGCCTGCTGTTCGCGCGTCTTCCGTCCTTCAACACTCTCCCTCCACCATCCCCCGGAGCATCGCTCCACCATCCACCCCCGGCCTGCCCTGGCGCTTTCATCTCCCTCGGTCACAATGAACTCCCGCGAGCACTCGGATATGCCTCCGGCCCCTTCCTACCCCTCGCCCAACGCGGCGCAGATGAGTCAGGGCGCCATGCAGTACTACAACCGTCAGTTGACCGCCGACGAGCTCCTCACTGCCGAACTGTCGCGCGAAACCTCTGGCCCCGGCCTCGCCGATGCCTCCAGCAACGGCGTGCACCATGGTCAGTCCATGGTCCTGGGCTCCTCCAACCCTGGCGGTGCTGATATGGGCCGCCCGTCGTCTCCCGACCAGCATCAACAACACATGCTCCAGTTCACCCCAAGCCAGCAAGTGGGCGTCGATCCGAATCACGATCTGAGCTACGGTGACCAGAGCGCCAGAAGGAAGCGATCAAAGATTTCTCGAGCGTGCGATGAGTGCAGGCGCAAGAAGGTACTGTACCTGACACGCTCTCCCCAAAACAACGCGTCGCGACTCCATCCATCTGACTTTTTTTTTTTCCGCATCCTAGGTCCGTTGCGATGCAAGCTCCGAATCCGGTGTCGAAACCTGCTCGAACTGTCGTCGCCTTGGGGTTGTTTGTCAATTCAGCCGTGTTCCCATGAAGCGTGGCCCTAGCAAAGGGTAAGAGCTACGATACGCGTTTGCCTCTACGGGCAACAGGATGGTGTTTCGCTGACGAACGCGATAGTTACATCAAGGAATTGGCGGAGCGATTGCATACTCTCGAAAGTCAGATGCAACCTGCTATGGTCCACCCTGACATGCCATACCAAACGATGAACGAAGTGTCTTCGCCAAGGGCGTACCAGGACTTTTCGCCACCAATGGACGCTGGCCCAATTGGCCGAAAAAGGACATACTCGGTGTTTGAAGGGCTGCCAAGCTCATCGTTTGCGCAGGCGCCTTTTAATACTCGCCCGCATAATGCATTTGGTTCGTAACGCTCCTTGACGGCTTCACGGCTCACTTGGCTAACTGTAGTAGAAGCAGGAGAAAGCTCGACCGATCCTTGCAATCCTTCTGTTATGAACAACTCTGCGCCCAAGCCCGGAAATCTGTTTTGGACCACCGGCAACGAAAACGAGTTACCGTCCGGACTCGAAATACCTGAAGTGCCTAAGCAAGCTTTGGATGAGGACATGACTCCATTGGATGTGGATGAGGGTGCACTCAATGCGTACGTCCCTTTCCGGATTCGCGCCCATCTTGCGTAACCCTTTCTAACTCCAGGTAGTTACTACCAGAAGATTCACCCCGTCTTTCCCATCCTGCCACACTCCAAAGAACGTCTTCTTGAAATTCTACACCAATGCAGCCGAGAGGTCCAGGAGATATTTCTGTACAGCATTTTTACAGTGACGCGTACCAACATGGACCGTGTGATGAGCACCTTCGAGAGGGTAACCTCGTTTGATAATGCCCAGGATCTTCTTCTCTACTATACCCGGCAGCCCGCCATGGTGCGCCCAACTGGTGTGAACCTGATCTGGCTTCAGACCATGCTGCTCATGATCCTCGACTGTGACTACCGAGGGCCCGACAACTTCACCATGAAAGATGGAGTGCCTAAGCACTCGCTTATCCAGTCTGCCACCAAGCTTGGCTCGGATATGGCGAAGGCTCTTGGCCAGTTGAAGACTAAACGGTCGTCGGACCCGGATGTCGATTCGGACGCAAACCTTGTAAGACGCAGTTGGGTATCCCTGGGCATCCTGACTCGCTGGTATGCCATCAGTGTTGCGGACCCTAGTGTCCTCGGAACATTTGAGATTGGTGGCCGTGAAGATGAAAGAGTTCTTGGTTCGGTCGCCGCCGGAATTGGCTGTATGTCCAACCGTCCCACTTACGTGCTGCTGGCACTATTGACTAACGCTGTTTTGCTCTAGCTTACTCCACTTTCCTTGTTGAGATGGTTACACTGGCTGCGCAAGAACATAACGTTTGCCAAACCAACTCAGGGCTAGGCCGTATGGTTGGGGCGAATCTGGTCGCATCGCTTGAGCGTCTCACCGAGATAGGGGATTTCCGCAAGCCCTACGACAACATAGAAGAGCCCACCCCTCACACCTTCATCGAGAGCCTGCAGAACCAACTATACTGGACTGTCCGCCTGTTGATCAAACGCCACATCTTCGTCTACAGCCCGTACGAGATAATCTATGCTGCCGAAGAGGTGATCAACGAATTGCACAAGGCAAGCATGCAGTCCCGCCTGACAACACCGTTCGACTTGCACAGTCTGGCTCTGGCTTCCATGACTCTTCTCGAGTCCACCGTGCTCCCCGAGTTTGCAAACCAATGCTGGGAGTCTCTCAAAAAGGTTGAAGACATCCTCGAGTACCGCTCCAAACGCACGTCCGAGATGGGCGAGTTCGGGGATATTCTCGCCACTGCAGGCTGGGATGCCAAGATCCACGTATTTCTTGAATGGCGACGCGCCAAGGCACAGGAGAACCAGCTCCAGGACCCCAACCTCGTGAAGAGCGGCTCCGCGGCGCCACCGGTCATGGGTCCCAACGAGCAGCGCTCCCTCCAGCACCTGGCGGATCTTGCCGTCGGCGCTGAGGGCCAAGTCGCCGCCAATGTCTCCTCCCCTCCTCCCGCCATCCCCTCAACCGATAACAACATGAACGCTACCTCCCCCAACCTGGTCTCTCCCCAGCTCCAGGGTCATACGGTCGTGGATTACACTCTCCTCACAAAAGAAGGTTACCTGAATGTTTTCTCCGGGCTGATCTATCGTCGGTCTCGGTAAGCTAAGCATGCATGCATGGCTGGATGTGTTGTGTTTGCGTTTTTACTAGTGGTAAATTGGAAAATCGAAATCTCTTTCTTTCTTAGTTGAGCTGGACTTCTCTTCTCTTCTCTTCTCTTGTCTTCTTTTCTCTTTTCGTTTCGGGAAAAGCCGCTTTTATTCCTCATGCTTAGTTACTTCTAATGATTGCTTCGTCTTGCTGTGCCGTGGCCAGCGTGTTGTTTTGTTTCTTGCTAGGTTCTGTATGTAATACTACTCTAAATGTATATCCTGGAGGAGTGTTTTCCGTTGAAATGTGTAGAGTATATCCACCCAGTAAGGATAACTTCATGGCATTCTCGGCATTAGGTGGTAATAGTAGTAGTCCGGTCAAACATTCACAATTGAAATAGAACACGAAGTAGGCACACGCAAATCAGATTTAAAACGGCCAGATAATTATAACAAGGGGTTCTGTTATCTCCCGAACCCGACCCGTCTCCAGATTCCCTCCATATCCTGACAAAGCTGGTGAAACCCGTCATCGTCAAGTTGGCTGCAAATCCACGCTTCCACGCTGGCGGTCCGCTCCGCAGTGGGGGCGGACATGTACGAGGAGAGATCTGCTACTGTAATTGCGTCTGTCATCTGGGGTTGATAGGAGGTTTCGGGGGTTTCGTCCGGTTTGGATAAGGGAGCGGGTGGGCTCATCGGTCGTAGGTTTGTTTCTGTGCTTGGGGTTGGTTGTACCTCCTGATATGAGTGTAAGTTGGACTGATTGGGGAGGTATGGCTCGTTTTTGGACTTTGGAATTGGATCCTCAGGCCGTGGTATTTTGAGAACGGTGATTCGTCCGCTTGAGGTTGCTGGTCTTGTCTGGGATGGCTTGGTGGATGTTTGAGGGGGTTTGTTTCTAGCTATTATGTATCAAACGGGAGAGATTAGCGTAGCTCGTTCTTGGTATGTGAGGGCTGAATTCGGAATTGCTGTACCGTTGTCATAGGATTGAGTGGATGCACTTGCTGCTTGCGAAAAGGTTGGTGGCAGCTTTGCTAGAGTGCCTGTTCTTTTCAGCCCTGGCTTGGAAAATGGTAGTTCCCTTTTCGGTGGTAGGGTGTCGTTCAGAGACGGTGTGGGATGTGTTCCTGTTGATGTGTAAGGTCTAGGCCGATTCATGTCTGGGTTGTTCAGATTTGGTATATTATTTGGCTGCGCGAAGTCGAAGGGATTGTTTCCATGTGTGAGAGTTTGGATGCTGCTGGCTGCAGTGAAGAGGGTGTTGCGAGTTTGATTGGTACCTGATGAAGAGGGAGGCACTGGGATGCCATGGTAGTTAGTTATATGGCTGTATGATGTTGACATATGAGGTACTTACCTGTAGTAACGCTGGAGGGGCCAGATATACTAGTTGTTGAGGGGTATGGAGGATAGATAGAACCTGTTGACGAGGATGAAGCCGGGATATTCGGACCGTTTTGTGCCTCCTTTACCATGGATGTAGGCTCGATGGATCCCGAATTCCAGTGGGACGAGGTCAGTGGCCGCACGGAACCAACGCTGGCCTCTGAGAACGGACACTTCATGTCGCTCAGGATCGCTAGGGCTGTATAGAAGTCACGGTCTAAGGAGAACTTGATCTGGAAGCGACGAACCTGGAGGATGCTTAGCAGGGCAGCTAGATGGACTTTATTCTCTTACTGCATTTCCCCGGGGATACTTCACGGCCAGACAGGGTAGCTTTACGACGACCGCAAAGATTGACCTGAAGGATGGGTTCTGACTGGATTGGTTCATGTTCCCGGCTTCGATAACTAGATGAGTGAGATCAATCTCTTCCTGAGGATCTCAGATTCAGTGTTTGCATTTCTTTTGCTTTGTAGAGCTTTTGTCTCTTACCAAGCTCTCATGAACGCGGAGAACCTTTAGCAGAATCCTGTCTGGAGTGAAGCTTGTCATTGGAAGCCTCTCAAAGATGCCAGTCAGATCCCCATTACCCATCACATGGCACCAGTTCAATGGGCCTCTGTGGTTGAATGAAGTGGTTGAATGGGAAAACTTGGCTAACGATAGACGGGCGAGAGAGGTGGGTTCAACAGACTGCTGGGCATGGCGATGCATGGTTTGAATTGATCTATCTGGAAATGTAGATATAGAGAAACAATATGGATACACTATATAGGCATCAATATCGCGATTCGATGATGCTTTATATCTCGGGGTGAGTGTGAAGGAGGAGTGTCTGTTGAACAGGAGAGAGCGTGGTGGGTGACTATAGTACCAGCAGGTGACCTGAGACTAGGCCCAATATCACCAGCCCTGCTCTTCTCTCGCTCTGAGAGCTCTGCACACCTAATTGGAATAGTATGTAATGGGGAGAAGGATGATGATGGTTATTTGCACCAGGTAAGCTGGACCGTTTAGATTATATTCTTTTGAGGTACGGAGTAGTGTGTTTAATGATAAAATAAATGTCCAATGACATTCGTAATATTTTTCATGTAAAAGGTGTGCTTTGTGAATGGACAGAGTGGATAAAATGACTAGAAAAAGTAGCCTTGAGCGCCTTGTACACCCCGCACTATGTGAAAGAATAAATACCAATAATATACAAACCTGAGGCCGCAAGATCAGGCACAATGGCAAATGAAGCAAACAGGGCAAACAGGGCAAACAAGACAAACGCATTCCTGACCGGGATGCCGGAACCAGCAATAATCCGGGCACGCGCCTGAGGCCAGAAGGAGCAGCGCGGACTTTTGCCTGCGGATGCAAAGAAGGACGGATCGATCGCAGGTTCAGCTCGTCTCGATATTTCCCCAGCGCCCTCCCTTCCTGGGCCTTAGCAAAGGAATTGGCACCTCACTTCGGACTAGATCTGTCGCTGCCAGTCACATATGATCCGCGCAGCCACACTTTCCAATTAATTCCCTCAGCGCCTCCTACGCGAACGTCTATGTTGTTGTCCCGTCGCATCCTCTCTTGTTCCCAGCAGCCAGTCCCTCCGATAGCTTCGTACCGCGCCTAAGCTTCCTGTCCGTCGCCAACCTACCGTCGATCCCACCTCACAAGCGACCATTTCGCCCGAACGACCTCCGTGTTGGATTCCATCTCATCACACCGAGATATTCGCAGGGCGTGATTTCGAGGGGGTACCTGAAAGAGACGGAAGACGGGGTTTCAGACAGTCCGATCGTTTGAAAGTGGCACTTACATTTCGCGCGTTTGACCACAGACCTTTCGCACTCAGCCCGCAGAAGGTACCTTTGGCCAACAGCCCGGGTTAGTTGGGTCAGCCTGGGGTCTTTTGGAGGAAGGATCCATACACAAGAAAACAGGTCCAGGCGTGCTTGAGTCAAGCCCAATATGGCTTCCCAGACTCCCCGCACGTCCCTGCGAGGTACGTTCCGCCCCAGCTCACGTCGCCCTTGTTGGTAAAGCTCATATTGATGTCCTGTAGAGGGCTTGCGGCAGGCTCCCAAGGCCAATCAGCCTTTCATCCCGGATACCACACCCGCCAGACGCTCACATACCCACGCGAACCAATCCCCACCGCCACCATCAGTGGCCGACACGCAAACCAATTCCCCCGTCCCGAACCCGAGCTCCAACAATTCACATTTCCAACCGGACAATTGGGAAGGAAATGAGCAGAAGGTGCCGATGAATACAAGAGAGGTCGCGACACCGGGCAACAGGCCGGGCCTGTTTCTCAGTCTGCACGGCAAGGTGGCCAAGCAACCCGACTTCTATGACCCCTACTACCCCCTCAGACATCTCGAAGTCCCGAAGTGTACGTGAGGTCCTGACGCTTGTCTTGTGATTTAGAGACCTTGCTGACACCCTTGAACAGCGGACCACATCTATAAACGTGCCCATTACGGTTTGCAGTCCGGCATTCCCGACGAAGTCGATTTCGCGTTGTACCATCTTGTCCAGATATCAAACCAGCGTTGGGACAAGTTTAAGTTTGAGGGTTTCCCCTTGCTAGCAGAGACCTTGATGGAAAAGGCCATAGACATCTCCTTACTCTGCACGGGCGTGAAATGGGAACTTCAGTACGACTTTCGTGAATCCATGGATCGTGTCAACGTGCTCAACTCCCTACACGGAACACGAGATCTGCTCAATAAGATCAAGAGGATACCTGTCACATTGCCTAGCGACACCCTGGAAACGGACGACTTCAACCACCGTCTACGAAATGTCAAGGAGGCCACACTGGTTCTTAGGAATATGGTTCTGCTCAAAGAGAACGCTTTCTATGTTTCGCGTTATGCGAAAGGCCTTCTGAGGGATTTCCTAGTCTTACTGATCAATCTTCCTAACCAGCCACGTCTCAACGAAATCAAGAACGACGCGTTAGACATTGCGGAAGAGGTCACCAAGTTCATGCGGACTGATCCTGAAGATCCGCTCTGGATTTCGCTGCTGGACTGCCTCGAATCACCGGATCGCGCCCACGTCGTTCGTGCCCTTTGGGCGATCACACATTTCTCCACCGAACTGGATGAGCCGGAAGGAAACCGTGCAATGGAGCGCATGCCAAAACAAACCCTGCAGCAACTGTACTTTCACACTCTCCTGGACTTGGACAAAGATGTCCTAAGTGGTGCACTCGACTTCTGGTATCAATATACCCTTTCGCGTGAGAACATCGAGACCATGCTGGAGATCTTCGACTTCCCAAGCGTTTTCGCGCCCCGGATGATTGCGTTACTGACGTACGAAGCCCGACCTAGCAAGAAAGAGACAGTGCTGCAAGAGGAGAAGGTAGCGCCGCCGCCGTCCGAGATCCCGCGCGTGCCAGCAGAGCTCCTGAAGGACCTGATGGAGCTACAAGAGCCGGAGCGCAGCTCTCGCTGGCTGCGCTGCTGCTTTGTCGAGGATGCTGAATGTGAAATTACCCAAATAGCTCTGTGGCAAGCGTACCAGAGCCGATTCGCAGACCCTCGGGTTCCTGGGGGTGGTGTTCTCCCGGCAGCCGAGTTCATCAAAAATGTCAGTACAACCTTCACCAATGCGCAAGCGCAAGTCATCAACGGGCCCGGTGCGGCGACTCGCTTCATCATCAAAGGAATCCGTCCGCTCGAGACCGCCTACACATTCCAGGGATTCCCCTACACTTACTGCAAATGGGCCGATAACTCCAAGCCGACGAAGACCTGCCAGCGTGCTTTTGGATCCCCCGCAGACCTGCGCAACCACGTTTTCACCGACCACATGGAGCTCAAGGCAACCGACACCCCCGGCCATTACAACCTAGACGATGCCGAATCACCAATCCACACCTGTAACTGGGACAACTGCACGCGGTTCCGCTCCTCTGGGCCTAGTGCTAACACCGCCATGGTGGCCGGTCACGTGGCCTCGCACTTACCCGAAGAGCGCCCCGAGGACGCAGAGGCCCCCGTATCCAAGCGCGCGGTGCTCCAAGAGCGCATCGTTCGCAAGTGGTTCTACATGGATACTCCAGTCAACGAGAGGGCCGAGCCCATCGGCGTAGCCTACAAGGCCGCCCTGGTGCTGCGCAACATCGCGCGAAACCTCCCCAACGGCGTGGTCCAAAAATACGGTCTCGTGTGGAAGAAGGCGGTCTTCCTCAGCCACCGTCCGAAGATAGTGGAAATATGGGACCGGAATCGCTCACTACGCAAGGAACTTACGGAGTTGATCATGATAATAGAGAAAGAGGATTATTATTAAATGAATCTGCCGAGTGACGAACTGGAGTTTTTCTTTCTTTCAGGTTCCCGCTATTCTATGGCATTTCTAAAGTGTGGCTGCTTCTTTTCTCTCTCCCCCCCCCCTTTTTTTTTCTCTCTATTTCAATTATCTTCTGATATGTTGTACAAATACCCTGGCTTATCTCCCTTGTTATTTCTCTTTAACTCCGTGTGTGGTGTCTGCTTTTAATTTCTTTCTGCTGTACTCCCCACCCACCCTTGGAAATAAGCCTTAAGCAACAAACAAGTGTGCGCTTCTATGCTACTGAACCCCCCGAGGAGGGAACATTCATAAAATCGGTTGGGAAATTGATCGGCAATCTGACTAAATGGCGTCCGGGTGATGAGGTAGATCTGGAGATTGGCTGTTGTGTCGCGTTATGATTTCTTTAATCTTTCTTTTTTTCTTTCTTTTTTTTTTCTCCTTCTAGTCTTCAGTCTTTCTCTTTTCGTTCCGCAGTCATGCGTCCATGCCTTTGCTTGACGAGTGTACTATACGGTGTGGAGTGGAGTGGAGTGGAGTGGTGTGCTATGGTGTCGGCAACTGGGCGGAGGACGATCCTCCAATCTCTAGACAAATGCCTTTTTTCTTTTCTAGAACCTAATTGCCATTTGCAATATTCCGGGCTCACCTTGGGTTTGAGTTTGAGTTTCGGTTCCTTTGTGTTAGGTCTTAGTGTTTGTGATGGTGATGGGAGTATACAGTAGCAAGGGAACGAGGCCGTAGCGTAGGACTGTTGAAAGTTGGGGGGTGATCTAGCTGTCTAGTACTGTAGCTAGGATGCCGGAGTCATGTGGTAGCCTTAGACACAGCCATGCTGATGGTTTGTCCTCATGATGGTTTCATGATACTCTTGTAATACTATTATTGTAATGTCCTTATAATATCCGGTTATTATTTTTCTAATATTCTTATAACATGCTTCTAATATTCGTACAAAATCCTCATAATATCATCACAATGTCCGTACAACGTCCTCGAAACGGAGAAGGTTCTCACAGCAGTAAGTAATCACAACACACACAGAGAGAGAGAGGGGGGGGTATCCGTATTTGAAATCTTTATATATATATATATATATATATCTCACCCATACATCAGCGGATGATCAACATTGACGTAGAGATCCGCCAGGAAATTCTCGTAACTCGTCCAGGCCATCTCGTTTCCGGGCCCGGGATTGTTGAAATCGACTGCGTCCCAGACACACGGCCACGCCGACGCGCTCTCAACGCTCTCCGGTGTATGGATAGCCATAACGGTCGCGTGGCCTTGGTCTAAGCCCGGTGTAAAACCCATTGGTGAGGGATGCGTGGACATCGGTGGCGCGGGTGCGATGTCCATGGATGACGAGTAGGTTGGCATGCTAGAGCCAGGAGCAGGACTGGGACCAGAGATGGGGATAGAGCCAGGGCCAGAGATGGAACTGGGACTGGGGCCAGTGACGGAGCCAGAGCCAGAACGAGAACCAGAACCAGAACCGGCGAGTAATTGGGCTCGTCTCACGCGGGCCCGATCCATGATCTTCTCCATGGGTCTCCACAGCATCCCCCGACTCGTATCGGCGACTAGACGGGCCAACTCATCGAAGGCGAGTTCGACAGGATCCCAGAATCTCTCCATCAGGGCGAGGTCCTCGCAGACGCAGAGCTCAGCGATAGCGACGGCGAGACTGTGCCAGGGCGGGAAGGCAAATTTGATCCAGTGCCAGGTGAGGCCGCGGGGGTCGGCGCGGAGACGGTGGTAGGTGACGAGGACGTTGACGGCGAATTCGAGGAGACGTTCGCTGCGGATATGGGGCGGGGTGAAGTTTGGGGCGCGTTGAAGGGGACGGAGGGTGATGAGTTGCATGGACGCGTGGGTGCATTCCGCGACGGAGCGGGTGAGCCATTGGAAGGGGATTTTGTCGGGTGAGGAGTGGCGGAGGAGTCTGGAGACGGTTTGCTGGAATTCGATGACGAGTTGTTGGCGGATGGCGAGGGTGTTGACGGAGGGTTCGGTGAAGTCGGAGAAGTTGAGCGAGCGGGTGACGTATTGCGCTTTTTGGATCATCATGGTGAAGGTCATGTCTGTGAAGCCGGGGGAGTCGGGCGGGTTGGCTTCCATGTTGGGGGAGAGGTCAATGTCGTTGACGTTGGCTGGGGGGTGGGTTTCGAGCCAGCTGGCTTGCATCATAGGTTCGGAGGCGCGGTCCATCGAGGCTTGAATGTCGAGGAAGCCGATGGCGAGCCAGAGGCGGCGGCGGAGCTGTCGTTCAAAGGGTCGGACGGGGAATGGAGGGTTGGGGATGTGCAGAGATAAGGCTTGTGCGATGCGGAGGGCCAGGCTGAGCATTGTCCACATGCGGCGGCTTTGGTCTTGAGAGCGGAGGGCTAGCTTGAGGAGTGTGAGTTGGGGGTATTGGGAGTGTTAGAGGGTGTAGAACTGACTAGAAAGAGAACGTAGGCTTGTAGCACTGTCAGGTCGTTTGTGATGATGAAGTCCGCTCGAGCCAGAGCGGATTCCGCTTCTTTTTGATACCTCGCAACCATCGTCGCTTTGGAGATGCCGAATACGCGCATGCTCTCCTCATCACTCAGACTGCAGGACGCTGCGTAGTAGATCGAATAGGCGAGGGCGCTTGGAGCGAGATGTCCCATCTCGTAGTCAAGATAAGGCTTTCCCTCAACTAGGAAGGATTTCAGTGAAGGCCTATGTAGAATCTTGCAAAGAGGGTCCACTCTTTCAACAAAGATCCGAGCCAGTTGGTGATGGATGTGCAAAGCCCCTGGCTGCTCTCGATTGGTAGACTCGCCCACGCCACTAGCCATGGAGAGAAGGCGATGGTAGTTACGGGGATGACTACTCTCAGCACTACTGCCATCACCTGGCCTCTCATTCGGATGCACATCCGGCACCTATTCCCACAATTAGCAACCCAACCAAATCCTCGACCACACTCTGCACTCGCCCAACTCACCTCATTCAGTAAATTCGCCCAGAACGAAGACCCCAGATACGTATCAGGGGGCTGGGCCCGCCCAGCACCCTCACCGCGCGGGTTCTCCCCTTCCGACGATCGTTCCCGTGAGCTTTCGCGCTGGTGCTGGTGCTGGTGTTGGTGCTGCTCCGCGGCCCCCTCCGACGCAGCAGCCGCGGATAGGATCGCACGAGCAGAGCTCTGACTCCCCCCACGGGCCAAATCCCGGATAATGCCCTCGAGTTTCGAGACACGGTCCTTCAGGTTGACATCGGAGTCGGCAGGACGCTCCGTGGCTAGCCTTCCCGATCTGCCGCGCGGTAGACGGGCTCGTTCCACGGGGACGCATCTGGTCCCGAGACGCTGGCAGTTGGTGCAAGGGTTCAGCTTGTCACACTTGACTTTGCGGAGGCGACATGCCTCACAACTGAGCCGCACTTTGGGCTTGGTGGATGAGTGGGATTGGGATGCAGCGTTTCCTGCTGCGTCCGCGGACGGGCTGGGGTGATGATTCATGGTGCGCGAGAAGAGCTGCTGGTTGCTAGGTGCTTACTCATCCAGACTTGAGGCAGGGACATCGTTCATCTGATCGAGTCGGTTGGGTTGGTGAGCGGCAGCAGGAGGGATGCGTGGATTACGGAGTCATGCAGATATGCCGACAAAATACGGAGGACGACCCGCGATGACGGAGATCGGCCACGGGTGCCTCAGGACCCACGGCATGCCAACCCACTCCGAGGGCCGATCCACCGCCGAGTTTCTGGTTGTTACGGAGTCTACTTCTACGACCACCACAATCAAGTATGATGTCGATTTCGGATTCGCAATATACATTGGCACGCATGGCATGACGACTACATAAGCTAAGGAACCCGTGACCCCGCCCATTTTACAAACCCTAATGCGACGTCCATATCCCTAGTCCGGAGTGATAGGAAGCAAGATACCAAAAAAAAAAAAGGGAAACAAGAAAAGGCAGTCTGAGGACTAGGATTGCAGAAGTGAAAGAAGGAAAATGGATGGAAGATTAAATCACATTCGTGTCCTGCCGCTCAAGTCTAAAAGATAGACGATAAACACCAAATATGTGCAAAAGAGACGGAAGAGTGGAAGCATGGACGGCCTGGCCTTACTCCCAAACGTTGGAGAACAGATCATCGGATCCACCAAACCCGCCTGCCGATTTGGATGGAGCCCCCGTGTTGTTCGTCGTACTGGCGGCCGTCCTCGAGGTGCTAGGAGCCGGAGGAATCGGTGCCGCGCTGGCCCATCCGCCGAAGTCTTCGTCGGCCGCCACAGTCGGAGCCGCTTTGGTTGCAGGAGAGGACATACCCCAGCCACCAATGTCATTCGCGGTGAGGGTATCCGGCACCTTCATCGAAGACGAGGGCGCGGCTGGTGCAGGAGTGGGGTCAGGGGTGCTCCAGGCATTGCCTCCCCAGGGGTCGATGGTGGTGGGGGGAAGCACGCTTGCTGCGGGTTTAGGCGCCGGTGCGGGAGGATTGAGGTTGAATGCGGACTTCAGTTCCTGCTGCGGAGAGGGCGACGTGAAAGCCGGGGGGGGCGAGATCGCAGCAGCCGGGGCCGGTGAGGAAAACCCGAACAGGTCGTTGGATAGGGGTGACTGGGCCTTGGGCGGCGGCGGAGACGCAAAACTGCTGAATCCCCCATCAAAGCCTCCGGATGACATGGACGTGGTGCGGGATTGCGGCTTGGGCGGGGGTACAGTAGGAGAAGCCAGGCTATCAAAAAGACTGCCTCCTCCACTACCGACGGACGCAGTGGGCGAAGAAACCTTGGGTGCAGCCGGGGTCGACTTCATACTGGCAAAGCTTGTGAGGTTGGCAAAAGGCGAGGGCTTCTCGGCCGGCTTGGGAGGCGGAGGTGAGGTGGTTGTTGGCATGGTCAATCCGCTGAAAGCATCGGTCAGTCCGCCCATGTTTGAAGAGGATGCGGAATAAGGCGCCGGAGAGGTCAAATCCCCGAAAGAGGTGGTGCGCTCATGGTGCGACGTGGCTGGAGGGGCCTTCGAGTATAGCGATAGGATGGACTGCTTCAAGTCGGGCCGGGATATTCCAGTTGAGCCAGCAGGGGTCGACGAGACGCTGGCCGGCCGGCTGCTGGGGGCAGGCTGAGTGCTGCCAAAGAAATCGAGCCCCAGCAACGAATCGCCTGGACGGGCTGCCGGCTTGGGAGGAGGAGCCGACAGTGGTTGTTTAGGAGGCAGCCGGGTGTTGGGCTCTGTCGTACTGGGACGCGCGGGAGGAGAGATATCGTCACCGAAGAGGTCGATAGATGCTTGTTGTTGACGATGCACCGGTTGACTTGGGGGCGGGGCCACGCGTTGAGACGCCACACGTTGAGATGCAGAGCGCTCAAGCTTCGCCTTTTCCTGTACCACCGCAAGGGGCTACCCGGACATGAGTCAGTGTCTACCATCAACGCTGTTGGATTCCCGATCACGTACTACATCATCATCGCCATCGTCCAAGGTCGAGGGATCGGGCATCGGACCGTCCATAACCCACCGCTTGGATTCGTACTTAGTCCGAATGAAGTTCTCGATTTTCCTGCCCGCAACATTTCCATTAGACACAAGGCCATTGGACTTATAAGTAGGCGGGGAGTTAATCCACTTACGCTTCCGAGGGGACGTGACCGGCGGCGAGTTTCGCTTCCCAGTACCTGCCGAGGACAACCAGTCAGTTCCAGAGCTCCCAGGAAGTATGAAGCGCAGCGGAAGAGACGCACTTGTTTGCCCGTCCATTGCCCCATCTCACGACACTCTGAAGCTGTTCATCCGTCCACGAGTCGAGGTCCACCGACTTCACCCGACTGATATGGGTGCCCATACCCCTATGAATGCCCGAGCAACGGATGCAGATGAAGATACCGAGATTCCATGATGCCCATCGTGGATCTAAACACACAGTAATTAGCCAGCGATTACACAACACATCCATACACCCCCATTGGGGCGATCGTGGTGCGGAAACAGCAACAGTGCCGCCTCGAAGTAAAGTTGCGGCGGGGGGGGGGGTCACTCACGCTTATTGCGCTTGCAATCGGCACATGTCTTGTTCTGGTCGAGTTTCAGCAGGCTCTTGATGACCTGCTGGTTCTGAGCCGCTTGGGACGGCGTGGCACGTCGAGACATCACAGATAAGGGCGCAGTGCTAGTAGAAAAACTAGGGAATGCAATCAGAGAGCAAGAAAGGAGCCGAAAGGGGAGTTGGAACGGGGACGTCAATGGGCCTCCAAGTGGCGGGTTGCGGTGTCCTGGGGGCCTGAGGCAGCAAGGCGGTGGATGCCCGACGCCGGCGGACGCAACGGGCACGTGCTCGGCCTGCAGCGGGTTTGATGTTGATTGCGGCCATTTCGATTAGGGATCCTCGGGATGGAGATCATAGCACGTCGGACTCGTCATACTGTCAATCAAAACCTCATTTCCTCATGCTTCATCTAATAGCTATTTTATAGGCCCTTACCTACATACACAGTATACACCCCACCTCACACCGAAGATCCATATCAAACCACCACTCACCCCTTTATCTACCCTACTTTTCCATAATATGTCACTAGATACCAGCCTTCCCCTCCCCTCCATCCTCCGTAAACCGCAAACTCACACTATTGACACAATGTCTCTCATCCGTCGGCGTCTTATAACCCTCCCCCTTGAACACATGACCCAAATGTCCCCCACAGTTACTACACACGATCTCCGTGCGCTCCATCCCAAACGAGCTATCTGTATGTCTCGTCACCGCCCCCGGGATGGAATCGAAGTATGCCGGCCATCCACACCCGGACTTGAACTTGTGCGATGCCTTGTAGATCGGCGCGTTGCAGCCCGCGCAGTTGTAGACTCCCTGCGAGGGGTAATGAGAATCGTATTCGCCCGTGCCTGGTCGTTCGGTTCCTTTTTGGCGGAGGATGCGGAATTGTTCTGTTTTCGTGTGGGAAGGTGGAGAGGTTAAATTAAGCTGAGTTTTTGGAGGTTGGGATGTGAGGGGGGGAATGAGGTGCGTTGCATACCTGGGCTTAGGACGGCTTGCCACGCATCTTCACTCCGCTGGTCGGGGTACGACATGTTGGGGGTTTTGGTGTTCTGGGAGTCGGGCTTTGCGCTGGATCCGAAGAAGGAGCTGAGAAAGGGGATGGCTGGGGCGGCTTTGAGGACTGTTGCGCCGGAGATGGGAAGAGGTGGTCGGTTGAAGGGCCGGGTGGTGGTGGAGGGGGATCGGAGGGGTAAGGCGAAGATGCGGAGGGTGGAGGTGAGACTCTGGGAGCGCATCGGGTTGTTCGGGTGTGAAGGTTATGGATTTGTATGCGCCGGTCGCGATCTTTGTTGGGAAAGATTGAATGACGGAGGAATAGAGAAAATGACGCGAGCTTGAGACTCTTCAGAGCTGTCGTTGTCGCCGCCGGATCTCCGCCGATTTGCCTGAGGCTTTTACGTCATCCGAACCGAGGAACTAGTTACCTACCATGTAACTACGGAGTGTTGGGTTGAGGATCAGGATTTCGCAACAATTCTGAGCTTAACTGCCAACTCCCCTCTTCTTGGATAAAATAAAGTGTATATGTAGATACCAAACACGTAAGCATGTATGTATGTATGTACGACATATGTTGGCCACATGACGCCCTTCAACCAAAGATGCCCGCATGGTAAAAACGCCCCAGGGTATCTCGAGTATATCAAACGCTGAACCGAAGAGACGAGAAATCGCCAGAACAACCATCGCAGTGCAAGTCAACGACGTTTAACAACGCCAACGACCGTCAAAACACCTTCGCCAACTTCTACCCGCCAGCCCTCTCGGGCGAGCATCTTCCCCACGGCCGGCCCTAAGCGGGACGTCCCGTCGTGACTGTGCCTTCCGAGGCCAGTGACAATGCGATAGCCCCCGCGGACTGGATCCCCACCTCCTCGCATGTATTTGGCGTCGCCCAAAGACTCCCACCACTCTGACACCCGTGCGCTAGCGATCCGGACCGCATCTTGCACGGACACTCCGTGTAGATCCAACATGCTCGAAGTAGACTGTGTGTCCACCAAGGCGTCGGCGGCCGCAGCTGCATTGCGCCTGGCGCGCTCCATATGGTCTCGTCCGACCGCCGAATAGTACGCGGCCGCACCCCCCATCAATCGATCCGACTTGCCGCGTCTGTACGCTAGCGATGCTTTCGACAATGCTTCTGCGCCAGCTGTGAAGTGTAGGCCTGCTGCACTTCGTGCTCGATCAAGGTCTCGGGTGACTGGCACATCTGCAGTCCGTTTTGGGCGTACCTCCTCGTCTTCAAGGTCCAGAGATAGAGGTGATGCCGTGATCTTGATCAACTCGGACACTGAGGACGCCACAGGAGCAGTTAACATAGCAGCTGCCAGCTCATTAGCAGCCGAAACTGAGCCCCTAGTGACCTGAAGTAGACCGGCAAATGTAACCGGTGGGACAGAGCCGAACTCCTGCGTGAGCTCAGCGATTTGCGTAACCATAACTGGATTTTCAGCAATGGCCAATTCACTCTTCGGCGCATGTGCGGAGGCAAGGGCCTGAATCGCCCCTGGTAGTGAAGCTCCATTCGCATGGTAAGTCGAGCGGACCGTCTCTTTCTTCAAGATGGGTGAAGTTCTAGCATGGATGAAATCAACATCCTTTTCGGCAGCATCCCATTTGTTTAGAGTAGGTGTCTCATCCAAATATGACACAGAGCTTAGAGGTGACGAAATATCCTGCTTCCGACCATTCTTGTTCTTGCGCTTGCGTCCTTTCTTCTTTCCAGCGTCTCCGGGGCCATCTCCGAAGCCGTCAATGCCTTTAGGAACAAAGACCTTGGCTCCGTCCTCGTCAGTCGGCTGCTCATCGAAGAAGGTAAGGTTCAGCAAGACATCCATAGAGCGATCGATATCCCCATTAGACTTCTGCAGGGTGTGTTGGACAGTAAAGCGGTCCACCGAGGGAAACATCTCGGTCAAGTAACTGATTTTGTCATCTTCATTTGCCCCGGACAGACGCATAGACCCATCCTCACTAATAATGTACGACACATGATCAAATGATTTCGCGCCACCTTTATTCTTGCCATGTGCGCTTTTATCACCCAGCCCGATACCAGAGAAGCCAGATGTGAGACTACTGAGATCTGTTTCGTGTGACCGCACTGTGGTACTCTGGGATCCACTGCTCTCTGATAAGATGCCATCGAGCTCCGCATTGTTGTCTGGACTCAGTCCGGACGTGCCGGAGGGGTCAAATGGTAGATCCTCTTGCTCCCAAGCGGACAATCTAAGGGCATCAAGGGTGTCGCGAAGCTGCTGAAGTTGTGTAGAGTCTCTAAGGTCATAATCGAATGCAATGGCGGTAAGCAAGGCAGGGTCTAGAGGAGGACAGTACGTTTTTTCCAGGTCCTAGAGTAAATTCAATCCCAAGATCAGCTAGCTATTCACATCTCGAAAAAACTGCGTCATAGCATGTGCTGGCAAGTGACCGCACAATCAGAAGACGGCTAACCTGGAGTGGATCTTCCACTGTATCACCCATGTTCAAAGCCAACAATAGGAAGCAAAGAAATGACTGGTTTGCTAAGCATTCCTTGGTAAGCAACTGGGAGTCTGGTGCTTGTCTGCAACACGAAACCCGTCGTGAATATTTTGTTGTGGAGAGCCTGCCTGGCAACTCTCATCTCCGTGGGCGCGGGGTTGGCTCCGCCCGATGACATAATCCGACGGCAATGTCACCCTGTCATGTGATATGCCGTATACTTCTTCTGGCACGTGCAATCAGAGGCAGAGACTCTGGGCTGGTTTATCCGTTCTAACCCTTTGAGGCGGTCGGGAATTTGATTTAGACTAGGGAGGAACCAGTTTAATCATACGCCATCCCTATCAGGTAGGTGTTTTGCGCTTAGTACTTGATAGTAATAGGACCTGGATATACATATGCACAAACAGTCACCTCATATCCAGGTAGTCTTCATAAATTAACCAACGATAGGTGTCTAGTAAAATTCTCTGGTCTGTCAACAATGTACAGAATGGTATAACTCTATATCTTCATAACACATGCATGCTGTATACACCGGCTGCCTCTTCTAGTTGTACTTGGCCATGAACTCGGAGTGGAACTTCACAATACGCTCAACCCAGTCCGTTCCAGGAGCAAGGAAGGTCGTACGGAAGTGCAGAGTGTTCTCCTTCTGGCCGAAACCAGAACCGGGGACAACACAGACACCGGTGGCGTCGAGGAGGCGCAGGCAGTAGAACTCATCAGCCGCACGGTTCTCAGCCTTGGCGGCCTCGATAGCCTTGGCGGGCAGAGTGATGGTGGGGAAGAGGTACATGGCGCCCTAACCATTGTTAGCAAACAATCCAAAGCAGATAGCGGGAAATGAGGTGGCTCACCTGGGGCTCCTGGCATTCAACGCCCTCCATGCGCTGGAATGCCTCGTAGAGGGCAAAGGCGCGCTTGCGCAGGCCATCCCGAATACCGTTGTATTCCTTCTGGTACAGCTCGTGGCTGGGTGCGCCCTCCTTGGGAGGGTTCACCATCAGCTCAACCAAGCACTGCCCGATAACCGGCGGGCAGAGCATGATGCTGACGTACTTGTAAACCTGGGCGGCGACCTCCGGGTCGAAACCAACCAGTTCGAAGTAGCCACCACGGTGACCGCACTCACCAACCATGCCCTTAGACACACTGTGTAGGGAGACCAGCTCCACGTTGTCGTACTTGCCGGACACTTCCTGCTGAAGCTGACGGAGTCTCTTCTTGAAGGAGATGAATTCGCCCGTGAAGACGTTGGTCTGGTACACCTCGTCGGCGATCACCACCAGCTTCTCCTCCGCAGCAAGGTCGAGCACGCCCTTGATGTCCTCGGCGCTGAGAGAAGCACCGGTCGGGTTGCCGGGGTTGATGACGACAATGGCACGGACATCGGTACCAGCAGCCTTGGCCCGACTGAGGTTCTCACGGATAGCGTTCACATCGGTACCCCAGGCCTTCTCCTCTTCCAGGTTGTAAGGAACGCACTGGGCGTTCAGGAGAGACAGGGTGGCGGTGTACAGAGGGTATTGGGGGATGGGGACGAGAACACCAGCACTGGGGCCGTCGCAGATGATGTTCAGCAGGGTGCTCACACCAGAAGAGGCACCGCCGGTCAAGTAGAGGTCCTGGGGGTTGGCGGAGAATCCATCACGCTCCTCGATGAACTTGGCCACGCTGTTACGGATGACGGGAGCACCCTGACTGTGACTGTAGGCACCAACGCTCTGGACATCGGCAAGCAGGACCTTGGCCCGGTCAATGACATCCTGCTGGTAGCCGAATGTGGTGCGGAGAGCCTCGGGGTGCTCGAGCAAGGCGGTGTTCTCGAGAAGACTGAGGACTTGACGGAAGAAGCTGATGGGCTTCTGGTCCAGCTGCTGCGGGTTGCCGATGTTGGCGAAGATGACGCTGTCGAAGGGCAACGACTTGTCTCCCTCGGACAGCCTCACACGGTATTCCTCCGCCTTGACAGCCAGCTCACCACGGACGGCATATTTGGCAGCCTTGACGTGGGGGTTGATGTTGTCGAGGTTCAAGCGACGCTCGGCGGAGGTGGCCAGGGTGCGTCTGCTGGGGAGGGTGACGGTCATGGTGGACTCTGTGATGGTGGGATACGGTCAGCTATTCTGCGTCAACACTTGCCCTATGCAGCAGGAACAGTCGATGCGTCCGAAAGGCGGAGCAGGCCATTTTGTAGGCAAGCATACGGGGCACCGGATGTCACAGGATGGGCGGCGTGGGCGTCTGACACCGCAGCATACGCGGGGGGGGGCACATCCAATGACAGGCCGGCGACTGGACCCGAAGATTGGCCCAGCTCGAGACACGGGAGGGGTAGGGGGCATAAAAAGGACTCACCCCTCAGTAAGCCAGCGGCGGGTAGGCCTGCCCTGGAGGAGAGATGGCGCGAGCCATTCTGGTGGCACGATAGCCTGAGGGCCCCATTCGGCCGGGAAACCGCGCATCTTAGCGGAGATGCCCGCAGATGGGAGGCGAGCTTAAATTGCCAGGTCATGATGTTAGTTCAGTTGGCTTCCTGGCGCTCCAAAACCGGCCAATTGCACAGTCAGACGTTCTCCACCGTGGGGGCAAGCGGAGGACTCGCAAGGGACTTCTGATTGAAGGGCAGAAATGACGAGTCTGACAGCCAACAGAAGAAGACCTCTCGTTCCCTGAATCGAAGCCCGGAAAGCAGATCCCAACGGAGGAAAAAAACGACGCGGGAGAATTCCCACCGGGCGGTGAGTGGATGACTCAGCGCTCCCCGCGCGGGATGAGGCCCGAAGGCCAGTGTTTACATGGATGCGGTGTGTCTAGAAGTGAAGTAGAGTATCCTACGAGCAGATGGATAGTAATGATGGTGGGGGTTTGCTGGGAAGAGAATCGATCGTTCAAAGGTACTCCGTAGCTGTGCAGCGAGAAGGCAACCAACCAACCCTGGTCGATCCATCATAACACCGGATGGTGCCTGGTGGTCATGTGACCTGGTCATCCCGTACGATCTCCGGGCCCTCCCGATATCTTCGGCTCGCCCAGGCCAGGTCAGTTCCGGAGTGCTACACCGACCCTACGAGCTAGCGCTGTGCCAGGTAGCCAGCCACTAGAATAACCGGTAGCACTACGGTTGGCCCTCCATCCCCTCTTGCCGATTGATTGATCTTATCACCGAAGTCGTCGAGGTCATGTTCTCTTCGCTCATTAGACGTATGATACAGCAGCGCTTACTGTGGCGCTCGCAAGGGGTTCATGGTGAACAGGGGGAAATGATGGTTAAATCACTAAGGTTTCTCATCTAGAAGATCATGAACCACGTGATGAGTTCAGATCAGACCATGTCTGGCGTCCGTTCCCATCGTCACTCTAGCTCCGTTCGCTTCCTCGCAACCGCACGGCCTGACCATACTTTTGCAGCTTCGTGATCAGAGCATCGCCATGCTTCACCACATCCGCGTATTGCTTGTTCTTATCATCCGGTCGGTTCGTCTCGATAATACCGTTCACACGGTCGATGGTGCATGCAATCCGGTTGCTGGCAATGAACTTGGCAAGATCCCTGTGACTGTTAGTTGATGCGGTCGTGTAGGATTGCCTGAGTGCAGACTTACCGATCCAAGTAGTCTACAGTGACTCCGAAGTCGCTGGCCATGCTGTTCAGGCCGACGACGCGGTAACTCTGGAGCAGTTGCTGGTATGCCCGTAGTCTCATCTCCCGCACAAACCACGCGCGGTGCTCGTGCAAGTAACGGTCCTGGTTGAGGAAGTTATCCTCCACCGCCGCCAGCGACACAAAGAAGGTCCGGTAGTTACCGGTGTACAGACTGTCCACCAGATTGGCGAGGGGGGAAAAGTCCACGGGTAACTCTGTTTCGGCCTGGACACCGGAGCCGGCGAAAGTGGTCAGGTTAACAATGGTGGTTGCCGCAGAGGGCGTGGTCTTGGAAACAGTAGCATCCTTCATTTCCTCATCCTGGGCGCCCGGTCCAGAGGAGACCTCGCCGGTCAGAGCGGCCAGCCGGTCCTCTCCGGGTCCAAGGATGGCCTTGATCTCAGGCGCGTCCACGACCTTAGCCTTGAAATCAACCCGCTTCAGAGATAACGAACCCGCAAGGATCGAAAAGATAACCAAGGACGAGTAGCTGCACAGTTCGTAGCTGGTGAAGGTGGACAGACTGTCGAGGAGCAGGGGAGCAGCGAGGCTGTAAGAGCGGATAGTGAGCAGGTGTAGCCCCTTGTAGGCCTTCAGGCGATTCCTCCGATCCCAATCACCGCCACTCTCGATGAGGGTGTTTGCCCGTTCAATGTTCTTCTTCACAGACAAAGTATCTCCAAAAAAGAGGCCAATCCGGATCATCGCCAGCATCAGATCGATCTTGGTCCCGAGGAATGACGTCTTCTCGAGGAGGGCTTCGTAGGATTCAATAGCTTTGTCCTGTCGGTAGATTCTAATATCAGCATATCGGGCATCGAGGAGTGACATAACCCTAGTAATCCTAGGACTCTCATATTCGCAGCTTGTCCAGACATACCTTATCGCCTACCCGTGCCCAGAATTCAGCGCGCTTCCCCCGTGCGGCCAGGACCTCGGTTTCCCCGGCGGCCTCCTCCGCCTCATCTTCCTCCTTCTGGAACGCATCCAGCTCCTTCCGGTTATTCTCTACTAGTGACTGGTACAACGCTTCGTCCCAAGGGAAATCGATCTTCTGAGGTGACTTCCGCGAAGCCAACATATTCGAGGTAAGCAGGGACTTGCCCGGGGCCTGAACGGGAACGCCTTCGCCAGAGTGGTTCAGGATGCCTTCGACGGGATGTGCGAGGTGACGGTAGAACGGGGCCATCTTGTTCTCAGATATGACATCTTGGAGCTTCTTCAATGATGTCTGGCGCACGACTTGGGGGCATGCTGGGTTGGAGAGGTTGAAGACATGTTGGGCGAGGGCGAGGTTGGGGTACTTTATGTACTGCGGATCGGACCCCATTCTGGCGACGGGGGGGAGGGGCAAGTGGTTGAAGAAGTATTGATTACAAGAGTGAGGAGGTAATAAGGCTAAAACGGGACGGAAGGTTGAGAGGTTCGTGAGCAGAGGATGATGGATGAGGCAGATACATCACGTATGAAGCGTAGCTGACCCGAGCTCAGCTGGGGAAAGGTTGTTCCGCCGCCGAGATGTCTTCCCGGTTTTAAACGCCCGCCTTACCAATCCAACCGCTCCGAATGAGCATCCTTTTATTCTGACACACCATGAACTCTGAGGTCGATTTATTCTCTCACTGTTACCCAACGGTCGCTTAAGCTAATCGACGGGAACTTTAAGTGGATTCTATGCCCTCAAGAGTGCAACCATCAATATTACACGAAATAGTGCCTACTTACATTCTCCAGGGTTCTTTTGACTCGGCCGGGCATACCCAGTGAGAGTGAGACCAACACAGGATATTTTCCGCCACGGAGAGCAGCGTGGCGGTATGGTGTGCCACTTGTTATTAGATTGGTAGCTCAGGTGGTTGCAGTACCGAGTACCGGATCCAGCAATCTATAAACAAGTGTCGAATATCCCGGTTCCTCCGGGCTTAAGCCTCTTATCGCGTCGAGATTGGCGCAGAGCAAGCCAAGGGCCTGCAGCAGCCAATGGCATGATCAGAACTTTAGTCAACCCTCAATCCTGGAGGCCCGATATTGAACATGCCTGCAATTCTGTGTTTCTATGGCACCCATGAGGTCATCATGTAGCGCGAAATCCAGTAATGTTGTGAAAGGATGATGCTCATCGAAGCTGGCGGAATACCACTTCAGATGTCTATCGTTGGATTGCACTGAGAGCGGTGTATTACGAAATGAAAACTGAATGCTTTATCAATGGATTTGCTCTGGGAGATTACCACGGGATACTCCGAACCTTGTATATCAGCGGCCCACCTAGAGAGATTCATTATGTCCTGCGGTCACTCACAACACCATGCTTGTGATGGCTCTGCCTGCACCCTTGCACGACTCTCTGCCTTCTGATATTTGCAACTCAAGTCATGCTATGAGATATGGTGTACAAGATGTGAGTACTCCGTACTCTGTACTAGGTCAGTCGTACATTCATCGTTGTAACCAGCCATTGTGTGGAATGGTGCCAAGAACAAAATGCAGAGACAAAAGGATTCAACCAGGTCAAATCAAAGATTTGGACTCGGCGAATAACAAGATGCGGACCGCGGAGTATGGGGTGGCCCAGCCCGAATGTTGCCTAGCGCAGCGTCGCTCTTGCAGCCGAAGACGGGGAATCAGCAACTGAACTACACTGAAGGCTCCACTCCACGGCGGTGGGAAGGCGCTAAGGCTGCGACGGGAGGGGCCATACTACCAACCTCGCCTGGATCAGTTCAAACTACCACTACACTAACTCCCTTCGCTCCCTGGTCCTGGGAAGACATGGATCAATCAGGAAATCGGGCATGTGCTTCACACCGGCTCCCCGATGGCCCTCCCGTGTTTCTCTCGCCTTCGGGGATCCATTCCCTGATTTCTTCTTGTTTATTATATCATCGTGACCGATACTATAAGTAGGAGGCACAACCTCCGGAGTGACGGACTTCCTTCCCTGCGTTGTCCTCGCACCTCCTTCTGCTGACTATCAGTTGGGTCCTGCAACACTTGTGCGGCATATATTTCCTCTCCCCCACTTTTACCCACATTGCAATTGTGAGGTCTGACAGCAAAGCGGTCGCAATGGAGCCCAGAGCGGATGTTGAGTCTAAGGGAGTGTTACCATCTGAGAAGGACTCAACCTCTCTTGAAGCAGAGGCTTTGGGTGCAAACGCACAACTCAAAGGTCGCTGGGAACGTAGTTGGCCTACCATTGCTTGTGGTGCTGGTCTTTTTTCCGATGGGTATCTCAATGGTGTACGTTCCCTCCATCTTGAAACCTATTATGGCCTACCACCTTCTGTACCCCAACTTTGATGTTACCGTGAGCTGTTAATAACCTTTACCCGCTTCAGATCATTGGTCCCGTCAATACCATCCTCAAGAGGCTCTACCCCAAAGAATATGCCGACTCTCCCGCGAGTCAGAATGTCTCTTCCATCACCTTTGCCGGCACAGTCGTGGGCATGCTTATATTCGGATACACAAGTGATCATTGGTCGCGAAAATGGTCTCTCATGATTTCCACACTGATATTATTCCTCTTTGCCGCCTTATGTGCTGGTGCGTACGGATATCATAACAGTCATTATGGATTGTTCGCTGCTCTTACTGCCTATCGGTTCTTCCTGGGCATCGGAATTGGCGGCGAATACCCTGCAGGATCTGTTGCAGCAGCCGAAAACACTGGAGAGCTAAAGCAGGGGCATCGCAATCGGTGGTTCGTGATGTTCACCAACTTCCAAATTGACTTCGCCTATGTTGTCTCCGCACTGGTCTCAATGATCTTGGTCTTGATTTTCACTGAGAAGCATTTGCATGCAGTCTGGCGTATTGGATTGGGACTCGGCGTTATTCCCCCGCTCAGTCTGATCTATCTGCGATTGAAGTTGGAAGAACCCGAGGAGTTCAGTCGGGAGCGCATGCACAAATTTCCCCTTTGGTTGATTCTCAAGTTAGTTCTATCTTGCTTGCCTCTTTATCGTCAGCGTATATGCTAAATTATTCCCACAGGTTCTATTGGAAGCGTCTGGTTAGTATCTCTTTGCCAATTGAATGTATTAACCATGGCTAATGACGGATAGCTTGTGTGCTCACTTATCTGGTTTCTCTATGATTTCTCTTCGTATTCATTCAGCATCTACTCGTCTGACTGGATCGCTATTATTTTGGGGGACAATGCTCCTCTCTGGAAAAGCTTCGGCTGGACCACCCTAACATATTCATTTTACATCCCGGGTTCCTTTCTGGGCGCCCTAGCGAGTGACTGGCTGGGGCCGCGCAACACCTTGGCTCTTGGCGTCCTCCTACAAGGTATTGTTGGATTCATCATGTCTGGCTGCTATGCGTATCTTTCAACAGCAAAGAATGTCGCAGGGTTTGTTGTGGTATTTGGGTAAGCCATACACCCCACCATTCTTGTCTGTTTACTAACACAGTTATAGCATCTTCTCGAGCCTTGGTGAATTCGGCCCTGGTGATAACATCGGCCTTTGCTGTGCCAAGAGCAGCGCAACTTCCGTTAGAGGCCAGTTCTACGCTATAGCTGCAGCAGCCGGCAAGATAGGGGCCTTTGTGGGAACATATGTGATTCCAATCATTCAGGACAATGCCCCGAACAAGGTCCGGGCCGGCCAGGATCCCTTTTTCGTCTCCAGTTCGCTGTGCATACTCAGTGCTGCATTGGCCTTCTTCCTCCTGCCAAACATCGGACAGGTATGGCTTACCACCAGGCCTTCCCGTGGAAATTTGGTGAAACCGCAGCTAACGGTTCCCTCTAGGATACCATTACGCATGAAGATGCAAAGTTCCGTGCTTACCTCGAGACCCATGGATATGACACGTCCACCATGGGCAATCCCGACGAGCAATAGTTATCATCTCTTGCAGCCCGTGCGCTCAACCTCGCCAGCAATGCCCATCTAGCGCCAGCCCCTCCTTGACCCGAGCGACATCCCTATCCGACAGCCCTCCGATTACCGATACGAGAGCCCTAGCAGCATGATCGACCACTAACGCGGCCCTTGATGAAAACCAAATCCCCAGCGCGAATGAAAGCCCAGAAACCCCAGACGATAGCCCGAAAAGTTTAGCCCAGAAGCGCGATTGTGAGATCCCTTTCCACCTGAAGATCCCTCACGGCGGAGATTTTGCTATCACAGATCAGATGACGATTGTCATGTTTAGCTTCTTATTTGTACTCCGTAGATAAGTCTAGAAGAGCCTTACAATGTCCAGCAATGATTTTGATGACCAACCAGTCGGTAAAGTTAAATCTGTATTGTGGAAAGACCGATGCCTACCGTATGCACGGAGACCGTGCGTGATGCGGGCACTTATTTTTGGATAGGCTGGGAGAGGTACCTTTTTCCTGCCCTTGTTTCCCTCGGCCAATTTGTAATCTCTTCGCCTCCTTCCCCCCCTTCCTGCCACAGGTCCGATCAAGGGCCTGACACGTCAACTGCCGCGTTTCGTGTGGCAGCCTGGACGGTCTCCTTGCAGCCCTCGGGTTCAGGCAACCAGGTTGACGGCTACCCGCAGCGAATCCTCAGCCGCTCGAGTCTCGCCGGATTCTTCAACTTCCTGCACCATAACTTCCGTGCTGCACATACCCACCTTCGCGGTTTCAACAGCTGCAGAGACCCATGTTGCCTGGGATGTTGCAGGCGAGGCTTGGTGTTCTTTGGCACCCATGCAGCGTGGATAGCCACCAATGCCCCCCCCCCCTTTTCAGATCTCTACCTATCTAGCTGCTACTTCTGCACCGAACACAGACCAACCTAGCCTTCACCTGACAGCCAAGTTCAATACTGCCTGCGCCATATGCCGACTAGGTCTCGCGTTATTGGCTGGGCGCAATACCACCTAGTACCTACCTGATCGCTTGGGTGTAAATCAGCCTCCCTCTCTCGGTCTCTCCACCACACCATGTCACTGCACCATCCCAGCATTCGGGCTTCGGAGTGCATTGCTCGATCAAGTTATTCGTCAGCAAACCCAATCTCTCACTGGCATGTATGTACGGTTATCTCGCGCATCACAAAGAAGACGGGCCACTCTCATTCCTGACGCATTCCTATGGGATGCAGACCTCGCGCGCCGATCATTATCCATAAGCACAACCAAGCTTTGCAGCTGCAATGCCCCCCTGCAAGGGAGGCGAATCGGGACCCGCAATGTACGTATCCTTTTCGGGATGCGCGATAGCGGCCAGACACCGGTTGAAGGGGTGGGTTGGGTCTGTGATTTTGCTCGATGCTATGTGTCGAAACTGTAAACCGTTCTTCCCACCAGGCTACGAGCAAACCTTTTAGTCTGTCACCCCAGGAAAAATCTGACTTGTATTCCCGACTGATTCCCATGGCTTATTTCCCTCATCTACGCATTGGCTTCGGTGAGTTCACGAGGCTACGACAATTATCACTTACCGGTAGCTACGTGGAGGCTCCAAGGCAGGCATCCCGCGTCAGGCTCGGAGATTGAGGCTTTTTTTTTGGCCCCGGTCCGACCCAGTGGGGATAGCTCTGTTACGTTAGACCAGGATGTTGCATCCTATTCTTGACATCAGCAATTTCAACCTCGTCCTCTCCGTTATAGGTAAGAAACACGAGAGTCGGACGTTTTCGGATCGAAATGGCTGACGCGTTGCCAAGGTCTCTATATTCTTCTCTTCGGGTTTGTATCCCTCAAGCTCAAGCAGAGATGGTATCTTGGTGAAGCCTGTATGTATGCTTTTATCACTTCTGCGTTAGATTGTCGTTGTTAATAGCAGCCCAGTGCCCGCTCTCCTTGTTGGCATTGCATTCGGGCCGATCGGGGCCAAGTACTTGAACATATCGCAATGGGGAGGTGATGATGACAACAAGAACAGCGAGATTGCCTATGTAAGATCTCTTTCCTTCGGACCGCCCGTGAGCCTGTGCTAACCGTGCCAGGGCTTGACACGTCTGGTCATCGGCATACAGCTGGTCAAGGCTGGATATGAACTACCCAAGAAATACCTCAAGCAGCGTTTCAAGGAAATGATCATTTGCTTACTTCCTCTCATGATCATATCGTGGATTACAACATCCGCGTGCGTGAAGCTCCTGATCCCACGCGTCTCTTATGTATGTTTAAATCCATTCCCTCATCCGACATTCTCTAGGATCTACTAACACGCAACTGCAGCTCTCAGCTCTTATAATTAGCGCCTGTGTGACCTGTACAGACCCAGTTCTCTCGCAAGCGATCGCCAAAGGCCCGTTTGCTGATAACTACGTCCGTCGACCCCTGCGAGAATTCATTTCTGCGGAGGCAGGTGGCAATGACGGGTTCGGCTTTCCCCTCTTACTGCTTGGTGTTTCTCTCTTACGCTATGCGGAGGCACCGGCAAATACTCTCAGCTTGGAGGTCTTTGATCTAGAACGAGGAGTCCCCGACGTTCTCGGAACAACCGGAGTCGGACGCTTCGGTGGCGGCGCTGGCACTGCTCTGAAGCATTGGGCTGTTGAAGGTGTCCTGTACATGATCTTCCTGGGTGCCTCTTACGGCGCCTTTGTGGGATTTCTGTGTCAGAAGTTCCTCGCCAAGGCATTGAAGCGGAAGTGGGTCGACAATGAGAGCTTTACACTTGTTCCTGTGGCAATCGGGCTTCTCGCAGTCGGCACTTGCGGCTGCTTTGGCTCCGACGAGACTCTCGCCTGCTTTATCGCGGGATGTGTCTTGAACTGGAACGGACTTTACCACGAGGAGATCCAAGCTCGACATGACTCGTTCAACTCGACTATCGAGACTATTCTGAATTTCAGTGTGTTCATGTATCTGGGCGCAACCATGCCATGGGGCCAATTCCAAAGTCCGCACACAGGAATCACTCTCTGGCGGCTGTTCGGATTAAGCTTCATGGTCCTGGCTTTTAGGCGTATTCCCGCCATCCTGGTTGGATACCGATTAATGCCGAAGGTGTGCAGTGACTGGAAGGAGGCGCTTTTTCTCGGTCATTTTGGGCCAATTGGTAAGCTCACATCTACATTTCGCTCTTCATCTTCCTACTGCTGACGTCGACCTGCAGGAGTGGGCGCAATCTCGTATGTGGAATACACTCGACGACTGTTCCCGGCGCCCGGACAAAGTGACAGAGAGATCAATAACCTGACGACCTCTATGGTGCCTGGTAAGGATCCTGGATCTGCAGATGTATTATGACTTCTAACCATCTACAGTGGTCTACTGGCTTGTCCTTTTCTCCATTGTCGCCCACGGGCTATCTGTCCCAGCTCTTAACGCCCTCTACAGAATCTTCAAGGTGCCTCGAATCTACGACCACCCCGTCGCGGTAGTCCTTCTATCCGAGAACGAGCCTCTACCCAATAACTGCACGATGGACCGCGGGCGGCATTCGATGATCGTCAACAACCGGTTCTCGCGGCCGTTGGAAAGCGACAGTGAGACGGAGAACAAGGAAGATACGGCGATGCTCAGATTAAGTGAAGAGGGACCGGCTGAAGAGCGCGTCGAGCGGCTCTCTACGCAAGAATCAACGGAGCGGGCATACAGGGCCGTCAATACGAGAGGCATGGTATAGGTATAGCCTGGATCTTACAGCGCCTGTGCAGGTGCACGCTCAAGCTCGGCATGGATCATGATACGATATCTGTTCATTAATCGAAAGTTCGTCGTCGTCTCATCGTCGTCTCATCGTCATCGTCACCGTCATCAAGCTATCCATATCCATATCCTTATCCATCGCCTCAAGCGTTCAACTCTTCCTTTTCCCACCTCCTTTATCAACTACTCGCTTCACGCAACACCTTCTGCTAGCGCAACATTGCGAACTTAAACGGGGCAAGTCTATAACCGTCAGCTATCGTCACGAGAGAACAGCAACAGCGACAAGAACCCAAATACCTTTCCGCACTTGCCGCAAGTCTTCGTCTCGCCGGGGATGGCAGCGCCGCAAGAGGGGCAAGAAGTGTGAGCACCGGCCATTTTTGCTGGTTGTTGGATGAGAACGGTTGATGAGATATCGGGGTAGTAGGTAACTGGCACGCACGATATGTAGTCAGTACCTAGACGGCTGGCTATGCGAACCCGACCTGGGAAACTCACTGCGTGGGGTTTGACGAGTGCGATAGTATATGAGCAGGGATCAGAGAGGGAGAGAGGAGAGAGGAGAGAGAGAGAGAGAATATGCAGAAGAGCTAAAAAAATACTAGGGTTGGCAATCGCGAAGCGATGATTCACCGGGTTTGTTGTCCCCCCGCCCCGTCATGCCCCGCTGAGGGGGCCGACTGACTCGGGTCTGATTGGCTGGTTGGCTGATAAGCTGGGCGGGAGGGGAAGGGTGTTGGTGCCTGATGGTGCCTGATGGGTATCACACTGTCAGTGGATACTGAAGAAGTAGTAGTTATATATCTATTTAGGGGAAGGATTCATATGAAGAAAGAGGTACATTCCAAAGTGACGTTCAAGTCTGCCGTGTCAGAATAATAAATATCTCACTATCTTCCAGTTTACCTCTTCCACCGCATTACAACCCACTTGTTTCCTTGTTGCTCAATCTCTATCTTTGAGCGAGCGGGCTCTAAGTACAATCCGATATCTACTACTACATTACATGGAATATCTATCTATCTACAGATTATTAAACCCAAGCGACAAAAAAAATAAAGAAAAATCAAGAAAAAAACCTAATTCAGCGGAAAAATATCCTACCTACCTACCTACCTACCCACCTGACCAGTTAATAACCCACCCGCGTAGCGTATGAGAAAGTGGATGATCTGTGGTATTTGCTAAAGAAGGAGTAACTACCTACTAACTATGTACTTACCATAAAACCAAGTTGGCGAAAACGCCTCCCTTACATAATTATTCCATCGACAACCAGTTATAACTAAAGCTATAAACTCTATATATGGGTTCACTACTACTACCACCACCGAGAAGAAAAGAGAGGAAATACTTTAAACTCATGACATGATTCTTTTTTTTTTTTTTTTTTTTTTTTGCTTTTTTTCTTTTTTTGCCTGTTGGTGGTTAATGCTAGACGATTGTTTCACAGGAATGGAAAAGGTGATGGCAAGGAAGGTCCCGTACGTGACGAAGCGAAGGGAAATCGTTGCTAAGATAACTAACTAATGAACGAGGTAGTTACTAACTACTATGTAAAGATGGTGGAAGAGCATGCAGCCTCAGGCAGTACAGTACAGTACAATACAATACAGTACAGCTACCAGGAGAAGAGGAATAGTTACCCAGGTATAGTTACTCAACAGTAAGCTGTACTGCACAGTGTGTAGATATAAGTAGTAGCTACAACGAAATTGCAGAGACAGCGAACAATAACGCGCGCAGTCGTGTCCATCAGACAGACAACAGCAGTAGATAGAAACTCAAGTCCATCTAATGCAAAACATTAGACTTCAAGGCCTATTACCTATCTCAATCCTATATACTGCAAGATACTTGACCAGGTAGGTAAGGTAAGGAAGGTATATAGGTGTTCATACATACAGAATGTCGCCTAAGGCCAGGATCCTGAGTAAGCAAACAAGAATCAGCTGACAAATACAAAACCGCCACAGCGAATAGTAATTACCCTATTGCTCTCTACAAACTAAAAAGAAAAAAAAAAAAAAAAGATACTGGTATAAGTGAATGTCGTTAAACTAAGGACCGGCCTATGAGAACTCGAACTCCTCCCTCGCGAGTCGCGACCAGCCCCGACAGAACCAGAAACAAACAACAAAGAAAGAAACTCCACCCAGTGCACCGCCCAGTGAAAAATAAAATCAAACGGGTATTCCCAGCTCCCACTTCGTCGCGACTGTTCCGGACAGCAGCGACAGGCATATCTCACAGCATGCTACTGATAGCCGGAAGTCGCGAGACGACCGCTCCGCTGCAACGCGGATTCCGAGCATGGCGTAGACATCAATCATTCTGGTACCATTATGTCATCTGGCCCTTCATCTGAATATTCATCATCTTGTCTGTCTTCTACCGATCATCATCGGAGAATCAAGAATCTGTTTACTTGGTGATCAAGTTCAGATAGTCGGCCACGATAAGCGTCACCATCCTGTGGATCCGGGGTTAGTTTGGTTTTTAGTTCATACGGGGTGGGTGAGTGGGGGTGGGGACACTAACGCATGGGGTGCGATCCGCACGTAGTAAGTGCCGAAGCCGCGGTAGAAGCGCAACCAGCCCTCCTCCTGGACGACCTTGCGCGCGCAATCCAGCACGCCCTTGTACGGCAGGCGACCGGTCTGAGGGTCCTTCTGCTGCTTCTGCAGACGGGTCTTGACGAAGTCGAACGGCAGCGAGAGGAAACTGGCGAAGAAGCCGGCGATCGCGGACGCGGCGAAGGTCTGGTTCTGGGCGGACAGGCTGGTGTGCATCTTGAGCTGGGCCTTGGACTCGGCGAAGAAAGTCAACTGGCCGACATTGAGCGCCATGGCGCGGATGACGGTGGGGAATGCGCCCGCCCACAAGGCCGCGACACCCTCGGTGCGCGAGATGCGGAACAGCGCGTCCAGAACCGATCGATAGTGGGCCCGCGCCTCAGGGGGCTTCAGTCCGTCGGACTGCATGCGCACCAATGCCAGATCAGCCGGGTTGCCAATCATGGCGGCGACGCCTCCCGCCGTGAGACCGGCTCCGGCGCGTTCGGCGAAGGTGACACTGCGGTTGGCGGCCTCGGCGCGCTTCTGGAGCGTCTTGCTGAAGGTATCGAAGAAGCCCAGACGCGCGGTGGTGTAGACAGCTTGACGGAGCAGTCCCGCGGACAGTCCAGTGTACAGGTCGAGTACCTTGCCGGAGGCGACGATGTCACGGGCCACACCGATGGCGGACGGGCGGGGACCGGTGCGGATGCCCTCTCCGGCGAGCTGCAGGCGGACCTTGATCATGTCGATGGGCTGGATGACGGCCGTGGCAGTCATCCCAGCGAGACCACCATTGACGAAGGGCAGGGCGGTGCGCGTGTAGGGGTGGTGGAGGAAGTCGACGGGGGCGGGGGCGTCTTTGACAGCAGGCTGGGCCTCTTTGGCGGCCGAAGTGGTGGAGGCCATGTCGACGAAGAAGCAGGATTCACACCACTGAGACTGAGAGGAGGGGGTTAATAGCCGAACAATGGCGATGTGGGGAGTGCCGTGACAGGGTATTTAAAGGATTTGAAATGATTCAGAGGTTTCACAGGAAGGTTCAGGAGGAGAGTTCAGGACAGATGGGGATTTTCAGGAGGAAGGTTTTGAAGGAGGCGGGATGGAGACAAGGAAGGAGACGAGGACCATGCGGGCATGTGCTTGTCAGGCACTCAGCAAGTCTGGCCGTGACGTGGGCCGCGGGAGGGGAAGGCCACTTACCGTGGATGCAGGCGGTGACACGGGGGACGAGAAAAAGTAGGAAGTGGACTTGTTGTCAGATGATGCAGGCGATGCAAATGATGGCAGACGCGGGGGGGGGGGAGTTGAAGGGAGTTGAAGGGAGTTGAAGTGGGACAGATTGGACAGAGAGGGGAGAGTAAAATATGGACAAGAAACAGAGTGAGGCCGCAGGGTAGCATCCCGTATTAATACTGTCGGCGGATTTCTGGCTGCCTGGCCAGACTGTCCAGATCCGTGTTATTTGTCTTGACTAACTCGGTCTGCGATCCTCGGAATTGCCATCCCCATTTCCAACCCCTTCGCCATCCCCACACTCCACTTCCAGAAGAAGCTCACGGATTGTCGCTACTGCACGATGCCGTCAGCTGGAAATGCGGGGGGGAGGGAGGATGCCACGTCCATGGTGAACTGTTGGGTTGTCTGTCTCTCTCTCTCTCTCTCTCTCTCTCTCTCTTTCTTTCTTTTTCTTTTTCTCTTTTCCTCTTCTGTTGTGAACCCGATGATCGAATCTCAATAGTTGATAGATAGTTCCCATCGTCCCCATCTCCATTGTCCTCTCTGCAATAATGTCCAATACGAGAAACGTCATGGCGGCAGGCGGGGGCCCCACCTGGGGAACCCGCGCTAGGCCCCATCGGGCGGCACGAGAACCGGCCGGGCCACGCAAAAGGCCCGAGGTTGTTTGTTGTCTGGTCAAAAGTCGCAAGTGAGAGACCGAGCCATACCCGAGACTAAGCCGGATCTCTCACTTACTACTAGTTACTAACTACCACCTGCTGGCTATGATCCTGTACACTGACCGCAGAAGGAATGACAATACAGGCAGTGTACTCGGTAATAGCCGTCCACTGATAACGTCGAGCTGTCTCCAGATCGGCTATTCTGTCGATCCAGGGGCTGATCAATCTTCTTCCGTCGGATCAATCTGGTCCTCGTACATACATACATACATGCAACACCTTACCTGCCTTGCAACTCACAGCAAGTTCTACTTACTTAATACCAACGACTTCACTACACTACACTACAACTACTACGACGGAGTACATCTATATACAGTGACATGCACTCAACATCTCAACATCAAACCCATCACATCACAAAACCATGAATGACATGAACAAACAACAAAGCATACAGGAATCAAGGATAAAAACACATCCCTCACCCACCCAGTCGATCCCTTCCCCCGATCCTTTCTTCCCTCGATTCCTCCGAATTTCGGCCTCCACAACCCAACCCACCCAACCCTGGAAAATAATGGATGGGATCCCAATGCCCTGGAATCTGGATCCGGAGGAGTCCTTCTCCGTTCCCCACATCTATGACTTCGCTTGGCACTTACCGCTCTCTGACTAGTTAGATGGTTGGACGAGACCCCTGGATGGATTCTGGATTCTGGATTCTGGATTCTCGATGCAGAAACCAGCGGACGGAGCACTGAACTCCTAGCTCTCTCTGTCTGCCTTTGGTCTACTGACCTACACACTTAACTACTGCTTACTTACTGACCTGCCTGCTGGGTAATTACCGAGGGAATAACAATCGGATCCATCCGATCCTCATATCTGTCTCCTTAGACACCCAAGTTATCTTACTATTGAGTTGCAAGACGGCGGAAGGTTCGGTAGATACCTACCATCCATCCATCCATCCATCCATCCATCTATCAATCTCCTTCTTATCAACAATAATCACAAAAGTAACAATAACCAGCCACGTAGAACAGAACAATCCAGCCTCATCTAGACCTTTATTCTCAATTTTTTTTTTACACAAACTGAGAAACAGTCTATAACAACCGTTCCTCATCTCGGGATCCCGGGCGGGTGGGAGGAGGAGGAGGCAGCGGATACTAGATAGCGGATATGTCTTGGCCAAACCTCGGGTATCAACCGTTCGGTAGACTCGGTAGTAGTAGTAGTAGTACTAAGTCAGTAAATAATAATGAGTAATCACCCTCGCTGACTGGCACGCAAAGGATTAACTACTGGGGCGCTGGGCCTACCGCTACGCTACGGCCCCCGGCCCCCCCGGCTACGGCTATCTACGTACTCTGGCAAAAGTGGACCGCCGATTCTCGCTGGAATCGAAGCACACATGTCATGTCGCCTTGATATCGGCGGAAAAATAACTACGACTGATACGAATTCGAGCAAATCGAAACATTATTCAAAAGGTCATGTATCTACCACATGGAGCTATTGATTATTCCGTTCCATGTATCCGTGCGGAAATAGCCGAAGGCATCCATCATCGTCATCATCACAACACAACACAACACAACAATCACCCACATCTTTCTCCTTGCGTCCTGCGTCTTGCGTCTTGCACAGCCCAGTATAAAGATCTAACTGGTATCCACCCGGGGCCGAAATTGAAGGACCGGCCCTCTCTTCTGGCTAATGATATGATCGTAAAGTTGGAACTCGTTTGGATTCGTCCTGCCCACGCCGCTGGCGCCGCGGTGTCCAGCCCCCATTTCGCCTGCCGTCGTGTCTGGGCGCCGGAAGTCGTAGCTCCACACGAGGTGCGCCAGCGCCAGCTGCAGCTCCATCTGCGCCAGGTGTCGCCCGATGCACGCTCTCGAACCCTGCGAGAACGGGGTGTAGGCGGCCGAGCTGCTCTCCAGATCGTCTGAGAGCCACCGCTCGGGGAGGAACGCGTCCGGACGGGGGAAGTACGTCGGGTTGTGGTGGATGCTGTAGATGCCTGTGCCGACGCTGCAGCCGGCGGGGATCACGTTGCCGTCGACGATCAGCGTGTCGCCTTTTTCGACCCGGCGGTAGGGACATCCGGCGACGGCCGGGGAGATGCGCAGCGTTTCTTTGATGCAGGCCTGCAAGTAGCTGCATTGTTGCAGGAGCGGGCCGGTGCGGATGGCGTCGGGGCTGGGGAAGGTGTTGCGGATTTCGTGTGCGAGTTGCGTGTATGCGTGTGGGCAGGTCGCGAGGTAGAAGAGGCTGGCGCAGAGGCTCACGGAGGTGGAGTCGGAACCTGGGGAGGTCAGTCAGTGTTGGTTAACAATGTATGACAGAGGAACTGACCTGCAACAGCTAACATGGCAGCCTCGGAATACACGTCCACGTCGCTCAGTCCCTGGCCGGTTACGCTGTCGCGTGCGCTGGTCAACCGACTCAGGACATGTCCGGACATGCTGGCTGCATCCGTCATCATATTGTTCACCAGCCGATGGTATCGCTTCATCCCGCGCACCTCTTCCTTGAAAAGCTTCTTATCGAGTCGGCCCAGAAACAAATACGGCGCGTACATCAGCAGCGACAACCGCTTCATCATCCCCGAGATGTCATACACTGTGCACTGGTGCTCCTGGCTCCCCAGCAGATCACACGCCTTCCCAAACACCAGATCCGTGATGACATCGAACGCGAAATATCCGCACCATTCCGACATCATCATGGGCGGACCCCACGCACCATCAGCCTTGGCTGGATACAGCGCGTCGCGGAATTTGCGCACATGCGCCAGCAGCTTCGGTTCGAATTCGCGCATCGCGGTGCTAGAGAACCCAGGACCGATGATCTTGCTCCGTTTTGCGTGCTCCTTGGGACTCGTGACCGTGAGGAGGTTTTTCGTTCCGAGTTGGATGACGCCGTAGTGGACGTCTTTGCGGAGATCCTTTCCACGCACGTAGATATCTATCCGACGTTAGACGACAGCCGCAACCGAGGACGGAGAACACGAACCTTTCATCCCACTCTCCGTGTTGAAAATGACCAGATTTGGCGTGTACCGAATTACCGGACCTGCATACTCAGCCTCCAATTCGGCAGACCAGACAGAGTTTCCTACCGTATTTCTGATGACACCACCAGATGTGCAGATGCAAGTCTCCCTTCACGGCATGATACGCCGCCCCGGCCTCTGTGAACTTCCCCAACCATGGCCCGGGGTATTTGGCCAGCGGGTGGAAATAAATCTGGTAGATGCCATATCCCAGAATCTGGTTCATCAGTCTCGCCCACAAGAGCGACAACGGCTCCAACTCACCGCAAGCAACACAATCCCAACCCCTACTGATACCCGGGAAAGAGAAGAAAGCGGCAACGCCAGCGAAAGCTCGTCCATATTGCGAAGATGAGTCGATTACACCTCTCCCATGGCGATCGGGATGCAGAGACGAAATTCAAATGAACCGGGAAGGGTTCGCACCCGCGACAGCCCCTGGTATGCTTATATGTGTAGCTGTGGCACTCGCCACCAAGGGAGAGGTTGGGCCCCAAGGGGTCATTTGGAGGGGGGGGGGTGTGGGTAAGTATATCCTTTCCCACGCGCCAATCGTAGATCATGTCGGGGGGGCCGTCTGGAGCATTGTGACGACAACTCGAGGTTGTGGATGAAGGGGCCTCCGGGGGACAAATTGCGATGTGACGGGTGGTTTTGGTATTTGCCCCTTGATTGGACTAGGGGTGAAGCATATTTCTGATTCCCAGGTATGCTGTGATCTCGAGGGCACAGACGACGCGTCGGAGATGGTCGCCGGCTGAAGGCGATCGGAGATCCAGGTGCATGATGCGTCTATGCAGGGTTGATGGTCTCCTGTGTCTGGACCACGCGTCCATGCGAGGCGGAGGTCTGTATCTGAGATGTTGAAGGTTGTCGCGGTCCAGCAAGGCCTGGTCTGTTGTGTCTGTGCTGACGTGAAACACTGGGACCTCCTTGCGTTCGGGGGGAAGCATGTTGGGCGACGGGTGGCATGCCAGATGTTGTCGGGAGTGTGGATTCTTGAGTTAGCAATCAGAAGCTAAGACGTATGGTTTAATTGTTGTCAGTGGACTTTCTAAAAGTGCTTGCAATCCGGCATGTTCCACAGGCGATCATGAGCAACATATCCACGGGTCCATGGGCCCAGCCCTCGCAAAGCCGTCGCGGACGGTACAAGAGTTCAGTTGGTCTATGCGAACGAGAGTCTGATTCGGCAGCGAGAAAGAAACAAGATCGTCCGCTAGCCACGCCAGGATACCTGTGAAGAGGCACAAGACATGTGCGTCAAGAAGTAGTAATCTGCCGAGATCCAACTTCCCCAAAATAAACTTGATGGGTGCGCCCGTGACTGCCAACAAGGGAAACCACTGCCTAAGGCAGACAGGCAGGCCAACCTCTACCGCTAGTATTACACTCGCCACTACGGAGCACAACAGAAAAGTATCATATCAAAGATCAATTTCTCAATTTCTACCATGTATCCCTAGGCACAACCTCGAGACCCAGCGAAAAGCCCAAAGAAAAAATGCCAATGGTATTTTCCCCGCCATTGGGGGGTTATCCACACAGGGTAACTGTGGGAAACTCATATGACCCATTATCAAACGCAGCACGCCATGCAAGATATCAACAAAAGAAAAAGAAGGAAGCACGAAAAGGAAGTTTCATATCAAGAGGAAAGAAAAAGAAAAGAACATTTTTACTCAGTCACCGGGCCGGCCGCAATGACCTCCTTGGTAGCCTGGTCGGAGTACTTGGCGAAGTTCTCGTTGAACAGCTTGCCGAGCTTGTTGACCTCGCCCTTGAAGCTGGTCGAGGCGGTCCAGCTGTTCTTAGGGTTCAGCAGCTCAGCGGGGACACCGGGGCAGGAGGTGGGCACGTGGAGGTTGAAGACATCGTAGGTCTCGTACTCGACGTTGTTGAGGGAGCCGTTGTGGATGGCGTCCAGGATGGCACGGGTGTACTTGAGAGGGCAGCGCTTGCCGCCGGTGGTGGCGCCAGCGCCAACCCATCCGGTGTTCAGCAGCCAGGCGTTGGCCTTGTGCTCCTTGATCTTGTCCGCCAGCATGCGGGCGTAGCGCATGGGGTGCAGGGCCAGGAAGGGCTGGGCGAAGCAGGAGGAGAAGGTCGCCTGGGGCTCCGTCACACCGTCCTCAGTACCGGCCATCTTGGAAGTGTAACCCGAGATGAAGTGGAACATGGTCTGCTCGGTGGTGAGCTTGGAGATCGGGGGGAGGACACCGCGGGCATCGCAGGTGAGGAGGATGATGTTCGAGGGGTGCTTGTCGGAGATGCAGGGGATCTTGGCGTTCTCGATGTACTCGATGGGGTAGGCACTGATCTGGTTAGCTTGGTCTTTCATCTGGCGGGCTGAGCATGCTTACCAGCGAGTGTTCTCAGTGAGGGTAGTGTCGTCGTAGTTGACGTTACGGGAGATGGGGTCGAAGACAACGTTCTCAAGGACGGATCCGAAGCGGATGGCGTTGTAGATATCGGGCTCCTTCTCCGCGGACAGACCAACGCACTTGGCGTAGCAGCCACCCTCAATGTTGAAGACACCACGGTCAGTCCAGCAGTGCTCGTCATCACCGATCAGGGCACGGTTGGGGTCGGCAGACAGGGTGGTCTTTCCGGTACCAGAGAGACCGAAGAAGACAGTGACATCGCCGTTCTTGCCCTCGTTGGCAGACGAGTGGAGAGTCAGGACGTTGTGCTTGACAGGCATCTCGTAGAAGAGAACGGTGAAGACACCCTTCTTCATCTCACCGGCGTACTCGGTACCCAGGATGACCATCTCCTTCTCGGCGAAGTTGATGGCGACGGAGGTGGCGGAGGTCATACCCTCAGTGAAGCGGTTGGCGGGGAAGGATCCGGCGTTGTAGATGACATAGTCGGGGTGGAAGTGCTTCAGCTCCTCGGCGGAGGGGCGGATAAGCATGTTGCGCATGAACAGAGCATGGTAGGCGCGAGCGCAGACGACACGGACGCTGATGCGGTATCTCTCGTCCCAACCGGCGAAACCATCGATGACATAGATGCGGTTACGGGTGTTGAGGTAGTCGACAGCACGCTCACGGTTGATACGCCAGACCTGTAGACATTTTGTTAGCCGTCAGCCTTAACATATGTGATGACGTCATCCGTGAGACCCTGGCTGCGCAAAACAAACACCCGCAGGAACACAGCCAGTCCGCATAGGAATCTGGCGTCGCACAGCAGTAGCGAGGTGAAAATGCCTCAAGGGATGCGTTGAGGCATTTGTTTCTTCCCGACGCACTGCCAATGCGACTTGCGCTGCCAGAAAAGCTTGGGTTCCGGCCACGCATTGCGAGACGGCTTGTCAAAGCGGGCCATGCAAGGGGCGATCATAGTGTGCGATGTATGCGTCCAGGGTCCAGCACGACAACAGGGAATGGGAGGCAAAGCACATACATCAGGGGTCATAGGCTTGTTGACAGGTCCCCACCAGATGTCCTTCTCTGATGATTCCTCCTGGACAATACGCTTATCTGAGGGAGAACGGCCAGTCTTGGCTCCGGAGTAGGCAGTCAAGGCACCGCTGGAGGTGATGGCAGTACCAGTCTCGTAGACCAGAGCATCTTCGTAGAGGGCAGGGACGGCGGGGTTGGCAATCTAACCAGGTCAGCGATGATGGAGGAGACGTGCGACGGGGTCAGGTGTCTTACAATAGCAACGCGGTCGTAGTCAATGTGGGCGTGCTCGTGGAGTTCCTCCTCGAGTTCAGTGTGACTCTGACCGGGCCTGAAGGTTCATGGTCAGCAAGGGTTCATCCTAGTTATGCGACACCACGAGGGCCAACAGCAGAAGGCCCCGACGGTGGAAGGAAGAGGACAAAGAGAAGAAGAAGAAGAAGAAGAGACAAAAGGGACGACATACAGAACACCACCAGGGTGCAGAGCCGTGCGATTGACCGAAGCAGCAACCATTTTGTTTAGAGAAGTGGAGTGGTAGTTATTATTTCGTTGCTTTGCAACCTGCTGTTGGAAGAAGTCTGAAGTGAGAAAGCCAGGTTCGACGGGGGCAGCTGGGGGTATATGAATGTTTGAGGCAGGGGTCATGATGGGCGCAATCCGGGGCGCGACGAAGAGTGGAAATCGAAATCGCAGTGCCTTCTCCACCGTTCCGCGGGTGATGTCGGGGCAAGGGACCGAGTCGAGGCGGCGGTGGTTATCGTGGAGCCTTGGAGGAGTCGCGACGCAGCAGCAAATGCGCCAAATTGGGCGAAATGTCTCTCGGGGGGGGCGTCCGAAAAGTCCCGAACCCCAGATGTGGGCACGAGGTGGTTCCGGAAGGGCTGGCGGATGCACCAACGAGAGGTGCGGGAATAATTGATGCGTCGGAAAACAAGTTCACATTAATGTCTCATCAACGGGGCTAGTACTAGTGACTGGTCTAGCAGATAACTGCTGGCTACGAGGTATTTATTTCTTTTGCGGCCGGTATGATGATGATGCGGATGAGTGAGTACTGAGTAATACACTACAAAGACCCAAGGACGCCTGACACTCTGGGCAACTGCTGAACAAATGGCAATGGACACTGGGGGGGGTGGCAGTTGGAACGGGGGGGGGGGACTGGGGAAGTGGTGACGTTGAGCCGATCTCAGTGGCATCAATTAATGCAGGCCGGAGTCTAGAGGCGATGGACGCAGTCGAGAAATTTGCGGGGGAAGCGCAGGCAGTAGTGGCTAGTACTACTGGCTCGGCTAGGGGGGCGCTGGACTATACCCGACGCGGATGCCTGCCGTCTGGAATCCTTCCGAGTGACGAAATGCGAAATGCCGGGGGAGAAACTCGGGTTCCCCTCATCCGCACTTTCCCGCTTCCGGCTATCCCTTAGTCAGCCCCGTCCCGAGGCCTGGCCCCCGTCAGCCAATCAGCGGCGCTGTTTCAGGCGGATTGCCAATCCAACGTCACCAAAGTGGGCAGAAGATATTGCCGTGTTTTCGGGCTCGAGCATCATTTTCGGGTGTGCTTCAAATTGAGGCAGATGAGGCAAATGAGGCAAATCACCGGGATCTGATTCACATTTCCAGGGCAATTTTCGTCGCCATGCGGGATGAAATCGCGCACTCGTAATCTTGAACCCCTATCCTGGACGAAATCTTCTATTCTCTACAAAACAACTGCCGACCAAGAGAGTCGTGCAGGGCAAAAGAGGAAAAAGAAGACGTAACGAAAATCCCTCCTGACAGACCCATTCCGCTTCCCCTTCCCCTTCCCCTCCCGAGTCCCACGAATATCTCTCCCGACCCGATTCCCCGGGATTTGGGCTTGGTCAGGTGCCCTCCGTAGTCCCCGTTTTGCCCTCCACGCGGTCATCACTTCTAGTCCAGTCCGAGTAGTCAACTGATACACCGGCCAAGAAAGCAAATGCCTCCAGAGCCCAGCGACGGTCGGGAATACCCTCGTACTAGACTCGAAAGCGGTAGATGGACACGAGGGCAGGAATAATGCGACCCAAGACGTCACCGCGATCAAGGAACACCAACCAACCATCTGTACCCCGCATCCGAGGGGTGCCGGGGCCACGCGGGCCTTCTTCCCCGGATATTCTCGCTGCTGGGGGAATTGCCGAGTTTGACCAGGGTACCCGAGCTGGTTGGTGTTTTCGCGTTTCTATTACTTAAAGGGTTCTTGGTGAGGCTATACAGACGATCCCCGTGAAAACCATACTATAGTTTCTAGTAGTTAGGGGGGAGGCTGGGTGATGACTGAACGGTAACCCCGATCACATGCCAATTTTCTCACGCCCCTTGGGGGGGTCGTTTTATCGCTCAATTAGCGTTTTGCCGCTCGGGTGATTGCTCAGCCACACGGTCGAGTTTTGTCCTGGAGGGCCTCGAGCTTAATGGTGGTGGGCTATTGGCGCCCGCTGGATAGGTGCATAGCCGTCGCCTGCTCCATCTCCTTTTCCGGCTGTTGTTCGTGATCAGACTGGGAGGAGATTTGGTCGTTGTGGTGGTGGTGGCATTCCACAAATCAGGACCGGTCGGGTACCTACCCCTGCGGCGCCTGCGACCGGGCGTTTATGCACGCAAGGCTTCCCAACTGGAGGATTCGACTGGTCCATTTTGTATTATCGCGCAGAGACTGTAGTACGGAGCATTCAGGAAGTTCAAAATACTACAGGCGAAAGCAGAACTTCCTTTTGTGGTGAGTCATTAGTTCTTTCGAGAAGCAATGTTGTGGAGTGCGGATATATATAGAACCTGAGGCGTCAACGGTCTAGACGCGTCCATCTATCGAAGGCGACTCACCGTTTTTTAGGGGCAGTTTGAAGACACATGCAAGTCGGGGGATTTCGGGTCCTATGGCGAAGCTAAAGCTGCTTTTTCCTGATCGGTAAGCCGTATCCTGCGTGCGTAGCGTGCAGTAAATAGGCACTTGGATAGAGAATTCATTGATACATCGGTCTCAAGCTGAGGCGAGCACTTTCGAAGGGAGACGCGACAGCCACATCCCCCGCCTTCCTGATTGGGAACATCAACGGGCAAAATATTCTATAGATGTACTTACCGCCTTTATATTCCTACACAGATTCCACACAACCCCAAACAGACACCCCATCAAATAATCACCATTAAACATTCAATATTCATACTCCCCCAACTCCCCCAACCCTCTGCTTCCCCAGCCCACATAAACACCCCCCCCTCAACCGTCTCCTCCAGTGGCCCATTATCCGGAGCATACAGACCAAACTCAAAAGTCCGAAGACTATATTTCCCGGTCATATAGGCAAGCAACCGATCCCCTTGCCCCGGCAAAGTGATCTCATACGCAGACCCATAAATCCGACGACCCGGCGGGCCCTCAAGAAGCGCAGGGTACTCTCCCTAGAGCTTGGCGTGGTAGCCTGTCACTCCAGCAGAACGCAGCCTGGGGATCTCGGGCAGTTGCAGGACTTTGGCGAGGTTGCGTGAATTTGCCAGAGAACCGTAGAAGAAGAAGTATGTTTTGCGAAATTAAAGGGGGTGAGGGATTGAGGGGGGATGGGTTTGTCTGAGAGATATATATAAGTACTAGTATATAGGCCGAGCGGGTGGATGCGGGTATTGAAGCTTGAAGTCAGATAGATTCTGATGGTGAGAAGACTCTTCTCAACTCATAAAGTGTTACTATGTGAACAGAAGAGTAAGTGTGTCATATTGAGGAGGAATGACTCTTGTAGATGGATGCGTTCCATGGCATGGTAGTAAAAGCGGCCAGGGACAAGGCTATACTAGAATATGGCTGGAGAAAGGAAGGGTAGAGCGATATAGCAGCTGAATATAAACTCATCAAGGTATCAAACATAAGTGGTACTTTCAATTTATTCCTCAGGGTCTTCATCTTCTTCGTCTTCCTCCTCGGCTGCTTCGGCGGCCTCTTCAGCCTCTTCAGCCTCCTCCTCTTCGGCTGTCTCTTCCTCCCCAATCTCCCCATTCTGAGTCTCCTCCATCTGCTGGCCCTCCTCCGCCTCTACACCCTGAGTCTCACCATCCTGCTCCTCCCCCTCCCCCTCCTCATAATCCATAACCTCCACAGCACTCGACATAGCCCTCTCCCTCTTCACACGAATCTGCTCCTCCTTAATCCTCACCCTACTCCCAGAACTGCGACTCGCCCTACTCCCACTAGCTCTACTCCCACCGGCTCTCCTACTCCCCCTCGCACTTCCCCTCCCCCAACATCCTCCTCTTCACTATGATCACTCTCAAGCGAAATCCCACTCCCCCTCCTCCCACCACCCCTCTTCCTCTTCCCCGCACTCGCACTGTCATCATACCCCTCCTCGACATCGCCCTCGGCCTCTCTCCTCTGCGCGGCTTCCGCCCGCTTCACCCGTCTCAACAACACGGGATCACTCCGCAGATCCGTCTCGGTAAGCATGACCTCGCAGACCGGACACCTAACAGACTTCACCCTCGGAGGCCGTCGACTGCCGCGCGAAGAGCCGGATGCCATGCTCGCGTTCGGATCAGGAACCGTGGTCGAGCTTCCGGCGATCATGCTAAAGATGGCCTCGCGTTCGAAGCTGTGCGGACATTTGGTGCTGGTGACGGGGGAGGTGAAGGGGAGGAGCGTGAGGGGGCATTTGAGGGAGATGCGCTCGCGTTCGATGGCGATGTCGTCGTCGGAGTCGTCGGCGTTGTTGTCGGGGGCGGCGGAGGAGGGGTTAAGGGGTTGGGGGTTGGGGTTTGTGCGGGTTGCAGGGCGGGTGAGGAGACGGGCGGAGTTGGCGGAGTCGGAGGTGTTGGTATGGATGGAGGGGGTGTAGGTGGAGATGTTGGCGGAGGGCTGTTGGACGGTGCTGGTGGAGGAGGTCGTGCGGGAGGAGTTCTCGAGGTGGGCGAACCATGTCGAGGCGTGTGGGAGCGGCGGGATGTCGTCGCCAGGGTATTTCGCTTCGTGGATGATCCGGTAGAAGCCGACGTAGGCGTTGTTGGTGGAGTATCTGTCACCATTGTTAGCTTCAAATCCAGCTCAAAAAAGAGAAGAACAGGGTATATACCGGTCCGTAAGAGACAACCCCCCCCACTCGCCGCCCTTCCCCTCCAACCTCTCCTCCACCAGCTCCACCAACGGCGGCATACCATCCTCCTCCTCCTCCTCTTCATGCTCTTCCTCCTCATCATCACGATTCCTCCGACTCCGTCTCAAAACCTGCATCTTCTCACCAATCTCCCTCTCAATCGCCCCCAACACCTGGCCCACGCTCTGAAACCTCACCTCGGCATCAATATTGCCCCGCATGGCCGTGTCCAACCTGCCCGTCACCTCTTTGACGGCGTTTTCCAGCGCAATCACTCCCTCGTCATCTTCCTCTGCTCCCCCATTTTCTTCAACATCGCCCCCTCCCCCTTCCGCATCATCGTCGCCGTTGTCGCTCTGTATCTGCCGTTTCCGCTCCTTGCGCTTCCTTACTCTCTCTCGCGCTTCCGTCAGCCGCTCGTTAACTTCCCCGGCCGCGTCGGTGAGTTTCTCCTGGGCATGGTGGAGATGTGTCTTCAGCTTGTGCTGGGGTATGCCGGAGATGAGGGAGATGAGGGCAGCGTGGGTGGTTTGGTGGGTGGCAAGGTTGGCTGTGGTGGGGGTTCGTAGGGTGGGAGGGGGGGAGTCTGCTCTCTTTCCGGCTCCTGTGGTCGTGGTCGGGCCCGTTGCTGGGTTCGGGGGGCATTCTGGCGGGGGCTTTGCGGGGAGGGGGGGTCGAGTGGCTATTTGTAGGTGGAGAGATAAGAACGGGGAAGGAGGAGAAGGAGGGAGGGGGAGGTCGGAGGTAAATGGATGTCGGGGTTCTTTGTTCGGGCTTGGATGGATGAGTTGCAGATGCGCAGATAAAGAAAAGACGCGACGCGATGAGGGCGCGCTAGACTGCTTCGGGCAATGTGGGTGGCTATCTTATCGGAGCGGCGATCACTCGGAACTACAGATAGATACAGTTATGGAATAATGATGGGATGGGGGTTTACATGCTTGTAGAGGGATATGATTGATCTTTAATTCCGAATAGCCTAAATCCTCATGAAGAGCTTGAATATTCCTATGTTACACCTGTAAAGAAAGAGAAAGAAGCATGTCTACACCTTGTAGAAGCAGAACGCATGGTAGAAACCTGAACTGTCAGCACCTATCCACCAAAGAGTTTGATCAACGAAATACTTACTGACTGCCTCCTGCTCCTCCTGCGTCATCATCAACTCGCCCGTGTTGCGATCACGCACCCCCATCCGCTCGCTCAGAGGGCCCAGCTCCACGTCATCCTTCTCGTCCCGCCACACCTCCAAGAAGGGCTTGCGGTACTGCAGCTCCAGGTTGTACTCCTCCGTCAATCTGCTGCGATTAGCATCTCCCTCTCAATCAGCAGATCGGTACTCACGCGCGAAAGGCCTCCCACGGCACCACGTACTCCGGGATCTCGCCCACTGCCTCCTCCATAAAGTAGCTGTACTTCCACCCGAACGGCGGCCGAAAGATGCCATCCTCCGGCGTCTCACCGGGGAAGCGGACTCGGTAGATCGAGTTGCCCCACTCCACCTTCGCCTCTTCTTCCTCGACCTCCCCATCCTCGGGCTCAGCGTCCTTCTTCGGTGGCTCACGGCCCTTGCGCTTGGCGTTGACCTCTGCCACCCGGGCGCTGATGACATCCGAGTTCGGGCACACCCCAATGAACCGCCCACCCTTCTTCAGAGCTCCGGCCACATTGCGCAGCATCTGTCGGGTCTTCTCCTCGCTCTCGAAGGCGTAATGGATCGCGAACATGGAAGCCACCACGTCGAAGCCACCACCTCCCCAGCGCGAGCTCATCACCGACCCGCCAGGTCCGGCGTTGGGATCAATACCCACCTGTTGCACAATATCAACCTCTCCCAGCCACTCCCCAAAGCAATCCTTGGTGCGAAACTCTCCATGGAACAAAGGACCCCGACGTTGGCGCGGACCCCGCCCAGATCGCATACTAGCGTATCGCTCACGCGCTTGGATGACCGACACATCGGCCGGGTCAAGTCCCACGTATAGATCCACCGGTTGCGGCGCCTGCTGCCACTTGCCCAGATCACCACCCTTTCCGCAGCCCAGATCAATGACCAGGAGGCGTCTCTCCTCCGCCGGCGGAGGTCCCGTTCCATCAGCCCAGTCCTTGGAGCCAACAGTCCGCGTAGTGAAATCCTCATCCGGCGAGAACTTTTGAATCAGAGTGCTCTTGACCCAGTTGTTGAAGCTGCGCAGCCCCTTGATCTTACTCTCTGTCTTGCGCCACTCGCGCCCTCGCTGCGGAACGGCGTTGTAGTGCTGACGAACAATATCCGTCACGCCCCGGCTCTGGGAATTGCGCATCGCGTCCTCTTCCTCCGCGCGCTCTCTGGCTTCCTGGCGGCGCCGCAGCGTCTCCCGGTCCACCAGACCCATACGGGCACCACCGCCAGGTCTCTTTCGCTGACGCGCCGGAGCCTCCGGGGTCGGGGAACGGGGGGGGAGCAGGGGGGACGGGGATCGGGGCGGGGCGGGTCGATGAGAACCGGGGCGGGGCTCATCGCCATCTCGACGGGAGTAGGCCGAGGGAGGTGCCTGGCCGCGGTTGCGGTTCCTCTGGTGTCGTTCTTCGAGACGCTTGCGTTTGGAGACGGGGCGGTCGGTCGATTGCTCCGCGGGAGGTTCTTCCATTCTGCGTTTCCGGTCTGCGGGGGAGCTGCTCTCGCCGTATTTCTCGTAGTCGCCTTCTCTGGATTCGGGACGACCGGAGTCGGAGCGCGAGTAGTCACCCATCTTGCTGGCGATGGAGGACGGAGGGTTGAGCTTGCGTGCGGGTTGGGACGGGGGTCGGGGTTTTGCGGAGTTGGAGGGTCGTTGGGGAGGCTTTTCGGGGATCGAAGGTGCAATGGATGGCTGGATGGGGTCCGTGGAGGTCACGGCGGACTCACCAGGGGGCTAGAGGTCAAGGATAGGTCAGAGATGGATGGATGAAGGAGGATGAAGGACAGAGATTTCCAGCGGGCGACGCGCAGAAGTATTGCCGTGATCACCGCCTAGCGCCGCCAGAAGCTATTCGACTCCACTTCGTCCACTCAATTTACCCCGGACGGGGGACTTCCACACAACCTCAATCTCAACGCTTGAACTTACCGCGACAGAGGGAAGACCCGGCTGATCGGCGAGGCCACCCGGAGGTGAGGCAGGAGGCAGTGGATGTTCCTCCCAGCGGTCGCGGGCGGGATCGTACATGCTGATGCTGCCTCGTCCGCCGGCCTGTGCCTGCGCCTGCGCCTGCGCCTGCTCATGCTCCTGCTCCTGCTCCTCGGCCATGATGATGTGCGACAAGCCAAGATGCGAGAGGGAATAAAGGGTCAAATGAGGCAACTGAGCTGAAGGAGTCACGGTCAAGGCCAGCCAGCTGGTAGTTTCCCTGGTTTGGGCTAGGCCCCAACCGTGTTTCTCCTTGCCGCATCCGGACATCGCCAGTGAATGGAAGCGCTACAACTACTGGGAGCAAGACACACACACGCTACAAGAGAGCCACGAAATTGTTCACTGGTGTGACAGCCTGTCATTCCCTATCGCTGTCTGAAGATCAGATGATACCGTGGAATATGGGTCGTGAAACAGTCCCGGGGCCCTGTCCCTCCCAGTGTCTCCAGCGACTCCTGCCCTTCCCCAGGGGGAAATTCAATGTGGAAATGCATCACAAGCGTGGCGATCACCAGGCGCATCTCCATCATCGCAAATGACTTCCCTGCACAGCTGTAGGTGCCGGCCGAGAACGCATTCAGCGCTTCTTTCCGAAGGACCATGTCAGGCTGGCTGGCCCATCTCTCCGGGATGAATTCGTCGGGCTTTCGGAAGTTCCGTGGATCTAGATTTGTTAGCAATTGATCCTGTTGAACAGATGGATCTCTCACCTCGGTGGATGGTGTATGTCGGCACAGAGACAATAGTATGCGGAGGGATGTAAACACCCGCCGTAGTCAGGCCTTCTGGTCCTGTCTCCCGCGGCACTCCGCTCATCACAGCTGGGCAAAGACGTAGGCCTTCGTTGATACAGCCATCTAGGTAGGGCTTACCGACCAACGCCGCGTGGGAGAGCTGACCACCTGGGACGGCGGAGTCGATCTCCTCGCGCAATCGCTGGAGCTTGTCCGGATGCCTCACGAGCAGATAAAGCAGCGCGTTGATAGTGGCTGCTGTGGTATCGCTGCCCGCTGTGATGGCGAGCTCCGAATCGTAGATGAGGTCTTGATCTGTCCCGGTCTTGGGATGACCCATATCGGAGTCCGTGTCCTCGATCAGATAGCTGAAGAGGTCACGGCGGGTCAGTTTCATCTACGACTGTCAGCATCAAACTCACCATCAAGACGGTAGACATGCCTTTCTTCTCTCATCCACATTCTCTTCACACCATGCTAGCCATTTATCCGTCTGTCGCCTCAGCCCAGCCATATTCCGACAAAGCATGACCAACCAAGTTGCGCACAGCAGCATGCTTGCGTATCGGCTGATGCTCTTCATTTCTTGCAGCGCGTGAGGCGGAGCCCCATGCAGCATATTGAACGACTTACCAAACGCCAGAATCCCCATCGTGTCCCAGGCAAACCCATCGATAAGCTGGGTTGCCTCCTGCGCCTGCGACGCTCGGGACGCGATGAGCTTGACAAGCTCCTTGCAGTGGTCGAGAATGTACGGTTCGTAACCGGCCAGTGCTGATCTTATTAGCTCTGTCTCAATCAACTGGATAGACGGCTAAACCTCGTGAGCTGAAGCCACGGTCCCAGAGCCGTCTTCTTTTGGAATGGAAGGCCTTGTCTCTTGCCATCTGCAGAGAGCGGTGGGGATAGTTCATATCGTAGAATGACCCCTTGACACATGTCGTTCCGACCCCATGAATGTCTTTGATGGCAGAAGGCTCGTTGATCGAGATCTCCCGAGGTTCTAAGTCCAGTTAGAAAAGCCTACAGTGTCAGAAACGCATACTGATCCGAACAACGTCTCCATATTGCTGATGGAGTTCCTTAACATGGATGTGCCACTTTGCGCCAATTACAGCAGATTTAACCGACCATAGTGCGCTGATGCGTGCCAGTCGTGGGCCTGGGAAGCAGCAAAGGGCACAGAAGAAGTATCGATAGGTGACTATAGAAAGACAGAGTGAGATATCAAATGTCAGGAACGCAGTGATCACCCCCCGACACACATCTCTGTACCCTAGGAGGGCCAGGAATCCAAGACCCAGCACGGGCCATGTGGTGAAGCAATTGGCAAGGAAGACCACATGTTTCTCCCAGTCGGACTGAATGAAAAGTCCGAGATGGGCGGAGACCCCTAAGACGCCCGAGGCAAGGCAGATTGCTAGTAGACCTTGTTCCATGATTAGAAGCACGAGATGCTTTGAAGCTTCATGTAGGAGCAATATATTTGGCTTATTCCGGGACGTTTGCTCTGCCCAGCTTCAGAGTATCACAGATATTGACAGTAGCAAGAACCGGATATGGCTTGTCTGATGCCTGGACATATTAGCAAGAAAATGGATTGACGTGGTGACACCCTGACAAGGACTCGGATTAATTATTGTAGTGCTTGGAGCGACGCAGTTTGGCTGACATGCAGGGCTTACTGGATCTACCAACAGAGCTGCTCGTTCAACACACCACTGCTATGAATAGGGCATGTTTCATGAACAAGCGACGCGATGGAGGCTACAGATGACCGTCCGCTCACCGCAAGGATACACGCAGGCGATGTGACATGGTGCCTGGTTCCTGTAGCACAGCGAGAACAATTCTCCTTTGCATGAGAGCGATCTAACCTCGGCCATTTGAAGACCAGCTGGCGAGTGTTCCACAGAATCCGCAGAACTGTCGTCGTGGAGAAAATGTAAGCCAATAGGCCAATAATCATGTCCATATGAGTGAAATTGTCACAGCTTCTGCATATCGTTAAATTTTCGTGGAGTTGTCCCGAGGGGAGTGGAGGTTCGTCCGAGGGGGTCTGTATGCCATCTGATCAGGCAATGGTCTATTTCAACTCCGAGAGTATCCCCGACGATATAAATCGGTCCCGACAGTGGGATTCTAGATCAGGGTATGCTGATCGTGGTCGAGTTTCACAGTCTCAGGTTCGGGCTTGCTTGGTCCCGTTCTGTGTTCAATTTTGAAACCCGCCATTCTATACTTCCACCGCAGATGACCAGTCGGAAGTTATCGAGGCTGTCCTTGATCCGCCGACAGGGCTTCATCGCAGCGGAGTGCCTTATCTTCATGTTCGTCCGGAGCATCAACACACCAGACCATATTCTTGTAGAATGCATCTCACTCAGAAACCAGCGTATAAGTAATAGCATATACTGATTTTGCTCTAACGGTGTATCTGTATTAGCACAATTAAAACCAGCCCTATCCCACGCAGCAGTAACATCCTCAGAGACCAGTTCGAAACAGACCCAGCTAACTACGTCTGCTGACTCTTCAAATTCATCTTCTCATTCCTTCCCCAGATAGCCAACCAGTCCTGTACGGAGGAGCTTGCAGACTTCAGCTCTGTGAAGCAAGCATTGCGCACTGTCTCGCTCTGGATCACGGCGAGTGCCCGGCGAATATTACGCGGTGAACCGGTCTCCAATGCGCTGGCAACCCAGTGTCCTTCGGGAGCTTCAAGCGCCAGGATAATCGGATACGAAAGTTCCTGATTGCGCAGATCTTCTGCAAGGGCTCCCTTTGCCTTGGCGTACTCAGAGGAGTAGACATTTTTGCAGTCGTTTTGAAGTTGGGAGCACCATCTGTTGAGGTCAGCCTCAGGAATCGCTCAGAAGTGGAAGAGGTTAAAAGACAAGGCATGGCTGGGAGGCATACGCAAGAGTCGTCATGGTATCATCCATCGTCTTATTCTCCATCACTAACTGTCCCAACAACCGGAACAGGGCCCCTGTTTTCAGTGAGGCCATCTTTCGATATGCCGCGACTCGCTCCTCGGGCTTGGTCGGGAGGCTGCTCAGCCCATCTCGTCGCCAGATCAGAGATAGATCCTGGCCTTCGAGGACCTCTTCAAGATTCTGCAGCAAGAATGGGGCGAGAGTGGGGAATCGTTGAACAGTTTCATTCAGAATCTGCGTGACCCGATAGTAAGCCCGATTGGCGGTTTCTGACGGACCGTATATTCTGTGGGCGGCTGGCTTCCCCTTTCGGAAGTCGCTATTGTCGGTGATCTGGACATGTTAGCATGAGCGGCCTTTTGCGTGCGTGGACATACATCATCCACCAGCATTAGACATAGATGGATCGCATCCATGATCTCCAATACCATTTTATATTTGGCTGAGTCGACGTCCTGTAGCGTCGGGGAAAGCTTGTGTACGAATGGCGCCCAATGATATTTGCCATAGATCTGGCGTATATAGCCATACGGGCATTCAAAGGACGTCATGGTCTCTGGCTTCTTTTTGCCTATCAAGAAGGCTTTCTTGGAGGTCGGCCATAGAGGGGGGATCCGATCTAGTAGGACATAGAAAACCAGAGGCACAATTCCTATGGCTGCAACCAAAGGAAGAGGCATCGAGGCAACTTCTGGGAGGGTGGGCATGGTTTGCTCCTTGGCGATACAAGGATGCACGGGTAATCGAGGGTATACAGATCACAGTGCGAAGTTTGGATAGACAGGGACGCTTCTATGCCTATATATGTAGGCTATGATTGCGGTAGCTCACCAGTACATCGGCTGTTGACGCCCAGTGTTCACCTGCTTGAGCAATTCTGGAGGTAAGTTACACTATCTCAGCTCTTCAATGTGTTCACACTGGGAGCTATGCCACTTCCTCAAATGGATTGAGATGGTACACTGGCATCAAGTATGGCTGCATGCGTTTGTAGCAGCACAACAGCAGGATTTGATACCACCCTCGACGGCATCGGGGCTTCCCTGGCTGTCCTGCAGGACAGTAGAACACCACACGGGTGACACAATGCTATTGCGCCCCTTGTGATACTACCTGGCCGAATGGCCAAGTAATCGGCCACTGGTCGGACAACGTTTGCATAGTCAAGCGTTTCCTTGTCTGCGGATGATGAACCGTTGATGGCAAGCTGCGGTTAGTATATAATCAGCGTGACAGCAAGGCATCGCATCCAGTGAGTCCGCCATAGCTTCTTATTTTCGTCCCAAAGTCTCTTCAATGGATGGTTTTGACTATTCCACTGCTCCCCCGGAGTATCTCGAGCACAAATGGCTCGTGAACATCTTTATCATAGGAATGACTGCCGGCTGGATCGTCCACTATGTGGACATGGCATATACGTCCTTCAAAGACCGTACGTACAGCATGACCATTGCAGGCCTCTGCGCGAATTTTGCCTGGGAAATTGTGTATTGCATAATATATCCCGCAAAGGGTTTCTGCGAGTGGGCTGCCTTCGGCTTAGGACTGCTTTTAGACCTGGGTGTTATCTACTCGGCCATGAAGAACGCCCCGAATGAATGGCGCCAGTCCCCTATAGTGGGGAACAATATGTTTCTAGTTTTCGCATCAATGACGGTCTTTTTTCTGACTGGGCATCTGGCTCTGGTGGCCCAACTGGGGCCTGGTCTAGCCTATTCGTGGGGGGCTGTTCTATGCCAGCTTCTTATCAGCGTTGGGGATGTGTTCCAGTTGTTGACCCGAGGAAATACTCGTGGCGCGTCGTGGAGATTATGGTAAGGGTTCCCCCTCCTCCCGCAGTATCAGCTATACTCAGCCTTGACCAGGATCTCTCGATTCTCGGGGTCAACATCGACCGTGGCTTTTGCCTTCATTCGATACTTGTATTGGCCAGGATCATTTTCCTGGCTCAACAGCCCGCTCATGCTGTGGTCCGTGTGTATTTTTTTCTTATCCGAGTTTCTCTATGGGATTCTTTTCCTCTCCATCAGACGCTATGAAGAGGCCTCTCAGCATCAGGTCAAGTATAAGGGGAAATGAGTCCATTCTCGAGGTTGCCATTGACAACATGGCTGGCTGGAATCAAGGTCGGGTAGGTGGACGGATGAATACCGACTTCACAATCGGAAGACTGTCCTGCAGTGTAAGATAGAGTTTATCAGTTTGAACACTGCTTTGGCCGAGGGATTGCGAATCCCGTGTCACCTTTTCTAGTCTCTGAGTCTCTGACGTGGTATCCGGAGTTTCGGGCTTGCACTGTACAGGGACTAGACTTGATGTACTCGGCAGGGGAGGGGTACTGCCCGGCTGAAAATAGGCGCGTTGAGTATAAAGTCAAGAGGCTTGCAGGAGCCGTTTTTGGACGCCTCTGTAATTTGCAATTAAATTAGATGGTAGCGCTGTGACGGACCGCTATTTCTTCTGGTAGCACACGGGACAGATTAAGAATAGTACAGTGTATCACAGGAGCGGAGACAATTGAGCCCATTGTGATGTAAATGACACCGTCTCATCCAGGGGGGTAGGGTCGAGGAGGGAAAGAGGAAGAAGAAGAGGAAGAAGGAGATGAGAGGAAAGCAACTCATGTGCGGCGTGACTGCGACTTTGCCCGCCAGTCACCTGCGTTACAGCCCCCCCCCCCCCTCCCCCCCAGTCGTACCTTCCTCGTTCCCTCCAGATAGCTAGGACTAAGTTTGGCTCAATGGTCAACTCAACACCACAACCATGAACATGACCAACCCTCCCCAACCCCCCTTCAAAGTCATCATCGTCGGCGGTTCCATCGCCGGCCTCACTCTCGCCCACTGTCTCCAGCGTGCACACATCGAGCACATCATTCTCGAAAAAGGCAATGAGATCGCTCCGCAGCTCGGCGCATCCATAGGCCTCATGCCCAATGGTGGACGGGTCCTGGAACAACTGGATCTGCTGGCGGACATCGAGCGAGTGGTTGAGCCGCTACACCAGGCGAATGTCATCTTTCCTGATGGATTCGAGTTTATTAACTTCTATCCGAAGGTTGTTGGCGACAGGTATGCCTTGACTTCTTAATCCAGCCTCCTTCAAGTCAAGCTAAGGTTTTGGCAAGATTCGGATTCCCAATTGCGTTTCTAGACCGGCAGAAGTTCCTAGAGATTCTGTACGAGAAGCATCGCAGCAAGCAGAACATCCTTACGGGAAAGAAGGTGACAGAAGTGAGACGACTCAAGAACGGGACTGCAGTTGTTGCTGCCGATGGATCGGTGTATGAGGGGGATCTTGTTGTCGGGGCTGATGGGGTGCATAGTCGCATTCGGTCTGAAATGTGGCGGATGGCGGAGGAGGGTCAACCTGGGTTCGTTTCGAGATCTGAGAGGACCTGTATGTCTTCTTTTCTTCGGGCTCAATTCATGAGAAATGTAGCTAACAACAGTTAGGCATGACGGTCGAGTACACATGCGCATTCGGGATCTCGTCGCGCATCCCGGGTCTCGAGATCAATGAACAAGTCAACGGCGTCTTTGATCATTTGTCCGTCCTGACTATCCACGGGAGACATGGTCGGGTGTTCTGGTTTGTTATCCAGAAGCTAGACCGGAAGTACGTCTATCCCGATGTGCCACGGTTCTCGGAGAAGGATGCAGAACATGTTTTCAGTCAGTTGAAGGACATGAAGTTCTGGAAAGACGTCACTGTAGGAGATCTATGGAAGAACCGAGAGGTGTTCTCAATGACTGCTTTGGAAGAAGGCTTGTTCAAAACCTGGCATCATGATCGGATGGTTTTGGCGGGTGATAGCGTTCATAAGGTCTGATCTTTACGTCCATCGCCTTACGTCAATTGCCTTCATGTGGGATGCAGGACTGACTATTCGTGTAACCAGATGACCCCCAACTTCGGCCAAGGTGCCAACTGTGCCATCGAAGATGTCGCCACTCTCTCCTCCCTCCTTCACGACCTCATCAACGTGCGCGGCATCCACAAGCCCTCCAACACCCAGGTCGACAGTCTCCTGCAGCAATACCAACAGATTCGATACACCCGTATGGATAGTATGTGCCGTACAGCAGCCTCTGTCGCCCGAATGCAGGCCCGAGATGGCTGGTTTAACACCGTCTTTGCTCGATACTGGGCTCCGTATGCAGGAAACGTGCCAGCGGACATTGCCTCCAAGGTCATTGCGGATGCAGAGGCTATCGCGTTTCTACCTTTGCCGGAGCGCTCAGGCTCAGGATGGGAAATATATGGACGAAAGAGGAAGGGGGCTCATACTCGGTGGGCAGTTATCCTGACTGTGGTGCTTTTGCTGGGGTGGTTATCACGTTTGTTTGTCAAGGACGGATGGTACACTTGGTACACGATGCTTTGATCTTTTTTAATTCATGTCTCATTAGAAATGGCGGTTCTTTAGAATTTATCTACCCCGTACTTGAGTAATCGATACTTTAAAAGACTATCTGCTTGTCAAGTAAACAAAATGTATGATCACTATAAATATCACCACGAAAGACTATGTGTATATGGTACCGCCATGAACGCCACGCTGCATGTAACCCCAACAAATGCAAAGACCAAAATAGCAAAATGCCTAAAGCCATCACTGCGCCGACTTCTTCCTCAGAGAATTAACACTCAAGACCTGTCTCATCCGACGAAGCTTAGCCCACCATTCTCGATCGCTAGCCTTCCTAGCTTCGTGATTGGTATCGTCGACAACCAGTTCATCCGTAGACGGCGCCTCAGAAACAGCCCGACTGCCCCCGGAAACAGAAACAGTCGATCTGATCTGCCGACGATGTCGCACGTTGAGCGCCTGGCCCAGCAACTCCCATCCACATCGCAGGTTTTCTGACTTCTCTGACGTCCGTCCGGAGCCGCTTTGGGCCTTTCCGCTCACCCACGGACAGTATTCCATGTGTTCGCCGACCACGTCCAGTGAGTCGTAGAGGGCAGCGTCTCCGTTGCTCTTGGGTTTGTACATCCATAGGCCCAGGCGCCGGAAACATACGCTGCAGCCGGCCAGACCGGCCGTTCCGTCGGGGACAGTGTCCCAGCCGAAAAACGCTAGAGTGAAGGCGGTTGTGGAGAATGATGGCGAGGGGGAGGGAGAGGGGGAGGGCGGAGGAGCGGGGTCTTGGGTCCCGTTGACGGCCTGGGGTGTGGGTGTCTCTGCTCTTTCGTCTCTTTCGATACTGAGTTCTTCCTCGTGGGGGGCGTTGAAGCCGGCTGGTAGCGTGCTGACGAGTTTCTCGAGATCGAACGACTCTGGTGTCTGGATGACGTCTTGCGCAGGCAATTGATCGGCCATTTTGACAAGGTTGGAGTAACGAGTCTGGAGGCCGGAGATTGCGGATTCGGGGTTTGCGAGCGGTATCCGATGGATGGTGGCTTGGGCTAGCTGTCAGTTGGGAGATCATAACGTGGGATCTCGAGATAACGTACCATCGCAACCCTTGTTCCTCCACGGGCACGAGTCTCCGTGACCCTTGACCAGCATATTCGCATATTCGTTCACGAGTTGGGCGCCTAAAAACCATCAGTCCAAAGCACGTATGTAGACCAATCGCAATGCAATACTTACGAACATCCTTCCTCTCCTGCACCTTCTCGCCATCGAACCCATCCAATTCATCCAACTCATCCGGCAGCTTCACGACCACCGACCCCCCGCATCCCCCGACGCAAGTCACCCGCGCAACATCCGTACAGACCCAGCCGCGCTTGGCCCATTCCACCTCACTGATCGCCGCCGGCTTCGGGGCCCATCGGTCCACGCGCCGGAATGTCTCCAATCGCTCGAGAAAGCGCTCGCGATCCCACGGGACGAAGCTCGGTCGGGACGGCGAGGACACGGAGGAATCGCGGGAGGTCGGGCGCGTGACCTTGAGGATCGAGCTTCGCGCAATGGACAGGTTATCGGTGTCCAGACGAGCTTTCTTGGTCGATGAGCCGGTCGCGGGCGGTTCGGAGGCAGTTGATTTTGCGGGACTGGGGGTGGAGGGTTTGGTCAGGGATTCGAGGACTCGGTGGAATTTGCGCTTTTTCGTCTCGACTGCGTAGGACATTTTCCGCGGACAAGGGAGGGGTTGGGGGTGCGGGGTGAGGGAGTCTGTCTGGTGGTTGTTTGCGTGGTGAGGGAGTCTTGGATCGCGGATCGGGACGTTGGCGGTCATCATGCTGGGGGAGGCGCTAGGCCCGATCGGGGAGCTGTCGGTCTGGTCTACCTATGCGCGTGCCTCAGGCAGAGCACAACCACTGCACTGGTGGGGACTACTCGTTTTGAGTGGTGGTTATTGTCCTGATTTTACCAGATAAATAATCAAATGCACCGTAGAGGGATTTTCCGAGATCACTTATTTCGTCCCTTCCATTGCCATCGAGGCTGTGACTGGCTAACACTCACCGATACAACAAAGAAGAAAGAAGTAGTGAAGGATCAATCTCATACTTAATGTCATGTTTTGGGGACCTATCTTACCAGGTAAGGATGGCACCAAATCTGACCGCTCTGATCCTCATAACGACTGACAGTGGAGGTTACCTCTCACATATTACAGTAGATTTTTCTTGGACGCTCAAGGGGTATGGAGACAATACACAATGTTTCATTCAGACAATGTCTGCTTTGAGTTGCCCCCGGAGACCTCCTTTGTGTCTTTCTTCTGTATAGCCCTTTGTGGGGGTATTTATAATGCCCTGGAGCCCTGGGTTCTTCTCCTGTCTTCTTGCAGTGCAGTCTGGATCTTCTTATAACCAATCGCAAGATATATTAAAGACACCCAATCATGGATAGCCCCACAGAAACCACAGAGAGCACTGCCGCGCAGCGTGCATTGATGATACACGAGGTTGTGGGCCTGATCGTCGAGCATATCTGGAAGAGTATCGCATGGAGCCGAGTGCAGTCCAGGGACAGGGAGATCGCTCTCGCTCTCAAAAAGCCTGAAGAACTCGATGGCAGCAGTGACCGTGTGGAATGGAAAACAGGAACTCTTTTGAACTGCGCCCTTGTCAACAAGCTCTGGTCTTCAGAGTCAATGCGCCATCTCTGGAGCGTCTCGGAGATGAGCCATGTCATTTGGAAGAATAGCCTCCCTCTAGAAGGTTGGAAATCTTGCCTCATCGGGCGGTTCAGAAAGATCGAACCTGCACGCCGACAGTATTATGCTGATTTTATCAGGTCCGGCTCAAATTTGGACTTCTTTTTGAATCCTCATGGTGCAGACCTGTTGGAAGGCATTGAACTCACAAAGGTGAACCATTTTTTCTTGCTAATGCCCCTGTTTGAACCCCCGGGCTGTTATTATCTGCCATTTGTCAAGGTTCCCAATCTAATAGTTCACCCGGGTCTTTCGCATTCCTGGGATGCCGCTGCCTGTTCCAAGTTTCTCAAAGACGTTCTGGTATGTTTCTCATAAGATCCCCCAATCCTATCAGGAAGCTTCTAACCCCAGGCAGGTCCACTTCCCCTCTTTGAAAACACTCCAACTGGTAAAGTGCAAGCATCGTTACCCGGATCCCCAGGATATTCTGGCTGACACTGCTCGAAATCTTAAAGAGTTCGAAGGGATTGAAGTCTTCAAAGTCTCCTACAACCATGTATTCTCGAGAGATATTTGCCAATATCAAAACAGCGAACCTCTGCCTTTTCTGCATCTTGGCAGGAGTGAGGAGAAGGAGAAGGAGAAGAAGGAGGAGGAGGAGGAGGAGGAGGAGGAGAAGTAGTTGTCGTGTCGCCTCCCTATCTAGTCGGTCTTTTTCTTTGTTTGTTTTCTTACTTCTTTCTACCTGTTTCCTTTTGCCGCTGTCACTAGGCCCCCAGATAAATTCAATCTACTCAATTCACTGCAATCTACTGAGCTGGAAATCCACCTTCCCTAAATAGCCAAAGTCTAAAGTCCGTCCTAGGATTATTGCTGGCCACACATCAGTAAATCAGAAGTTCCACATGTCCAATTAATCTCCAAGACCCCAAGATAATCAGCAGTGTAACAATACCATAGCACACCGCCGATCAACAGTTCATCTCACGTGTAATGACCTCCAACCCAAAGCAAGCCGCCAACTGACTATATACTAGTAGTGAGCCAATGCCCGGATTGGTCAGCCGGCACATAGCCCTAATCACAGCTTAGTTCAATCCGAGGACTATAAAGAGCCAGCTGAGCCCCTCAGACACAGTTCTCCCCAAACTCGCGTATCCCTCCCACTCACTTAACCCCTTCTTCAGAGCAGTATCTATCCAATCCGCCTATTTTCAACACTCGTCCCACGAAACAAAGCCATAACCTTCCCGTCCCCCACCATGTCGCCGCCCACTCCAACCGTCTACCTCATCACCGGCGCCAGTCAAGGTTCTCTCACCCTCACTCTCCCTCCCACTCTCCCCTCCCCTAACCACCACCCCCCCTCACCCCAGGAATCGGCCACGGCCTACTCACCACCCTCCTGCACCGACCACACACCACGATCCTCGCGGCCGTCCGCACCCCCAACGCAGCCAACACCTACTCACCCTGCCCCGCGCACCCACCACAACCATCCAGCTGCTCGAAATCGACGCCTCGTCCCCAACGGCCGCCTCCACCGCCATCGCGCACCTCCAATCCACATCGCCCACCCCGATCACGCACATCGACACCGTGATCGCCAACGCCGGCCACTACGACGATGCGACCTACCGCATCGACAACGTCCCCCTCGACGTCGTCCAGCAGCATCTGGACGTCAACACCCTCGGCGTCATCCGGCTCTTCCAGGCGACTTATCCCCTGCTGCAGAAGAGCCAACGGCCGATGTTCCTCACCGTCGGCAGCTTTCTGGGGAGTATTGCGGGGCTGGACATGGAGTATTTTCCCGGGGCGCGTATGGGGCTAGTAAGGCGGCCGCGAATTGGGTTACCAGGAAGATGCATGTGGAGAATCAGGGATGGGTTTGTTTTGTTGTGCATCCGGGGTGAGTGGGATTTGTTTCGGAGCATTGAGTCGGTTGGGGGTGGGTGGGTGGGTGGCTAACGGACTGGGTAGATTTGTGAAGACGGGGATGGGAAATGCTTGTGCGAAGAGTATTGGGATCGATGAGGCGTTTACGGAGGTTGGCGAGTGTGTGGATGCTATGATTAAGCTGGTAGGTGACCCGGTTTCTAGTCCTGGGGGTTATTGAAGTGGTGGTGACGGCTGTTGACGAGTCTTAGATTGATGGCGCTACGAGGGAGACGTTTGGGGGGCGCTTCGTCAACTGTAAGGGCGAGGACGTTCCGTTCTGATGGTGAATCCAGTACTGCAAGTGTCATGGCTCATGGCTATGGATACCTACCGGTGGGTGAACGAGTCAGGGGTTACGCTAGTATTCTTCCGGAGTAATTCGAGTCAAGGATATATAGTATATGGTATGGAAGGGAAATCCTGAATCTGTTGCTGCATCCACCAGTTCCTTAATTTTTTTTAATTCTTGGTCTGAGGATTGAAGAGTAGAAACTAATGCCGAAGGATGCTCCGCGTTGGATTGCCTGCAGTCAGCCTCGCACAGCCGATGGCGCGCCCATCCACACTAGTCAGCCCTGCCTGCGCAATGGAGGGATGGCTTCGGTGCTTATGATGGATATTGGTCAATATTCACTGAGATTACGAAAATGTATGCCTAGTTAAAAAATCACACTACCCAACCATTCCAACACTGGAATGAATTGCACGTCTAATGATTTTGACTTTTAGATGTGGCCAAGCTGTACAGATGACCCAGGCCTCGGTATCCTGGCAGTGTCCTTTTTTGGCTGGCAACCGCCGAGGAGCTGATAGAAAATGGGCCTGCCCCCGTGAGGCCAGTAAAGAACACCAGTCCGGGCCACTTCGCACCTCACGCGACAGTAGAGCCCTTCAAACTCTCTGTAAGAGAGACATATGATCCACATTTCACATCCTCAATAATGCCAACCTTATTGGGCTCCCAACCCAGTTCTCTCATCGCCTTGGCACCAGATGCACGGTTCTCTGTGCTAAGAAAGAGAGCATAGAACTCGCCCCATCGCGATGCAGCAGTGTCGAAAGGGACCGACTGCACCGGAAGACCGAGGACGTCCCCCATCACTTCTGACAGCTGACGGAAGGTCACATTTGTCGATGACACGCCATTGAAGATGTCACCTGCCTTGGCCTTCTGAGCCGCCAGTATATACAAGGACGCGGCATCCTCCACATGCACGGCAGAGGTGAATACATCGCCAGGCTCAACGTAGCTGACCCCCTTCATATTGCTGTACATCTTCATGAACAGTCCAACACCGCTAGCCCCACGACCATAGACAAACGGAGCTAGACGGATAACGGAGACTTTGACACCCTTCTCGCAGAGTTTCAGATTATTCTGCTCGCATACTATGCGGTCATTGAGAGGCTTCTCCCATAGAGGTGATGTCTCGTCCGTCTCGGCGCCAGTTGCTGCAACCACCAGGGTGCCAGACGTGACAACAAGAGGCTTGTTGCTCCCTTCTAAGCCGGCCCCGATAGCCTCCACGGCAGCGTCGTCAATGCGTATCCGTTCCTCATATGGCATGTGGTGGTTAGCTGCCATGGGGTCGGCGAGATGCATGACAATGTCAGCATGAGCACTTTGCTCGCGCAGGACATCGAGAGAGTGGAGGTCCCCTCGGACGGGAACTGCCCCTAGACCGGTTAATCTGGCGTCGCTGGTCTCGTTTCGGGATATGCCGTATACTTCGTATCCTTGAGCGGTTGCTTGTTCGATGATGGCGGAGCCGATGTAGCCGCTGCCACCGGTGATGAAGATGCGTTGCTTGACCATCATGAGGAAAAATAGGGACTCTAGCCACTGCCTGTTATTGATTGAGGATGTATGTTCATCATTTCACTGAGTCTTGTCAGCTGATATACTGTCAGGGAAATCGGCAGTCACGGAGTTTAGACATGTTAACCCCGGAAGGCTTCGGGTTTTACCAGATAAAACCGGAGAGGGTTGAACACCTTGGACGGGAGATAGCCAGTTCTATGAAGGGTGTGGGAGCCGGTTAATGCATAGCCTCACTATTTGCTATGCACCGTGTCGACTCGGAACTACAGCAGTCCGCCGCATAGCGGTCAAAAGCATTATTCTGGCACGAGCTAGATCGAGTGGTTGCAATGCTTCGATGGCGCAATGAAGCGAGCCAATAAATCTTTGGTACATAATTGAGCAGCAGCCAAAGTACCCTCACCCACCCAGAGCATGAGGTCAAGTTCTTCGAGGGCGGGTGGGAACTAGAAGCAGGTACCACAGCTCTCTATGGAGTAGATAGAGTGCAGACGCGTGCATCCGGTGACTGGGAGTTGCAGGCATAGTAGATACCAATCAATTGTCTGCAACCCTGTAGCAAGGTCGAAATGACGGAGCATTGACCGTCATGCGAAGAAAACAGAGAAAATCGATGTCTCTGACCGTGAGTGGAGACATAACTGGGATGATTGTAGGAGGATGCGTCGATTGTCAGTTGTCAAGACGGGTGGATGGGCTGATCGCCCGGCAACAAATTGGCGGGTGCTGATTGGCGGGCGGCCGTTCGGGAGTCGAGGGTTCCGGCCGGAAGTGATGCGGCATCGCGCGAGTCTCGTCCGGAATTTCCAATCCTGTCAACACCCCAGGCTTCGATCTCTCGTTCATCCGCCATCATGGCATTCCTGGGGCCTTCCGCGCCCTTATTCCGGAGACTTGCTCCCCGGCTGTCGAGGGAGCTCTTCACCTGCCGTCAATGTCTCTCGCGCACCCCGAATCCTGCGACTGCGACTGCGACCAAGTCCGCCTTCCGCCGCCAGTTCTCCGCGCTGCCCCTCGCCCAGAATGCCAACACCAGAGCCAATTCCGCCCTTCAGGCCAGAGCTAGGAAGCTTTTTGCTTCTAGTCTGAGGAGAAATGCCTCGGGATCTGCTGCTGCCGCGGAAGGCGCTGCGAAGGCGAAATCCAGCTTTCCGGATGTGAGCGACAAGAAAGTCGCCTACTGGTTGCTGGCCAGCACGGCCAGCGTTTTTGGTATCGTTGTCTTTGGCGGTCTGACCCGGTTAACTGAGTCAGGGTAAGCTCATTCAAAAGATACGCCATGGCGGCCAATGCTAATTATGTTGCGACGAAGTCTGAGTATCACCGAATGGCGCCCCGTCACCGGATCCCTCCCCCCCATGAACGCCGAACACTGGGAAGCCGAGTTCGCCAAGTACCGCGCATCCCCTGAATTCCAGCTCCTCAACCCGCATATGACCCTCTCCGAATTCAAGTCGATTTACTACATGGAATGGATCCACCGTCTTTGGGGCCGCTTCGTCGGCATCTCGTTTGTGCTCCCGGCCATATACTTCGTTGCGAGAAAGCAGGTTAGCAAGCCCATGGCTCTGCGCCTGGCCGGTATTGCAGGCTTGATTGGATTCCAGGGATTTATCGGATGGTGGATGGTCAAGTCCGGCCTGAAGGACGACCTCTTCGCCCCTGGTAGCCACCCCCGTGTCAGCCAGTACCGCCTGACGGCGCATCTGGGTGCCGCCTTCGTCTGCTACAGTGCTATGCTGTGGAACGGTCTTGCTATCCTGCGCTCCCACCGCCTTCTCGCCGACCCGGAGGCCGGAATCAAGCTCTTGGACGCGCTGCGTGACCCCAAGCTCAAGATCTTCCGTCGCTCCGTGGCCGCATTGGCTGCTCTGGTTTTCGTGACTGCCATGTCCGGCGCCCTTGTCGCCGGCCTGGATGCCGGTCTTATCTACAACGAGTTCCCCTTCATGGGCAATGGTCTGGCACCTCCCAAGGCGGAACTTTTCGATGAGCGCTACTCCCGCCACGAGGACCGATCGGACCTGTGGTGGAGAAACATGCTGGAGAACCCCTCCTTGGTGCAATTGGACCACCGGACTCTGGCTATGACCACCTTCACCAGCATCATGGCTCTCTGGGCGTACACGCGTCGCTCTCCCACGATGCAGCGTCTCTTGCCCCGGGCTGCGAAGAAGGGTATGCACGGAGTGGTCGGCTTCGCCTGCCTGCAGGTCGGTCTCGGTATCTCGACCCTTCTCTACCTCGTTCCTACGCCTCTGGCTTCTGCCCACCAGGCGGGCAGTATATTCCTGCTCACCTGGGTGCTTGTCCTGGGAAGCCGTGTCTGGCACCCGTCCCGGACGGCCAAGCTGCTTCAGATGGCGGTCAAGGCCCGTGGACAAGCTGCTTCCAGCGCAACCCATGCCCCTCGCCGGCTGTAAGTAGTAAAGCATCTAGATATCTCGGATGGGATGGAGTTTTGACCTGCATTCCTGTACAACACTGCCACCACCACATGACCCTGTATGTTTACTCAAATCTCAACTTCACGTCACTGTACAATATGATCACGTGCGTTCTTTGTTTCCAGTCTCCAGTTTCCAGTTTGCATTCCATCTGCAGAAAATTGCAATTGTACAAAGTAGACCATCCCTCTGAAAAGCCAGGCACGTGATGGATGTCCAGACACGGTGAATGATCCAACGCCAGAACACATTTCTTCTCCTTCCTCCGCACCAAACCACCCTGAACGTCTCATCTCGTTTCCCACGTCCCAGAAACAGTGAGAAACAACAAAAGTCCATCCTTTGCCTTCCATCCGAAACCAAGAGAACAGCGACCGGGCTACCATGCCTGGGATAATTTCTTAGGTCTGGTGGCCCGGACGCGTCATTAGCAGCCTCTCACGTCGAAATTCCCCACGTCACTCTTTGAAATCTTTCGCTTGTGCCGCTCAACAGCGAGCCTGACCTGCTCCATGGCAAACCGATGAACACGAGAGAAGTCAGAACCATGATTTGACGCGTCGTCTACGCTGTCTAGGTACATGTACGTCAGCCACCTGCCCTGAACTCACCTGTTGAGGAAACTGACCATCGCCCGGAGTTGCAAGCGCCTCGTTGCTGAACGCATACAAAGCCTCTGCGCATCCAAGGCCACTGTCCGTCCCTCTGGTGTTCTCCAAGGCATGGTCGACAGCAGGGACTGCGGGGCCGGGATGGAGCTGGGTGCTGGTTGCCAGGTGTGTTGAGCCCGCTCTCGCAGTTGGGCGGGTCATGTTGCTCCGCGACGTCAAGTCGGTGTATCGGTGGAAGCTTGGATCCTGTTCAATCCGTTTTCTGGCACGGCTGAATCGGGATAGACTGCGGATACTGACACCACTCGTTTCCTGTTCTTTGGCACGACTGCGTCTGGTCTGGCGGGGATCAGCTGGAAAGGCACAATTTGTTTTGTCGTCTCTTGCACGATGGCGCCTAGACTGTCTGGATTGGAGTTGACTCACTTCATCTGTTTCTTCGGCTCTATTACCACTGAGTCGAGGCTGGCTTGGACCAGTTAGAGTTCCGCCGCTCACTCTCTCATCTCTACCACGGCTGCGTCTGTGCTGGCTCGGTTCGGCTTGAGTGGTGTTTGGTCTTTCACTTCGCGCGCCACCGCGTCTAGCACGACCGATATCAACTTGACTCGCTTGGTTCATTGCCCCGACTTCAGAGCGACCACGTTGGGGCAGGCTGGGCTCGATCTGAGTGGCATGTCTTGTACCCCGATCTCTAGCAATGCTCCGACTCGGATCAATCCGACCATCATCTACCTTCATATTTTCATTACCACCCCGTCCATCATGACCGCACACCCGCTGAGCTACAGCATTGATGCGCATCTGTCGCCGTTTCCTCTGTCTAGGCCGCGACTTCGGCACTTTAAACTCAAGCTGGCTCGCATCTATTGGTGCCTCGTGAAGATCGCCGCCGGCCCGATGAGAGCGCGTGTATCCAGTCCTCTCCGTGCATTTGTGACACGACTGCCAGCCGCAGGACAGGCAGCGGGACATGCCAGTCACGTTGCGATTATTGCATAGATCACATTTCGCGGTGTGAGCGGGGACATCGACGAATGTCGTTTGGATTGTCTTGGGCTCGGGCTCGGGCTCGGGAGGGGCCAGCTCGGGTCCTCGACTGCTGGTGTTCGCGTCCGACGGCATCGGTAGACGCCTTGGGTAGTACGGGTCTGGGTGTGGAATCGGTGGCAATATCAGTCCACGGTTGTGGGACGATGACGACGATGATGACTGAGCGGGGTTGTATGCCACGATAGTCTTATGATCTCTTTTTTCAACACCATCAACATCAACAGCCTCTCTTATATTGTCTGACACGTTGGAACCAGAAAGTGGGGGTCGCAACACGTCCTTGAAGGCATGCTGATGAGAGAGCGAAGAAGGAGGCAGAGGGAGAGTAGAAGCCGAAGAGGAAAGATTCTCCCCAGGTGGCTCTGAAAAACCATTAGGCTGGGGGGTAATCTTATCCTGATGAAAGACATCCTATTACCCAGTGAAGGCCTTATTAGCAAGTGATCTCTTACAAGCAGATCTTCCTTATGAGCCTTCCTTCAATTCACTTACGGCGCGAGATTGGGAACCACGGTGACTACGACGACGACGGTGACAAGAAGGAATGGACCCCTTAGGCTGGGGCTGCGTAATTCCGATGTGCGAGCCTATGGCGTGCAATTTTGGATCATCCAGTTGCACTGAGGCAACAGCAACAATGGCAGCATCCACGGTTGAACTCATGGCAGAGGAGGAGCCTGGGAGCTGCTTGTTCTCCTTGCCTTTGGAGGGAGAGTCCTGGGGATAAGACATTGTTATGGGCCGTGTCTGGTGTCTGTCTGTTTGTCTGTCTGTCTGTCTATCCATGCGTGTTGGTGTGGCCAGTCAGTATAAGGAAGGCCTAATAACATAACTAGACCAACACACGACATTTTGTCTCATCCTCAACATCAACCTCACACCTTACATGTCACATCATATCACGTCACGTCACGTCCACCGCACGTGTCTCACAACCAGAATGCACATCTCTCACTTACTCAAGACTGGAGCTTGTACTTACTTTCCTTTTTCTTTTTATTTTCAGACAGCTAATGGAGTTTGAATCTTGAACCTTGAACCTTGAGAGCTAAAGCCAAGGTAAAGACAAAGATAAAATCAACCATGTAAGAGAAGAAAGAGTCCACAATAGTGTATGAGGGTAGAGAAGAGAAGAGAAGAGAAGAGCAGAAAGAGAGAGAAGAAGAAGAGAAAATCAAAAACAACCAGCACCATCGTGGCATGAACTCCAACTAACCCTAGGGTCAACATCCCTTTCTGGCCGCGCGGGTCCGTTCTTCGTTGCACGAAACCAGAATTGACATACAGATAGATAATCCATGGGTATGTATTCTACATATAGATGAGTTTGCAGTCTGTGAGGGTTGTGGTTTACAGTGTTGAAAGTCTTTGCCTTTTTTTTTTCCTCCGGAGGTGTGGTGGTGTTGCAGTGGTGAGTATATATATAATATATATATGAGTAAGATGGCTGGGGAAGTTGGCATAGCATAGTAGTGGGTTGCTTGTTAGGGGGTTTGCTTGCTAGGAGGTAGGGGGGTTAGAAAGTCGCTTTTGAATCTGCCAGTCTTGAAAGAGAATTGAACAATGAGACAATCTTGACTAACACACTATGACAAGCGAAGGAGGGGGGATGATTCTCTTTTTGACTGGGCTATTTTGCTCGTTTTCAGTACGGGGTGAGGTTCACTTGACATAGCATATATACTACAGAAATGGAATGGGACAAGTATGTCAGGTTTATTTCTTTAGAGAACTAGGATGGAAGAAAAGATTCGAGTACCAGGACCTACTACTAACATCCATAAGTACAATAAGAAAAAAACCACCTGCAGAGCGATGAGCCAAAGCGGTAGAGAACTGAAATCAAACCCAAAGGTATTTATATTTACTACGTAGTTACAATTATTCTTTGGAGAACAAACGAATGCAAACTACTTCGAAACAAATCTACTCATTACCAGGGATACTGCTATCAGCATCATCTATTGATCATTTTATGCATATCTTCATTGACATCCCAAAAAAAAAAAGCCATGCAACTAGTCATCGTCATCGGCAACTAACAACCTAAATCCCAAATCCAATCCCAAATCGATTCGCGTTTATTTGTGGGCTGTTTGCAACGATTAGTCAGGAGCTGCACTCCTTACGATCGGGAAACGGGGATGGGAAGGAATGATCAAACTTACGAATTCCCTCCTCAGGCTTGGGCTCAATGCCAACGACCTCGGCGGCGTTCTTGGTGTCCTGGGCGGTCTTGTCCTCCTTCATGAAGGGGAAGGCCAGAACCTCCTTGATGCTGTAGTTGTCGGTCAGGAACATGACCAGACGGTCGATACCCATACCCCAGCCACCGGTGGGCGGCAGGCCGTACTCGAGACTGGTGCAGAAGTTCTCGTCGATGAGCTGGGCCTCGTCGTCACCCTGGTCCTTCTGGTTGGCCTGCTCCTCGAAGCGCAGACGCTGGTCGAAGGGGTCGTTCAACTCGGTGTAGGCGTTGACGATCTCCTTCTTGCAGACGAAGGCCTCGAAACGCTCGCACAGACCGACGTTCTGGCGGTGGTACTTGGCGAGAGGGGACATCATCTGGGGGTGGCCGGTGATGAAGGTGGGGTTGACGCAGGTCTCCTCGATGAACTCGCCGACCAGCTTGTCGAGCATGCGGGCGTTGGTCATGGGGGGAGAGCACTCGACGCCGGTCTTCTTCAGGACGCGCTTGAGGAACTCGCCGGTCTCGGCGGTGTGCAGCTGGTCGCCGGGGGGAACTTCTCGCCGGTGGCCTCCTCGAGGGCGGGGATCATCTCCACGCGGCGCCAGGGAGCCTTCCAGTTGACGTTGTAAACCTCGCCGCTCTGGGTGTGGAAGGTGGTCTCGTAGCCACCGGTGATCTTCTTGACCAGGCCGGAGACGAGCTCCTCGGTCATGTTCATGACGTCGTAGACGTCGGCGTAGGCCCAGTACATCTCGCAGGTGGTGAATTCGGGGTTGTGGGTGAGGTCAATGCCCTCGTTACGGAACTGGCGGCCCAGCTCGTACACACGCTCCAGACCTCCGACGATCAGCATCTTGAGGTACAGCTCGGGGGCGACACGCATGAACAGGTTCATGTCGAGGTCGTTGTGGTGGGTGACGAAGGGCTTGGCGGTGGCACCACCGGCGATGGCGTTCATCATGGGGGTCTCGACCTCGACGAAGTCGCGGCTGTCGAAGTAGTTGCGGATGTATTGGACGATCTTGGAGCGAGCGACGAAGACGTTGCGGGAGCGGTCGTTCATGATCAGGTCCAGGTAGCGCTGGCGGAAGCGCTGCTCCTTGTCCTGCAGACCGAAGTGCTCGGAGGGGATGGCGTGCAGGCAGGGGGAGAGCAGGATGACCTCGGAGGCGAAGATGGAGAGCTCACCGTCGGCACGGTTCTTGGGGCTGGTACGGCCGGGGAAACCGACGATACCGACGATGTCACCACGGCGGAGGTGCTCGTGCTGGGCCTCGAAGGCAACGTCACCGGTGGAGTGCTGGGCCTGGCACACGACCTGGACCTTGACACCCTCGGCACGGAGATCGTAGAAGATCAACTTGGCACCGGACGCACGCTTGGTGTAGATTCTACCAGCGATGCGGACGGGGACGTCGGTCTTCTGCTCGCCCTTCTCGAGGCCCTCGTAATCCTTGAGGAACTTGCGCAGGTCATCGGTGACCTGGAACTTGTGGGGGTAGGGGTCGGGCTGCTTGGTCTCGCGCAGCTTGTTGATTCTCTTGCTGCGGATCTCGAAGTATTGCTGCAATGGGGCGAAGAGTTAGCATGGCATGTCTGCGACCGTCGACTCCCAACCGCCGCACACAGGCACGCGCGCACAGGAGGATGCGCGGGCGGGACTCACGTTGGGGGTGAGGTTGGCCTCCTCGTCCTCGGCGGAGGTCTTCTTCTCGGCCTTGGGGGGAGCGGCGGCCTCCTTCTCCTTCTTCTTGGCCTCCTTCTCACGCTGCTTCTGGCGTCTCTTCAATTCGGACTTGGACACCTTCTCTCCGGTGACCTCGTCGAGCAGGAGGTTGGCCATGGAGACCTCGGCCTCCTGGACAGGGTTGGAATCGGCCATGGTGATAGGACGGGGGGTATCGAATCTCTGCCTCGATCACCTTTGGAGGGGGGGTGGGTGTGGTTCTGAGAGAGAGAAGGGGGAGAGGGAGGGGGGAGGGGCGATGACACAGAATGGTGGGTTGAAGTCCGAGAGACGGAGAGCGAGAATTTTGGGCGGGAGGCACCGCGGGCGGCTATCATTGGGTTACGGAGGGGCAGCTCCCCACGGCCCAGCAGGTCCATCTTCCTGGCCTTCCTTTGACTCCCTGACTCACCACAGTCCTGCATCTTACCCAAGGCGATGTTTCGGTCCAATCGGTCCGGTGCTATTTGATCGCTCTCCCTTCTCCAAGATTGTCTGCCTGTTAACTTGCCTGCCAAAAACAGTCCCTCCAGTTGGCTGCAGCCAGGGCTTAGGGCTTAGGGCACTGGAGTGGGGTTCCCTACCCCGCCTTGGCCGCAAGCATCGCGGCGGCCATCTTCATCTCCTCTATAGAATGGAGATCAGGACGAAATAAAAACCCACTGGCTTTCTCTTTGACGACCAATTCCATTATTACTACCAAATGTCTCCTTGTAAACAAAGCCAACCCCTTTGAGACCCCCTCATAGTAGCTATGACATCCCTCCGCTATCCGATTATACATTCTCCCAACCAGTTTGCAAACACCAGCACCTATTCATAAACTCCAGACCAAACATACTCACTCAAGGCCATTGGTTGACACGGTGTAACTAGTCCATTCATCGGGAGGCTGTGATTTGATTCTCACCTTGTCATCGACTAACGTATCCGCGAACTCGTCCTCCTTCTTGGCGGAGTTGAGCCATTCCTGTGCCTTTGTGATCTTTTCCCTCTCCTTCAAGAGCTGCAGACGGCGTCGCTGTCTCTCAGGATCCTCCGTCATCAGCTCGAGGCAGCGGTCCAGTGCTGCGTAAGGAAATATATTAGAACGGTATCCAGCCCGTCCGGGGGAGAAACGTACCATTATCATCAAAGATGCGCAGCTCACTCTCAATGACTGAGATTAATTCCTCGCGACATTTGGCAAACAACTTGGTGTGAACGCCTTGGCAGATGGAATCCACAAATCGCGAACTTGCCATATCATAGTAGGCCCGCGTATTCTGAAAGGACGGTCAGTGGTGGAGATGGGATTTGAACAGGATTGACTCTTACCGCCATCATTTTCAGCTCCTGAGCGAAGCGGTCGGGTCCGATATCGGTGGCGCTCAGCTTTCTCAATTCAGCTTCTCGCCTGGCGTCCCCCCTGGGAAACTTGCCCTTGGTGTCCAAGTATAGCCCCGCACGAAGTGTCTGACGTTGTGAACTAAGATACTGGTGCGCCGACTTGGTTGCCAGGTCCAAAGCCGAGGTGGCCATCGTGAACGGCTTGTTGTATTCGATGTTGAAATTTTCTTGGGCATGTTCAAAGTGCTCTGCTCGGAGGTCACGCAGATACTGAATAATTATCCGCTTTAACTCCCGGTACAAACCAGTTTGGTGAAACTGAGCAAAAACTTCATTAAGCTGCTTCAGTAGCATGTCCCGAACAAGGCGATAGGTAGAGTTCAGAAACACGCCAAGTGGATCACACCAGTGCTTCACGCTCATCTGGTTCATAATCTCAATAGCCTTTGGGTCTGTCTGGTCAGGTAGGCCGGCTCGGTATGAGTCCTCATTGATTTCACGGATAGTTTCCCAGGTGAACATCAACGGTGATTTTTGAAATTTCTTGAACGGCTCGGTATAGTAACCTTCATGTTGATCTGCGGTGGCTTCCGGCGGGGTTGGAACATTCCGGGGATTCTCGGGCGACTTGCGTTTCACAGGTTGCGGCGCCGAAGTCATTTCACAGTCCGAATCGCTGCCCCCTTCACAATCAGGTATAGTCGTATAAAAAATTCTATCCTCAGGAGATAGCAGTCTCACGGTGGGACGTGTCTTCGCAAGCGCTCTCTTGAAATCTGAGGCAATATGTACCCAAATCTTCTGAAGAGGATACTGCGAAGATCCGCCGTTGACATGGGCGCGGATATGATCCTTGAACTCATTCAGCTTCCTACACAGGATGTATTGAACGTTCGCAGTCGGGGGGTCCGGGAGCGTCTGCAGTTCAGAATCAATACGGTCAGCCTTCTTATTGATCTGCTCAATAATCCGTGGCAAGCATCCCTGGATTTGCTCAAGGAGAAGCGTGGAGAGGGCTGCTTGTAGGCGTCGGGTTCCGAACTTGTCTTCGTAGACAGCGAGCCCATTACCAACCCAAGGATCCGAGGCAAAAAAGGTTTCTTCCTCTTCTCGAGCCTGGGCATGCTCGACTTCGGGGTCGGGGTTGTTCCGAACGACGTAATATCCATAGCCAAGAGAGAACTTGCCTCCTTGCAGGATTTCGACCCACTGAGCATGCGACTCCCCCGCCTGAACGCGATCCGGCTTGGTCAAAACACCCAATGTTCTCTCTTTTGCCCCTTTAACCTCTTGCATGATACGGGCCGCGCCCGAGTTGGTTGCATCGTTTGTCATTGGCAGGGTCAGGAGAACTATGCAGTTGGGCTGGGCGATGTACTCTCTGACAAGGTTCTCCACAAGGGTAACGAGGTACCGTTCATCTTCCTGTTCCGCCTGGCTTATGACTCCGGGTAGATCATAGAAGGACAAGTTAGGGAATCCAGGGGCTGTAATGTCCAAACGTACGATGTTGGGCGAGAACTTCACTTGCCAACTACTGTCGGCTAGACTGTTCTGGCCGGGTGTGTAGAGGCTGGACGGTGTCTTAGGATTCAAGATGGCAATTTGCGCCCATCGGATCGCTTCCTGGACGTCTTTTTTGTTGGTAAGCGTGATGAACGGCTCGTCCTCCTGGTCTTGTTCGTGCCAGGGGCCCAACGAGCGAGACTTTTGTGAGACCTTGTTGAATTTAACGGACTCGTCGTACATGTACCTTCGAGAGAGGAAAACTTTGCAAGTCCACGATTGGCCTGGCTCACTCTCGGACAGATTGATCTCCATCGGGCAGCGGGTGCAGGTGCCTGCGCACCGAGGAACTTTGATCTCACTCATGCCCTCAATGAGAGAGCTCTTTCCGGCACTCTGGTCACCGATAACGCAGATCTTGGGAAGGTCGATATTGTTATCCTCGATCCCTATGTGGCGGAGATCTTGGATCCTCTTCACGAGCTCTTTCATATTGCCCGCGATGAGGTTAATCGAGTCAATCTCGCGGAGAGCTTGACGCGACATCACGGTGGTTGTGCTTTCGACTGTATCTAAGTTAGTGTGAGGGGCTGTTGTGACAGGATTTGGGTGATGGTACTCACTGGCTCTTGTATTCTCTGGTTGGGGAATATCGTCTTCTTGGGGACTCTTCTCCTGTCGAGGACGCTTCTCTAGTCGATAAGTGTTCTCCTGCGGCAGAGGAATTTCTTGATGAGAAGCAGTCTCTTGTTGATGAGTATTAACTTGTTGAGGATATATGAACCGGCGGTTAGCTGCTGGGGAAGGTCCTATTTCCAAGGTTGCTGCGGGAATGAGGGGTGAGGGTGGTGGGGGAACTGGAGATTGGAGAGCGGCCATTTTGAAGAAAGGATGTGTTATATGAAAAGACCGGGGGCAGAGGGACTGCTTATATGTTTGGGGGTCTTCAGTGAATGCACTGCTTCAGTCTTTCAACACCGGTTGAGCTGGCAAGAAATGACCCAGGCATGGGCGAGAAAAAGTCCGGGTCCCCAATCTTATACCCAGTGAATACACATGTCTAGGAAAGGCTAGATGGAAGAAAGAATAGAAAGTCATTGTGGAATTATGTTTGTTTCACTAGGAAGACAGAGAGGCGTAAGAGGCCTAGGCTAATTGAGTGAGGCAAATTCAAGCGTCTGTCGAGGGGAGAGATCCATTCACAATGTGCAAGGAACCATCCAGACACACTGGGGGGGGGGGATCAGCCAAGAGGTGATAGAGCACTGCTTGAGGTCCACCGGAGATGACAGATGCCAGAGCGGAAAGTGATGAGTAGAAAGTGGAAGAGCCGCTGTTTGCGTCTAGATCCAGTTCCAAGGCGGTCAGCGCCCACCTGAGTCAGCGGGTCACCTGCGGGCGGGCAGCCAGCTAGCCAACCACGGGACGCACTGGGGCTCCCCTGAGCGGGCAGTGACGCTCCCCTTGTCCTGCCTTATGCTGCCTTATCCCGATCCGGAACGCTAGTATTAATGAGAGCTCTCACCTAGACTCTTCCCCTCCGCTGCCCGCCCGGCTTCTTCTCTCTTGTTGCTTTTCTTCTGGACTCCTCTTAGTCTTGCGCCTGACAATCAATTAGTCCGTGCGTGGCATCGGATCCTGCTCGCGATCTATCCCTATCCCCATCTCTCCGATCTATTATACCCCCCACCTTCCCAATGCTTCAGGTGCCTGTGCGGGAGCACACCAACGTGGCCTCCACCAAGGCCATCATCTTGGTAGGACTTTCACGTCGCTTTTTCGCTTCGTTTTCGCTGACAGAATGTGTGCAAGGTCGGTGGTCCCTCCAGAGGAACTCGATTCCGGCCTCTGTCGCTCGATGTGCCCAAGGTTGGTTGCCCCTCCTGAATGCGCTATCCCAACCCTCCGCGCGAAGCCGTCCCCCCCATTTCGACCCAAAACCTCGACAACAATCTCACACTGGAAACGTTTCTTAGCCCCTCTTCGAAGTCGCCGGTCACCCGATCATCAACCACTGCCTCAAGGCCCTCGCCAAGATCCCCGATATTCGCGAGGTCATCCTCGTCGGTTACTACGATGAGACCGTCTTCCGTGACTTCATCAAGGACTCCGCCAAGGAGTTCCCCCAGTTCAAGATGCAATACCTGCGCGAATACACCGCTCTGGGCACCGCCGGCGGTCTCTACCACTTCCGCGACGCCATCCTGAAGGGCAAGCCCGAGCGCATCTTCGTCCTGAACGCCGACGTCTGCTGCTCTTTCCCCCTGGGCGAGATGCTCAGGCTGTTCGAAGAGAAGGACGCGGAGGCGGTTATCCTCGGAACCCGGGTCAACAATGACGCAGCCACCAACTTCGGCTGCATCGTGTCCGACTCCCACACCCGACGGGTGCTGCACTACGTCGAGAAGCCCGAGTCGCACATCTCCAACCTCATCAACTGCGGCGTCTACCTCTTCGCCACCGAATGCATCTTCCCCTCCATCCGCAGCGCCATCAAGCGCCGCACCACCCGGCCGCGCCTCGTCTCATACCCGTCGTCCGAGAACCTCGAGTCCTCCTTCATCGCCGCCGAGGATGAGGCAGAGAAGACCGAAGTGCTCCGTCTGGAACAGGACATCCTCTCCGACCTGGCCGACAGCAACCGCTTCTTCGTCCACGAGACCAAGGACTTCTGGCGCCAGATCAAGACGGCCGGCTCCGCAGTCCCCGCCAATGCCCTGTACCTCCAGAAGGCATTCCAGGCCCAGTCCGAAGAACTCACCCCTCCCTCCGCCACCATCGTGCCCCCAGTCTTCATCCACCCCACCGCCACCGTTGACCCGACGGCGAAGCTGGGCCCCAACGTCTCCATCGGACCCCGCGCCGTCGTCGGCGCCGGTGCGCGCATCAAGGACTCCATCGTGCTGGAGGACGCCGAGATCAAGCACGACGCGTGCGTGCTTCACTCGATCATTGGCTGGAGCAGCCGCGTGGGCGCCTGGGCCCGTGTCGAGGGCACTCCGATCCCCATGGGCAGCCACTCGACCAGCATCATCAAGCACGGCGTCAAGGTGCAGAGCATCACCATCCTGGGCAAGGAGTGCGGTGTCGGCGATGAGGTGCGGGTACAGAACTGTGTATGTCTGCCATACAAGGAACTGAAGCGCGTACGTATCCCCCCTCCCCCCTTCCCTTTTTCCCCTTACCACCCGATGCTGACCAGTACCAGGACGTTTCCAACGAGGTTATTATGTAAATCGAGCGTGTAATGATTTTGGATGTGACTGGCACATGGCATATCTGTTGTGATCTTTCTTATATCTCAATCCATTATTCTGGCTAATTGTTCATTTGTCGAGCTGCCGGGCTGCACGCCTTAGACTTAGCCTGCCTGCCTGCTTCCTAACTTCCTAGACTGGGACTAAGCGCCCCTCAAAATACCACCATGTAATATGCTAATCGACTTCACCTCCTGGACAAATACACAAACGTATCTATTGTATGAGACGTATGGGGAGGGATGGTCTATTTATGCTGACTTGATATTTATCATATGAAGAGAAACAAACTTAAATAGCATATCGCTGAAGACATAACAAAAACCCTGTATCGCCTCAAAGCAAATGAACCTATCCAAGTCGGAAGAAAAAGTATATTCTTTACATACATACAATGCAAAATCGTAACACATCAGTTCGAAGGGTAGAAGAGGAAGTATCTCTGCCTCCGAAAATCATAGCGTGGTGGACAGGAGAGAGAGGGATATATATGTCCATCCCTTGCCCTCTCACCATCACCAACCACGAGAATTTTACCAAACCGCCACCATCAAAGAAACCAGCTCACCGCATTATAATGTCTCACCGATACGCAGCCGGATCATACCCGGTGTGCTCGCCAGGATGCGCATAGCCCGCGGACGCACCATACGCACTAAAGCGGACTCTGGGGGTGCGACCCTGCGGATGGGCCACCACATCAGAGTAGCCCTCCTCCTCACCAGTATGGTACTGCGCCAGGGCGTCCGAACTATAGGACGGCGGGGAGGAAGCGACGGAGACACCACCAGCCATCCGCTGAGCGGGATGCGGCTGCTCCGGCAGGCCCATACCAGTGCCACTCCCGTACAAGTCATCGGAAGGATGATGCTGGTGCGCGTAAAGCGGATAATTCGCCTCGTCGGCGGCGGCATACGGCACGGCAGCACCAGACATGACGCTGCTATTGCGGTCGTGCATTTTGTAGTTGTTGAGGGCGGAGCTGCTGGCCATGGGGTCGTAGTCGCCCAGGCGGGTCTGGCGACGGTGGACGATAACGTCGAGCGAGATGGCGGCGATGTGGGCGGCCGTGGCGACGATGGTGAATGTGAACAGGGTCTTGTAGATCCGGCACACGCTGATGCCGGTCGAGGTGCCCCAGTAGGTTGTTGTGCAGGAGGTGAGGATCGTGTGTGCCATGCTCCAACTGAGTAGGCCGAGGGCGATCAGCCAGATGACGAGGACGATCGAGTTGGTGGTTAGGGAGAGGCGCGGGGAGAGGCCGTAGAAGCAGTGGGTTAGGGTTGTGAGGAGGTAGTTGAGCAGGGCGAGGACGACGGCGATGACGAGCTGGAGTGGGTGGGTTAGTGATGGATTTGATGGAGGGGGTTGGAGGGGGTGGCGTACGACGAGGAATGCCCATGGGAGTCGGTAGTTGGCATTGTGTAGTTGGTTGATGAAGACCGCGAGGATGATGCCCACGATGAAGGTTGAGATTAACCCGGTCGCGCGGATGAGGTGGAAGAACAGCGGGGGATATTGCGAGGGTTTTACGGATGCTCTGGATCGCATGGTGGTGGTGGTGGTGATGCGCTGGGATCGCAAGATTCCCCGTTGCGGTGTGTGGGGATCAACGGGTGGGATGGCTGGAATCTGGAGTCGGAGTCTGGACTCTGGAGGATGCCCGTCGAGAAACAATTGTTGGAACGACGGTCGGCTGCAGGATGGATGTTGCAGCTCACGGCAGGTCGAGATGGGGGCCGGACATGCAGGTGGGATAAAAGAAAGAGAAGAGGGACGAGAAACAAGCGACGACAACAAACAAACGGGGAGAAAAGAGCAGAGTGGCCGAGACGATGCAGATGCAAAGCCTCGCTGGGCGATCGCGACTCCACTGCGGGTGTTGCTAAAGAAAGAAACGGGTGGCCGATGCGGACGATGACGCCGCGCGCTGATGAATTTCCCGCCGGGAGAACTGCGCCACTTTGACCGCGTTTCTGGTTCGTTTCTAGTCCGTTTGACCTGGACTTATTTTTTTTCGGTTTGGTTGACTTGTGTATCAAATAGAAACTATCTGTCTATTTTACTACTCTCGAGAGAAACTGAAACCAGAATGGCGTTGCTGGCCCAACACGTGCCTGGCAGCTAGCTGGCCGGCACCTGATCGGCACCTGACACGGCCCTGAGATCCACCGATCGACGTCTGCAGCCGGCTCTACACAGTATCTTCTTACTCTGCTCTCTTGATTCGCCTTCTCTTAGTCCTCGTCAAGGGCTATTCCTGCTTTATACTTAATAATGACCACCCCGGTTTAACCTGCCTTGGTTTCTCGAAAAAAAAAAAAGAGAATAAATTCACTCGGACATCTTTAAAGAAGCATCGGGAATGGATTATATACATTCTGAGCAAAGACATAAAATTCCACACTTGATGATACTTGATGACTTAAGTAGTCGGCGCACGATATTTGGAAGAGGGGTTCATTATCCAGGGTTCTGGAAGCCTCGCTGCTGATTAATCCCCAACACCTCGTATCTCAGGACCCCATCCATCATCCATCCTCCATCTACTTCAACACCCCCACCCAATTACTAGTTGCCTTATGAGCTAAACATCTCCCAGCGTCCAGAAGTATCCAAAATGCCCCTCCTGACAGAGACTATCCCTTTCCACGATGGCGAGAAGAAGATGCACAACCTGATGCACGTCCCCCCGCAGGACAACCCGACGGTTCCCTCGCTCAGCTACGGAGCGGGCTATCTACTACGCAAGGCTCCATTGCTCGCCATCGGCACAGTCGACGACCAAGGCCGTCCGTGGACAACCGTCTGGGGCGGAGAGGAGGGATTTGCTAACCCGGTCGCCGAGTCCACGATGGAAGTGCACACGCCCGTCGACCGATGCCATGACCCGGTCGTCGGGACACTATTGCGTGATTCCGCAGAACATGACGGAAAGATCTGGTCCGGCTTGATCGTCGACCTGGAGGCGCGCAAGAGGGCCAAACTCCATGGCAGGCAGATCTCTGGCACGCTGGACTCCGGAGCCAAGGGTTCTGTGCCGGGGCTGGGCATGGCCCATTTGAGTCTACATATTGATGCCAGTCTGGGTGAGTAGATTATTCCTCTTCGTCGCTAAAACACATACTAATTGAAGCAAGGAAATTGTCCAAAATACATGAATAGGAAACACATCATCCCAGCGCTACCAGCCCCGAAACTGATCTCAGACTCTCCGCAGCTATCTTCAGAAGCAATCGATCTCCTCCATCGTGCGGACTGTCTATTTGTTTCATCAACCCACAGCAACACGGACATGGATACGAACATCCGCGGCGGCCCCCCGGGGTTTGTTCGGGTCGTATCAAATGAGCCGAGTGGTGCTGTCTTCGCGTATCCAGAGTACTCCGGGAACCGCCTCTACCAGACGCTGGGAAACCTCCAGACCAACCCATCGGCCGGCTACGTCTTCCCTGACTTTGAGACCGGAAACGCGCTGTACGTCACCGGACAGACCCAAATCTTGGTCGGAAGAGACGCAGCGCATGTGCTCCCGCGGTCCAACCTGGCCGTTCTCGTCACCGTCACAGCAGCCAGGTACGTCGAAAGATCCCTATCATTTCGGGGTATTGCGGGAGAGCCATCTCCGTATAATCCGAGCGTACGATACCTAGCAACAGAGAAAGTCGATCCAACCGTATCCACGAACGAGGATTCAACCATCACTGCAACTCTCATCAAGAAGGAAGTTCTCACTCCAAACATCCAACGCTTCCGCTTCCGCGTTTCCGAACCAAAAAAGCTAGGAACCTGGACCCCGGGACAATACGCCACTCTTTCCTTCTACGACGAACTCTACATGGGATATCACCACATGCAAGACGACGACCCGAGCAGTTTAAACGACGACTACGTGCGAACATTCACCATCTCCTCCCATCCGCAGCACCTCCCAGCATCAGAATTCGAGATAACGGCCCGTAAACACGGCAACGTAACCAACTACCTCTTCCGGATAAACCAGCGATCCGGTCTCGAGGTCCCCCTGAAAGGCACCGGCGGGGAATTCCACATCCAGCAGGGCGCAAACGAGATTGTCCCATTCATTGCGGGGGGTATCGGCATCACTCCGGTGCTCGCCCACCTCCCCGCCCTCGATCTCAGTCGCCTACGGCTGTTATGGTCCATATCGATCCAAGACATGGGTTTAGCTCTGGATACGTTCCAGCGATTCCCGGAGCTGCCTCACTCCACGACGTTGTTTGTGACGGGTGCCGATTCGCAGGACACCGACGTAGTTCGACAGTATGAGGCGGTAAGATCGTCTGGCGCGTGCGTCCGTCGTCGTCGGATGGAGTCGAGTGATCTGGATTTGGAGCTGGCGGAGGTGTGGTACTTCTGTGGTAGTCCGGCGCTGAAAGGGCCGGTGTTGAGCTGGTTGACTGGTAAGAATGTAGTTTATGAGGACTTTAACTATTGACTTCAGCAGTAATGATATTAGCTAGCAGCCGATCAATATCTGGATTTGGCGTTATTTGGATACTGGCAACTCAGATTCAGATTGCCCCCAAAGTATCATCATAATCCCCTAGGCATTAGATTCCATTTCGGAGCCCCCTGACGAATGACTTGACACCTTTGCAACCTCTCCAGATGTAGATACCATAGAACAGATTGATCTTTTAGTCATAGGGCATCATCACCAGCGTTGAAGGTATTAATAGATAGGCCCAGGTAAAGCGATTCCTCTGGCTGCTGGTGATTAACCGCCTCTCTCTCGTCACGGCCCGTGAGGCATTGGCGCATAAGTGGTTCGAAGGCGTTTGAGAGGCGCAGCGAAGTGCAGGCCATCTCTCTCCCCCTCCTCCCTCCCTCTCCGTTTCCTTTCATGGACGATGAGGGATTTGATGTAAAATACAGTACTTGGTTGCTGCGGACATGGTGCGATAGAGTATAGAATACCACCCCCACCGACTTTGCATGGAGCTCTCGATCCAATTTGACTTTGTCTCAGGTTAGGCCGAACACCTGACTCTTGAGAATTGGGTACTGGAACAGGCTTTTTATCGTTGAATACTTTTGTACCATGCTGATTCGAACATGACCCGGGTGAACCGAATGAATTGAATGCTATATGGCATGTTGGAAAGAAGAGCTTGAAAATAGACGGAACCCATCCGAGCGGATTCTCCGCAGCCGAAGCCGCCAAAACGAACGCGTTATCGGCTGCTGCCTCCGCATCGCTTCCTCATACTTAAAACACTTTGACATCCATCACTCACTGACAGAGGGGACCTCACCTCCCACTTCCCTCACACAACCACACAAGAGTCGAGCCTAGGCTCACCATCAACACCACCACCATGTCCACCTACGAAGGTACACACCATCCCCCCTCCCCTCCCCTCCCCTCCCACCTCACAACCTCATCCCCAAACAACCCCACTAACCTCCTCCCCCACCACCAAAACAACAGTGGAACACAACACCACCGACCCCTCCGCACACCCGCCCTCCACGCACCGCCACCGCCGCCGGCCCGACCTCTCCACCTTCTTCGCGACCCTCTCCGAGATCTCCCCGGACGAGACACACACGCGGACCCGCCCCAATGCCGTCCCCGTGCCCCGCGACATCAGCGCCGCATTCTACTCCCTCGCTGAGGCGTTGGACGTGATGCGCCGGGATGGACCGAGTCCCATTACCACCGCCACCGCCACCACCACCACAACCGGAACAACGGGTGCCTCAACGGGAGCTGGAGCAGGAGCAGGCGAAACCGGAGAAGGAGGTGGTGGTGATGAGGACCTCCTCACACAAATGATCCAGTCGCTGCTGGGGTCCGCGGAGATGCCGCCGCGGGAGGTCGAGGGGACGAGTGAGGAGTTTTGTGACGGTAAGAATCCATACACTCCCATCATTTCCTAATTTTCCTCTTACTATCTTACGGAGGATACTCTGCGCCGTATCATACTCTACTCTACTCTTCCCTTGTATGATGTATGATGTATGATGTATGATATAGAGGATAGGATGGGGTGGGGGAATCTACATACATGGAAAAAAAAAAAACTAGGCTAACAATGATTGTGTTGTGACAGTGCTCGACCGCATCCCGCGCTCCAAACTCACCGCGTCGCAAACCTGCCCGATTTGCAACAACCCCTTCCTGGAGGACGAGTACCCGCTGGTGGTGCGACTGCCGTGCCATCCGACGCATCTGTTTGATCTGGAGTGCGTGAGGCCGTGGCTGCGACTGCGGGGGACGTGTCCGCTCGACCGGACGGATTTCGCCAAGCAGGAGAGGGAGAAGGCGGAGGCGCGGAAGAAGAAGCCCGTTGAGGATGAGGAGGAGTGGGATGGGATGTATGGTTGATTGTAATTGTGGGATATTAGTTAGTGTTAGTGGGTTGGGGGGGGTGGAATGAATATATGATATGATATGATATGATATGATATGATATGATATGATGTGAGGATAGGTTTACGGATTGGATTGGGGGTAGGGGGAAGTGAAGTCTTGATGCTTGATTGTATTTGCGTCGGGTTATGGTATCAGGCTATGTATGCATGCATGTAGGTATGTAGGTATTTTTGAGGGAGGTGTTTTAGTACTCTGTACAGCGAGGTGTGAAGTGGCGTCAAGTCGGTTCAGCGCTTCTCCGCGGACTGACCGTCCCTGGTGCGGATGGCCAGCTTGCCCGCCGTGTCGATCACAGCTTCGAGTCCGCTGCGCTCCAGCATTCCGCCCTCGTCTTTCGCGACCTCCCGCGCCTCCAGCTCCTCGACCATCTTCTGGTTCTCGCGGTTGCCCTCCAGCAGGAACTTCAGGCACATGACCGCGTGCTCCTTGATGTAGGGGTTGTGGGCGTCGAAGTTGGTGCACGAGAGGATGGTCTCGACGCCGCCGTAGCGACGGATCTGGTCCTGCACCTCGGGGCACTTCCACACGAGGGACGACAGGACGAGAACGACCAGTTTCTTCAGGTTGCGCCACTCGAACTCCGACGGGTCTTCCGTGATGGGCGGCGACTCGGCCCGGGACCCGGGGCCGGCGTCCACGGGGTCCGGGTCACCCGGGTCGTAGGGCCGTTCCACCGCGACCGGCGCCGGGGCCATGTGCTGGGGTTCCTTGGAGGGACTGTTGTGGCCGAGGTTGAGAGCGCTGAGTTGCCCCTTGGGGATGCTGGCTTCGAGCTCCTTGATCAGCGTGACCAGATCGTACACGATCTCCCACTTGACCAAGAGGTTCTTCCAGTCGTTGTTTTCGGTCAGCACGGCGAAGAACTCTAGGAACTGGTAGACACCCTCGTAGACCCGCTCCATGTCCCACAGGTTCAGCGGGAAGTCCTCCGGCAGGGCCCGTCCAGCCCGGATCTGACCCTGCAGGTATATCAAGGCGCACGTCTCGGGGATGATGTTGCCGCGGAAGATGGTGAAGATGTACCGGACGGTGAGGATGTCGACCCGCGACAGCGGCGATGGGGTCTTGGCAGTGTTGGCTGGCGTGGATCCCGTCACCGAGGCCGGAGAGTACTTCGACCGGAAGATGTGTGTGAGGATCTTGACCACGACCGCCTGTGCCGGCGAGATGATGTCCTTCGGTTGTCCAAAGTCGGAGTAGGCGTGCGACATCAGACCGTTCCGCAGAACCGCGTCCATGATCTGGACCATCATCTTGAAGTAAAGTTCGTCGTCAGGAAGGTCCCAGGCAGCGATGAAGATCAACAGCTCGCGCAGGAGATTCCGGCCCGTTTCCTGCGTGAGCAGAATATGACACCGGAGGGCCTGCATGTTCCGCGAGCCGCTTCTCTCGCCGCCCTTCAGTCCGAAGCTATCCACGATACCGGCCTGGATAATCATCGGCAGGGCCTCGATCTCGGCAGGACCCAGGACCAGTGGAATGTCGGTCAGAAGTCCCCGTTGTTGGTCACCGGGTCGACCTCGGTAATCGTCATCGTCTTCATCGTCATCTTCCTCTTCTTCCTCCATGCTTCCGTCCGCAACGGCCTCCAGGCTGCGCGAGTCGTCGTCGCCCACCGTCCCTGCGTCACCCGTGTCGTAGTCCTGATCGCCGTCGGCGATCTGCGAGCTTTCTTGCAGTCGCGCCATCAGCTCGTCCTTGGCCTCCTGCAGGGTTTCCGCGGCAGATTGCGCCGAGCGTGGCATGCTCATATCTTCCTCCATCACGGTCGCATCGCCCCCCGACAGCGCTCCATATTCACTGAGGTCGGGAAGGTCGGTCCAGCAGACGCGCGGAAATCCAGCAGTGGCGCTGCGGTCGATCGTGACGATCGCCTTCTTGCGGGGCGGCTCGTCTTCCGGCAGGGCGGGGGGCAGGTCTTTTGCGCGGTCCTGGAGGTCGGACCATCCATCGACCTTGGCGCCCAGGATAGCGGTCAGAGCTGCGCGGATCTCCTTCACCTGTTCCGGGTCCTTGCCCATCTCCTGGATCGCCGTCAGATCGCGCCCGAGAAGCTTTTCCATGTGATCCTTAATGTTCGCTAGCAGCAGCATCGCCGCCTCTTCTTTGATGGTCGCCGGCTCGCGCGGGAAGTTCGAGATCGTCTCCAGGAGCAGGTCCTCCGCCGTTTGATCATAAAGGGCCCTGATAGGGGGGTTCACTATCCTCTCTCCAGTCTTGACGATGGGCGCCATTCCCTCCTGTTGACTGCAAGTCGGGTCGAGGGGCTCGCGGGGTTGAATGATGTTGGAGTCGCCGGTGGAGTGGTATCCGAACAGGTCCAGCCATAAGACCATCTTACGCTGCTCGTTGTGCATGATGAAGTTGTGCAGGAACTGCAAGCAAGTGATCAGGAGGCGTTTGTAGAGGTTGACGACCTTTTGCCACCGCTCCTCGTTGCGTGCATTTGTTTCCCCGTCAAACCCGCGCGCGGTGACTCTAACACAGGTGTCCACCAAGGCCAGGATCCTCTGATCGAAGCCCTTCTCCGCCGCCATGTTCTGCGCCTTTTTCGTCGTGGCGAGGAGGTTGCGGGCGATGGTGCATAGATCATTTAGGCGCTCGATGTCCTTGACCAGGGAGAAGTAATTGAAAGCGATAAGATTGGAGGAGGAATGGTCGTAATTTGCGGTTGGGGGGCTCTTCCACGCAAAAGACTGGGATTCGAGGACCGGGATCGCCTTGGTCAAAACGTCTGTGAAACCCTGCCAGATATCCGGTGACAGGCCCAGGTTGTGTCTGTGGAGAGCAGCAGTCAGTAAGCGGAAGTTTCCAGTGAGGGGCGGACTCCGCAGCGCCGCCGCAAAAAGAAACCAAGTGCGGCGTACCTCACGTCGCTCTCCTGGTGCGTCTTGTACAGGATCTGCTTGCCAGCAGAGAGCATGTGTTCCAGGCGTTTGTCGTCGATCATGCCGCGGGTCTCATAGTGGCTCAAGGTCCCCGTGAGGATGACCTTGAGCATGAGTTCCGCGGGGGTGCATTTTGGCTTGATCTCCGCGGGGGTGCGGTCGGCCATGTTGAGGGTGCTTGCAGCCTGGCAGGTCCTTGCAGGTCCTTGCAGGCCCTTCCGGTCAAGCAGCTGTCAGGCGAGAACCGAGCGCTGGTGGTGAAGATGAGAGGCTTGGAGGAAGAAGCGCGTCCGGTGGGGGAAAGAATGGATGGGATGATGGCGATGGCGGTTGAGGGGAATTTTTCCGGGGCCCGGGGCAGTCCCGCCGAACTGCCGTGCGGGCGGTAAACACATAAAACGGTACGGAGTAGCAAGTGAATTGTTGCAACCTCTATCTATGTACATTCCCTCATCCTCTCAGGCCACCTTCGGCCGGATCGACAACCCAAAAACATGGCGTATATTGTTCCAGAATCCCAGATCGTAGATGTTGTCGATCTCCCTCATACTATGCACCTCCACCCACCGCCGGTCAATGGGGGCGTCCCCGTCACTCGGCTGCTGGATTTCGTTGGAGTGCGGTGACATCAAATGTCCTTGCTTCGGTGGCTCTCCGTCTGTCAAGACAAGCACCTGGTCGCTGCTTACCGGCCAGGCTGATTGTGAGCTTTGATACTCCGCCCACAGGGGCGAATTGCCATAAGCCTCGCTCTTGGTGGATTTGAAGACCAAGCCATCGTGAACATCTTCCTTCCAGTCGGACCACTTCCCACTCTCGTTCGTGGTCATGCCAGCCCAGATGAGGTAGCTGTGGTACACGAGGAAGGCTGCCGCGAGCGGCGCGGTCATTGTCATCAGCAAGGTAATCCCACCGATGCGAATATCAGTCGCGATGACCACCGCCCAGATATTGCAGAACGCGGTCCAGCTCTGCCGGTTCGTACGCAAGGGCGAGTCCGGCGGTATTAACTCATCGTAAGTCTGGTAGAGAAGGCTGTATCCAATACATGCGCCATAAACAAGCATGACGCATAGCGAAAGTATCATGGACAAAAAGTAATGATAGTTGTGCAACCCGACACAGTTCATCAGCCAAACACAGTGATGGTCCTGGCGAGACACACATGCCTTGCAAATACCGCAGTGTTTACTGCGGGCCGGCTTGAGGAGGTTACACGTGGTGCAACGGTGTCCTGGGTGAAAGATCACCCGGTCATATGGATATCGGTCCATCTCCTCGGCATGATTCCTCGGGGTGATGAATGACTTGGTGGTGATGCTCACATACAGAAAAGCATACGGCAGCACCGCGAGAATCGGGATCCAGAAATGGTGAGCTTGAGAAATTCTAGGCCACGCGCTGGGGATAAACATGCTCTGCCCTGCTACCATAAGCGAGGCGAAGAATATCTGCCATCTAGGTCAGTAAACACCGCAAGGGTCTCCCGAACATGCAACTGACCAGGATAAGCGGGTGGTTCTCATGTAAGATATAGCTCCCGGAGCGGCTCCAGCAGTAGAATAGCCAGCCATTCAGTAACCGATCGTCCAGATGCCATAGCCCATTGGGGATGTGGATCCAGAGCGCTCTGTGAAGTAGCCCAATAGGGGTTTTGCTGTATGGATCAGTCGCGGGGACTACAACCCAGTGCAGCAGGATGTGTTAGCCTACCGAAACGCCGGGAGTCTCCCAAAGAGAGCCACAAAGACGAACCCAGAGATCCCAAGGATCACAAGAGCGACGGTTTTCAAGGTTCCCATGGCGAAGGTCCGGACTTCGGGCCCGTGGACCAGACAGCTGAAAATCCAGAAGAAGCGTGAAGTCGATCTCAGCTACCGAGCAGACGGGGTTTGTCACTCCGTCGCCTAGGCAAGGGCTGCCATTGTTGGTTGGCAGGCTTGGAGGCGCCATGTCAGGCTGCGTGGTGGTTGGCGGCGCTTGATGGATGCACCGCCGGCACGTGACCCGACTTCCCTAACGGGCAGAAATGGGTGTCGCTGGGGTTGTCGCTGTCGCTCTCGCTCTTTCTTCCGCGCCACCTCCAGCTCAGTCGAACATTGCTTCCTGATGCGAACGACGATTTCAACGGCCTCAGATACAACCATCCCGAATCACCATGTGACGTGACCGGTCTGGATCCTCCATAACACCACCTCTTCACTTCCCCTCGACGCGCGAACACGTGATTGCGCGTGGCTGAAGGGGCGCCGTATCGCGACAGGACAGACACCCATCGCCCGGAGTCGCGCTGTAAGCCCGGGCATAAGGTGACTGGACCGATGGCCACCAGGAACGGTGTCACCAATGCGCCGGCTGCGCCTCTCTTCCAGGGGAAGCAGTTTTGGTTGTCTCACAATATTCCCCAGAGAAACCGCTTTAAGGAACTCATCCAGGTACTGCCCGATCTGCGTGACTGCTCTAGGCTCCACCATCCTGACGCGCTTGTAGAACAATGGGGGCATCATCAGACTGCAGGAAAAGGACGCAGACATTAAATTGGTCGACCACCTGAAAAGGAACCTTCCTTCAGATACGTAAGGTCTCTTGCTCTCGCTGGATACTTTCTACGTACTTACCGGGTTTAGATACTCTTACAAATTTGTCGAAGCCTCGCTGGCCAAAGGCGAGTTGCGGAACCTGGATGACTACAGGGCCGGGCCTTCTGCACCACGCCCCGTGGGGGCTACTTATATTCCGACCAGAGGTCACAAAGTCCCCTACACCCTCCAAGATGACCAATTACTCTGGGATTGGATGGAACCTTTTGAAAGAGACCCGAGGGCGTCAATCAAAGGCAATAAAATCTACCAGGAACTTGCGGCACAGGTATTACCAGGACCTGACACGAACTATCAATACAGATAGACTAAAGGCAATGCTTACAGAATCCGAGGCACACCTACCAATCATATCGGGATCGATATCTGAAGAGACTTCAGGGACGCCCACGTCCAGGCGGGCCAGCATCCTCTGTGCCTGCGCCTGCCCCCCAGGAGGAGCCCGTCACCAACCCCCCGGTCGTCAATCCCCCTGTTCGGGCATCGCGGCCTCAAAGTCGACAAACATCTCCCCCTAGACCAACTGCCGACATTCCGAAGGAAAGAAAACGAAAACGAGCTTCCGATCATAATACTCATGGAGAAGGTGTGGCGAAAGAAGTCAGCGCCCCAAACCTGAAGAGAAGAACAATCATAACCAACAACGAACTTCCGGACCCTTTCACCGTCCGCGTACAAACAGGAGAAGCCGCAACAACCCAGGAGAGGCCGCAGCCCATGAAAGCAACCAACGGCCAGCAACCAAACCCTAATGAAAACGACGCCGGAAAGCAGGGCGGTACTGACGCGCAACGTCCAGCTAATGAATCGCCGAAACCTTCTTCTCAGATAGACCCATTGTTTCGAGAGCTTCCCTTTCTACCGCTCGACGATGAACTGGAGCCAGACCGTCCTGAGCAAGATATTGATGCGTGGATCGATGAGCGTCTGCGGACTGGCAAGGCTCAGAATGTGAACCAAATAGTCGAAGCGTTAAAGTGCACCAGCATGGATCCAGATGTGGCTGACAAGGTCCTCGCCTGCTTGGCAGCCGGGAAAGGCATACCGGACGACTTGCCAGGAGTGTGGACGCCGGAGGATGACAAGGTGGTGGAGGGAACCGATGCCCGCGCCATCAAGCTAGTTATCGAGAAGCACGGCTCGGACGCATATAACGCCCGGTGGGAGTACCTTAGCATGGCCAGGAATGCCGGGCTTGTAGATACCCAGGAATAGAACTGTCACAATTTGGACATTTCGAAGACGTCTGCTAAAGTACAGGAACGCTGGAACGACTAAGAGACAAGAGATGAAATCCGGAAATGTGATTGATACCAACAGAAGAGGAATAAGGCGGATGGGCTCGTGGCGCCTGAAGCTGTCGGTCTAGCCTCCTCCCCTGGCTTTCTATCGATTCTTCGAGAAGGCATCGATCGCCGTTCAGGTCGAGACCACCCCCCCCCCCCCCCCCCCAACAGGACATTATCTTACAGGTAGGACAATTGGAACCAGCGGTCAAAACTCCCCCAAAACACCCTGTATGCGCAGTATTCTTTCAACACTATCTGGCAGATATGCCCATCCTGGATTAAACGAAGATAGACGGAAACCCCCAGATCCTAGCAAACCCGACGCTGCAACGTGCGGGAAACACTGTCTGGTGGTTCAACCATCCTTGAAGACCCTGCGACGGAAGATTAGCACGGCGGCATTGTAAGTCATTGGAGGCAAGGGCACTCACAGGTGTTGTTCGTAGAATTTCAGCATCTTGCGGACAGTCAGCTTTGGCTCTCAAGCGCGAGTGATGGACACCTACCTTTTTCGGACATCTGTCGTAGCAGGTTTCGATAGAAACCTTGGACTTCTTGCCATTCTTCCAATTCAGGAAGGCAAGCAGGTTTGTGGTCCCAGGCTCGCGCACGATGGTCTCAACAAGCTCCACCTCGTTCTCCCAGCTCTTTGATTTGGGCACCCATGTGCTCGTCTCTTCACTGTCGCCATCGCCATCACCTCCAGCCTCAGCTTCGTCGTCATCCGGAGGCGTCGCTGCGGTTTCGGCTCGTGACTTCCTCCGTCTCTTGGGCTCAGGTTGTTTCTCGGGCGTCGCCTTGGGGGGCCTGCCCATAGACTTGCGCTTCTTCGGTTGTGCTGATGGCTTCTCGGGGCGACCTCCCAGGAGCTTAAAATATTGTTCGACGACATCCTTCGCGCCATCACTGTACGCGCGCAATCAGTATCACGATGGCAATGCAGGCCGGTGCTCGGCGACATACAGCAGGTTCTTTTCCGGCTCGACGGTCATATCGGCCGGGTCATCGTACCCTGTCCACTTCACGTGGAATTGGAGCTGACCCTGTCGCATTGTCAACATGAGCGGATAGATTGGGGACCAGCGACAGGAAGATCCTGTCTTGCGTAATTGCGCACATTCTTCCACTCGTGGCCCATGATCTTCTCGACGGTGTATCTGCGCGCGTGAGATTAGTACGTTGTACGTTGCGCGATCGGGGGACCGTTGGCGCCCACTCACACGTCCTCGTCCTCATCATCGTCATCTTCATCCTTGGACTCAGATTCATTCTTGACGGGGGCGTCATCGTAGGGAATCGACTCGCCGGTCGACTCATCGTCGGAAACGTCGGGGACTGGAGCTGGGGGGGCAGAGGGTCAGCTCAGCGCGCCGTGGGATGCAGGCAGCGGCGGGTACTCACGAGGCATTGTCCTGTTGAAAGGAGAAACGAAGCTGAAAAGTCTTGAAAACAACTTGGCGGATTTGGCCGACGCGGAGCCCCACTAGAAGAGGTGACTAGACCGGTCCAGGGAGAGGAATGGGCATGAGCGAGGGGTTGGGGAGGGGGGGGGGGGTTGGGGTAAGGGAGATGAAGATTGAAGAGCGATCGATCGTGAAGTGGAAGTTGGTTTGGGCGCAGGCGAAATGCCGAGTCGCGCAGGCGCGCGGCGGGCAAACACGCTATACCCCATCGGGCAACCAGCTCACTAGCCCGCTTGGGACATCTCCAGAATTTCAGTGCCTCATCGTTATTCCCCCTCCGCTTTGCTATCCTTCCCCCCCCCCTCTCTTCCCCACTCCTTTTCTCTTCTCTTCTCCTTTCAACTCTCATCTCACTGCCGGCGTGTTCCGCTGGCCCTTCTCTTTCCGTCTCCCCCTTTTCCTACAGTGGACCTTCTGCCAGCGGGCAGTCCGTCAAAATGGCCATGCGTACGTTCCCGATACCCCTCATTCCTCAACTATATCAACTGAACTAACCTCCTCCGTCGACGTCCTACAGAGCTTGATCTCTCCCAAGGTTGGACCTCCCGCTCCTCCGCACCGCCGTCGCCTCCAGTCTCGGTCGCTAACCCCCGCCGCAGCTTCGGTGTTGAAGGATGAACAAGGCCGGCCGTTCATCGTTGTCCGGGAGTACGTTGCGGCTCCGGTCTCCCCCCATATGAACTACACCCCCAGCGCAGACGGCTGACAGTCATCTACTCGCACAGTCAGGGCAAGAAGAAGAGACAACATGGTACCGAGGCCGTGAAGTCGCACATCGTCGCTGCGAAGACCGTCGCCAGCATCGTCAAGTCATCTCTGGTATGCATCGCCGAGCCGGACGAGAACCAACGAGCGGATATTAAATAATTCTAGGGTCCCCGCGGTCTCGACAAGATTCTGATCTCCCCCGATGGCGACATCACCGTGACCAACGACGGCGCCACCATTCTCTCCCAGGTTCGTCCTTGCGGTCTGCGGCCCCGCGATATATCTGACTGATTGGTTCTGGAAAGATGGAAATCACGAACAACGTTGCCAAGCTCCTCGTGGAGCTGTCGAAATCTCAGGACGAGGAAATCGGTGATGGAACGACCGGTGTGGTTGTTTTGGCCGCCGCCATGCTGGAACAGGCGTCCGACCTCATTGACAAGGGTATCCACCCTATCCGGATCGCCGACGGATACGACCAGGCTTGCGAGATCGCCGTGGAACAACTCGATAAGATCAGCGACGAGATCGTGTTCTCCAAGGATGACACTACGAACCTGCTGAAGGTCGCCAAGACCAGTCTGGGTAGCAAGATGTATGAGGGCACTCCCTCCTGATGATCACCTCTGCTGACCACCGGACAGTGTCTCCAAGTCCCACGACCAGTTCTCCAAGATCGCCGTCGATGCCGTCCTCTCCGTGGCGGACCTGGAGCGCAAGGATGTCGACTTCGAGCTGATCAAGGTCGATGGAAAGGTCGGAGGAGCCCTGGAGGACTCCCTCCTCGTGAAGGGTGTCATCGTCGACAAGGATTTCTCCCACCCTCAGATGCCCGACGAGGTTCTGGATGCCAAGCTGGCCATCCTCACCTGTCCGTTCGAGCCCCCGAAGCCCAAGACCAAGCACAAGCTCGACATCACCTCCGTCGAGGAGTTCAAGAAGTTGCAAGACTACGAGAAGGAGAAGTTCACCGAGATGATCCAGCAGCTGAAAGACTCCGGCGCCAACCTGGTCATCTGCCAGTGGGGTTTCGACGATGAGGCCAACCACCTTCTGCTCCAGAACAAGCTCCCCGCCGTTCGCTGGGTCGGCGGTCCGGAGATCGAGCTGATTGCTATTGCGACGAACGGTCGCATTGTTCCTCGTTTCGAGGACCTGAGCGCGGATAAGCTGGGAACCGCGGGTCGCGTTCGTGAGATGACCTTCGGTACCACGCGGGAGAAGATGCTCGTCATTGAGGAGTGCGCCAACAGCCGTGCCGTGACGGTATTCGTACGAGGAAGCAACAAGATGGTCAGTCCAGAAGGTCGATACGTGAACTTGCAACACCACTAACAGTCTCCTAGATCATTGACGAGGCCAAGCGTTCACTCCACGATGCTCTTTGCGTTGTGCGTAACCTGGTGCGCGACAACCGTGTCGTCTACGGTGGTGGTGCCGCTGAAATTGCCTGCTCCATCGCTGTTGAGGACGCTGCTGTCAAGGTGCGTTGATCAGCTCGTAGTCTATTTGAATTGATGCTAATTGTCCACAGAGCCCCGGCATCGAGCAATACGCCATGCGCGCCTTTGCCGACGCCCTGGACGCCATCCCGATGGCCCTTGCCGAGAACTCCGGCCTGAGCCCCATCGAGACTCTGGCCTCGATCAAGTCCCGCCAGGTCAAGGAGAATAACTCCCGTCTGGGTGTTGACTGCATGCTGACTGGCAACAACGGTATGTACAGTACAGTACAAGCTCGTGCAGAATCTGCGCTAACCTCCATTTAGACATGAAAGAGCACTTTGCCATCGACCCTCTAATCGGCAAGCGCCAGCAGCTGTTGCTTGCGACCCAGCTGTGCCGCATGGTCCTTAAGGTGAGTTTAGATCGATTCCTTGCTGCTCCGGCTCGACAACGTGACTAACGGCGGCACGACAGATCAACAACGTCATCATCTCCGGCGATGACGACCAGGATTTCTAGATTTCTTGTATACAGCTTTTTTGTTTCGATGGCTCAAAAGTGACACACGGGCGTTGCAGTCATGCGGAATCCACGATACTACATATAGTTCTGCAGGTAATCAGTCTGGGGGGTGGGATGCTATGTAAAACATGGCGGTTACATAGAAACAGTGAAATGACAGAAATGACATTCATGCGATCCAGTAGAGTAAGAGTAACCGATATGGATGGAGTAGTTATTCCGTACGTACAATAATGTCTCGATATACCATGCAGTGCACACAGCTTCTGAAGCCAATTAACTGGATATTATATTATAGCAAAGCTACTAGATATCTATCTACCTACCAACCCACAACTGAACCATAACCATCCCCTAGATAGGTATCTAATACAGCCATCCACATCAACATAAACATAGTAGGTAACGTAACCATGTTTCCCAGTCCTAGGTAGACGTCTAGCTTATCCACCCACCCACCAACCAACCACCAACTACACACACACATACACACACACACATACATACACACACATACATACACACACACACACCTACCAATCAATCAAACAAAGATAGACAGATAATCCATAGATAACCCCCCCCCCCCCCCCCCCCCAGCAACCAATAATTTCAGCCAGCCAGTCCTCGAACCGATAAGCCAACCGACGGAGACAACCCGGAACAAGATCCGTATCCGGCGGAAGCGGAAAGCTTGTGCTACCTTACTGTGCTACTAGTAGTATGCAGACGAGACGGACAGTACGGAGTACCGTAGATATTGTAGATAGGAGGGGAGGGAGAGAGAGAGAGAGAGAGAGAGAGAGGTGGGAGCGGCCCGCCATCCGTCCCCCGGGTCTGCAACTGACCTTGACCTGAACTGAACGAGTGATGTAAGTGTATGTGAGTGAGGGGGGATAAATAGTAGCCATGGGTCCGCGACTGTCTTTATCATTATTATAATATTATCATTTGTTGGATCGTCATTTTTATTCTTCTCTCCTCTTCTGGCTTTCGTCTGAGCTGTTGTATATATTCCTTTTGTTCTGGAGGGTGTATCTGATTCTACCTACCTGTCTATCTATCTACCTACCTACCTACCTACCTACCTACCTACCTACCTACCTACCTACCTACCTACCTACCTACCTACCTACACCACCTGCACACCTACCCAAATACCACCCACCCACCCACCAACCATGACCTCGACCTGGCGCCCCCTCACCATCGGCATCGTGGGCGGCGGCATCGGCGGCATGGCCGCCGCGATCTCGCTCCGCCGAGCCGGCCACGACGTGACGATTTACGAGCGGCACGATTTCGTCGGCGAGGTCGGGGCGTCGATATCGTGCGCGGCGAACGGGACGCGGTGGCTACACGAGTGGGGGGTGGACATCGCGAAGGGGGACCCGGTTGTTCTACGCAAGCTGATCAACCGAGACTGGAAGACCGGGGAGCCGGTCAGCGTGTACGATCTGGGGGATTATGAGGAGCGGTGGGGTTACGTGTATAATATGTTTCATCGGCAGTATATGCATGCCATGTTGAAGGAGTGTGCGATGCAGGAGGAGGGAGGGGGGAGGCCGGTGGCGTTGAGGGTGAATATGCAGGTTTGTGATATATCCTTGTTTGTCCTTCCTTGGGCTGGGTGTGTATGCTGATGAATGGTGTGGTTAGTGCACGGGAATTGATCTCGAGACGGGAGTCATCTCGTTTGCGAACGGGGAGAGTGTACGACACGATCTGGTCGTCGGGGCCGATGGCATTGGTTCGGCGGTCCGGGGCATCATTGGCATTCATCCGGAGAAGAAGGCGGCGCCGTCGAGCTGTCTGCATGCGAATATTCTGACCGAGGATGCGGTCCGGCTGGGTCTGGTCGATTACTCCAAGGACAGTGCGCTGGAGTACTGGGGCGGGCAGGAGGGCAAGTGGGATAAGATTGTCCTCTCGCCCTGCAACGGCGGTCGTCTGCTGTCGTACTACTGCTTCTTCCCTCGTGAGAAGGGCGATTACGCCAACCAGACTTGGGGCGGCGAAGACCGGCCGGTCGAGGAGCTGTTGGCTCCCTATCCGGAACTGGATAGCCAGGTTCGCTCGCATTTGGCTATCGGCACGGAGATTCGACCATGGCGTCTGTGGGTGCAGTAAGTCGTCATTTCCTGGAAGCTGGCAAATGCTTGAACTGTTACTGATACACCCGATCAGTCAACCGTACCCGTATATCGCCAAGAACATGGTTTGCCTTCTGGGCGATGCCGGACATCCGGTACGTTGTGATCGCTGATCACCAAGACGCTGCACTGGCTATCAGCTAACGTAACTGCAGATGATGCCCCATCAGAGCCAGGGTGCCTGTATGGCAATCGAAGATGCCGCAGCCCTGGGTATCATTTTCAGCAGAGCGCACTTCAGCGGCGATGTCGCCGAAGCGCTCTCGGTCTACCAAGAAGTCCGACTTCCCCGGGCCACGAAGGTTCAAGCAGCTTCGGCAAAGGCAGCGTATAACATCAACGAGCGTATTGGTAGGATACCCTGTCCGTATCTCTTCGAATGGCAACAGTTCTGACGTGTTTGCACAGGCTTCTCCAGCAACACCAACACGGCCACATACAAGGTCGAGGACGAGAAGAAGAAACTGACGATTGAGGAGATGAACTCGTGAGTGGATTGTTCTTTTCTGTATGTTCAAAGTCTAACATCGACGCCAGATACGACATGCACAGGGATGTCGAAGAAGTCGTCGTGACGCGCAGAGGACTGCCCTATACCGGTAAATTCGCCAGAGGCCTCCCGATCGGATTCAAGCTTTCAAACGGAACGGTTGTTGGAGAGCAAGAGGATTCCTCTGTAGTTTCTGCTCGCATCTGAGTACAGAACACAAGCTTTTGGGAATAGTTAGTCTTTCACTAGCGGTGTATTAGTCCTATTGTTGCAGTTATATTTAATGAGACCACGAATTGCGATTGATTGCAACAGCAGATAGTAGCCATGTTTCTCGGTGTAGCTTGTTATCGCGTTTCGCTCCATCGGATCCATGTCTGATCTTCGTCGCATCACGGTACTGGCCATGTGCTCAATCGGGAGCATCAGTCGAGTAGCCTGTGGAAACCAGCCTCACCATTCAATATAGTGCTTATGGGAGCCCGATGGTCGAGGCCTATGGGGGCTGACGCCATCTAGCGACATGTGAAGTTGACCAGAGCAGGTGCTTGGACAGAGTCATAAGCCACGGTGAATGCATGTGCTCGGACGCGAAGGAATGACAGCTCAGCATGGGGAACTGTGTGATAAAGTACGATCGGCAAGACGGGCAGGATCATAACAATAGCATTGGTGAGTCGCCTTATCATGCCCTCTTTTGAAAGTGCAGTCTTGCAGAAGCAATAAGGACGGGTGGAAATGAGTTCCACGAAGGAGAAGGAGTGATCGGGTGATGTCGCCTGATCAGCAGAGATACGCAGCTGCTATTCGGCATCGTCGTCCGGACTCGATGGAGGCTCGGGCCTCCATTGGCTGCGTGGGTGTCTTTTTCCCCATTAGCCGGCGGCTCAGGAAATCGAGCGGCGGCAAAATTGGACATTCAACATCCAGTCAGAATCCATCGGCGGAGGATATGAATGGCGCACAGGCATAGTAAGCCCGATGCAATGCATTCGCTCAGATGACCAGCAGTGAAACTCTCCCTTAAATAGTAATGTAGCCATGCATCAGAGCAGAAGCAAATCTGGCGTCTAGGCCCGGTCGGTCGCGCCTATTAGGCTGTGACAATGCAGCTGATGGTTGACCATGCAGCAACGACCGGACAACCCAACTTATGTACTTACTATATGTGCTTCTTCCCGGATCCTTGTCCTTGGGCCAGTCTTGCGTTGGACACGGGTTGCCTTCCCAGGAAAGGCCCGACGCGCTCTGCACGAGAGTAGGGGGCTCCTTCCAGATGATCTCATGGATAGCCGCCAGTCCAGATGCCTCTAATTTTCTTAGTACCCGATCATCAGGCCTTCTGAGCGACGATCGCCTCCGTGGCATTGAGAGCTTCTGACGTCCAAACAGTCATTTGAAGACTGTGTCGATGCTTGAGTCCACGCTCGGTCTTTCCACGATCTCCTTATTGGGCACGATCTCCGTAGCGGACGATTATGCCACAGTACCGCATACACGGTCAGGATGTCATATCTGTCGGAGATCAGATGAAGGGAAAATCTATATGTTTCGGATGCTTTCGCTCGGAGTAAAGCTCGACGCGGGAAGAAGCTGGTTGATGGACCAGCCACTGGCTTTGAGTCTAGATAGACCCGTCTCGGGCAATGTCTCGCAAGCAGAGTGCCTAGATTCGCACTTGTAGTTTTCAATGTGAAGTGCGCATTAGAGTGAGCTATGGACGAGACTTTGATTTGAACATCAAGGGAGGATCATATCAATCGCCGTGTCAGCATGTTGCAGCTGCGGGGGGTCTTTCTGTTACAAGTCCGCTGTTCAACAAACCCGTTTTGGAGGGAATAGAACCGCGAGACCCTTGTGTGAGAATCGCTATAGTCAGTTGTACAGTTTCACCCTGACAACGACCGAGTCAGTTCACAGTAATCATTCTGCAAAGGAGACCTCAAGGACTCCATATCCCGTTCCGACAGCCATCCCATGATTCCTCTCCGTCTGCGGTGAACAGAAAGAGCAATGTGGCATCCTCCCAGTCAAGCTCCGATATAGGCAGTATATCCAGCATCCGCAGGGTTGCACGAGTGTGGTCGTTCGTGCCGCCGTTTCCGATGAATTTGAAGCGGCTGTGAAAGGAGCAAGGAAGACCCTGGTGTGGATTGCAGGCGTGCGTAAAGATCAGATCATCGGTGCCGGTGAGAGTATCACTGCCCTGATGATAGGGATCTCGTTGTCGAGTGGCCAGACTCTGGGATCTTTGCCTTGGTATTGTTAACACAATGCACCTTCCATAAAAGCTCGTCAGGTGCCGGGTGGGAAGGTGGGGATTCACCTGTCTCATTCTGGTGTATTGCTCAGGTGCGCCGACGGTACAGTCGGGTTGCGTGTGTCGGAGGCACCCATACCACTGATGGGGCATCTTGCAGGTGCAGCCGTGACCAGGAGAGAGTTACGTAGTAGTCGTCGTAGTAGTAGTTGGAGGAGATCGGAGATCCACGATCTGTCACCGCCAGGTATCATGTGATCGACAGGTTGTCAGGTGTTCGCAGCTTCGCCGACCTTAACGTTAAGGTTGTTGGTTGTGGAGTCCCGCGCCTGCCATTTACGGAAGCGAAGGCCTCAAAGCACCGACTGACACGAGACCCCCGCCAGTAAGACGTCCTCCAGCGGTACTCCAGCATCCCTCACTGTTGATCCGGATGCCGCCGTCCGGGTCGAGACTCAGAGCTCGGACTCAGACTCAGACTCAGACTTAGACTCGAGACAAGACCGTTAAAGCAGCGCTGGCCCGAACAAGCAAGTCCACGCATCGTCACAGACATCACAGACATCACATGGCCGGAGAGCACCGACGTGGCCGGCCTCCTTTCGCGCCCAAGACTCTATGATTCCGTCCCGTGGGACCTGGGCGAACGGCCTTCCGTTGCTCATGACAGCCGCGGAGATTCGAGGCGCCAAACGAGGAAACAACAGACAGCACCGCTGGAGCGAGATCTCGGGCGCCGTTTCTATACCGCTCTTTCGGACTTGGGCGAGGCCAGCATCACACGACTGCACGAGCTGATCCTGGCATCTGATAGTGGTGCTCACCTCTGGTATGTTCCGTTGCAGTGTGTCAGTGTGTTGTGTTTGTTGCCTTACTGTATATGTATACGTACCTCTGTACGTGGGGGTTCCGTATCGCCTGGTTCCGTCGGTGTTTTGTATCTCCAGGTATCGAGGTCGGTTCCTGGCAAAGAAGAAAAAAGTACTACCTGCCCCTGTCTGGGTCAGGTACAGGTACATGTGCCAGCCCTCCGTGATGTGGAAGTCCACGTCCGTATAAAGTTGGCTCCTCTTGAGGTTTATATCCAAGCGGTCTGTGATTGGTGGGGGACATCCCTGTCGCCCGTACACAATAGACGTGTCTCTCTCCTCACGATGTGTATAGCATCGATTAGTCTGCCCTTGAAACCAGCCATCGATACCATCGCCAATCGTCAGCACTCACTCCTCCGTACCGACCTGACTATCGAGGTGCCATTTAGCCCCGAACTAACACGACCCACTCGCACACCCTCCAAGGTGAAACCGATCTCACCACCACCACTGCCGAGACGCGCAGAAACAAATCCGAGGCGCAAGTCACCTGGCGACCGTGAATGGCATGGCGGCTGTCACCCAACCGCCCGTCTGCCTCGGGGGTACTTTATATCCCCGGGTCATGCGACAAGCGGAATCCGTGCCTGAGCTGCCTAAATCCAAAGCACCATCTCCCCCCTCGTCCTACGTGGGATCCGACGAGTCTTTGTTTCAGCTTATCGAGGCATGAGCTGTTCCTTGTTTGTCGTCTTCTTCGGGTCGTGTTGATACTTACGATCGATGATCCGATTAGGTGCGACGTAGCGGGGATCCTGGGGTCCATTGCCGGCTCACACAGCAGCCAGCTAGGGTAGTATCTGCAATCGAACAGGGATAGGGATAGCTTCTCCAGACTCCGAGACTGACCCTGGTAAGCCCTGACATTGACAGTAAGGTAGGTAAGATAGACAGCCAGCCACGGTAACCAACCAGCCACGTCCCCCCAATCCACGCCCACGAAACGAAGTGAAAGATATATTTAGTATGATTTATCCCGCACAACACACGTCTGTCCTCCCGTTACTTTTTCTCCCTCCACTGTACCTGGACATACATACATACATACATACATACATACATACATACACACATACATACATACCGACTTGAGTAGTAAGTCACTGCAAACTTCCCTTCCAGGCCAGGGTCCATTGAAGTCTAGACCCCCGGGCACCCTCATGCCCCCCCTCGCAGGTCGTCCCCATGCTTCCGATGACTCCCCCCATCTTTCTTCCCGTAATTAGCTACTGCCTAGGTACTCGTACTTACCTAGTACCTTCTGTTAGTTACGAAGTATCCCTCCCACTCAGGCAAGTCCCAAGTGCCTGCCTAGTCTCAAGTAAGCAAGTAAGACGAAAAGAACCCTGCATCCTCACCTCACATCACAACCGGGTATCCCCCAAACCCAACCCAACCCAACAACGGCCGCATAAGCCACCGTGTAACGCATCCGGCATGTCATCTGACACGAGGAGCTTTTCGTTGAACAAGATTTGTATGTACGGAGTACCTATCTACCTCCCTATATGGCATGCTGGGGCATCGTAGTACAGATTCGGACACTCCAGTCCGTACTTAGGGTACTTCCTTCCTTCCTTTTCATATGTACGGAGTATAATGGGTGGATGGAAGTTACGCTCCAGCTATCGGACAGTTCTGATAGTTGTTAGTTGCTATTATCAGGTAAAGATAGATATAGATAGATAAGTATAGGTAGGTAGGTAGATAGGTAGACTACTAAGGTTGTGTGTGCCATTGCATGTGCAGTGCCGACCCCCCCTCTTGCGTGGGTAGTCAGTTGGTTACAGACGGAGATGGGCTTTGGTGTTGGTTTGGGGGAGATCGGCGGCGGGTCGATCCCATCCGCACAGGGTATCTGTGAACATGCCTGTGGTCCCAAATACCGGGTTCTGGATGTGGATGTGGATGTGGATGTGGATGGGGTGCGGATGCGGTGGGTGGGGAAGGGAGGGTGGTACTGTAGGTAGACATTAATGTACGTACATACTATACGTACAGTAGTATCTTGGTCCTTAGTAGGTACCAACTAGTCCCTGGGTTTCTATATGGAGTATGTACATGGAGAATTATCCGAATAGTCATTCTGATCATCTAGAAACTATAGCTAATAGTAATCCATCTATATGTAAGTACTATCGTCCAATCAAGAAATACTAATTGAACATCTATATATACTAGTATGGAATCATATGCACGGTAGACATATGTGCGGATCGACTAACTAACTACCTATTGCCTTCCCTCCCTGCCTACTAATCTACCTAGGTACCAACCAAACCCGTCCCTGAATCAAGGGCGGGCGCAATTACCTGGTTTCCAACGTTTAGTCTCCGTACCTACAGCAGCTAGACAGATCCGTCCGTCCGTCCCTGAACAGGGAATCTCTGCAGAAACACTCACCCATCCACTCACCCACATAACTAACTATAGATATGGCTAAGTCAGACTCCAAGGACAGGACAGGACAGTCCATCAATCAATCAGACAATCTCAAGTGCGTCGTCATGGTCATCCCCATACACATCCTGAATCTAGGTAGGTACTAGGTAAGTCCCTACTTACCGCTGTAGGGAGTGACAAGAACACGGATGGACACGACACGACACGGTGAGTGAGTGGGTACGTACTATAAGTCAGTAGGTAGCTCCGTGTTACACCGGGCGGTGTCGTCGCCAGCGTTGTTGCTGTTGTTGTCGTGGGGTGATCAATCCGGGGTAATTCCGGGAACGTGCCTTTGATCTGGGTTTGTACAATGTACAATGTACATAGATTGGGGGATTGAGGAACGGGGGGAATGGGGAATAGAGATTGGGGAAGGACAGGCGAGGGAAAGATGGTCGGTCGGTCAGTCGGTCGGTCGCTGGCTTGGCTTTCTTTGCTGTTTGTGCTGGCTTACGTGTGTGAGAGCCTGAGGTATGAGTATGAGTATGGAGACGAAAGAATAGAAATAGGTAGGTAGCTTAGATCAAACCCCGACCATTCAACTCATTCTTCAACACAACGAGCAGTCCACCAACCTACAGCTATCTACCCAAGCCTAATCCCCCAACCAAAGAAGGAGGAACAAAAAAGAGAACAGGATCCCTCCCTCACGGAGTACCCAATCCAGCCATCCCACCCATCCATTCCCCATCAGTCGAAGCCGTGCCGGGTGGTGCCCTGCCCGTTCCTGTGCGAATCCGTTCCGCGATCCCAGAATGCGCGATCCGCGTAACCCTCCCTCCTCCCTTGCATGTATAGACAGGACACACACACACACACACACACACACACACACACACACACACGCACGCAGCCAGCCAGCTAGCTTCCTAGCTAGCAGCTATCCACCGATCCGTCCATCCCCTGGGGGTCCGAGCGCGCGGACCGGAAAAGCTGCGAATTGGACATGATCTGGTAACCGCTAGTCCGGTTCTCGAACACAGAGGGGGGGGTTCTGAATCGGTCGGGTCTATCTGCGACCGGTTCCTGGGACTGGGAGAGTGCTACATAGATAGATAGGTTACCGTACATACATACATCTATCTTTTTTCAAGGATTGCGCTGGTCGGGGGATGCGGGCCGGGAAATATGGAATGTGACTGCTCCTGCTTCTGCTTCTGCTCCTGCTCAGGAGAACGGTGGGACGGATGTATGTCTGTAGTGTGTGTGTGTGTGTATTTATATATTATGCATATACGGTAGGTAGGTAGGTAGGTAGGTAGGTAGTAGGTGAGGTGGATGGATGGATGAATGGGTTGATGTACCACGTCTGGAGGGGGAGAGAGAGGAAGGAAAAAGCAACTCACGGTACTCCGTGGGCTGAATAGGATTGTTCTGGTTGCTGGGTACGTATGTAAGTACTGCCGACACGGGGGTTAGCTAGTAGATTGGGTGAGGTAGTTTAGGTTGGCTGGGTTAATTATTGCTATTATTGTCTGTGCAGGATGGATAGGATAGTAAGTAAGTAAGTAAGTGATCTGTCTGTTTGATTCTCGTGTCTGGAAGGTACGGAGTATCCCTTCCCGGTTCCCAGTTCCCAGCGTCCAAATCCCGGGAAATGATATCCGTGCGCAAATCCAAGCTTTAAGCTATGCATAAAATCCCAAGGAGGGAATCAGGCACACCACAAGCTAGATAGATACTTACCATACCGGCAGGTAGGGCTGGATCCATGGACGACCATACATAGTAGATGCTACCTACATACATACCTGAGGGTCATTATTCGCGCATACTGACTTTCTCACCACCATCTCAAGATGGGAGATACTTCTCAGATGCTTGAGTCAAACACCCGTAAGGTGGTGAGTGTCTGAGCTCAAACACACCAGCCACATACATACCCGGGATCGATCCAGAATCCAGACAATTCCCGGATCGACAGCCCTGTTCGGGTTCCTGGCTTCTACCCTACTTCGTTCATTCGACCCCCATCTGGAAAAGGCAACGGTAGGGAAACCCATAGCGGTAATAGGTATGGGATCAGATGCTGTGTACAGAGTAAGTACACGGGCACGGCACCAGGATGCTAGTAGGTGCATAGGCAGGTATATTGTTATTGTTATTGCCAGGCTGCGGGCGCCGCTTGGTTCGGGCGGGAGTACTCCGTGAGACACACGGCGCACCTGCTGTCGACTGTATGTAGTATCATTCTTCTGGCTGCGAGCTGCAGCTGTTGATGCATGGTCCCTTCTCCTGTGCTTCTAAGCCGCTCCGCTGTTTGACGTGATGCAGCTGCAGCCAGTAGCGTGGATACCGACCGTGTCGAGTCGAGTCGAATCGAGTCGAGTCCCAAAAATCATAACCACAATCCCTTCCAGACTCAAGCCCCAACCGCGATCGGTGGATTGCTGTCTGTCTGTCAGCCATGGTCCGCCTTCGGAGCAGGTCAGAAGAGCAGGCAGGCAGGCAGGCAGGCAGTGAGTCAGTCAGCGAGGGCAGCCCCGAGTAACCATCACCGTATAGGTCAGGTCATACTCCGGACCTGTGTCGAGTCGATACGTTCAGATTGCGCTGAACTTGGAGCTATGGTCGAAGGAGGCAGTGAGTGTTAGTCCGACTCCGTTACGACAGGTTCAGCCGCGGCGGTGGCGCAAAAAAAGCCGGCGGGACGACCCCACATCATGTGACGGGCGGGCAGTCTTGTGACCCGGGGGTGGGCTTTGCCACTCTCCGTACGGATACGGAGTACTCTGTAGGGTGGGTATCTGGGTATCTACTGTTTGGTTTTGCTCGCGTTGCCCCCACGTTCAAGGGCCACATCCTGAAATGCGGTGTTGGAAGTGTAACAGGCAGCCAGGCAGACCTGACCCTGCCTGAAATCTATCTACTACACGCCATACGCCACGGAACAATAGTCACTCTGCCTGGTCAACCGGCATGGGATCCATCTACGTCCTTCCTCGGCAACTTTCCGTCGGACTGTGTCTGCTTGCTTTTTTCTTGCCTCTCACTGGATACGGAGTACTACACTCTTCTACGGAGTACCTCTCTACTAACCGATATTGATGCTATCACCCAGGTCATCTCAAACCGATGACGATCCATTGACGACAGTCAAGGCCAGTTGATCTCGTCTGTTTGCGCGCCTCCCGACGTAGCGGATCATGAGATAGCGGGATCCCTATCGTTGGTGTTCACCGTTGTTGCTCGTCGAGAAGGTTCGCTTCGCTCATACATCATCCGGGGAGATTACCTGGAAGGGGAATGGAAACGGGACAACGGCGCGGAAAGTATAGGCAGCGGTTTGTTCCCAATCAATCACCTCGAAATCTGGATGAAACTAAAGCCCCCCGCCCCTTCTTCTAAACTAACGTTTACCCGGCCAACCTATCTAAGTACCCAGAATGTAGTTATCTTCCCCCCAATCCTTCTCCGTTCTCTTTTCTTCTCTTCTATTCTCTTCTCTTCCTGGAACTCCCTGCCAGAGGTAGTAGTAGGTAGGTAGGTAGGTAGGTAGTATACGCCTGATGAATCGGAAGATGGGCGAGTGGATAAGGGCGCGGCTACGTGGCTCCCACTCCAGCATTGCTGTGGAACGATTATCTGCATGAAAGATGGCAGCTGAGCACCTGGATCCTCGAGAGTGCCCGCCCCTCCCCCGGCTGCACGCGAAAGGGAATAAATAAGCTCCCCGGCGTGGCGGGTTCCCTGATTCGGTCGGTCCCAGACTATCCCAGGACTGACTTACCGTACAATGTACATAGGTAGGAGATACTAATACTCCTGTTGCTGCTGCTGTTGAATATTGTCTGCATGGAAAATCTGCATGAAAGTCCCGGTGTACCTAGCTAGGTACCCATGATGAGCTAGATATCTACCGACCTACCTTTTTGGTTTTGCTGGACCAGCTGCCGATCGCGCTGTCCGATATATTATATCATAGTGCGTGCCTAGTATGGGCCATCTTTCTATATAATGCGGGGTTGGGTTTACCAGGGCCATACCTACAGCCGGCAGCCAGCCATCCATCCAACCACGCTGGCGAACGACCAGATCCCACGGGGGATTAGGATTTCCGTAGACAGTTTACTGTCCGGCACCAATCGAGGGGATGAGATTGGATTGGGATTGATTCCCCAGCAACAGCCTAGTGACCGACCCTGAGATGAACCCGCCTTGCAGGCTGTTGTTCAACGTCGCTACCCCGTACTCGAGGCGACCTTGCAAGGCTCAGATTGCTTCGGGCCCCCATAAGTAAGCCGACATGGTCATCCATCCGCCCGCGTCTTTTCTAAGCTCCCGTGATGGTAATCTCGGAGGTAAATGAAGGGGGCGGGAAAAGGGGTGGGGGGGGGGGAAGGAGGCCCAAATACGCAGTATGTCCGCCTTGGTGAAGCAACGGTGCAGCAGCAGCAGTAGCAGTAGCAGATGATGTTCCCTCGGACGATGAAACCGACTCGGACTCTTAACAACTCATCCATCAGCTGTTCGGGAAGAACCTAGGCCTTGACGTGGACCATCACATGATTGCAAAACGTGGGCTGACGGCCGAGAGAGGGGGGAAGATTAAAGAAAAAGACGCTGTCAGTTCCAAAGGGGCAGTGATGATAGTGAATCGGGCGGATCGTCCAAATCCCAGTTCCCCGAACCACTTACCTGGGGATCCGCGATGAAGGATCAGTGTGGCGCTTTAGTCTATTCCCGCTATAATACTAGGGGGGGGATTATTATTCTCAACGGGGCGTCTGGAAGTTTTTGCAGGGCCCCGTGACAGGAAAAAAAAAATTAAAAAAGAAAAGGGGAAGGAGGGTGGGCTAAACCGAACAGGCGGGTAATCAGCCCAATCTATGCCGTATCACAGCCGGGGTCTGCAGCGTCATTCTTTGCATGGGAGATGCTGTCTTCCCCCCCATCACAATGGCATCACTAGTACTCCTAGATAGTGACAACTGGCAGTCCGCCCATCTTGTGATCCCTTAGTCCGCGGGAGGAATGAGGTCTCGCGAGCGTGGGTTATGGGGACCGGGTACTGGGTGGGTAGACCCATGGCGGGGATCGGTATCCGCCAGGGATGCATACTGGGAGAGCAATGCTTCCGGCCGCATGGCTTCAGGGAACACGGGAATTGTCGACCTGGCCCCAGAATGGACACATAACTGCCGCAGACTGCAGAATCAACCTGATCAGAGTCATGTATGTAGTATGTAGGCGACACTAAGATGATCAACCAGATCGGAAACGCTGTGCTCCTTCCCCGGTATGCAACTTCGCCTGGGGCATGTCTGATGGTACATGCCACCGGCTGATACGATGTCGCAGAGAGGCAGATCGGTGCTCAGACCATTATTGAGTCGGAAAGGTACTGGTAGAGCCATCCATCCACCCATCTATCGCCTCGTTGACATATCATATGGGCTGAGAGAGAGGGAGAGAGAGAGATACAGAGTTCGACACGCCCCCGGAGCCAAGGAGATCGGGGTCGGCGAACGCTGGATTAAGCGCAGTGCCGGGAGACCCGGTTCCAGACTAGGTCGAAGGGGAACAGGACGAAGGGAACGTGGTTTGGGGGAAGTCTCATAGGAAGTATCATCATAACCTAGAATGGGCCCGAAACCAGGTCCGTGGCGAAAACAGACAGACAGACTGACTGACTGACTGACTGACTGACAGTCAGCAGGACAGTGAGGTGTCAATTATGGCATGGCATGCCCCTGGTAAGGCGGGGGAGGGAAGGGATCAGGCACTGTGCCTAGATTTGACAGCGACAGCAACAGTGACAGCGATCTGGAAGGCGACGACGACGACGACGATGATGATGGCAGTGGCTAGCTACTACTCTTCGGTACTGGGTATCTTGCTAGGAGGGCAATACTGGCCAGACGGGTTGACAAGTGCGGAGTGATATCAGCCAGGCGGCGCCAGAGCCAATCGTTCGGGGCCCCATTTTTAGGAGTCAAGTGACCCGGGCGATTGACTGGTGAACTGTGATGGAGAACCCTTAGTCAGCCCGCGAGCTGGTCACAGGACGGGTGATCTTTGTCTGGATGTTTGTCTAGAACTCTCGAACACTTTCCCCTGTTGGCATCCCCCAGGGGTTTTGCTTTGTCGGCGCTGGTGAATCAAGGTATCAAGGTATCAAGGTCGCAGCATGTCACCAGCCCTAGTCCTATCTGGTCCTCTACGGCTTCCGATGGCTGGAGAGGGCTTGGGGGTCCAAACCCGGGCGGGTCCTGGGGGCGCATGTATGTATGTATGATTGTATGTACGTCTGGAAGTCGAAGTATGGAAGGATGGAAGTATGTAACTATGTATCTATCCCAAGTCACCTGGGGGCCTGGTTGCGGTGATGGGAGGATCTGGAAAAACACCGCATTCACCGATGTATGGGGAGTTACTCGGCTCAACTCGACAGTACGGCAGAAATACAGGTTCCGTACTTTGTGGCCCAGGGTGGGACTACGGAAACAGACCGGTAATGTTACCAATGTCATGACCAGGTATGAAATACCAGGAGACCCACGGGGGTACTCCGGAAGTACTAGTTCCCAAAGAGGAAAAAAAGCGAACCCCCGAAAAAAAAATAAAGAAGAAAATTCGGAAAACGAAAATAAAAAAGAGTGCGGACCACGGATGGGGGGGAAGAAGGAGGCGCGGCTAGGATCCCTCCTGGTACTTACCGCCATCCCTCGGTACATACGGTACCTTCCCTAGCCCGTCGGACTTTTCGCCTGGCTGTACGGTCAACTACGGTGGCCACCCTTCCTCTCCATCCCTCTCCCCTTGTACCGTTACGAGGTCATACCAGTCTTCTTCCTCTCTTCCCCCCCCCAAAAATCTCCACTGACCCGTCCGTTAACTATCTTGCCTTTTCCTCTTTTCTTCGTCTGCTCCACCGGCCGTACTAAGGTCTCCTCCCCCATATTCTCGTTCGATTTTTCCCTTCCCTCTTCCCTTCTTCACTCATTCCTCCCGACTACCACCTACTACTACCTCCCCCAGAACACCCACTTCCCCGACCCGGCTCGATCTCCATACCTCACGCCGTTCCCCGACCTTCGTTCGATTGTTCCATTGCAACCCTCCTGACCTCGTCGTTTCCGGTTCATTCTCGGAACGGGCAAAGGGATCAACTACGTGACGGGCCCGGCCAATCGACCTACTCCGGCTTGCACCCGCACTGCACACCCTCCCGCACCGCAATTGAGACTCGCTGCCCTCGACGAGCAGCTTAGGCGCCACTTCCACTCAACCGACACCCTGCGGCCCGCTGCAGAACTCAGCCTAGGAGGTCTCGCTCTCACTGACACGCTGGAGGATCAAAGAGAATTATTCCGCCACTTTTCGCGCCGGACGACCACGATCGGGGGAGACGGCGACCCCGAAAATACACTCTCGAAGGGGGATTTGTTGCTTGGAGAACTTCACAATTCCCGAAACTGTGGCAGCGTTACAATGCCTTCGCCTTTATCAACCCCCGTCCTGACAGTGGACACGGCCAAAATCCACAAGGTCGACACCGCCAACGCGCAGAGTCTACATGGAATGTGGATGGGTGAGTGGATTGGTCTTCGCGGCGTCAATCGCGGGTGATAGCTGACAATTAACCCTCAAACAGTATTCTCGAAATGCGCCGACTACATGGAGGAAGGCCGCCGCCTGGAAAACCTGAGCTGGAGACTCTGGACGCGAGAGACCTTCTGTGTGGAGCCCGAGACCTCAAGCGAGGCGTCGGTCTTGCCACTCCTTCGTTCCGAGGCTGGGGATTTGCCAGAACTTTCCGCTAGCGTGGAATCGGCCGCGTCTGACCAAGCGGAGAGGATCGAGCAGCACATCAAGCGTCCGAAGTGCATGGACTACAAGCCTGCCGTTGTTCGCGACGATTCCCTGCTCAGCCTCGCCCGCGGGAAAGAGAAGCACATCACATCTCTTGGTCTGGAACGCATGGTGCTCAACATCAAAGAGAAGAAGCAACTCGAACCGCTCACCCCCGTCATGTCGACAGTTGCCCCCCCTGTCGTCGATATTACCCCGCGCCCGTCTACTCCTACTCACTCACCTTCTGTCTCCACTGCGAAGCGGACGCCCTCCCCGCCTCCTTCCGTCTCTACTGCGAAGCGGACGCCATCCCCGCCGCCGTACCCTCTCAGTCAACAGCCGAATCAATCCACCGAGTCTTGTTCGACCACCGCTCCCGAGGGCAATGACAGCGACAACAACGTCAACGCCACTGGGTCCGATACCAGCGTTTCCTCGTCCGGAATTCTCCCCAGTCGTTGTGAGTTGATCAAGTCGCCCAGCATTGTCCGTGGATTTTCCCCCTCTGTCATTTCGTCGTCATTTCGGTCGCAGCCCAGGCTGGCAGCCGAGCCCGGACCGGCAAGACTTTCCACCGCCCGGCCAGCCCCCAGGGTGAAGAATGGGAAGGGCATGTTCCTTCTCGGAGGTTCTTCAGGTGATGACGAAAGTTCATTTGAGGATCGCCCTGCCCTGATGGCACACCGCAGCTCTCTCTCGGACTCCCTGAGCAAGCCCGGGGCGAGCAACCTGAGTCTTCGGAAGAAGGTGGCGTCATTCAGGGATCAGGATGGAACAATCAAGCCTATCCGCGAAGGCCCTACGGATAACGAGGATGCGGTCGAGAGCGAGGACGAGGTTTCGGAGAGTGCCATTGAAGACTCGGACTCGGACTGGGAAGATTCGGTCACGGAAAGCGGCCGATCCAGCGTTGAGGAGAGAGAACTCTTCCAGCGCGTGGATTCCCGGCCCAATCTGGTTTCGCGGCGCTCCCTCCTGACGTTGATGATGCACCAGCCCACTAAGATGGGAGTCCCATCCCGATCGAGCCCAGCCCTACAGCGGTCGCGCACGTCGCCCAATGGTCCCTCGATCCCCGCATCCCCGCCCGACGATGATGACGAGAACCTAACGATGCGCGGGCCCGGCGTTCCTCGCTCGAAGCCAATCGTCATGAAGCCCACCCCGCAGTCTGTGGCGCACTCCCCGCGGACGACTCGCCGCAACATGCTTGCCACGGAACTGACGGAATCTCTGCGCCGGCACTTGTTGTGGGAACGCCAGCAGAAGAGTGCGACCGCCAACGCCTTCCTGAAGCGCCGGCACACGGCGCATGATATGGCCAACCTGCAGGAATATCCCGGTCCGAAGGGGTCTCAGAACGAACAGTCGTCGGCGCAGGACAAGACGGGCTCCTGGAACAACTACACCGACTTCGGACCATGGGAATACCATGTGAAAGGGTGGTAAAAAATCTACCTTTCGCCTCTAATATCTGCGTCAACACGTCTTCCTTTCTCCCCGAGGGGTAATGTCTATTGACTATGATACCCGATACTCGAACGGCAATTTCCTTGTTTTTTTTCTCTCGTCTGCACCCCAAAACATGTAAAGACCGCCGATTGATTATCATCCTTGTGACACGTACCATCACGACTGCATTGCATCTTGGCGCTTCTAGGGAACCTCTGGCTGTTATTTCCGACCTAATCAGTGTTTTCGGGTCATTGTTTTTCTTTCCTTTTTTTTATTTTCATTTCTCATTTCCTTTTCTGCCAACTTCTCGACATTGCATTGTGTGGCTGTCTGCTGTCCTTCTATCCGGGCCCCGGGAGGTCCCCAGCCTCATTGCACCATTAATCCAGTTGTACAGACGAATTTCCTCTTTTTCTCTGGCGATGCATGGTTTGAGACGGTCATATCGGGCACGGGATTTCTTGCGTTTTTATCTTTCTTATGTTCTTGCGTGCGGGGGTGGGGGACGCATCAAAAGAGGACTACGGAGGGCAGCCTGCTTTTTCTGTCGGTTTGGAGCGGCCAAAAACATTGTCAATTTGCATCTTGGGAACAGCCATTTTAGCTCTTCTTGATACCTACCTGATACCAGATACCACTTCTTTGTGACTTTTGAACCCGGGTCACCGGGGGTCCTGTATGCTACTACTACTACTACTACTACTACTACTACTACTACTACTACTACTACTACTACTACTACTACTACTACTACTACTACTACTACTACTACTACTACTACTACTACTACTACCACCACCACCACTATTACCCTTACTACGATTGTTGTTGTGTCTTTTTTTCCTTTTCTTTTTTTTTTCTTTTTGACTTTAATGTTTGACCCCCAAAAAAATCCCCGGCGAGAAATCACTTCAATTTAGAATTAATCCATTCAACCTTTAGGATAGGATCGGATGTCGCGCCTACCTGATCGTAAAGTCAGTTCCGCCAGACCGTAAATTCTATCGAAGGGTACTTTTTTCCCTTACCAATGCTGCCTCGCGCGGGCCCTGGCTTGGGGGGGGGGAGGGCGCACTGACACGTAACCATGAAGGAGGGAGGGGGGAAACACCTTCGAGGGGGCTCGAGGGAAGGTCGAAGGGGGTACCTGTCGAGTTCTAGAATCCCGCACTGATCCCTCCATTTCAGGATATTTCACATGCGTCCGATATTAAGATCCCCCCTCCACCACCGCATCGCATCGCATCGCATCCGTCGGATGGGCTGGGCTGGGCTGTGGGTTGGGGTTGGGTGTCTGGGTGTCTTGGTGTGGGAATGGGATGGCGAACAAAGACACATACACACAGACTGACTGACTGCGATAGTTAGTTGGTGATTTTGACGAACGCACGCACGCCTGAATGCAGGGTGGCCGTTCGATCTATTATTCCCATCTTTCTTTCTTTCTTTCTTTCTTTCTTTTTTTTTTCTTTCTTGGGTTTGGGTTTGGGTTTTTCTGTCGTGGTTTTTTTTTTTTCTGTCACACCTTACCCTACTTTAGGTTCCTGGCCTACCCTACCTTACCTAGTTCTCTTTCTTGAGTCAGGGTGGAAACTGGAAAGGTGTCCGGGGGTTTAGATAGATATGACGATGCTGTAGTAGATACCTACCTACTACAGAGCAGAGTAAACCGGTCGGAAAGGCAGATGGGCATTTAGTTACTGAGTTAGATAGATACTGGGTACGTAGGGTAGGGTAAGGTAGGGTAATGTCAACATCAACATCATCACATCGGGGTCCCCGAGATCCAGCTCCCCGCGATCAAGTAGATCTATAATAATCACAACAACAACCATCTCGACTGCGTCACCAGCCGACCGCGATCGCGGATGGATGGATGGGACGGACGGACACACCACCAGCTTAGTCACGATCACAGGTTCTTTGTCTGTCTCGAGTTCTGGCGAAGCAACTCTAATGATACTAAGAATAAAAGCATGTGTGTTTGGCGGTAACCCGCGGAATGGAGCTCCATCCATCCATGCTTGATTTAGCTTTTCTTTACTTTCCTTTACCTTACTTTACTTTCAACCTTTTGCCTCGCTTCGTATAGACAGACGACACACACACTATATAACATGTGGTTGTGTGCCGAATGAATATTATTTGCTTCTTCGATTCCGCTGGAGGCGCGCAATGCTACTGGCACATCGGCACTGTCGTGGATAACGGCGATCTGCCACCGCCGTTCTAGACCTGAAGATTATGCAAGGCCGCCGTCGTCTGGTCCTGTTGGCAATTCTGCAGGTCATCTGCGCGCGTCGTGCCGCTGCTGGCTGCTGCTTGCTGGCTGCTGCTGGGGAAGGGTGGGTAATTAGGGTGTATGGAGTATGGATTGTGTCATGTCAGTGTGTGTGTGTGTGTGTGTGTATGCTGGCTGGTCCGCGGAGGATTAATGATGACCTGTCATTGTCATCATTGTTGATATTCTTGGTGAGGTGGATGCTGATATACAGACTCATTACTATGAGTAGAAGTTGTACGGGTATAAAAGCAGTATAAGCTGCATTATTGGGGACGGTCGCATGCGCACTGACAAGGATATCTTGATTGCTTTCACCCGCCGTGACGTCACCGCCCGGCTACTCCAGAGCGGTCCAGAGGGGAAGGGAAATCCCCGGACCGCTGTGATCCGTTCTCGACCGCACTGGCAAATTAACTACGGACAGACTAACTACCAAGTAGCTGTTCCTCCAAGCAAGGCTGCCATGCCATTGCCATTACCATCAACTCCGTGCTTTCCTGCAATTCAATCGAAATTTCTAGGTGGTAGTAAGATTGACTCCATTCATGTAAACCCAATTCAACAGTCAGAAATAAAATAAAAAAAAAAAAGAAAAGAAAACTCTGGAACGGTCGGAAAGCCAAAACCCAAACCCAAAACCAGACGAGAGAGAGAGAGAAAAAATTACACACAAATAAGGTCAACCAAATTTCCCCACAATTTCCTCCTGAAACTCCCGATCACCACGAACAACACACCAATGACCTCGCCGCTGTAAGAAAAACCCAGACTCAAGATACAAACTCTGACATCCGACTCTGCCCGAACGAAAACGTGGAGCAAAGCCAGCCCGTGGGTCTCTCCCAAACACCCAGACCAGGGCGGTGGATCCCAACCCCGACACAGACTCCAGAGGGAGACGGAGGGGGGGGGGGGGGGGGGAAGCCTTCCCGGATCGGGTTTACCTCCCCTGCAGAATGTCGGGGTGGGCGAGATTTTCTTTTTTTTGGGGGTGTTTTTTTTTTTGTCAGCTGAGTTGTGCTCCTTTTTCTTATGTCAGTTTGGTGGGGCTGGTGGACTGTGGAGACTGGAGAGGGGGGAGAGACCGAGAGAGAGAAGGAGAGAGAGATCGGGCAGCCAAGTGATTCGTAGATGGTTAGCTTCACCGGTACGGTGGAGTGTCCCACTTTGTTATACAGTGACGGTGTATCGGGCTGACGGCGGTCTACCATTCGGGAAGGTTGTATGTAGTATTGATGTACCGATGGATTTTGGATGGCAGGCAGAGATAGGATCTGACTACTCCGGATGTTCTATCTATCTATCTACCTAAAATCTTGTTTTTCTGCCGCTTCGACGTCGAGATTGTGGAGTATCTTGACTTCTTCTTACTCAGTCAGCAATCAACATCATCACTCGTAAACACCACACACACCAAGGCCAAGCTCTCCAGACCTAAAGTAACCCATAGTACTCCGTACAATACATCTTTTCCCTGCCGAATGAAAAGCAATCCCGGTCAACCTGAACCAACCAACCAACCAACCAACCAGCCCAACTACCCAACCCTGCAACCCATGGCATCCAGACCGACCGACCGACCGACCGACCGACCGGCCCGACTCCCTATTCCAGCTCGGCATGCCGATGCATCATCACCATCCATGACCCAGTCACCCAAGAGCCATCCATGTATCTACTTGCCTAGCACCCTGCAGAACGGGGGATATTCGGAATAATAACCTTGTTTACTCTTCCACTTCCACCATTAACTAACTACACTTATTTACTTACAAAGCACCTTCTCCTCCACCTCCTCCATACGGAGTACATCCAACCACAGCCCGACCTTGGTTTTCTCCCGAGGTCGCCTTCTTCTTCTTCTCACCGTTCTGGAATCTGGACTTGGACTTGGTTCCATCGACGCGCATATATCCCGTCTTTCTTGTCGCCAATTAAATCGCATTATTGCACCCGCACCATTACAGACCAGTCCAGTCCAGTCTAATCCTGCATATGGTGTCTAGAACACCCATCCACGATTGCAAAGTATTCTCCATACCGTGTATCTAAATGAAAATCCTCCGTCTGTAAATTGAAAACGGTAAATAGGTAAATTTAGATCCTGGCCACACCGCACCCATTACCCATTCGTTCATCCATTGCCCCGCGCACAGGGCACAAAAAACCCATGCGAAACCGCCGTCGTGAAGGCCACGTTTAGCGGGGGTAGCCTTGTAATTATCACGTGGCGTTGCCCGGGTATAGTTACTTTTACCGGACGGGACGGAGTACGGAGTAGTTAGATACTACTTTGCTACGTAAGGTACTCCGTAGTCAGTGTGTATCTACTATCTAGGTTTGTTTAACGTTTCAGCCTCCGTTGCGGTCAGTCGTCATTGGGCTAGTCATTAATATTATTGAGGCTGAAGCCCAGCCCGACGCTGAGGCGTAAGTTCGATACGACGTACGTAGATCCGAACGCGAGTCGGACAAATGCCGAGTCAAGTGTGCCCGGCGGCGGCGGTCGGAGTCGGCCGTCTTGATGATTCCAGTCCAGCCACCTGGGGGAACTGGGAAGGAAACAGCCGGTCGGGTTAGGTTATTGTGGTGAATGGTCATAGCGTGGAGGACTCTCGGAGTCCGGTTGGGTGTTAATAATGTTGTAGTTATGGGGGGAGGGTACGTAATTTGTGTCTGTGCCGGGGATGGATGTTTACTGTCTGTGTCTGTCTACCTAGGTATGAATCTACTTTGTACTCGGGTCTATGAGCTTTGAGTGTGAGTGTGAGTGTGAGTGTGAGTGTGTATACTGTATTGTATTCAATGTGGATCATCGAATGATTGAATGCGGTTAGTTTGTATACAGCACCCAGAGAATTTCATCTCTCGTGTTTAACTATAGCTCCAATTATCATCTAAATAGTCTAGATCAAATCCACGGCACCGAAGCAGTAGAACAAACAATAGAATTGTAACCAACCATAGGTAACTAGTTACACAGTACCAACTTCTAAAGTGTGTCGTAGCAAACCGACCCGTCTCACTGACCTCATCCTTCCTACTTTAGTACTACTTACTTTAATTTCCTACCACTGCAAGCCTCATGTACACTATACCATAGTGACACAGTGCCAGAGATCCCGAGCTCCTGATTCGATCACATGAAACCATTTCCCCCCCTTCATGCTCCTCAGCCACCGAATCCATCATCCATCCATCCATCGCTTGAACTTCCCAAACAGGCACCACCACACCCCCATCAATCATGTGAACAAGTCTCCCGCGGGGTCTGGCCAGTATCCAGTGAGTGGTCACTGACCGACCGGGGAACAGAACACCCAAGGTACGTACGTACGTACTTAGAATAGGTTGTTGTGAAGGTTGGGCACTAGCCACGTTTTGCAGAAGGCAACCAACCAGCCCCTGAACCCACCATGCGTCGCGAGAAAACCCAGTTTCGGGGTTTCGAGAATCGTTCTAGAAGCGGGCGTAGGGAGTTGAGGGAATCCCCATTTGGGGTTATGCTTTCGGGGTGGGTGCGCTGAGCGCGGCTTTGTGCGGGCTTCTTTCCATGCCATCCAACATCATCCAACCAGGCAGGGCAGGTTCTGCAGTGGTTGGTAATGTATTATGTATGGTATGTTATTTTGGTATTGCGGGTGGGGATGGGGATCGGGTCCGGCCGGGGATGCTTGTATGTATGTATGTATGGATGTATGTATGGATGTACCTTAGCTGTTTTGTATATCCAGCACGTATCCATAATCATTCCCATATGGTGGTTAGTGGCAGAAATTTTCATTCGGAGTGGGCCAATCAGGCTGGAGATAATTAGATGTGCGTTCTAGTCTTCTAGATCGATGCCCGATGGGACGATGATTGAGTCTTTCAGTCTGGGACTGTGTTGAGGTGTGTGTGTGTGTGTCACTGTGTATGTACTGTTGTATGGACTATTCTTGGCATCAAATTCCCGCCTTTTTTGATATCCCATCTATCGAACTAGGTAACTTATCTCCTCTCTCATTCCGTGCAGACCGCCTCGACTTCGTTGTTAGCGTGCTGGCTGGCTGGAAGACATGCATATAGATAGATACCTTAGCATCGACACACGTTCTTATGAGCGAGTATTAATTAAGAATGAAGAGTCGGTCGACCCGACCTGTGTGTGTCCTGAGCTCGAGAGCTCTTAGCGAATATACCACCTACCTATCTATACCGCTCGAGCTAGATAGTTAGCTACAGGTAAGGTAATTCAAGTACCACCTACTATATATCCAACCGACGTGTTCAAGCCACAGCATCATCGTTATGGGGAACCTTGCCTATACCGATATCATCTCCCATCTCCCATCTCCATCTCCATCATTTCATTTCAATTTCAATTTCCCAACCTCCCACCCAACTTCGCACACCACCTGCCAACCAAAAGTATCTTCGTACGTACGTACTCAAAATCATCCAGACTCGGCATACACCGTTTAATGTCAGTTCCCGTGGCCTGGCCCCGGAGGACTCCCCTCCGATTAAGTTTCATACGATGCGATGCGCAACAGAACCCCACCGGACTCGGGAGAACGAAAGATGGAATATGAATCGTTCCATCGAAGGTCGAAAAAAAACATCATGGATCCATCCGTCTACACGCTAGTGATATTGGTATTAGTATTGGTATTGGTAATGGTATTGGTATTGGGTCTTGCCCGGAGGGGATTAGTGGGCGACTGTTGGGCGGTGGTATTTCGTCCCGTCGGATGCAGATTACACATACTTACAACATACACATACACTTAAATTACCTAAATAGGCACAGTAACTAACCTACTGTAGGTAGTATGTATATAGGTAGTAAGGTAGTGTGGCTACCTATACAGTCAGGTATACCGAGGTATGGGCAGGGGTTCGGGGAATCCAGGTCAGTGAGATTTGGTGGAACCGGTATAATAGGGTCTCTTTATTGGACATGGGGTGGGATTCTCGGCGTTGGATCGGATACATCTATCTGCCAGTACCTTCAACCTTGCCCTACCTAGGTATCTAGGTATCTACTTGAAGTGGTCGGTTTTTGAGGAGCCGGGGTTGGGGTCGTATGGACGGAGTAATCACGGGGAAATTGATCCTTTACGCCTTTGCGGGCTTTAGTTAGTTAGGGCCACTGGCCATGTTAGTCATCTACTTACCTAGTTAACTAACTACCGGTGGTTGATGGTCACATGATGGATAGGTAGTTGTGACACGACTCGCGGACACGGAGGCATTCAATAAGTAGGTACATAAGTACATGGGTAAGTAACCTACTAATGAAAAGTCTCTCGTTTGACTGGATATACTCAAGGTTTGATCCTCGCAAAGTCTAAGATTGCTTGATTTTTTTTCGCAAGGGGGTAGATAGATCCGATCTCAGCCCGTTCTGGGAGGATTATTCAGATTCAGACGGATTGTAGGCAGCAACTCTTAGCAGAGAGGTGGTGGTAAGCACTAACGGGTGCCGTACTACAGGTAAAGTAGGTACCTCAAATTAGGGTCCTCTATCCCTAATTATTCTCGTCAAGCGGGTCCCCGAGTTGCATTCTTCCGGACTGGCCCAAAGCCCAAAAGCCACCCGCGAATCAGACCGAACTGAGCCCTGTGCGCTTGCTCTAGTGAGGGGGGAAGGCGCGGGGAGGAGAAAAAGGCGATGGTGATTTGGCGGGGAAGTTGGGGACGGTTTCCTAGTGAGGCTTTTTCTCGCCCCGGGTAGCACATACGGGTCTGAAGATTCAGGGATCTGGTGCTGTACGTACTTACGCAGCGTGTACAGATACAGACAGACTAGGACGATACCGGTAAAGTGGTCATGTCATGCCATTGAGTGGAATCTGAAGGCTGAAGAGGTGGTTCTCCGTCAGCCGCGGGGTAACTGTAGTATCGTCCCGTATTGAGGGTCTCGTTTACGGACGGAGGTACTTGGGCTGTACGACCAGGTACGAACCGGAAGTGTGCTTATGCTTGTGTGGTGGTGGTGGTGGTGGTGGTGCCTCTGCCCTATGCGCTTAGCCGTCTGGGGAATTAGAGTGAAGGCGAAGGCGATGGCAACAAAGCTGATGGAGTGTTGCACCTGGCCCTGCCCTCTGGATGACAATAATCATAATAATAATAATGACCCCGGTTATCATTTCCCAGCACATCGTCCGCCTGCATATGCCGAGGGGGACTTGCTGCGTGTAACCGGAGAGTACTTACGCATCCGTCAATAGGAGGATTTGTACGGCCAGGCAAATGCTATCATCGTCGCATCATCCACGGCTGACATCTCCGAGGTCAGGAAAAGCTTGACAAACAAACGGGTTTCCAGATTAAGTTTCTGGCCGGAGGTGAGGCCGTTGGCGAACTCTCCTAGGACCATTCTCTTCGTATCAGATATTGGGGCCGTTGCGAATCATTGCCCTGTCCGTGGCTATGAGGGTATCACAGTCGGTAACCACCTAATCTCCCATCGCCAACAAAACGAGGTACTGTTGCATTGTTGCATCGGAGCAATACTCTTTGCTTGCAGAGGTAGGGTGACCTTCGTATGATCGGGGTGATGAGTTGACATGTCCACCACAAGCCAGCAGCCACAGGATATGGGTCCAAAAGCAAAACGGATCATCGTTCACGACGTCAGCCACGACGATGTCTCATCTCTGAGAGGGAGAGGCAGTCTGATCCACCCGCCGCGACGTTCCCCGGATTTCTCCCCGCGATGCCCGATGATCCTGTCTGCCTGTCTGCCTGTCTGCCTGTCTGTCTGCCTGCCTGCCATGCACGGAGCATACAGTGAACTTCAGCCACCTTCGACACCCAAACCCGATCCCCGATTCGCCATGATTATTGTCCTTGTAGGTACATACCAATGTACCTTCCATCACGTGGTCACATGGGCACCCGAGGGACTTTGCAACAGTCAGCATCATCTGTACGCCCCCACGAGAGGGGGCAAAAGGTTCGCCCAGCAAGCCAAGCTGGGAGCGAACAAAGAAAGAACTGGTCCGGGTCAGGTACTTTGCTGCAGGTGCAGGTGCTGGTGCGGGCTTTTCCAGGCCCTGACTGTCGATCGCCGGGTCAGTCACCAGATCTCTGCGTTGGCAAAAATGCGATCATGCCCTTGCTCGCCTCCTGGATAATCCCGGCCCTTACGCGCTGACAAGTCATCGTTCGTTCGTTTGTTCAATCTTTCTTTCTTTCTTTCTTTCGTCTGGTGTCTTCGGGATTCGATTTAAAAAAAAAAGAAAGAAAGAAAGAAAGAAAAATGTAAATATTGCTTAGCGACGTTTCCGCCGATCTATACGATAAACAATATCCCGCGCTGCCTTTTTTTTTTTCTTTACCCTTTCTGTCATTTTTGTCTCTCACGCGTGATCCTTGGAGACAGACACTGACAGGGTCTCTGGCCTGCCTCGCCCTCCGTCACAATCACAGTCACAATTCACAGTCACAGACACAGACACGGACACGGACACAGACACGGACACTCCGTGGAATCCGATCCTGGGAAGGGATAGGTAGGGAATTGCCAGGAAGGAAGTCATGTTCGACAATGAGGTCAGACTCAGTGCCCTAATACCTCCCCCCAGCAACCGGTTCCGTCATGAGCCGCCATCCACCACCAACCACCATTAGGTATCTATACCGAGAACTGCACTGCACTGCAATCTCCGTTTCTGGATACCCTCCTCTCCTCTCCTCCCCTCCTCCTCCTTACTTCTCTTCTCTTCTCTTCTCTTCTCTTCTCTTCTCTTCTCTTCCCCCTCTTCTTCTTTGACCTCCAATCCCTCGTATCCGAGTCGAGTCCAGACCTATTGATCAGCATTCATCCGTCCATGCATCCTTTCCTCCCTCCCTCAACTTTCCGAATTCCCGAAAATTCCATCTCATCATCTATTTGACTTTTCTTTTCCCTTTATCCCTCCCCCGGGAATCACTGAGCTACATACATACAGTGAGTGGTACTTACATCCGGTACTCACTCAGACGAGACATCAGCCAGCATCACCACCCATCCATCGCCCCTGAATCTGACCTGACCTGACCTGACCTGAACTGGCACATCGGCCCGCATCTTTCCCTTTTCTCTTTTTTTTTTTTTTTTTTTCCCGGTCACACGCCCACATCTCACCCCCCATCCCCATGTTCATCAGTCAGTCAATCAATCCTTATTTTGATATTCCCGGGTGCGTGCTGTACTGTGCTGAGTTGGCAGCCTCAAGGTCAAGCACAAGGTCAAGGTCAGTCAGTGATCAGTGGTCGTTGATTGTTGGTCGTTGGTAGTCGGTCAAATGTCTCATCTGTCTTTGTCTTTGTGGGGGTGGGGATGGGTGAGTCGGTGAGTGAGTGACGAGAATGAGCAAGGAAGACGTCAGTCAGTCAGATCAGACATGGTAGTATCAAGTATCGAGTATCAGGTATCAGGTATCAGTCGTGGTGGAAGTAGGGTACGTGGTAGTCTTATCATATCGTCTTTGTTCCACCTTCGATCTGCCTACCTACCTACATACCTACTTACCTATAGTACCTACTTACCTATAGTACCTACCTACCTACATACGTATCGGGATTTGCGACGCCACCATCTGGATCTGGGCTAGATCTGTCTGTCTGGTCAGCCGGTCTGGTGGGCCCAGTGTCTTGGGGGCTTTAGTGATGGGGAAGGGAATGGAAATATAAGTAATGTAGTGGCGGTGTGGGGGTTTTATTGTAGTTGTGGTGGTGATTGTCTCACAGGTGGAACGAGGATACGAGTTTCGAGTTACGAGTGAGTGAGTGAGTGAGTGAGAGTGTCAATTTAGGTCTTCAGGCCTGAACTGAAAGCAAGCAGGAAGACCGAAGACCGGACCGGGGAGAGGAGGGGAGGTTCTTGTTCTTGTCAATAAACAAACACAAACACAAACACAAACAAACAGAGCAGACCAGAGCAAAACATCACAAAACAAGACAGAACAGGACAGAACAGAACAAGATATAGAAAAAGAACTTGAAGCTAGATGAAGCCAGCCTCATATCTCTCTGTTCTGTAGTGGCTAATGGAAATAAATAACTTGAACCTAAATCCAGCAGGAGTGAAGGTATCCAAAGATCTTGGCCTAATCACCAGAGATGCGTAGATAGATATAGGGAAATAAGCTAGAAGAACAGTGGTTCTGAAATAACTAGTATCTAGGAAGTGAAAACAACACACCCTATTACTGTTAGGCCACAGGTGAAGTCAGTCATACAGAACTAGTAGTAACTTTCCAGAGAGGAACCTGTTGATCTCCTCTGGTGGTTTTTTAATGTACTATATATACTATACTATATATACTATACTATATATACTATATTATCCTAACAACCAAAGAGACCAACTGCTTAGTACCTAGGTAGACATCATCCCACACCCAACCTATACACATTTCCTGGCTCTTGACCACTAAAATATCTACCTACCAAAATAACCAGTTTTACTTGACAATCAACTAATAATTTTTAACAATTGATTTCCTTCCCGTCAAGAAAAACACGGAGAAATTCATACATCGTGAGGTTCAAAGCTGTCACGTATAACCGAGGGTAGGATGGGAGGGGTTTGCACGGAAGGGAAAGGGTGTTATGGCGGATTGGAACAGATATGTATACGTATGGGGACTTTCTTCTTAGAAAGAGGTGATGGGAGCTTCTCTTTTCTTTTCTTTTTTTTATCTTTTTTTTGTTGTGGGGTTCGTGGATATTGGCTTTTAGGGGTCGAGAGAGAGAGAGAGAGACGGTTTGGATAGCTTCGTTCTTTGATATTTCTTGTGGATGAGATGATACGATCAGAGGGTCTCGGGGCTTTCGACACACCCGGACTTAGGAATTAGGTTTTTATTTAATGATCAGGGATATATATGGTTCTCTGGTTGATGAGAAACTGACTCAAATTAACTGAGTCGGAATCATTCAACAGTCTAGCAAAAGAATCGCGAACATGTAGATATAGAAACGGCGCAAATAACGGGGTCCAACAACAGCTTTCCTACGATCACATCCGGTACAAGGCTCTGGGTAAGGTCATGTCCTATTGGCTGTTGAGTGAAAGGTCTTATTATACATAGTGCTCATTACAAAGGATGTAGGTGATGAAAAGCCTCAAGGTGGAGGAGACCTTCGATCGGGCAGGCCTGCTTCAGCTTCACAGAGATCCCTTGGAACTCGACGAGCGGCGCTCCCAGCCGATGACGGCGGGCTTCATAGGGCCGGAGAAGAGAGTCGAGTAGTCTGTTCCCGGCACGCCCTTCTTGCCATCCACGTTGAAGAGCTTGACGTGGCGCACCATCGTCGCGATGATAACCCCGAGGTTCACGTAGGCGAACTTCTCCCCAATGCAGCGGTGGCGACCAGCACCAAAGGGCAGGTAGGGACTGGCGGTGCCCTTGGAGACCGTGCCGTAACCGTAGTCGACCATCTCGCCCTCCTCCTCTTCCTTGTCGGGCTGGTTCTCCCAGCGATGGGGATCCCACCGGCTGGCGTTCGGGAAGTACTCGTCGCTGAGGGCGGTCACGCCGGGGGAGGCGAGCAGTACATAGTTCTCGGGGACGATGTATGAGGTGCCAGGCACGGGGAGCGGGTTCTTGACCTTGCGCATGATGGAGTGGATGGATGAGTGCATGCGCAGAGTCTCCTTGATGACACTCTGTTGGAAGGGGAGCTTGTCGAGGTCGGAGTACTGCAGGGGCTGGAAGACGCCGTTTTGGTTACTGAGATTGGCCAGCTGTTCCTGGTAGAGCTCCTCGAGCACCTGAGGCTCCGAGGCCAAGCGCAGCATGATCCAGGAACTAATCGACGACGACGAGTGCTGTCCAGCCATCAAGAGCGTGATCATCATGTGGGCAATCTCCTTGTCCGGGACCGGTTGTCCATTCTTGTACGAGCAGTGCATCAGGTTCCAGATCATATCCGACTTCTCCTCGTCGGGGTTCTTGCGCCGTTCCTCAATGATGTCCGTGTAGACCTTCCTCATCTGAGCGTGTGCGGCATCGCGCTTCCGGTTGTGCGGCAACGGGGCCCAGGGCAGCATGAAGTTGATCGGGCTGAACCCCTTGTCCAGGTCATGGTACAGATCCGCGAACTCGGCCGTCAGCTTCTTGCGGACCTCCTCGCCCTGCAGCGCGCGTGCAGCGGTGTAGATGGTGATCTCGGCCATGGCGGCAGTGACATCGATCCGGCCCGAGGGGCCGTTGAACCGCGGGGAGGTCTCGAGGTAGTCGAGGGTTTCCTTTTCGATGAGCTGGACGTGCGACTCGAGCGCCGCTTGCGTGAGGCCGAACTTGATGAACTTCTTCTGCTCCATCAGTTTGGAGTTGGGGCAGTCGTAGACGACATCGGATCCGAACACGGGAATGGTGAGGGGGCCGTAGACCTCCTCCGCGTTAACGTCCTTGAGTTTGCCATTGAGGATGAAGTCGTTGCCCTGGACGCCCAGGTACACGGTGGTCTTTTGGCCCAGGAGCACGAAGGTGAAGATGTCGCCGTACTGCCAATCCCTGGGTTAGCAAACGCAGCCAATTGGCGCGGACAGGCGACGAACCTTCTCTCTGCAGGAATTAAAGAAGGCGTAGGGGTCAATCCCGTAGCTGATGGTGCTGCCCAGAAAGGGGACCCAGTGGAAGACCACGGGGGGTTCTTTCTTGTTGCGGAAGAGGAATTGGCGCGCAACGTTCAGGACGATCGCGACGACAACCGCAGTGAATGCGTAGGTGCTTGCGACAGCGAGGAACGCCATCTTGGAAGTTGGAAGGCCAGACAGCGAGCGATAAGAGAAGGGAAAGGGGGAAAGGAGGCAGGAGAGAGAAGTGCGGAAGAAGGTTCACGTCGTGTGCTCCTTTCTTTCCTTGTACCTGGCCAAGCACCATTACCCCTGGGGCTCACTGGCTAGCCGGCTAGCCTGCTAGCCTGCTAACCTGCTAACCTGCTAACATGGCTGTGCGCGGTGATTCCTGGGCCGGGTCAGACCACTTGGAGATCGTCTGGAACCAGAATCGAACCATGCAAGGACCGATGCAAATGGGATGTTTGCTGATGCCTTAGGGACCTGACAGGCGCGGCAGCCAGTCATGTTGGCCCTGGATGCGCGGAACGGGACTAGCGCGACGGGGGCAATCGCGACCGTCGTATTGGATACGCCGGTCTCTGATTGGTCAATCCCAGACCGGTGATCTGGCCCATTTTAGTCCAAGTCCTCTCCAGTCTCTCCGCAAACTGGTCGATTGATAACAGACTCGTCTGTGAGTCAGGATGAGTCATGGTGATGAGGCCGTGGATCTGACTCAGGCAGCGATGAGGTCACTCGCCTGCCTGTCCATTTCGGGCTTAGCCCCCCCGGCAGCTCCACCCGCCGCCCGCCAATATACTTCACGGCGCGTCTGCTTCCTGCCATGGACTTTCCACTCAGTATAGCTCTCTCACCCCGATTTCCCTCAAAACATACCCCAGCATGAGCAACACACACACAGGGAGCTCTGCCAACGCCGGCTCGGCCGCGGGCCAGCGGCCCATCTCCAAAGCAGAAGCCACCGACCCCCGAGAGTTCCAACTCAACCAGCTCCGACGACGCTTCCATCCCACAGAAACCAGCAATGAGGCGGGCACCACATTGACTTTCGGGCTGGCCCCGTCGGATCCCGATTTTCCCTTCGAGATGGACAAGCTGCAGTGTATTCTCCAGGTGCCCCGGACGTACCCCGCGCAGGGGAGGCCGTCTATCAGAGTGACCAACGCCGAAATGGGGAGCGCGTTCCAGGAGAATATCGCACGAGGCTTCGACGATATTGTCGACAGTACGATCAGAACCGGTGGTCGCGGGACCTTACTTAGTTGGACGAACGCCCTCGACCGTCACCTGGAGCGGTTGCTCACGACCACGGAACGCGGGCCTATCTTGAAGTTTGTACCTAATGTGGGCAGCAAAGAGCCGGAGGAGCAGAAGCTAGCGCAGAGCTTGAATGCGCTGGCGGTATCATCGGAAAGAAAGCAGCCTGTGGCTCCAAAGCCACGGGTCTTCCAGCCTCCGGCTCCCGTCTTCACGAGAGAGGAGAAGGCTCAGGCCGAGAAGAGACGGGCACTCGAGACGAAGCAGCTTGAAGCTCGTCTTGGGAGATTGCCCTTCTTTCAGAAGTCCGGCGATGGGCTGTTCTTTGTGATTCCAATCCAGCCGCCTAAGCCGGACCGTCTCCCCATCCCTCTTCGCTCTATCAAGACCGTCAAGCTCCGGGTACCTACTTTGTACCCTCTGGAGCCGAGTGTCATTGAGCTTCAAGGAGTCGCTGGCAAAGAGGCCGAAGCTGTGCAGGCTGGCTTTTCGCAGTGGCTTGAAGGGAACAAGCAGATGAATCTGGTATCACAAGTTAACTACTTGACGAGCAATATGCACAACTTCGCCAAAACACCCCTGAAAGCTCCCGAGCCAACTCCTGCACCTGAGCCATCCGTCACTGAACTGCCCATCACTCAGATTATCAGGGAGCCAGAACCGACTCCGGCTCCGACGACAGCACTAGAGGATAAGCCACATGTTCACGTGGTACCACGACCCCCAGAGTGGACGGCGGGCGAGCACAGCAGTGGCTCTGAGGAATCGGAATTCACTGCGTCTGAAGATGAGCCTACTGATGGCGACGAAGAGGAAGACGGCGGTACCCCAGTTCCAGATCTCCCGGAGACTTCAACTGCCGATCGTGGAGTTGCCCTCTCGTTCCCTTTCCTAGAACTCTACGGGATCGAGCTTCTAGAGCTGGTGGGTCTCTACATCACCGTGAAGTGCGATCGATGTAAAGAGCACCTGGATGTGAAGAACATCCCGCAAATCAAGGACAAGAGCGATGAGCTAGCCCCGAAGATCGAGACTTGCAAGAAGTGCACGAATACCATGAGCCTTGGTGAGTCGCAATCGTGGCATATAGTGAGCTGAAGCGGCAGAGACTGATATTGTGCAGGATTCCGTCGACAGCTGATGCATCCGAGCGCTACTCGCGCTGGGTATCTCGACTTGGATGGATGTACGGTTGTGGACCTTTTACCTAGGTGAGTCCTTGTCATGAACCCAACCCAGGTGTCGTGAGCATGATATCTTTCCCACCATACTCTCCAACAAACAGTGCTCACCCTTTACAGTAACTTCATCCCAACCTGCGCCGAATGCTCCACCCCCTTCCCCGGGCCCGGCGTCGTCGCCGTCCGTGGCGAGAGTGCGATGGCGAATTGCCGCCAATGCCATCGAAAAATGGGTACATCCCCCCCCCTTCCCCTTCCTCGTCTCAGCCAAAAACAGTAACTTACATACTCGCAGTCTTCAAAATTCCCGAAGTCAAATTCCTCAAAGTCGGATCCGCAGCCTGTAAGTTCCACCCAGCAGATCTCCTCATCACAAAACTAATATACCCAGTCTCCTCTCGCTTCCGTGCCCCTCCGCGCAAGAAGGTAAGTACCAGGTCCAACAGCATCTCACATTCCAACCTGCTGACTTTACCCACCAGCCAAAGGAAATCCTCGGCATCGTCGCCGGCCAAGAACTCCCTCGTCGCGGCCGCTGCACGCACTACGCAAAGAGCTATCGCTGGTTCCGGTATATTTCCCCCTCGATCCCTTTTTCTCCCAAACTCCATAGAAACAGACACAACTAACACCCCACAGATTCAGCTGCTGCGCAAAAGTCTTCCCTTGCGATAAGTACGAACCAACCCCCTCTCCTCCCCTTTCTCCCACCGCGTCTCACATCCCCACCATGAAACAAACAAATACTCACCTTAATAGGTGCCACGACGCCGCCGAAGACCATCCCAACGAGCACGCGAACCGCATGATCTGGTAAGCTCCTTCATACCACAACACCACCCCTCCCCCCACCCCCTTAATATAATATAGCACTCAAAGCTAATGGTTAAATGTGCAGTGGTTACTGCTCCCGCGAACAAATCTACCGTCCCGAGAACTGCGGCGTCTGTCGCGCCGTGCTTATCGGGAAAGCAGGCAGCGGGTTCTGGGAGGGTGGGAAAGGGACACGGAATCGGACATTGATGAGTCGGAAAGGTATGTTTGTCTTTGTCTTTGGTCGTTCTGATTTGAGTGGTTTCTTGTTTGAGTGGTTGGTTGGTTGGTTGGTTGTTTTGGTTTGGATGTGCTGACGGTGAGATGTAGATCCGCGGAAGTATAAGAGGCGGGGGGGGTCAGTGGTTGGTTCGAAGAAGTAGAAATAGGTAGGGTATATTATATTATACCATGGAGGCTGGTGTTGTGGATATTGAGGAATGGGCATCAATTATATTATACCATTGCATTAAGATGTTATAAAGGGGGCAATCACACGGTGAATACATGATACAAATGAACGAACACCACTTCCCACTTCCCACCAACCACTACCCAAGTCTATACATACCTACACACGCACCCCCAACCCTAAATCCGATAAACCGCAACCGCAACCGCAACCGCAACCACCACACCCCAAACCCCCATACCCACCATCAACATAAACAACACACTCCCCCAGAAACGCCACCACTCCCTCGCATCCCTCCGATCCACCCACACCTGCCTCAACGTGCTCGGCCTCTTGCTATCCAAAAACGTCTTGATCATCCTCAGCCTGGGCCCGAAATACGCAAACCGGATGAACGGCTGATCCTGCATGGACAGATCGTGCTCGAACACCGCCCGCATCATGAACCGTATGTCTTCGGGATAGTACGGGTGCAGGGACAGGATGTCGCGCATGGGCGCGGAGGTGATTTTCGTTTGGTGGCAGGGGCCGAGGGGTTTGATTGTGGTGGATGGGTGGGAGAGGTTGAATGTGGTTTGCAGGGTGGGGGGGAGGGAGAGGCGGGTGAGGAAGGGGGAGGAGAGGATCTGATTGAAGGGGGTGCGGTGGGGATTGGGTTTGGGGTTGGGTTTGGGAGAAGGGATTGGAGCTTGCGGGAGGCTTGGGATGAGGTGGGTTGGAAGAGGAGGGCGTATGTGAGGGATAACTCGATGAAGGTTGGTTGAAAGTAATCGTGTTCTGAGTGGAGGAGATCGTGGCCGTTGTAGAGGTATGTGGGGTGGGCGAAGACGCGCAGGGCGTTTCGGTGGGGGCCGGTGAAGATCGTGAGGTGTTCGGAGAGGCTGTCTGTCCATTCGATGGCGAGGTCGCCGAAGTCTTGGAGGTAGGAGAGGTTGAATTGTGCGGGGGAGAAGGAGGGAGCGGGCGACTCTTCCAGCGGAAAGGGTGGGAAATCGTCCTGTCCGTCCGTGAGTTTGTAATGGGATTGGACCATTTGGAAGATCTGGTGGATGGGGAGGGATTTATATCGCAGGTAGAAGGTGTAGGTTAGCGGGTCGCGCAATTCCATGTATCGTGTTGTGAGGACTAGGGCGGCGAGACAGTCGTATATCAGGTGGAATTGGTATAGGAGGTGGACGGGCGATTTCAGCTCGTCCTGGGAGAGGATTCGGCGGGCGTAGCATTGCTTTAAGAGGTCCTCTAGGCTTGTGTTGTTCAACCCGTCTGTGAGTTTGGCTTTCTGGGATGCACGTCCGGCTTGGATTAACACCTTCAGGATTGTGTCTGCGTTGTATACTCGCCAGTCGACGCATTGCCCGTCGCGGCATTCTACGCAATCATACCGTCGGTTTTCGAGTCGAGTCAGGATTGTGAGCAATCGGGGCAATCGTGAGTATTCGAATAGGGCTCGCGATTTCTCTCGTCCGCCATCGCTATCAAGGAAGTCCATTCGCTGGACCTCCATGGTGAAGATCGCTTCGATGAGAAGCTCCCGATGGGCGGCTAGATTTTCGGCGTTGAAGACGATGTCCTCGTTGTCGGACCATCCGATTGAATGGTATATTTCCGGGAATCGCTCAAAGGCTTGCCGGTATGCGTCATCGGTGGCTTTTTGCTCTTCTGGGGGGGAGGTGGATTTGTTCCAGTAGTCTGTACGGGGATTACTACTTCTTCTTCCTCCTCTCTGTGGTGACGTGTAGAGACAGGGGCAGGGACTACCATACTGTGGTATTTCTGTAGATGGAGGTTGTTTTCCGCCTCGATCTCCTTTTCGGACATCAGTTCCACTTGAAAAGTCGGAATCCTCTCCCCTTTTCCATGTTTGATCTCGTCATTGAGGGATTTCCAGATGGGGTCGTTGACTCGCGCTTTTACTCGCACCTCGCGGGAAGGCAGCGGTTTGGGTCCCTGGCTGGTGGAGGTGGGCTCGGTCGTGTTCCGCGTTGATGCGATGAGCTTCGCTAGGAGCTCTACTTCCTCTGCGATGGACTCGTTGGAGTCGGACCTGGCGGGGTTAGAAGAGTTTGGCTGTGTTGATGAATCCATTCTGACGATCTTTGATAGGATGGTGGTAGTGGGAAGAAAAAGAAGAGAAAGGGGAAGGGAAAGGAATTTTAGAAGGAAGAGAGAAAAGAGCGGCCACGGTAACATTCATGTCTCCTTAAGAACATCTACACGAATGATGTCAAATGGCTTTAGGCAGCCTCGTTCTCCGGGCCTATCTCACCTCCCAATTTAAGCGCCGGGTCTGGCCACACTTGTCCAGACCATGCAACGTGGTTAGGGCAGTTGGGGCAGTGAACCCTTATGATGGCGTAGGGCTGGGCGCAAAGCTTGATTGAGTTAGCTCGGGCACCGCGGGGGTCCCTTCTGCTTCCTCTTCTCCTCCTTCTTCTCCCTCCTCCATCTTCTCCATCCCCTCGATACGGACTACGGAGTGCTCCAAGGTGAGATCTCAACATATGATTTCATTAACTAGTACACTGCTAGAAGGTCATGATCCAATACGGAAAGCTGTACATGTCGTGTACCTGGCAACCTGGCCCTGTACTCCCCCCGATCCCCCCCCAAATTCCCCAACTTCACCACCACCTAACAAGCTTACACCAGGTTCCCCCGCAGCTCCTGTTCCCGCTCCAGCGCCTCAAATAACGACTTGAAGTTCCCAGCCCCGAAGCCGGAGAAGTTATGCCGCTGGATGATCTCAATGAAGACGGTCGGGCGGTCCATCAGATGCTGCACGTCCCATCGTTAGCACAACTCCACAACAGACGAAACACCCTCGGAGAAGCACATACCTTAGTGAACAACTGCAACAGATAACCCCCCTCGTCGAAATCAATCAGGATGTCCAGGCTGCGAATCGTCTCAAAGTCCTCGTGGAGAACCAGTCCTGCCTTCTTCAACCGGATCTTAATGTCTTCGTAATACGTGTCGGGCACCTTGATGAACTCCACACCGCGGGCCTTGAGGTTGGTGATATCGCGGATGATGTCGTCCGTCAGGAGAGCGATGTGCTGCACACCCGCGCCGTCGTAGTAGTCGACGTATTCCTCGATCTGCGACTTCTTCTTGCCGTGCGCGGGCTCGTTGATGGGCATCTTGACGATCTCGTTGGGGGAGGCCATGACAATGGATTTGAGGGCGGAGAATTCACTGTCCTTGTTAGTCCTTGCTCGTGTTGGTTGAGGATGGGGTACTCACGTGCAGATCTGCTTGTCGTCGACAGACCAAAAACGGTGGAAGCCGAGGGTCTTCTCATAGCTAGCCCATACCGTCAGCATACAGACCAGAAACAAAGGATACAAAAAAGAAGAAGGGCAGGACATACTATTCACAGATCCGATCCATCTCATCCCAGTCCTGGTTTCCCACGCAGTGATCAATCCGGTTCAGATGCACACCGGGCAACAGCGCAGTGATCGGGTCATCCGCACCACTCTCATACCGATATCCGGGCAAGAACGCCCCCTGGTACGACTTCCGCTCCAGGAGGGTGTGCGTCGTCTCTCCGTACGTCTGGATCGTGGCCACCCGAACATGTCCATCCTTGTCTTCCAGGTTCTGGGGCGCCGACACCATCTTGGCTCCGTTGGACACAGCAGCCTGGTACACGGCATCGACGGAGTCGACCTCGAACGCCACATCCTTGACAGCGTCACCGTGCTTCTCCAAGTGCTCGTGGATCTCCCGCAGGATGTGCTGCTCCTCGGGCGTGAAGCGCTCTATTTGGCTGAGGGACCGGAGAGGGGAGGTCAGGATGAAGGTGATGTCGCCGTTGCGGACGACGTGGGAGCAGGCGGTGCGGTGGCCGGTCTCAAGGCCGCGGTAGGCGATGCGCTTGAACCCCATGCGTGTGATGAAGTATGAGGCGGCTTGTTTGGCGTTGCCGACGTACCATTCTACGTGGTCGTAGCCCTTGTAGCTGGCGATGTCGGAGGTGGAGGGGGCCGTGGAGACCGGAGGGCTGGAGATTGCGCTGGGAGCCATGGTGACTCTGTTTGTGAGGAGAATGTATGGAGCAAGGAGGATGATGTGGTGACTGTCTCTGGGTCTGGGTATATGGTAAGAGACTTTTGTATGGGAAGTATGATGTCCCAAAGGATAGGTTTTGGTTTTGGTTGTGTTGTGTTGTTGATGACTTCCCACATCCAGAGGGACACGCCCATCTTATTATAGCCGGATCCGGGATGGACTCCTGACAGACATCTTGGTCGGGAAGTCCGATTATACCTCGCAGAAATCCTGATACGATCATTCTAATCACGCTGCTGGTGATTGGGGGGCCGGATGTTTGCAGGAGGAGGATGGCGTCGGCTGTGGGCGGAGATGACCGGCTGGCGGCGGGTATTTGGCGGCGCGTGATACCCGCGCCGCGGTTTTACATCATGGAAGAAGGGCTGGAAGGGCTGGAAGGCTGTGCAGGTGGGTGGCTGCAGCAGGTTACATGCATTATAAGATCGCGGCTGATATGACATCTATGCTGTGGGCGGGTATTTGTTCTTAATAACCCGCTTCCTCTTCCTCTTCCTCTTCCTCTCCCATTCTATACGTTTTCCTCTCCCTGGCCCTAAACACAGCCCTCTCTTCCAAATAATCACCTCCTCTCCCCTCCCAAAACAACACCACTCCCACCACAAAAAAAAAAAAGAAACCAACCCATCAATCAAAATGGACCCAACCACAAAACCCAACCTCACCACCAACGACTCCGCCGTCCTGCAAGCCCTCTTCGACGCCGAATCCTCCCCCTCCAACTCCATCACCATCACCCCGACCCTGCCCCCTACCCCTCCCACCTAAACCTCACCCCGGAGATCGTTGAATCGCTCAAAGCCCGCGAGCTCGCAATCATCCGCACCCTGCAACCCTCCTCAGAATCATCCGCCCCGTCCCTCCCCGCCATCCAACAAGCCCTGGATGATCTCTCAGCCCTGATTACAGAATACCCGACTTACCCGTCTGCATATGCGAATCGTGCGCAGACGTTGAGGTTGTTCATTGATAGCACCACCTCCTCGGTATCTTCTCCTGAGAATAATGGGGCTGGGAACGGAGAAGAAGACCCCCTCTTCTTCCCCCAGAACACATCCCAATCATCCACCCTCCTCTCCGACCTCGGGCAGGCCATCTCGCTAGCTACGCCGCGGTCCCCCGCCGATCCCATCTCCGATGTTCAGGCGCGTCTGTTGTCTGATGTTCATACCCACCGCGGGTACTTGTTACTGAAGGCGGCGAGGGTGCGGAAGGAGATGATGAAGAAGGATGGCGCTGGTGTGGAGGTAGAGATGGAGGTAGAGGCAGCCGGCCCAACCCAGCTACGCCGACTAAGCTCCGACCAGCTAGAAGACATGGCGAGTCGGGATTTCTTTTTCGGTGGACGGTACGGGAATAAGGTCGCGCAGCAGTTGGCGGTGCAGACGAATCCGTATGCGAAGATGTGTGGGGCGATTGTGAAGGAGGCGTTGAGGAAGGAGGTTGTCGTTGAGCAGGTTGTTAAGTTTTAATTTGTGCTTGGGTTGTAGTTTATGGCTTTTACTTGGGGGGGGGATGGGGTTGCATAGCGTTTGGTTTATAGGATTTGTTTGGTTGTCTAGTAACTCATTTATGATAGGGGGTAAGATTCGGTCTGAGTGGTAGGGGTATAGATTAGTATGTTTGGAGATGATTATGAGTATGACATGAATGCGATAAAAGAATTCTTAGTTTTTGAGGGAAGACTGAATCCAAACAATAAGTTGGTGCCTGGGGAAACTGCGGGGAGGGCGGAACCAGGGCGGGGGTCGAAACTCGAAACAGCCAGCCCCGGCCGGCAATAACCGGGAGCGCCCGGGGAGCGGCCCTCGTTCCGCGGCCTCCTCCTCCATCGGAATTCAGCTCGCGGAGGGGCGATGAGGGGTTGTGTTTTTAACATCGCCATCGAAGTCCTGCTGGCGAGGGACATCACAATCAATCTCCCTCTCCCCTCTCGAATCTTCCTCCACTGCATCCACCACTATGACTTCCTGGCTTCAGATCCCCAAGGCGTCTCCCTTTTCGCTGGCGAACATCCCCTTCGGAATCATCTCTTCTGCAAATGCTCCATCGCGCGTGGCTGCCATTGCGATCGGTGACCATGCGCTGAACCTCAGCGCCTTTGCCTCGTCCGGGGGCTTTGCCCAGCTGCCCGCCATCCAGCCCCATCTCGGTGTATTCAGCCAACCCACTCTGAATGCCTTTGCAGCGCTGGGTCGCCCCGTTCATCGTCAGGTCCGCGAATACATCCAGTCCGTCCTCCGCGCCGACACACCATTCCCCCAAATCCTGAAGGACAACGAGTCCCTGCAGAAGGAAGCCCTCCTGCCACTATCCGAGGTGACCAACCACCTCCCCATGCAAATCGGAGACTACACAGACTTCTACGCCGGGCTCAACCACGCCTACAACCTGGGGGTCCTGCTCCGAGGACCAGACAACGCTCTGCAGCCCAACTACAAGCACCTCCCCGTCGCATACCACGGCCGCGCCTCATCCATCGTGGTGTCCGGCACCCCCATCCACCGCCCCAACGGCCAAGTCCTGTCCAACCCCACCGCGACGCCCAAGATCCCCACCTTCTCGCCCTGCAAGAGACTCGACATCGAGCTCGAACTGGCCGCCTTCGTCAGCACGCCAAACAAAATGGGCAGCCCCGTGCCCGTCAACCAGGCCGAGGACCACATTTTCGGCCTGGTGCTCATGAACGACTGGTCCGCCCGCGACATCCAGGCCTGGGAATACGTGCCCCTGGGCCCCTTCAACGCCAAGAATTTCGCAACCACCATCACGCCCTGGGTCGTGCTGATCGACGCCCTCGAGCCTTTCCGCACCGCTAACCTGGAGCCCGCCAACGCGGACAATCTCCTCCCGTACCTGCGCGAGAAGCGGACGGACAACGTCTTCGACATCCCGCTCGAGTTCGAGATCACTAACGCGGGTGGCCCAGCCACCACGGTCTCCAGAAGCAATGCGAAGAACCTCCTCTTCTCCTTCCCGCAGATGCTGGCCCACCACACCATCACGGGTTGTAACCTGAACCCCGGTGATCTCCTCGGCAGTGGGACTATCTCCGGCGCGGAATCCGGAACCCAGGGCAGCATGTTCGAGCAGACGGCGGGCAAAAACCCCATTAAGCTGGCGGATGGCTCGGAACGCATCTTCCTGGAGGACGGGGACACTGTCGTTCTCCGGGGCAAGGCCGGGACGGAGGGCAACTACGTCGGATTCGGCGATTGTAGCGCATTGATCCTCCCAGCCGTGAAGCTGGACTTGTAAAGATGTATAACGAGATTGAACAATAGCACTGAGTATACCAGCAGTTATCGTATATCAAGTATATAGTATATCAAGTATATCAAGTATATCAAGTATATCAAGTATATCAAGTATATCAAGTATATCAAGTATATCAAGTATATCAAGTATATCAAGTATATCAAGTATATCAAGTATATCAAATTGAATGAATTATCTGCTCCAAACTTCCCATTTTCCCCAAGAGAGAGCAATAAAAGTAAATAATACAGAATGAACCTGATTATATTCCATAATCATCATCAACCACCCACAACCCCCCTAAACCTAAACCCTAAACTCCCCCGGCGTATCCCCCTGCGCCCTCCAATGCGCCTCCCTCACAGCCCCCAGCCCCTCCAGTTCCCCTCTCACCCTCTCCACCGTCGGAAACATCCCCAAATCGACACCCACCCGCTCGGCCCCCCAAACCGCCGGCAACAGACACACATCGGCCAACGTGACCGAATCGCCCACGCTGAACCTCCCCGCCGACGAGGCCGCGATGGTCTCATACGCCCGCAGCCCCTCCTCGATCAGCTCGCGCGACCACGTCTCCCGGTCCATTCCTAGCGGCGCGACCCGCTTCAGGATCCGCAGGTTGGTGACGGGTTGGATGTCCACTGCGATTATGTAGGCGAGGGTGCGCACGGTGGCGCGGAGGTGCGGAGAGGAGCGCGGGGGGAGGAGCGCGGGGCAGCTGCTGGGGAGGGTTTCTTCGAGGTATTCGAGGGCGGAGAGGGATTGGGGGATTGTTATTGTTGTGGGTTGGGTGGGGGACGGGTAGGTGAGGATGAGGGTGGGGACGGTGGCGGACGGGTTGAGAGAGGTGTTTTTGGGACTGTGTTGTTCGTTCGCGAGGAGGTTGATCGGGATGGAGGTGTAGGGGAGGGATTTGAGGTGCAGGGCGATGCGCAGGCGTGCGGAGCAGGAGGAGCGGAAGTAGGTGTGCAGTTGGATTGAGGGGAGAGGGGTTGGGGGGTGGTGGTGGTGGTGGTGGTCATTTTGAGGTGGTGGTTTGGAGTGTTGGTAAGGTAGGTAGGTAGGTAGATGAGACGGATGTGTACTAAAGAAGGCCCTGGTGATGATATTGGTAATGGTAACCTCTTTTATGGCTGGTCTCAGTCTGGGATAAGTATACGGACAATGGGATGGGCTACACGCGGAGGTGCGGTGCTTGGGCCGCGCGGGGAAAGTGTTACACGGTACCTGCGCGTGATATTCTACGGCTATAGCAGGGGAGAAGTCAGGTACAGCGTCTGGCTATAGCCAGGGTTTCTTTCTGGCAGAATCATATGCATCTATACAGTGGCTGGCTCGGTGTAGGGATGTCGGCGGAATGGTTCCGTCGTGCTGGATATTCGGGGGCGCGCGTAGGTTACCGCGTCTTCCCGAGGTCTGTCATTGGTCATAGGAGCTGTTTGTGCTGCGCTGAATGCTTGTGGTGGGTGAGGTTCCGTGGCTGGCTGCTCTCGTTCTCTTGTTGGGGCTGTCGGCTGGCATGGAGTCTGACGTCACTGTTTGTCTGTCCTGATGCCTTGTAGAACCTCAGACCTGGATGGGGTGGTCTAGACGCGGCTTAGTCCGGATTGGGCAGAGTTAAACTGCTGGGTGGTCATCTGCCTTTTTTTTTTCTTGGTGCAGTGCATATGATGATGGACGGTCAGGATGCTGGGGTTTTGCAAGTGATGTATAGTATAGTTAGTGGGAGATGTAGAGCTCGGCCCCTGCTGACGCCATTTTATCAACCACCCAGTGACATGAACCAACCAGACACCTGACATATCGCTATTACCGCCAGCCATCTTATCAAAAAAGATCCCCATGCATGAGCTTAGCGCTTAGCAGAGTCAGGTGTGGATCGGGGATGCTCTTTGTTTGTTTAGCGGCACTCCGACCGGATATTTCACCTCGCTTCCCCACCGCGGAAACCACCGGGTATTTTCCAACCTCCCCGCAGCTCTCCCCTTTTTCCCCCTTCCCACCTGCAATATGCGCTCCGGCCTCCCCCTGATATCCGGGCTCATACCCATTTTGTAAACCGAAGGGCCAGTCAGATATCCGGTGTTCCTATTTGCAACCTTCAACTTATCTCAGCGATGTTATTGGCCGGGCCGGCGCTCTCTCAATAGCGATGGAAGCCAGGGGCCCGTTCCGCGGCGGGGACGCCTTGGGCCGGACATACCAGCGCACCTACAAGGCTTGTCTCTCCTGTCGCCAGCGCAAGGCCAAATGCGATCTGGGCACCGACGCCGATGGGCTTCCCGTCGGCCCGCCGTGTGCGAAATGTCGGAGGGAGCAGAGGGAGTGCGTGTTCAGTGAGAAGAGGGCGTGGGAGAGGGACCCTCATAAGCGAGGTGGGTTTTGTTTGGTTTTTGTTGATGTGCCTGGACTGCCGCATCCGGTGGCCATCAAAATAAGGCTGACTAACAGCGCTACATAACTAGTACACTCGCCAGGCCCATCTGAAGACATCGTGCCACCTTCGGGTACACGCCGCAGACTGTCACGCAGCACCAGGCAGGAAAGACATATACCGGACGATGTGCTCCAGGTGGTTGATAGCCCCGTACACGATGTCAGCAGGCGCGAGGATAGCTACGATAGCCCACGGCAGACTTATGTCCCCGAAGAGCGCAGAAGCCGTCGTCACTCCACGTCTACGTTGGCGAACTCCATGATGCGTACTGTAGTCTCGAGTGGGAATGATGCGCTGAATATCCTCTTCGAGGCCGCTGCGGTGCACAGTCAGGAGAATAGGCTGAACGGGTCCGGGACGCAGTCGCGCGATGCGCAGACGTCTACCGCCCATACCAGTGAGCCGGATAGCGCGGGCGATCAGACGCAGCCGATGCTTCCTGTGGAGGTTTTGGCGAAGGCGAAGCGTCCGGTGAAGCTTTCGACCCCGTCGAAGGAGGTGCTTGGGGTTTGGGAGACGTGTCGCTTTGTGAAGATGGGATGGTTTACTTCGAGAGAAGCGGTGACGCTGATTGATCTGTTCGTGTGATTCTATCGTCCTGAACTTGGATCCGACTAACTATGCCAGGTTCTTCAAGAATATGACACCGTTGTCTCCCATCTTGACGAACTTCTATGCAGACCACAGCACTCATCGTTGGCTGGTGACTCGCGATCCTGTTTTGTGTTGCACGATGCTGATGCTGTCATCTCGGTACCATGTCTTGCCTGGGGCCGGCGGCGAGTCCAGGAACTTTTTCATCCACCATCGACTCTGGCAGCATTGTCAGCAGCTCGTGGTGCGATTGACCTTTGGGCAGGAAAAGGCGTCGCATACACGGATAAGGAGTATCGGTACGATCGAAGCTCTTTTGCTGATGTCAGAGTGGCACCCGCGGTCTCTCCACTTCCCACCCGAGAGCGACGGATGGGACTCCGACTTGGTGTTGGCTCCAGAGCCCCAGGAATCGGAGAGCTCGTCGGCTGGCAGGTGGGTCGAGGACATGATTGAGCCTGCCAAGCGATCTGATCAGATGTCGTGGATGCTGCTCGGCTCGGCCCTATCCCTTGCCCATGAACTGGGTATCTTCGAGCTGGATGACAAGAAGTGTGACTACTCCTCAGTCTACGAGGGGTTTATATCGGATGACCAGATACGACTACGCAGACAGCGGGTACAACGGCTGTTATACGTTTATATCAACCAGCTGGCCTGGCGGATAGGATGCGTGTCTCTGATGCCACAGAGTCTAAACCATGCCATCGCAGGCCGCCAGACAAGCAGAGCTTCGAATGAGCCGGTAGACGAGTGGCTGGCGTTTATGGACTCCTGGATGGATCTCACCAAGTTGGCGAAATCGGTCACCGACATGTTCTTTCCTTCCGTATCTTTTGCCAGACAGCAGCTGCATAGTGGCAGATATATCGATCTGCTGGACCACTTCCGTCCACTGCTGGTCAAATGGAAGGAGGAGCATCTTCGACCAGAGGGTAAGCCGCACATTCCTAAGCATGGTAATATCGACCCTTGTTAACCTGTACTGTAGTGCTAAGCAAGCATTTCTTCGATATCCTGTTCATCGAATACCATTTCGTCCGGGTCTACACTCACTCGGTTGGAATGCAAGCGGTTGTAGAACGGGTGGTTGCAGACAACGATTCGCATGGAGATGTCCGAGCCACGCACATCGATCCGATTGACTACGAGTACATCCAGGAGGTGATCGATGGCTGCTGCCAGATACTTCACAAGGTGACCCAGCTCGGCGACGCCGGGGCCCTGCGGTTCTCTCCCGTGCGGATATTCCTGAGGGTCACCAGCTCGTCGATATTCCTGATGAAAGCCCTCAGTCTCGGGACCCGTCCCGCCAAACTGTGCGAATCTCTGGATGTCCTTGATCGCAGCGTACAGGCGCTTAAATCCAACGCGCTGGATGATATCCATCTCAGCTCCCGTTACGCGGCGCTCCTAGAAATGCACGTGTCGCGCCTGCGTCGCAACCTGTTCGCATCCTCCCGCACTGGGAGACATAGCCATAGACCCCCTGTGCAGTCTGCCATGGCGCCTTCGCAGGGCATGGATGATGGCACCCCGATCAACCAGATGGTGACCCCGGTGTCGCAGAACATGGCCGACGTGGGCTTTATCCCGTCGTTCAATGATATAGCCGCTGACGACTGGCTTTCCTTGCCGTTCGACCCGTCGATGGCGCCGTTTGGCATCAGCACCGGGGGGCAGTTTCCGGCATATGAAGGAGGAGCCCTGAACTTTATCTGGAATCTGCCATCGTAGTATGTGTATATATCTACTCCCTGTAAATAGCAACACCGTGGAGAAATGCCGGGTGGCCATTTTCCTGTCCAGCTAGAAAACTTTAACGTGCATTGGGGACCATACAAGTAGGGGTCGGCGCGGTGGCAAAGCGCCCTCTGTTTGGATGCGCGGATGGAACTTTCCGGGTGGTTATCGGCACGTGACCCTGTCCCAAGGTCACGTTTTCCGGGCGAAAAAAGCCAAAAACCGCCCGTCGCGATCCCGCCGTCTCGCTCCGTCCCCGACCCCAGACTCTGCTTTAATCCTCCCCATCGCCTGCCTGTCGTCTCCACGTCGCCTGTCCCTTCTCGACCCCATTGCCCCGTGAGGCTCAACCCCCCCGACTATCAAATCCCTCGTTCCCAGCCTTCCGAGTGCCCTCCGGATAAGCTTGGGACCACCTCGCCTCGACCTACACTACCTCTGATCCGTGCAGCTCAACGAGGACCGCCCGTTCCCTGAGCTTACGACTCCCCCGCCCACTCGCTCCTACGACTCTCTTTCAGTCCTAGTCCTCTTCTTCATACTCGCCATGGATCACTCCAGAGATCCCTGCCCCTGGGTTGCCCTCAGCGACTTCGGTGGTGCCTTCTGCATGGGTGTACGTCACTGGTCCTAGTCCTCAAAATCCCACGGTGTTTGTTTGTTTGTTTCGAAAGACCACAAACTAAATCTCTCTCTTGCGTTTGCAGGCAATCGGTGGTGCTGTCTGGCACGGTGTCAAGGGTTACAGGAACAGCCCCTACGGCGAGCGTCGGATAGGCGCCATCACAGCTATCAAGGCCCGCGCGCCCGTCCTCGGTGGTAACTTCGGTGTCTGGGGTGGTATGTTCTCGACGTTCGACTGCGCGATCAAGGGCATCAGAAAGAAGGAGGACCCCTACAATGCCAGTATGTTTCCCGATCGATCCGTAGCTTGGATGGCTACTAGTACTACTACTACTGTTTTCATTGCGCCCTGGGATATGTGTCTAACCGTGTTCTTTACTGCAGTTATTGCTGGTTTCTTCACTGGTGGTGCTCTGGCTGTTCGTGGTGGTGTCAAGGCTGCGAGAAACTCCGCTATCATGTGCGCTGTCTTCCTCGCTGTCATCGAGGGTGTCGGTATCGGTTTCCAGAGAATGATGGCCGATAACACGAAACTAGAGGTGAGATCATTACCCTACCCGCTTTTTTCCTTCCCGACCTCGTGTGGCCACTGCTCGTAATCCGAAGGCCGCTCACTCCACTCCCCTCCCCCCCTCGTCGTCAAAGCTTATCCAGTACGAAGTCAAGTACTAACATCGTTGCCACCGATCCAGCTTCCTCCTGCCCCTCCGTCCGCCGAGAAGGCCCACGCTTAATTTTCCCCCACTCACTTCGCTTCATGTTAAGACCTACGATTTCTCCCCGTTGTCAGCAATACTCATCTTATTTATATTCCACTCCTCGCGTCTCTCTTCTCTGGTGTTGGACTGGGTCATCATTCCCCGGATGCATGGTATAGAGGTTTTCGATTCGATTCCTTGCTTCGATCCCCCCCCCCTTCTTTCTCCTTCTTCTCTGAAGTGCGGTTGTCTTCGTTCGAGACTTTTAAAAAAGGGGTTTTGCCGGTGATTTTGGATTGCACAGCCCTTTGCATCCTTTGTGTATTTTTGCTCTGCCGGAGACCGAAAAAGAAAGATGTCCCGCGGCAAAGCAAAGCAAAGCATTTCTTTGCTGTGTCCCTGATATGGGCTTATCTTTTTCTTGTACATTATCATGCAATCTTTTTTTACAGGTATAATGTGAAATGGAAGTATCCAACTCCACTCTACTTTGTTGCGCTTGGCTCTTCCCCTCTTGCCCCTCTTGCCCCTTCTGTATTCTGTATATTTGGGAGAAGAAGTAAGGTTCGAGAGATGACGGGTGACATGATTATGTATGGCATTTCCGATGGGGGCGAAGACGCTGCCGATTAGCTCGACGATCGAGGGCGTTTTGCCATGGTTGGACTTTTGGGGGTTCGTGGTTGGCGCTGGGTCCAGGCCGTGGATGTGGATGGGAGGGTTGTTAGTTTAATACCGTGGGATTGTCCACTTAATGAAGTAGTATCTATTCCTTTGTTGGCGGTGGCTGTCTAGAAATAGAAATTAGATCAATACTATGGTCAACACGTTTATTGGCGTCCATCGCTTGGAGGTGTTTGGTAAACAGTGATGGTGGAGATAAAGGGAATTTTGGAGGACCTCTCTCTGCGCCTATGGGCAAGCCGCAAGTCTGATATCTCAGAGTATTAAGTTATTATATATAGCTATCTGGGTGCTGAAGTGATATCCGGGAAGTGGTGGTGCGTCAAGTGAGCGATGTTTGCTGCTAGGGAAAGCTGGGGGAGATTTTAGGATTATTGTTTACTGATTGATATGATAGTAATACTGTTTCCTGATGTCGTCTCACGGGCGATGGTTTTCCTTGTACTTATGTGTGGTTCAGGGTCGGCGAGGGGTAGATGCCTACGTATGTACCTGCTCTACTTGTGTAACATTGATGTGAGGATGGGAGGGGGGAAATAAGGTATGGTTTTCATGCTGTGTGGATTGATAGTAGCAGTAGACTTTAAGAATTCTGGTGGGGTTAGAAGTAGATTAGATGTATTGAAATGCATGATGCGGGAGGGAAGGGAGATATATATACATGTGAATGTCTTTTTCATCAATGTCACTTAGCGACGCTACTATTTTGTACCGATGTACACAAGGATCGAGACTTCTATCGAATGATAGAAAAACAAAATAAAATATCTGTTTGGGGATGAAAAAAAAAAGACGGATAGAACAAAACAAACAAATCGTGGCTCGTCATGGTAAGCAAAATAAAAGTCAAAAAAGAAAGGGATGAGCTCCGATAGGGGGAATCGAACCCCCGGCTGCCGTGTGAGAGACGGCGATGTTAGCCACTACACCATATCGGATACTTGGTTGAAGGTTCTGCCGGAGTTGTGCTACATTAGCCAAAGCAAATTTGATTAGTAGTTAGAAAACTATCATCTGATGGAGAGCAGAGTCTTCAGGGATCGTGGTTGCTTTTTTTTCAATTGCAACAACACCAGATCGGACCTGCATCGTGTCCTTTTAAGTCAGTCGAGGAAGGCCTGTCAGTTAGCGCGGCGGGTGTGGGAGACTTGGAGCTGTCATGGGCGAGGCCCGAAGCTTGGCGGATCCCAGCTTGATCGTCACGTTCTCTGCTCGCTTTTCCCTCGTGTAATTCTTCCATTCTTCTCCCCTCTCGCCCTCGTCCTTGCTCGTCCTTCTGCAGCAAAAGTTGCGTCCCTGGCATCCTCCATCACCACCTCCCCCGTTCCTCTCGCCTGACACTCCACTTCTGTCTTTTTCTTGTCATGCATTGAGCCTGCAGCACTCCAGTGAACGCCCACTCTGATCCTCCCATTGAACGCGTCGCTCCAAGTGTCACCCACCCTATCGCTATCTTTTCCTGTCTGCCTGCCTGCCAAAACAACCACCCCCGCATCTCCCGTGAAACATGGATGAAGGCGCGTCTTCTCGTCTGACAAATACCCCCGAAGGCTCTGCCGGCGTCGACGATAACAACCCCTCGTCGGCCGCCGCGAAGAACCAGGCCCTGAAGGATCGGAAATGCCAGTATTGCAACCAGCCCTTCACCTCCTCCTCTCTCGGCCGGCATCTGGACCAGTTCCTCTTCAAGAAGAAGCCCGATGGCATCCATGATGTCGAGGAGATCAGGCGCATTCGGAGCGGCATCACGCGGCGTCAGGCCCGTACCTCCTCCGGCCGTCGGGATAGTCCTGAACGGGCCACGGGCAAAGGCCAGCCGGACTCCTTCAACTCGGGCGAATCGGGAACGAAGCCACGCGACGGCGCCTATAGGATGATGTTCAACACGCCCACGTGGCATGCCACCGGAGTCATCAACGATATCCCCAACCCGAGCCAGTCGCAGGATACCAGCTCCGCTCAATCGCGCATTGCGCCCGCGCAGGCCAGACCTGGTCCGCTGTCGTTTCCGGAGCGAGGCACCTCAAGCAACTCGGATACCATGAGAGCGTTGGAATTGGCTTTGCGCGAGGTCCTGGATAACATCAAAGCCGCAACGTATGTCCCCCATCGCTATCCACCAAACAATCACCGTGCGCGCTGTTTAAAGCATATGATTTCACTCGATTGATCGGAGCGCTGACAATTGCTACCCACTACAGGTCCAGAACGCGCCCCAGACTCTCACCATTCGATTTTGACATCCAGGCGCAAACCTTCCCTTCCCTCTGCCTGCAGTTGCTCCCTCCCCCGCAAAGTCTGTTCGCAACAAACCCTTTCCCATCTCCCTCATCCTTCCCTCTCCAGCCCCCAGGCGTGGAGCATCTCGATATCGTCCGACAGGCGCTCCGCGCCAAGATCGAACAATGGAAAGTGGACCAGCGGTCCGCCGAATCCAACCACAGTTCCCAACCCGGAAGACCCAACCTCGGCCTGGATTCGAACATGATCAGCCGCAGCGCACAGCAGCACGAAGACCTCAGCCTACGACACCTGGAACTGGCGTTCAAACACTGGGTCTCGCTCCCCACGGATGCCAAAAAAGACACATGGCAACTCGAGATCACCCGCGCATTCGCCCGCGAGATGGAAAAGCGCAAGTCGCTTGACGATCAACTCGCGCGGGTCCAACAGGAGGCGAACCAGCTTCGCTCCCAGGTCGAGAGACTGGGATCGTGCCAATGGCCAAGGGAATTCGCCATCTTCCCCCCGGACACGCTCCCCCTCCCCCGGGACGTGGCCCGAGAACTCGACGCCCAGGAGAGCCAAACCGGCTCGCTCTCCTCCCGCTGGGACTACGACAACGTCGTCGCGAAATGGAAACGCGTCGTCATGCACGACAAAGGAATGGGCCGCATCGGCATCGGCTACGCAACCCCGGACGACTACCGCGGCACCACAGGCACGGATAGCAAACACCGTCCCAGCGACGACTCCTCATCGCGATCCAGGATGCTGCATCCCCCGCCAGCGCTGAGTCCCAGCGCCGGCGGCCCATCGCCCTCCAACACCAACACCAGCGCCGGCGGCCCCTCCGCACCCCCCAGCCAACAAACCTCGCCGTATCTCCCGCACGACCCCAACCGCAGCCCCGACGCCGGCCCCCACGCCAAGCGCCTCCGTCTCATGAACGGTCACCACGCCGCATCCCTACCGCACGCCCCTGAAGGTGCCCCAAACTCTGCTGCCCCTACCACTACCACTACCACCACCACAACAACAACAAATCAAGCTCCCACCATCACCTCCGGCCCGTCCCCTTGGACCGCCCCCCAACCCTCCACCATAGCTTCCAACTCCACCTCCAACAGCACGTCCGCACCTACCCCCCCACCTTCCTGCACCGGATAATGATGCTTGTATTTGAGTCTGATAATCAATCGATCGATCGATCAATCAATCAATCAATGAATCAAACAGTCTTGTATCATCTGCATGTCAAGTTGTCCGGTATCTACATGATTATCATCATGTCCTGTGATCAATCAGTGGTTCAGTCAATCAATCGATGTGTTGTAGAATTTGCCCCCCCAAGTTCCTCCACCATCACTACACTATCCACTATCACTACTAGCACATGTGTGCACGCTGTGGCGCTTGGTATCAAGCTACATCACAGTACATACGATGCAGTTTCCATGCCATTCGAGGTCGTGTCGTTATACATTAGCTGTGTATATAATCATCCTGCTGACAGATTTGGAATCCATGTCCGTGTCCGAATATAGCATAGTATATACTGTGTGTTTTTTTTTCTCTCGCTATCTCTCTCATGTGCCAAATGCTCTTTCTTTCTACAGGACTAATTTGGTTATCGTCATTCAGCGTTAAGCATCTTATGAACTCGATTGATCTATTCATATTTATATCCATATCCATATCGATATCCATGTTCATATTAGTAATATCCCGAACATACCTACTACCAGGCACCTATGTCACCCAGTATCATAGTATAAATTACATTACACCCACCAAAACAACTACATGATACATGATACATGCCACATACCACAACATAAACCGCACCGCACGCGCACCATCTATAAACAGTACGCCCCCCAGAAACAAACAGCTTCACATCCAGTCCAGTAACAAGAAGTAGTTACTTAGTTGATCACTGCCCCGCAGCAGCAGCAGCCTTCTTTGACTTCCGTGCGCTGACCCACTTCTTGATATCTCTGACTCCGTGAAGATATAGCCATGAGAAGAAGAAGACGGCCATGAAGTTGAAGATCACGAAGGCCCAGAATATTCCCTGTAGAAGAAAATATCAGGTTAGAGGGGGGGTTTGTTTGTTGTGTGTGTGAGAGAGAGAGGGAGGGGTAGATAGATGACTTACATAGTTGCGCCATTTGTGCGAGTAGAAGACATTGAAGCTTGCGGCCTGTTGAGAGGATGAGTAAGTAAGGTGATTCAATCTCATCTGGTCTGTTTGTCTGTTTATGTATGCATAGTCTTTGACAAGACCGGGTGGGTTGGAGGAAGAAAGACAAACATACCCAAACATCACCGGTCGAGTACGGGCAGAAGGCGCATAGCCCGTTAGCGGCATCCTGGACGTATCCGCCTTCTTGGCTAGCATAAGAGCCGGCATACTCCTGGCAGGTCATTCCGGGAGGAGGACTGAATTCCGATTCCTCCCTGGAGGCGCAACGGACTGGGACATCGTGTACGACCACGCCCAAGAACGCCTCGAGGAGGTAGTGGAATGGGGTGAGCCAGTACATCCAGGATCTCCAGAAATGGACCAGGCTGCTGTACGGGACGACAACGCCGCAGAAGGAGACGACGAATGTGAAGAATGTTGGTACGAGGAGGGAGGCGAAAAGAGGGCTGGGTGAGAAGGCGGCGATGAATTGACCGAGACCGACGTAGAACATCTCGAACAGCATGAGGAGCATCCAGATAAAGCCGGATCGGAAGGAGTCGCGCGGGAACCAGACGCCCCAGTACCTAAGAAGTTTTAGTATGGGGATGTGATGTTGGATAGCCAAAGTTTATGGGGGGTAAGGGGCTGGGTGTTTGTGCTGCGTGACACTTACCAACAGTTGAAGTAGAGGGTTCCGGCTACAATTGAATAAGGTAGTTCTGGAAGGATGGCACTTGTCACGAACGCTGTCCACGAGTAGATCTTTGAGCTGGCCTCTCGTGATTCATAGAGACTGCGGAAATGGAGAAGTCGGGGCTGCAGCTGCTGAATGAGAGGCGGTGCTATCGTGAGCAGCATGAAGATAGAAAACATCCGAGACTGCATATCGACGTAACTGTTTCCCAAATGCCAGAAGGTGAACGTGTTGAACAGTCCGGTGAATATATGAAGCAAGAATTTCCCCTGCCTCGGTTAAGATCAAGCGTATAGAGAAAGGGAATCGGATCACATACCATAGCGTACTCAGGCGTTCGCCAGTATGAGATGAAACTACGTTTCGTGACGGTACAGATTTGTACCCAGATAGGCATCGAGAACTCGCGATTGTCGTCCTTTCTTTGGTCAAATTCCCTGTTCCGGCGATCTTGGATGATACCTTCGATATCATGCGAAAGCTGTTTGTGCTCAGAGGACTTGGCCCAGACATCGCCCCAGTCTTGGCCTTTGTACTCTGGGTTGCCAGCACCGATAACATCGAGCATGTACTGTTTTCTGTTAGCCTATGTAAATGGAAAGTCTTGAGTAGGTGTACCTCTGCGGGATTCTCTTGGGAAGAGCATTTTCTGGCCCCGTTATTCTGGAAGTACTCAATGAGCGTCTTGGAATCCGAGCCCAGTTCAGCATTGTAGACAACTCGTCCTCCACTCTGTAGCAGTAGTAGTTCGTCGAACTGTTCGAAAAGGACAGCAGAGGGCTGGTGAATCGTGCACAGAATGGCCTGTCCAGCATCGGCAAGACGTCGAAGGAAACGGACGATGTTGTAAGCGGCCAAGGAATCCAGTCCAGAGGTTGGCTCATCCAGAAAAAGCAGAAGCTGGGGCTTGCTCGCCAGTTCAACGGCAATAGTTAGTCTTTTGCGTTGTTCCGCGTTCAGACCGGCGCCTCCAGCCCCGACTACAGCACCCGCAATCTGCTGCATTTCTAGCAGATCAAGGATCTTTTCGCAATAGTCATACTTTTCCTTTGTGGGAACCTCTTTCGGCTGACGAAGGAGTGCTGAAAACCGCAGTGATTCTCTGACAGTTGCCGTGGGCTCATGTACATCCATCTGTTCAGCAAACCCAGTTGCCCTTTGAAAGCTTCGAGGGAGAGGTCTGCGGATGTAAGCAAAGATATCAGGAAGTAGCCGGCCAGGAAATGCTTACTTTCCGTCAACAAGAAAGGTACCTGAGACGACACCAAAATTTATCCGCTGTGCCAGGGTGTTGAGAAGTGTAGTTTTCCTGGTGGACGTGTTAGCATCAGCTCAGATGCCGAGATGTTGAATACGTACCCTGCCCCAGAGGCACCCATCAGTGCAGTAAGGCGACCCGGCTTGACATATCCCTGAACATCCTGTAGTAGCTTCCTCTTCCCACTCTCGTAAGGAATCGTATAGTTTACATCCTGCCAGGTGAATATTGATGTGCTTTGTGCGATCCCCTTTACCTCGTTCCCAGAGCTATCGGAATTCTTCTTTTCAATCCCGTCTGTGACCCCATTCTCATTTCCTCCTGCTTCTACATCATCTGCACGCTCCTTGTTCTTAACTGCTTCTTCCACAGCCTTTGGTGCTTCGCCCTTTTTGAAAATAGTGACCGTGCTGCCTCCCTTGTTGGGCTTCTGAAGCTCCATTCCCAGCATTGTCAAGGCGACGAAGAGAATAAACCAGGCTATATTAATACCGAAATTTCGCCACAAATGAGAGCGGCTGTATGTATATTCAGCCCGAATATAGTTTGATCCTTGGACAACCAACTGATTTGGGGTGCTTCCTTGTAGCGAACAGACCTGGTGGCCAGTTTGTGCATTGGGGCCTGCTGGGACAATTGATGGCGGTACACATTGGATATCGAGATCGTAGAACTCGTTCGCCATAATTGATTCGAAGGCGTACTGTAGCGGATTTATCCAAATTAACCACTTCAGCCATGGGTGCATTTTCCATGGAGGAATAAGGTAGCCTAATCCCGATTTGTCAGACAAGAATTCATAGACAGCGAGAGACTTTTCATACCGGTATATACGATGAGTGCTTGAACAGTAACTCCAGTGATACGAGTAGCTTTGATATCAAGTTAGCAGAGATATAACAGAAGAAAGAGAAAGAATGCCTGCCATACCAGCGTCGAGGGACGCGCTTAGCGACCCGATAGTCCGGAAAAGAGAGTACATCGTCATGGTCAGCAAGAAAATAAAGAGATAATTAATAAAGAATTGAGATGGTGTCCTCGAGAGATTAGACATGCTGTAGAAGATGGTCAGTCCCGCATGGTAATGCGTTTTTGAAGGAGATGCATACAAATACACAATCAGCTCGAAAAGGGTGACCTGCACCAGTACAAGAGGCACGTCGACGACCACCTGAGCTAAGGCATATGCTGACGGGCGATAGAAAGAGCTATCAATGTTAGCTTGCCGCTATAGATTCTTATGTCGCATAACATACAAACTCTTATGCTTCAACATTATATGTCGACTCCCAAAAAATGACGTTAGCTCCGCAAGGGCAAGCAGAGAGTTAAAAAGAAGCACATAAAACATGACGCCTCCCCTCGTAAACACACCAGCGCTAGCATAATAGTTAGTTATAGCTGCACTCGCTGGTAATGATAACTTGTGACCCACCTAGTCTGAGGTAAATTATAGAAAAGACTTCCGATAATGAGCGCTTGGAAGGTGAGCATTGCCCATTTTCCAATCAGCGTCTGCTTATCACCATACATAATCTTGAATTGCCGTTGAGTTAGTATGATGACCTGTTTCTGGAACGGAACAGTGTAGTTCTGCTTTGGTAGCTTTTCTCTGGCATTTTCCTGTTCCTCCATGTTTGCATCGACCTCTTTTTGGAAGTCGTCACTATCTGCCTGGGCGGACTTGAATAGGTCACTCCTTTGATATGCTCGTTGGAAATCTTCCGCAGAACGGGGAATGCGGTCTTCCCACCCCTCTCGAACTCGCCGCGCGTGTGGATCACTGACAGAGGTCAAAAAGTCTGGAGTTGTCCATCGAGGGGGGCACTCGAATCCCAAGCGCTCAAAGTAAGCTTTTGCATTCTCTGTACGTCCGAAGTAAGCACATTTGCCGTCTTCAATCAACATGACCTTATCGAAAAGTTTATAGAGGTTCTCTGATGCTTGGTAAAGGGCCACAAGCGTGGATGCATGGGACATGTCCGTTGAGCTCCTCAAACTTTGGACGTATTCGAGGGCAGTGCTAGCATCGAGGCCTTTGGTAGAGTTATCCCAGCACTGGGTGCTTGCTCTCGTAATCAGGGCCTCGCCAATGGATACACGCTTCTTTTCTCCCCCCGAAACTCCTCGAATGAATTCATTTCCGACCTTGGTCCCAAGAGTATGTTCGATCCAAAACAGCTTGGCGATGGTAGACAGGAATGTCTCCTGGTAATGCTTCCTACTTTCGCCAGGTAGCCGTGATGCTTTATCCGGAGTCCTTGTTTTCAGGGCAAACATCAGAGTATCTCGTACGGAGAGCGTCGGGTAATGAAGGTCGTCTTCGGGGTTGTATAGCACCTCTGACCGGTATTTGTCTGCCATTGTTTTGAAATCTGCTCCTCCATAAAGAACATCACCCTCGACACTTTTGTACCCCGATCTTTGGTTTCCGATCACTTTCAGGAAAGTCGAGCACCCGGATCCTGGACGGCCAAGAACTAGGAGCATTTCACCGGGTCGGACACAGCCATTAAAATCATCCAAGATGGTTCGCAGTGGCGCATGTCCACCGGCGCCTTTCCTTCCCCCAGTAAGGAGGCCTTTCACCAGCCTGGGTATGCCCAAGAGAAGGTCGGTATTCGTAGGCTGGAGGGCCGCCCCCAGTCCAACACCCTTAACTGTCAGGTTCTTCCAAACCACCCCAAGATGTCTAGTCTTTTCTTCATTCGAGTTGGCTTTTCTTTCCTGGCCGAACATCCGAGAGACCAGCTTTGCTACCTGGGCCGAATCGTCCGCCCCTCCTGCCCCAGAGGCAGTCCCAGCGCTCCGCCGTTGAGAAAGTACGCGGGCGATATCATGTTCCGTGATTTGCCTCTGAAGTGAAGGTTCCCGTCGGATCGCATCCTCGCCCGACACTTGTTGCTCCATAGGAACGGGCGATTGCTTCTCAGTCGTTTCCGAGTTAGGCAATGTGGCTGAACTCAGATCTGAACTGCCATCCTGAGTTACTTTATCCTCGACTTTCGAGCTAAAACTGTTAGATGGGCGTCCTGAATCCATAATGATATAAATGCGACGCTAGTTGCCAGCGCATCGGCGGTAGGCGCAACAGGGATGAGCACTGAGATTCAGGATAGAAGCAGGTGAGGAGACATCGATAAAGGTCGGTCGCGAGCGATGGACTTTCCTTATTTCCGTCCTTCAGTCAGCATATATTCCCTCTAAGTTTCGGCATTATCGGAGGTTCGCCAGCGCCGATGCAACTTCACTATCAAGCTTAACCTTTAGCAGAAGCATATTCAATGAATCGGGGAGAATGAGATCCGATATACCGATCACACTCATCAAATTGCCATACGGTCCATGGTCAAAGGGAGACATGGGAAAGCTTCACCCTGGCTGGACCGTGGGTCTCGATGGCGGATCATTGCTATCGTCCGCGGGATCATGATGAAGTCATCATCTATGTAGTAACCGCATGCGGCCCCGATAGGCGACCCTGAATAGATTAGTCATGGGGGGCATGGTGGGAGTAGGGATGAAGGGATTGTGCATGTCTCATCTGACATAGCTGAAGGATGCCCGGCTACCAGGGAAGAACACAGGGGCGTTCCGTGGATCATGTCCAGTCGAGCTGTGCCATGTATAAAATCCACAGTAGCATCCCGCGGGAGAAAGGTCTCTATGACTTCTTGCAGATTTACCGTGGTTGTCATCCTGGCAATGTTGAATCATTGATGGGTCCGGATGTGGTTGGGAGCGAGGTGGAATGAATGAAGGGGAAGAAGGGGGGCGAAGGGAAAGACGAAGAAGACTCGCGAGCCCCTCCTCATTTGGGAAGTCACGCCATGTCTTCCTTCCCCTTTCAGTCAAACAAAGCCAGTACGAAGTACTCAGTACGGAATACTTTGCCATCCATTCCGAGCAGGAACAGCGACTTTCGCTTCTGCATCCAACTGATACTGAGGAGAAGCTCGAGTGTTTCCTGTGCGATGACCAACCGGATCAGTGGGATCGAGACAGGCTTTGAAAAGCTGCCCAGCATCAAATTCTTGCAGATCTTCTGCTAGCTCTCATGATGCGCTCATTGGTTTTACGCCCAGGATTCATCTCATGCAAGAGCAGTGACGACCACCAGTGAATGTACCACTACTTTGGCACCTATCTGCCTATTCCCAGTCTATCTGGCCTTTACACGCATTAGGCACTCAACACACCGCCGCTATAAACATCAAAAAACACTCCTTCTCGACTGCATCCTCAAGAATATCCTCCTTTGACAACAACCCAATTAATGAAGCTGGCTCAGTACTATCGTCATGGGATCAAGAATTGCCTACAACAGGAAGTACAACCCCGTGCGACAAAGCACCACTGGGACCTTTCCCTATACCTCTGGCTTTCGTGCGGAGACTGACCCAAAGAGAAGATCATGGATGATCCTGTCAGCTACGCCAAAGTGCTTTGCAAGCGATGAGGCAGCAACTGAAAAACGGTACACTTAGCTTCTTATCCGGGTTTACCGCGGAGGAGCCCAAAATGATCAAAGGAGTCGGTGACTACTTCGCTTATGATGCTACACAGCCGCTTATACAATGATCCCATGACATGGCCCCGGATGTCCGAGTCGAAGACTGTCTCGGGGATTCAAGCAACAGTCTCTAGCCCAGACGTTACAGTAACAGACACTTTTCTCACTCCATAGAGTTATATAGTGACTTCCTAAATCTGTGTACTATATTTTAGACCTGGACGACAGCGAAAGACATGGTGATCACTGAGTTTGGCATATCAAAGCCTTTTGAGGATCGTAAGACAAAATGGGAACACATTGACAAGCCCTCTTTTCTACCGCGACTACGCCCAAGCGATTTCCATGGCGGTTCAGGAATGTGTCAGTATGATTGGTGCATGGTGTAGAGCATTGCCGATAATATAGAATGGACAGGACTAAGCAAATGGATGTAAGAGAGCGGATCGAGTTGCAATGGTTTCCTCGGGCGGTTTGTAGGCGTCATCCATGCCCACTCCGATCACACCTTCCGAAAATGGACAGTCGCTCGATGCGATGCCCAAGCACTCACCCACTTGGAGAACCACAAATTCAAATTATAAAAACTCCCTAGTTAAAGCCTTCATTCTCCATAGTAAGATTATCACCAGAATATCTAGTATCTATATACTTAAAAACGCGCTATATGTAAACATCAGCACCTCCACCAGACCCAATAAAATATATATATCCATGAATCCACAACCCCCCCCCCCCCCCATCCAACATCCCAAAGAAACTAAGCTCTTTATCGATGCAACTGCCCCGGCAACTCAGGATAAAACTCTATCGGATTCGTCCCGGGCATCTCCTTCGGTTTAGTCGGCAACTGCTGCGGCGGCGGCGCCGACCAAGAAAGAGGCAACTTATCTTGCGAATCCGCCGCCATTGACGTGACTCTGTTATTTGCTCGAGCCTTGAGCCAGACCAGTGCAGCCAGCGCCGCGATAACGGGCACTCCAATTCCAATACCCACACCGAGGGCTATTTGTCCCGTTGTTGTTAGCGCAATCATGCCGCCACTGGAACGGCCACCGGAAGAGGAAGAGGAGGTGGATGTGGTGGTGGCGGACTGGGTGGCTGCAGCGTTTGTGATAGTAGATGTTGCGGAGGGGGAAGCGAGTTCGAGGAGTTTAGTGGAGGTTGATGATGCCGTTGCGTCGGTTTTGCTAGTCGTGGTGGTGGTGGTGGTGGTTGTCGGCTCGGTGATGTTGAAGTAGCAGGACACGAAGCCGTCTGGGTCGTCGGAGTTGATCCAGAGGAAGAAGACGTTCGAGTAGTCGAGGGTGAAGCCGTAGAGCTGGACGACCCAGGTGAAGTTGGTGACTTGGTCGGTGGAATGGATTTTTGCTGCGAGGGGGTTGGGTCAGCTTCCTTCCGGGTTGACTATCATTCTAGAGTGGATATTTTGGGGCTTAGTTGTCTGCGTACAGTAGATGTTGCCTTGGCTTGCTGCACTTTCTTCGACCAGGCTTTCCTGCCACATGGAGATGTTGAATGTTCCCAGAGTGGTCGCCCATGATATGACCTGCTCTTCGCCGAGGGTCCAGACGGGGTTGATGTCGTTCCCTGAGGACGGGTTGATGAAGTAGTTGCTGGCGTCGGATCCTCGAGTGATTTCGATTTGGATGAAAAAGGATAGGAGGAGTAACAAGGAATATAGCATGATGATATATATATATATATATGAGATGTTGTATAGATGTGCACTGTAGGGGACGATGTGGCGGAAGTCGGGCTCGGCCGATGATGGCTGGCAGTGATAGTCGCGCCTAGGGAGGAGCCAGCATGCGGAGAAAAAGCTTCGCCTCAAAAAGCAGTCATGAGAACTACTATAAGAGCAAACAAATTCACAGCCGCAAGGGAGACAGGCGTTCTTCTCTTTCCATTAGCCGCCGCAGAGGCCTCTTAGGGCAGGCAGGTCTTTGTTCTAAATGCTGCGAGTGCATGGCTAGCACCTATAGTCCATGCAATCAGAGTGACGCCCTAGTCGCCCTGTCAATTATAGTAATTTCTTAACCCAATCCTGCGCCGGGGTAATTCGGGTGTCTGTAGGTTTTTTGGTGATGCGCCTTCGGCGCTTAGAACGACTCGCTGTTTCCACAGATGTTGCCAACATGATTCTGTAGGATGTTACTTTATCCGAAGACCAGTGTGCCAGAGGCTGCTGATCCTAGGAAAAGGAGTCGAAATTGAACATGGTGGGTGTATTCTATACTACGATCAAAATTATTGTATCGTATATTATTTATAGTAATACTATTGGCCCATGCCGACTCATCTATGGATTGGCAGCCGCCAGTCTATACATCCCACCTTCTGCCAACACGTGCATAGCTCCTCCAACCATTGAGATATTAGCTGGGTTAACCACAGGAACCGCCGCGTCATCCCAGGTCGAGACAACATTGTCTTCTCCGCCCAGTAGGCGATTGATGTTCAGCATTGTGCTGTACATCACCCCATTACTAGAGGCGGGGTGGACATCCTGGTTTTCATCGTGTATATCAGAGGCCTTGTTCCAAGGCCCAGCCGGCTGATAGCCGCCGGTTATGGATGGAAAGGCCGCGAAGCATCGCAAATACCCATTACCACACATCCGACCCAGCGAGACGTCGAATTGAGCGCCGATGTCTATCTTCTCCTGGAGGTCTGCTGGGTTGACAGAAAGAGCCGAGAGGATCTTCTGCGCGGCGTGGTAGCTCACTGCGTACACAATCGAGCAAACGCCATCCCCGACGGCACAGGCCATACGAGTGTGAGGGGGGATCTCCATGGGGGGCGGATCGCGCCAGTAGGGCAGGTAGTGATGTGGTGGAAGGACAGTAGAGTCGTTTGGGCTAAGAAAAAAGGGCACATCGGTTTGGCATAGCACACCACAGTGACCCAGCCAGAGGATGTCCCAGTCATCACCGTATGGGGAAGTGGTGGCATTTTGATCGGTCCCCTGTAGAGCCCGGACTGCAAGGGCAAAGCTCTGGAGCTGGGTCTTGATCGTCACATCCCAGTCCACGTCATCCTCCATGACGATGGCACTGCCAAGTCTGTCTTTCACAATGCTGTCGCATAGTTAGTTTATAAAAATCGAAGAAGGTCAGTGGTATGATGCATACCGTTGCATGGCATTCACATGTGCCCGCCGGGCTGCATATTCGGTCGCCTTGTGATCATAGTTCCAGTTCTGGGGGATCATTAGCATCGGCTTCACATCAACTGGCTTGTCTAGAACCTACGAAAGGATATGATTTAGAATTGAGTTCCTCAGGGGTAACCCCATCAATCCAGTCGAAATCGAAGCCGCTGACCGATGAACCAAGGACAAGATTATCACGCTTGTCCGGCCTGCTTGGGAGATTGATAACAAAAATCTTTTGGACCTATATTATGTCAGCTTGTAACTTATTCCCACTGGGTTCAAGAATCATTACCCCCAGAGTCTCGTTTCTGATAGCATCGAAGCGGGCCCGGGGCTCCGCGGACCCTCTCCGCACCGCTGGCCGATCATAGGGTAACGGCCAAAGGACGAGAAAGATGACGATCACCCCGAGCGCATATAAGAGCAAGCGGGCGAGCCGTTTTTGGGATGTGGATAGGGCCATGTTCAGTTGGACCGGGCAGAGAGACGGCCAGGCTGTGGATGGCATTGGGGCGAATCTGAGATCTCTCAGTCCCCTGAGGCTCTCTCAGCCTCGACCTTGGGCTAAGAACGCTAGGAAGGCCCGGGCGGGTCAGGGCTTTTGAGAAATCACTTGGCCTTTGACTGAGCTGTTTCAGTCTCAATGCGCTGCAGTGAGGATGCAGTCTGAAGCGGATTCCGAATCATGAAGGTCTTGAGGGTCGACGGTGGCGGCCATCCCATCCGGCGTGGTCCTGGCGCCGCACGGAGACTAGGGTCCGGGGAGACTAGGAGCCGGGCGGTTAACCTGGGCCAGTGAGGTTGTCGTTGGCGAGAGGCAGGGGGGCACTAGATAGACACTAGATAGACACTAGACGGACATTGTGACTTGATAGGTTCATCGCGTAATTTATCTGTGGGAGCCTGGGAGGAATTAAAAGTACGGAGCATCTGCGGAGTAGACATTCCGTGCACTGTACAGACCACTAGATCGATACCAGTAAGGTGACAGCGTCATGCCCATGCGTACAGGGGAATGTAGAACGCGGCATTGGAGACCAATCGGAGGGGTTTTCCACCACAAGCCTTTCCATTCACTTTCAAACCGGACTCGGATGCCTGCCTATAACCGGAACTGGCAACGGCATTCCCACGAGGACGTCTGTGCGATGTTCAGATCTCCGCAAGAGCCCAGGCCGTGTGGACTTCCCGGAGGCGGATCCCAACGCCGATAATAATAGTAACAACAATCACCAGTTAGTACCCCTTTTGCGCCAAACAGACCGAAACTCAAAACCTCTTGACTAAAAAGGTACCCGGAACCCGCATGCTGGTGCTACACATTAATTAACACTCTGACAAATATTTATGCGTTGAGTAACTAACTTCTTCGGCACGCACGTGAAGTGTTTGAGTAGTTTGCCAGGCAAAACAACCCATAATAGAAAGCGGTCAAGTATCACCAAAGGCGGCGCCCCCGTCTGCGAAAAATCTATAAGGAGGGCGGCGGCCGCCCGCGCGGTCGCCCGTAAAGTCGACTCTTCAGGGGACTTTCCTCCAAAGAGCACTAGCCAATAAATAGCCACTCAGCTGGCAGGCCCCACGAGCCCGCCCCCCTTGGCATCTTCCATCCCTGCTAAACCCATCTATCAAACCATCTACACTCCAGCATTCATTCTCAAAACCGTCATTCTGACATCCTAAATGACACCCAACATACCCCCAGAGGAGCACTTCCATCAATCCAGGTCTCCTCTTTCCAACAAAGGCCGGATGGTACAGCTGGTCAGTATCTCCATTCTCGAGGGCTGGTCCCAGGACGGGTTTCCTTAGGAGTTTGTTGAGGCTGGGTTCGAATCCCAGGCCGGCCGGTCTCTCTTTTTTTACCACTCCATCCATCGTCCCCGTTTTTGATTGACTCATCAGTACAGCAGCGTTTCTACGTCTTTTTATCTGGTTCTTTGTTCGTTCATCGCCTTTTTTAGAGGCCGGATTTTATGCCCCACTTTTTAGCGTTGTTTCTCTGGTGCAACTCCACGGTTGCTCCACTTTTATTGTGGCTGGATTGCCTGAGGACGGGACCGTAAGGCTGTGCAGACTACAATAATGCCTGGGCACCACTGCCTCTACCACTGAGTCAGAATGAGACGACTATGTGTATAGCCTCGTCTCACGTAGTACTTAATTGAACGAATACCCCGCGCTCGTTATGAGTTAGTGCTTACTGTGCCGACGATATACTTAAGCCCTCCACACCCATCCCCAATTCCTAGCGATATACCACCACCATCACAACTCCACCAACCCTCCCTCCAATTCCTCCAACCAAATTTTCCAAACATGTCCGTCAAAGTCCTCATCTTCGCCTACCGCAAACCAGGCCTCTCGCTCTCCACCTTCCGAGAAATCTACGAAGCCCACGTCGACCTAGTCAAGCGCATCACCGGCGACGATTTCCCTCTCTCCCACCGACGCACCTACATCGCCCGGACGGAAGCTGCCTCGCCTCTCGAAGGCAGCGACTCAACCCGAAACGCTACCACTCCAGCCACTGTGCTCATTGGCAAGCAGTCCGACTTCGACTTCGATGCTACCGCCGAATTGACCTTCGCCGACCAGGCGGCGATGGGGGCTTTTATGGCGAAGATCTCAGACCCAGATGCTGCGGCTCAGATTGCTGCGGACGAGGAGAGGTTCTTGGATCGATCGGCATTGAGCGTTTCGATGGTGGGGGATGTTGTTGAGACGACGAAATGAGGTCGGTTCTCACTTGTCTGGAGGTATGGGTTCAGGGGCTGTGATATCGCTCTTGGGTAGCTTTGATGTTCAACTTGTTGCAGGCTTTTAATAAATCCTTGTCCAGCCAGTAACAATAGTATGGGACGGATCAAGTCGTCCAGCAGTATGTAGTACGGTAGATTCGGGACAGAGCCGGCCCCAGTGTATGTTTACCTCAAGCATTGAATTGCGGAGAATGCCTCTGCCAGGGAGCCAATCCCTCGCCATGGACGTCAAGGCAAGGCGGCCCTAAAGCACCCGCCATCGGCTGCACTCGTACACTGCATCATGCAGGATGTAAGGTTGAATTGGGTATACTCATGGAAAGTACTCCGTATCGGCTAGAAATGCCACTGCTGCTTAAGACGGGCACACCGGAGATCGTGAATGACAAACATGCTCGTGTTGCTTCAGGAGACAGGAATTGACGTAGATATGATACCGAATGCGGCACCTGGTGCATTTGATGCTGGAAAAATTGTCGAATTTGACTGCGAGCCACGAAAAAACATGACGAATACCAGGAAGCAGATGGACCAAATAGGACTGAGAGCAGCTATGGTGTCGAGTGATGGAAAGTAAACAATGCAGTTGCTTCATATGGTAGCGGTGCTTCATATAGTAGAGTAGCACCGCTCCTTCCGCTTCAAGTCAAGATCACGATCCTCTGCCATATTGTAACTACTCCGTATCTGCCTAACACGCCACAAACGATGATACTCGAATGAAACCCGAAATCGAGCGGGAGGGCGATCGAAGACAAGATCCCGGGGAGGTGTGACAAGCTAGCGCGGAGCTAACGTGCTAGTTAGTGGCCATTGGCCAGTCAACTGCCCGCCGGCCATCTCCATCCCAGCCACCGACAACAAGGATCCAAAATCAACATGGCTGGGCTGGCTGGGCCACGTCGTGCACGCTGCGCTGCCTTTTATACAGGCAGCGTGCCTTTCCTTCCCCCCCCCTTTCTTTCCCTTCCTCGTCTCCCCTGTGCCACTGACACTGGGGAATCCAGGGTCTGAAATCTTGTGTGGGCGGAATTTACGCCCTGTGTTTGAATACACCATATCTTATCTTGATCCATCTGTCTCGATAACTCTATCTATCCCACACCCTCAACCCCTACATTCCACCAAACCAGGAACAAACCCAAACCCAAACCAGCCCTCCCCCCAGAAACAAATCCCACCCCGCCAAAATGAAAGAAAACGTCGCCATCGCCGTCATCATCATCGTGCTATTCCTCCTCCTGGCCATCGCCGGCTTCGCCATCCACCGCATGAAGAACCGCGTCGATTACGGCAAGAAACGGGCCATCGACGAGGAGAGCGGCGAGGATGCCGGTTAAATCCATTTCGCATATAGCTTGATGGCCCGATGGCTTGGTTGTCTTACCTACCTTACCTGTCTTACTCTTTTACCCACCCACCCCTACGGGGTGTCTTCACGAACGCATACGATCGACGATTTACGGCTGGCTGCTTTCTCAATGGCTTGTTCACCACACTCATACTTTATCTGTCTACGACTACGATTACGACCACAACTACGAGTATGCGCATTTTACGATATTTGGATGATGTTTTGATGCGATCACATATACACACACACGAACACGAACACATATACATACATATATACATACATTAGGGATTGGATTGGATGTTCATTTGGATACAACGGATCTATCTACCTACCTACCTATCTACCTGCATATTACCGATGATCCGACCTGTGCTTTTTGACCTTGTTTCTCACGATCTCTTTTGCTCACCACTTGGGGAGTCGAGTTTATAGTATTGGTGCCGTGCTGTATAAAAAGCATATCGGTCAGACGGGCACTGGCTATCACTATTACCATCTGTGGGTGGATTGTGATTGAACGATGTGATTCTGGTATTTTCTGGCTGGGCGTATATCTTTAGTTTTGTTTTGTTTGGTTTTCTTCATGATTGATGACGACTTGTGGATTTGGAAAATAATCTACTTTGGCTCTACCACCTAGGTGCTTTGGCATGGGCCAATAGAACACATGACATAACTACACCTATCTCTTTTCCGTGATGGGATGATCGTTTTGACACACGTTAGATGGAGTTGTGAAGTGAGTTGTAAAATTTCAGCTAGAATTGAATGACACTGACACTAGGTGCTATGCTTTTCATTATGTAACATGAATATGGGTTTGTATCGTCGAAAAAGTCGATTGATTCTTCGGGGTTGTAAATGAAACTGCCGTTACCCGAGGATGCGGAGGCCTCCCTTGGTCTTTCCGTGCTTCTTGACTCCGTCATGCTTGACCTTGCCTCCGCCTGCACCGCCTCCCGAGCCACCTCCGCCGCCGTGTTTCTTCCCCTTGTTGTTGGTTACCGGACGAACCTCGGTGGTGGCTCGTCGGAGCAGAATCGGGTGTGATCCAATGTATTTGCCCTGCATCTCCCTCGCAGCCTTGAAGTAGTCGTCGCCGTCGCTGAAACTGACGAATCCGTAGCCCTTGCTCTTTTGCGTGCGCTTGTCACGAATAACCCGGCCCTTCTGGACCGAGGAGTACTTGACGAACGCTTTCAGTAATGAATCGTCCGTCACTTCACCGGCAAGGTTGCCTACGAACAGGCGGAAATGCGCGGGGTCCCACTCCAGCAGCGTCGAATCGTTCCAGTTTTGACCTCCACCGGCACGGGCGACGGTCTTCGGCGTAGGCTCCGGGTTGGCGGGTGCTGGAGTGTTCGCCGTTGTGTTGGCACCGGACGGGGTGTTGGTGCCAGAGGCGACACCGGCATAGCCCGGATTAGCAGCGGGACGACCAGGGATTTTTCCGGGAATGGGCACCTCCTCCTTGTTCGCGTAGGCGCTCTGCCACTGTGCGATCTGGGCTTCTGTTTCTGGGTCTAGCCCCGAGTCATTGCGCCCGAAGTTCCTCCCCTGCATGCCGTAGGCACCGGACTGGTCTGCTCCTGCGGGTGGGAAGGGGTTCTGAATTCGAGGAATCGACGGACCGTATGTGTTTTCATTGTACTGGGCGCCGCCTCCGTAGTATGAAGGTCCGCTCTGGTAGGATGACTGCGATTGTGGGTAGTAGCCGCCGCCGCCGCCGCCGTAGCCGGTCGTGGTCGGGGTCGAGTAGCCACTGATTGTAGTTGGGGGGGCAGACACGATAGGGCTGCTGGTACGGTAGGGTTGACTGGAGGCTACAGAACGAGGCGCGAATGCTGTGATGGCGCTGTGGCCCGCCCGAGGCCCGTGTCCGCCATATCCACTGCTTGGACCGGTCGGTGCGGCCGAATATGCAGGCTGGAAGTTCGAAGGCGAGGCGGTGTTGGGTGCCGGTGGCGGCCGCGGGGGAGCGACGAAGGGGTTTGTCTGAGACCTGGAGGTGGCGGAAAGGACATGATGAACGGGAGTTTCGAAGAAGAGAGAGACGGTGGATGATGTGATGCGCCGTGTGCAAACTAGCAGCAGACACGTACCTTCAGGGTTTGACTGACGCAACAGTCATACGCCAGACGTCACGCCTGAAAAAGGTTCCGGATCTTGGGCGGCAAAGGACGAGGGGTGGGGGATTTTCTAGATCTGATCGCTCTTTTCTTTGCGACCACCTAATTTTGCGCTCTGAAGGCTAGGCGCAGTGAAGCTGGTGTATGATACTGCCTTGTAGCAGAGGATTGTGGCAGTCGATTTGATGAGGGGAAGGAACTGCGCAGGTGAGATGTGTTGATGGTGCTGGTGGGAGTCAAGGTTGTCAAGTTGGTGGGCTGGTAGTCGATGGCGACTCGGGTTGAAGTTCAGTTCAGCGCAGCAGAAGAGATAGCGTGACTGGGTTTCCTCGCCTCCCGCACTATGCAAACTCCGAGTGCAAACGGCAGGTGGCTATCACGTGATAGAAACGGTCAGGCCTGGGCTCTGGCAGCTGAGTCAGCCGGCTGGCCCAACCGCCTGAGTCAGCAGCGGCGGGCAGCCAAGTCTCTCAGCCCCAACGGATTTCCCACATGTGATGCAACCCCCACCCTATTCCCCTTTGGGCCATGCAGTAGCCGACCGAACTAGAGGATCTACCCTGTATCTACTCCGTAGTGTGCTCCGTAGTCATGGTGATGGCCCATCCCATCGCGACGTCGCCGTGCGAAGATGCGGGATACCAAGAAACCCCGGGAAAGGTGGTTGGTTTCTCCGGCTTATGGCTATTGACCCGTGGGGTCCATTGAATTCCGATTCGATTCTACTTTGACCATGCGAACTGCAAAAGATGTTGTTGGCTTGGTGCTAGGGAGTCCGATGCCGTAGGAGAGGGAACCGTGATAGGCGCCGTCGGCGATGAAGGCGCAGGTGAGGAACCGCCCGTACCGGGCATGGGATGATGGATTACTGTTCGTAGTTAGACATGATGGGGGGTGGGTGGAGGGCAGCCCAATTTATCCGTCCCCGACGAGGCTTCACCGAACGCGCTCTGGGAATTTCTTTTTATTTTTCGAGCCTAGCAGGGACCTTTCCCTGGGCCGATGTAGGAACTAGGAAGGCTGCTGAGTGCCGCCGGGCTGCCCCTCCATGCCCCGCCATCCTCACCACAGCTCCTAGTAGTCCTGTGACGCCGTCATCTCCGAACATTCCCCCTCCCCTCCCGAAGGGGTCCGTCCGGGCCAGCCATTGCGATTTGCGAGGGTGTACCGTATCCGGTCAATTGAAGTGTATCCAGCTTGTAGACAAAGAAGGGAGAGTCTCACGCTCGGTAAATGCGATGATGACCCGGTGGACTGAAGAAGGACCTCAGGCCGGAGAAACTGGCCGGTGTAATATTACACCAGGGCCAACCGTATCCGCGGGCTTCCATGCCTGAGGATATCGCCAGAAGACAAGACAAGACATGCCGCTGCGCCGTACCAGACCGGGCGCTGCTCACCGGAGGACTCTGCTCCTCAGGTGCTGCCCCGCCCTCCGTCCCACCATGACGGAAGGGCGCTCCGTAAGCCGTCCATTTGCACGAATCCTGCTCTGACATCTTCGAACGCTTTCTCCCTTTGCGCTCTCGCTTGTTCTTCTCTTCTCCTTTCCTCTTCTTCCCCTCCTTCAACCCTTCCCTACTCCGTCACATCACCCGAGACAGTTTGGTTCTTCCTGCTGTACATATATCCTCCAACCACCCTCCCCTCTTCACTTCTTCTACTTTCCCTTAGCCACTCTCTCCTCCCCACTATTTCATCATGGCTGACCAAGCTGTGTAAGTACCCTGCAACTACCCTTTTACCACCCCTCCCCCCCCTTAATACCCTCCTCCTGTTGATCCCTATCCTCCCCGCGCCTGAAGGAAATCTGCTGGATATCAATCCCCTGCAAATGATCTACAGTTCGCTGGTGGGAAGGATGCTTGCATCCAGGGTTTCCCCTCACCATCCGTCATTGGTGGCTGAGGGCTCAGAAGCTTCGTGGAGTCTGCCTCTCTCGACGTCATACCGTCGCGGGCAATGCAGCTTCACACAATGCCCCTCCTTTTCATTTGTCTGCCCAGCTATTGACAGGGAATTTGGCAACTGACTTTAGCGCCCGTCTCGCCGGCATCAATGTCGGCGCTCCGGCGCGTCCTTTGCCTAGTGCTGATTTCGGTTTGATCGGTCTGGCCGTCATGGGCCAGAACCTGATCCTGAACGTTGCTGACCACGGCTTCACTGTCTGTGCCTACAACCGCACTACCTCCAAGGTTGACCGGTTCCTCGACAACGAGGCCAAGGGTAAGCAGACTCCGCGACAACCGGCATAACCGGGAGCAGATACTAACAATGGTGGTTTTTTTCAGGCAAGTCCATCGTCGGTGCTCACTCCATTGAGGAGTTCTGCGCCAAGCTGAAGCGTCCCCGCCGTATCATGCTTCTGGTCATGGCTGGAAAGCCCGTCGACCAGTTCATCGAGTCTCTCCTGCCCCACCTTGAGGAGGGTGATATCATCATCGACGGTGGTAACTCCCACTTCCCCGACTCCAACCGCCGCACCAAGTACCTCGCCGGCAAGGGTATCCGCTTCGTCGGCAGCGGTGTCTCCGGTGGTGAGGAGGGTGCCCGTTACGGCCCCTCTCTGATGCCTGGTGGTAACGAGGAGGCCTGGCCCTACATCAAGGACATCTTCCAGAGCATCTCCGCCAAGAGCGACGGTGAGGCCTGCTGCGACTGGGTTGGTGACGAGGGCGCTGGTCACTTCGTCAAGATGGTCCACAACGGTATCGAGTACGGTGACATGCAGCTGATCTGCGAGGTAAGCGATTGAACCATCGAAGCGGCCGCAATGGCGCGGGTTGGGCGCGAGCTAACACTCCGTTAGGCCTACGACATCCTCAAGCGTGGTCTCGGTCTCCACACCAACGAGATCGCCGACATCTTCGCCAAGTGGAACAAGGGTGTCTTGGACTCCTTCCTCATCGAGATCACCCGTGATGTCCTCTACTACAACGACACCGACGGTGTTCCCCTTGTTGAGAAGATCCTCGACAAGGCCGGTCAGAAGGGTACTGGCAAGTGGACTGCCATCAACGCCCTCGACCTGGGCATGCCCGTCACCCTGATTGGCGAGTCCGTCTTCTCCCGCTGCCTCTCCGCCCTCAAGGACGAGCGTGCCCGTGCCAGCACCCTCCTCAACGGACCCACTCCCGAATTCACCGGTGACAAGCAGGCTTTCATCGATGACCTGGAGCAGGCCCTGTATGCCTCCAAGATCATCTCCTACGCCCAGGGCTTCATGCTCATCCAGGAGGTAAGTTGCACGAACCCCGTGGCTTGATTCTTCCATGGCCACAGTCGCTGACCCCCTGTCCTATTAGGCTGCCCGTGAGTACGGCTGGAAGCTGAACAAGCCCTCCATCGCCCTCATGTGGCGTGGTGGTTGCATCATCCGCTCCGTCTTCCTGAAGGACATCACCAACGCTTACCGCAAGAACCCCGAGCTCGAGAACCTCCTGTTCGACGAGTTCTTCAACAACGCCATCCACACTGCCCAGAGCGGCTGGAGAAACGTTGTCAGCAAGGGCGCTCTCTGGGGTATCCCCACCCCCGCTTTCAGCACCGCCCTCAGCTTCTACGACGGCTACCGCACCAAGGACCTCCCCGCCAACCTGCTCCAGGCCCAGCGTGACTACTTCGGTGCCCACACCTTCCGCATCAAGCCCGAGCACGCCAGCGAGACCTACCCCGAGGGCCAGGACATCCACGTCAACTGGACCGGCCGCGGTGGTAACGTGTCTGCTTCCACCTACATTGCTTAGATGAAAATGTGATGTCAAACGCTGGACGTGGAGCCTCGCACCGGTCTGGCATAGGAACGGGAGAGGTAGCTAGCCGGGCTCTCTGAGCACATCAAATAAGAATGATGACGATCAAAACGACAAACAAAGCAGAAAATACATTTTATTTCTTCATATCCATGTACCTAGATGCCCAGTGTTTTCATGTGAAAAACGTATGGAATGACAAGTTCTTTTTTTTTTTTTTTGACTTCTTTGGATATGTAGGGATGAGTAGATGTAGATAGATATATAATCGTAACGCTGCTGGGGATTTCGGAACTGCTGCTCCGCCCTGGACTAGGCCGGATTCGGTCACGGAAAGTGTCGTGACTCCCGGGCTCTGGCGGCTGGCAGCCATCTTTCTCGACAAGTGCGCCATTCAACCATCCATCCTGCCCAACTGATCATTTCCAATGCCACGACGCTAAGGAGCCCCCCTTCCCTGGTCGGCCGTGCTCCATTGGTGCTATTTTCACTTCTGTGATTGTTGTTATATCCCCGTATTTTGTGCGCCTCCTTCTCGTCGTTCCTTTATCCAACTACGACTAAGCAGCGGTTCCCGCTCCGTCCCACTTTTGCTTGCTCCGCGCTCGAGTGCCTTCGTCATTGCTCGTAACGACCGTGGTTTCGACACAGCTTGGAACCGCATCCCGACCCCTCGTTTCGACGCTACGTTTGACCTGAACAGCGGGCGTTCCTGTGCTCCCTTCTCCCTCGACTGAGCACACCTTCGTCTCCCCCAACAAGACAGCTCAGCCATTGCGTGACGGTGGACCTTGTCCTGTCCTGTCCTGCGTTGCTGCCGCTGGGATAGACCAAGTGTCGCCTTCCCTGAGAGAGGTGATCATATGGCCGATAGCAAACGCCACAGTGTCGGAGTGAGAGCACCTGCGCAAGGGCCTTCTGGAGCAAGTGCGGGCCAGGGAATCACGGGTGCCATGGTGCCTCTGGAAGTGGCATTGAGCAGTGCAATTGGTGCACGGTAAGCCCCTACCTCCCTATAGCCCTGTAAGGCAAGTGGCTCTGCGTGTCCAGGGACCACTGGTGTGCTTTTGCGGGGAGGAGGGTGGGAAAGCATATGATGGCCACATGCTGACACGATTGCCTTTACAACAGTGTTCGCATCAGCACGTCTCCGGTCGCCTCCACGATTGAGGGCACTCTTTTCACAGCCTGTCCCATCACGAATCTCGTTGCCATTAACACTGCCGACGGACCTCAGACGCAGGCGGGTGACTACCGTATCATTCCGGTGTCGCGTATACAATCCTTCCAACTCCTCTCCCTTCCCACGTCCTCGAACCCCGATGGATCCTCGTTCTCGGATGCCGTCCCGCCGTTGCAAGCCCTCGACATCCGGTCCTTGAAGACTCGGGAGGCCACGGCTGTCGGCAAATTACAAGAGAGTGAGGCACGACGCGGCAAGGGAGTTACGCGGGAAGCACAGGACCTCTTTGACGCTTTCAGTCGCACAATGCCAGCACGGTGGGATGGAAACAAGATCATTGTGGCTGATGCAGTCGCCATTGCGGCTCCTTACCGGCCAGACGACTGCCAGCCCTTGGTAGCGGGTGACACGGCTGCTCTTGCCCGAGTGCGCATGGTGGTAAGTCACGAACCCCCCATCCATGTGTGAGGGATTTCCAGAACGGGGCTCACAGCCTACCAGCTCGAAATGGAACGCAAGAAGATCGAACTCCGCAACGCAAGTGCAACCATCGGTATGTGGCACCCTCCCCTCAGGTTGGATATGCAACCCAACCGTAATGATAAATGACTACGATACATCTAACACCCCCATCCCAGGGACCGCCGCTGCCGGACAACGGAAAGGAGGCTGAAACGTCTCCCTCTACCTCTCCATTACCTGAAAGGCTCCTCCCGGCCTCTTAGGTACATGTCACCGGGGACGAACGCTAACGTGGGATGGACGGAACCCACCCATGACCGCCAAAGTAAGCCAATGAAGGAAACCAGGGACGGGAGCTTTTTTTTGCCTCTCTCTCTCTCTCCCTGGCGCACTCAAATATAACACGGAAGCGATGCATGCGTGGGGCCTGGAATCGCCGAGAATCACGGGCATGAAGACGGATGGGATAGTGTGGGTATCAACCCAGCAGGGGGGACGGCATCCGGGCAGGTGGTCGGTTGTAGATAACTTCTCTGGACATCGGTGTATGTGTGTGTATGTGTGTACTCTTGTCCGTCCTAGAAACGACCCGAACTGGGTGGCCCTGATGGGTCGGAAATGGAGCCTTGTCTTATCTTATTATTTCTATTATTCATTATTTGTATCTTTGCCTCGTCGATGGGGTTGTTTGTTCTTTAGACATAAGATGATCCTCATAAACCCTGGGACTTCTGACTGGCTGTACTTGATTCTCTGTTTTGAACCTGGGTCTGCGCGAGCGGTGGCTTTTTTTTTGTTCCCTTGGATAGATAGATGGGTCACTTCCACTTGCTTTCCTACTGTCTGGATTGATTCAGGGCAACTGGAGTTGAGAACTTATTCCATCTCAACTATACCTTTACGCTACGAACGATCGAGTTGCTTCTCGGCTCTATGTATTTATCCATCCATCCATCCAATTCCATCCATCTAATTTCATCCTTCTAATTTCATCTATCTCCCAGACCTACACACCATAGAAACACCACTACCATCTACACCACTACCATCTACACACCATCATCTACACCACCACCATCTACGCCAACCTCGTCTGAAAATGATCAATCCACAAAAAGGAACGAAGGAAGACTACTACTATCAGGAAACAGCCCAATCTATAACCGAACGACCCTCCAGTCAATCTATCAATCAATCAACAACAACAATAAACTTGTCCCATGTCCTTGTCCTTGTCCTTCTCCTTGTCCACCATGACACGAGACCGAGACTGAGACCCAGACCCAAACCAAGAACCCAGACCCAGCCGTTACATCCTCCCCGGTCGGTGTCGTCGCGCAGACCAGGTGCCACAGAAAGTAACCTCGCCTCGCTGTTGCACCCCCCTCCCTCCCTCCCTCCCTCTATTCCCTTAAGGTGGTGGTGGTGGTGGTGGTCGAACCCGCTTTTCCTGGGACAGGTTCATTCTAACTAGTTAGGTAGATGGTTTCATGTTTGTGAGAGAATAGGTAGTTATAGTATCTAGTAGTTAAGGTACTGTAGGTAGGAGGTTTCTTTCCTTTCCGATCCTTTGCTTTCCTTCCTTTTATGTTTATCTTGTCTTGTCGTAGAGTTCAATCTACCTCAGAGTAAGTACATCCCAGAGAGTCTGGACTGATATACCCAAGTACTTACTATAGTTAAGTAGGTGCATACCATTGAGTGGAGTGAGTGGGGTGGGGTTAGCTTTCGTTTCGGGTCTGTTTTCTTGAACCTATTTACCTACCTACTGTACCTACTTATCTACTACCCACCTGCTAACTACCTACATAGGTGGTAAGGAAGTAAGTAGGAGGGGTAAGAACGGACGGCACACATCGGTCTGAGCGCGACGATAGATCGAGAATCGGATCGAGGCTCGAGGCTCGAGGTTCGGATATTTGCCATGTCCGAATTATTCCATGGTCGTGCTACTGCTGGCTGGTTACTACTTTACTACTAACTACTTTACTATCTATTGTATCATGCATTACGGAGTACATCGGCGCTATATCGGGATGGGCCAGCCAGCCAGCCAGCCGTGGCCTCCGGAGAATGTCCAATACGACCGGACCGAGCGGTCGGTGCTCATGCTTTTTCAGCCAGGAGGTGGACGGATGGATGGATGGATGGGTAGATGGATTGATTGATACGGGGAGGGAGGGGAGGTAAGGGAGCGGAAATTCTCCGAGGCCGCTTGTTTGTCGAATGTCGATGGATCAGAATCAGAATCAGAATCGGAATGATAATGATAATGATAATGTTCGGGGCCAATGGGTTGGCTGGCTGGCTGGATAGCTGGTCTGAAAGCTCATTCTGTGATTTGATTTTACTCTCTTGGGTGTTGTTTATTCAGAGACAGACAGAGACAGGATCGGACGCAGACCGACCGACAGACCGACCGGCATAAGGCTATTCGAACTATGCCTTCAACTAACGCGGTGCAGGGCTGCAATCTGCAATCTGCATGGGCCCGATAGTTCGATGGCTGTTCGAGGGCATAATCATCGTGTGCTGTACGGAGGACTACTCCGTTCTGGGGATGGATGGATGCGATGTCCGCCCGCTGCCTGTCTGCGCGCATGTCATAATGGTGATGACATTGGCGGCTCATCTAGAAGGGCCGCTTCGAGCCGCTCGGTCGGTCGGTCGGTCGGTCGCTGGTGGCGAGCCAGTCCGATAATAATCATGCAAAATGGGTCGGTCGGTCGAAAGACCACTCTGATCGACCTGTGCCCACATGGGGAATGAAGATCCTGGACAAGTGTGGGAAAAAAAGAGGGAGAAAAAATAAAAAAAAGAGAAAAGGAAAAGAAAAGAAAGACGACAGGCGGCGAGATGAGATCAACCCCGCAATAATGATCATTGATCATGGATTGGCATGCCTCCGACCCTTGGTTCATTGAGATTGCCAACCGAGCGCACGACCAATGCTGCTGCTGCTGCTGTTGCTGCTGACGCCCAGCCCTGGCCGAGGCTGGGCGTCGGAATACAATGGGCCTTGGGAGAAGAGAAGGGAAGGGATGAGGGGATGATAATGGAGAATGGAGCCGGACATTATTGTTCGCTTCCCCGTTCAGTTCTGTACCGTTCCCACCCTCAGGCCATACCTATCAGAAAGCTACCACCTCAAGGTCAGTTCGGGGGAGGGGAGTATTGCATGGTCCGCGGCCAATGACTGCGGCAGACGAGGTCGTGTTTAGAGTTGGACCCAAGCAGGGCCACGCCAAGAGTCGGTGTGGATGACTGACTTCTTTTGGATGCTAAAAGTAATCCCAAAGGGCTAGATAACGAGGGAAAAAGGCACGGCACGGGAAAGTGTTGCTGGCAGTTGAACTGCAGCTGCTGCCTGATGGGAGGGTCCCTGATTGATCCTCGTCTAATCCGTCGAGTATCACGGCTGCACAAGGGAGAGGCCAACAGGACAGGACAGGACAGGACAGGACAGGACAGGACAGGGCACAAGGCACAAGGCACAGGGCGCAGGAGCGTCTGATGTCTTTCAGATCTTCCCACCTTGTGCTTCGTGCTGGTGGTTACCTACCAGGTAACTAGATAGTGGGGGGCAGATGGCGATTTTCTCAAGGTACCGACCGTCTAGGATTTGATGATGACCCCGGATCGTCCGGAAGGGACCAAACCCGACTTAATCTAGAAGAAAATTGAAGTGGTCCCCGCTCCCAGAGGGGAAGGTTGGCTGGTGACTTGACTTGACTTGACTTGACTTGACTCCAGGGGGTACCCAATTTGACTCCTTGAGGGGCCATTCTGCTTTTTGAGACAGGTCAGGCGCTGGTGAAGGTGGATCCCTCGACTGACTAGGGCCTCGTTAATAAACGGCGAGTTGGTGTTGATGATGATGATGATTCTTCTTTCATGAGGAGGATTAGAACTAGTTGCTACACCAAAAGTCCCAGCAGTCCCAGATAGGGAGTGAATGACGTCTGGGTGGCTGAAGGACTTTTGCTTACAGACCAGGCACTGCTTGGCAAAAGCAACAATTCACAAACAAACAGAAACAGAAACAGAAACCATCACGGATTGGATTTGGGTTGAAACCTCCAGCACAGACTACACGACTAAACCTCCCAACTCCCAACTCAATCAACTCCCTCCTCCATTCCACAATCCACAATCCCCCTCCCCTCTTCTGACTTCTGACTCCTATCTTCTTCTCCTCTTTCTTTCTTCCCTGCTCACGTCTCACAGCTGACTTGCTGTGACTCCCTCCCTCCTTTCATTCCTTTTGTCGGCTTATCCTTTCTTTCTTTGACTGTCCCCCCCCAATAAACCCATAAACCCACTACTGAACCCAACTTTACGGGGTACTTGCTTGCTTGCTTGCTTGCTGCCTTCTTGCATCGGTCGCCCTTGCATCATCCGCACCCATTCCCCCCCCCCCAAAAAGCTGTCTTGCTCCTTTCATCCCCCCTCCCCAGTTATTTTCCTTGCCTCTCGTGACGTTGATTGATTAGCCTGCCTTTGCTCTTGCACTTCCTGTCAATCCCCACTAAGACCAGTCAATTCCCTCACCGGTCTTCCTTCCACTCCTTCCCGGCCATATCCTGTGCCCCTCGCCATTCTTCCTCCTTCGAATCCTCGAAATCCCTCGGTCGTGACTGCAACCTCGCCCTGGACCACTGAGACACGCCCACCTACCTTCCTGCTCTCTCATGGGGCCATCGCCGACCTAGCGACCCTCCTTCGTATCGCCCTCCTCTTATAACCGCTCGCCGCCCCGACGATTCCCACCTCCGACTATGGGAGTCTCTCCTCCGTCCGGCAACCATCATCGACGGCGGAGTTCAGTATTGGCTGGGACATCCCTATCGGCGCCAATCGAGCACCGGGACGACAGCTCGAGGGTGATTGCGGACGCCGCGGGTCCGAAGCGTGAGGAAGCCAAGTCCTCGCCGGCTGAGGACGCAGACATCTCGGATCTTTCGTCCATTGCAGAGAGCTTGGAGATGGATTACATGAGTTCGGACGACGACCTCCACGACGATGAAGAGACGGGCCTCACCGCGAAGCAGAGGCGTCAGAGGCGCCGCAGAAGACAACAGCGGAGACAGCTCGATGCTCGCATCGCTGACGTCAAGGCCTCCCGGCAAGATGATTTCCTGGGCTTTGGGGATAGCGACGTCGTCAAGCGGCTGCTGGTCAATGCCGGGTTGATCCTGATGTGGTACTTCTTCTCGTTGTCCATCTCCGTGGTAAGTTGTCTGGAGCGCGTGCAGAGGGATCCATTGCCATGCTAACTAACTACTTATCTCACCAGTACAACAAGTGGATGTTTTCCGACGACGACGTCGTATTCCCGTTTCCTCTCTTCACCACCAGCCTGCACATGCTCGTCCAATTTACCTTCTCCTCCCTGCTCCTTTGGCTTATACCCTCCCTCCGCCCCAAGCCACCCACCGCATCCACGCCGTCTGGGTCGCCCGTCTCCGAACATGAGGCGTTGGAGCCCCGACCGGTCATCACCAAGTTCTTCTACCTTACACGTCTCGTTCCCTGCGGTGCAGCGACCTCTCTCGATATCGGTCTGGGGAACATGTCCCTGAAGTTCATCTCCCTCACGTTTCTGACCATGTGCAAATCGTCCGCCTTGGCTTTCGTGCTTCTGTTCGCCTTTGTTTTCCGCCTGGAGACTCCGTCTGTCAGGCTCATCATCATCATTGCCACGATGACGGTGGGTGTGGTCATGATGGTCGCAGGCGAGACCGCATTCAATGCGCTAGGCTTCATCCTGGTCATCGCGTCTGCGTTCTTCTCAGGCTTCCGATGGGGTCTCACCCAAATCCTCCTTCTCCGCCACCCTGCGACGGCGAACCCCTTCTCCACGCTGTTCTTTCTCACCCCGGTGATGTTTTTCTCGCTGATCGTGATTGCGCTGGCGGTAGAAGGCCCGTCGGAAATCATCACCGGATTCCAGGCTCTGGCCGACGCCCGTGGTGGCATGTTCGCCGTCTTCCTTCTGATCTTCCCCGGCATACTGGCTTTCTGTATGATCTCCTCTGAGTTTGCGCTGCTCAAGCGCTCTTCGGTAGTGACGCTGAGCATCTGCGGCATCTTCAAGGAGGTCGTCACGATCAGTGCCGCAGGGGTGATCTTCCACGACCAGCTCACTGTGGTCAACATCACGGGCTTGGTCGTCACGATCGGCAGCATCGCATCCTACAATTACATGAAAATCGCCAAAATGCGTGCAGACGCCCAGAAGGGCTCGTGGACGCGGAGCCCGAACCTCGATTCCGAGACGGACGACTCGGATCCATCCGGTGAGCGCGGCGAATACCGCCGGATCAACCCGGAAACAAGCATGTTCCAAAATCCCGACATCCACGGCGATGAGGATGATGTGAATATCACGGGCGATGGCTTGACCGCGGGCGGTCGGCGTTCATTCCGGGTGCGTGCCAGCGGAGCCAGCAACACGCTGGGACTCAGCATCAACACCACCAATCTGAGCGATCACGAAACATCCTTGTCCCCACGAGTCACCGGTCCTGCTCCCTTGCGCTCTGCACCTCCGGTCATCACCTCCCTCGAGACCGAGCTGAACAAGGCGGGTCGGGCCCCGAACTACGGAAGCAGCCTCCAGACGTCCCCGAACGGGGATCCCCGGGGCAAGGGCGGTCGGCCAGTTAAAAAAAAAAAACGGTCCAGGCTTGATGTCTCGCGCCCCTCGGCTCTGGAAACCGCTGGCATGGTCTAAGCCGAGATTCCTCCTTTTCCTTTATCCTGAGATCTCTCTTGTCGGGTTGAAAGCAGCATGGCATCAGCGTTCGAGTTCCCCCTCTTCCTCCGATTGTCCGTTTGACTTGATTTGTTTCTTCTTTTCATTTATATTGGCGGTTCTTGTCAGACGTGCCCGGCTGGGGGCACGTCTGAAGTGGAGTACATTGGGCGTCCCCGCACATATTGATCGGCAGACACGCGTGCTTGTCTGCTATAGACAGTGATTTACCATCGAGTGATACCATGTTATCTATCTCTTAGCTCGCCGAATAGAGCTTAATCGCATCTTGCTGTTAGATGATGCTTGTACCTGGTTGGTGTGAATGGGTGGGTTGTAGTGGAGAGAATTGGCGTGTAATCGAGTCTAGATGTATTTTCTAGTGAGTAAGATATACATAGGATGGTGTAGGTATTTCGTGACTTGAGTTGACTTTGACGGGGCATCGGGCATCCTTCTGTGGTAATGAAATTGTACATTAGGAATTAACTGTTTTCGGATATTTGATCACTCATTCTATTCAGCTCCAGTACTTCCCCCCTCTTTGCTGATAAGTACGTACGTACTACTACTAACTATTCAAGACACCCGGGAAAGTGCTGCCTATAGGTATAGTAGGTCTATGTATCTATCTACATCGCCACGGACAGAAGTGTGTATTCCTGACTAACTACTATGGCTGGCTCTCTTACGCTATGGATATCCGCCACTTCAATCACCAGTTCCTTCGCTCGCACGGTGGGTGGTACGATTAATACTGTTACTAGTTACGAGCAAGCGCACTACCATAGCAATCAACCCTACTTCATTCACAGTAGTGGCCAAGCAATATCATCATGACGGATATTATGTTGAGGATGCGAGAGATACAAGAACCACGCCGACCTGTTACGGGATCAGCCAATCATATCTGTTTCTGGGTCGTCAGGTTTTCCCCCTTTTCCATATTAAAGCTTCGCTTTGGAAATCAAGTCCGGATAACGAGTACAGCATAGATTGGCGGAAGTATATATATGGTTGCTGCTTTTCTGACAGATTGGGGTATTATTAGACAGAAAAAGCACCGAGAAGATCATTTCGCACTGTTGGGCATTATCAAGGGTGTCATATAGATAGATATCTTTCTCCACATCCCATGTCAATCCTCGGCATGACTCTGACAGCCCTCATCGTCACTCCCGTCATCCGCAGCCTTACCCTTCTTCCCCGGCCCCTTCATCATATCCAGCAGAGATTTCTGTCCCTTCTTTGCCGGACTACCCTTCGCCTGCTTCTTTTTCTCGGTCTCCATTTTGCGCTCATACTGCTCCTGCTGCTTCTCGCGCGTCTCCCTCCCTTCCTCGGACAACTTCGCCTCGAGAGCGCGGAACTCCGGACCCTCGGGGTCCATCCCGATGAGAGATTCGAGGAGTTCGATTTCCCGGGCCCAGACGCCGTAGTCGGGGACGAGTTTAGCTGCTGCCGGCTTCTTTTTCTTCTTCTTGCTGTCGGGGTCGCTGTCGCTGTCCTGGTCTTCTTCCTTGACGGCCCCCGGTGGAGGACGGTCGATGGGCGTTTCGAGGATCATGGGGAGATCCTGGAACCGTGGCTCGTTCATGACGTTGTGGAAGGCCCGGAGACCGAGGAATCCGGTTCCAATGTTCGCGTGCAAGTCTCTTTTACTGCCTCCCGGGGCCTTGGAGTCGTTCAGGTGGAGAGCGCGCAGGTGTTGGATGCCGATCTTGTCTTCGAATTCCTGCATGAAGGCCTTGAAGCCGGCGGGGGTAACGAGGTCGTATCCCGCTGCGAAGCTGTGGCAGGTGTCGATGCAGATTCCGATGCGCGGGTGGTGTTCCTTCGGGATTAGGGCGAGGAGGTCCTGGAATTCGTGCAGGTAGCCGCCGATTGTGGTGCCGTGGCCGCACATCGTCTCCAGGACGGGGACTACGGTGGAGGTTGCGGAGAGAGCGTTTGTGAGGGCTTTGGCGAGCCGGGAGAGGGCGTCGGGGAGGCTGCTTTGGTTGGCGCTGCCGGGGCTGTTCGGGAATGCGTTAGATGAGGGGGGGCATGGAGGAATTGGGGAGGAATCGGAGTGCGCACTGGAAGTTGTAGAGGGTGATTCCGAGAGCCTCGCAGCGGCGGAGGTCATCGAGGAATGAGTCGTAGGCCTGCTTGGCTTTGTCCTTGTCTTCTTGGGCCAGGTTGACGAGGTATGAGCCGTGGGGGAGGATGTGTCTAGGGGTTATTAGAACAGGGTTGGCTGATTCGGGAGTTGGGCGTACTTTGGATCGTCGTATTTGTTCTCCAGGCACAGTTTGCGGAATTGGTCTCGATGGTCGTCTTGAAGGGGTGGGTTGTCCCATTTGCGCTGCGATTTGAGGAAGAGGGCGAAGGCGTTGCCACTGGGAGGAATTGGTCAGTGGGCTATTGTGTTGTCGGATGGACAGTGAGTGGACGTACCCAATTTGCATGCTGTTATGGACGGCATTGAAGACACCTAAAAGAGCAGATGATGAGCATATGCTTCGTATACCGATGTGCATAGATGCCATACCTTTGGCAGCGCTGACATGAGCTCCCACGCACATGCGCAAGCCCGGTGTGCGGGCTCGCAGCGGTACCATCTCTGCCTCCTCCTTTGTCTTCTTTTTCCTTGGGGCCTTTGCCTTTACCACTGGCTTCTCATCTGCCTCTTCGCTTTCCTCTCCCTCACCCTCGTCGAATTGCTCCTCCGGGTTATTGCCGACCGTCTCAAGACCCTTCAGGGAAATGACCTTGCCCCCTCCACGAGGCTTCCTCGCTGGGGCTTTCGTATTCTTCGTGGCAGGTTTGGTGGCAGCTGCGCGGGGTTTCGACTGACTGGACGATGGCGCAGCTTTCGGACCCACAGCAGGCTTCACGCGCTTCGACCTTCGAGGAGAGGTTTGCTCTTGAGCTTCGGGAAGCTTGCGCTTGCTGGATTCGGCGGAGACAGCAGGAGCCGTTGTGCGGGGTCCGCGCGGAGGCATTGCAAGTTGGTTTGGAGGGTAACCGACTGTGACGTGCCTCGGGGTTGCTCAGGCGATGGAGGATAATGGAGGGGTGGGAGCGAGGTACTGAGGTGGGCTGTCAAGACGAATCTGAATAATAGGATCGGCCCGCGACGGCGATTTCACGCGGCGACGCGGAGCCGGACAGCGAATATTACCTGGTATGGCCTAGCGCCCATGTGACTCGTCGCCGGGGCAACGCCGACCCGGGCCTTTGTGGGTGTTTGGTTTATCGATAATCTTCCCCTCGCCTCGACACCGCCAGACACCGCCATCCATCGCCATCCATCGCCATCCATTCCTTCGGACTCTCGACAACCACAACTAACCCCCACAGGAAACCTCGACACCCCTGCTCGGCCTCCTCATTCTTACCTGTCGCCGCCATGGCGGCTTCCGAAGATCTCATCAACTTCGACATCATCGAAAACCAGAAGGAAAATATCCAGTCCCTACCCGGAGGCCGATCGGCAAGAGAGCTGGCTCGCATCTTCTCCCCTCGCGATTCCACAGACGTGCTGGCGGCTCCCTCGCCCAACGACACGCGCACAGTCAACGATGCCATCAGACAGGAATACAAGGCGGAGTTGCAAGCCATCGGAGAATCTGACGACCCCCTCGATATTTACGACCGATACGTGAAATGGACTTTGAACGCCTACCCCTCCGCCCAGGCGACATCCGAATCCGGCCTTCTGCCCCTACTGGAACGCGCCGTGAAGTCCTTCCTCTCTTCAGCGCATTACAAGAACGATCCTCGTTATCTCCGCTTATGGCTCCACTACATCAGACTCTTCTCGGACTCGCCGCGAGAGACATTCGCCTTCCTGGCGCGTCATCGTATCGGAGAGGGACTGGCACTCTACTACGAAGAATTTGCGGCCTGGTTGGAAACTGCGGGTAGGTGGACGCAGGCCGACGAAGTGTACCGCCTTGGCATCGACAAGGAAGCGCGCCCCGCCGAACGGCTCGCCCGGAAATACAGCGAATTCCAATATCGCTATGACAACCACACACAAGACAATGGTCCCTCGTCACCTGCGTTGCCGGCGATTCGCCCAGCCTTGGCGGCAAAGGTCGACCCGTTTGTTTCGACCGATGAGTCTCCCGTTCAACGCCCCGCGCCTGCAAGAGAGGCTGCTCCGAAGACGAAGTCCGGCAAACCGAAGATGGCTATCTTCTCCGATGCCGACTCGCCCAGTCAGCCAGCTGTCAGTGGCCCGGCCCAAGGGTGGGATAGCATAGGGTCGTTGCATGAGCGGCGGAAGGAGAACAAGGTGGAGGCGAAGCCATGGGCGGGGGAGACGTTGAAGGCGGGGAAGAAGCCAGCGCCAGTGCAGAAGATGGCGATTTTCAGGGATGAGGTGAGTCCAGTGGTTTATTTGCCTACTGTTTCTGATTTCCGTATATTTACGATCACAGGACTAATTGGTGGCATGAACCGGTTTGGTTTACGATTAATGTATTCAGTCAAATTCAAATATACAAGCCAAAGAGGCATTGCAATCGAAACATGTTCCGGAGCACCGTGTAAGAGAGGCGATTAACCCACGTACAGGAAGGCGGGAGCGCGTGTTTGTCAACCTCGATGCAGTATATCCTGACTACAAGGACCCGAACAACGAAGTCAGCTTCGAGGAACTCAGAGCCATCAACCGTGGCTGGATGGATAAGGACTGGCGCGCCCATAAGAAGCCCCTCAAGCAGATATCGGGGAATGCCACTTCGGCGGACTTGCCATCCGAGAACCCCCTCGAACATGGCCTGGAGAACGATTTGCCGGCACAGTTCAACCGGAAACTGACCGTTAAGGACACCGATAATCGCGACGCAGAGCGAGCGCATGCGTCCCAGGAGGGCAAGAGTGGCAAATCCCGGAAATTGAAAGTCCGCGAAGTGAAGGGCGAGACTCAAACTAGTAAGTACTCAACTCCTATTCACTATGGATCTTAAATTTGCATGCGTGTTACCTGTGGGTGCTAACTCAGGTGAAGTCAAAATGAAATTTGACTCCCCAACTGGAGGCAGCAAGGTTCGTCGGAAAAGCACGGCTGAGCCAACAATGACCATGCACACCCGCGCCGCGACAGATGAGATCTATAGTATCTTTAACCAGCCACTCAAAGCCGAAACCGAAAATGTAGCGGAGAGCAGCGACTTCGAGGACGACGACTATACCAGCGCGGGCGAAAGCACAGGGACTGGCCGCATCTCAGCCGCATCTAGCGATTTCGGGGACGATGACACCACTTTCCACAAGTCATTTGTTGAGGGGGATGAGGATGGATTTGAGGATAACACACGGGCTGAGAGCGTAGTAGATGGAGAATGGACCCAGTTTTCGGCCTGTGAAGTGCCCGGTGTGGGCTCAGGTCATTCACTAGCAGCAGACTCCACATACCACGGCAGGGGGGATGAAACAGAATATTTCGATGATGACGATGAGGAAAGGACTGAAAGGCAGCGATTCGTCCCAGAAATGCCCGACGACTACGTCCAGCCTTATGGTTCTTACCGGGACCCTGCCATTGTCGCACAGAATCGCCTGCCCTTCATGACGCCGATCGTGGAGCAAACCGAGTACTCTCTTGCCTCAATGACGGCCGCTAGGAGTCAGATATACAATGCGAAGACACCGTCCAAGCCCATGCAGAAAACGCCGCTCATGGGCGACTTGCTGTCGAGCCCATTGCTTGCCGCCACGCCGCATCATGACGAGAACTTCCCTGATATCCCCGAAGATGTCGCCTTGAGCCCGACGGTGGAGAAGGTCCGCACTAGCTTTAAGTTGTCACCCCTGAAAGAGAGCGGCCAACGAGAGATAGTCATCAATGATGCGCAGTGCAACCCGACTAACAAGGTCATTCGTAACACTATCCTCCGGTCCTTGCAGCCCCCTCTGTCCACCTACCCTGGATACCATGGCCACCCCGAGATCACCACCCATTACGGCCCTGAAATCCAGAGATTCATCAAAGCTCATACCAAGCGCCCGAGAACCAGTGACGAGGCGTCTTTCGATGTGCCAATTCTCGAACTTCCCGGTGCCGAAAGAAGCTACATCATCCGACGCGAGCTTGGTGCAGGAGCATACGCGCCTGTCTACTTCGCAGAAAGCATCGATAACCTGCCCTCCGACTCCGACTCCACAGACAGCAACAGCAGAGATTCCCACCGTTACAAATCGCCCCAATACAATACCCCTCGTTACGGATTCGAAGCGATCAAGTTGGAGGAAGGCCCGCCCAGCGAATGGGAGTTCTACATGATCCACACCGCGAACGAACGACTGAGAAACCACCCGGAGCTCTCTCGCGCAGCTGACAGTCTCATCCGTGCCCATGAACTTCACGTCTACAAGGGAGAAAGTATCCTGGTGGAAGACTACCGCGGACAGGGAACGTTGCTAGACCTCATCAATCTAATCCGCAGCGAACCAATCTCTGCCGGCGCCAACGGTGAAGGCGGACTGGACGAGGTCCTAGCCATGTTCTTCACGGTGGAGCTATTCCGCACCGTCGAGGCCCTGCACCAGAACGGCATCCTGCACGGCGACATCAAAGCCGACAACTGCCTGGTCCGCCTGGACGACAAGCCCGCCACACCCCCGTCCCTGACCGAACTCGACGAAGAAGCCACCGCAGACCCACGCGAAGTCCACTATTCCCCCAGAGGCCTGTACGGCTGGCGCAGCAAGGGTCTCTCCCTGATCGACTTCGGCCGCAGCATCGACATGCACGCCTTCCAACCCTCCGTCCAATTCACCGCCGACTGGGCAAGCAGCAAGCACGAGTGCAACGAAGTCCGCGAGAACCGCCCCTGGACGCACCAGATCGACCTCTACGGCCTGGCCGGCACCGTGCACATCATGCTGTTCGGAAAGTACCTCGAATCCGTCCCCACCAGCGACTCCCCGGTGACCAGAACCTACCGTATCCGCGAATCCCTGAAACGGTACTGGGAGCGCGACATCTGGAACGACGTCTTCGATCTCCTTCTTAATCCGGGACAGGAGCGGTGGGCCCACATCGAGCGCGAGGGTAATAATCCCGCTGCATTTGTGTCCGAGAACCCGCCTATTCTTCCCGTCACGAACTCTATGAGATACCTTCGTGAGAGAATGGAGGCCTGGCTTGTCGTCAATGCGGAGAAGAAGGGTCTTGGTCTGCAGATCCGCAAGTTGGAAGCTATTTTTGCCGAGAGGAAGAAGAGGTTGGAGAAGTGTTGATGCAGACAGATACCATGTCTCTCTCACTTCCTAGTCTCCTTTTACTCCTTGGTCTGATCGGTCTGGTTTAATCTTCTCCCACGATCTTCTGCTTGTGCTTGTGCCTATGCTTGCTTGCTTGCTTAATATACCCCCTTTTGCCTGATCGCGCGTTGGCGTTGGCGTTGGCGTTGGCCTTTAGTTGATCACCGCCCCACCCCACACACCTACCTTTTCTCCCCCCCCCCCCTCTCCTATTTATTGTCTTTCTTTCCTCTAATCACTCTTCACTCTGTTTCCATCTTGGCTTTTTCTTCTGGTCATAGATTTTCTTGTGCTGCTGCTGCATACATAATCACCCACTCGCATCCTAGTTACTACTTAGTTACTTAGTATCGAATCTAGGCAGCGACAGCTTAATTGTACAGATGGAACTCAGCAAATGTATGTAATGCTGTTTATGATGTAGTTTTTTTTTTCGCTGCGTGGAGTCAATCTACCCTACCCTACCCTATTCATCCTACCTATCCTACCTATCCTACCTATCCTACCCCCATACAAAATCAGTATCATCCCACCTGATCTATCTACATAGGTTTGTTTACTACTAACCTTACCTTCATAAGTTAGTACCTTACCTTACCTTACCCAGGTACCTATTTAGTTAGTTGTAGGTATATATATCACTACCTCAGGCTCAACTCAGCTCGACTCGACCTTCCCTCCCCTCAGGCCAAAAACCAAATATTCGCGTAAGGCCCTCCTCCCTCCTCAGGCCAGAAGTGGCAGCGATATCTGCTGCCTCAGGCAGATATGCAGTGGAATTCTGGAATCTCTAGCTCCCGAAGGCGTCAGATGTGGCCGAGGCCGTCAGTATCAACTATTAATCAATCAATCGGAGAATAAGGGGCCGAGATAGAGGGAAATAGCTAGCTATCAGGATTCAGATCGAGATGGTTGGCTCGGTATCTATCTATCTATCTATGTCTATCTATGTCTATCTTTCTGGCTGTCTGGCTGTCTGCCTATGTCTTTGAATCTACTCGGTAGGTATACTACCGACTAACTCCACAGGAAACAGGATAACAGCTCCTCTACTCAACTACATGGTTACGCCATGCCGTTTGTACTCTGTATGAGTGAACAGGTCAGTTGGAAGAAAATAGAAGAAGAACTACTCCCTACTCCACAGGTACGCGGTAGATACACCAATCGATCTTTCCCAAATGCAATCTAACATCACACCGTGTATTCCTCCATCATCGCCACCAAAAGTAAACAGCAGTGGATGGATCGCGATAATCCGTGAACCAATAAATCAATCAATGCATCAATGCATCCACCAGCCAACCAATCAATCAGTCCATGGACTGCTAAAAGAAAAGTTACCATGTCACATACCAACCAACCAATCAACCACTTAATTCAAGAAATCAAGAAATCAAGCAAACCAGCGAAACAAAACAAAACAAAACACCCTCAGATGAGATGAGATGAAATGAAATGCAATGAGCCGAATGCAAAGAATAGACGTACTGTATGTATTCTTAAGAAAATGGAGATGAGATAGAGAGATAGTAAGAAAGATGACATAATGAGAGGTAGGTAGGTAGGTAGGTAAGTAGATAGATAGATAGATAGATAGATAGATAGATAGATAGGTCATGCTTGACTGGAGCAAGACATGCCAAACAATAACAGAAAACAGAAACAGACAGACAGACACACTGTATGCAGTACCAGATTCTGAGACAATCAAAAAAACAGCTTAAAAAGCACAGTCAGTTCCAAGCAATGCTAGAACTGAAGAATGAGACTAAAAAACGCTGCAAAGACCATGAACGCTTTCTTCCATCGTAAGACGTCACTGACTTAAACAAACAGCAGTGGCAGCCAAGTCGTGCGGGATCGTTTCATCTATGAGTCATTTCATTCAATAGCGGCGTCTCTCCATTCATTCCAATCATCATCGCCCATGCTGAAAAGGGCATGCGGAGGTTCGTTTCATCAAGATAAAAAGACGGAGCGCACATGTTTCGAGTATTCAAATTTGAGTGGTGGTGAGAAAAATAAAGGGGAAAGATAAGGAAAGGAAGGAGTGTATGATAGTGGGGCTCGGGACCTTTTTTTTGGTATTTTTGTCTTTTTGTCCCGGATGGCAGTGCCAGATATTCTGTCGATGTTGGAGTTGGTTCAAAGAGTGAATGGGTTCGGTATGTTCAGAGAATAAAGCAAAAAGAAATTTCAGAGAGTGGAGTTGACTATCCACAGCAATGTCTGTGGAACCTCTTGTACGACCAATATCGGGTCATGCGAAGGCAAGTTGCAGGCTTCCAGCATACATTGCCGGGAGGTCAAAGATAGAGGGGAGAACGGAATCACTGCGTAAAGGAAACAACGATCGAGTTCTGTCGATTTGAGTGGCGGTTGCAGAGGGGACTCGTACATCTGATTGAATTGGCGTGAGGATGTACTGAGCCGAACCGCAAGGAAATCATATTGCAGTCATGCATCTTGAGCCACAAGAGCTTCAAGTCATTTTTTTCTTCGTTTATTTCGGCCCTTCTCATCCGCGTCATGCAATTTGTCTTCAAATGGGATGGTTGCTGAGAAAGGGTCCGAGTAAATTCATTAATTCGTCACTGCCGTTTCTGTCATTATATTCTTTGATCAAATGCGATCAAGATCACGGTAAATCATCCAGGTCATTAGTTAAGTAGAGATCGATATGACGTTGACACATGGTGAAAACAGACTTCAATGGCGATAAGCAGACTCATCGCCCTGAGTACGGCATATTCAAAATTTGTCTCCGGATTCGTTCGGCATCAGACATGTCCGCTTCTGTCGGATCGTAAGGGAGCGCGGTGGCCATCGCTTGACTGCAATGAAGCGTCCGGAGTTGTCGTTATGAACTGCGGCAGAAGTCCACTTGCAAATGGATCCGAGAGAGACGGTGCATGCCTGATAAACCTGGGTGAAGGCTGGGGTCGTTTGGGGGTTTCCACCTTGAAGGGTGAGCCCAAACGCTTGATACTGTCGCCGCTAAGATTCAGCAATGGATTGGCCATAGGCTTCTCCGCTAGACCACTTCTTTCATTCCGTGACGAAGACGACGGCGGAGAAAAAAGTTGGTCGAGGCCATTGTGGTTTACCGCACTCATCGTGGCTCCGCGGTTCCGCAGCCGTATCCGACGCTGGCCCATGTCGTTCATCTTTCCATGACGCAGAAGCTCCTCGAGCTGAACCCGCGTATCCTGTTCAGCTGGCGATTCACTCGTAGTGAAGCCATGGGGAGTCATGCTGTGGTGGTCGACATTTGGGAAGGCGTCCATGCGGGGCATAGAGCGGAGCCGGGAGCCCGTGACATGGATTGTCTCTCGCCGGCTCTTGGGTGTACGCTGGGGTCTCTTTCTTGAGCCACTGGGGCCCCAGGTGTGGTATGTGAAAGGTGACCCCAGTCGTGGGATGGGTTCCTGGTCAATGACACTGGAAGAGCGTATCGGGCGCGCACCAGCCATGTCTGGATGAGATCCACCCATCACCGGGTTGTTGAACCATTCCGTGCTGGTCTCTCGTGGTGGTGGGTCCTCCGCCGCTAGTTGAGCCAAAGGCCCGGGAACCGAGCTGGACACGAGAGACACGCCCAGATCGCGGGTCGCATAGGCCGCGGAGCTGTTGCTCGGACCATCAGCGCGTGGAGACTCCCGGGGCGGACGCGAGAACAGATCGAGGGCTGGGGTCGGGCTCTTGGACTGCATCATTCTCTGGTAATGGGGCGCAATTGAAAACTTCTTCCTGCACAGGAGTTTCAGTCTCCGCCTCGTCGACGCTTCCGACTTCGGCCACGTAGGTCTCGTCGCATCAGCCTTCGGAGTGGGCGTGGGGTTACTGCTTGGACGCTGATAAGAGACTACGAACGGAAACTGCCGGTCGAGCCTGAAGCGCCTTCGCTCCCATGTCCGCTTGGCCTCCCGTGCCACACGGTGGGTAACCCCAAGGGGCGGAATGCTGCCTGGAGTCATCTTGAAGGGGGTGATGGTCGGATCCTGGATGTAAAGCTGGTATGTGTTCCACAGGTGGTTGTCCATATCCAGGGTCCATCGGTCTTTGACAAACAGCGCCCGCGCTTTGTTTTTACGGTTCTGCGACAGGGTCGGCGTTTCGGAGGCGTGCTTGGGCGGAAGTTCCAGATGGAAAAATGGATCGTACGAATCGCTCTCCATACTCGTGCAGCTGCCGCCCGCTGAGCGCCGCGAGCTGAATGTTTCAATTGACGAGATGGACGAGTCGGATGCCTGCGAACAGGCCGATCCGGGCCGTTCGATGCTCTCACCCAAGACCTCAGGGTCCCATGAAGACCACGGCGCTATATTCTGGTCATCGATCGGGTCGGGACGGATCTGGGCGGGAGGCGTCTTCAACGCCACTCGGTCTCGGGGCGGCGCTAAGAAACGGTCATCGGTCGACGGTACTGTGGGACACGGATGGGTCGCAAAAGGGTCTTGCGAGGAGAATTCAATAGAGGGTAGCGGGATATCGGCGAGGTTCGGGTTGAACGTGCTGCGGTCATACTCGGCCTGCGCAAAGACATCGGTCCCCGAGCGGACGCGGGACTTGCGCAACCGGCAACTGGAGTGCCGGGGAGGAGGCGGCGGCGGCGGCACATCGAGGTGAGCTGAGGCGCGCTCCGGGGTCCTAGGCTCACCTCCCGAAGCAAAGGTGAAGTTCTTCGGCAGAGTGCGCGAAAGGCCGTGCTGTCGACATGCCATGGTGGGTGCGACGGTCTGTCTCGCTCAGTGGTGATCAAGCTGGATTGGAGGACTGCGGATCAAGGTTCTTGATGGGGTTCTCGACAGTCGAAATCAATTCTCCTAATCCCGTCTCATGTCGCGACGCTCGTGCGCGTTCCGAGAGGAGGTGTCTTGATGCGGAGGGACCGAGCGGACTCGAATATCGGAGGTCGCACGGTTTCTTTTCCAACCCAATGGCACGCGCACAGGCTATGCAGCAGTAAACAGTCAAACGCAAAGAGACAGACAATAGAAGCGATAAAGCCAAGAGCAAAAAGAGTAAAGAAATCCGTTTCAGTCAATGGTGCAACGTCTCCGATCGATCTCCGGGGAAGTCAGGAGGGCGCGCTTAGGGTTGGTAGGGGGGTCGTGAGTCGTAACAAATGTAGAGGGGAAGGGATTTGGATTGGAAACAGGGGAAAAGGAAATCAAACACGTCGAGGTGTGAGTGGTCGGAAGGGGGGGGGAAGCGATCGAATCCGAGTGGAATGAATTCGATGTGAGGCGCAACGGGGGATTGCAGCGAGCAGGAGGATCACATCGAACGGTTTCCGCGCTCCATTGCCCGATGGTCCGAGGGAGGAACTATAGGGGAGAAGGGGCGGACATTGGCACACGGAGACGCCAGACCAACACAAAAGAAAGCGGAAAGGAAACGGAAGGGATGGTCGAGGACGAGCGACGCGCTCGATCGGAGAAAAAGGAGAAGCGACAACGTGGCTGTCTGGAAAGAAAGGTTGGGGGGGGGGGGGTGGAACGGAGGGAAAGGAAGGGAAGAGAGAAGCAGGAGAGGGAGAGGAAATGGGGGTGGATGGATGAGACAGCCGAGGGGGGGGGAGCAGCCAGCGGGCAGCCAACAGTAGGGAGTAGTAAGTAGTAGGCGCCCGGCCAGAACTTCCTTGGGTATCAGCACCATCAGGGACGGACGGGCTCTCCACTCCGTCACCACGTCAGGGCACTGCTGTTCGTGATGCCACGCCGCCTGCCATCTCTGTTCTGTTCATTTCTCCCATCTTCAGAATTAGGAGACTGAATCAATTGCCTCAGTTGCCTCAATTCCCACAATCCATCCAGAGGGAAAAAAACAGGAAAAATAAATCCACCCCCAAAAACCTGCAGTTTGGCACGACAAGGCGTGCTCTGGAATGCGGAGAAATCGAGCTCGTGAGCCACTCAGCTGGTCTCCCTTTTCCCTTAATTAAAAAAAAAAAAAACAACCCATTTTCTTTTTTTTTGAAAGAAAAGTCTCATTGGGGAATTTCCCATGTCTGACTTTCTTTCTTTCTCTCATCCCAACTCAATCAGTTCCATTCTTCGGAGGCTGGGTTCATCCACAGGCCAGGCAATACATGCCAATGCCAACCCGCCTCACCGCGTCGCCCAACGATCCCCTCGGGACGGGCAGAGGATTCGCGCATGCAGCCGGTCGACAAATGGCAGCCGTGCTGATGGAGTCAGTCAGTCGGCCACTGGGCCGAATACATACCTACCTAGTAGACTAAGTAAGTGTACTCACCACCATCCACTAACTACTCAGTTAGACGGTTAGTAGTATAAGTTAAGTACCTTTGCACGGCTGCAGGAGTATCGATTCAGAAAATTATAGTCCGCCCGCCCCCCCCAATCCCAATCCCAATCCCAATTCCCATCTAGCAGTCGCATCGGTCCCGACTAGAAGACAACCTTAGGCGTAGTATTCCGTAGTAGCACGATACCTGCAACATTGTTGGCTGGCTTCCCTTCCCCCTGCAAGGGTACTTAGTAGGAGGGACCAAGTGGTGGGCCACACACATGCGTCCAGTGTACATACTATATGCACGTACATACGCACTGCAGTTCGAGGTCTCTGTTCGGTCACGGTGACGGTGTGATATTCCATTCCCACCCCGAGTCCTCGTGCACGGGGATGGGACGGCCTCATCTCATCTCATCTAGAAAGTATGCGGCCCCATCGATCTACAAACGTTCTCGCTAGAAGAACGCAGCCGAAAGACAGACTGACCAGACCAGACCAGACCAGACCACCTCCCGAGCCGTGTGATCCAACCCGGTGGATATGAATGAATGTGGGTGGCTGGGGACGATAATATTTTTAGTTTTTTTAGTTTTTTTTTTTTTTTTTTTTCTTCCTCAATCCATTTCTCTCTCTGAAAATATAAAAAAAAAATTATACCGACAGGCCAGGAATTTGGGGGCGTCCATCGGTGCTTCAGCAAGGCGGAGGAGAGGGCGATGGCGGCGGAGACAGACAGACAGACAGGCACGATTCGATTTGCCCACCCAGTCAGTCAGTCAGTAAAGTAAGTCAGCCAACCCAGCCAGTCAGTTACTTACACTTACAGTCAAGAACTCCAACTACTCCAGTCACCTGCAGAAAAGCATGGCTCCACCGCCTGGGCGAACCGAAGCCCCGAAGCGCACTGGGGCGTGCATTAGCAGCAGCGCCCGCCAACCAGTGGCACGGGGCCCAAGAGTCAGGCAGGCATGGAATGGAATTGAAGAACAAGACGAGACGAGACGAGAATTGAATGATGCTCAGATCAGAATCGGAGGAAAATCTGACAGAAGTCCTTCTGCACTATTATATAGCCTACGTCCGTCTACAGGATACATGCCATTGCTTAGATCCCCCTCATCAAAGAAAGAACGAAAGCAACTGAAAACAAAGAATCTCATCTCATAAAATCCATCTCGCTTATCACATCCCCCAAACGCGTCCAGGCGGGGGTAATCGCGACCCCAACGCGTCTGGCACGCGGCTCCGCGCGTCTGGTAAGTGACGGTAAGGTCGCGAGAATCCCGCCACTCAGGGCGCGCCGCCGCGGGTACGGGCCTTACACAGCCCGAAGTAAAACCGTCCCAGTTGTTCCTGGCTAAATCCACTTGCAGGACTTTAGTTTACCGTTCTATGACTATCTAGGCCATACTTACTACTAGATACTACGGTCTACTATAGTTAGTGCTGCCAGCCAGCCTTTAGTGGATAGTGGTGGATATGGTGCTATCTCGACTCCATCCACCTGGAAATAGTAATTCAGATGGCTGGGGATGGAGCCAGGAACGGGCTCAATCAATGGGGAAAGAGAAGAGAGAAGAGAGGGGACTTGTTTGCCTATACTTAGAAATCTGTCCACGCGAGGGGGTTATATTTAGATGGGACGGAGTACTCCGTGTTAGATTTACTCTGATTCAGATAGCAGTGGACTCGAAGCCTTCTTTCTACTTTGAACAGTCTAGCGTGATATCGCCATCTGGCCTGGTCGTTATTGTGGAACACGAACTTATGATTGACTGACTCATTGACAATAATCCACGGGAGTAAGCAGGACTCTCCTATTAGGAATACGGAGTATACGCCATCAGATCAATTTTCCATTACTTACCCACCTAGGTAGGGTAGCCAACTCGCGGAGAATATTGTTTGTACCAAGCTAAAACCTGTCGTGAGATACAACCACGCCTCCAATTCTGTCACACACACACACACACATGAGAAGCAAACAATTCAAACCTAGTCACAAACTGTTGGGATGGAACTACTTACTATACACGAGGTCTAGCATAAATATAGTGTATACAAACTTATCTCTCCGTACTTAGTACCTACCTATCAACGGAGGACCCGAACAACCAAAAAAAACCCACCTCAGTACGTAAGCTCCGTATATAACTAAGGTATAGTTATACCAACAGTCATCTTTCAGTGTATACCCAAGCACCTTACCCGGCGCTGTATCTAATGCCGTCGAAGGCTACCTACCTACTTCCGTACATCCTGTCCATTCCATCCAGAAGAAAAAAAGAACATATCTGTACGCGCACCCGAGCTTATCTCTGCTTCTACATCGCTTGAAAGCACGCAGGCAAGCAGGCAGGCAGGCAGGCAGGCAGGTCCGCCGGCGGTACAATCCAGGAAAGCTTGACATCGCATAACCGCGTAATCTTCACTTAATAGATACTAAGCTTGATTCCGAGCCGTGGGTCGCGACTCGCGAGGGCTTGGACACGGACGGCGACGGACGGGATCGGAATCGGGATGGGATCCGAACCATGGCCGATATCTTGTTGAAAATCTGCTCACGGGAGTATGATAAAAGTATAAACCGAGGATGGTCAGGTTCGCTTACTTTCCACCCCTCAGCCCTAACCTTCCACCTTCCAAACCCAGAGCCAAACCCAGCCAGTTATTCAGTCAGTCATTCAGTCACCGCCATCTCCCCTGCGTACTTGGACTTTACAGGACGCGCACGACCCACCACGACTGGCAAGAAGTAAAGTAGAAAGCAGTCTACCTAGATACGCCGTGCGCATACAAAAAACTCTCTTACTACTAGTGTACAGCAGTAGGTGGTTGACTTAGGTAGTTGCATCTGCATGGTAAGGTAGCTGCAATGCAGCTGCGGCGCAGTGGTTCGATTCGATTGCGGTCCATCTTTTCCCGGGGTGTATACGCGCCTACAGTCCTACTCGTGGACAAGTGGGTGGCTGACGAAGTAGACAGCTCGTCGCCTGCCGCTACGCTTATCTATACAATAACCAAAGTAGGTAGGTAGGTATGTAGATACTCGATCGTGGCAGGTTGGATGGATGGATGTCTTTCAGTTGATGGGGATGTATATGCTTCAATGCAACCTGTTTGTTGCGGTATATATGTCTTCTGGGCCCCCCTTGCCTGAAGCAGGTTTTATGACCGCGCGGCTGGTTTCTGCCGACCGACCGTCGACCTGGTCATGTTCATGCATACGACTATGCATGCGCGAGGCCCGTTGGGGTTGGAAGAGGGGACGGACGGGCAGAAGTGTCTGATTCGTCGGGTTGTGTCTTACTTCTGTTTATGATTCTGCGGTGCTTGGATGTGTGGATATACATATGTACTGGGCTGGTTGGGGTAGCACAGGATAGTATATACACAGCTAAAGGGGGAACCTCTTTCGTTAAATCATGAGACATCAACCTCTGGCTGCCTTGACTTGAACAGCAGCTTCACCGTCTGATCGCATATTGACTCGAGCCCGACTGTGAGGTTGGCCGGTCGCGTCGTGCGCTCGTCCGCAAACTTCCAGTCATACTTCAGGAGGAAATGGATAAGGAAGATCTTGATCTCGTTGGCTGCAAAGAAGCGTCCCGGGCATGCGTGTGCGCCGTGCCCAAAGGCAAACTGTTCCGGGCTGGTAGTGACGAACTGATGACGGTGCTCCTGGCCGGGCTCTTGTCGTTTTCTATAGAAACGGAAGCCGTCGTAGGTGCTTGCGCCGGGGTAGATGGATTCATCCTCGAGGTTGTGGGCTGAAATGGCCACACTGGCACCCTTCGGAATCCGGGTGCCGTCTGAGAGTGTGATTTGCTCTGTCGCGACGCGGTTCATGAAGGCTTGAAAAGCACGTCAGATGATGGGGGCTTGTGAAGAAGGATGATATGTCAAAGTCTTACCATAGCCGACTGGATGCATTCGCTGGGCCTCCTTCAGGACGCTATCCAGTAATTTCATCTTTGTAAGACTGCTCTTCTTCAAGACACCGTCTTCATGGATTACTGCTGCAATCTCGTCCCTTAGGGGTTGGATGTGTTCTGGGTAGGCCGTCAAGTCGTACATGATATTAGTCAAAAGATTGGACGTTGTGTGGATTGCTGCCATAGAAAAGCCCACCTGGACTCGAGTAGCGTCTATTGGCCGTCCACAAGCCACTTGGCGCACCCAGTCCATGGTATCTTCCTGAGTCCTCGGGGGCTTCTCCGAGATTTTGCCCTCCCGGATAAGCTTTCGTTGTTCCATCTCGTGATCGACTATTCCAGCGGCAATTCTCATGTCTTCTCGGGCCCTGCGGGTTGATGGCAAGAACCAATGTACCAATGGACGGAGGATTGATGGATAGAGTCTGAGGTCTCGCGCAGCAAAAAATGCGTGGATGGTGTAGTTGACGGAAACGTCTAACCATTGCTTGTCACGACATAACTTTTCACCCAGGAAAACAAGAGATGACAGTCGAGCTATCATGTACGGAATCTCTTGTGCGAAGGCCAAAGCCACCCATTCTACCAGATGGCCCATTTGTCAGACGAGAGGTTGCCATTGATATGAGATACGTACCATTGGACTCTGGAAGCTTCTCTCTCAGGACCATGGCCGACTCCCTTGAAAGCGGGCTGATCAGTTTGTCTGTTGAAATATGTTAGAAACGAGAATATTCGCAATTCCATCATGATCACCTCAACTTACCGAGCCCTTGAGTGATATTCTTATTGATCACTTCCAGAATAATTCCGTGTTCGTCCACTCCGTCAAACGGCTCAAGTCCTGGGACTGTAGACCCGAAAAAGCTCTATTCCATAGGTGTAAGTTCCTAGGTTGAAGGTATCTATACTCGAGTCACATCATACCTTCCTAAGAAATTTCTTGAAGTCAAGGTGCGGGTGATTCTTAATCTCATCCACAAAGCTAGGATGAAGTACAATCGTTAGATTGGCATCAGAGACAATTTGGAACATTTTTCTGCCCTTGATTCGGCTAGTGAGCTTCTACTCAAAAATTACGGAGCTGTGGGGAGAAGCTCATCTCTTACCTGGCTAAATCCCTCTGCGACAAGCTCTCTTGCCGATTTCACAAAGCGCTGTTTGGCCTTGGTGCTCAAGATCTCCCATCTCCCTTTCCCGACAAGATGGATCTCCTGATAGGGTAAATCTTTCACTAATTCATGGTAGAAGTTCGATAAAATTATAAGCATCAAAACCACTGCGACGCCTTGCAAAATGTGCCGGCTTTCCAGTAACTCGAGTACCACAGCCATGATGTCAGGAAGGCTTTTTGAAAATGTTCTGAGAGGCAGGGGGCAAGCCACGGCTGTGGATCTTGGACTATATATCTCGTGCGCCCAGGGGGGACATTGTAGTAGAGCCCTAGCGGAAAGCCAGAATCTGTGGTGCCCATAACCTTCTCCATCACAACTGAACATTGAATACGCTCGATACGACGTGACAGATGATGTCCGGGGTCTGCAAAGCGAAACGCAACTGCGAGCCTAGACTGCAGAGGCATCGGAGCATTGCCACCTAGAGTGGACCAGGAGCTCAACCGAGCTGAGCGGGGCATAAGATCATCCTGTCACTCATTACTTGAAGTGATCCTATGATAGGCCAATGATTGACGCCATGGTTACCCAAGCAGGAATGTCGGATGGACGTACTCTGTAGGTAGTGTATCCATGGTTGGGGTCCATCCCATAGTCGACAGACTTCCACGTGCGACTCCGCTCGGTTTGAAGCACCTAAGATTGGGGATCAATGATGACCTATCGTATTCGAATCGAGTTCCATTCATAAGTATGCTCCAGGAGACTCCTGTGATAACCCGAAGGATGATCGACACTGCATCACTAATGGTGAAGAAGCCCGTCGTGATTCGCTGATTTCCTTGTTCCTGGTCCAACTAAGCCCATTCAGGATATCGTGTTGGCCCGAACCTGATAGACGTTCATCTTGCGACCAATGAGCGATATTTCAACAGGGGTACTCGCAGGGCTCGAGATCAATCGGCATGAGAGTTCTTTGTCAAATGGGCAGCCCATTGGGGCTGAGTGCAGCACTTCTCTGAAATCGACTCAAAACCAACACTGCTATGGTTTTCATGTAATGGACCCCGAAAACGCATCCTAAAAGTTTCTGGAGGTTGCTTTCGCTGCCTCTCAGCCTGGAAGCATATACTTTCGCAATGCAATAAGGCCGTGGCCTTGTTAGAGACAAGAACAGAGGCTCGTGTTAAAGTCGTCGTGGCATCATGCACAGTTCAATGTTGATTGTGTCCGGACGCTCGGTTCCCGATGATATGTAACAAATTGACCAGATGGTAGCTGGGGCACTTTCCCTTCTGAGAATGCCACATCATCGAAGGCGAACCTATTTCCAATTAGCTCGGTGCCACTGACCAAGAGACAACCAATACCCACCCAAAATCCATCCCATCCCGGGTTACCCGAGTCCGGAAGCACAAGGGACCCTCGAGTGGATAAATAGCCAGTGCATGCACGGAGTACCATGCAACCGAAGCGGTCGACTCCACGGTGAGAGTTGATCGGTGTCGGTGTAAATAAGAGGTGATTATCCACTGCCGAGCTTCAGACATGTCATGGATCTTGTATCAGCCATTCTCTTTATATACTCCGAAGCCTGCCTTCAATGCGGTCCTCGCCTCTAGCTCTCTACATGGATCTTCTAGTCAAGAAAGTAGATGCATACCTTCGATCATCTGGGGCCCTGTGACATCATAGCCAAAATGGACGTCAGGATGCGACCCCAGTTCAAAGACCTACTCATAATGAGCCACAATTTTGCATCACACGTTGTAGCGCGATAAAGGCCTTTCCACGATTGTGAGGACTGCGAGACTAAAGATTTTAGTATTCGGCATGGGTACCCGTTTTCAATATACGCAACCCACGTCACACGCTGCGGATGGATGTCAAGCGTAGGATAGCGGCATTATCACGGCATGTGTCTGAGCTTTGTATGACATAGAGCGGGGGGACATAGAACAAATCTCGTGCAACCTTCGGAGTCGCTTGGAAGGAGGGATGTGAAGAGTAGATTCGAGATAGCAGACGAGAAGAGTGGTCTGAAGCAAGAGTCAAGACGCGACGAAAGAGTGTCTCGAGACGTCAAGGCCACCGCCCAATCCGCGTCGGACTCGTGACTGAGTCGGGTACCTTCCATTTTAGGAAACCAGAGGGGCTGCCATCACCACTGCAATGTCGGTGACTGCACAAATAACTAAGCAAGCTTACCAAGACACAAAAATATGCTTGTTTTGTGAATCCATCCCGGGTTTCCCCGTCGCAACTGATCTGTCTTCCCCAGCATCCCTTTCCTGGACATAAAACTACGGTACCGCTAGAGTCCGACACCTCGACTTACAAGGGGCCAATATGACGTGTGTCACCCCTTTCTCAAGCTTCAAAAAATTAATACTCATATCCCCCAATCTCCAACAGATTTGGGCATTGGTTAAATTTGAATCCTGCGATCAAGGAGCATAAAAAAAACAACAGTCGACCGCATCCAGATAACCCGACGCCCACCTAGATGGATGGATGCCCTTTGGGCTAGCCAAACGACAGTAACCGGCACGAAGCTTCAAGAATAGGTACACAACATCGAAAATTAACACAGAAACCCCTTAGCATGCTAGCCCGACATCTTCTTCTTTTCTCTTCCTCTATCAATGCGAAAATAGACAAAGTCCAACCTGGATGCCCTGGTAGAGGGTATGATGGGATCCCTTATTTAGCGGGCTTGACCGGGGCCTGTTGGATAGCAGTCAGTCTCAAGTATTTCTCCATAGCATCCAACAGGAGGTTATCAACTCGACGACAACTTACATTGATGAGACGGTCGGTGTTGGCATCCTGGCTACCGGGGTGACTGAAATCATCGTGGTCATAGATCTGATCCTGGTGCGCGTCGACATTGACGAGGGTGGGCACGGTCCCGTGCTCGGGTTGGCGTGTAGGGGCAGCAAGGCCGAATCCGATCATGGCGAGGAAGCTCAGGACGAGGAACTTGGAGTGCATGTTGGTTGATGGTGGTGGTGGGGAGGATTATAGTAGATGGGTTGATTGGGTGGATATGTAGAGGATGGAGGGTGTGGTAGTCTGGATATTGATGGTGTGAGAGTAGTGGATGATATGGCGAAGGATGTGAGGCTATTTATGCAGGTTGATTTGATTTGCTTTAGGGGGAGGGGGTTTCTTCCAGGGAGAATAGGAGGGGTGATTTGAAACTGATATATGGAATAATTAGGCAAATCATCTCAATACCCTAGCAAATCATTGGCACACTATCCTGACATTGGCTATATACAGCAAATAGCCTTTCGCTGATTTCTTACTTCCAGGGAACAAAGAAGCCACCAGGGGCATGTCTGATGGAGTTACATCATACCCCCAGGTCTTGTTCAAACAGTGAGTTCTTGGTTTGGTCTGAAGTATAACTAGAAAGGCCTGCTGAATAGGTCTCGGATTGGATGGTGCAAGATAGCGGTTTGCCGAACCTCATGCCGTAGCGTGTGGGCAGCTGTTTTGGCTCCTGATACCCAATGAAACAGACATAATAGGATGGAATATCCCCTATCTAGACTTTGTGCCCCTGATCACGAGTTATATAAATCTCCGAAGCCATCTGTAGCCCCTGAATTCGACACTCATATACCATTAACTCCGAAATCTTTCGGATGGGTCAATCACTGGCGTCGACTTCTTCCATTCCGTCGGCTTTTCTAATCATAGACAGATGCCGAATGATGGGCTCAATGTGAGATTTTCTTCTAAGACAACCAGGCTAACTTATTACTATGATACTCGAGAATCTGGTTCCTTCGAAAAATAGTGAATCTCAATCCAAGTCCAAATGTAACAAGTGAATGCTACCGCTTGGGTACCAAGTACATGTAAATATCTACAAAAAGAATACAAGATCACCATATTCAGAATGTCGGCTCATAAATCCCAGGTGACCGTTCCGGACGTTCATCTGAAGATCGTTTGTGCGATTTCTTCAACGACATTCGACAGACGTCCTGCGCCACATTAGTGCGCCGAAGGGATTCCTCCAAGGCAGGAGTCGACTATACCTTTCGTCTCTGCGCAAAATCAGTGTAAAAGCCCAGCCACAGATCGCGCGTGCGGCAATTCTTATCGTCTGTCTCAGAATCAAGGTTGCATTCCGGCTGGTTGTTTGTAACTGTGTCCTCCTGTGCTTGGATCCAGGGCTGCATTTTATTAGTCCATAACTATCCCGAGACGAGAATAGGAAAACGAAAACTTGCCTTTGGAACCGGCCAATCCGAGAAATGCAGAAACTTCGCCTCTCTCATAACCACATCAGGGTCCCATGTCTCCACCGGGTTTCCCAGGTACGAGGAATGGTTTTTGGCCCGGAATTCGCCCGTCAACAGGTCGTACGATCGGTGGGGAAGAACGAGCGCACTGTCTTTGTACAGGTTGTTTACGATCTCCATGTCATATTCATTGAGACTGGCGTTCTCGATGGCCTCTTTGATGCGGTTGAATTCGAATGTCGATGGTTGGATCAGCATCATCTGTGAGCTTAGGACGCGATCGTCGGGGTTCATCCAGTATGCTCGCGGCATTGCGATGGGGCAGGGAGGAAGCAGGAATAGTTCGTCCATGGGCTAGGAGGAGATGCGAGTTAGCTGGGTATGTCGATGACGTTGAGGGATTGGAGTGACGTGCCTGAAGGATTGTCGCGTCGGAATCCAGACTAAGGACTCGGTCGTACTGGGTTTGGTTGAATGCGAGAAGCTTGGTATAGCTCTCTGCCCAGGTATCTGAGCGTAGTGTCAGTATCAAGAAAAAAGAATAATGAACCTTGTATTCCCCTGAAAGTGGAAGCCATGTGGACATCACATACAGTCACGCCCCAGCTCAAATTTGCTCTGCACTTCGATAGGCACCAGCTTGACTCCGTATTCATGATGGGCTTTTCGAAGTAGTATACTCTCCGCAGAGTCACCTTCTATTGGGAACCCAGCTGGATACATCAGCAGGCGATCGGCTTTGCTGTTCATACGGTGCAGCGTTTCGAAAATCATGACGGAGTTGCAGAGATAGGCTGTGTTCGTGACATACTGCACGTAGGCGAAGCGGGACCAGTCGGTAATCAGATAGTAGCTCGGGCTGGCGGGGTTTATTTGCTCGTTGACAGGTCGACTCGGGGCTGGAGAACTAAAGTGGTACTCATTCCCAAGGGTGTTCATCGGAAGATGCATGAGTGTAACGAAGAAGGCGATTAGAAAGATCACGATGCCGGTTACACGAAAGACGCGTGAGCCTAGCACTCGCACCGCTCTGTGTTTTAGACCCAAGTCCATTTTGTGGAACAGTAAAGCGGAGTGTGGATCAACATAGAAATCTTGCACATAGCGTTTGCCCATAGCTTAGGTGTCAAGAAGAGCTGGGAATATATCCACCGAAGATATAAGGATGACGAAGGAGGAAGTGAATAAAGATGAAAAGGGTGAAAGAACAGACCCAACTAGAAGAATTCGTTTGGGCATAGTCATAGGCTACCACTGGGTACAGGGATCTGGACAAAGAAAAGTGTTCCTGATGTTATGGGCAGGGGGATTGTGTTGGTATGGGCAGCGCTAAATAAACCATTGCGCCGCAGTTGATTTGTCGGACTTTCTGCGGCTGGCTGGAGAATGGGAAGCGTTAGTGCTTGGTAGGAGTCTACCAATTAGGCGCATTCATAGGGCCACACAGTCTAAGGGTCTCTCCTAGCCATGGTCCGACCACTTAAATTGGCCCGAGGAGGGGTCAGGTTATGGTTCAAGTTGTCAGTGACAGCTGAGTGGAATCATTAGCCAGGACGATCCTCATACTGGCTATAAGCATTGGCCAGCCATCTGGTAATCTCGGCCTCTCACTCGGGTTGTCTGATACCAGCGGGGCGATACCCCTTCGCCTTATGACCTGTGCCAGACAGATTAACTCCCCAAAGCTGGTAGGTGGGAGGTGGGGTTAGAATGTTGTCCCTGACGCTTGAAAGATCAGTTATTGGCGGGCTAGACTTAGGGTGTCTCGTTAGCCGCCCAGGGCTGGAATTCTGTTGAGGTGCCCGGGCAGCACTAAGTCCGAGCGGTTCCTGGGGCCTGCGGTCCCTATCTACTCCACGGAGTCGAGGGATGAGATTAAGGTGGGCCCAAACCCTGGACAAGTTAGATTACGGGTATTGCCGCCGGGTGACTCGAGAGAGATCCACAAATCCGACCTGGAGGGATGAGCTAGAGGCGGATTTGTAACTCTATGTTGCATTAATGCAAAAGCACACCGTTCTCGTTAGGAAGGAAGGAATTGCCACTACCTGGACTCTGTACGGACTATTAATACTAGCAACGTGCTGGCTGGTTGGAACCAGTTATTTCAACGGTGCTGATGGGATCTTATCAGGCGCCTTGACGCCAGACAGGCCCGCCTCTCAATAACAGACCACTTAAGTACTTATGCAGACGCTGGTCCATGTCGTAGGTTCCCACAGCCCACGTTAATCTGGCCTGCTGTGGCACTTCGGCCCCGCGGGATTCCAGTTCAAATCCAAATCTCGGGTATTCGGCTCCTCAGGATCTTTGTCCTACAATGAAGCCTCTGATTTCACCCTGTTCTTTCTTGCCTGTCTTGAGTGCTGTCTACGCTGTTCTTGGTAGCTCCCCCTATGCTCTCAGGTGGTCGGATAAAGGCTTTGGGCCCGACGGGCCCTGGCACGCCGTATCTGTCGTGATCGGTACCCCGGAGCAGGACATCGCATTGTATCCAGGAGGTTCCTGGGAGAGTCAGATTCTTCAAACATCGACCTGTGACAATAAAACACTCTCTTCCATTTGTTATGCCGACCAGGCCGGCTTGTTCGACAACGATGCGTCCGAAACGTGTGACAATTCATCCATCCAGCTGTTTGTCAATCAATGGCGGCCCTGGACAGCTTAATGCCATGGGAATGGCGGATGCAATCCCCATCTATGGCGAGGAGCTCTATGCTTTCGACTACATCGATCTCTTCGGCTCTAGAGTCCCCAATGTCAGCATGTTCGCAATATCTAACATCTATCAGACATACCCAGGTGGTCAGGACTACCCAGTTGAGGTGGGAGTTCTCTCCTTTGGCGGTCCCGGTATCAATCAGTCCTTCCAAAACCCTGGTCAGCCATCGATCAACACCAGCCTCGTCGACGGCTACCTCTATTCCCAAGGTACCATTGCTTCAAGCTCCTACAGCCTGCATATTGGCTCCGTGAACTGCGACATATCGGGCTCTGCGCTGTTCGGGGGTTACGATCGCAGCCGTGTCCTTGGCGATGTTTCTGCACAGGCGTACGACAGCGGTTCGTTTCCAATCCAGTTACTCGACATAGCCATTGGGGTCGTCAGCGGCGGGTCTCCCTAGCCATACTCCAACAAAACTGGCTTCCTGAGCGAAAGCAATTCCTCCCTGTCGCATGGCACCACGGTCTATGCTAGCCCTCCCGATCCGTATATCTACCTACCCCAAAGCACCTGCGACGCCATTGCCTCCGAGCTGCCCGTCACCTACCAATCCGACTATGGCCTTTACTTCTGGAGCACATCCGACCAGAAATACTCCCAGATTGTGACGGCGTCAACCTACCTCGGTTTCACCTTCCGGAAGGATTTTCTCAACGACGCAAATATGACCATAAAAGTGCCTTTCGCCCTGCTGAATCTGACATTGGATACTCCGCTTGTCGACAACCCAACGCCTTACTTCCCGTGCATGGGGACTGATGGTACCTATGTGCTTGGTCGGGCCTTTCTCCAAGCAGCATTTGTCGGGGTCAACCGGGGCACCGGGACGAAAAACTGGTTCCTTGGCCAGGCGCCGGGGCCAAACATGGGGGCCTCCACCCCAACCACCATCGAAGTCGCCGATACCACGATCAGTGGGAGCTCGAGTAGCTGGGAAGATAGTTGGATGCCATACTGGACGGAGCTTCCAGCCAGCTCCCGTTCCAATGCGACCAATGCGACCGTGGTAGCAACAGCCCACAGTATTAAGAACAAAAGTATCATCTCCGGGCTCTCTGATGGCACGAAGATAGCAATTGTTGTTTGTTGCTCTGTTGCAGCAATCGGGATTATCGCGTTAGCTACATGGTTCTTCTGTCGGAGACGCAGGCATAAGCCAGTCCGAAAACAGGAACTACCTGAAGTATCCAGTGATGATGCCTCAATGGCTTGCCGGAGGAGTAAGACGAGGTATGAGCTCGAGAACCGAGAACCGAATCGTGTTTATGAATTATCATAGTGTGCTCAGTGGTGGCATTTTCTGAGAGATTTCGTCATCTGTTCAGTTCTTTGTTTGCTGTATACCCTCTCTTGATTGTTTATTTTAATAAACTTCATACCGATGCCAACATCTCTAGAGCAGTATTTGGACTTGCGTCGCCCTTGTCGTCTCCAAAGTCAATGTAGATACTTAGACCGGTCACTAGAATGAGTGTTCATGAGGAGATGACTAACACCGTACTATTCGGATAAACGCGATGTCTCTGGACAAGGTCCAAAGAGGAATATACCGTGGTTGAGTGTTGGCTTGGCTTTATTCTGAGGTTGCCTGGGAGCAATCGCGGTTCAAGTCCCAAAGCAGCCTTAAATAGAGCGGCGATACGGCCACACCGCGCTTGATTACTGTGCACACCCGGCCTGCTTACCCCGCACCGTTTGACGCTCCCCGCTTTCTCGGTTAAAGGAAAGATCTGGCAGAATCCCATAGCTTTGACGGTAAGAGCTGGTTATGTGGGAGATTGGTCTTGTTTGGGAAGGCGGAGGGCTCCTCCGGTTAGGAAGGCGGTGTGGGGAAGCAAGCGGGGTGTGGCTGGAGGCGCTTCTGGGGATGTTCAAGTACGATGAGATGTATTATGGGCCATGGTAAGGTCAATAGCCTAACACAAGAAGATCGATCCATACTTACATTGCTCAAGTTCATTCTGTTGAGCCACTGCCTCTATAGAAGGGCTCTTATCATGTGTTTCTTAACAGGACTTGCTGCACGTGTCGCCCACGTGACTGAGAGCCTAAGCCGAGGCTTTGTTGCAGCCAGTCCCTTCTGTTGTGAATAGCTCTTGATGCTTGGATCAATAAGGGGGCAATCCTAAGTGATGAGAATGGAATAAGAATCAGTAGAGTGACAGCCCGCATCATGTGTAACCGGGTTATACCTTCCTGATTGTTTGCAGATCCGGATCCGACCCAAACCTAAAGCGGGCGGGCTAGCGCGGGGGTCATCGAGCACCTCCTCTCGACATCATCACCTCAACTTGCATTACTCGACTTCGGTGGCCTGGAAACGTGCGATCCTACCTCCCTCGTCCTGGGAATCAGCTCTACCTCCCCGCAGATTCAACTTACCCTTCCATTCCCTTGAAATAAGCTCTATCAGCCCTTATCTCCGTCGCAACGGCCGGCCATCATGGGAGACTACGGGCCTGGAGTGTCGTCGCTGACGTCGCAAGCACCTGTAGACCCCCCCTTATCTGCGTCGGATCCAGAGGAAATCTCTGTTCTCCTGACGGGTTTCGGTGTAAGTCATCTTTGGTCTTTACATCTCCAGTCCATCGCTTCCGGATTGCGACTCACTGTGAATCCTCTCCCCGATACTAGCCGTTCAAATCGAATCTAGTCAACGCCTCGTATTTGATAGCTTCATCTCTGCCGCCGTCATTTACTTTCTCGCCTCCCCCATCGAAAGGTTCCGATGCCGCCCCTCGTAGGGTCTCCATCCATGTCCACCCTGCTCCCGTCCCCGTTGCCTACTCGAGCGTCCGGACGCTACTCCCCGTCATCATCGGCGACTATGTCAAGGCGCATGGGGGCCGACGCCCCGACATCATCATCCATATGGGGATAGCAGCGATGAGGCACTATTACTCCGTGGAGACAAAGGCGCATCGAGATGCGTACCTCATGTCCGACGTCAAAGGCAAGCCAGGCTACGAAGATGGCGAGAGATTATGGAGGGAGCTTGACTTGCCACCCATGCTCCAGCCTGGGCCCGCGGGAGACTCCGAGACATCACTTGCGCCATCCTCCGGGAAAAAGCACCTGATTCCGCATGTGCCGGATGATGATTTCCTAATAGCGTGGAAGTCCTTTTGCTCTCCGGGAAAAGATGTCCGGATTTCGACCGATGCGGGCCGCTATCTCTGCGAGTTCATCTTCTACGCCAGCTTAGCACTGGCGTATCAGGAGGGCCAGGATCGAAGCGTGGTCTTCTTCCACGTTCCTGCGTCATGTCTGGATGAGGACATCGAGGCTGGAAAGGAGGTTGCCATCGCCTTGATCAAGGCCCTGACGACGAGTTGGAGTCGGAGCAAAGCTTAGTTGCTCTGGCGCATCATTCTTGGGATGATTTTGGGACTGGCCTATAATTTTCCATTTATTATCCCAATCCCATCCTTGATTCTGCTTTTTAGTCTCTTTTGAAGCTTCGATGATCGTTCCATATATTTGCATTCCACGCCACCCGATTGAATTGGATACCTGGTGGCGGTTGTTCTGGATTGACTTTATTTGCATCATCACTTGGTTCTGTATATGCATTTTTAATGGTGTCAGAGATATTCAGTGCTATATGCTTTCAGAATACTGCCACTGAACACAGGCTCTGTGAACTGTCCTTGTGGTCTCATCAGCCAAGAAGCAATGGATCTTCGCTTATCTCAGCTTCCTGCACGAATTAATATGGAACCCGCATATAGGATCTGCATACTCCCATATCTATCAAATTCACTCCCTAGGTACACTAGAAACATGGTTTGATGTGTGCGCGAGCTTTCATGGAAACCACAAGCGGGCACTAATGAATATTTCAATTGGAGCAGAGAGTCCCTTCCGCAGTGATAATAAGCAACCCTTCCACCCAAGGAAACCCAAACCTACATCAAAGTACACATGAATCTGACAGCTTCACCGGAATAACATCACTGATATATCGAACAAGCAATGATCTTCAATCCATAATGGATCGTCCATTGCACGAACGACCCTGCCCATGGGTTGGACGGGGATGAGTCGATGACATAAGAATGCGGGATCTGCTCGGGATCCCTTATCTCTCTCTAGTCTCTCTCTCTCTCTCTCTCCAACTCTCCAACTCCACACTTTTCCCTCCTTCTTCTTCCTCCATTCCTCCCTCCCAACCAACAATGAAAAAAAAAACCGAGCTCTAACCCACTATCGGCAAAATGGAAACCTCCACCCTCCTCCCCCTCTTCATCCTCCTCCTCATATCCCTCCCCATCCTCCTCCCCCGCTTCTCCGGCTGGACACGACTCCACAAATCCTCTCTCCTCCAAACCCTCCACTCCAAACCCAAACCCACCAGCACCAGCGAAGTCGTCTCCCTGCGCATCTACCCGATCAAATCATGCCGGGGGCTCGAAATCCCCCGCACAAAGCTGCGCATGCACGGCCTCGACCTCGACAGACGGTGGATGTTCGTCGACGCAACAACCCACGAGTTCCTCACCATCCGCCAGATCCCGCAGATGACGCTCATTAATACCGCGCTGAGCGACGACGGATCTCTCCTCCTGCTCTCCATCAGCTCCAACCACACCACTACTGCCAACACCAACATCCCCGACCCCTCCCTCTACAACCAAACCATCTCCATCCCCGCGCACCCCACCCCCACCTGGCTCGCCTCCCACACGCACCTCGCCCAGGTAACCATCTGGGACACCACGACAGACGGCTACATCTACGGCCCCGAAGTCAACACCCTCTTCAGCGCCTTCCTGGGCCGTCCCGTCGCGCTCGCCTACAAGGGCCCCACGCCCCGCATCCTCAAAGGAAACGGCCACCCGCGCCTCCTCGGCCGCGAACAAAGCACCAATTTCCCCGACGTGCATCCCATCCTCATCGCCTCTGAGGCGTCCATGGCGGAGCTCAATTCCCGGCTACAGAAGAACGGCGCCGACCCGATTACCATCGAGCGTTTTCGGCCCAATATCGTCGTCAAGGGCGATGTGCCCTGGTCGGAGGATGAGTGGAAGGTCGTGAGGATTACAGGCTCGGGGGCGGGGGCGGGGGCGGGGGCGGGTGCGCAGGGGGATAAGGAAAGGGAAGGGGGGTTGGATCTGAATCTGGATCTGGATATCGTGGCTCGGTGTGCTCGGTGTGCTCGGTGTCAGGTGCCGAATGTCGAGCCGGATACGGCGGAGAAGCATCGAAAGCAGCCGTGGGATACGCTCATGAGTTATCGTCGCGTCGACGAGGGAATGAAGTATAAGCCGTGTTTTGGGATGTTGAGTGCCCCCCGCAATGAGGGGGATATTGAGGTGGGGATGCGGTTTGAGGTTTTGGAGGAGACGAAGTCCCATCGGTATATTACTGGTTTTTGAAGGGGGTTGTCGAGGGAAGTATAATGTGTATGTATGTGTTAGTGGGATGAAGGGGAGGTGGGCGGATAAAAAACGACTGTATGAGTGACGACGCATCAATTGCGGAGGATGCCAGCCTATTACTTGTATATCTACGGTTGGATCCAGTTCGGATATAGAGGGATGGATATATTACGACTTGGGATGGATGGTTTCATCCCGACTCTGTAGATACGTGTGTACGTAAGTAAGTAGCATCATCTACCTAAGTAACTAACTAGCTCAACTAGGTAGTTCTAGGTCTAGTTCTTCGTCTGCTTTCCAAAAGAAACACACCAGTTGTTCCAGTCCGAGAAGAACGACGCCTGCACATGGCACTTCTTGCTAAGGAGCTGCGCCTTGCGGGTATCAGCATAGACATCCACGATGCCGGCAATGGTATCCTTGTCGTGCGCCACGAGCGTCTTCACCACCAGCAGACTCGCCTGGCTGCACGCCGAGGTATGCGCCGGCGGACCACTGTGGCTCGCTTCCGCGTGGATCGACTTCAGGAGCTCCCAGACGGGCTCGGCGGACTCGATCGTCGGCAGCGCAGAGCCCTTGCACTGCTTGGTGTATTCGCGGAGCACGGCGCCGGCCTTGGTGGAGATCTGCTTGACGGTGGATCTGCGCGCCAGACGCAGCAGCGGCAGCAGCAGGTCCAGGGCGAGCAGCTTCGAGTGGCATTTCTTCACGTAGATCTCGAGTAGGTCCAGAACCCGGTTCTTGAAGTTGACCATGTTTTCTTTGGCGTCTTTCTTGTCTTTCTTCTGGCCGAGGGCGTCGCGGCGCGCCTTGAAGACCTTTGCGAGCTGCGTGTCGACTTCTTCCATCTCGTCGTCGTTCATGTCGGAGTCGGAGCCCGAGCCCGAGCCTTCGTCGTCTGCGCGGGCGTTGCCGAGCGCGGCTAGGAGCTTCGCTTCGAAGATGGCTTCTTCCGAGTCGTCGCCGTTGTTGGAGGTCGTGTCGTCTTCGGAGGAGGAGTCGGAGTCCGAGTTGTCGGAGCCTTCGGCATCGATGACTTCGACGTCGCTGTCGTCGGCGCCGTCGATGTCCATCATCGACTCGTCGCCTTCTTCGTCGTCGTCGTCTTGCTGGTCGAACATCTCTTGTTGGCCGGCTAGACTTTCTTTCGCTTCGAGGATCTGGGAGGTGTTAGTGATGACGGGTGGATAAGGGTGGGTGAACGTACAGAGGTCAACGAATCCAGGCCGTTTTCGGTGATGTTGGTAGCGAAAGCACCGAATACTTGTTCGCTCATGCGGCGGAAGAGCTGGGAGGGCTTGGAGGCAAAGGAGAGAAGAATCTCAACCAACGCGTCGGACGCGTCGGAGGTCTCTTCCTTCTTCGACTTCTTGTCGCCGAAGATCTTGGTGTAGCAGAAGTCGAGCTCCTCCAGCATAGATGCAGCATCGGCGTCACCGTTGTACACCTGGAGGATTGTTAAAGAGTATAGCAGCTTGAAGGCATTGATGCCGGCCTTTTCACCCTTCTCCTATGCAGTGTTAGCGAGAGAGACAGTTGGGTTGAGGAGGGAGGCTTACCATGTTGGATAGCTTCTTCAACGACTTGAAGGCGCCCTTCACGGAGTCGTGAATGGGGCCTTCCTCTATGTTGATGATGAACTTGCCGTGCTCCTCCGACTTGGCGGCGTCACGGATCTTGCGAACAACAGCGTACGCGACACCGGCGTACTTCGGGGTAGCGATGAGACTGTTGATGCACGAGTTGATTCTGCTCCGGAAAAGCTCCTGGGTCTGCTCAGTCAGGGCGGGGACGACGGACTGGTCGCGACCTTCGTCCTTGAAGTAGGCGAACCGGACAAAGACAAACAGGATCTTCTCCAGGATCTTCTGCATGCCCTCTTCGGCCTCATCGCCAGCGGAAGCCCGGGATCTGACGATGGCTAGGAACAAACCGGCCAGGAACTGGCGGCTTGACGCCGCAGCCTTGCTGTCGGTCGTGCCCGGGGACGCGATGAGCGACTCAAAGAGCGGGACAATCTGCTTCAGAGCGCCCAAGTTGGCCTCGACCACGATCTTTTCCACGGTCTTGGTCTTGGTGGCTTGGTCAAAGTTCACGGCACCGGACGACCCCATGAGTCCCTTGACGGAAGCGGCAGCAAACTCGGGATCCTTGGACACACGGGTTTGGATGCCCTTGGCAGCCTTGACGGCCATGCGGTTCAGGTATCTGTCCTCAACGGCGAGCTGGTTCGTCAGACACCGGACGAGGTTCTTTGTGAAGACAAGAGAAGCCAATGGCAGGGGATATTCGCCAATGACTTTGTTGAAGAGAAGGAAGCCCCAGTATTTACGTTCATCGGACGAGGCAGCGGCAAAAAGTCCGTCTAGAAGCTGGGTTAGCCAAAAGCTTCTTCGAGAGTAGATACAGTAGGCTTACTGTCAACCACTTCCGTCCAGAAGTCAGCGAAGCTGAGACGAGAACTCTTGGACTTGGAGCTTTCTTTCGCGGAAGAATCGCCAAGTCTGGTCATGACAGGGTCCCAGGCGAAATGGAGCTTCGAGTTCCACACTCCTGAGGATTTGGCATTGCCGCCCTGGCCGTTCTCGGAATCAGCGGAAGACGATTCCTTCATGACCTTGGCCAGCTGGGTTCTCTCCCGCGCATCCAGCGGGTCGTCGTGCTTCCAGATCTTGCTAGGGAACTTGGCATCCGAGAACAAGTCCTTGGCTGCGAGCCAGATGGCCACTCCCTCCGGCGTCCGGGCGAGCTCGTTCGAGCAGAGGCGTTCAAGAGCGGATTCCACAAACTTGGCGTCGGCCTTCTGAGCAGCAAGCTCGTAGACGCAACGGTAGATGATCCAGCCACACTCCTCCCGGAGCCATGGCTTCTTCTGGGCAAGGTCGAGCACAAGATCCAAAACCTTGGTCCACTCAGTAAAGGGGACAGCGGCCTTGAACAAGATAGATGACTTGATGATAGCCTCGGCACCAAACAGGCGACCAAAGTGATGGTCACGTTGTTCCTGCAATATAATGTAAGCATCCTCTTTGCAATCAGATATTCGTGAGGTATTACCTGGCCGGACTCGCCCCCGGTAGCATTTGTCTGCGACTCCCAGATGTTCATGACCGTGGAGACGTTCAATTCCGAAGAGTCCCGCGGAGAGCCGAAGACCTGCGAGAGCAACTCGGTCAAAGCGATCGAGAAGCCGATTCGGGCGGCCTTGCGACTGCTGCAGAGACCACGGAAGAGTCTCTGCAGAGCCTTCTTGATCTGCTCATCTGTGGGGTTCTTGTCGGAGGTGAATTGAGACACCAGGGCCTGCGCCGCCTTCAGTCTGATCTCATCCTTTTCGCTGGCGAGATCCTCATAGATCTCGACCAGCTTGGTGTCGACGTTGAAGGCCTCGCGACGCCGCTTGTGGTTGGGGGCCATTGTTCGGGAAGAGCAGTTGGATTCGTGGGATGAATTCGACTGCCCGGAAGATACCCACCCAAACAATGATCAAAGTGGAACAGGGTCGTCGGGGGGGGAACAACAACCGCTGGGGATGGAGATGCAAAAGAGATGCCGCGTCTTGAAAATTTGAGAGTCCATCGCCCAATCCGGTTAGCGCATCCCCGGATGGGTGCCTCAGTCGACCCGCCATCATTCGCAAGGCCAGCGATGCCCCATCCCAAAACACACTATTGCGCAGTGTGCAATGGTACTATGCTCTGAATATCGGACTACCGCACAAAATAACAAGTGGTTAAATCCAATTGGTGTTACCTTACAAGGGATGATGCCCATCCCAGTATGACTACCGGGTTGGGCCTAGCGCCTGCCCCAGACCGCTTCGGGGCTAGCGCTGTTTGCTTACAGCTATACAACTTACAACCGATCCGACTTCTTTCCTCCTCCTGAGATGCGTTGGACACCTCCTCATCTTGTCTCTTGTCTCTCCTCTCCTGCAGATATCGAAACGCCCCAGCTCTGCTCCAGAGCTGGTATCCCCCAACCCTTCATCCACTCCGACTGCAGCACTTGTTGCGCTGTGGCTCTCTCCCCCGGCCGGAAGCGCAACCTCGACCGCAGCATTGCCTCAAACGCCTTCTTCTCTTCATCCGTCACAACCTCGAAGCCCGCTTCGGCTCGAGGCTTCTGGATAGAAGAGCTGAACCGTTGTTTCCAGTTTCTGAGATTCCCATCATGGTCCCTAGACACACTTAAATCGCCCTCCTCGTTGTTTGCTCCATCGTGACGCGGTCGTGCATCGGGAAGAAAGTCTCAAACAAGGGCCGTTGACCAAAGATCTCCCAGATGGTGCACCCAAGGGTCCAGACATCCGAGGCAAACGAGAGCGGTTCGTCCGAAAACCAGGCTTCCGGTGGCTGAAGGAGAGGAAGTGTTTTCGAGGAATACCGGGGCTCTTCGCGTGGCTTCAAAGATTCGTCAAAGTCACTCAGAACGATTCTCTCCTCGTAAAGAACAAGCTCGTCGCTGGGGACACCAAGCCAGCCGTGGGAATGAATACCTGGCTGGGTACGCCGCTCGACAGCGACTTACCATCGATGCGGACAACGGCCTCGGACTCTGGGTCTCCAAATCTTTCGTACAGCTCTGATGTGGAAAGATTGTCAATCGGTTTTGGGGACTTGACGAGTACGTTGCCAAGATGAAGGTCTGACAAGGACGTCAGTCAGTCATCAGCCGAACAAGGGTAGAGCCACATACCGCCATGGACAATGGACTGGGTGTGAAAGACTGAGACGCCACGGATGAGCTGCGCAATAATTGATTGTGCGACTTTCGGCTGAAAGATGCCAAATTTCGAGGCCTCTTTGGCATCAAATAAACTCATCCTCGGGAAGGGGGGGAAGGTCACTATACACCTGTGCTCGCCGTTGGGGCCCGAGACACAGAATTCGTCCATCAGTGGTGGGACAATCTCCCTCCCCGGTCCAGCTGGTGAGCTGCCCAGATAACGTATCAGAGTAGCCTCACGAGCGCTACTACTGGCATCAGCAGCAATAACCTTGACTGCCACATACTTGGCGCTTCGTAGATCCCGGGCTAGCCATATAGTCGAGTATCCCCCGGATCCAAGCTTGTCGATCAATGCATAACGGCTATCACTCAGCTGATCCCCGAGTTGGAGAGGATGATATCCCCCAAAAAAGTATCTTTCCAAGTCTTCGACATCCTCGATTGGCTGGTACTGAGGCCCAGGCCTGGTGCTTGATACACGAGGTTCGTTGGTGCTATCCGTTCCGCAGCTCGTCTTTTTCTGTCCTCACTAGACCGCCTCGGGATACCGATGAGACCTTTCGGACATGGAGTTGATTCGCTGAGACAATACTGCTTGTCAGTCTGTAACGTCCGTTTGACTGAACGCAGATCCGTGAAAACATCTTCCATCCTCGCAATCGAAGGGGCCCTAATAAGCATATGCCATATCTCACAAGTACTTAAGTACTTCTGGGGCGTCCGGAGGCGGGACCAAAGATTCCGAGCGCCGATAACTCCGGCTTTCTGGGCATTTGACATCTTTCGACTCTGTGACATCCACTGCATCGATAATTCACTGCTAACCCCGGCTGGGGCCCTTACGGCGATCTGTCTTCTACTCAACCACCTACCATCATCCGAGCTCTGCCCACCCCCTGTCCAAGATGAGCCTGAATTGTCTCCCTAACGAGCTCGTGGTGGAGATCGGTCTGTTCTTGGAACCTCGATCCCTGGCCAGCCTGATCCAGTCGGCAAAGCGATATGCTTGGCTTCTGACCCCTCGACTCTATGATTTTTATCTTCAACGTACTTACTGCTATGGCCTCGATCAAGTGAAACTCTGGAGCTCTCCTTATGTGGTCAAGTACTTTCAAGGGCATCCGTCCAATGTGTCTCACATGTATAACTATGGAACCCTGCTGCATCAATTCGCGGAAGCCGGAAACCTGTGCCTGTTAAACATCCTTCTTTCCAGGGGTGCTCATGTCAACGCAAAAGCCGAAAGTTTTGTGACACCTCTACATCTTGCCGCATCTGAAGGACATGTAGACGTTGCGCAGGCCCTCATAGATGCGGGAGCAGATATCAACGCGCGCGATGAGAATAACGAAACGCCGTTGTATAACGCGATATCCGAGAAACGCCGGGATATGATTCCATGTCTTATCAATTCCGGGGCAAACATCTTTGCAGGCCAGCCCTTACCCTTTGAGGACGCCATTTATGACAATATGCCCGAATTCTCGACGTTACTCATCCAGGCTATCAAGAGTGCCGGTCCGGATATTGACACCCTTAACGAAGAAGACTGCACAATGCTACATGTGGCCGCTAAAGCAGGATGCGTCACTACTGTTCAACTATTACTTGACAACAACGCAGACCCATTTCGCACGACTCCATCTGGGTGTACTGCTCTCCATCTGGCATGCCAAAGGGGACATACGCAAGTTGCCAAGCTGCTTCTAAATGCAATGAGGCATGCAGGTCATGATGCTTTTGCACAAGACACACTCGGCTATACTCCACTACTTTCTGCAGTGGAAAGCTGCACAGCACCTCTTGTCCAGCTGCTCATTGATTATGGAGACAGCATATCAGCTTCCGGTGAATATGCGTTACAGCTCGTCAATTGGCGCAAGATACAGGTCCATGTCCTCTCATTACTTCTTCGCCACAAACTGCCGGCAGTCCTATACGAAGTTATACAGACTCGCTTTCGCACTGAAGCCGAACACATGATGTACCAAGGATTTCCCACCCAGCCTCAATTACTATTTCTAGAAAGGGCTCTACAAATGGTCAAGTCTCACGAAACCACAATCAACTTGTCTGCGAGCAGAGGGACTGGACCTACAATACTGCATTACCTGTGCAAGCTTGCCTTCAAAAGCAACGAGATCCATGAGCTTTTGTGCGCCTTCTTCAAAGCAGATGCGGACGTCGACATATGTGATCCCCGAGGAGATACACCAATTCATATGATTCTGAAGGCATCCAATCGATACAAGAATCTGAAGCTTGTACATCTGATGATCGACTCCAGCAATGATATCAACAAATTGAAAGAGGACCGCAGTAGCTACTTACATTGGGCAGCGATGTCAGGCCATCCGCGTACTGTCCAGCTGCTCTTGGATAGGATGGATGGTAGCACGATAGTCTCTGTTAACAACAGGGGAGAAACAGCGCTCCATATGGCCGCAAAAGCGGCTAATCACGCTGCTGTCCAGCAGCTGTTGACTTCCCACATCAACGTCAATGCGCAGGATATCGATGGAAAGACGGCTATGCACGTTGTCGCGGGTCTCGCAGGAGCATCTACGGCCCATTTACTGGTTGAAGGGGGGGCAGATATGACCGCCATAGACGGGTTCGGAAACCCGCCGGTACACTATGCCGTGGGCTACGAAAATGCGGAAATGGTAGACTTTTTCATAGGAGCTGGTGCTGCCGTCCATGAAGGTTGCTTTCTGTGCACAGACTGCTTGAGCCAGAAGCCTGCGAAGTGAAGCCTGCGGGGACATAACAGGTGGCGACTTTTTGAGCTTTTGGCTCTTCAGATACAGCATCCATGGATGTGGGGGGTCAATTTGATGGTCTTGGTAGTGACGGTTCAGGTCCCAGGTACTTTGGACAATGGTGTTAACACCTCGGGTTGCGATATGGTGATTGGATGGCTGCAGAAGGGTGTTTCGGTCCAACAGACTGCTATATTATCGGGATGGCAGTCTAAGGATCGTTAATTTCAAAAGAGAGAGAAAAAGCATACGGGAATCGCGAATTAATTCGTATCCATCTGTATATTCCGTCAGATACCTGCCAAGCGGTGGGTATACTATAGTCTACACACGGGTACTCTCAACGAACATATATAGTAGCCGCAGTATCAAGACCAACATAATGCCAAATCAACATATGATATTGGGTTTCACACCCTCGGCTATTCGAAGAGGATAACCAGCAAAAATATAAACATCCCCTGGATTTGACCCTAACAAAGCGCAAGGATACTACTCTAGGAACAAACTGTAACTAATCGTTTGGTATATATCTATAGCAGAAGTAAGCTGTTGCCGGCCTGGTAAAATATAGGATAATTGTACGAAGTATAACCCGAAATATAAGTATCAGGTGAATGAGAAGGTTGATCACCGTCAAAATCTCCCCTGAAACTATATTACAACTGTCCTAACTACACTCCAACAGATATGTCTGGCTGAGTATATATGAAGTTGGATATAGTCTACAACCATGCTAACACCGTAAAACTAGATATAGGAGGGCTCTGTACTGTTGGGTGAACGAACCTAGTACTTGATAACCCGCCCGGGGAAACAATATATATAGATTGTATTCCTACCGCTACATAACCACCGAAGCATCCCATCCTGCCCATAGTACGTACTATCACATCTGCGGTATATCTCAACAATTACATATTCCCCGTCTCTAATACCCAAACCAAACCAAATCCCTACTACATCCACATCAACACCAACCCTCTACATCCACTTCACCTCCAGTTCCACCTCCAACTCAACTTCTCAATCCCCATATATACATGCTTCCCCCTTCCCCTCCCCCATTCCCCATTCCCCCACTGTATATACTTACCCACTCAGCACTAACTCACTGACTGACTTACTCACTCACTTCCAACTCCCCAGCTCCAGCTATGAACAAATACAAATACCACCCAATCCCCATCCCCCAACCCCCCCCACATACCACAATCCGGAAAATACATCCTTCTCCCTTACTCCCCACCACAGCTAGCTAACCCCAGGAATGCGCACTATGGATTTACACTTTCCCCCTCATGCAGGAAACCTGGCACTTCGTCTCCACTTATTGTCCCAAGAACAGTGTCATTGGTGGAAGTGGACGCCCCGGAACGCTGGAAGCAAGATGGTCTTGGAACTGGGGTATGGGTGGTACTGGGTTGGGGTGTAGGGCATACATATATATCATAGGCATAGACAGACATCAACAGACATAGACAGACATAGACATAGGCATAGGTAAAGTAGAGGTAAGCAGAGGTATTCTGGCTACCTGAAGATTTAGGTATCTGTCTCGTACCGAGAAGGGAAGTTATCCCGAGATCGCGTGCTATGTATGAATGGGTAGGGGGCTAGCTACTTGGGCTTCTTTTGATGCTTATTGGTGTTCCTGGATATGGGAACCTGGGAACGTGGTGCAGACATTCTTCTGCTGAGTTTCGGACGTACCTACCCTCCCTCACTATAATACGTACTCTATTCGATAGGTAAGTACTAGGTCAGGGAGTGGGTGTCTACCAAGTAAGGTACCAGTGATCATAGTAGCTATATGTGCCTAGCTAGTAGCTAGTAGCTAGCTAGCTATTCTATTATATCCTATTCCAAAGCAGCCACATAGCCACATACCATGTGCCACGGTACAGCAGAATTCCAGTTGATTAATTCAGCAGATGCAGGAACGGCCGGCCGGACGGCTGGCGGGAGCGGCGGCGTACCAGGAATGCACTTCCTACTACCTACTACTACTTACTATACCTATGTGGCACTAGACCAGTAACTATAGTTAGATTCAGTGCCACCACATACGTAGACATTCATCTTATTCATTGATACCTTCATCTCCACATACCCAATTCCGTCCCATCCATTGGCCACTTCCTCATTATGTTGTACGACCTACCACACTACCACTCAATTAACACCCATTCCAGGATATGACCCACCGAAAGGAATATATTTCCGATGAGATCTCGTAGGTAGGTAGGTAGGTAGATAGATACCTTAGATAGGTAGATATGTGATCCAAACTGAAGCGATAACTGACTGGGTCTGATGAGATGAGATGGCATTCATGGTATTGCGATCGTACGGTTATAAGTGATACAGAGAATATACAGCCTGAGAGAATGAGGTATTGTCACTGGCCATCATCTACTATCTACATACCTACTCTGGGTGTACTGATTAGTATGGTGTACTATACCGTAGCATATATATAGTATATATATGTATGTATAAACTTTTATGTAAGTGTAGTGAACAAGCTATAATCTCCCACGGATGTCTTACCAAAAGAGACAGCAACATACCATCTAGATAGATGGGTAGGTATCTCAATCCGTCTCTGAATAAGCCTCAGCCAAGGCCCCGAAGAAGTCAATCGAGAAACCTAGCGAAGGGCTACCTACCTACCTACCTACCTACCTTCCTACCACCCACCTACATCTAGGACGCGATAGTACTGCAGGGCACATACCCGCAGCAAGGCATATTATCAAAGTACAATTCACCAGAAAAGAGAGAGAGGGGGGGGGGGGGGGTGGATGGAGAAGGGATAGATCTACATCTCCATCACCAAACTCATCGTACCCTACTCGTCCCTGGATCTAAACCAAACTCAATCTTCGAGGGATGCGACCCCATCCAAGAAACCAGTACCAGTACCAGCAAGAGAGGGATGGAGGGATGGAGGGATGGAGATATCTATGTGGGCCGTGGGGATGGGGATGGGGATGGGGAGACAGATACTGTAATGCAAGGGCGCGCGCGTCCCATTGTTCATGTAACCATGTATGTCTAATTGGTTCACGGCGGTACCTGGCATTTCAAGACCTGCAGGTGGGTGCGAGAGGGCCAGGGGGCGAGATTATCTTCGATAACGGGGAATTTCGTGCAGATATTGAACGGTGAGGGAAAGTTAAAACACGAATTGAATACTGAAAGTGATGGTAGGGCTGGAAGGGAGGGAAGATCCTGGGAGATGGAGACAAAGAAAGACAGGGAGGAGGAGGCGCGATTCAATCGAACGCCAAAACGGTCGCTGATTTCCGATTCCGATTCCGATTCGATGCGATTCTAGTAGGGAGGATCCCATCCCATCCCCATATGCGAGATCCTAGATAGACTTGCATGTCGTGCGCATTATTGGGCCGATCTAATCTCTTGGATTACCCCGTACATACAGGATATCTGATTATGATTCTGATGTGGCGATGTTTTCGAAGGGGGGGGGCTGGGAGTTACTGTGTACAGTGTCGCGGGTGGTTGCGTCGCGTCGCGTCCAGCGCGCGAAGGGGACTCCGTATCATCGACAGTGAACCACCACGCTGGGTCCTGGGAAACACCAAACCGGACTAATTTATTGGATCGCCCGAAGGAAGGAAGGTGTGGCAAATGGCAATCGCAGAAGAACCGAGATAAGACCCTCATTATAGTGAGATATCGCTCGGATGCGAGATCTGATGCGCCGGTTCATGTAACTAACCCTCGATAGCCGTACTACTATCATCCCTGGAAAATGCATTCGCTCAAGGGAGGGATGGATGGATGGATGCACGCAGATGGTTTGCATCCTGCAAGTAAATCTATATGGACAAGCTTTCTTAAGCTTCACCCTGGGCCTGAAAAATAAAAATACGTGGATTATTGGTAAGAGATGGTGGTAGTACCGGGGACACAGGAGAGGCGCGCCCTGCATACGACGCGACGCGGCTGGATGGGCAGCGGATCTGATCAGGGTGGCAACAACTGGCCAGTTCCTGCAACAGCGCACATGGGCGGGCTGAGAAAAAGAGGATCTGGATCATTTCCCAGAGAGATAATCGATAGTCCTGCCGATCTCTTCCCTCGTCGTGTTTAGCCTCCATACCTCCATACTTACGGAACTGGGCCGCGGCAGGTGGGATGAGTGAGCGGACCAGGACTTCTTCCGGGTAACCATCACCGATGAGGATTGTTCGGAGTCATGAAGCCTCACTTGAGGCCGGTAGAATTGGCCGTCGGAGCCGGGATGGATACGCAGGATGGAGGGCGATGGCACGGACATTGATCGGGCAGCAAGGAACTGAGGGGAACGCGAAGGGAAAGGAAGGAAGCAAGCAAGCAAGCAAAGCAAGGTGAGGAGGGCGCGAGCATGAAGGGAGGGAGGGAGGAAGGATGATGTCATCCATGGTCGGGGCCTGCCGAAGGGAGGGAGGGAAGACAGGGCCAGTCACGGGACGGCGCTCGGCGGTCGCGTCGTTGACTTGCGGATAGAGTCTGGAGTACGGAGTACTTGGAGGTACCATGGTTGAGGTACCTGTTTTTGTTTACATCTGACGCGATAAGGGAAACAGATAAACAATGGGGCCAAACTGATCGCGAGCCAGGATGGACCCAGGCCAGCAAGCGCCAGCACATACATACAGACAGAGTACAGAGTGACAGACATGCTTCTTACAGACGCACTCCAATGCAGTCATCGGCCGGGCTTTCCCCTCACTGTGACATCACGGACCCCCTTCTCGACGCGGGCCAGTAAGATCTGGAAACCGGTTGGGAGACCTTCTCCTTCGCCCACACCTCAGGCGTATCTAAATAAAGTTGCAGACAGTCTTGTTGGAGCACGAGCACTAGACCTGCACCCTCCGCCCAATCAAAGGCCCCATCACAATGCGAACCCCGCACCAGCGCTTCCTGCTGGCCCGCCAAGGTTGTTTCTGATGCTGGCCCAGTCCGCATAACAACACCAACACCTGACGGCCTTCGCCGGTTGCAAGTGCGCCCGACGCTGATTCCCCCCCCCCCCCCCCCAATCCCCGGCCCTTCGGACTTGCCTGGGCGACCTGGGCGACCTGGGCGACAGACAGATAACAGCTTGTCACCGCGACTCAGGTGACGGATCCTCTCGCTAGATATTACTCCGTACTCCACCGAACAACCCGAGGTCAGCGAGCACTAGCCCGTCCAACACGGCTGCCAGTCACGCGGCGACGGCCCAGATCAGTGCCGTGTAGATACTGACTGTATTAACATCCGGCGCGGTTGGTCGCGAAATTCAAATACATCGATCGTTCAGCCGCACACGAACGCCGGGTCAATCATTACCATCCGCAAGCAATGCCTCGGGCCTACGCAATCCGACTGTTTGCCCACCCGCGGAAGGGCACGGGCGCCGGCCACCTCTCTAGGACTCTAGTAGTGACATCGCCCTGATAGTTCTTGGGGCTAGCGTCCATCCTGGTGCCGAGCACCAACCTGAGCCGCAATTTCCGGCCGAGGCGCGTAGGGTGGAATATGCCTCAATCTGGACCCTCGGGAGTTCCAGCGCTAATAGCTGAGACGGGGGAGGGATCATCATCATTGGCGCCGACCAGTGTCTCAAAGATGAGGGGCTTGGACGAAGGATAAGATCAAATGGCCATGGGAAGGGGTTGCCGATGTGATCGCTGCACCTAGGCGCTTAACGATCTCACCATTCGTGGCGGTGTAATTGTCACAGCGTGAGTCCCTTAGTGGAGTGAGCTATTTCGTCGCCCACGAGGCAGCACTAAGCTAGGCGCCCAGACTCCATCGTTCCCACCGAGGCATTACGATGCGATCGATGAAGTTGGGAGACGCAGACTGGCGGAAGGCCCAAGACGCCCCCTCTCAGGCTGACTCAAAATTGCATGACGCCCTCGTGGTGACGGAGGAGTGTCGGTGACGTCGTCAGCTTCTCGGATGCGAAGGGAAATCCGGCTGCTTCAGCTGGGGAACAGACCCCACACCTGCCAGGACGGGAGAGCTGGAGCTGGCGAGCTAGGCTGCGTAGCTCGGAGTAAACATAGCAACTCGTCTTGACCTTGACGCGACAGTGGTGAGGTTGAGTATCAGGTAGGTCGAGATAAGATCGAGCGCGGCCGTTATCAACAGCCACCCTGGAGGGGGGAATTTTCGAAGGGGGGGAATCTCTAGCCAAGGCCTGCAGGAATGTGGAACTGAGACGGACAATGTCAAAGTAAGGGCATGGTGTGTGTCTGAAGAACGGACCACAGTGGGATCAGTGCACCGGAGGAGGGCAGAATCCAGGATAGAGCACCGTTGAACCTACCGAGAACCGATGCCCACAGACAAATGCCCAACATTCAGACCTCAGAGCCGTGCACGCGACCGTCCGTGCTGTCTGTCTGCTGCCTATACAGAGGACACGGTGACGATGTACATAGTAGAATGGGAGATTTCCAGGGAAGTGGAGGCCTCTCGCAGTGCCCTACCGGGTGGGAACCGAAAGGGATGCTGAGTCGCACAACCGATGTGTAGTAGCAGTATGTAGATCCGAAGATATCTCGACCTGAACGGGATGGTGGGGAGGGAGAGAAGAATCTGCTGAAGAGCCTCGCTACTGGATGGAGTAAGCGCGTGGCATGCCCGGACGAGGTTCCTCCTCAGGCATTACCCGATACGGCTAACCCGGCATCGCTCCGATCGGGAGCACACGTACGGGAGTCGACAATGATGATGATGACGATCTCACCGCGGGAAGTTCTCTCCCACTGTCGGTATGTCGAAGGGATAGATAGATATTGGATGGAATATGGATGGACGGATGGTCTGTGATACATGACTCGGAAAAGAGAAGCGCAGGCCAGCAGAGTCAGGACTCGGCCGTACAACGGTAGGTAGGGCGATGGCGGCCTTACGTATGGATGACAGCTTTCCTTCTTTAAAGGTTCGAAAATGGGACGACTTCTCGTTCCTGACTGATACCGGACAAGCTCTTTTTTCCGACCGGGTGGAGCCCGGGTGGAGATTTCATTAGATTCGATCTCTCTTTTTGGTTCTTGGGAATGGATGTATCTATATGAAAAAAAAAAGAAAATTGAAAATTCGAGACGAGAGAAAATCTCGACCGGCACACACGGGACGATATTATTGATCGAAACCGAAATTTCACCCAGGCACTGTCGGATTCTGACTGGTCGATCCGGTGGGAAAATCCTGCCAGTGTCTTCTAAATTGGGGACAGGGATTGGATATCCATCTATCTGCCTTACCTGCTAGTTTAGTACGGAGGAGGAGTTTGGTAGATAGAGCTGACTATCTAGCTACCTAGTACTATCAATTGACCAGTACCACTCACTACCGACCTAGGTACCTGCCTGTCTAGAACTAGATAGATAGCTCAGCCAGATCACTCCCGGACCTGCTGGAACTAGTATGTCGTAGATCGTCCGCGTCGTAGTCAGCGTGATGAGTCCGACTCGACTCGCATTGCAGATGGACGGACCAGCAACGGTTTCTACAGCAATGCAGCAATTGGAGTCGACCTGCGTGTTACACAGGTGAAACCTGTCAAAAAACCAATTACAGGGGACCCAGCGCACGGCGGCGGGTGGGTTAGTAATGGAAAGAAAAGAAGCCCCAGGGAAAAACGCGAGACCTCCGTGAGACAGGCACGATCCATACTTCAGCCAGCCCGCCGAGCGGCCTCAGATTGGACGCTGGCGGGCGGGCGGCGCAGTAAGGACGCTGATAGGCGGGGGGTTGCTGAGCAGCGGCTAGCGCTGGTGCTGGCGGCAAGGGAGTCCCGGCAACGAGGGGCGCCCAGAAGGGCTGCTGGTGACTAGTCCGGGTACCTACTGTACGTATGTACTGTACCTCCTCCCTCCTACTTACGGCAGGCAGTAGTAGAGATACATACAGGTACCAGGTACTCCGACGGAGTGGACTTCGTACATACTTCAGTACTGTACATACTGTACTCCGTATGGTATGTACTGTACTTACTCGCACAACTCTCCCCTCTCCAACGTCGTACAGATAGGAATTCCCCGGAGACAGGATCCAGAAGAGGAAGGGGAAAAAAACGAAGTTTGAGTATAGAGATGAGGGAGGAATAGAGTCATGATGGAGACAAGATCTCCAAAGTAGCTACTACCTAGTAGTCTAGGACAAAAGAAAACCCCCCCCCAAAGCAGGCACTCCCAATCGGGAGGTTCCAGGCCTTGCAGTTCAGTCCTGCCGTGAACTGAAGGGTCGAATGCGGTCATGGCCTAAACCGGTTCGACATGGGTTTTCTGACACAGGCTAACCAGGCTAACCCATCGTCGCTTAAGCTGTTCTCGAGCATCTGGAGATCCTCCCTCCCTCCCCACTTTTACGTTGCCATTGCAACAAGGGCATCCCTTCAGCTTCACTTCTTTCTTCTCCAGACCTTTTTCTTTCTCTTCTTCTTCTACTCCTTCTCCCCCGGTTTCTTCTTGACCCTCACTCGTCGTGGCTCTATTAAGACCATTCCTTTTCCCCTCCCTCCCCCATTCCCATGCTCCGTCCTGTGAGCTCCCCTCAGGTCCCCCTCCCGTCTCCAATCCTCGATTCGGTAACTTTTCCCCGATGCTCTAGCGTACCATACCTTCTACACACCTTCGAGACCCCCTGATCCTGATCTTTATCCCGATGCTGCTCCCCCGTGAGTACTGGCTCTTGCTGACCCGGCCTGTTCTTTCTCAATAGCCCCTCCTCCCGTCCGGCGTGCTTTCTGTTCCACCCCATACCGTCTCCGAATTCGCTTTGATCCCGCTGGTCCGATCAGTCATGTCGCTCTAAACCGTCGGCTTCGACCCCGAGTAGTGCGGTTTCTAGGCTCGTTCGCTGAAGGATTTCGAAGCCGTCAGCACCGTCCAGCAGGTCCGGAATCCAATATCATACATAGGGAACAGAGGAGAGAGGATCAAGAGCTGGGTAGACACCTCCGCTACAATTGTACCACATCTGCCAGTGTAGTGTATGCCGGGTACATAGTCCGCAGCGTTTCCGTCGTCCGTTTCTTCGCCGCGGCATAGCTTCGTTCTGCGGTCGACCAACCTTGGGTTGAGTGACTAGGGCCAACTTCGAACCATTCTCCGGCCACAATGGAGCACTCGTCCCCGCTGGCTGCCATGCAGCCTCCCTCGGTGATGTTTGGGCACTGCTTCCGGGCAGACGCTCCGACCTCCTATGCGTCTTTCAGTCCCATGCCCCGGCTGGGTCGCAACAGCTTCAACTTCAAAGACCTGTCCATGAAGAAAGCCCAGGGCGACTATTTCAATGTCAAGCCCGTTCGGGGCTCGTCCCCAACGGCCAGCCTGGCTGCGGACCTGTCTCAGAATTTTCATATTGACCAGAGGTTCGTCCCGTCTCCTTTGCGGTCCTTTGTTCCGCGGTGTCTCCCTTGGTAGAGGGGTTCGCTGACCACCAAAAATAGCCCGCAATTGGCGACGCCCCGACGGTCTTTGTTCACGGCCAATTTGCTTGGGAATAGCAACCGGTGTGGTAAGAGATCACATCCATTGTGTCTAAAGAACCTGGATGGTCTAACATATAAAGCAGAGTCTATGACCACACCTCCGCTGCCCTCGTCCTCACCCGCGCCGGCCCTGGATCTCATGGAAATGTCCCCGTTACCCCACAAGCCAGCGTTCAGCATTGTCACGGAAGCCGGTCTCGATTCGCCCAGCCTCGATTCCTCGATGGATACCCCGATGATGTCGGCGGAGCCGAGCCCGCTGGAGGATTCCCCCCTCGTTTCGGCGAAGGACAGCTTGCAAGAGTAAGAGAAGCGCTTGGGCATGTTCTGGGTCTATGGAGATCTAATTGGATTTTGTCTGCAGGAGAAAACGTCCCACCTTCCTACGGCCGAGCTTGGCCAGGAGCAAAGCTCAGTCTTTTCAGCTTGGCATGTCGAAGCCCGCCCCGGAGAGCCAGGCACCACCGTTCAAATTCCAGAGCAAAGGCGGCAAGACGTCGTTGAGCGCATCCGCATCACTGGAGGATCTGTTTGGTGAATCGCCACAGCGTGAACGGCCTACGTTGAGGAACAACTCGAGCGGCCTACTGGCCAACCCACGGCTGAGACCCCCGTTTGGTAGCAATGGGAGCAGTGGGAGCCATGTGCGCGGAAACGGTTCGCCGTCGGCAGCCTCGATCCGCAAGAGTTCTCACCCCACGATGCGCCCCCGTAAACAGTGCCGACGTTCGCTGAGCATGTTTGAGCACCCAGAGGATATTGTTGTCGAAAAAGAGGCTAATTATACTACAAATGCACCACTTACCTCGATCACGGATATCGAAGGTACCCCGAGCCTGCAGCTCCCTCATTGCCTTTCTGAGGACCAGGCCGATACACTGCCTCGCATTGACAAGGATATTCTTGTGGAGCTCATGGACGGCAAGTTCAATGATCGGTTTGACAACATCATGGTTGTCGACTGCCGCTTCGAGTACGAATATGAGGGCGGACACATCACCGGCGCGGTCAACTACAACGACAAAGAGTTTTTGGCCGCCGAGCTCTTCGCGAGCCCCAAGCCACGGACGGCATTAATCTTGCACTGCGAGTATTCTGCCCACCGCGCCCCCATCATGGCCAAGTACATTCGCCACCGGGATCGCGCGTACAACGTGGATTCATACCCGCAGCTCAGTTACCCGGACATGTACATTCTCGACGGAGGATACAGCGCGTTCTTCGCGGAGCACCAGTCACTGTGCTACCCCCAAAATTATGTTGAAATGAGCGCCAAGGAGCACGAATTCGCCTGCGAACGCGGCCTCGGGAAGGTCAAGCAGCGATCCAAGCTGAATCGCGCGCAGACGTTTGCGTTTGGTCAATCCCCTCAGATGGAGGACAGTCCCACTGGGCGGTGTCGCAACGACCGCAACCGTTATCTGGCCTCACCCTTTGCCGAAAGCCCAGCATCCGGGCGGTTTTCTGGCCGGCGCATGCTTTCCTACTGAGTTACCCAGCTTAACTCTGTTGATCACTTCCGGCACCACACGCAATGATGCTACGACTATCATGACGCGTTGCCAACTACCACCATCTAACGGGCCCTCCCTTTCGAATTTCTTACCATCTCCCATTCAACGTTCCCGACAGTGTGGTCACTGCGGGTCAATTGGCCGTTGAATGGACCATGAAAACTGGCGTCAGAGCGTTTTTGTATTGTGGGACACTTGGAGCCCGCAGTGGACGGACGCGTTGAGATTTTGCACCCGCCATCTGCGTCCCCAGGACCCCATTCCATTCGTTTGCTTTTCGGTTTCCTTACACTTTCTGGTTGGTGTGGTGAATAGAGGCGGTCCCTTTTGACGACCCGACGATGATCGATTTTGCACGATTTTGCTTTGCGCCGATTTGCGCCGAAGACCATCCATCATACATTTGATTCTGACAGCAACCTCACCTCCGAGCGACGTTCGCCCTCGTCTTCCCATCCACCCATTAACCGACCACTCCCTTCGGACTTTCCTATGTGTTTCCACGACTCCATCCCGCACCGGCCCACCGCGTGCGCTCCCCTTATGATACCTCGCCAGCTGGCATTTCCTTCTCACGCTTTTTGTCTATTTTCCTTACCGTCATTTAATCATCCTCCCCGACTTGGCTGTACAACCCAAGGGAGTGCCCACCTCACGCCGTACAAAAGTACATATCCGTGTACGGCTCGTCAGACACGACGATAATTTTGAACGCATGGCTGGTCCCTCGCGCCCGATCCGCAGCACGCGAGGGCTTAATACGCGAAGAGGACGCCAGTGCCGCTGTACATACATCGCATGAACTTGCTTGGTCGGTTATTGTCCCGACATTATTGCGGGGGACTGGAGGTTAAAGACTAATTTCTTATGTTGGAACAATGCAAGAAATTCATTCAGTTGAAGATCGCCATGCCGTAATGATGCGTAACGTGTAGACATTGTGCGGAGTAAGTTACTAGTGCGGTCCACCAGCCTGAGGCAACCATCATCAAGCCGAGGTAGAACCCCCTTATGCCTGAGGCATGATTCAGGCATACCGGACCAACTCAGACTCCGCCTGAGGCATTCACCTCCGCGGCGGAGAATCTCGACCCGCTGGACCTCCGCTCCGCTTCCTTTCACTTCTTCCTCTCCCGATCGCCCCAATGCCAACAATCCACCAGTCCACAACCAGCTCACCACCATGATGGACATCGATGACATCCTCGCCTCCGTCGACCGCACGGACACCTCCACCCCGGAGTCCACGGCCCTCGACCACCAATTGCTCACGCGCTTCTGGGTCGCGGAGCGCGGTGTATCGGAGCTCCTCCCATGGCCGGCCGCTCTGATGGAGCGCATCCTCGACCGACTCCGTCTGCAGGTGAGCTTTGCCTCCCCTTGTCCCCTTCCCTCTCCCTCCCATCTCTCTACAATCCAATCCAATCCAATCCAATCCCACCCTAACCCTCCCCTCCCCTCCCCTCCACCACCCAGATCGAAACAATCGAAGACCTCGCCTCCGCCTCCTCCGACCCGATGTACACGACCAACCCCAACACCAACGCGCCCCCCACCCCCGCAACAACAACCAACCTGAAGCTCTCGATCCTGCAAACCGACCTCTCCCGCACACAATACCTCCTCCGCTCGCTCCTCCGCCAACGTCTCTCCAAACTCACAAAACACAGCATGCACTACCTGCAACTCATCTCCTCCTCCTCCTCCCCGACGCAACACCCGTCCTCCCAATCGCAATCGCAATCGTCCTCTTCAGAAGCCCACCAGGAACCAATCGACTCCGTCCCCGCCCCTCCCGATCCAGCCGCAGACCCTTCCCCGCTTTCCCGTCAGGAGGTCTCGTTTCTGCACGCCCACCAGACTCTCCTGGCGAATCACCACGGGGCGTCGTTTCTGAGCTCGTTTCCGCCGCAGCTCAGACGGTTGGATGATAATGCCGGCGGGACGAGTATGGTGCAGGGGCCGGAGGGGAGGGAGGTCGTCTTTGTGAGGTGTGTGGTTGAGGAGGTTAGGGTCGTCGTGCCGCCGGGGATGGGGTGGAGGTGGAGACTGAGGGCACGGTGCTTAGGATGGGGGATGTTTGGGCGGTTAGGTGGGAGGGGTTAGGGGCTTGGGGGAGGGGGAGGTGGAGGTTCTTTAGTTTTGTTGTTTTTAGCTTTGGCTTTGGGTTGGTTTGGGTTGGTTTGGTTTGGTTTGGTTGGGGGTGGGGTTGGATGGAAGGTGGGGTGGATGGCGTGGTTGCGAGGGTTCGGCTACGTTGTATATGTGCATTGGCATCGCATTACACTGCATTGGGGGCGTTGACATGCTGTTTGTTTCTTTGTTGTGATACCTATTTTTATACGTTTGCGTTATAAGGGGGGGGGGAGGGGTTAGATGTTAGATGCTAGATACTGGATGAAGGTATAGTGCTCTCCTTACGGTAGAACTGGTGATATACTGTTTCAGTCTTGCAATTTGTCTCATTTCGATAATTCACTCACGCATCAGGTTGGTGAGGATATTAGACTTGGTTTGTATGAGTAGGAGCGAGGTAGGAGGGGGTAAGACATAGGTAGGGGTTTGGGTAGGTAGGAGGTAGGTAGGTAGGTAAGTAGTAAGGAGGTAGGTAAAGGCTAGGCAAAAGGCAGTTGAAGATAGAAAAATCATCCATTCTCATCCTGAAATGCATCATCATGATCAGTCATCATCAGAATCCCATATCCCCATAGCAAGCCAGACACAAACCTCCGCAAGCCTCAAGGAAGAAGGGAGGACAGAAGGAAGGAATAGCTCAATAAATAGATCTATGGCTGTTGAAAACATCCGCCGAGCGCCGTCGCCGCTAAGTCCAAGATTCATGTTCTCCCGTTAGGCTGAGAACAACGCCCACAATGAGAAACAAACGGAAACGTATGAACAAGAAGCAAAGAGAGAAGCATCGCACTTCCCGAGATTGTCTCTTAGATGAGAGAAAAAAAAAAAAAGAAGAAAAGATAAACTAGGCGACGTATCCGTACGTGGGAGGGTCCTCTTCCACACGCTCGAGATACTCGCGGTCGATGAGACTCTCGATGCGCTTCTTGATCATGTTCACGTCTGGGGTGAAGCGTGCGGAGAGCTGGGTGAGCACCTCGGTCATGAGCTGGGAGTGGATGAGGGTCTTGCGTTGTCTGGTTCGGGCGTGTGTTAGCTAGCTTATTTCGGAGTGATTGTGATTATGGGGCTGGACACTCACTTCATGATTCGGACGATGGCGGCCTCGATGCTGGCGCCGCGCTCCTCGCTCATCTTCTTCTCCGTCTCCTTCCGCTGATCCTGGTTCTCGACCTTGTTGGCGCTGCCGCTCACGACGCCGATGCGGACCTTCATGAACGGGCTCTGGAAATCGTGGTTGAAGAAGAATCTGTCCGTAGGGTTGACGTCCTTGCTCATCGGGTCTTTCTTCAGGACTCGGGTCTTGGGCGCCACGGCGAGTGACAGCAGGTTTCGCCCCAGGTCGTGGTCTGGGATGCGAGTCTGCGCCTGGATGTCTGTGTAGGTGAGGGATTCGCCGGCGGGGACGTCGTTGAATAGCATCAATATCATCATAGCGTATGTGGAGACGTTGAGTTCATGCCGTTGTGTCTTGCCGTTGGATCGTTGAAACGTCGCGCGGATGTCCGCGGTGCCCATGCTGGCTTGCCACGACAGTTTTCGGCCGTTGTGCTTGCCGAGATAGAACTGCTCGAAGCTTTGTTTGACGCTCTCGATCTCCTTCGGGAAAATACAGGCCAGCTGAACTTTGTCGCTCTTCACATTAGACATGATTTCCATCGGCCACATCGTGCTCGTGAGCACGTTGATGTCCAATTCAACCTTCTTCTGGTCTGGGTCGCTTGCCTGTCGAACGTGTTGCTTGTAGCTGGAGGTGAGGTCCTCGCTGATCGTCATATCCTTGAACATGGCTTCCAGGCGTTGAGTGAACTGGTTGCCAACCTCCATCTTCATCTTTGAGATCATTTGCCGCTCCGCATCCATGCTCACGGAGCGCTTCATCAGAAGACGCCGAGACAGATGTTTCTTGTAATAGGCCTCAAACATATCCTTATCCTTCACGTAACGTAGCAGAGTGATCCCGTTCTCCAGAAGAGCATCGACCTCGATATCCGTCTTGCCCTTGATGCCCTTCTTCAAGTTCTCGTCAAAGAACAGGGAAAGGTACTCGGAGCTGCGCGAGTCCGAACTACCCTGGCCCAGGTTGATGAATTCCGCAAAGGAACTGGAGATGGCACCTTGCATGACCTGATCGGACTTGAACGCTTTCATCCAAATGTTGTCGAATTTCTGCTTCAGGGCCAGGATGTCATCTACCCATTTGATAGCGGCCACCGTCTGCTGGTTCACGGGCTTTTCTTTTTCAGCAGGCTTTTTCTCGCCGGGTTCTGGCTTCTTGCCCACACCGAGTGTTGAGGCTTGCGCCGCCGCAATCGCCGAGGCGTTGATCTCCTTGCCCATCTCGACGATACGCTTTTGAACAGCAGCAGTCAATGGAGCTTTTTTATCGTCCACCCGCGCGCTGAGGACATAAAGGCTTTGTAAAACGTCGATCCGATCATTGTCGAGCATGTTCTTGACACCAGTGCCTTCGAGACTGATCACTTCCTTGAGGTTGTTCCTGATTAGTTCATTGTCCAGGATATCCTTGATCTTCGACTCCGTTGATGGCGATATGGTATCGGCACACCGCTCGATCTCCTCCCGAAGACGCTCCGTCGCAATGTTGCAGAACGTCGCAGCGTCTCCTGTCTCCAGCAGTCGCCGTCCCTCAGCCTGGTAGAACTTCCTGCTCGCTTCCAAAAACGCCGGTTCAAAGACGGTCAAATAAAGTTTCGTCGATTCCTCCTCGGTGATAGTCTCGTACAGACCCTCGAGCATATAAATGCAATGCCGAATCAAGGGTCGGTCGATTATGTGCCCAGACCTCTCCAGCTGTATCATGAAAAGCACAGTCGACTCAAGCACACTATAAACCGTCGTTTCGGAATCAGACCTGATCGTCGACCGAAGGACATGATCGCGGAACAGTGCCATGGCTGCAACGTAGATCGGGGGCTTGCGGTGCTCTGCCAATACTCGGTCCTGGATGCGCAAAAGCTGTCAGTCGGCGCAGACCCAAATCAACTGATCCTGGGAGGTGACATACCATGTACATGAGAACATCCGTGATCATCCCCATGCAAAGCTGATGGTCCTCCCAGGCCTCCTTTATCGCAGCCAAGAATCTTTCTCCGGCCTCTCGTCGCTCGTTGGCCTGATCCTGCACGTCTACCTGCTCCCTCGCCAGCAGCAGACTGGATGTGATCGCCGCGGTGACTTGTGCTTTGACTTCCCCATCCAACCATTCTTTCTCCAAAGCCTTGGTGCGCTCGTATAGATCGGGTCCACGGTTCGCCAGCACGATCCCGTAGGCGTTGCGGTACAAGAGCTCGAAGGAGATGTCGGAGGCATCTTTCGTGTGGATCTTCTTCAAGGATGTAGACAGATCGCCCCAGTATTTCTCGAAATCGTCCGTCTTCCCAGCCGTGGGACCCTGTCCTCATTGTCAGTCAGTCTCGGACCGGCTATCGTCATGGCACGGAATCCTGTCCCGTCGAAACAAGACAAACACTTCCACGCCACTCCAGACACCACCACAAGGACCGAATGGGATCAACTCACCCTGCGCGGGGCGCGGATCTTCTGTCTAGCTCGCATAGCCATCTTGCAGCTCCTCTCGATATGCCATTCAACCGAAACGCGGACACTCTGCTCTGAGGCGGGGGCACCGACAATCTGATGAGTCTGGCGGAGGGACAGCGGATGAGTGAGGGGGTAGAGACGGGTGATGGTAAAAGGTCGAAAAGGATCAGAGTCAGGGAAAGTGAAGGTGAAAAGGTCCCGGCCTCCGCCAGTGGTTGTGAATCATGTCATGGCGGACCGTCGAGAGGGTCGAGTGGGATCGAACGAGTGGAAGCCCCGTCGAGGCCGCGGAGGCCCAGATGCTGCTGGAAGAACTTCCCTCCGGCGCAAACTCCGGCCCAACTTCGTCATCGCCTTCCATCTGCCTTCTCTCTCTCCTCTCACCCTTCACATTACCTCAACCTTCTTTATTTCTTTTAAAAAAAAGGCAACCCCCCACAAAATGCGCCCCTTCACTTCCCTATCACAAGGTCTCCGCGCCTTCCAAAGTACCCTCCCCCGCGCAGCCATCTCCCGCACCACCACAACAACAACTATTACCACAAAACCCTCACCATCCCGGTCCCGACCCTTCACCCAACTCCTCTCTCGCCCCTCAACCACCGCCACCACCTACAGACCCCCCACCCCTCAATCACTCTAACCACCACCCGCGCCAACTCCACCACCCCCTCCCCCTGACCGACCGCACCTCCGACGCGCAAACCGACGCCGAAAAAGAAGCCCAGAACCGCGAACGTCGGGCCAACGAACCCGCCTACCAGATCACATTCACCTGCAAACCATGCGGAAACCGGTCCACACACCGCCTGTCCAAGCACGGGTATCACCGCGGCACGGTCCTGATTAAATGCCCTTCTTGCGAGAACCGCCACGTCATTAGCGATCACCTCAACATCTTCTTTGATAAGAAGACGACACTGCAGGAGATCCTGGAGGAGAAGGGGGATAAGATTACTCGGGGCTATTTGGATGGGGATATGGAGTTTTGGGATGATGGGTCGGTGACGGAGAAGAAGGCGGAGGGGAGGGGGAGGAGAGGGGATCAGAAGCAGGGGGTGATCAGGGGAAGTTGGCTTAGGTTGGTTTGATTGGGTTTGGCTTGAACGAAGAGGGGGTTGACTGGATACCTCAAGGAAGAACTTGATTATGTACAGCCTCTGCTCTAAAGATATGTACTATACTTTTATAGATGGCGGAAAGGAAAAGCAATGATCTGTACTATATAACGAACGCAAATATGATCTCCCATTCTCCAAGCGCCGTACTGTTTTTTGAAACCCAGCAAATGCAATCGTGCATAAACAATCCACACACACATCGAAACCCCGTCTACCAGCCCTGTCTTCTGCCACGGTGCTCGGCGCCCTTCTCCTTTCTCTTCTCGCGCTTGCGGTCGTTCCTCCGCTTCTTGTCTTGCTCGTATCTCTCCGGTTCGGTGACGGCTTCGATGCGTCTCTTGACTCGTCTACCCTCACGTCGCTGCTTGATGGTGTCTTGGACTTGAGACATGTACTTGACGTATTCGGTGGTACCCAGCTTCTTCTGGAGGATGTCGAGGACCTCGTGGCAGTTGGAGACAAGGCCCTTGTACGACTCGCGGAAGGCTTCGTCCGACGAGCGAGGCGCAGGGATGGAGGTATCCGTCATGTGCAGGAGGGGAAGGAGGATGACGGGCAGGGAGTTAGTGATGTGTTCGACCTCCAGATGCCGGCAGAGCGAGGCCAAGAGACCGATGGCAGCGTTCTTGGGGATCAAAGACGGTGCCCGCGTGGTCAGAACTTCCCGACGGAGAATGGAAGACGTCTGCTGGAAGATGTAATGAATGGCGGACTTGTTCGATCCCGCGGGACGTTCACCTTGGTCCTCGTCCTCGCTGTCGCTGGCGTCCGATTCGGCATCCTTGCTCCCCGTTTTGGGGAACTCAAGGCCGTTCTGAGCGCAGCACCGACCAAGGAAGATGGTGTTGCGAACGCTCTGCATAGCCAGCTCCTCACTGACGGCGGGGGTGCGGAGGCAGCGGACACTGGCACGGATCAGCTGGAGCATGGCGTCCTTCTCGAGATCCAATCCCGTGGAACCGGCCAACGGGATAGCGCTGTAGCCACCAGCTGCGTTGTGCTTGGCCAGATCCGCAAGCCAGGTACCGACGAGGTTGGATGCGCAGGTCTTGACCCAGGCATGGGGGTAGAAGAGGCATTCGCGAATAGCCGCCCAGGTCCGGGAACGTTCCTTCACCAACGCAACCGAAGGGACGGTCTTGGAAAGTTTGGAGAACAGCTGGAGGGAGTAGTAGAGCGTTTGCCAGTTGTCGGTGTCGTCATCCTTGAGAACAGGGTGCATGAGGCTCGGAAGAACGTCCACGACGAACCGAGCTTCCTTGTCCTTTTCGGTGGCTTCAACCTCGAAATAGATCCTCATGGCCTGGAGTCCGGTACTGGTCAGAAGCATGTTATCCGTTTGCTCAAGCCAAGAGTGAAGAGGAGTGAGCATGGACTTCATCTGCTCTCTGTCAGCCCGAGTGTAGAGCTCTCCCAGCAAGGTTCCGGCCATTTCCCGGCATTCGGGCGCATCGTCATTCGACATGACGATGACCACTGGCAGGAAGAATGTGCTGACAATGTCCTGGGCCAGCTCGTCTCCGGTCTTGGCCAGCAGCATGTTGATGGCTTCCATGACCGATTGGCGACCCGACTGGTGCTTGTACTCCAGGTTCTTGGCCAAGAAGCCGAGTTGCTTCGTCCACCGGTTCTTGGCTTGCGGGTATTCGATCAGGAAATGGATGTACGTGCCGCGCGCCAGGTCTCGCGCAGAGCGTGTCTGGTTCGTGACCATCATGCTAGCAATGTGGTCCATCAACTCGTACATTTCGGGGACCACGAACTTCCTTGCCATGACGGCCCGAATGAAGTTGAAGGTGACACCTTGACGATCCGGCTCTTCGATGTCGGAAGTGAGGCGCTGAAGGAGGTAGGCAAGATGTCCATCTCTAAGCTTAGCACTCTTCCTCTCACGGAGCATGGCCGAGACCAGTTTCAAAGACGCCTGCGCTGCTTCTGTGTTCGTACTTGGGGCCTCCTTGATCACCTTCACCGCTTCGGTGAAATAGACGTGGGCGTTGCTGTCAAGCTCCGGAAGGGGCAGCTTGACGATTGTCGACAACAAACGTAGAGCTGCGATCTTGACTTCCTCGTGGGCCTGGACCACCGAATCGCCAATGATAGGAATGAATCCCGCCAGATTGGCTGGAGTAAGCAGGGAGTTAAACTTGCTGAGAATTGAGCGCAGGACGTCAAGAGAGAAGCGCGTCAACTTGTGGATGTAAGAAGTAGTAGTGCCCTTCTTGTCACTGCGCTTGGAGCCGTGAAGGTTGATAAGCAAATTCTTCTCCTGAGCAGTCCTGACTACCTTTCCATTGACCTGGGCCGGCTGCTTGTACGTCTCTTGGATGACTTCGTAGCAGAAAACCATGATATCCCGGCTCTCCACACCAGGGTTTCTCAAAAGACCGACTCCAATTCGCCGCAAGAGCTCGTCGACCTTTCTCACGATGTTTTGGTTGAGCTTTTCCCGCAGAAGTGACTGCAGTGGACGGACCAGGTTGGCCAGATTCGAGACAGTAGAGTTCTTTGCTAGAAGTTCCATGGAGTCGTAACTCTTGCTGCTCTTGACCTCCTTCATTTTGCTGACATAGTCCTCGGCTTCCTTCTCCTGGCCGACGGTTCCGAAAGTGTCATCCATGACGATCGAGCTCAGGTCCGTCAAGCAGTAATCCAGATCTCCGTGCTTGAAGTCATCGGTTGTCGTCACGAGCATCGAGTGCACTGTGAACGAAAGCACGTGGAGTTGGTAACCCTTGGTCAGGGTGGTCCGAAGCTCCTTCAAGATATAGCCAAAGTAAGATGGGCCCAGGAGAAGGGCAATATCGTTCAGGGTCTTCCTCGCAGTGTCTCGTGCATCCTGGGATTTACTCTTGAGAGTACTGCAAACATCCAAAAGAACTGGCGGCAAACGAATGGACATATCCAGCTCAGGCAACAGCTTCAAAAGCTTGATGGTGGTGACAGCAGCAGGCAACCGGAGACTCATCTGCGCCTCATTCTTGTGGTGGATGAAGTGGGTCAGCTGAGGGATGAAGTTGGTTGTTAACTCAGTCGCAACCTTTGCCGGAGACGGCAAGGATCGAGCAAGCGTGGAAGTGGGCGCGGGAGTCTCAAGCCCATCCATTCCATCCTTCGCTGCCGCCTTGATGGCGGCGGACTGGTTCATGGCGTTGGTCAAAGAATCGGACATCTTGCCCAGGAGCCTCAGAATGTTCTTCTCCATTTCAGACTTGCTCTGCATGTAGCCACGATACCGCCGGAAGATGGCCCTGAATTGATTCCAGTCCAACCATTCGGCAAGAGTCCCGATGGTTGTCACAGCCTCTGCGATGAGGTTGTGGTCGGCCTCTTCAGCTTCCTCATCAAATGCAAAATGCTCATTGAGAGGGATGAAAATCGTGCTGATGTTAGACGCCTGGAGATTTCCACTCGCGGCTTCGCTGGCCAGACGGCGCAAGGCTCGAAGACGACGATGCTGCTGAATGTGAAGAATATTACTAAAGAACGAAGCCTCCTCATCGTCACCGACAAGAAGTCCGGACATGTCCTGCACGGTAGGTCGGGTTGGGTTCAGCTTGATGAAGTATCCGAGTGCGGACACAAATTCGGCTCTAATAAGCTCAGACTTGTGGCGCATGCCACCCTGCAGAGCAGGGAACAAAACTCCCGTTACCAGAGGTTCAAATTCCTCTACATCATTGGCAGTAGGTAGGATGGCACGTTCCATAAACCGCTTCAACCCGAAGGAGGCGCTGGATCGGATCGCAAGTTCGTCCTCATCTTTGACTTGGTAAAGCATGTTGTACAGCAAAGCGCGCCACTGTTTGGCGTTGAACGTCTCCCACAGGTTCTCATTGACCTCCCTGAAAGCCTGCAGTCGGCGTTCATAATCCACCTCAAGTTTCTTGGTAGAGATAGAGTTCAAGTCCTCACAGAGACTCGCAACTTTGACGAGGTCCGCATCATGTTGGGCGAAAGCCGAGAAGACTCTAGACAAGATTTCGCGGTTGGCGTTGTCCCTGAAGTAGTCAAACATCGACGAGACGGCCTCGAACACTTCGTCGGAAAGATTCGAGTCCTCTTCTGGGTCAAATAAGGGCAAGAAATGCTCCAACGTCCGGAGCAAACCGGACTTGGTCCTGGGAGACACGCGATCCGCAGGCTGGCGGAGTAGATATGTAGTGATGCTGATAAGACTGAAAGTCTCTTGCGAAGACTCGACACATGGAGACAGAACAGAGAGAGTCTGCACACCAGAAACCAGTAAGGTCTTGGAGGGGCCACGCTTCAGGAGTCGACTGAGATGGGACAGGGTGTGCTCAATATAAGGAGCCAACACTTCGGAGCGGATTTCATCGGCAGGGATATCGCTCATCTTCTCCTGCTCTTCAAGCTCCTTGCCCGTTGAGAGGTTGATGAGCGGCACGAGGATCTCGTCCATGACGAACACCTTGACTTCGTCACGCGCAGAGTCCACACCAATACAATCCACAACCTTCGTTAGGAGATCCTTGTTATACCGGACAAAGTAGAAAGCCAATCTAGGACTAGAGGCCCAGGTGTGGAACAGTCGAAGAAGGCCCGACACGCCTTGGGCTGTCTCAATTGCAAAGTTCTCCAGACGAGGGTTGATCACATCCTCGAATATGACGCTGACATAGGACGACCAATCTCGATCCGGCGAGATGGAGAAGATAAGGTCAAGGCATCGTATGCACATCTGACGAACACTGCGCAGCACTGTAAACAGCCGACCTTCTTGGGAGTCGGCAGCGGGCGCTGTCTGCTCCTTTTCCAACTCACGGCAAGCCCGCACGAGGCAGTAGAGAACGACCTGAATGGACTTTTCTGCATAGGGGATCATCCGGCTTTGAAGCGTTTCAAAGACTGTTTCAATCATCTTGAGCAAACCAGTCTGTCTCCTTGGGCCGACGAGTTCCTGTTGGAACACCTGCTGGTCGATCTGGCCATCCTTAAGGAGAGCAAGATCGCCGAGAGGTCCAAAAGAGACATGCATAAAGACTTCAAACTCTTTGTCGGGCAACTGCGATAGTGTCCTAAGAATCGCCTTTCTGCGACCAGCTTGACCTGCCTGGCCGCTACTTGCACCGGCCTTTGAAATCATACGACCATACAAAAGCCGCAGGAGAACTGGTAGAAGCTCGGCCCTGTGCTCTTCTTCGATCAGACTGTCCTCACCACCAACACGAACGAAAACAGAGAGTTCATCTCTGAATCGCGACTCGTCCAAGATGTTGAGGAGATTTTCTTGGTAGGGCTTGATGCCCGAGGCCTTCCAAGTGAAAAGAGCCTTGAGTGCAGACTTCTGAATCTCCGAGTTACCGTGGCATAGAAGCCCCAAAAGAGCTTCGTGGACCTCGGGTGCCTTGTACAAGACTCGAGGGTTAATGAACTGGCCAAGGAGACCGAGGAACGCCAGCCGGTCGTGGAATCCCCATGGGACGTAGGGCTCATTGGAATCCTTAGAATCCGTGCCGGTCGGAACATCTTCCTCGTCACGCAGACCCCAGGACAGGAACAAGGGGATAATATCACGCGATCTCTTCTCCGCAATGTTCGGGACAGCATTGAGTACACGCAAAGCTTGAGTTCTAGGAGAAGCCGGAATAATACCCGAAAAGGTGTGGTCTTTTTCGAAGGCTATCAACAATGAAGATGCAGGTTGCTCGGGATTTTCGAAATATTTAGCAGAGATATCCCCAATCCTCTCTGCGTTGAAGCAGGAGTAGTGACTATGGCCGTACTCGGGTTCGTCTTCTTCGTCCGTCTCTGCAACCGCTTCGCCGGGTCCTCGCTCGTGGAGCCACTGGAATGCAAGGTCCGAGACGATCTTTTCTCCCTCGGGGTTTTCACTCATGGATTTCAAGGCGGCAGCAGCATCATCCCACAGGGGCGCCATCTTCTTGGAAAACAGACCAAAGCAGAAACGCGGGAGCAGCCTGGCCATCCATCTACGAGAGACCACCTGGGGATAAGACAATGCAAGCTTGCGCACATGCATCGAAAGGACCCTAGCGCTTTGCAAAGTCAATTCGCTTTCTTCGATTTCAATGGCCAGGGAGATAAGGTCGGCATCTTCGCCGGAAGCCTGGACGAGTTCCCGCAAGATTCTCAACGACAAGAGGCGCAGCTTGTGAGAAGGCCCACTAAGGTTGGAGATCAGGACTTCCGCGAAGTCTTCGATGGTCGAGTTCTTGAGGTCGATGTCCTTGTTTCCTGAGAGGTAGGCCAATGTGGCTTCAAGGAAGACCGGAAGACGGGAGTATTGAGCAGCCACCTTACTGATCCGATCCCAGAGCTTCGAGTCAATGTCCCCAGAGCGAGTGGCAAGTTCAACATAGGTCTTGAAACCCTGGCCCAAGAAGAACTTTGTAGTAGCAGTCGGATCAGTATTCTTGTTTTCAAGGACGCTGATCAAATGATCATGAAGGATGCAGGTCATATCAGGGATAAGAGACGGCTCCGTTGATAACGACAAAGCGCTGGGGAGCTTTGAGTATGCACTGAGAAGGGACACTTCGGTGGCGCTGTGATCGGGCTTGTTGAATGTATCCTTGACTCGAGATTTCCAGGAAGGTGGGCATGTGATGTAGCCAGGCTTAGAGGCTTCGGATGTTATGCAGCCAGTCTGGTTTAACCGGAGCATGGCCAAGCAGAGCTCGTATTCATGCTCTTTCCATGAAGTGCTGACAAACCTGAACATTGAGGTTAGATGACTGTGTCAAACGCCAGATAGATGGATATCTTACTTTTGGAAGTAGGGAAGTACAACACTGTGGAACCGTTCCGGTCCCCATTCTGAGAACGTAGCGCAGAATGCAAGAAAGTGAGTGGCGAGTTCGTCCTTCGTTACGGCATCCATGATCGAGCGCATAAAGGGCAGCATCTCATCCATAGGCGAAACCTGGAGCGCATAAGCAACTGCGGTCAGAAGTTGTGGCGTAGTCTGAGCATATGTATCCGGCGCAGCTGCGGTAGTCTGGAGCAGCAGAAGTAGTGTCTGATGGACTGGTTTCCAATTCTGCACACGCGTTCCCTTCCGAGTAGTGATACACAGGAAAATCAGTCGACAGCACGCCGTAGCATGCTGCTTCTCACTTTTACGGCAGCTTGTCTCAATGTACAGCCGTATGGTGTCCAGGATAGGCTCGAAAGTCTCGGCGGTGGTGTTGTGCATGACGTTCACTACCAATCCGCTCGCAACCTCCAGTGCCAGACTGCTCTGGAGATCATCGCCAGTGGCGATATGTTCAAGAACACAGCTGAGGATATCGGTTCCGTTGGAGTGGATGCCGTACTTGACACCCTTAATGGCATCTGAGAACATAGCCATGAGCCCCTCCTTGTAGATTTCCACACTCTTGGACGCCTCAGCCGCGTGGCGCAAGTCCTCCAGCAAGAAAGATACAGCCCGCTGAAGGGGAACCTTGTTCTTATAGTATACCAGGCCAGCCTTGCGGATGAGGAAAGACATCGACTCAGCGGCGAAACGGGCAACGAATCCCTTCTGTCGCTCTTTTCCGAGGTAGGGCGTCATGATTCCCAGGAGCTGTCGGAGATCCGGCACCAACAGGCGCGACAGGAATTTGAAGATCCATGCGAGACAGGTGAAGCTCCATTCGACGACCTCGACATCGGGATGGCCAGCGGCCACGGACGCCACCAAGGTGACCGCGGTCGCGAAATGCTTCTCGAACTTGACGCCTAGATCGCGCGCAAACTGAGACAGAAGCCCCAGGAGCGGCTCGATCGACAGCTGGTCCCTCTTCTCGATGTACTCCACCAGCAGGTTCATAATCTTCTCCTCGTGGTACAGGATCTGGGCCAGACTCTCGCACAGCGGGTTCACTCGGCGGACGAATTGGGCGAAATTATCGGACAGGTTCAGCTCGGACCAGTGCTCGAAGGCCGATCGGAAATAAGACGAGGTATCATCGCCTTCTTCGCCGAAACTGGGTCGGCGCACGCGGTGGATGGGATCGATCTTCAACTTTGCGACACGCTGGGAAAACGGCTCGAATCGATGCGACTTGGTTGTCTCTGTTCCTCCCTTGACGCGCTTCACGGACGCCTTGGCCCGTGGAGCCGACGACGCTGCAACCATCTTGAAGGGTGATGGCGACAAAAGCGGGCAGCGTCGCTGTAGGATTGTGGGGAAGGCGAGGTCGGGCAGGATCTCCAACTCTGGTCTGTTGTATAGACAAAAAAATTCATCGGGCCCGCGGCAACCTTGTTCCGGTGCGGAGATTACGCCGTCCGTTCGGCGTTTAGAACGGTCCGCACTAGCCGTAACAGGCTAGTGTGTGCATCAATCACGTGGGCCTCATGGCCCAAGCTCGAGTCCATTTTTGGCGATTTTGGCAACGTCCAGACTTGAACTATCCAGACAGACTATGGGCTTGGGATATCAGAATTGATTTCACAGCCTTGTTTTGAAGCTGTCCTCCCATACATCCTCATTTCCTCTCTATAATTGCAGCTCACCCCACCCCATTCTACAGTCTTGCACCCTAATATGCAGAGGTCGCTTCTTGCATCATAGTATCCCAAACCATTCCCGAATCCGAACATGGCGTCCAAAATGTGAGTCTCCCCCCCCAAGGAGACTTGTCCAGAATCCACCCTCTAACATCCACTCCAGCGTCGTCGTCGGAGACGTCAACTGCGAGCTGCAGGACGTGTTTACCAAACTCTCCAAGCTGCATATCAAGCAAAACTTTGCGTTTGCCATTATTGTCGGCGACCTCTTCGGCGACTGCTCGACGGAGCATGAACTCGAGCAGATCTCCGCCTTACTGCAAGGCAACATCACCGTGCCTCTGCCCACCTACTTCACCCTGGGCAGTCGCCCGCTCCCGACGCGGATCATCGAGGCAATCGAGGCCAACGACGAAGTCTGCCCGAACCTCTACTTCCTGGGCCGACGCGGCACGCTGAAGACCTCCGAGGGCATCCGTCTCGTCTCTCTAGGAGGCACTCTCGAGCCCGACAGCAGTAGGTCCTCCGAAAAGTACCACCCAGGCTACACGGAATCCGACGCGCGCGCCCTCTACGGCGCACACTCCGCCGACATCCTCATCACGCACCAATGGCCCAAGGACATCCGCACCGGCTCCAAAGTCCCCTTCCCCGAGGGCGCCACCTCCCCCCAGACGCCCAATGCATCTCCGACCTCAGCTCGACCCTCAAGCCGCGCTACCACCTCTCCTCCTCTCCCAACTTCTTCTGGGAGCGCGAACCCTTCTTCCAACCCCCAACGGAAGACAACCCCGACGCCAAGCCCCTCACCCGCTTCATCAGCCTGGCCTCGTACAGCAAAACCGCCAAAACGAAATGGATGTACGCCTTCACGCTGGACCCGCACGCCGCGGCATCCATGACTCTCCCCGCCGGCGCCACCGCCATCCCCTTCGCTCCCCTCCAAACCAAACGCAAGCCCCTGCGCCCTCAAAAAGAATCCTTCCAGCGCTTCGCCGTCGACGACAACGACGGCGACCACCGGCCCCGCAAGCGCGCCCGCGCCCCTCCCCCCGGCCCAGACCAATGCTTCTTCTGCCTCTCCAACCCCAACATCGCCACGCACCTGATCACCTCCATCGGCGAAGAAAGCTACCTCACCACCGCCAAGGGACCCCTCCCCACCTCCAAGACCTTCTCCCCCGCCCTCCCCTTCCCCGGCCACATGCTCATCATCCCCTTCACCCACACCCCCACGCTAAACACCATCTCCGACCCGTCCTCTCGCCTCGCCACATACACCGAAATGCACCGCTACCGCACCTCCCTGCACACCATGCTGCAGGCCCGCGCGTCGGGCTCCCTCGGCGCCGTCACCTGGGAAGTCAGTCGCGGCAACGGCATCCACGTACACTGGCAATTCCTCCCCGTGCCGGCATCCCTCATCAAACGCGGCCTCGTCGACGCCGCCTTCAGAGTCGAGGCCGAGAACCTCAAATACCCGAAATTCGAAAAGCCCTCGTCCACTACAGATCCGAGTACCGAGCCCGGAGACTTCTTCCGCGTATGGATCTGGGATCCCCCGTCTACTGAATCGGCTGATGCTGATCCGGCTGAGAATGATGGCGCTGCGGACCCGGACGCTGAGAAACCCGAGCTCGGGTCCGAGAAAACCCTCCTCCTTCCCCTGAGCACCGAATTCCGGTTCGATCTGCAGTTCGGCCGCAGGGTCATGGCCAAGTTGATGGAGTTGGAGAAGCGCATCAATTGGAAGAATGATGTGCAGTCGCAGGCGGAGGAGGAGGCCGATGCCGAGGCGTTCAAGGAGGCATTCAAGCAGTTTGATTTCACATTGGAGGAGTGAGTCGGTTAGGATATTGGATATAGGGGGCATGGCTGGTGGCTGGTGGCTGGTGGCTATGGCCGTTAGCAACAGTATTTATTGTTCTTGGATATGTGCGTGTATGTATGTGTATCTGTATAAGCTAGTGAGCACCAAAGTGAGCAAGTGGGGCTTTATAATGGTAGAATAATATATTTGGTACCCATATCTACTGATATTTCGGATCTCGACAATTTCGACTTTTTCGGTGGTTGCGGGCTGGGGGTTCTGCTGGGGTGGGACCAAGCTCATCCAAGTATAGGTAGTACCTACCATCCATGGTTTGGCATATACGTGGTACTAGTACGTAGTATCATTCCCTCCCCATGAACAATAAAAAGTCAACGAAAGCTACCGATCAACGGTACCTATATTCTACCTCATGTCATCTCATGTCATCTATCTCATCTTGTCTTATCTTAGTATCTTGTCTATCGAACAATCCAATCCCATCCCAACCCACCCGAAAAGAAAAAAAGTAAACGTCTTTAGAAATAACGACAGCCCATGAAGACCACCCCAACAGCAAGCAAGCATGGCAGTCCCGGTGTAATTCATTATCTATAGGTATTGCCATCGTCGATTCAAAAACATACATCGTGCCGGGGAGGGGGGGGAGGGGGAATGCTTTGGGTCATAGCAGGGCGGGCCATATAGGTAGATATCACGAAAGAGACGTGGATATATATGTACAAAGCGGGTGGGGTGGGTGGAGGTAGGGGTAGGGGTAGGGGCAGGTGGCAGTGGAAAAGCCGGGTCGTTTGGCTCTGGTCATCAGGCTTTTTTTGTGACGGTGACGGAGTGGGAATGGAGGGAAGATATGGGCGAGGAGGAAAGGCAGGCTGGAGCCGGGCATTCGAGGGGAGGGGACGGTACCAGCCTGGTTGGGTGGGCTGTTTGTCGTGTTCCTGATGAGGGCTTGGTTGCTGGTTTGGACTTCAGGCGTGGTGGTTGGAAACGACTTGAGTCCTGTGGGTTGATAGGCGGGGTCGAGTGCGACCGCTCAAGATGTTGCTCGGGGCAAGCACATCCATGACAGTGATTGTCGGGGAGCTGCAAGCCAGCCACTGGCAGGAGAATGTAATATTCTGGCCGCGAAAGCACCGGAGCTTCAGCTGTTGGCGAAAAGAAAATTGTTATGGACTTCCGAAACGAGGTTTAAAAGTTGTGAGCCGGCCTGCGTCCACTTTGCAAAACACTCGGGGGCCTGCCCGCGTCAGTTTCTTCATGGGGTGCAGGCGTCGCACTAAAAGGCGGAGGGGGTGACGTGGGAGATGCGGGAGAATAAGGAGTATAGGTTCGATAGGCGGGTGTTTGGCCGACTGCCGGAGACGGTTGGCGATACGGTATCGGGCGAGGGGCATTCATGGCTGAATGGAATGCTGGAGCCGGGGAGTACGTCCTGTCAATCGGCGCCTGGTGTCCGTACATGGTGGCATCCGATGGCATACGCTGTGGCGGCATGTTGTCCGTCGGCATGTAATGCGATTGAGGGGCGTCCATCGGCGCGTAGTGTGACTCCATACTGTCCATTGGCATATGGTGCGGTTGCACGGGGTCCATCATGTAGTGAGGCTGTGTCTCATCCGTTGGCATAGGGTGGGAATGTCCTGCGTCCACGGGCATATATGGTTGAGGTTGAGTCGTGTATGTCGGCGCCGGGGAGATGGAATGGAAGCGGTCTTCAGGAGGATACTCGCTGTATGGCTGGTGCTCGTAAGGAGAGACGGGGGATCTTGGTTCAGCCTGGTAGCCATATGCGTCATGAGCATATGTGTCCTGACCATATGTATCATGGCCATACGCATTATGTCCATATGCATCATGACCGTCAAACTCCTGGGGCTCAGGGTGGTAGGCGGCAGGTGTCACCGTTCTGAGCGGCATCCCAGGAGTCCCGGTTCTCTGTGGCATTCCAGGCGTCCCAGTCCTCTGCGGCATTCCAGGGGTTCCCGTTCTCTGTGGCATCCCAGGAGTCCCCGATCTAAGCGTCCCCGGAGTCCCCGTTCTTGTTGGCATCCCCGGAGTGACCGATCTAAGCGTGCCAGAAGTCCCCGTCCTCTGCGGCACTCCAGGAGTGACCGTTCTCAACGGCGGTTGTCCCGAATAACCGCTCACATTCGATGCAGCTGCCGATGGTCTGCGTCGAGGCTCACTGTTTGCAGCGTTCATGGGTTTCATTTCCACATCCTCGTATGTCGCGGTATCTTCAATCCTCTTATTCGTAGCATTGTCCCAGGTGGGCATAGCAGGCAACGCATCTTCATTGAACGTTGAAATTGCCGGGCTCTTTGCCATATCGAACCGAGCCACCTCTGCACCACGATACGAAGGAGGCGCCTGCGAGTGGTAAGGCGCATTGTAGGCATTGTTGATGGGCGCCGGCGGTGGCATCGACGGCATCGGCTGTTGCTGGTACGGGTCATCCAGGTGTTTTGTTTTGTTCCTCTTGTTTCGTGGTTTCGGGCAGCACCAGGAACAACAACCACAACAACATTTGCAGCATTGAATACCACAGCACAGACAATTGACGACACATGCAATGATCGCAAGGACAATAAGAGCGGCGATAATAATCGCAGCAATAACTGGCCACCTAGATATCGAGTCAATCTCAAAGTTTAAGAGAAAAAACGCAACCCCGGAAACGCAATTACATACTTGCAGTAGGCTTTTGCCATGCACTTGTCCCAGCTCGAGAACGCCTCAACGTCCGATTTGAGATCACTGACAACATCCCTCGCCCATAACGGGTAAGGTGTTCTATCCAACGCCGGACTCATGGTGTGCCAGGGCGTGGATGATCCGCCGCAAATAGCTCCCGTCCCACGCTCGATTCAAAACAGTATACAGGGGCGTAGTATCCGTAGTCCCTATCCAGATCTCTTTCCTAATGCCGGACGAGTTCCCCACACGCCTAGCGTAGTCATGTAATAATCGCGCAGTAATGCAGCAGGTGGTTGCAAGCCAGATAGATTAAGTGAGGTTCGCAACAAGCGAGACGTTTCTTATCGCGATCTGAGTCAATGCGGGCCTCCGATCGGCCAATTTTAATAACGAGTGGATTCGAACAGACTTGTCCGGTTTCGTTTTCGTTCTCGCGTAATAATGAATGGCTTGATTTGGTTTGCGACAGTGCGCAACAGGGTTGTTGCACGGATGATGGAGAGAGCGCAAGGCGTGTGTGCTGAACAACGCAACGCAACGCGCAACTAGATTAATCCAGGGACTGAAGGAGTGTGTTGGGAAAGTGCAATTTTCCTTCAAAAACGACAGGTCTTCCTGGAGCGGAAAAGAAAAACAACAAAACAAAACAGGAAGGACGGAATCGATAAGTAGGATAACGACCGACTGGAAGGGAAAATGAGTGATGGAGGAGTGGTGGTGACGGTTGGTGGTGCTTGCGCGCAGGAAACAAAGCCGCCGCCTTCAAGGGGAAATATCGATCATGTGCAGATCGCCAGGGCCGGGAATCTGCAAGGCGATGGGCAGACAACAGACAAATGCTCGCTCTCCTCGGCCGGGAAGCAGGACGGGAAAAAGAAGGACGTCGGTCGGTTGGGGATGGGTTGTCCCTGAGGCCGAAGGAGGGGAAGCACACGGCAAGAAAGGCGAAGGAAAGAATAGGGTCCCGGTAGACGGTAGAATAGGGAGCGAATTGGTTTTAAACTGCCAGCCGACGAGAGGACTACAGAAGATCAGCGCCGCCCATGCGACGGCGACGGCGGACTCGCGGAGAGGGAGAGTGCTTGGGTATTTACCCCGCCGTACGTCGGTCGATGCGGGTGGGATGAGGTATTGCTGAGGTATTACCACACGGTTACGGAAGGTGACTTGGTTACTCGGTAATCTGTCTCGAACCCAGCTAAGCAGCTAAGCAGCACTTGAAACCGCCCGTTTCCTGCTTCATCGGCGCTCTCCACCGCTGTCGATCGCACCCACGGCCTGTCTGCGTATCTGCTTATTGGCAGTCGGGTGTCCACATAAGCTCTGCTGATTATCCAGGGGCATGGCATACATGCATGTAATGGCTCCCATCTCTTCGTAGTCACTCCATCGTCCTGGAATATACTCGTTCAACTCCTCAGTCTCATAGATATCGCCACCGAGGCGGGACGGGCTCTACAAACCATACAACACCCTCGTAGAGTAGAGAGAGATACATGAGTCTCCAAGGGGTGAATATTGAGCCATTCGCAGGCCCATGCTCCTCTAGTAAACTACTAGTTGGCGGGTTCGACCCAGAGAACATGCCATGGGTTGGAACGAGATGGGCGAGATATCAGCAACCTGGTGTCTTGACAGGATCCACTGGATGACAAAGACAATCGTGAAGATGGAATTTTGGATTGTATTCTAAGATACTTCATTACTGACATTATAGATCCGATATGCCCCTGTCGACTCGCAATCACGCTACAGTCCAGGCAATACTTTCAGTAGAAAAGAATGAAGACAAAACAAGGGGAAAGTACGAAACAACACAACTCTACCCCGACAGTTCATTATAGTACGAGAAAAAAAAAAAACAGAAGGTAGGGGAGAAAATAGACACAAAGAAACTCATAAACCCGTCATACATTCCCTCTGGTATCCCTTCCTAGCCGAACGCTATGAGACGCAGCAGGGAGCGACATATCCGAATAGCAGATGCTCAAAAGACGCCTGGGTAATTACATAAAAAGAAAGAAGATCGATCAAGGAAACCCCTTGTACCTAGAGAGAGGGTGAGAGAGAAGAGTCGTTTCACCAAGAGCCAATTTCCCAGCGGTGTTACACCTTGGGATGGGGAGGCGGTCCCGGAGGTGGCTGATGGACCCGTTCGCCACCGTGGTATGCGTTTGGCGGCTGTTGCAACTCGATCCCTGTTTGTTGGCCTCCGAAATACCCATAGGCCTGCGGGTGCGGCGTGTACTGCGGTGGCGGCGGTTGTTGTTGGTAGTAGGGGTTTGCATAGTAGGGGTTTTGCGCCTGCGTCTGCGCCTCTTGCTGTGATTGTTGGAAGGTAGGAGGGGGTCCGGCCATCCAGCCAGTGCCGGGGTGAGGTTGAAGGCCTCGTCCGCGTCGACGGCGAGCGTTGTAGCATCTGTCAAGTTGTATAAGCTTCCAGTCCACGCGCCAGCGTCCAAGAGGGGGGAGGAAAGAGGGTGCGTACGCAAAGAAGAAGAAGATGATCAAGGCTACTCCGACTATCACGGCAAACGCGATCCAGCGACCCCAGTCGTACCAGGAGCTGCCATCGCAGACCTCGCCTTGAACGGTGTGGTAACTGAGACACGATCATCAGCCACTGGATCTGGTGTACAACATGTCGGAACTGAGGGCCGTCCAGGTTCTCGAAAGCCTGAAGACCCCCGATCAGGGATGCTCAAGCACGCAGGCGATACGTACCAATCTCGACGACGTAGTAGAACGCCCATGGTGGCTGAACCTCTCTATCCGAGGTCTGGGAGCGGAAGATGACGTCGGTCAGGCGGTGCAGGGACAATCAAACTAGTGCTAGAGACGAAGAGAGATTGTAGGACGGATGGTGAAATGAATAAATTCGGGGGGAGGAGAGTCGCAGGAGGCCAAGAAAGCTCTTGAAATTAGGAAGGGATTTGAGCCAGGAGTTGAGGTAGGGGGAAAAGGGAAGAGGCAGTGAAGTTCTTCTGGGCGTCTGAAGGCAGCAGCAAAGTGAAAGGAACTGCACGGGTAAGTAATTATGGGGACGGTTGACGATTGGGTAAGGTAGGGCTGGGAAACCGGTGCCGTACTGTGCCAATGTGGCTGGGCAACCTGGGCGGTGGATGAAGAATGGTAGGGGGGCGAAGAGGGAAAAAATAAGGGAAAAAGGGAACAAAAGCAGGGGAAATTATCTAGAAAAAAAAATTGATCGGAACTGGATAGATTAATATCAATCAGGACTGAGGAAGATCTTGGACGCCAGCAATCTACCTAGTACTTAGGTAGGAGTCCATGACGGTCTTTATGGGCCAACCTCGCCTCAATAATCTTCCACTGCTAACTACTAAGTAAGTTAGTTACTAAGAGTTGCTAACTAATCCTTAAGTCACCCCGGCAGTGTTTGACGTAGTACTCCCCCCCTTCCCCAAACACCCCCCCCCACCAGCGTCGTACGTATTCCTTTCCGTCTACCAGTTTCTGACCACTTGACACATCGACACATGCGCGCAGCAATACGGCATATGAGCATCTGATGTTGGAGGGAGAGAGGAAGGGGGGGGGGGAAGGGGAACAGTTTATACCCGAGATCCGAGAGTCAGCGCAGCGCAGTGGTTCATGATCCCGGACGGTGGACATGGCAGCCGGTTAATATTAATGGATCTACGCGGCGTGTGTTCATGGACTATGGACTGTGGATTGTTGACTGTGGACTGTGGACATGGGGATGATTGACAGACTAAGACTAAGTAGTAAGATACATACAGATATCGACGTTTGGTGGCTCGGCAGACTGGATCGCATCATGTGGGCCCGTGACTGCAGCACCCGGACAAGCCTAGCGCCGGCCTCTCCATGCTTTTCCACTCAAAATTCGGGTGCCTGCTCGAACTCTTAAATCAAAGTCACTCACTCGGACTCCGGATCTCCATCCGTAATCGTCGCTGCCTTGGGTCGGGCAGTCTACAGAGTTTTGCTGGGTATTACAGGGCAATGCGACAATGGAATACTACAACACCTACCTTACTGACGCTGTACTGTACTTACTGCACGACTCCATTTTTGGGATTTCCCTCAACGTTATTGACGGTCGGATCCGGCATGGATGATGGAGTATTGATTGAGCCCTCGCTTGTAAGGGGACAATATTAACCCAGGGCATCTTGACCGCTTATGCTATGATTTAATGCAGTATAACTTGGCATAGTACCTCGGTCGGTAGTACCTAGGTATGTATGTGCTTGAACGCGTTTACTTACCCAGGACAGTATAATGGCTGTTTTACCTATTGGCTAGCCGGATGAATACTATTCAGCGCGGAGGAGCAGGAAGCAAGCAGATGGATGGCACCGGGTGCTGATCTGTGATATGGCATACCGGTAAGAAAGGAAAATTCGACTGGTCAAACCTGTAGCTGGATATCGGGCAAAGTGAAGCCATTGACTCGAGTGTCGAGTGTGTATCAGACTATCAGTGTCATGGAGACCTGGTGAAACCATGGAAGCCAAACCTGAAGCGATGTACTCCAACTGGTTAGTGCGTATCACAAGCTCACCAAGTTACCAACATGGTCAAGCCCAACGGAGGTCGGAGACATGCCCCAGCTCTGCACTAATCCGGTTTAAAGAACTCATGTTTCATGTTGAGGGTGGGGATACCTGGCTGATTCGCCTGTCATCCAGATCCACGATTCATTGTCCGGACTAGATAGATACGAAGCTGGCATGGATTAACTAGAATGTAGACAAGTGACAAAGACCGGGCCAGGTGGGCAGGTCATGCTACTAAGAATACTCTGACAGCGCCCTAAATCTTTCGCCGGATGGGGAAGTCACAGTTCAGGAGATGTACGGAGTACCTCGATACTTAACTACCTCCCACCACACTCACTTACTCTCCAGACAAACCCAACAATCCAAACCGGCCCAGTGCCAACGAACGGAGTTGTTTGGCTACCAGGGTACCACTAGCGAGCCAGTAATCTGCCTATAAAAGCACAGGATGTGATACTGATCCCAGAAGCCCTGAACCTTCGCCGGTGTTGTTGGCGGGGTTGGATTTGCTGGATTGGCATGGAAGGCTTGATTAGTTCCCGTCTGCGCAGCTGCAATGCCAACGCATCAGTTGGTCTGTGTGTGGCCCTGTTGGCCATCCTGCTTGCCCATGGGGATGCGCTTTAATAAGAATGAACGCCGTACCTTTCTCTCGCTGACAATTATCTACCTGCCTCTAAACTCCCCTTCTCGAGGAACGGGCGGCTGTCTACTTAGTACTGCTGTTGCGGCTGCGACTGTCACTATCCACGCTGCAGAGTCAACAATCATTTCACTAACCATGCAATCTGTCTCCCTCCACAGTCCGCAGCATACATACCATACCGTGTTCATTCTTCGCGGGCCACATTTCTGGCGCCAGTCTTACTCGTTTTTATGAGGAAAGACCCTGGAAAACATACAATGCACAAAACGGACTGACATAATTGACATAACCATAACCATAACCATAACCATAACAATAACCATCCAAATTCAAATCAGGAGGGAGTGAGTTGCTGAAATCGGACAAGATGGTTCGCTGAAACTCAATGTGCCTGGTTCACGTCTCACATCATTCACATCATTATATGGGCTGCGAGCCGCATTGTTTGCACTCTACGGGATCCCCCCCCGCCCCCCACGCTCCTCAGGCAGCCTCTGCTGTCGGTCGGTCGGTCTCTCTCCTCATCGGCTGGCCCGCGCGATCAACCAATGCAGAACAGCATCGAGGTTCGTTTCCTCTTTGGCGCTGATCCCATAGCAGCTCACTTCGCGCTGGGTGATGGATTTGAGATTCATCGCATCGATCAACTCGTCGACCGACAATTTATTTGGTAAGTCTGACTTGTTCCCCAGCACCAAGAGCGGGATTCCTTCGAGCGTCTCCTTCTTCATGAGGTCGTGCAACTCCTCGGTGGCCACCGGCAAGGCCGGACGATCTGCTGCGTCCACAATATAACTATCCTGGTGGTCAGCACGCCCAGTCTCTGCTCCGAGGGCAAGGGGATAGTTACACGATCGCATTCACTCCACGACAGTACCGCTCCCACATCGGTCGGAACCGCGGCTGCCCCCCGAGATCCCAGCTGGATAGATATTAGCAACAGCGCGCACCGAGGCTCGACGTCCAACTCTGGGGTACCAACCACTTGAGGGTCACATGGCCCTTTTGGACCCGTTTCGTGTTGAAGCCGATGGTGGGAATGGAACTGGAGATGGGTCTTAGCCAGACAACACACCCACGTGGGTAGGCCGAGTCCTACGCATTGAGCACTTACTCTACAGTGAACTCGCCGCCCTATATTATGACGTTAGCAACTACCACCGATAATATTGGGAAGGTTGGTTTCATCCGAGACATACCGCAAGCACGCGCAGCAGCGAGGACTTTCCAGCATTTTGCAGCCCGATCATGGTGACATCCATCTCCGTCGCCCTGCATTTGCGAAAATATATAATCGCTCTTAGCAACCCGAATCTTTCCTTATCTGCGGGGACGGCCCGAAGGGGGGAGGGGGGGGGGGGGGAACCATTCCCGGAGAAACAATGATTACTTATTGGGACGGCGGCCCACTTACCAGAACATCCTCAGAAGCCAGTCATAGATCGTGCGAAAGATACCCGCCATGTTTGTGATAAAGGGACGTCGTTCTGCGTGGACAACACAACGAGAACAGAGGGAGTGAAGGCAAATTTAAAGGGGTGGGGGGAAGGGACAGGCTTGGTAGAAGCAGGTCGAAAGGGCGCTGCTTGTCTCGGCTGGCTGGTGGGCGATCGACGACGGGTCAGCGAATATATCGACTTCCTGGCACGAGAATTTTGTACCTACTAAGGTTAAGTGGGGGTGGGTGGGCTTTCTGAAAGGGAGCAGAGCGTCAGTCGTCCCCTGCGCGGCCGGAAATCCAGACGCAGCGAGTAGTTGGAAACGACGAGGAGGGAAGAAACGTAGTTCAGTCGGGAACAGGATCTGGGAAATAATGGGGGTGGGGAGGGAGTAGTAGGGTAGGATAGGATAGGATAGGATAGGATAGCCAGCCGTAGCCGCGACGGGGAAGACGAGCGAGCGTGGGAGCGTGAGAGAGAGCGAGCGCTGGCTTGCTAAGGCTAGCAGCAGCTGAAGGGGCGAGGGACTGGGAAAAACCGAACCAAACCAACCCCAACCCAAACCAAACCGCCAGGGCCAAAACGCCGAAAGAAGGCGGCAATTTCCAGGATTGGCCGCGCCGTACGGATGGGAGCCAGAGCCAGAATATTATTTCAGTTATTTCTTCTTCTTGTTCTTGATCTTGATTAATGCCATGCCTCTCTGCTTTGCGGTGAAACTAAGCTGTCCCGATCTATGTGCACGCATGACCGTTCGCTCTTGCGCCGCCCGCAACCTGCCACTGCCAGCCTGCCAGCCTGCCGGTCCCTGTCAGTCTGTGTCAGGACGAGATAGATAACTTCCTACGGAGTACTTGACTAGATAGGTCCTAAGTTACTTGTGTATCGACTATCAAGGTGGTCTAGTCCGTCCCCTGCCTCATGTACCTAACTACCTAGAGGTGCACGCCCGACTAGTCACGCTTAGTTGCGTGTGGTGGGTGGGAACCGGTGGCTCAGTCGCACGAGGAAAATCCATGGCCGGGATTTTTGACAGTCCCAGTCCCAGTCCCGATAATATGGCATATTGATGGCGATGTGTGGATGGCGGCGACCAATAGTTCCTCCCGCGGATGGATACTAGTCGGCGTCTAGTAGTGTCTAGTGAGGTATCTATAGAGTGTGGATAGATAGATAGAAATATAGATAGTCCAGCAGATTTCAATGACGAGTCCACCCGCCTTATCTGGAGTCTGGACAAGCGGTGGACGGTGGACAAATCCACCTTTCTTTTCCACCCCCAAAGGCAATTGATTAATCGTGATCCATGATGACCCGCCCATTGACGCTGTCGGGGTTTGCCTTGTTGCCTAAGGCGGCCCTTCCCTGTCCGTCCCGTGCATCGATCCCGTGATGCACTCCCCTTATGTAAGCTACCGTCCTAGTTATCGGCCTCAGGCCCTACCGCAGGAGTTGTCAGGCTATCAGCACGTGAGGATATCTGTCCGCCGGGTCCACCTCGAAAAATTTCCCCGTCGAGCGACGACGAGACGCTTCGTTGCTCTCCAGACCAGCGACCAGCACAACTCGGGGTCTCTGTGCGAGTCGCATCCCCTCTCCATCCACATCCTCCCTCTCACGCTCCTGTTCTTCCGGTCAGGAGGGAAGGCGAATCTGCTCAGACCACTAGCACCTAATTGACCGCAGGTGCTCCACGTTGTACCGAGTCGGAGGTACAATCGAACTTTTTTCCTTCCACTTTTTCGGCCTCTCGGACACGACCACCAGGACAGTCCACCATGGCCCCCGCGGCGACAGACACCAATTGGTCCGTCGAATACGACACCCTCAGGCGGGAGAAGCTCTTCCGGAACCCGCCCAAGGACCATACCGCGTTCCCGGCTCTGGCAGCGGCCATCCGGCCACACGTTGATTCCTTCAATGCGCTCTTCGACGGCCCCAAGATCCTGGAGGCGGCTCTGAAGGATATCGGAACCAAAACCTTCCTCGACGGCGAGGCCGAGACATCCGAGCAGAAGAAGGCGCGGCAAGCGGAGGGCCGCAGGGCGCCGAAGCGCAACAAGCTCAACGTTCGCGTCACCCAGGTTTTCTTGGACAAGCCGGCCCTCCCGGCTACCAACAAGTTCACCAGTCGCAACCGCAACATCTACCCCTCCGAGTGCAGAGAGAGACACGCCTCCTACCGTGGAAAGCTGCGCGCCAGACTCGAGTGGCAGGTCAACAATGGAGACTGGCAGGAATCCATCAGAGAATTGGGTCAGGTCCCAATCATGATGCGGGTGAGTGCGACACGCTGCATACCTCTGTGTCCATTGTGCTGTAAGGGCGCCAGCTGACTCGAATAATCTTCTAGACCAACCGGTGTCATCTGGAGAAGGCGACCCCTAATGAGCTCGTCGAGCACAAGGAAGAGTCGGAGGAACTGGGTGGCTACTTCATCGTCAACGGAAACGAGAAGCTCATTCGAATGTTGGTCGTCGGAAAGCGGAACTTCCCCATGTCGATCGTTCGTGGTTCTTTTGTTCGCCGTGGACACACCTACACCAAATACGGTATCCTCATCAGGTCCGTCCGGCCGGACCAAACGTCGCAGACGAACTTCCTCCACTACCTCACGGACGGCAACCTGACTTTCCGTTTCTCCTGGCGCAAGTCTGAGTATCTCGTCCCGGTGATGATGATCCTCAAGGCCCTGGTGGAGACGAACGATCGCGAAATCTTCGAGGGAATTGTCGGAGGCTCTTCCTCTGAGGGCATCAAGAACACATTCGTGACGGATCGTGTCGAGCTACTCTTGCGGGTATACAAGCCGTTCAACACACACAGCCGCTCTGCTTGCCGAGCTTTCCTCGGAGAGAAGTTCAAGCCGGTTCTCGGCGTGCCAGCGGACATGTCCAACGAGGATGCCGGTACCGAGTTCCTCCGCAAGGTGGTCCTGCCTCACCTGGGTAACCACAATGTGACCGAGACCCAGGATTACGACAAGTTCAAGATGATCCTATTCATGATCCGCAAGCTCTACGCTCTGGTTGCCGGAGACTGCGCTCCTGACAACCCGGATGCTGTCTCCAACCAGGAGATTTTGCTCGGTGGATCGCTCTACGGAATGATCTTGAAGGAAAGACTCGAGGAATGGATTCGGTCTTTCCAGCCGATCCTGAGGGATTGGTCCAACCGTAGCCAGGGCGCGAAGTTCAGTGATCCGGCATTCGAGCGGGATTTCCTGTCCAAGGTTGTGAAGCGCAGTAACGAAAACATCGGAGGAGCTCTGGAGTATTTCCTGTCCACGGGTAACCTCGTCAGTCCCACGGGTCTCGATTTGCAGCAAGCGTCCGGTTACACGGTCATGGCGGAAAAGATCAACTTCTACCGATTCATCAGTCATTTCCGAATGATTCACAGAGGTAGTTTCTTCGCCCAGCTGAAGACGACGACCGTCCGTAAGCTGCTGCCTGAGAGTTGGGGTTTCTTCTGTCCCGTGCACACACCTGATGGTGCGCCCTGTGGTCTGCTTAACCATCTTGCGCACAAGTGCTTGATCGCGACGAGCGATGTGGATGTCACTCAGGTTCCCAAGGCGTTGATCCAGCTCGGTGTGCGGTCTGATTCGTCAGTTTCCGTGGCTGAGAGTGTCACAGTCCAGCTCGATGGCCGAATCATTGGATACTGCTCACCGAAGCAGGCCTCTGCGATTGCCAACACCCTGCGACGTTGGAAGGTGGCGGGCTCTGACAAGATCCCGCGCGAACTGGAGATCGGCTACATCCCCAACACCAACGGTGGTCAGTACCCCGGTATCTACATGTTCTCGCAGGCCGCCAGAATGTACAGACCCGTCAAGCATTTGGCTCTCGACAAGCTCGACTTTGTCGGTCCGTTCGAGCAGCCATTCATGGAAATTGCCTGCTTGCCCCAGGATCTCATCGCCGGCGTTTCGACCCACATCGAGTTCTCACCCACCAACATCCTCTCCATTGTCGCCAACATGACGCCGTTCTCCGACCAGAACCAGTCTCCCCGTAACATGTACCAGTGCCAGATGAGCAAACAAACAATGGGTACGCCCGGTACGTCCATCGACTTCCGTACCGACAACAAGCTCTACCGCCTGCAGACCGGTCAAACACCCATCGTCCGGTCCCCTCTCTACAACGCCTACGGTCTGGACAACTTCCCCAACGGCACAAACGCCGTCGTGGCTATTATCTCGTACACCGGCTACGACATGGACGACGCGATGATCATCAACAAATCGTCCCACGAGCGTGGATTCGGACACGGTACGATCTACAAGACCAAGGTTCACTCTCTCGACGAAAAGGACTCCCGCCGTGGCAAGTCCAGACGCGAGGTCACCAAGCTGTTCGGTTTCGCCCCGGGAGGCGAGATTCGGGCCGAATGGCGTGCCACCCTGGACGAAGACGGTCTTCCTCACCTCGGCTCCCGAGTCAAGGAGGGCAGTCTCGTCGCCGCGTGGCACACGGTGCGCTACGATGCTGCCTCCGACTCGTACGTGAACGTCGACGGAATCACCCACTTTGTCAAGTACAAGGACCAGGAAGACGGCTACATCGACAGCATCCGCATCATGGGCGCGGAATCGGGCGTTGAACCCTGCCAAGCCATCAGCGTCAAGTACCGCGTGCCGAGAAAGCCCATCATCGGTGACAAGTTCTCCTCCCGTCACGGACAGAAGGGTGTTTGCTCCCAGCTCTGGCCTGCCGTGGACATGCCCTTCTCCGAGAGTGGCATCCAGCCCGATCTCATCATCAACCCTCACGCTTTCCCCTCCCGTAAGCCCCTCCTCAATCCCCCTAGAACCTAACGCAGCCCACCACTAACCCCGACCAGGAATGACCATCGCCCAAATGATCGAATCCATGGCCGGCAAAGCCGGCGCCCTGCATGGCCACCCACAAGACTGCACGCCGTTCCAATTCTCCGAAGAAAACACCGCGGCGGACTACTTCGGACACCAGCTCCGCAAAGCGGGATACAACTACTACGGCAACGAGCCGCTGTACAGCGGCATCACGGGCAAGGAATTTGCCGCGGACATCTTCGTCGGCGTCGTCCACTACCAGCGTCTGCGTCACATGGTCAACGACAAGTTCCAAGTCCGTACCACCGGTCCCGTCAACCAGCTGACCGGCCAGCCCATCAAGGGTCGTGCCAAGGGTGGAGGTATCCGAGTCGGAGAGATGGAGCGTGATTCCCTGATTGCCCACGGTGCCGCGCATCTCCTCCAGGACCGTCTGATGAATTGCTCCGACGCCACCCGCTCTTGGATCTGTCGCGACTGCGGCTCGTTCCTGTCGACCCAGGTCGCTGTTTCGGGCGCCGGCTCGAATAAGGCGCGGGCTGCCGCTGCGAAGGCCGCGTCCGATTCCCAGGGTCTGGTTCATGGCCAGGAGAAGGGCCAGTCTGGTGGTGACCGGAGCGGTGGTAATGCCGCCCTGGGCGGTCTATCCGGTATCGTCCGCTGTAGACGCTGCGCGCGCGAGGCCGTCTTCGATGACTCCCGGGCGGAGATCTGGGAGGATGGCGATGGTCATCGCTACGTTGGCGGTGATAATGTCACTATTGTGGCTGTTCCGGGTGTCTTGCGCTTCTTGGATGTTGAGCTTGCCGCTATGGGCATTCGCATGAAGTTCTGGGTGGATAATTAAGCAATCGATCTCGATTGTCTCGATTGATCATTTGATTGATGATTCGTGCTGTGTGGCTGGGTGACGACCCGTTTGGATTAGATGAAGTGGATAAATCTACAAAAGCATCTTTTTGTTATGTTATGTTTATGTTCTTTTTTAGATCGGGCGCATTTCAGCACTATTTTCTTGACTGCTATATTCCTCTGCTTTTTGGTCCTTGGGGATGTTTCTATTGATGTGTATGTGTATGTATGCATGATGTATTTAGTGGGTTTGCCTAGTCTTACCATGGGATTGCATTTTATTTAAGTCTTCTTCTATGTAATATTGTGCGATGGCGCCTTTGGGTGTTGGGACCTGTTATGTGTTGCGCCATGCCACGAGTGTAGTCGTAGTCAGTATTTGCTCTTGCATTACCTACCATACGTATGGATGTGCTGCTGGTGCTGGTGCTGCTACGGTATATCTATAGCCTAGCGTATCGTATCGTATCTACCCAAGAAAATCACATAAGAGTAATATCTTAAATGCCTAAAGTAATAAGAGTATCATATCCACCATACAAGCCCAGATCCAACCACACCCACCCATCCATCCATCCATCTTCCCCGCTTACAACTCCGACGTAACATTCGAGAACTCGCCCTTCTCGAGCTTCGTCTTCCAGAATATCGGGTTCATGTCGCTGAAGCCATGGTGGACCCAACCCTCCTCCTTGACGTGGTACAGGTTGATGAAACCACCGGAGTAGGCGTCACGGTGCATGGCAGCCAGGATACTCCTCCGGCCGAGCTCGAGCGCCTCCTCCTCGGTCAGGTCGTACTTATAGTTCGCATCCAGCACGCCGTACGCGAAGGTCTGACCGGAACCGACACAGAACAGGTTGCCGGGCAGACGGGTGCCGTCGGAGTCGATGTAGTAGAGGGCGGGACCCTCCTGGGGGGTCATCTGTTGTTTGTGGTGGTTAGTTTGGGTGAATGGTTGGGGGATGGATGGGGGTGATGGTGAGGGTGTGGACGTACACCTGCTAGCATGGTTCCCATGCTCAGACCCATGCCCTTGTAGGAGTATGTCAGGTTGGCGAGGATCTTGGAGGCAGCGGCGACGGTGATACGGCGCTTGTGACGGATTTCTGTTCAATATTAATATGGGGACTGGGGTTCGGATGATGGGGTGGTGGGCTTGCCGTGAAGTGTGCACTGCTGGCTCAGATATCTCAACCAGTATTGACAGTCCTATCGACGGATCGTCAGTCATCCATCCGATCTCAATGCAATCCTCCTTCCACTAGTTGATGCTTAAACTGCAGCGTATCACATACCGCAGCACCTCCAGCCATGGTACCCAAGAGACCGGGAGTGGGCTCATTCGACGTCTTGTCCTCCCCGCGACTCAGCCGGGAGACGGGGATAACCTTCTTGACGGTCTGACTGGCGATCCAGTTTCCAGCGGTGGCTCTCGAATCGGTAGCGACGATCTAATAGAAGAAGCCACAGTCAGCGAGCGGGACGGAGAGAAAACACAGTGACGAGGAGGGGGATGGTGATGACGCCATACAATTCCGCCCTGGAATCGGAAGGCGAGTGTCGTCGTTCCGTGGGCAAGTTTGATAGGGCAGCTGGGATTTGAGTGGTCGTCGGTCATGGCACGCAGGAAGGCTCTGGACTAGATGAGACGAGGGGAGGTCAGCCGCTGATCTGATTTGACGATAGTCTCAAGGTGTGTGTGTGTGATGAGGTAGCAGGTCCTGTCTGGTGCGTGCGGCTCCGGGCATAACTTCCGACATCCCCAGGAGCTGCTGGCACCACCCGCGGGCCGCTATGGCTGGCAGCTCACATTATCGACCGGAGGAAGGGTGAATTTCAGCGAGAGGGGAGGAAGGCTCTCTGTGAGGTCACGCTGCTCTTGCTCCGAGTAGAACTCATTCTGATGCGGCGGGCGCGAGTATTGGGCGACCAATTTGTCCATGATGTGCGAGGGTCGGGTAGCGGAGTGGTAAAGACACGGGGGGGGTAGGAGGTAGCGAGATGGGATTGTAGAGCAGCGAGGAGGGGATGGAAGCGAAGATGAGGATGGGCGGACGAGGCAGCTCGGGAGCTTTGGAGATGATGGATGCTTGGAGCTCAAGCCGCCGTCCGCGTCACGCTGGCCGCCTGCGTCACGTGCCGCCACCGACGCCGCCTTCAGGCCGCCACTTCTACAGGACTTACTCTGCAAGTACTCATGACTGATGCAACACTCGTGCTTATTATTGGGACAACACTAATTACGCGCAGGCAGCACACCCGTCCAGATGCCTCCATTTTAGTGCCGTGCCTGCCTCCATTGATACATACATACTAAAGCTACAGATACCTGATAACGAACATAACCAGAAACAATATAAAAAAAAAAACAGCTCGTCCCTTGGCCTAGATAGGCACGGCGACAGGCTGCGCCCGTACCGGGACGGGACTGGAGATCTGCGGCGCCTCCGGGCCTCGTGCGGTAAATGAGTTTCGCGGATCTGGTGCTCGGGGCACCTCGTCCTCCGTCTTGTCGAACCCTTCGTCAACGGCAGAACCGTTGGCAGTCTGCTCTCGGGCAGTCGGGCTGAGACCCTGGCTCTGTGCTGGAACTCTGCTGGACTCCGTCACACCAGCTCCTTGGGCGGCAACTGGCTGTTGGGAACGACCAGTGTATATATCTGGGGTAGCGGTTGCATACTCATCCTGGGTAGTTCCATTGGTATAATGCTCCGCGGTACCGCCATTCACGTATGGCTCTGCAGTGCCGCCGTTCACATACGGCTCTGTAGTGCCATCAGCATGTGACTCTCGACCGGCTCCGTTGAGATATGAAGGTTCAGCTGAACCGTTGACGTCGCGCACGGAGTCCGAGGCGGTGGTCTCAACCGCGTATGATCCCCGGGCACCGGCTCTGCGAGCGGCAGTGGGCAAAAGCGTGCTGTCTGGCATGTCTCCTGCTGCGGTGTGGATGGGCACGGTGGTGCTCTCCCAAGAACGGAGGTCGTTTTCGGCATCCTCGAGGACTTGTTTCGTGACCGAGCCGCGATCATACTCGTGAGGAGCGTCGCCAGGGACGACAGGAGTATCATCTAGATAATTGAGCAAACGACGAGCATGGCGCGCAAGCAGGATCTGTTTCTCGCTTCGTTCGATGACCGCCGCGGTGTGAATATCCATTGCTTCCTTGAATTTCGACCTAGTCTGGTTGAACCATTAGTATTAGCGAGCCATATGATGTCCTAACCAATCGAAACATACCACATTGGTCAACTGAGCCTCAGCAACCAGACTCTGCGCCTCCGCGCGGACGAGCTCCTGCTCCAAAATATCGATCTTATGGCTATGCGGCTCCTTCCACTTCAGCTTCTGGATCTCATCCGCGATCTTCGCGCGGTGATCCCGCGAGGGCTGGACCGAGTTCTCCGTGTCGCGGATCTGCTTCAGCACGACGCGGTATTCCTCCAGATATCCCGCAAACGTATCCTCCTGCTCGCCTATCTCGGCCATGAGCACGCCGACCTTGTCCGAGATGTCCGCGACGGCATCGTCCTCCGTCCACTCGCCCCATTCGGACAGCTGAGAAGCGATGGACACGCGCTCGCGGCCGGCCTTCTCATGGGCCCCGATGGCGGCGTTCTCGGCCTTGATGACCTGGTTCAGCTTCTTGCTCAGTTCGGGCTGCTGGAAGCCGCGCAGCGTGGAGAAGCTGAATCGGGTACGCGAGGGCACGGAGTTCCTCCGTCGAGTCGACATGTTTCGGTGCCTGTGTGGAAAAGTCAGCTAGCCAGCCATACGAAAGAATCCGTCAGTCAAGCTGAGATGAATGCATACATGATTGCGCACTAGCTGGTATCCAGCAAGATAATTACAAACGACAGAAGGCAGCTGAGTGGTGTGTACAAAGAGCTAATCACTAGGCAGGAATGCGCCTTCCGGGAATGAAATTCGGATGTGGTTGATCTCAACCCATCCGTCAATATCCAACTAAGCTGGCCGTGGTAGGTAGTTCACAACAATAGGCTCGTGTCATATAGCAGGGATCACCGTCAGTGGAGTGGAGTAAGTAGTATCGAGAAAACGACCCAAATGGCTGTCTCGCTGCAGTTCAATTAAACCGACTGGCCCAGCCCGTGACGTCATGCGGGAGGGACGGATGTTGAGGTCATTGTCCGGTTGCAGGGCATCTCGTGCATCTTGCCATTGTGAGGATCCATGGGATGGCAGAGCTTAATCGGATGGCTTATCTGATAGTATTGACGATTGACCATGCGGGTGGGGATGTCACATTCTGGCCCCAAAGGCAATTAACGACAGTGGTATCACAAACACAGACAGCAACAAACGACAAAAGAGACAGGAGAGACAAAGAGCGACAAATCGAAGCAAAAAAAAAAAAAAAAAAGAATGAAGGCGAGTAAAAGCCACTCAAGCCAGCAAGCAAGACATATGAAAACCCAATATATCTACTCCAACCAACCAACTGAGCCAAACAGACAAACAGACAAACCAACAATAAGAACAACATCAACAGCAATAGCAAACCCTCATCACCTCCCTCATACTCTCTCCTGAACCACCCTCCCCAAACCACTCAACACAAACAAGATCAAGATAATAGACAGAACCCCTACCTCCCCCTCACATACTCCACCTTAACCCTCCTATCCACGACCTCCTCCTCCTCCTCGACCTCCTCCTCCACAACCTCCCCCTTATCCCTCTCCTCCCTCTCCTCCACCTCATCCACCTCCTCCACCTCCCTCCCGTATCTCCTCTCCCATCCCCATCCCCCTCCCCTGCCACACCTCTCCCTCTCCCTCTCCCTCTCCCTCTCCCACCCCCTCCTTCCCCCCCTAACAACCCACTCGACATCCACCTCCGGCTCCAAAACCTCCCACCGCACGGCCGGCACGCGCACACACTCAATCACAACAGGCCGGGGCCGGGGCACGCGGATCGGGATGAAGGTCTCCTCGATTGTTCGACAGCGGGTTCGTGTGATGGTTGTGTAAGAGCCGGGGGAGTAGCATCTTGGCGGGGGGGAGAAGCAGTGGCGAGGGGGAGGGGAGAGGCAGCGGGGAGGAGCGCGGAGGGGACGTTTGCGAAGGATAGGAGGGGGAGGGGGAGGAGGCGAGGGAGAGAGGGAGATGGAGCAAGAGCAGGAGCGAGAGTGCGAGGTAGACCGGGAGCGGTGTCTGCGGCGGCCTCGTTCTCGCTCTCTTCCTTTTTCTCTGCCTCTATCTTTGCCTCTCTCGCGGGATGGAGCGGGGGGGTCTTTGGGGAAGCACATCGTCTCGTCTCGTGTCGTCTCGTCTCGACTGTACTGTAGTTTGGTTGTGTGTTGTGTTGTGTTGTGTTGTGTTGTGTGGTGCTGTATTGCAGATTGCAGCTCGAGCAGCAGCTAGAGTAGCTAGATATACAATCTCCAAATAAAAAGAAAACAAAAAAAAAACGAAAGGACGTAGTCTTCTTGCAATACTGCAATATAGCCGCAAGTCTACATCCACCGAAACCTCCCAGCTCGAAGCAGAAGCAGACGGGCAAAGAGCACGCAGTATATACATACTACATCCTACATACGAGCACTGGCTGCTTTCTTCTGATCTCATCCACCCGACATGGATCACTTGACTAGCGTGTCAGGCGGGTGGGTGGTCACTGGTGGTGCCGGGCCGGGTGATGGGATCAGCCATCAGCCGTTTCGATGGGATGGGAGTGATGCGGTCGGCGGGTAGGGACGACGTGCATGATCTTTGGGTTTGAGGAAGGGAGGGGGAAGGGGGTGGATGTTGAGGGTTATGGGGGTGGTGGGTCATGGTGGGTGTGATACTTAAGTATAAGTTGTTTGGGCGGGTGGTAAGGCTGTGTATTGCAGTATCTTACTGTACTGCATCGTACCTACAGATTTTAAACCGCCGAGCTTTCTGCACCATACGCATACGCATACGCATAGCCTCATAAGATACTACTAGTTAGTAGACATCTGGTTAAAATACAATATGAACTGATGGCTAGATCTGGAATGTACATCGATGAGCATCACAGTCCAGGGTCCGGTCCACTCCGAGATAGAGACGACTCCTAGATACATCCATGAACAGATGGCAGAAAATAAATGCGCAAGTCTGATCCATGTCAACAGAGAGTGAGTCAGTCCATCAGTCATACCCATACTGCAAGGCACCAGTCAAAGTCACGGCACCAGTCAAAGCACGGCTCAAGTAAAAAACAATCCCAGCGCCAAATAAATGGTTACAAGAGCTCCTCAACACCATATCAGACCCACCCCAAAATCCCAGCCGATCAGCCTACGCCATGTCGTCATCGTGGTGATGGGTGTTTTCATTATCCGATGCGTGGAATGCATCCCCGAAGGCCGAGTTCTCCAAGTCCGGTAGGTCCAGCCCGTCGTTCTGTTCGGTGTAGGCCGCGAGGGCGTCGCCAGCGCTGTCCATGTTGGTGAAGTCGAAGTTGGCCCCGTCCAGCGCCGAGTCTCCGACCCCCCCTCCGTTGCCGGGAGTCAGGCCGTGGATCCCGCTACCTGGCGTGTCGATGCCCGGGAGAGAGCTGTCGCCCGCAACAGGCTGATCCTTCTTCTCGTCGTTGACCATCACCCAGTCGCCTGTTTCACCTGCTGCCACGTTCGAGGCTTGTCCGTCGCCCATGTCCATGTCCATGTCAAGAGACTGCTGCTGCGCGGTGGGCTGTGGCTGAGGTGGCGCAGGAACACCCCCGCCGGCCACGGGAGCAGCGGGCGCGCCGGGCTGTATTGTTCGCTCCAGGGTTGTCGATGCGGCGGGCGCTCCTGGAGCAGACGGAGATCCCAGCTGGTCGAGGAATTGGCTGTCTGCGTTCTCCATGTCGATGTCGCCCTCCACCGGGGTCTCTGCCTTGTGTCCGGACTCGATCTTCTCCAACAGACCCCCTTTCTGCACGCAAGACACTCTCGGCTCCGGGACGATCTTTCTCTGCCACGCCTTTTCCACCTCGCGCGCGATGTCGGAAACCTTGTACTTCGCGGATTCGACCTGAGGCATCTGGGTGGCGTCATCTTCCGTGGGCATCAGGATGCGGCCTTCCAATCTCCACGGCTCCGAACCGGTATCCGCGGGATCTGACGCCGCTTCCCGAAGCCGAAGTTCCGCATCCTTCAGCAGAGATGTACGCTTGAATTTCTCCATTCGCCGCGCATGGCGTCTCTTCATCTTCTCAATATCGGCGTTCATATCGGCCACCTTCTTGGCGACGCGATCGGCGAATTCTTCCGCTTTACCGGGTTCCAGCTTTTCGGCTTGTACGGACGCATTCGCATCCTTCGCCTCAGCATTGGTGGGTCCGACAGGTGCGTCAAAGAAGCCTGCCGTCAGGGACTCCAGCTCTCCCTTCCGACCCAGGCCGAGGGAGACAGGAGTGATCTGGCTGATGGCATACGGCGACGCGAAAACCTCCTCCATCCATTCGTGGTGTTGCTGGTATCGCATCTTGCTGATCTCGCGAGGAGTGAGAAGGTCCATGGTGTCCCCGGTGGAAACGTCTTCATCTTCGAGAGTGAAATCCGCCGTGGCCGCATTGACCGCAGTTGACGCCGCACGATGCGCACGCGCAGCCTTGGCCGGGGGAGGACCGGTGGGAGGCGGACCACCCGGACCCGGCGGGGCATAGAAGGGTTGGCGTCCGACCATGGCACTTGGGTAGGCGCCGGGGATCTGTTGAAAGCCTTGCGGGGCCATCTGGGGAGGGAAATTGATCGCCGGCCAATTGTTTCGATCGTGTAGCATGAAATCCTTGCGTGCAAGTTGACCCTGGCTCTGAAGGAAGCGGCGCTGGGCAAGCATGTTTTGGACCGCAGGCATGACGGGGATTCGATTCGCGGGGATATGTTCCGTCGGGGGCGCTCTCGAGTAGTGAACAATCCACAGTGAAGGGTCGGGTGGAGGCACATTGGGGTTAGGGACCTTCGTAGGCAGGAGTCGGTAGCGTCTGCGACAGTGAATGGCCAAAGACTCGTTAGGGGGGTGGTAGCCACTGCGGTGTAGCCACATTTCCACCATCTGGCGCATTTGTGTTAGCTGTCAGGTTGTCCGCCCGGGGAAGGACGGGGGGGGGGGGGGGGGGCGGGGGCGCATACGTAGCCACGAGCTTCGAAGGTGAACACTTGTTCGGCATCCGCCCAGACATAACCATCACTGGCGAAGTTGGTGGCCAGGTGATTCAACGGCTGCCAGGTGAGCATCACGGTACCATCCTGGGGGCCGTCGAGGAACGTCCAATGCATGGGTTGCACCTCCCGAACAATCTTCTGCGCGGAGAGTAGGTATTCGACGACGGTGTCGGTGGGCATCATATGCATCAGGGGGTAGCGGTGCCGCGACACCAGATGCATGTGCGGCAGCTGAACAATTCAAAGCATCCTGGTCAGCGGCTTGAAGGGTTTGAGATGGCATTGATGCATCGCGTCCCGGGTGGATAACCTACCAACTGCGCGGGAACACGGCTTGCTGGGTCCTCCATGGTGAACAAAGGCCGGGAAGGATCACGAAAAAGGGTTCAATGTTCGCCAAGGGCTCAGTGTGTCAAAGCGGAGGAGAGGCCCGGATGCATGCGCGATTGCGAGGGCCAACCGGCGAGCAGTTGAGTAACAGGCGTTGGATCAAGGCAGCGAAGGCCAACGCGACGCGGAAAATTGACGGGGAGGTTTGGAGGTTCCGTCGCCGGAGCCACAATCCCGCCTCGGTGCGGCCGTCCAAAACGACCACTGCCGCTGATCAGACACCTGAGCCCCCAGGCGACCACAGCTGCCCTTTCGGGAACGGCCCAGCAGATCCGAGATCGTCAAATCCACATCTTTTCCATCGTGTCATTCGTTGCATCCGACTTCTTTTCCCCGCAATGTTGGGGTTTGTTAGTTCCACTATAGTATGTACGACGGTTCAAGGACAAGAGCTGCTTCTATTGAGCCCTCCCTGGCGTGACATGGAGTGCCTCCATGCTCTCTTTCCTATATAGACAGTGAGACACCTGCATGGCCCCTGTCTTCCTCATATCAGTTTCATGTTAGGACAACCTGCAGCCCCGCCAGCAAGGGCGTGAACCATCCAGACTGGGGCCGCCAGCCTCTTTGTTGCTTCTGTCTAGTCCTACTGCCTCCGTGACCTTCCTCATTAAGCCTTCCCGCCATCTGGTTTGCTTCCACTCAAGCTTTGCCCGCCACCCACTCTGCAGCCATGTTTTCTCCGCACGCGGCATGATTGGGTTTCCCGGCAATGTCATCATATCCCCGGCAGGCCATCTGACCCCATGCGTCTCCCCTCGGTCCTTTAGACCTTTCAGGCCTTTCGGGTCTTGAGCGCGTCCCCCATTGCGCTGTCGCGTCGGCTCCTATCCAGACCATGTCTTCTGCAACCGACCGCTGGTGACTCGTCCACCCCGTCCACCCCATCCACTCATGTTCTTCCACCCCTGCTGAACATCCCCCCTCGCGAGTCGGGTGTGGGATGAACGACCCCCACATCAGGCTCGACGATTCACTGGATGACGCGAAGAAACCCTCCGTCCGGCCCGTGCTATAAATCCATGTCCCACCCTCCTCTCCCAAACATCAATCTGCTCGGTGTGCATTGATTGATCTGGCCGTACTCTATTCAGCTACTAGCCATGGGTTTCTTTGCGAAGAGGGCCACCCTCAACGATGCTGCGGGCAGTGCCGACGCCATTGTCGAGGCTCCGGAACATGACTTCGAGAAGCAACAAATTGCGCACGACGAGGAATCACACACAGCGCTTCCGCAGATCCCGACGACGACGGTCACCATTGACCCCGCGGTTGAGGCCCGTTTGCTGAGGAAATTGGACTTGAGGGTTCCCACTCTTCTGGGGTTTTTGTGTAAGCTTCTATTCTTTCCTTTCTCTCACGTCACCTCCCCCATTTATCTACATCCGATCTTTTTACTTTCCGACACGCAGCTGACAGAAGCATGTCGCGCAGATCTTCTCTCACTCCTGGATCGGAGCAACATTGGGTGGGTTTACCTGCTCAGAGATATGCGATCTGTCGACTGACCTGCAGCTAGAAATGCCAAAATTGCAGGAATGGAAGACGATCTGCATCTTACCGGGAACCGCTATACATGGCTCCTGACAATCTTCTACATCTCCTACACCCTATTCGAGTTCCTGGCCTTGATGTGGAAGGTCATGCCACCTCACCGATGGGCAGCCATCACGGTTCTGACCTGGTTTGTATATCTCAGCGCTTTCTCTGTGGGCCGTTTTCTAACCTCTCTAGGGGAATTGTTGCGACTTGCCAGGCTGCGACTCAGAGTTGGGGTGGGATGATGGCCTTGCGGTTCCTGCTCGGCATGTCGGAGGCAGCCTTTGGCCCCGGATCTCCATACCTGCTATCCTTCTTCTATCGTCGCCAGGAACTTGGTCTGCGTTGCGGCATGTTCTTGTCAGCTGCTCCGCTGGCGAACTCGTTTGCCGGCGCTCTCGCCTACGGGATCACATCCGGTCATGCAAAGATAGCCAATTGGCGGTTGTTGTTCCTTGTGGAAGGGAGTCCGTCTCTGTTGGCCGCCTTTCTGGCTTGGTTTTATCTGCCTGACCACCCTGCGTCTGCTCGGTTCTTGACGGAAGAAGAGAAAGAGGTAGCGCGCGCCCGGTCGCTCCGTCGGACTGGGGAAAGCGAGCGGGTTACCGGTATCAACTGGAAGGAACTGTGGGAGACTTTGTTGGATGCGAAGGCGTGGATCACTGCGGTATGCTGCCACCACACTTTATCTAGCGCAACAAGCTGCTGACGCGACACAGTTGATGTACTTTAGTTGCAACGTGAGTTTCTCGTCGCTGCCCGTCTTCCTGCCGACAATCCTGGAAGACATGGGGTTCGCCTCGATCAACGCGCAAGGGCTCACGGCGCCACCCTACTTCGCTTCCTTCCTGGTCACGATTGCTACAACATGGCTTGCCGATCGGATTCAGCAGCGAGGCTTGGTTATCGCGATTTCTTCAATGGTCGGCGCTATTGGATATGTCCTGCTTGCGACCTGCACCTCCGTCGGGATTCGTTACTTTGGCGTATTCCTGGCCGCGATGGGGGTGTTTCCTTCGATCGCGAATATTCTTCCTTGGGTTCTGAGTATGTCCAATGTGCCAAACCACTGCATATGATATCATAGCTAACGTGACTCCAGATAACCAAGGCTCCGACAGCCGACGCGGCATGGGAATAGTCCTTCTTAATGTCATCGGCCAGTGTGGTCCCTTCCTGGGAACGAACATCTTTCCATCGAGCGACGGGCCTCGGTACATCCGGGGACAGTCCATCTGCGCGGCCTTTATGTTCTTCACCGTGATCCTGGCATTGTGTTTGCGAAGGCTACTTGCTTGGGAGAACCGTCGTCTCGACAAGAGGTATGGCGCCGTCAGGACCGCCCCAGGGACTACCAAGGAGGTCACTTTTGGAGAAGAAAACTACGGGGCAGGATTTCGATATGTGCTGTGATTTGGATTTGTTATGCTTGATGCCTGCTACGATGCCATGATTTGAATATGACGTGATGTATGAACCTAAATAATTAATTAACCCTAATATTACGAACAAAAGACTTTTAAATCTTATGTTATTTCAATGAGTTGGTGTTGACATTTCCCCTGCCCTTGGCCGATAACCTGGATTTCAAGGGAGGGGTAACCAACTCACTAGCCCCTCCAAGATACTTAGTTATATATCATCGCCCGCGTTGACATGCACCACCACACTACTATCGGATACTACTACTACATCACCTGCCCCTAGTCTTTAGTAAATACACTAGCAACTTGACACAATAATTTCAACTCTTTTCATTTCACTATTCCTCCTTTTGAAATTCTCATATGAGTGTATAGCCCTCCTACACAATTTATCTGTACACTCCAACGCGCCCTACAAGGCCGTTCATCCTTTCTTCATACAAGTCATCCATTGATCTATCTACTATCCATCCATCCATCCATCCATCCATCCATCCATCCATCCATCCACTTCAACCTCACAGCCTCATTAAACACCACCAAAACACCACCACACCAACCCTGACAGCCAAAATGGCATCCCCACCCCCCTCCAACCCCAACCTCTACGGTATCGTCGATATGGGCAGGTACCAAACCCCCCTCCCCAACTCCCCACAACCACCACCAACCACCACAACCACCACTAACTCCCAACCCCAGCAACGGCATCCGCTTCTCCATAACAGACCTCACCCCCCCCACCACCCGCACCCTGCCCATAATCTACCAAACGCGCGCCGCCCTCTCCCTCTACGACGCCCAATTCCCGCCCACAAACCCAGGCACCCGCTCGCCCATCCCCTCCCACATAACCGGACAAGTGCTCACCCACCTGACCCACTTCCAGCACACCTGCGCGGACTTCCACGTGCCGACGTCCAACATCCACGTCCTCGCCACGGAAGCCACCCGCACCGCGCCGAATTCCGCTGACTTCCGCGCGAGCATCAAATCCGCGACGGGGTGGGACGTGACTCTGCTCTCGAAGGAGGACGAGGGGCGGATCGGCGCGCTGGGGATCGCGAGTAGCGCTGCGGAAGTCGCGGGGTTGGCGATGGATTTGGGAGGCGGGAGTACGCAGATTACTTGGGTCATGGAGCAGGGTGGGGAGGTGAGGACGAGTGAGCGTGGGGCGTTTAGTTTTCCGTATGGCGCGGCGGCGGTGTTGAGGCGTATGGGGGAGGGGGAGGGGGCTGTGAGTGGGAGGGCGATGAGGGAGGAGATGCGGGCGAGTTTTGAACACGCGGTTCGACAGCTCGGCGTGCCGGGGGAGTTGAGGGAGCTGGCGAGGAAGAGAGGTCGGTTTGATTTGTATCTCTGTGGTGGGGGGTTTCGCGGGTGGGGGTATGTGTTGATGAAGAGGTCGAGGAGGGTCAGGCCGTATCCGATTCCTGTTATTAATGGGTTTAGGGTGGTGAGGGAGGAGTTTCACGGGGTTGGGGATGTGGTTGCTGCTGTGCAGGGGGATGAGGAGGAGGGGGAGGGGATATTTGGGGTGTCGAAGAGACGGGCGTCGCAGATTCCGGCTGTTGCGGTGCTGGTCGAGGTCATTATGGAGGCCTTGCCGGAGGTTACCCATATTCAGTTCTGTCAGGGGGGTGTCCGTGAGGGGTTCCTGTTTGAGAAGTTGAGTGCTGAGGTGCGCGCGCAGGATCCGCTGCTGGCGGCGACGATGGTGTATGCGCCCGCGGAGGGGGAGGGCCAGGGGATCGGGGCGTTGTTGCGGGGGGCGTTGCCAGAGACTGCGTCGCCGATTGGGGGGGTGAGTCTGCCGGGGGCGTTTACGGCGAATTTCATCGCCGCGGTTGCGAATCTGATGTATGTCCATTCGCGAGTGCCGCGGGAGTCACGCTCCGCGGCCGCGCTGCACTGCACGACGACGGGGATTCTGGCGTCGACGAACTGCGTGTCGCATGTCGAGAGGGCGGTTATTGCCCTGGTGCTGTGTGAGCGCTGGGCAGGGGACCTGGCTCCCTTGGATCGTGAGTACCAGCGCCGGTTGATGCGGTGCGTGTCGCCGCAGGAGGTCTGGTGGAGTCTGTATCTGGGCCGGGTGGCTGCTATCGTCGGCGATGTGTATCCTGCCGGACGGGTGGACGAGACGCAGTGGAGGGTGAGGTTCGAGACGCAGTGGGAGGATGTGGTCAAGAAGAAGGGGGCGGCGTGCGATTTACTACGGCTGATAGTGAGGCGGAATGATGCGGCGCCTGTGCTACGAGAGAGGGTGCAGGAGACGGCGGAGAAGGTCGAGAAGGTCGGGAAGAAGAAGAACTGGATTCACGACTATGGTGTGCGGGGGGGTCACGGTGGTGTAGGGGTGGGGTTGGGAGATGTGGGAAGATGGTGGGCTGGTTTGAGGCATGTTGGATTGTATAAGGCGATGCCATCGAACCGAGAAGCCGGGCTTGTATATTGATTGCTACGGCTACAACCAGGGAGGAGTTCGGGGCACATCTCCTCTCACGTCATCCGGGCAATTCAACATGGACTCTAGGAGTAAGACAGGCGTCTTATCTCCCAAAGAACCCCTCAATAGGCCGCGGAATGCGCAAGTCAGCCTTGCCACCTGTGACTCACTCCCACATACCCTGCCCCAGAAACCCAATATCAAATATCAACCACCATTTACGGAACCACCCGAAGCATGCGTAGGAAACCCGTTCGTTCATTCGAAAAACGAACATCCTAACCCACAAGCACACCCGTAGCACGTAGCACGCAAGCAATAAAAACAGATAAAGAGAGAGAAAAATAGCAAGCCTGAGAGACTGAACTGCGATCGTATTCACTCCAATAAAAGTCCGATAATCGTCCATCCATGGCAGAAAAAATAAAAAAGAGTAAATCTCAAAAAAAACCCATTTCGCACCATCCTCCCCGAGGCAAAGTCGAAAAGGTGGGGGACGGGGCCCGGTGTCGTTCTTCGTCCGATGGGCCACACATCCATGAGTTTTTCCCCGCGTGAAATACGCATCGCATCACGTTTGCACCGTTCAGCCTCCCCGTCGCATCAACATCAACATCGTCGCGCCAAAACCCGGGGAATCGTTCGTTGCGTTGCTATATCATCGAGGATTTCGCCGTTTACTGGGTGGGGTTGGCGTTCATCTGTAGGTTAAAAGGGAAGAAAAAAGTGTGAGCCGGTATTCTTTTCTCCATCTGGTGGTTTCGCCCAGCCTGATATCTCGACTGGGTGGATGGTTTGCGGCGGTCATACCTTGCGCTTGCCACCGGTCAGGGTAACGTTGACGAAACGGCGGGTGTAGATGAGACGCTTGCGGGCACGGCCCTTAGGGGACTTCTGCTTCTCCTGCTTGTCGACCTGTGGATTTTCATCATCTTTTAGAATCACTTGTCCCATTTGTCTTGTTTTCGGATCGGGTCGATGCTAACCTTGGGGGTGGCACTCTTGACCTTACCGGCACGAGCGAGCTGTAGAAAAAATCATTTCGTTAGAGGGGGGGGGTCATCATCATCGTCGAGGAGATCGAGAGGCGAGTCTTACAGATCCGTGAACCTAGAGAATCATCAAGTCAGTTATTTTATTCCGAGTCTCTCATCGTTTTCATCTATTCGAGCAGGATGGCCCAGCAAGACGGTTTGTACATACCTTACCCATCTTGGCGGATTAATCTGATTCAACAAGGAGGGATTTGTCGATGGCGATTGTCGGGGGTTGCGAGGTCGATATGAGATGGGGGAATTTTCGCTGTTTCGACTGTTGGTCACGCGTTTGTGCGGTGGCCCCACCCTTCCCGCTTCGGTTAGTCCCTTACATAATGTGGCTGACTCAGCTAGGGGTGGTGTGTCCGGCTGGGGACTAGCGCGGTTTGCTTATTCGGGTGGTTGTCACTGGCGTGGCTTCACCACACTACTCTTCCATTGCTATCTCATTCATGGTGGCATTCAGTATCATGACAGCACGAAGCGTTCATTATCTATCGATGAGCCAGTCACTTCTCAACCTCACTAACTCATACTTCAAGGACATATAAGTAGACACATTCCTCTTCCCTTCTCCAACTCTTTCTCTTCCTAATTTATCCTCAACATCCCATTATATACTCCGTGGACCGTGGACATCTATCGTCCCAGAACTAACAAGCTTGGAATATAATACCATAAAACAAACATTACTCTGTCCCTCTATACCACACTAACATCCATGGTATCGTCATGGACCCAACATATTTGGAACATAATGTCATATGGAACAGACATCACGCCGACAATATATACTTCGTTGATATCTATCATCACAGAACCAAAGTACTTGACCATAGTACTTGGCACAGTATAAAAAATGCCGATACAATGGCCCAATAAACCAATTGACTTCTCTACTGACATTTCCTTGGACATATGAGGGCAGTAATCCGAGAAAGCAATCGCAGATCCGTGACAATATGCTCTAGTGGCCTTCCCATACTAGGAGATTGCTACATCTTTGAAATGTTATCACCGCGGAAGCAGCCGTTGCAACCCATGGTTGGACTCGACAATCCACAGAGTTGGACTAGGAGAGGCTGGTAGTTACAGGAACTGCGGATGATGCCAAAGCCTACCTAGTTAGCTCCATTACCTTGTTGCTGAAGAAGGGAGCGTCCTACAAGATCTGTTTGTCGCGTGCGCTTGAGGCAGCAGAAGCCAACGACTGGACCATTCTATGGCAGAAGGACGTTGACAATGAGGACTGGAATGCATTTGCATAATCGTAGAATATCTTGCTGTCGAGTGATGCCAAGGCATATCTAACCAGTCATTGCTCCGAAGAGGCGCCTTGTCTACAACCTGTTTCAAACGCGCACTTGAGGTAGCGGATGTAAACGACTGGGTCATACATACACTGTGTTTTTGAGACAGCGCTATACTTCAGGAAGGAAAGATCCAGACGCGATACTGTCTATGTTTATTGAACCTCCATGCACTGTTTGCGAAGTGCTATGACCCCGTCGGGAATGGTATGAGACGCTGCCGATTTGACGGGGATTATGGAGTGGTACGCCGACCCAGTGGCTGGCTTTTTCGTGTCTATCGATGGCAACCACAATAGCTGGGATCCTGAAATCGCAGAGGCCGCCACTGCTGCCGTCATCAGTCTGGCATCTGTCTTCGATAATGGCCTGATTACCCACCGATCAGGGTCCAAGAAGGACATTCGGGTATGTATACCGGGTGCGGTTGTGGGATTATGACCTCAGTTGGGGACTTGTTTTCAATGCTGGTTGTTTTTTTTCACGGCAAGGTTTCGGTGTTGTTTCTCGACCATGGGAAGGGACCCTTAACTTCGTTTCAGCTTCAGCTGGAAGACCGCCACGCCCGAGAGAAATCGCCTCTTTTGCAGTTTCCCGGTCTGCGAAGACAGTGCAATTTGGCTTGATTATGAGGATCTCAGCCGAAAACCATTATCATTATGTGGTCACAGGTCATCCAAGCGACTACCACCGGCTATGAAGAACAAAATCTGGATATGTAAATAGTCTAAGCATGAGTCTTGACCAGTAGTACCTTTTCGGTTCCGGGATTACTATGTTTTTGTACCGAAGTCTTGATTCGTAGGATTGCCAGTAAACGGACAACAGAACTAGGAACGTTGGTTGATTCCCTTCCGACTTTGTGGGACAGATGAACGGATTATTTCTCAATCGATGCCGAAGGTAAGAGTAACCCCCTGTCCTCCCAAACATTCCAATTGATTCCTCGTGACTCATGTCGTCTTCTCCTATTGCTTAATTTGCTTCATCCGGGAGGCCGGTCTTCGGTAGACGGGAGACGGGACAATTGTGTCACAATAATAGAATGGCGACGATCATTGTGGGCATGAGGATGACTTCACTCCGGGCCCTGGATCCGGTCACCGGCCAAAGTTACACGGGCAGAGTCGGAGGGATCGTCGAGGGGGCCTCCATTAAGTACTTGCGGTCGACAGCACCCCGGCTCCCCTCCCCACCATTACGTAGTCGCAGCACTACTTAAGGCCTGCCCCTCCCCCGCCTTTCCCTCGTCCTTCCCCTTCTACTCCCTCCATCTCTCCAACATCCAACTTCCATCTTCCCAAGCTCATCAAGCTTCAACCAAGTTCATCTCTCCCATCCCATCCCATCTCACCTAGTCTAGACCGTGCTAACCTCTGCCAGAAACCAACCACACAATGTAATCTCCACCTACGTCGACCTTCGGGTCTCAGATGGAAGCCATGCAATGCCTTTGGCTGGGCTGCACAACGATCAGGTATCTCAGGTAGTTCTGGGCATGGACCGGTGTTCGTTCCCACGCGTCACCAGCGTGGCTCTTGGTCGGGTCTTCCGTCGAGAACCATGCTGCTGACGCGGGGTTCGTTCTGAGAATATACGGTTAAACTTGATCTGGATAATACCAGCGAAAGGATCATGCCTTCCCTCGTCCCCCTTGCGGTAGAATATCTAACAGTTCCCAGTCACTACGTGACTCGAACGTAAACCCCACCCAACACCAACAGCATGTCTCCCCCCGCTGCTATCTTCGAGCCCACTGTTGCCCCCACCGGCATCAAGGCCAACGTGGTGGTCCCCGAGACCACGACCGCCCCCGTCTCCCAGGCCTCTCAGACCAAGCTGCTCGACCACTTCGGAGGCAAGTGGGATGAGTTCAAGTTCGCCCCCATCCGCGAGAGCCAGGTCTCCCGTGCCATGACCAGACGCTACTTCCAGGACCTGGACAAGTACGCCGAGAGTGACATTGTGATTGTCGGCGCTGGGTCCTGCGGTCTGAGCACCGCGTACGTCTTGGCCAAGGCGCGTCCCGACCTGAAGATCGCCATCGTCGAGGCCAATGTGTCTCCAGGTCCGTCCCCTCCCTTCCCCTAATCCAAACCTTCCACACACTAACACAGTATAGGCGGCGGTGCCTGGCTCGGCGGCCAGCTCTTCTCCGCGATGGTGATGCGTCGCCCCGCAGAGCTCTTCCTCAACGAGATCGGCGTGCCCTACGAAGAAGACCTCACGAACCCCAACTACGTGGTGGTCAAGCACGCCTCGCTCTTCACCTCGACGCTGCTGTCCAAGGTGCTGACCTTCCCCAACGTCAAGCTCTTCAACGCCACCAGCGTCGAAGACCTGATCACCCGGCCCTCCCCCAACGGCAACCCCAAGGAGACTCGCATCGCCGGTGTCGTCACCAACTGGACCCTGGTGACTCTCCACCACGACGACCAGTCGTGCATGGACCCCAACACCATCAACGCGCCCATCATCATCAGCACCACCGGCCACGACGGCCCGTTCGGCGCCTTCTGCGCCAAGAGGCTGGTTTCCATGAACAGTGTCGACAAGCTGGGTGGCATGCGCGGCCTGGACATGAATTCCGCCGAGGACGCCATCGTCAAGAACACCCGCGAGGTCACCAAGGGTCTGATCATCGGCGGTATGGAGCTGTCTGAGATCGATGGCTTCAACCGCATGGGTCCTACCTTTGGCGCCATGGTGCTCAGTGGTGTCAAGGCTGCTGAGGAGGCTCTTAAGGTCTTTGATGTCCGTCAGCGCGAGTGTGCTGAGTAAATCGAAACTCGATTGTCTTGATTGTCTGTTTCGCTCGCTATGAATGGATTGCCGGTTAGATGGGAGAATGTCCACTATGAGGAATGATTAGTTATTGTGCAGTTAATGACACTCGTTATGATTACCATGATGGGACGTAGGAAGAACTAGGTTGAGTGTAGATTCACTTGGTATACGTTACTACCGTAGCTCTGAGTAGTGCAATAGTCCCCTGACTGACAACAAACACTATAAACACATTCATTAAGCATACACGGCCCCAAATTATATACTCTGCCAGTAGAAAATACGTACATAAATACAAATACACACACATTCAAACATAATCAATATCCAAAAAGCGTACCGTCCAGCGATTACTCCAGCTTTTTGCCCCCCGCCGCCTCGACAATCTGCTTCGCGTTGCGGACCTCCCACTCGAACTCCTTGAGCGCGCGCAGCTCGCTCGACATGAACAGACCCCCGATCAGACCGTCCAAGATGCCCGCCCCGAAGTTCAGCGTGCTCACGAAGAGCAGGATGAACGCCACGTAGGGGAGATGGTCGCCCGTCCACCACACCCCGACCATACAGCCAATGGAGACAATCACGGAGGCGATGAAATGCGCCATGCGCCAGCGCCGCTGGGAGCGCTCCCTGGCCACGTACGTGTGGATCATCGCGATGATCTCATCGTATGTCTCTGGTGTTAATGGCTTGCCTGGCGCGGCATAGCCGCCCTGCTGCTCTCCCTCCCCAGCAGACCCAGCGCGAGTAATGACCGCCTCGACAGCAAAATGGTCACTCAGCGAGCACCTCAGCGTGGGATGTCTCTCCGTCATGGAAATACTGGTCGACAGGACCCTCCACCTCGCCGGCGGAAACAACGGCGCATACCCCCCATCTCCGACAAAGATATAATCCAGCCTCTTGCCCCTGGGACACGGCTCCAAGCCATCGACGACGCGATCGACGCCCTTCTCCAGTCTCTTCTGATCCTCCTTCTCCCACCGCCACGTATTGAACCGTCCATCGCACGTCGCGCCATTCTCCGTCAGATTGAACTCCGCCGACGGCACAGGCTTCCCCCGCTTCTTCTCGACGGGATCAATGGCCGCCGCGACCGACGAATCCGGATGCATGGCCTGCCACACGTCCTTGACGGGGCTGTGCGCGCGAATCAACCGATGCGCAAACGACGACGGCACCATATTGAAATCCCCCAGCCCGATAACCAGGTGGCCCCGCTCCGCGGCGCCCCGCATCAGCTTCGCGATCTCCCACGCCTGCGCCGTCCGGTGGCAGATGTACGAGTCGTTGGGCTCCCGCTCGTACGGCGCGTGCAGATGCGTGCAGAAGACTTCTGCGACGTCCGATGCATCTGCTCCAAAGCGGATCCGCGCGCACGCCACCCCTTTGCCGACGTACCAGTCGCCGCGGAAGAAGGCGGTCGGACGCCCGTTCAGTGGGTACGCGTACATGCTGCTTTCTTCGAGCGGCCATTTCGAGAGAATCGCGAGGCCCGCGCCGAAGATCCCCCCGTAGTAGAATTTGCCGTACGGCAGGATGTGTTGCGTTTGGGATCGGATCGAGTCGTAGTCGGCTTGCGTCCAGAGTTCTTGCAGTCCGACGATTTCGGGCGCCGGAGAGGCCAGGGCTAGTTGTCGGCCGATTTCGGAGAGCCGCGCGTGTCGGTGTTTGGCGATGTATTTGAGACCCCAGCAGTTGAGGGTGAGGATGCGGATTTCGGTGGGGGGGTGGAGGAGGAGGAGGAGGGGGGTCGGTGGTGGTGGTTGTGGTGGTCATTTTGGTGGTGGAATGGTAGCTGTAGGAGTAGTGGTAGGGGTTAGTTGGAAGAAGAAGGGGCATGTCGGGGAGGAGGGAGGAGGGAGGAGAAGAAGATGGTGGATTAGTCGAGAGGAGATGCTTGATGGACTGATGGAAAGTCGTGCAGTCGATGAAATCATGGCTCACCGCCTTCCCTCGCGCCAGGGGCGCGGGCTCACCGCCTGCCCGAAAGCGGCGGATCGTCACGAGGGATGGGCAGAGGATGAAAGAAATGCAAACGATCGCGAAGGCGTCTCTCTTCCCTTCTTCCCTCCCTCCCACTCTCGTTTCGTGTGTCTCGCGCGCCCATTTTGCTCCTCATGGATGGCTCCACCCATCGCCCCAAGCGCCGTCGTCTGGAAACCCCGCCGCACCCCCAGAATGGCTTCATCCATTCACCCGTAGAATCGTCGTCGGACGAACTGGCCGCGGGCTCCGACCACGACGAGGCCGAACGCCGTCGCGCCAGCTGGAGCATCCAGAAGGCATACCCCCCACAACGCCCCTACCGACGATCGCGCAGCTTCAGCGGCTCCGAAAGCCCCGACGAGCTGGCCGTCGACGCGAAGGAGTACTGGTCGGCCCGTGCCCGCGACCGCGACCGCGAGCGCCAGCGCAATGCTTCGCCGTCCTCCGCCTCCGCGGAGCAGTCGTCCGAGCGATACGACGACGACGACGATGACGATGATCACGAGATCGAGAACGAGAACGACGACGATGAACCCGAGCCCAATGTCCCCGAGCCCCCCGAGCCTGAGGACGGCGCGGAAGCAGATGTCGAGGAGATCGAAACCGCCGCAGACGACCCCGATGTAGCCGTGGATCAGACGTATTCCGAACGCTCGTCGCCCACGCCCGTGCCGCAGCCGCCGCCACCACCCCCGAAACCGGACAAGGTCAACTATCACCAGAAGTATCTACTACGGGGGCACCTGCGCGGGGTATCTGCTGTGCGGTTTTCCCCGGATTCGACGATGATTGCCAGTGGAGGTGGGTTTATTAGTTTCTTGCTGTTGAGTTTCGCTGACTAGTGCAGGGGCGGACGGAGCGGTAAAGGTTTGGGATACGGTGACGGGCAGATTGATTCATACGTTCGAGGGCCATCTCGCGGGGATTTCGACGATTTCGTGGAGTCCAGACGGGGCGACGATTGCGTCGGGGTCGGATGACAAGACCATTCGGCTGTGGAATGTGTTGACAGTGAGTGACTCGCAGCTGAGGGTGATGTTGGGGGTGAGTGTGTGTTGGCTAACGGCGTACAGGGCAAAGCGCATCCGATCCCCTTCGTCGGCCACCATAATTACGTCTACCAGATCGCGTTTTCGCCCAAAGGCAACATGCTCGTGAGCGGGTCCTACGACGAGGCGGTGTTCCTGTGGGATGTGCGGTCGGCGCGGGTGATGCGGTCGCTGCCCGCGCACTCGGACCCGGTCGGGGGCATCGACGTCGTGTGGGACGGGACGCTGGTGGCGTCGTGCGCGACAGACGGGCTGATTCGGATCTGGGACACCGCGACGGGCCAGTGCCTGCGCACGCTGGTGCACGAGGACAACCCGCCGGTCACGGCGGTCAAGTTCTCGCCGAACGGCAAATACGTGTTGGCGTGGTCGCTGGACGACTGCGTGCGACTGTGGGACTACGTGGAGGGCCGCTGCATCAAGACCTACCAGGGCCATGCCAACCGGAAGTACAGCCTGCAGGGCGGCTTTGGGGTGTACGGGGTGTCGGGGGCGCCGGTGCACGCGTTCGCGGTCAGCGGCAGCGAGGACGGCGCGGTGCTGTGCTGGGACGTGGTGAGCAAGCAGGTGCTGCAGCGCATCGAGGGGCATGCGGGGGTGGTGCTGGGGGTGGATGCGTGCTCGATGGGGGAAAGTCGGCTGCTGGTGAGCTGCGGGCTGGACGGGACGGTGCGGGTGTGGGAGGAGGCGACAGAGGCGACAGAGACGACTGATGATGCAGAGATGGGCGATGCCGAGGCCGCCGATGCTACGCCTCAGACGAATGGCCACCCCGAGACAGCCCCGGAGAATGGCCCCGAAGCCACCGTCCCCGAAGGACCCAACGGACACGCGCATGAACCGGAGGACACGGAGATGGCAGATGCCACGATGGGCGAGGCTCCAGGGCCGGATGGGTGATGTATATTATCTAGGGAAAAGCGAGCGGACGGACGGACGGCGTTACGGATGTATAATAGACCTCTGACGATGGATGATTATATTACTACTACCTACTGAACAGATAGCAGATAGCAGATAGCAGACAGCAGAGCAGACAGCAGACAAACATACCAATCATTAATCAGCTAAAAGTTAGCAATAAGTCTAGGCCACCTACCATTATATCTATATCATTGTCACTGTTATTGCCTTCTCCCCATTTGACTTGACAGTCTCAACCTGTCAACCCCTAAGGAAAATGTCCATGAGTAACACAAACACCACACACAAAGACAATTCCAAACATAAAGACAACCCCAGAAAAATAATCGCACAAAGACCATTACACACACATACAAAAGAAACCACAATAAAAACCACCCTCCCTCTCTTCCCAACCCCACCCCAAGAGACCAAGAGACCAAGAGACCAAGAGACCAAGAGACCAAGAGACCCAGAATCCCATAGCCCAGAAGCCAGAAGCCAGAAGCCAGAAGCCAGAAGCCAGAAGCCAGAAGCCAGAAGCCAGAAGCCAGAAACCAGAAGCCAGTCCAGAAAGAAGATAAACCCAACCCAAACCAACCAGCCCTCGACCGCAAACCGACCAGCACCTCCCCTCCCCTCCCCTCACCTCTCCACCCAATGCCCATCCATGATCCAGCCGAATCCCCCCCACCCACGGTTCACTCAAGAGTAAAGAGCCCCCACCCAATCCGAATACTTTGCGGCGTTTCCCACCCACGGATCGCCCGCCAATAGTTGGTCCGGCGCGGGCCCCTGACCTGACCTGACCTGACCTGAGTGAGTTTGGGAGCGGAGCCTTGTTTTTGTTACTTTTACATTTTACTCTTTCCCCTCTATATAAGGTTTTGGCATGTAATTAATTCTTCTGCTTCTTCTTCTTTGGATTAATTGGATTAATTGGAATGTGTTTCATATTTCATTGAAATTTGTTGAACTCTATCTACTTGGTATTTATTTACTTGATGTGAAAGGTTTTTTTTTAAGTGATTGAGTGATGGTGGGGAAAAAAATAAAAAATAAAAAAATAAAAAGCAATTGGTATCGACGTTCTCCTTCTACCATGACCTACTACTACTGTTCCAGATAGATAGATGGATGTTCTATCGATGGTGTAGTGTGGTGTAGCGTAGAAGGGGGAAAAAAAAAGAAAAAAAAAAAAACAAGAAAGAGAGAGCAAAAAAGGTATCAACAATAAGGTAACAATCTCCAAACATCACCAAGCCACCCACCAACCTCACATCAATACAAAAGCTTCCCCAAGAAAGTTAACCAAGAAGGTCAGTCAGTCAGTCAGTCAATCAGTCATCGACCAACCAACCAACCAATCAAGAAATTTTGAGTTATAAAAAAAAAATAATCAAGCAACATAAACCTTCCCACTATCACTCAAACTCTCACCATCGAGCAAATACCCATCAGCACACATGAAATAAGCGTACCTCCCGACGCCACTCTCGGCATCCAACCAGGGGATAACCTCATCCAGAAACTTCGCGCCGGCAGAGGTATCCCCACCGGCGGACATATCACTGGTGAGGGCGAACTCAGTGATCCACGTCTCCTCGAGGTCGTAATCGGAGGCGACCTGGATAGCCTCTGTGACAAACTCCTTGAACTCAGACGCCGAGTCGCCATACCAGTGGACGGCCAGGACGGAGAGATCGCAGCTGGAGCATTCGGACAGGAAGGACTTCATCCAGCTGAGGCCTTCGCCGGAGGTGGTCGAGGAGGTGACGGCCGGGGTGACGAGCTTGGCTTTGCCGGAGTAGGGCGTGATGTAGTTCTTGTAGGCGGAGGCGGCGGTGGAGGGAGACATGTCCGCCTGCGAGGAGGCGTCGGGCTCGTTGAAGCCCAGGATGTAGTTGCTTCCGCTGGACAGAGCGGCTTCGATGGCCGTGAACCATGTGCCGAACATCTTGCTGCCCCAGAGCATCGGGATGTATTCGATGCCCGACGGGAGGGTCCCGTCGTCGTACATGTTCCAGTCGTAGGCCCAGCTGATGGTGCCGTTGCCGGAGGAGCCCGAGGAGAGGGTCTTCACGCTGGTGGCTGTGTTGTACGCCGCGCCGCGTTTGCCACCACTGCTGCTGCTGCTGCTGCTGCTGGTGCGCTTGGAGGGGATGCGCGAGGAGCGGTGGTTGTGGGTGTGGGGGTTGGCGTTGTGAGGGATGGCGAGGACCGCGCTGGCGAGGGCGCTCGCCGTGAGGAGGGACTTGATCGAGACCATTTTGATGGGTGAGGAAGGTTTGGGGTCGGTTTGTCTGGTGGAGTGGTGGGTTGGTGGTAGTATATATGAGAGAAGTCCTGTTCTCTCGGTTCCCTCGACCAATGAATGAGTGGATATGCAAGACTGGAAATAGTCTGGCAAATATGTATGTATGTATGTATGTATGTATGTATGGGATTCGAAGGAATGACTAGACCGTGCACGGCACAGGTAGGGGGGGTATGGTCAAAGGAGGGAGATGGAGAGGGAGAGGGAAAGGGAAAAGGGTGAACGAGGTAGAAAAGGTGAGGCAAGAAGGAGGAAAGAGAAGAGGAAAGGATCAGAGGGCGGTTATATAGTCGAGGGCGTCGGGCCTCGTCCGGGAGAAAGACCCAAAGCAATCAGCAAACAGACCAGCATTGGCAGGCCCGTCTTAGGGCTGGGTCCGGCGGTTCCATCTCTGCAAAGCTGCAAAGGTGCAAGTTGGTAGGCGCCCATTCCGGTCCACCCAATCAGCCCTGTCAGGTTCTTGGGAAGGGCGGTTTTTTTTTTTTTTTCTTTTATTTTTTAGGGGCTATTTCGGACCTCTGCTTTTCTGATGGTTAATGCCAATACGGATGCAGAACTAGTGTCGGAACATTGCTTTCTTGTTCCATTGTTCGTTTGATTGAACTGATGGATTGGATGCATGGATGCATGGACTGGACCGTCCGGGTGCCTGAACCCCCCCCCCCCCCCTGCGTCCACACCGCGCGGGATCCATGGAACGTCATCGGACGGGATCCATGTGTCGTGCAGGGACAACACCGACAACTTGCCCATTAATTAGCCGTGTGTGTGTGTGTGTGCCTGGCGGTTGGCATTGCTAACTGCTGACGAGCGTCTGGGGGAATCCAAACCAATCCTGCAGTGGTTGTTCCTGCAGTGGTACGGAAGCTTACAGCTGGTTGACCGTTCGGTCGGTCCAGTCGATCCATCATCATCCCCCATCCATCATCCTTTTCCCAATCTGCCCAACCATAATAACCCCTCCTCCCCCTCTCCTTTTCCATCTGTATATTTTCTCTTTTTTTTTTAAGAAAAAAAAAACCACAGAAAACGCCTTCATTGACACCTCCGGCGCCCTCTGCAGCCACCACCAGGCCTGGCAGCGGCCAGACCACCGCCAGTTAGGGCCGACTAGTTTAGCGGCCTGCTTAGCGCTCAGACTCTTTTCCCCTCCCCACTCCAGTCCAGTCCAGACTCGGTAGTGGTTTCTGCGATCGCGGACGGGTCGAGTCCATCGGACAGTCACAGACAGTTAGTTAGGTACTTATCATTCCTCTCTCTGCCCACCCAAATCGATCTCTCGATCTCTCGTACTCCGTAGAATATCTACCTACATTACCCCCCTTACGCGACCAAAAGCGATAATGGCCCCCTTGGTTACATCGAGTAAGTACTAAGTAGGTACCGACTTAGTTACACAGTTGACAATAATACATACCTACACCACTTGAGGATCAGCTTGGTGAATCCCCCTGAGATGGGGGCCAGGAACCAACTCAAACCAAACCAAACCAAAACAGTTCTGCATCGCCCGGATGGTGGTGGTGGTGGTTGATTATTTTTATCCCGTCTGACGTTTGGGGGTTGCGTGGCGGTTTACCGGTCAACCCACGTCGGTAATAGGTATTGTAGGTTGTCCTTATTATTTATCACTGTGTAAGTATCTCCAGGCCAGGCATCCAAGGCGACTGCGGACTGGATTCGTTATGGCTGTTACGGTTACGGTTACTGTTACTGTTACTAGTATACTGCTGGACAACCAAAATCTACCGAAATCCCGGTCGCCATGTTCTAGGGACTTACTCTGTCGGGCGGGGTGGGATGGATAGACCGATGGAGACAAGACTCCGTGAGTAACTAACTAACTACCATGCTGGCTGTGTAGATAGGTAGGTAACTACGGAGTAGATACTTTGTAGTGTGTATTACGAGGCTGCGGCGCCATCATTAGCTGGATGCTGAGACACTCCACGACCGGGTGACGTATCACGGGCTGGCTGGATCCCGTCCGGGTGGGCGCGGAGGCTTCGTTGGCCATGCCATGTGGGATGTGGAGGTGATGTCTGACTTGTTTGCTGAGGAGATGGATACATACTTACTACGTACTGCTGTGTAGATTGTAGAATGTAAGTAGACTGTAGACTGGAGACTGTACTGTATCAAATCATCCCAGAATGGTGGACTGACGGGGATGCTCCGTATCAATAATCAGAGGAAAGCGATTGATGGGGTGGATGGGAATCGCAGACCAAGAATGGGGCTACATGCAGTCCTCAGGGATCTCACAGGAGACAGAGGTTGTAAACTGTATGGAGGGGATCGATCAATACACCGGGATCCGCGACCAGAACCATAGAGTCCGATTGCAGCTAGCTGCCATACATGCGCTGGCACTGGCACTGACTGACTGACACCCGAAGACATCCATACACTAGTTTGTTATCCAGGACAGCCCGACTCCCTGCAGAACAGTCGTACTACCGTGTACACTGATGGTACATCGTACACTGTACACCATCAGCTGACTCCATCCACCCTCCGAACAACCCGACAGACTGCAGACAAACAGACAATGTAACCCAATAACTAATCTCATCATTTCCATCATCCGGTATCCGGCTCAGGAACAGGACCAGGAACCAAACCAAACCCAAACCCAAACCCCGCTCTCTCCTCACCACCACAACACTTGACCCTCACCAATCAACTTTCCAATTCTCAAGGCATCCATCCATCTATCTATCTATCCTTCCTTTCTCATCCACAGTCCACTAGAATCCAAACAGAATCTAAGTAGATACCCAGTGGTTAGTTTAGTCCCAACCTAACCCCCCTCCTCCCATCCACCACTCATATCACCTTCAACCCTCCCCCCACCGACACTCTCAAACAACAAACATCCCCTCCCCCCCCACGAACCCCTCCGTCACCGCCGATCCACTCCTGACTTTGCCTCCCCCCCCCTGGCGTTTCAGATTGCGTTCCCGCCGCCAATGACACCACCCCATTCGTGGTCCATTTTCTTTTTTTTCACCGATGTTGTTGGGCTATCTAGACTGTCGGCTTCGGCGTCGGGGTCGTTGGGTTTTGATGCCAGGCACAGGCGTGTACACACGTAGGTATGTGTAGGTAGGTAGGTAGGTAGGTACATACGTAGTGTACCTTACAGGCTTGTAAGCGCCTCGCCTCGCCTCCACCGCTGCCAGCGCTGGCTGTCCGGTCCGCGAGTCGGGCCTCGGGAGTTTTTTACCTGCGCGTTGCTGGATGAAGTCCACAGGTACTTAGTCAACAGTCCACTGCCTGCCTGCCTGCCTGCCTGCATGCCTGATTGATCCTTCTACACGAGAGCTTACGAAGAACTAACTACAAGCAGGTAGTTAGTTACTACTTACTTACTCAGAGAAAACCCCTTCCCCCCCCCCCCCCCCTCTCTTCTCTCTCCACCTTCCCTGTTATATTCTCTCAAACCCCTCCCAACCTGGTACCTGCTGTTGAAGATAATTACAGGTGTGACTGCCCTGTTACAATTGCCTCCGGGTTGTTGATAGGATGAGAGATATTTACCCACCTCTACTAGATAGAGGGAACCGGGCGGCGGCGGCGGCTGCTGCTGCTGCTGCTGCTGCTACTTCTGGTGGTGTATAGTACTTATACCCGGTGGACCGCTTCCAGGCTGCACTGCATGTACGGAGATGTATTTTGCTTTTTTTTTTTTCTTTTTTTTTTTTTTTTCGGGTTCCAGACACAGATACAGACACAGAGTACCCATATGTACATAAATACAAGAGGAGTTCCTGCCTATTGTTGCGCATACATCTATACCACCGTCCCGTCCACACCGCCGATGCAACGCAACGTGGATAGGATCGAATATGGATACTTATGTATGAGTAGATGCAGATGTAAATGTGGATGCGGGCTGGGCTGAGCTGGAATCTCTCCCCTTCCCCGTCGTTGATAGTTACTTTCCGTGACAAACTAGATAGATAGATATATAGGTAGCGGGGATGTTGGGGTTTGATCCGGGGAATGCGGATGTGAGGGGGTGTATAGTATGTATATATGTAACCAAGTACTCCGTAGTATTATTTGCAGTAATGTACATTATGATGATAATGATGCATGCTACATAGCAGCCTCCGCCTCCCCATCCCAATCCTCCACCCCCTCAAACCAGCGACATCCCAAAGTCTCCCTCGCCGACCACCTCCCCCTCGGATCCAACGCCATCAAACCCCTCACCAACTCCCGAAACTTCTCCCCCTCCGCCCCCCGCCATCGCCCTTCCCCCAATCCAGCCCCCCCGCATCAATGCTCCTCTCCACCCACAGCCGCCTCAGAAACGCACACGTCCCCTGCCGCTCCTCCCCGACGTAGCGGATCAGCCCCGCCATCCCCTTCTCGTCCCCGAAGTACCCGATCTGGCGTTGCAGGCGCACGACCGCGTGCGTGGCCCACGGGTCGTCGCCGTCGTGCAGTGGGATGGTGTCCGCCGCGAAGATGGATGCGTCTTGGGAGATGTGTGCCCATATGCACTTTTTTTTTTTTTTTTCATCAGTATATGGTAGGTTTGTTGGTAGAGAGGAGGGAAGGGGGAGGGGGGAAGGGGGAAGGGAAGGCCGTACAAGTGTCCCGAAGGAATACATATCCGCCGGTTTATTGATCTCTGCGCCCAGAATGGCTTCCGGACTGCGCCAACTGGGGTGGCCGAGGAATTTGCCTCGGAAGGAGCGACGGCCTGGGGGTAGGTAGAGAGCTGATTCTAGGTTGGCGAGTTGGATGCTTTGGATGGTTGGGGCTGAGTCGGGGGGGCAGTCGAAGTGGATTTTGTCCGGCCGGATGTCTGTATTGGTTAGCTTGCTGCTGTCTGGGTCTGGGACGGTGGATTTATATCATCATCGTCATCATCACGACGATGACGAAACGACCAACGATCAAAACAATAAAATGATATAATCAACAAATGATAGAAGGAAATAAACCACCCACCCATATGAACCACATCCCTCCCATGCAACTCCGCAATGCCCCTCAACACGGCCTTCAAAATCCTCTTCGTCGCGCGCCCCCGCGCCCTCTTCCCCTCGGGCAACTGCTTCTTCTTCACCAAACTGAGAAAATCATCCGTGGCAGGCCTGTACACCAAGATGCGCCGCCCGGCGTCGTCGATGATACTGTCGCACGGGAGCCGCAGATGCGGACATTCCGTAGAAGCCAATTGCGGCAGGATGTTCTCGCGAAACTGATCGAATTCCCTCTCGGAGATGTCTTTGAGGATGAATTGCTCGAGGCCGGATCTGGAGGGGGGTGGTTAGTATTAGTGAATTAATATATTTGTGTATATGGGGGAGAGGGGAAGAGGTTTGAGGGAGGTCAGACGTTGCGCATTGCACGCGTTCGCGGTTATACGGTCTTCCGTGCGCGGGCTTTCCGGGCAGGTAGCGCGCGCCTGAGAGGCCGGTGTATTCGACTAGGTTGGAGAGGGGGAGGGCTGTTCGGAGCATCTCTGCGTATGCTTTTTGGGTTTGGGTTGGATGGGCCAGCCGGATGGAAATGGTGTCATAGGATGGGGCGTGGAGTGCGCGGGAGAGGATGCATGGATGTGGATGTGGATGTGGACGTGTTTGTCTGCGCTATGGATTGGATGTATGCATGGAATGAGCGGCGAGTTGTCAATGGACAATCTGGATATTAATTACAAGGGACGATGGATCTAAGTAGATCGATACTGTTGAAAATGGCAAATTGTGGGGATCAGAGCTCTTGCTGATTAGTCAGTGCCATCTACAGTCACGTGTATGTTATTTAATTTGTAAGGCTGGGGCGGTATGTCATGTGACCTTTACTTTGTGCCCGTATGTCCGGCAGAATCTCACCGCAGAGTGAAGCTCGAAGGATTGGTGGAGAATCAATTCTATCATTCATGGATGACTTTGTGGAAGTTGAGGTCATGTATTAGTTTTACGCAAATACACCCTAGATGCGGGTCCTGATTGTCGGAACCAAGCAGCATTGCCTTTATGACTTACGTGCATAACCTGGCCAGCCAGTTCAGGCAGAACCATCCGATATTCCGTCCCAAATATACTCCCTCATCAACTACAAGCACTAGCTCGACAATTAAATTCCCACCATAGCAGTCAGCTATTACAATCGACAAGCCTCTCCGAAGTACAGAATAAAGGTCGTCGAGACAGATGGTCAACTCTCAGGGGCGGAGAGGATACTTCAGTGGCGCCGAAATGAAAGAAACGCCATAGTCACAGTGGCTGGCAGGCTATGCACAATAATCCCAAATGACCGACACGCCATGGCAAGGACGGAGCAGCAGCAGCAGTATCAGATGTAGCAGGAGCACTCCGTATCAAACCATCCGATCACTCCTTTCTCCTCCCATCCAGCACGCGCATCACATCCTCCGCGCTGTCCTTGTCGCCCTTCTTCTTCTTCGGCCCCGTTTCCTCTTCTTCGCGCCCCGACCCTCCGACTCCAGCACCACGTCCTCGTCCTCGTCGTCGTCGTCGTTGCGGCTGCCCCCGAAGCCCATGTCCATGTCCATCGCGTCCAGGGCTTCCCGCCGCCGCGCCTCCTCCAGGAATCTCTTCTGACGAAGGGCCGTCTCCGAACCGCCCTCCTCGGCGTCACCCGCGCCCTCCTCGGATTGCCGCAACGTCGCGGCCCGTTTCAGGGCCGCCAGCAGCGTCGGGTCCCTGGCCAGGGGGTTAGACCGGTCCTCAGACACCTCCTCCGCTGTAGAAGATGTAGCGAAGTAATTTCGGGGTTTGCTGGTTGTCTCAGCCGGCTTCGTATCGCTGACGCTGACGGGGGCGGTTTCAGCCCGTTTCTCCTTCTCGCCCACGCCCACTTGTTGGCCATCCTCATCCTCGCTCTGGCTCTCATCCTCCGAATCGTCCTCCTCCCCCAAATCGCCCAGCGGGTTATAGTCATCCCCCACGCCTGCAAAGATATCATCATCCTCTTCCTCCGGAGGGGCCATCTTGGACGCGATCTCCGCCGGCACCTCCATGCCCAGCGGCTTCGCATCCTTGTCCGGCACCAACAACCCAACAGGAACCCCATTCGCCTCCCCCGGCTTATCCAACCATCTCACCTTCCGCTTCGTCTTGCCCTCCGCGTCCGTGATCTGTAGAATCTCCCTCCGACGCCCCGTCTCGTCCTGCTCCACCCACCGCTTCTTCTCCGCCTTCGACTCCCCCCCAATCCGCTTAAACTTCGTCCCCAGCGCCGGCTCCGGTTTCACTTCAGCAGCAGCAGCAGCAGCAGCAGCGCGACTCTCCCTCAACTCGCGTAGAATCTGATCCCTCGTCTTCCTCTGCGGCGGCGGCGGCGGCGCCATAACCCCCTTCTTCTTCTCCTTCTCCTTCACCTTCACCCTAGGAGCCGACACCTCCTCCCCCAACACTTTATCCAGCTCATCCTCCACATCGCCCACCACCTCTCCTTCCCCTCCTCTCCCTCTTTCCCCTTTCCCCCCTCCCCAACAGCAGAATCATTAACATCCTCCCCCCCCCTCACCCTCTTCAAAAGCGCCCAATCCAACCCCTTCACCATATGCGTACTCCCCAAATCGCCCCCCACGCCCATCTCCCCCCGTAGCTTCTCAAACGTCCCCTGATCAATCTGTCCCAGCTTGACCATCTCCTCCAGCGCCTGGACGCGCTTCTCCAGCTCCGTCATCCCGGCCTCGCCGTCTTCGTCCGCATGTGAGCGCAGCAGCGCCGATCGGTCTTGGTAGCCCGCGGCCAGCTTGCTGCCTTTGGGGGCCGCGGACGATTTGAATCGTTTCGGGGGGGGTTGGGTGGAGAGTCGGTGTTCGGCGAGTTGGTGCGCGAAGGAGGGGGTTGTTAGGGTGCGACTAGATACATTGGAGATGAGTTATTTGGGGGGGTGTTTTTGGGGGGGAAAGAGAGGGCATTGGGCATTGCTCACGGTGTCATGGGGATGCTGGATCGTTGGCGCGATCCTAATGCGCTGGCGGACGGGGTGGCTCCCCCCATGGCTCTGCGGGAGGGTTGGTCCGGGGAGGTGCCATCGCTGGGGCTGCGGTTGGGGGGGCGCCTGGAGTCGGGTTTGTCGAGCACGAGGCGGCGGAATTGGTCGTTGTTCATGGTTGCGGGTTGCGACGCGATGGATGGAACGGAGGAGTGTTTGAGTGGTGGGGTGATTGTTATTGTTGTTGTCGTCTTGTAAGCTCGCGAGGGAAGATCGCTGAGCGATGGATTGCGAGAGTGAGCGATTAGTGCTGAGCCATGGATGGAAGTGAGATGAGATTGTTGGAGAAGAGAAAGTTGTTGTTGCGGAGTTCCACCAGAATTCCTCCCGACGTCAGGAATCTTGGCGTCGGCTCCGAGTAACTAACTTAACATATAACTAGTAGTCTTCCAGCGGGATATCTTCCTTCTATTGCTATCATTCTAACAAAAACTATAAAATCTTCTCAGAAAAAGGCAATACTAAACCAAATCCCTAAACCTGGATAAATCTACATCTACTTCCCAAGCAAACCCCTAAATGCCCCGTTCTCCCTCTCCACCAGCTCCCGCGGCGCACCCACCTCCACCACCCTCCCCTGATCCAACACAACAACCTTATCCGAGTCCAGTATCGTATTCAGCCGATGCGCCACCGTGAGAACCGTATACCCCTGGAACTCCACGCGGAGGAGCTGCTGGATCAACGCATCCGTCTCCTTGTCGATGTTACTCGTCGCTTCATCGAGGATCACGAGCTTGCCGCGCGTGAACCGCATTAGCATGGCGCGCGCCAGCGAGAACATCTGCTGCTCGCCGGTTGAAAGCGGGTAGTCTTTCAGGGCGGCATCAAGGCAGGTTTCGGGCTGGATGGCGATTTCTACGGAGGAGGGGTCGGGGATTTGGGTTTGTGCAGTGGAGTCTCGCGACGTGAAGACATGCCATAGCCTGACTTTTTCCAGGGTGGCGATGATCTCCTCGTCCGGGATGGTGCCGGTCGGGTCGAGGTTCTCGCGGAGGGTGTCGGATTTCATGAGAAGCGGGTCTTGGGGGATGGTGATGATGCGCGATCGGATTGTCTCGCGGGGGAGCGTTTGGAGGTCCAGATCGTCGATGGCGATGGTTCCGGATGATAGCTCGATGAGACGGAGGAGGCTCAGAAGGAGAGAAGATTTGCCACTGGTGAGGTTAGGAGAAGTTGTTATTCTAGGAGATGGGCTACAAACCTTCCTGTTCGACCGCAAATGCCGATCTTTTCACCGGCCGAAATCTGCAGGGATATGCGGTTGAGAGCGGTCGATTCCACACTGCAAGATGTTAGAAGAGTGACGACTAAACGGTCTTCTAACTCACTTATAGCCTGCTATTGTCTCTTCAAACCGAACGGTGCCCTCTTCAGGCCATGTCGCGGGTGGCTGGTGGTCCTCCCCGGGCTTGCTTTCCGGGTCCACCTCTTTTTCAAAGCTCTTGATGCGGGAAATAACCCCCAGCGCCGATTCCAGGTGTGTCCATGTTTCCAATACAACCAGCAAGGTGATGCTTGCACTGAGGAGCACGTTCATGGCAATCCCCATCTCACCACCGCTGAGGGAATCCCTGAAAAGAACCGTAACGACAACAAAAGAAAGCGCCAGCCCGGCGATGGTGAGGTCCATGGCAAAGTGCAGCCACGTTTGCAGATACATGATGTTGTAGTCCGGCTTTTGGGAAGTGTCGAGACACCTACTGTTGTCCGCCGCAAAGGCATCCTCCCAGCCAAATGCGCGGATCGTGGTTAGTCCCTGTACAGTGTCCAGGAAGCTGTTGCTGACAAGGGACGCGGACTCCATTTCCAGCCAGCGGAGCTGTCGAGTCGTGTGGAGATAGAATAACTGGACGCCGTACAGGGCAAGCATCAAGAAGGGGAAAGTCAGGCCGATATACCTCTGTGCTGCGAACAGAAGCAGCAGCTGCCCGATAAGCCGGAACAGATTGAGGCCCGTTCCCGCAACAGACCCAGGAAGCATTCGATCGATCTGCTTGAGATCTTGACTGAACCGTGTCAGGGTTGTGCCGATATCCGCTGCCGTGAAAAATGAGAGTGGTGCGTCCACCACTGTCCGCAGTAGCCGCTGATGGAGCTCTTTGCTGGCTTTGGGAGCGAGAATCACCAGCAAAAGGAAGACCCAACCGATGTTGGTTATTAAGGTTGCTGCAGCAAGTAGGATATAGACTGCGATATAAGACCACTGCTCTCCGCTTCCGCCCGCATCTGTCCACCATTTGAGCCAGTATTGAGTCACCATGCTGAATACAGACATGAGGGCCATCCCAGACACCATCAGCGAGACATTAAAGTATCCCATGGTACTGAAATAGTATGAATAGAGTGAACGGTCTCCTTTCTGCCGAACCCGATCCATTGACCTTTCTGGCTCGGCCGGGGCAGAAGTCTTAACCTCAGCCCCCTCCGCGTCACCACCCTCGTGGAGTCTTTTGTCACCTTCATGGAGAATAACTTTGCTGATATATCCGCTTTGGGTCCGGAGTTGGTCCCATGTCCCTTGCTCAGAGACGTGTCCGTCATTCAAAACCACAATATAATCGGCCAATGGAAAATGCTGGGCTGGAGGGGTGTAAGCTTCGTGATCAACTTTCAGACATCAGATGACTCACTCGTATGGGTGATCAAAAAGACCGTCACTCCGGTATTGCGAAGAAGCCCATTCGTTCCTAGTAGTCGTTCAACGATGTGTGCCTCCGTCTGCGCGTCAAGGGCACTCAAGACATCGTCCAGAACCAAGATTTTCAGCTTAGAATACACGGCACGAGCCAAAGCCTGATCAAGTTAGTCACCAATCTAGAAACCCCAATTGAAGACTTACAACTCGTTGGCGCTGGCCCCCAGAAAGAACGACACCGCCGCTGCCTATCACGGTCTGATCACCTTTTGACATTCGCTGAATATCATCAGTCAAATCACAGGCATAAACGACCTTCTGATACCACTGCTCATCAATGTCTTTTGATCTAGAGGGGCCGCAAATGAGTTGTTGGACTGTGCCGTTCGTGAGCCATGCCGACTGTGCACAGTAGCCAATAGTGTGGGAAGAGGTTCGGACAACTCCACAGTCTGGAGAAATTTCGCCCAAAATAGCCCTGGCGAGGGTGGTCTTGCCCGTGCCCACAGCCCCCGCACAGAATGCAAGCGAGCCCTCGGGAATGGATATATCAATACTCTTGAGAACCGGCCCGGCATCAGGTGCGGGCCGGATGGTTGCACCCTGTATCTCTATCGCAAAAGGTGCGTCTTGACCAGGCAGGTCATCAGGGTCCCCATTCAGCTTCACGGACCAAGGGCCTTGGCTGTCGGTTAGGACCCGTTTGTCTTCAAACGATGGGCTAAGCAGATACTTTTGGATCCTATCAAAGCCGGTCATCGCTGAGAGCAACGTAGGGAGCGCGACCATCATGGTAATCATTGGCTGAGTGACCAAAGTGATGATAGCGACCGCGGTGAATGCTGTGTTAGTATCGAGTCCGTCTTGACCACGGAGTCTGGCTTGGACTGCATATATCGCAAGGGTTATAACGGGCGAAAAGTTCTTAACGATGCCGGCTATATTCGGTCAGATTGGATACCACATGTTTCTCCCTAGGGGAACATACAGACGAAAGTGATCACGACAATTGTAAAGTTAAAAGAGGTGTTGCATTTGAGCTCATCCTCACGCGCAGACTTGATCTTCGAAGCCATGTGCTCCGACATTCCCATCATCTTGATCGTTTTCATGTGTTCGAGGCTTGCTGTGATCAGGGAAATCCGTTTCTCTGTCGCGCCACTCCACTCTTGCTGTTTCGGGCCAAGATTGGCCGCAACATGCTTGCTGCCTTGAGAAGTCGCTGTTTCGGTTAGCGAGGCTCAGTACGACTTGTTGAGAAGCTTACCAATAACAATCGCTATTGGGACCAGACAAACCCACTCCAATTTTGCAGCCAAGAGACACATGCCCACGGCCAACTGGAAAGCGGACAGCACAACCCGGTGAAAATGTTCGACTGCGTTTTTGATATCCGCGATATCATTACTCAGGAGAGTCACCGGTGAGCCCTGAGGCTTGTCGCCGACAGTCAGTGCTTTCTCATGGATGATTCCTACCAGAGCTCCTTTCACCGCCAACGACGCTTTGATCATGGCTATGTCCGCAAAGCCATTGCCAATCTGTATTATCCTTAGTAAAGGCTCAATGGGGTAAGAGGTAGCGAAGGTTTCGTACAGCGAAGCCGACGAAGACGACGACCACAGAGACAAGTAGCTTCAAGGCCTCGGAACGCTGCTCCTCACTCGACAGGGGCGTTGTTACGAAGGCAATCATACGGCTGACAAACGAAGGCTGGGCATATTGGAAGACGATCACTAGCAACAGGATTGGAAACACTCTGGCATTCTGCCAGAAGGTGCATTTGATAGCAGCATATAGCAGGCTGTGTTTGCCCTCCGGTTGTGCTGAAGTCATCAGCAAACAAGTGGCACAATAATCGGATCAGCACTCACATCGTTTGCCCCAGTGTCTCAGCATCTGGCTACGCAGCAGCTGAGATGACAATTCACTGTGCATGTCAAAGAGATCATCCAGTATGAGTAGCTGCTTGTCGCCCTTCCGAAGCAACGGGAGAATCCAGACCAGGAATGTCTTGCTGAAGATGCCAGCGGTCTCCTCGGTGGAGGCGTTTTGAAAAGGCTCACGCAGAATAGCTCTTTTGTTCTGGGACTCCAGCACGAGAAGCACGGAGGTCACTACCAGCACGGCAATTCTCCATGGGGACGGGGAGCGATCGCCGGTAACAATCCGAAGCCAAGCAATTCCGACAGCATCCAGTACCAGAGACGCGAAGAGGTATATGTTGAGAATAGCGGATGGGCTGATCGAGCGACCATGCTCGATGAATGAGAGGGCTGGAATGAGAAGCGAGGCCGCAAAAGCCGCAGCAGCCGAGGCGATGAACAGCGGAGTGGCATGGGAGGTTATGAGAGAGATGAGGGCGGCGAGATGGAGACCGGCAAGTAGAACAGCAAGCAGCTAGATGTGTGTGAGAAGCAGCGGGGAGTGATGAAGGATAGGAGCTTGAGGGCGCAGACTGACCTCCTTCTGCAGCCCCTTATAATTGGGGACTACTTTGATGCTTGCGCGGCGCAGGTGTATGTATCTTCCCAGACCACACAGGACAAAAAGACCGGAGAGAGCGATAACAACGGGCGGATACCCGGCAGGGAGGGAATCCCACGCCATGACTGACATGGTCCGTTTGGATGAGGTCTGCGACCAGGAGCCGCATACTCATTTGCGCGGCCGGCACATCTTATATGACGGCGTCTGGTGTTCTTGAGTCACCCTAGCCTATTGCGCCCAGTGGGGGCAGGGAAACGGCCATGATCGGACGCCCGTCGGACTGATAAGGTGGGTGAGCCCTGCGAGGCCATCAGGAGTGAGTCGAAGCCCCTGTCCGAGGTAAGCTTGCTAAAATCTGACTCGTATGGCGTCACTAGGTCGCGGGAGATACGAGGCCGGAGTTGAAAATCAGCATGCAGCTATCATGACTTGGGGGTTTTTACTCGAGCACAAATGATCGACGGGATGGTTGGGGTGGTGAAGGTCGAGACCCGGAAAAGAAGCGCAGAAAGAAGCCGGCGGGGGATCCACATTCCGGCTGTCAAGCACCAGGCACCCCAGGCACCCACCCCGATGGGATTGATCCACTTGATGCATTCTATCATTTCTTCTAACAACATGAACATTCAAACCGAATCCCTGCACCCATCCACGGAGTGCGTCGGCCTACTAACAAACATGACAATACAACAGGGTATCAATCCTCCCCTTAAAAGCACCACCATGATCCATACAACAACAGCTACCTCCCATCGAAGCCAGATGGGACACCTCCCTCAGCAAAGCCCCTCTACGCAGCCAATTCCTTCTCACAAACCTCCCGAATCTCCCCCCATAGCTTAAGCTGAAACCTCTTTCCCTCCGGACTCGTAAGCAATTCCGCCGGCCTATATACCAACTAACATTAGCTTCAAACATCCACTCCAAGAAAAAAAGAAAAGAAGAAGAAGAAGAAGCACTTACTCCGGAAACCCATCATTAACCCAAAACCTCCCATGGCCCTCCCCTCCCAACAGCGTAGCACTAACCAACGAGCGTCCGCCCTGCTCCGCCGTCCGTCCACAATACCAATGTATAGCCTTGGTGATCGCAACAATATGCCACGGAAACTCCCTCCCCAGATCCGTGACACAGAACCCCGGACAGACGACATTCACAAACACCGGGGTCTTTCCATCCGGGCCGCTTCGGACATAATCATCGATCAGGCCCTTCATGACATACATATTCAGCAGCTTGATGACGCAGTAGTTCTTCTCGACGTTGAAGAACTCCGCCGAGTTGATTACTCGCAATAGATTGCCCGAGTCCAGCGGGGGCATTTGCTCCGGTTTGACGTACTTGTGGCCCACGCTGCCGGTGAAGGTGAGTTGGGCGGGTTCGCCTTTTTCGGCGATTCGACGCTTGAGGAGTGGCATCAGGGCGATGGCGAGCATCGCGGTCGAGATGATGTTCACCTGCAGGGCGGATTCCCAGCCTGTGGTTTTGTTGACGGCGTATCGGGGGGCGGCGATTCCGGCGTTCAGGACCGCTACGTCGAGGGTGGAGGAGCCGAGGGTGCTGGAGAGGGTTTGCGGGAAGGCGCGCACGGAGGCGAAGCTGTTCTGGTCGAGCTGGAGAATGGTGATGCGTGCTTCCGGGTAGTTGGTGGCTTGCACGATGCGGTTCTTGGCTTCCCGGCCTTTCGCGGGCGTGCGGACGGCCAGAATGAGCTGCGCGCAGCCGAGGTGTGCGAATTTCAGCGCCGCTTCGAAGCCCAGGCCTGTGTTGGCGCCGGTGACGAGGACGGTCTTGTGGGTGAAGGGGAACTGGGGGTCTTTGGGCGGGTTCAGGTAGGCCCAGCGTTGGTAGCGCATTTGGGATAGGTTGGGGGGTGGGCTAGGGCCCAGGAGGGTGTCGAGTGGGGGGAGATTTGTAGTCATTGTAGCGGTGGTGATGAAGAAGAAGAAGGATGAGGGTGGAAGTGGTGTTGTTGATGGAGGTACATGGCTGTAGTGGAGGGTTGTATATATAGCTGGTTGAAGCGTGGCATGGTTGTTGTATAGTAGTAATATTAGTCAAGTCGATCGGCTCCCGTCCCGAGTCGAGATTCTTTGACGGACGCCAGCGCGTCCGAATCCGATGGCCGGGTAGCGCCTCGGATCTCCGGATACAGGGGCCCGATTGGCCCGGGGAGCACCCTGGAGGGACGAACGCATAGTAGACATTGCTATCTAGGCAGGGCAAATGTTGAAAATAGAAGAAGTATGTTACTGAGGAGCCTAACCGGACGGTCGGAGAGTGGAATGGACCATGGCGAGTTGGACAGAGTACAGAGTACAGAAATGCCCTAATCCCTTTTCCGCCTTAAACTCACTCTTCCACCTCGTTGACGACATGGACATATACAGTAATCAAGCACCTAAAGACCGCCAAGTTAGTAAGTACCAAACCCCTCAGTGGTAACAGCGACCCATGCCCACCATCCCCATCGAAATCATCTCCGACGTCATCTGTCCTTGGGTATATACCCCCATCTCCAACCTCCTCTACCCAAAACAGTGCTACGTCGGCTACCGCACCCTCCAACGCGCCATCGCCCTCTACCAAAGGGCTCATCCGACACCTTCACCATCACCTGGACGCCCTACTTCGTGGACCGAATCCCACCTCCAGAGACCCTCTCTATTCATGGTATGTTCATCCCCATCCACCATAAACCACACATCTCCTTCCCCTACCCCATCATATCCCACAAGTTGTTTGGGGCGTTTGTCGCTGTTAGGGAGGGGAAAGGGGAGGGGGAGGTTTGTGGGTAGTCAGTTATAGGGGGATTGTAGATCTGGGAGAGGATCAGGGTGGGATTATTGGTTTTGTTGGGGATTAGATAGAGGAAATGCGTTTGAAGGCAGTAGGCAGCAGCCTTTGTGGATGTAGAGATAGGCAGTAATATGATGCCATTGCTATTAACAATTACACCATCGATGAAGACCACCACTTCATCCACAAGATAACCACTCATCCATTTTATTATACTACTCCTAACGACACGAAGGCTATCACACAATAGCCAAACAACCAGCAATAGCTCGACGCCGAAGACCCCTGCGATCACGTAGGTACATATAAATCAAAGTATCTTCAAGAATGCACTCACTAACCGGTCAATGCACGAAGTCGTCATGAGCTTTCCACACTATAATGTCGGGTGATTATACGAGACGAGTTGCGCCGTCGAGTGATACACAAGGAAAACCAATCTCATCGTCCGCCTCTAGATTGTCTCCCATCCTCCGTTGTTGATGTCCGCCTCCAGCTTGCGGCTGATGGTCGCGGGCACCCCGTGGGACAGCCACACGTCGCGCAGGAGCCGGTCGTACCGCTTCTGGTTGAGGATCAGTTGGCGGTTGCGTCGAAGGCCCGGGTCAACTTCGCCGTGTCGGTCGAGGTAGGGCGCGTAGTGCCACGATCCAAAATGGCTGTGCAGATACAGCACGGTGCACTTCCGGATGTTGATGAACAAGCCGATGTTCTTGCCACACCTGTCACCATTGTTAGTATGGCCATCGAGACTCCAGAGGGTAAATGGTAAACCTACTTTTGAACGTGCTGGTTGCACCCGCCCAGACCGTTCTCCATGCAGCACACGGCCTGCGAGCAGAAGATGTCGCCGCAGAAGAGGCAGATGCTCGGATCGCTCAGCTCCTTCTTCGATTTCGGGCACCGGCGCCGGTTGGCTTCTTCGATCAAGCTGTCGAAGTACTTGGGAAGCCCGACCAGCTCGAAGATCGCCGGATGGGGAAGGCTGGGCCACAGTTTGTGATCGCCAATGCGAATGCCAGACCGCGATGCGTTCCAGTGGAAGATCCACCCAGAGATTACGGCATCGAATGGCTTGCCACTTTCACACGCAGGGTTGACCGATGCGAAGATCTCGTCCAGCGACGGAAGATTGAGAATCTTGGTCAAACGATCCAGCTCGGACGCATTCGCATCATTGAAGCTTGTGCTCGGGAACTCAACGCCATGTTGGACATGAAGCAGAATGACCACCTTGCGGAGGAAGGTCAATGCGTATCTCGATACGAGTTGTCTGAGTGTGAGTATCACGTCCTGGGTTGGGGAGTCCCCGCCGTCCTTGACGTAGCCACTCGCAGCAGGGCGGGATGACCCCTCCGCACGGCCCACGGAATTGGCCTTCAGCTCTGCAATGATGCTGTTGAAGAAGTGATGACTGGCTTGGTATCGTATATCCGTCGGATCCATGACTGACACGTAACCATCGTCGTTGCGCCGCGACAGTACCTCCTTCAGACCCAGAGGCCAGAGAACATAAGTGACCGCAACCTTGACAATTTCCGCGACATAGCACATCTGGATCAGGTGGCGAATGTCGATAGGAAGTACCGACGAGAGGGAAAGAGAGCACTCCGCCAAGAACACAAATGTGTCCTTGCCCAGCAACGGCTCGATTTCACGCACATCATTGAGCAGAGCGGTACCGCTTAAGCAAGGGTGGCCAATGAACAGCTGGCAAATCTTCTGGCGGTGCATCTCGTGGAACTCATCCGCACTGCGACTGTGAGGCACGCTGCCGTTATACACACACCCAACTGCTGCATAAGACAGGGCAGACTCAGCCAGGATGCGAAGATGCACGAGCGTCAGCTGGGGAATTTTGTCCAACAGAGTTGACCCTGCATCCGACTCCACACCACGCTGAGAAATTTCAGCGGCCGCAATACTGAAACCAAAGCTCTGGAACAAGGAATCGGTGTGTAGTAGATCGCTGCTCTCGGACGTATCCGGATGGTGGCTGAATGTTGACGGGATATGATTCATCCGAATAGTCTGCTTGAGTCTCTTGTAGATCTGCATCAGTTCGGACATGGTACTGCCACCCAAGCTAGGGGATTGTTGGAGTGGACTGGAGGCGGAGTTATCATCCTGAGAGGGGAAGACACCAGGCATCGGCATTCTCGCAGTCGGAGCGTAATGGCCTGTCGACGAAAGCGAAGAGGTAGTCATTAGCTGCTCGATCTTTGTCGCCAGCGGAGGGACCAATGTCTTTGACAGGTAAGCCTTGAAAAGGTCCTCATACGACTGCAGCTGCATATCGCTGTTCTCCGTGAGCATTGCATAATTGCGGGGTTGCGCAAGAGCTGACCTCACTTCGGTAGTCATGAAATCATCAAACGAGACGGAAGTGTTCAGAGGTCCCGGGTACGATATCTCCTTGCCCTTCCAGATGATGGGCAGGAAGGAGTTGCCCAGCGCCTTGCACAGAGGACACACAAACTCCTTGTTGAGCAAACGCTCGGGGTGGTTCCGCGCTATTTGTTGCGTGTGACGGCGATGGGTGGCCGTGAAGTACACCTCGAAACAAGAATAGTGCATGATATGCCCGCAACCCGTTGTGACCGGACCACGAAGGGTATTTTTCGAGTTAAAGCCCTTGCTCAACCCGACCTTCTCGCTGATGACCTCGCCACCGGTGGAGTCCAGTCGGCGAACCGTCGTGCGATTCTCGCCCGCGACTCCAAATGGGCGGATGTGTTCTGCGGACTTGTCCAAGCTCGATGGCGTGTCGAGCACCTCCCGAACCCAGTCAGGGTCCCGAATATCCGTCAACCGCATGATGCTGCTGTCTTGTATCAAAGCAAAAGTACCGTACAAACGCGAGTCGTTTGTCTCCTCCTGGCAGAGGATGCAGGTGCCGCCGGGGTACTTCCACAATTTGGTCTCCTGGGCAGTCTCGGGTTCAGGCTCGACGTCGCTGTAATCCTCCTCCTCGCCCCAATCAATCGCGCCTTGACTGTTAAGAAAGTTTTGCTGCTGCTGCTGAAACTGTGCCATAACCCTCGCCTGTCTCTCCAGGGCCTGCTTCTTCTTCAGTTCTTTCTCATTGTCGGTGTCAATTGCAGGAGAGCTGGTGTCAACTCTATCGAACGGGAACTTGAGGGAAGCAGTGGCGGAAGCGTAGGCTTGAGGGCGCTTCTGCCAGAGCCGCTTCAGGATATGACGGATCTTGGGCCCGCACGCGGAGAACTCGGGAATCACAGAGATCTTTTCCAAGAGACCCACGATGGTCAACGAGCTACCCTGCGTCGTGTCTTTAGCATTGGTCAACGCATGTGACACAAAGGACGGAGAAGAATCATCGGACATCTCATCTTCTTCACTGTTGTCTTCGAGTGAAGCGGTAAGGATCAGATGTAGAACGACCTGCAAGAAAGTCTCAACTCGGGTGGATGGAATATTCGGAGTACGCTGCTTAGACGACACCACATAGTCCAGACAGTGGTGCACCATCTGAGTGAAGACCAGCGTCCTGGTAAAGCGAGGAAGTTCCGCAAAAGCACCCGAAGTGATCGGGCGCAGCTTTGGCTCGAACACGATGTCCGATGCTTTCTTTCCAGACTTCTTAGCCACCCACTCGCGGTAGATGCTCTCTGCCTCGTCACGCTGGTTCTTGCTGTAATGAGCGCTATAGGGATCGATCAGGTCGATGTATTCCGGCTTGAGCTCGAAGGTTCCGGTATCGTTCAACCCTTCAGGCGGGCGGAATCCTGCTACGTCCTCCAGCACGTCCTGGAACATATCCGAGTCGAGCAGCTTGTCACTAAGACGAGTCGACAAGTCGGAGAAGGAAAGTGGCTTGAAGCACAGGACGTGTGCGATATCGCGACTCATGTTTTCACGGGTCGCGCTATCGCTGTCATCGACTGCTGTAAGCGAGGTCCGGTCCGTCAGTAAGATGACAAGCAGATGGACAAACTCCTCGGCGACGTCGATTATCTGGGTATCTTCATAGCCAGCACGCGGCGTGTAGTCCCTCGTCATCCAGTCTACCATGCCAAACCGATCCGCAATGGACGCAAGCACTCGACTCGGGTCGCATGTCACCAACGCAGTCTGAAGCAAGAATATATCGCGATAGTATGCAAAGTCTCGAGATGAGACTCCCCGGTACTGCGACATCTGATGCTTAAGGCTAAGACCGTTGCGGACCCACATACCAGCCTTCATCTGCGCGAGCCAAGCACATACCCTGAGAGGATAGTCGAACATCGAGAGCAGCAGGTCTTCGGGGCTGAGCTGGCTGTCATGGACATACATGTCATTCGCAGCCTGGGCCGCTTCCATGAGTACATCCCGCATCAGAGCACTGCTGATATTACGACCGCATTCCAGCAGCCACGACAGCGTATAATGCAGGGCATGGTGGAAACTCATCCAGCCACGCTCCACAACGAAGTCCACCACCCGGTAGCGTGGGACTACTTGCTGGTTCACTTCGAAATCGAATGGCGGCAGAGACTTGAAGCGAACATACTCCTTGATCTCGGCCTGGTCGAAACGCTGGCGCTCGAGTCCGGTCGAGTGCGCAACTGCAGCAATGGTCGCCACACGGATTGCGCGCAACAGCTTTTCACCGCCATCGACTTCGGGGTTGCGGAAAGCCTCACAGAACTGACGGCATAGACGGTTGATCTCCCGCATGAGAATGGAGGCACTGATCCAAGAGTCGGTCTCATACTCGACATGCTCGCCCACGGCACGCACGTTGGGGCAAATACCCTGCGAGAGTTTGACGAGATCCAGGAACTGGGAGAGATACGGCTCCTCGGTCCGGACGCGGTGCTGCACATACTCCGACTGCAGGAGGTATCGCAAATCCAGGAAGAAATGGTACAGGCGTCTATTAGTCACGGACCCGGTATCAAACGCCAAGGTTGCATTGGGGTTCACCTCGAACGGTTCACCGACTTGTCGAGTGGTCAAGAATGTATACAGGATGGCCATCACCTTGGTAAGGAAGTTGCCACGCAGCACGATCTCTTCCGTAATGGACGGAGTCGTCAAAAGCTGCAGAGACAAGTTGACGATAGAGTGGTCCGGCTCTCTGTCCGCAACCAGGTATAGCTGCGCAAGAGCTGTGTACAGGGCTGACAGACGCAGGCCCATGATTCGCTTAAATTGAGGAACATTGACAACAGTGCCGATGTAGAGGTCACGAAGATCGGTACGCGTCTTCTTCCACAGTCGGAGATCAAACAGAATCATCCAATCGAGGCGGGTACGTTGCCACAAGTCCTCATAAGGAGGGATCTGCTCTCCAATGTTGGGAAGGGAAGGCCTAACTTGCCAGTGACTCTGGGTCTTGGCGGGAGAAGGCTTGACTGTGCCCGATGGCGTCTTGGGGATAGCGACGTAGGACATGGGTGGAAGCTCACATGCCTCAGTAGAGTTAGGGTCGTTGGCTGTGGCTTGCGGCTCCGGGCGATTTTCCTCTGGTTGCTCCTGTTCTTGTTGCTCCTGCGGTTGCTGGGCGTCGAAAGCTGCGGGCTGCTGTTGAGCAAGCCCTAGGATCGTTTGAGCAATGTCAAAAGCGTCCTCCTCGTTACCCATCACCATGTCCCCGTCCTCGTCGGCCTCTTCTTGTAGTCTGTTCAGATCGATCTCCATATCGTCATATTCATCGTCTGCGTCTTCGTCATGGCCTTCGACGAACTCTTCATCTTCGTCCTCGTTGCCGCCATCATCATTAGCATTATCAATTTCCTCGTCTTCGTCATCATCATCATCATCGGTAGCCAGCACAACCTGGCCCTGAGGAGACACCGTGAGCATCACCGTGCGGTAAGGGGCATTTTCCGACCTCTGGTGGTCATCGATGCCCTTCTTTCCGATATCCGCATTGACAGCCCCACTGCCGCGGCGCCAGGGACTGAGCAGTTCCTCACAGATGGTGTGACGCAGGATCTCATTGTCATCGAAAACACTACATCCGGAGATGTCCGCAAGCCACTCAACAATAGTTCCACACATCTGCTCGCGGAACGTGTCACGAGCGGAACGGATCGTAGCGGTGACCTTGATCTGCTCGATGACCTTTGATACAGCCATCAATCGGCCCAAGTCCTTCGAGTACTTAATCACACTCCGCCCAATGTCATTCGTCTCATGGGCCCTATCCATTCCGTAGCGATCACGTTCCCGACAAGCCCGACTGACCTGGTGAGCGACATCACGGATGGTATGCTTCTCATCATTCCAGAGGGCGAGAGCATACTCCGGCTCTTCCTCCGCCGGATCACCAGTGCCATACCAGCCCGGACGCAGCCGAGATGCTTCCTCGTCCTCTTTAATCCCCTCCTCTGTCTTCGGCAGTCGTAGCTGTTCCGGGGAGCAGGAGATGACATCGCAGAAATAATCTAACGCCCGACCAATGGTGAGTCTGACGGCATCGACCAACTCCTGGGGGAGCTGGGACTGGGCGCGCTGTTTGCCCTTCTTATCGCCACTGTCGGTATGGATAGCACAGAACAACGGCAAGCGCCAGGCCTCCTCGTCACCACAGTCACAGCAGCCGCAGTTCCCGGACGACAAGGAAATCTGATACTGGTGGCCGGTGTGGTCGGAAGAGTCGAAGCAGCGACTGCAGAGCACGCAGGTATCGTCCGCGGCGCAGGTGATGCACCGATACGTAGCCTCACCGGCTCTGAAGATATGGCCACAACGTTTCCCCCGCGCCGCTTCTGTGTATTCCGCGCCTTCTTTGGCACCTTGGGCCTCCGCTAGCTTCCACGGTCCGGTCGGCAGTCCATCTGGGAATAGTTGGCGGAGGTAGGTCTCGTTATGAGCGGTCAAGGAGCGAAACAGGATCTCCAGCACGTCTCGCTCTGCGGAGGGTCCATATCGGTAGTTGTGCTGGGCGGGGAGCCGCTGCAGGCCTTTGCTTAGAATCCGCTCCCATTCGGCGAGCATCATTTACCGCTTTTGCGCACGGAACGCGACACTCATCCGGCTATCAGGGAAGTGAGGGGAAAGGTAAGGTGGGATGGATGGTCGGAAGGGAAGCTCCGTGGGGCGGGCCTGTCTGTATGTATGTAATCAATCTTGCAGCCGGCGACCGCTCCGTTGGGGTTCGTGGATGGCAAGAGAGCAGGTTGGGTCGGGATCCGGATCGAAAAGAGGGGAGGGGAGAATATATGGACGAGGACGTTGGGAGGGTGAAAGGTGATCGGAAGGCGAGAGGGAAAAAATCTAGATCAGTCGAGACGCTTAGTGATGGAGGGACAACAGTGACAGCGATGTCACAGTGGGGGTGGGAGATGGGCGGTGGTATCAAATGGCACGCACCAGTCGCCCGTGGCTCTCATGGGCGGGTAAGTTCCTTCTAGATCTGCCTTCACGGGTTGTCCGCCTCAGGGATTCACCAAAAAAGACAGTACTGATGTGCTTTGTCGGGGTAAAAAAATCAAGGAACACCAAGCTGGAGAGAAGTTCACGTTGGGCCTCGTCCACACATGACATGACATCGAGCACTGCAAACCACGGGGCTTGGCGCCACTGCCCTTCCCATTCACGGCCGCTCCCCGCCCGGGAGAGAGCGAGCTCTACATGGGTCTGCTCGACACACCACCTGGCACACTATTACCTAGGCCACACCCCCGGAAAGTAGACGTCGAAAAAGGTTACAGCTTCAAGCGGTTCTATTTCGTACAAACACCCGGAATTACCCCAATCCCCGACCGACCGACACTGGACTGTAGTATAACATGGGAATGGGGGGTCTTCCCCCCCCGCGCACCGTTCTATTCCTTCAATTGCAGTACATTGATTGTATCCAAATTTACTCATCGTCCTCCTCCTCAGCCGCGGCGAGGTAGCGGTGCTTGATGTCCTTCCATTGGCGCTGCAACAACAAATGACTTCCGTCAGCTCAACTCCTGCGGAAAGGGCTTGGGTTAGAAACATACACCGCGGTTGAAGGAGTCCCAGACCCTGTTGGAGGCGGTATCAAAGGCCCTGTTCCGAGAAAGTGGTCATGTTTAGCGAGCGTTCCCCGAGCAATCCCGCGGACAGAAACGTACAGCTCGAAGGCGAAGGCAGTGGAGAAGATAGCAGTCAGGTAGACGGCGTTGCGGCGGAACAGGCCCCTATAGACCGTCCAAGCATCCTCCGTTAGCTCGATGATCTTCCGGTCGGTCACATCCAGTGATGTAACACCCAGGGGAGGGGGGAGACGTGCTGGTAGATGGCGGAAGCGATCTGGAACGGGAACACCCTGCGATTAGCCATTGAACTGTTACCCGATCGGATCTGGGCAAACACTTACAGCGCCGGCCATTGTGACGGATGTGGATTGGGGGGTGTGGAGGGGTGAGAGTGAGAAACAACGGCGGAGCACGGGGGATGGCGAGGCAAGATGAGGACGGAGGCCGATGAGGTTGAAGATTCCAGTTCAGGTTCGGTTTGGCGGCCGCGAAAAGCAACACCGGGAATCATCGGCGCGCTGATTGGCCCGTCGGGACACCACCTGCGCAGAGCCTCCGACTACCGCCTTGGGAAACATCAACCTCTCCCAAGTTACATCGCCTCTACGCCTTTTCCACCCTCACTTGGCGATCAATTCCAGCGCTTCTCCGTCGTCATTCCCCCCGGGAGCTGGGTCGCCACACCCAAATACCACCGATTTAAAACTCCCTCCCCCCTCCTCCTTCCTAGCACCACACATTGTTCTCACCCGACCGGCTCGACCCCCACCTAAACAATGGCCGCCGACAAATCCAGTGCGGTCAGTTCCTCCGGAATCACAACCAACGAAGCCACCGGCGAACGCTTCATCCCGTCGTCCCTCCGCGCGGACGGCTCCAAACGACGAGAGATCCGTGTCCGACCGGGCTACCGGCCTCCTGAGGATGTGGAGTTGTACAAGACACGTGCGGCGGAGGCGTGGAAGAATCGCGGCAAAGGTGGGGTGCCGGGCGCTGAGGTCGTGAAGGAGGCAGACGAACCCAAGGCCGGCAGTGCGAGCAGCAACAAGAATGCAAAGCGACGTGAGGCGAAAAAGAAGGCCAAGGCCACCCAGGACGGCACCGACGGTGGCAAGGACCTGAGCCAAATCGACAACTGGCGCGCCGCTGCCCCGGAACAGGCGAAGAAGCAGCCCAACGGAGCGGAGAAGACCACCGCGCAACCCGAGCAGGCAGTCGACCAGGAAGCCGAGAACGAGAAGAAGGCCCGCAATCTCAAGAAGAAGCTCAGACAGGCTCGCGATCTCCGTGACAAGAAGAACCAGGGAGAGGCCCTCTTGCCCGAACAGCTGGAGAAAGTTATCAAGATCCAGGAACTGATCCGCCAGCTGGACTCACTGGGATTCGATTCCAACGGTGATAAGAAGGACGCCGCCGGAGAGAAGGAGTAAGGGTGACTAGCAGCCTTGAGAAGTGCCCAAGCTTCTTATGCCGATCAAGAACAATATCCGACTTTGCGATAGGTCACTGCAACGGCCGTGACGGTCACTTGCGCCGATAACCAAAGATGTAACCTTTACATCGGTTGTTAAAACATTGCCAGGAAATACCAGCCTGTGGGACAGCTGCATGGCTCCCTAAATCGAACCATTCGCAGTCGACTCGTCTTGCCAGGGCGCGGAAGCCGCGTCATGTCATGGGATTCCCTGTGCCTTCGAGGCCTCGCAGACGGTTTCCCAGCTCTCTGTGAAGGCCCTTTCCGCGAGCATACCGTCATCAACCGCATAAGTCGACAGATAATGAACATCTAGGATGGAAATCATCTAGCGATCTAAAAAGTCCGTTTTCTTCTTGCTTACTTGTCGTTTTCGAGTGCAGCTGGGCAATCATTGTTCGTCTATACTTGCAAATATTCTATTTACGGAGTATCAATTGTCGATGGTCTATTGGAATAGTCAAGCACTTTGGCCTCCATCAATCCGCCTGGTATAGATAGGGCAATGAATCGTAGTCATGTTCTACATCAAGCGCGCGTACTCGGGCCGTTCCAGCGGACTCCACCGAACGGGTGCGTTGACCAAACCACCTTCCAATTCCCAATTTTCCCAGTCATACCGCATCCAGGCGCGGTTCTCTCCAGGACCGAGCTTCCGGGCGCCAACACCATAGGACGCAGCTAGAGTACCCTGTCGGATGCAGTCCACTACACCCACACCACTGTACCATGCTCCCGCAAGGGTCAGCCGCTTATTAAAATCGCGCCGGACAGACTGTGATAGTTCATCCAAACGGGACATGTGGCCGACGGTGTACTGCGGGATGGCATTTTGTTGCAAGCGGGTGCGCGCCAGGAGGGGAGCGTCTGTGATCCCCAAGTGCCTTTCAAGCAAAGAACGGGCCATGTCAACGGCCGTATCATGATCCGGGTAATCTGTCCGGCCGTCCCACCAGTAACCGCCCATCATGACAGTGAGTTTGGTGCCCGGTGCGTTATCTTGTTTGACACTGCTATCAGACCCGAAGATCACCCCCAGGGCCTGTTCTGGATTATTCTGGGCGGGCACCGACCGAGGAATGAGATATCCAAATCCTCTCATTGGTACCAGATCGGGTTGCTCGTAGTACAAGTTGATCACCATCATCGTTGTCGCAGTGTTGTTTTGCTCAAGGTTGTCGATTGTGTCGTGAGGCACATTGCCATCCACGCTGGACCTCAGTTGCTGGGCAAGTGCTGAAGGCGCATGGGTTGCGATGACGCGGTTGTGAGTGCGATGCTCCTCTCCGCAGGTAATCTATACTCGTGTCAGCAGTTGATATTGGCAGGAGCATCACAATTCAAACATACGACTAGGTCCTGTTCCGGTCCTTGCTTAACCTGACTGACTTCCGTATCCAGGAGAATCTCTACCTTGTCGGACTCCTTCAGTTTAGCAGCTAAAGTGTCAGGGAGACGCTGCATGCCGTCCTTGAATAGCAAAACGCTCTTGCCCCTCCACAGCGAGCCTAGGCTCTGCCAATACGGCGAACTCTTCTCAGGTTCCATGGACTCAATTGCCAGGAGATTGTCCATGAGCGAATGGAATATTTTGTTCTGCATCTGATTCAGCATGGTCAACAGTATTCCCTCCGGGTTCTCTTCAAAGTCGCGAACAGAACCCAAGACCGCCTGTGCGCTCAGGTGGTCTATGTTACCGGCATAGATGCCACCCATGAGAGCAGAGACCAGGTTTTCCGCCAGCTCCGGAGAGAATCGCCGTGATATGAAGTCTTTGACCGATTCATCTTCCAAAGTCTTCGCGCCTTGTCGGAAATCCTTGAAGGGTTCCGTGATTATGCTCCATATGAGAGTCTTGAAGACCGGTTCGCGTAGTAAAGTAGGGAGGATGTGAGAAAGGTTTTCGAGTGTGCTCAGTTTGGGATCCATCGTTGGGGCGAGCACGAGGTGATCGGGGTAGTATAGGTAACGATTGCGAGCTGCGTGAGAACTCCGGGACACGAACTTGACGTCGTCCATTAGATCTAGTTCTACTAGCTGCAGCGATCCGCTCATCAATTAGCCATGGATACGCGTGTAGATTGAACGAAGGGTGATAAGCTTCCATCGCCTTACCAGGTCAATAAGGGGAATGCACAACATGGATGAGCTCTTCAAGGTCCGCGGGCCATACTCGAAGACAACTTCCCCACCGGGGACAGGGATCTTCTCCGACGAGATCCAGCCTCCCACCCGCGAAGCCTTCTCATAAAGTGTGACCTTGGAGCAGGACGGGTCTTTCGATAGCCGGTACGCTGCCGTGAGGCCGGTGATGCCTCCGCCGATGACCGCAGCATCATACGGTTTGGTATGCAGCGCGCGTCTCCGGCCGGTGCTGACGAAGGCCAATGGCGGCCGCACACCTCGAATGGCGCGACTCGGGGCGCATAGTAGGCGCATCTTGGCGATTTGAAGGCGCAAGTATCAGCGGCGAAGAGTCAAGGGCAACATGGCATGCGGCGAGGAGAGCGCGAACGGGAGGAGCTCCTGTTCGGCAGGGAAGGAAGAGAAGCGGCAGAATTCCGTCGGCCGGCGACGTAATAGATTACCATCTCAGGTAAGGTATGGAAACCTGCCACTTCTAGAACAACTGCCTACATAAAGCACCACTACTTACTTACCAGTACTACGAGGTTGGGACGAAAGTAGGATGTCAGCTAAAACATAGCTAAACTTCCGATATTCAGATTCTATTTACACATAACCGTGAGATTCTTTCTGTCATTCCCAACCACCAGAAGAAGATAATCAAATGAAACGCCCTCCCAGTCACCCGTCATTTGCACACCCACGAAATAGTACATTGAATCAAGCCTCATAGGGGAATTGTAAAATATGGAGTCGTCAGAAAAATTAGCGGCGAAATGTCCGTGCCACGGATTATGTCACAATCTCATGGCTCTGAGAACCGTCCTCAGCCGTGTCAGGCTTGATCAGTTCCTCCGTGCCATCCTCCTCCGCAACGAACTTCCTTTCGCTCATGTGGTGGCCCTCTTCGCCCTCGGCAGTCCACACTTTATCGGGGAACGCGCCTCGTTGGCCCTCCGCATGCTTGTAGGGACAGCTCGGGTTCAGGCACGGCCTGAACTTGCACGGTGTTTGGAGATGGGTAAACTTGCAGCCCTCCGTAGTACAGTCGGCACCATTGCGGCAGAGGGGCATGCTGGGGTGTTTGAAGTGGCAGTGGGGGTTGGCACAGTTGGGGAAGAATCGACAGAACGCCTCTGCCTGATGCGCTGTCTTGACGGCCGGGGAAGGGTGGCGCCCCGTGCACTTTCGGTTCTTGCAAGCGGCACCATAGGAACATACGTCGGCGACATCCACGGGAGTGCCGTCGGGAGCTGCCGGCGACTGATGGGCAAATGGGCAATCTTTCCTGGTACACCGAAGGTTGAAGTGGCATACAGTGTTGGTATTGCTCTCATCCTGTTCGCCTTCCCGGCCGGTCTGGTCAGGTTTCATATCCATATCGGTGTCGTTCATCTGATCGTTGGGGTGGTTATGACGCGGGCCACGACGCCGGTTTCCATGCTGCCGTTCGACGCGATCAAACAGAGAGCGGCCTTGTTGGGGTCCGTTTTGCTGGAATGCCGGATTAATGGCGGGGGGGACGAATCCGGGCATCATTTGTGCCATCAAGCGCGCCTGATCTTCGAGGAGAGACATGAGTTGCATTTGATCGGACTGGGTCATGTTCATCATGCCGCCCATTCCCATTCCTCCCATCTGGCGACCACCAGGCATCCGACCTCCCCCGTTCTGATGCAAGCGTCCCCGTCCGCGGTCTCGACCGTGGGCGTTGATCCGGCCACCGCCCGCCTGGCCATGAACCCGATGTAGCGCGGAGTCCCCCCGATCCAATGTTCTGTTGATGTGGTTGAGCATTCTACCCCTTCCACCCCCACGGCCATTCCGCATCGCCTTCGGGCCCGTCGGTCTATTGGTTTCCTTGTTAGTTTCGCTTGTCATCTGGCAATGTAGGGGAGACGATACTCACATCGAGTCGTCCGCGGGGGTGCCATCACCCATGCTCATGTCGGTATCTTGAGCACTGTTTTCAAAGCTCGACATCTGAGGAGTGGCGCTGTCCTGGTCCGCAAAGGAAGGGATTGCCTGGGCAGGACCAGGCTCGTTGAATCCCGGGGCACCGCCACCGTTGATCTGTTGATTGAGAGTCTCGACTTGTTCGAAGAGCCACCTCGAGAAGTCGAGGGCTTGCGTATCGCCTTCCCCGAGGCCAAGGAGATCGTTGGAGAGCTCCCCGGCGATTTGCTCCTGGGTTTTGCCGTTGACCAGCATCAGAATCACGTACTCCGTCAAGGCTGAATCGTCGCCACCGTCGGAGCTCCAACCCATCTCGACCAGCTTGGGCGGAATAACGTGGCCGAGCATCTCCGCCAGGGGAGTTCCTGCCGTAACGACGGTCGTCATGATGGAAGGTGTGGGCACTGGGTAGCTGTAGCGCTGTGTAGACGGCCGCAGGTGCGAGGAGGGAAGGAATGAGCGAGGGCCGCTGGTTTTCGCAGAACGTCGCGCGACCGAGTCAACAGGACACACACACTCCTGACACGCGGAAAAGATCTAGAAGACCAAACACGTACGACCGGGGTAGCACAAGCCGGTAGCTTAAATCGGAGTGAATAAAGGAGGAAGGAGGGGGCGTTGGGGAGGGAGAAAGTGGCTCATCGCAGGAACTTCACTTCGGCGATGATGAAAGCCGCCAAGACCGCCATCGCCCGCTCCAGCCACATGTCACGTGCAGTGGCGTAAGCTGTCAACTGGCGGGTCGAGTGTCTCCGCCTCGCAGTACTTCCTTCCTCCTCGTTCCTCCTCTTCGGCTCCATCGTCTGAGCTGGTGCAAGCTGGTCTGTCCTAGCGACACATCTGCCCTTCTCATACTATTTAGTGGGCTTATACGCAATTCCATCTCGCAAACTTGATAATAAACCAGATCATAGCGTTTCGCGTGATTACTGACGCGAACGGCGACGGGGTCCAGTCCCTTTTCCCAATCCCAGGCTCAGACTATTGGTCTAGCGCCCTGATACGGTAATCGCTGCAGTAGACCAAGGCGCTGGGCTGCATTGCAGACTTTTCTCAAAAGGGCAAAGGCACAGGCAGGGATCATGCGTGATCCATGCTAGCTACCGTCTCTGACTCGTCCGATGCTTCGGACGGGCTGCTGCATATCAAATGATTGACGTCAGAAATCATCCCCATTCCCAGAAGTCTCCGCAAGTTCATCTGTCTGCTTGTAAGGGACCCTTTTGCTTGGCAGGCTCAAACTGCAAGTCTTCCTCGAGGATTTTGCCTGAAGCCTCTCCTATTGGGTTCCCTCTGCCGTGGTGAGTATGGAAGCATGAATCTGGCGAGCTACCTAGCGCTAGCAAGGCTCGATGAATGCTTTCCGGCCTTCAGTCGCGTATTTTATACTGTACAAGGATCAACGCGAATTTCCAGGGCTTGTCTTCTGGACCAATTCATCGCCAGCAAAAGGCATATGGAACGAACCATAATCACACAGGAAGTTGACCCTGGAATCCAAGTTACAGCGGTGTTGTGGCCTGCGTGCATGCTATTGTGATTGGTACTCTTCTGGGCCGACTAAGGATTGAAAGTTAAAGACTTTGGGATCTACACTATTCTACCCCGTTGGTATCATGTTCCCTGCACATGGTTGATGGAAGACATAATGGAATTGCATTGGTGAGTGATGCATGATGCTCTGGACTCTATGTACAATTAAGAACTGACTTCCGGTCCAGCCGGAGTCAATCCAATGACACGGCCAGCCGCATTACCAATATCATCAATATCATCACCAGGAGAATCCCCTCGAGGACCACCAACTCCATCTTCAAGACTATCTCCAACACAGACTCAGTCTTAACCGTCAAGACACCATAGCTTTAGCATTCCTCAACCTCTTCAACTTTTGCAAGATCTCCACCCGACGGAGCTCTAAGCACAGTTCCTCCTCGTCCGCATCATCCAAATCATTCGAGCGATCGGGAACAGGAACCTTCAAGGTCGCAACACCATCACTCTTTTCAACTCCACGCTCACTAGCACCAGCGTCCTTAGTATCCTGCTTCGGACCACCATCCCCAACCCACCCTCTACTCATTCTCACGGCCTTTTCCCACAACGCAAAAGCGTAAGAACTTTCCTCTCGGCTCACCCCTGGCTGGAAAACGTCCCCACCAGCACCGTTGATATCACGTAGCTCAGCATAATTATTCCAGACTCCCACACCGAGCCCAGCGGCTATAGCGGCGCCGAGGGCAGTGGTTTCACGCATCTTGGGACGGTAGACGGGGATGGAGATGAGATCAGCTTGGATCTAGGGAGATAGTCAACTACCTAGCTTATGTTTAGGATCAGGATGACTGGAGATAGGCACACCTGCATGGCAATGTCTGAGTTACTCATGCCTCCGTCAACTGCTAGCTCGGAGAGGCTGTGTCCGCTATCCTTTTCCATGGCGTCGAGGATGGCCTTGGTTTGGAAACAGGTTGCATCAAGAACGGCTCGGGCAATGTGGCCTTTATTGGTGTATTGGGTAATTCCGACTGTGTGGTGGTCAGTGTAGAAGGGGCATGGAGTAGGTCAGGGTGCCTACAGATGGTTCCTTTGGCATCGTTGATCCAATAAGGCGCAAAGAGGCCATTGAATGCGGTGACGAAGACACATCCGCCGCTGTCTTCGACGGTCAGTGCGAGGGCGTTCACATCCTTAGGTTCTTCGAAGAACTCGAGATTGTTCTGCAGGAACTTGATGCCCGATCCGCCAACGGCGATGCTGCCTTCCAGGGCGTAGACAGGCTTTTCGTCGAACTGGTACGCGACAGTGGCTAGAAGGCCATGTTTGGATATGACGGGCTTCTCGCCGACATTGTACAACAGAAAGCATCCGGTGCCGTAGGTGTTTTTTGCCATTCCAGGAGAGAAGCCTTTCTGGCCGACAAGTGCCGCGGATTGGTCACCAAGACACCCTGTGATGAGAACACCAGCCAGAGGGCCGGTTTTCAAGGCTCCGAACCCGTTCCTAGCGGAGGACGGGACAATTATGGGTAGATGGATTCTTCCTTGGATGCCAAAGAAGTTGAGCAGAAAGTCATCATACTTCAAAGTCTTCAGGTTCATGAACATCGTGCGCGACGCGTTGGTAGGATCCGTCACATGCATATTTTCCTTGCGTCCACCGTTTAGGCAGTACACCAGCCAAGAGTCAATGGTGCCGAAGGCCAGTGTGCCTCTTTCATAAGCCCTTCTAACCCTGGGCACATTCTCGAGTAGCCACAGGAGCTTCGAAGCGGAAGAGTAAGTTGACAGTGGAAGACCACAGATCTGCTGGAGCCTTTTCGCGTCAGGTTTCCGCTTCAGCCTGTCGATGATATCCTGGGATCTGTTATCGGTCCACACAATGGCATTGTACAAGGGCACTCCGGTCTCGTTGTCCCAGACGACGGTGGTTTCCCTCTGGTTGGTGATTCCGATTCCTTGGATCTCAGATCGAAGGAAGCCGCGGTCCTCGAAGTCGTTGATGGCTTGCTCGATGCACACATGGACAGAGTCTACGATCTCCAGAGCATCGTGCTCATGCTGTCTGGATATCTTCCTTAGTATTGGGTGTGAGTGGGAATAAGTGCATCTTACCCTGGGTAGGGATAGAACTGCTCGATCTCAACCTGATGGGATGCCACCGGTTTCCCGCTCCGGTCAAAAATCAGGAATCTGGTGCTGGTGGTGCCTTGGTCTATTGCACCGATGAAGGTCCTGACAAAGCTCATGGTGGGCAGTCGCAAGGGCTTCCAGCTTGGGGGTTGACAGACTGACTCCGGGTTGTGGGCTGAAAATTGGGGAAAGCGTCGTGGATGAGAAGTCAACCGAGCCAAACGATGAATGCTGTCTTTCAACCCACAAAGGTCGATAATTCACGGACAACTTGCCCTTGCCCTCAGTCAGTCAGCGTGAATTGCTGTATGTCTGTGTGACCGCTTCCCGCTCATGGGCTCCCCTACTCTGCGGGGCATCAATGAGATATGTACAGCCAGCATCCTTGCAGCAGGTGCCACATCGTTTGTCAAACATGAGAGGTGAGAGGATGGTTTCCATTGCAGCTGACCGGCTTAAACTGAAGGCTATTCCCTGCAGATAAAGATATCCCAGATGTCTTAGCTTCCTATTGCAGTCTGAGAGGACCATACCACGGAAGGTTGATCAATAAATTGAGAGTGCCATTAAGATGTAATTCTAGAAACTATATGCCAAGACGTTTAAGACTGATCTGGTTCCTTATCCTGGTGCGCCCTTTCCTCATTCCTCCCTTCGCTTTGAGTCTTCAATATGGCATTGATAGTAGAAGGCTAACTACTTTCCTCTCTGTATGCAGATTCACCCAGCTCAAGTTGGTACGGGAAGCAGCAATATTTTCAATTCAACTGAAAGCAGTAATAACTGTCATTGTTTATTTTTTTTTTCAAAATCCTGCGGCTCTTCACAATGCAGACATTCCATCAGATATTGTGGTACCGTATATTCTCTAAACAAGGCTGTTGCCAGTGGAGGACAGAAAGTAACTTGCAATCAAGCATCAACCTGGCCAATATAAGGGTACAAGCGGCAGACTTCTTTAGATACTACCCAAGCAGGTCCCAGGTGACACAGGCGCCCATACATCCAACTCTATTTGATCATCATGGTATGTGTGGAACCTAACAACACTCGTCAGTCTGTTTTAAACAAGAGCGAGCTTTTGATCTCCTATCCTAGTTAAGAGTCATAAGACATCACATCTAGTAGCTAGACAAGACCTTGTGTTTCCCATAATGCGAGAGCCTGTACTGACTTTCTTCAGGACATAGGTGCCTCGCACCCTGCTCCTTTGTCTCCTACGGGATTATAGAAGATAGCCATCCACAAAACAACAGACTCGGACCATTTTTAACCCCCACGGTTCTTTTCAACAACTTTAAATAATCAACAGACCAAAAAGGTATACAGCAGTTTCTCTCATATTTGTGCCAGGAGTATCTGTCCATATATTGCAGATCCCTTGATGTAAAAGTGCCGAGAGAGTACAGGTGAACGTGATGGCATGGAAATCACACATCTAGCCATTCAGTTCTGTCGCACCAGATCATTCTCTACGGTACATTATACCAAATGGTATTCCCACTTCATCCTTCAACCCCCCCCCCCAGCATCTCCAGTTATCATACCCTCCGACCCTCAATTGAAATGGTTTCCATCAACCCCGTCACCACCCCATCTCCGGGACAGGAACTCGAAATCCTAACCCTAGACCAAGACAAAACCCTGACCACCACCATCGACAACCACAACCATAACAACAACACCAACAACGACCCCGAACCCATACAACCCCCGCTCCAATGGCCCAAATCCAGCCCCATGCTCCGACTCGCCCTGTCCGAATTCTTCGGCACCATGATCATGATCATGTTCGGCAACGGCGTGGTCGCCCAAGTCCTCCTTAGCCAGAACCAGAAAGGATCCTACCAATCCATCTCCTGGGGATGGGGGTGAGTCCCCCTTATGCTACCTATTATACCATCCTCCCCATCTAATCCCCCTACCTTACACCAACACCAACCCTAACACCAACACCAACCCTAAAACCAACACTAACATTGATCACCCCCCCCCCCCCCCAGCCTCGGCGTCATGCTAGCCATATACGTCAGCACGCCCTCCGGCTCGCACCTCAACCCCGCCATAACCTGGACCCTCTGTCTCCTGCGACGCTTCCCCTGGCCCAAACTCCCAGTATACGCCCTCTCACAACTCCTCGGTGCCATGACAGGCTCCGCAATCGTCTACGCCAACTACCGCTCCGCAATCGATACCTTCGAAGGCAGCTCCTCCCTCCGCACCGTCCCCGACACCACCACCACCACCACCACAACTTCCAGCACAAACCACCCCTCCCCCCCACCAAGTGGTTTCACAGCAACAGCAACAGCAACAGCCGGCATCTTCAGCACCTACCCAGCCCCCTTCCTCACCCGCACCGGCCAATTCTTCTCTGAATTCCTCGCCAGCGCCATCCTCATGTTCATGATCTTCGCGCTCAAGGATGAGCGGAACCTCGGTGCTTCCTCCTCCTCCTCCTCCTCCTCCTCCTCCTCCTCCTCCACCTCCACATCCCCCTCGGTCCCCTCCTCTTCCCCCTAGCCATGTTCTTCGTCGTCTTTGGCATCGGCGCCTGCTTCGGCTGGGAAACCGGATACGCCATGAACCTGGCAAGAGATTTCGGGCCCCGACTGGTCGCGTATATGATCGGCTATGGGAGGGGGGTTTGGGTTGCCGGAGGGTATTATTTTTGGGTAGGTTGGGATTTACTTCACACTCATTTGGTACTCATTTGGCACTCACTTCGTACTCACTTGGCACGCACTCTCGAAACTCAATTAATCGATCCCACTAACTATTACTCCGGTGATAGATCCCCATCATTGCCCCGTTTTTCGGCTGTACGGTGGGTGGATGGCTCTACGACGCATTCATCTATACGGGGTCGGATAGCGTGGTCAACAATGGCCCGTATTTCGGGTTGGGGATGGCATTCAAGTTTGTTTTTCGGGGGAGGAAGCGCGAAATGAACTCAAAGAGCCCGGTGTGAGGGTTCTGTTTGGATGGACGGGTGGTTGGTTGGTCGGTGTGGCGGATATCGGCTATCATTATAGTATCTACTAATACGTAAAGATAGCACAGTTATTGAATCTACAAATGCAGGCTTACAAGGTATGCCATGGTGGTTGACTATTATAATTAGTAGTATCAACGCCATCTGTCAAGCCACCAAGTCACAGGAAGTGGCGTGCCACGAAGCAGGTCTGTCCCGCGTTTTGTGAACCAACTCCTAGCCAATGCTGTACATAGCCCGTGAAGATCTTTATCATAAACAAGGAAAAGCAAAACGGGAGCATCATCATATACACCTGGTGCCCTCAGTCGTGAAAAGTCGTGTGCCATTAGTCATGTCGTTTCCCATAATCGTGTCCTATAATCGTTGTCGGGGAACGGTCGTTTATATATTGCATGCCCTCTCTTCAGAGCATGATCCAGACGCTACTAAAGAGCACACACAGCGCTCCCACAGCGACGGGGATATACACATTGCTTGCAGCATCCGCATTGGGTGCTACGTGAGCAAGTGCGGTAGCGGTAGCGGAAGTAGAGGGTGAACTGTTGGCCGTTGTGGTAGAGCCACTGGTCTTTGTCGTGGTTGTAGTTGTGGTTGTAGAGTGGCCGGTCACCCTCGTCGCAGAAGAAGAAGCAGTCAATCTGGGCGTTCTAGAGCCGGTTCTAGAGCCGGGAAGAGAGGATGAAGCCAGCGGAGACCACGAGGAGGCCAATGTAGACCGGAAAAAAGACTATGAAAGATATCGGTTCAGCAAGAGACTATCACAGGACTGTCAAAGGAAATATTGGAAATCCTCACTCACTGAAGCCGTGCTAGGCGGCTGCACTGATCTGGAGCCAGAAGAGGCCCAGCCAGCAGGTAGCGATGTTGCCGACCCGGTGGCAACCCACGGCCAGACATCCGGAGTCGTGAAGGTGGATGTCTCGCGATGAGTGCCGCTCCACGGAATCGGAATATTAACCGTTGCAGTCACAGAGGGGGCGGATTCAACCGAGCTCATCGTGTCAGCGCCGATGTTTCCATTCACGGAGCCGCCCTTCGCGCTGATGGACGTCCAGTCTCCACTCTCGTTGTCATATTCATACGAAGAGCCCGTAGAGTAATCTGTGACCTTGAGAGTTTTCAAATACATCGTGTAGGGACCGGCGCTATAATCAGTCACACCACCAGCCCAAGCTAGAACATGTGTTAGCTGAGAGCCATGTTCGTAGCCCAGATCACAGTAAGCAACTGCGGGATGCTCACCAATTGTGCCCGCCGCGTTGGTGGGATCACCTCCGGCCCAGATTCCCACCTTGACGACCATTGGAGTCTGGGGGTACTGGTTGGTGTCGGCAGTGCTGGGGGTGAGCACGCGCACCGTCGTGCCATCGATCTGCCAGACGATCTGGCTGCTCGTCCAGTCGACTGTGTAGGTGTGGAAGCCATCATGATTCCCGGGATCGTCGTGGGTAGCTCCGCGGTTGTAGTCGCTGGTGTCACCCTTTCCAAAGTAGTTGGTTTGCACCAAATTGTCGTTTCCTCCCAGCCACTCCCAGTCAATCTCGTCCAGGTCATCCGACTGCAAGACCGCACTGCTGACGATGCCCGTTCCGGGGGCCGCCTTGATCGTATATTCGACATGCCCGAACATGATGTACCAGTTGGACTGGATCAACGGGGCATCGCCTTGCTTGGCCACCGTAAACTCTGCGCCATCTTTGCCATACGTCGGGGTGCCGGTCGCCGTAAAGTCGGAGGAGGCGCCTTGGGTGAAATCATAGGACTTGGTCTTCCCCAGAGCGGGATCCGCGGGACATGCTAGAGAAAGATGAGCTTTCGAAGGTCCACCGTCGGCGTCAGGGGGCCCTTACTTTTCTGGAGCGGATCACAGTTTGTGTATGTCTGTGCGGCGACCAAGCTTGTGATGGAGAGAAGGCCAAAGGCCGAACCAATAATCGGAAGTCTCATGATGATGGTAACACTGATGCCGATGAAATGGCGACACCCTGGCACTGAAGTCCAGTCACTGTAATCAGGAACCTGGAGGTTGTCTGGATTTTGCAAATGCCTTCCGGTGAAAAACAAGATGAGGGGGTAAGTGAGACAGCGCGGAGTACCTCAGAGTACCAGTACCTCGGTGGGGGGAGGAAGTGGTGAGGGATGAAGACCGAACGGGGCGTGCAACTGGGCCGGGCCAGTTGCATTCACGAGCAGGATTGCAGGAAGGTGCGGTGCAGTGCAGTGCAGCTGGGCTCGTGGTCGAGGCAGGCATATTTAAAGCAGCGGGAAGATTAAGGAAGGTGCGATGCGATGCAATTGCTGGGAGTAGATACTAGTTACTAGTAGTAGTGGCAGTGATTGCTGTGAGTAGTCCAGCCTCCTCGCTTTCTATCCGTCTTGCCCGATCGGGCAGGCATCGGTCGCTCATGGCCCGCTGATTGGCCCTGGCGGTCAGCCCTGACTGTACCTTACGCTCCATCTGCGACTCGGGAAATGAGCAGCTTGGGGTCGGGATAAACAAACTCCCAAAGGTTCCCCCCTTAAATAAGCTAGGTACCTAGATATTCCACAGCTTTGCGTTGGGCAGTCCGGTGGCGATGGTCTTGCTCTTAAGGGACTACTGAACCCTGGAGATCCTTGTACTCGCAAAAGTATAGTAAGTAACCCGGCTACCCGTCCGTGTCCCCAACTCCGGGACTTGACACACCGGTGGTAGCAGGCCTTCCTTAACCCAGGTCGACATTCAATCCGCTGCAACCTCGCCGATGTCAGTGTCATCTGCAGCCATCACACGCCCCCGAGTCAGGACTCTTTTCGGTTTCCAACAATAGCATCCCATCCATCGGGGCTGATGCCACTAGTACTAGTATTGATCCATCCATCCACCCCTCCACCCCCAGCCACCTCTTTTCTCTCACGACTCACCACCTATCTCTCCTCGCCTCACCCAGTGACAGTGACAGTGACCCAAATATCGGAAACGCCGAGGAGGAAGAGACTACGGGTAAAAAACCTGCCAGGCTGGAGCCAACCCCATGCCCTCCATGTCATAAGTGATAACAGAGTTCAACCACCCGTGGCGGTGTGTGTCTGCCCCTGTCTCTTTCCCATGTTCCATCATCCATGGACAGCAGAGCCAGCAGCCAGAGTTCCGTCGCCACGCCGTTACATCATCCGGCCCAGACCGTGCAGACCAGACAAACTACTTTGGTACGGAGTACTCCCGTATCCTCTGTCTGACCTGTACTACTATATGCAACAAGCCCGCGCTAGGATGGAATGAGCAATGCAACGTCATTTTTCACCAAATTGGTCCGGGCTGGGCTGGGTCACTCCTGGGATAGACAGACAGACAGACAGGTATCCATGTACCCCGGCGTCAGTGTCCCTCAAGAATCTTGGCCATACTGGGCCTACGCCTCCCAAGGAAGGTACTTGTAGCAAGTACCTTGCATGTAGTCTTGTACCATATATCCAGTTAACACTTGGCAGTGGGTAAGTACAGTTCGATTTAGTATAGTACCTAGATCAACCCTTCAAGCCCACTCATTACTAAGATTGTAATTGCGGGCGGGCCCTTTCGCAATGCTGTAAGGCTGCAAGCAAGGTTAAAATCTACTTAAGCTTAATACGGAGTATACACTCCATGCCTACCAGAAAACGCACCCATCAATTGTTTTGTTTCCCCTTTCCCCATGTACATAGTAAAGGAAGAGAGACCAATGAGTGTTGCAGCGTTACACAAGTTAGCGCTGATCAGATCAGATCACACCCCCACACCACACTGGCATTGGCATGTTAATCAACGGGTGTCGGTGGGGGGAGGGTACTAGACTAGTACTCCGTACTCCTATTGAATAGGATCTATTATATGTACCAGGATTTTAATTTATTCGTATAGCAGAGTATCCATATTGAATTGGTGATTCAGTGCATCTACCTATGGTGGGTGGGTAACAACAGCTACTAACCGTATGGTCCTTACGAGCGGAGGAGGGGCAGGGCGAGGGGGGAGGGAAACCCTCCCCTCTATTCCTCCGTATAATGTCATCTCAGCAGGTCCCTACTACCTATTAACATCCGCAGGGCTGATTTGAGACATATGATCCTTTTCCCTTCTTACTATCCGAGTTCCTGGTTGGCTGGACATTGGTACCTAGACGTCCACTGGGCTGGATTGAGCACACTACTATATATAGACAGACAGACAGACGAACCGGCATCGCAGATGGATCATCGCGAGTCGAATCAAGACATTCGCGTGGTGAATCATGTCTGTCGATTTATAAAGTTCAAGTTCTTCCTGGTCCCAGTTATAGAACCCCACGAAAGAAAGTCTTTTCCGGCGTGATCTATCGCGGAGTTCGGTCGTCGGGAATTGTGTTGTTTTCTACGATGTACCTACTACGCTTCATTGCCGACCACAATGTACTTTATGTATATATCCGGCCCGGGATCTCGGGAAACGTATAACTAGAACTAGAACTACTGTATCCCCAGATCTGAGTAATAACATGAATAGTTACTATGAATGAATGATCCACATGCGACCCAGTCGTAACACAGAGGGGATTCATTCCATAACAGATCTGGAAAGGCAGATGGGAGTGTTGTGCCTGATTTCTTTGTCCTTGTTGGAGTGCGCCTCCACACGAGGGCCACCGTCGATCATCCATCCATGCGGGAAATATGTTCTAGAAGCCGTGGCGTCCCTTCCACCGAGCAGAAAATTTGCGGGAATAAAGATGCGATGTTAGAGTTTCTCGTGTCTTTTTTTGTTTATTTTCTTCTTCATCTTCTTCTCTGACTCTCGCTTCTCCTTTTCGAAGAGGTGTCAGGTTAGGGGGGTAGAATGGGAGATCAGGGGCAGGGGGCTGAAACAAAGTCAGCAGAAGATGAGGCGGTAGATATTCCACACTCAGTGGTTTCAGCTTGTGACTACCGTATCTTCCACTTAAACTCCGGCCACCGTGTTCAGTTTTCAGTGTTCGGCATTGAGAACTTCAGGCCGACTTGATGAAGGATTGAGGTTCTGCTTGCTCCGGTGTGAGTGATGCTGATACCCCGAAAACGCGCTAGGCGTCGGCAGAACATCGCTAGCACCGGGTACCCTTATAGGATTACCGTAGGACCGCTAAGGGGGTGGACAAAAAAGCAAACAAATGGCGTGGGGGATTGATTAGATTGGATTGGTCGGGGGGTTGGAGACAAAGACAGACCTGAGGACACACCGAGTCCGATATGGTATGGCGCCCATGATGCCATGCTTTTCAGATATGTGCCTAACCCCCCTTGTCTCGATCTAGGTCAGAATTAGACTGAGGAACCCCCAGGCTCCCAGCAATGAGCGCGGATCGGGAGCCATCGCTATATCTCGATGGAGCCGAATGAAACGCCACGATCGCTGGCCAACAAGCTCCCGTCTCCGGACTGGGATGGCTGCCGGATCCTATTGGAGTATCTGAGCGGTAGTGCTGTTGGCCTTCATCGTAGCCTGGTGGTGGTCAAACACCTGTCCAGACACCTGAAACTTGCCGGTCACACCTGCTCCCGACCGAACCACTCCGCCACGAAGGCTGTCAGGACAGCATCGTCCGCCAGAGCCAGAGCCAGAGCCTACAGGCCGTCATCCGACGACGGTCCTTGCACTGGTCACAGTGCAGGTGCATTTTCAGTACTCCGGGCGCTGTGGGTGGTCGGCTAGTCGGGATTATCTGACATAGTGCATGCAAACTGCAAAGTGTGAAGTACTTATGCGGTGGGAAGCACGGACATCGTCACGGACCATGCATTCCCCGGAAACGACCCTCTCCCAGCGAGCTGAATGCCGGCTGGATGGTTCCAGAGTGGATTTGCAGCCAGCCGGTCTTAATAATAAGTTTTTCCCACGCCAGAAGAACCTAAACTCAGTCGCGCCTGTGGACGGTTCCCCTCCAGGGAAGCCCGTCGGAGATTGACATCATGGCTCCCGATGCAGCAAGCGAGTTGGGTTTTAGTTTAGGAGCTGTGGGAGCTGTAGGGGGAAAGGTGGAGGGGGAAGGAAAGGTAGCTGACAGTAGTGTCTGAGGCGGTGGAAGTAGAGTACTAAGTAGATAGAAGAGAGATATGTCGATGTCGCAGTTAGGACTGGACTTGTCGTAGTAGTCGTATTAGCAGCAGCAGCAGTCGTCGTAGTACCGCAAAGGAAACCACAGCTGCTCGGTCTGGTTTAGCGGGCGGCGCTCGTGGCCAGAGCCTCACCTTCAACTCTGCGCAAGTTCCCTCTTTCTTCCCTCCCGCCGACCGTTCTCCTCCTCCTCCTCCACCACAACCTCCTCCTCCTTCTCCGCCGCCGCAAGCCTCCTCTGACTTTGTCCCATCCCATGTCTTGACCCCTCCCCTCCCTGATTCTTTGGCCTTTTTCTTTTTTCTCCCTATTGGGATCGTCTGGCTTTTCACTCCGTCTCGCCCTCCCTCTTCCTCCATCCTCCCTCCCCCCCCGACCCTCCCCGCCCGTCTCGTTGACTCGTCCGCATCCGCGTCCGCATCCTCCTCATCCTCCTCCGTCCTTTCTGTCCCGGTTGCGGGCCCGAGTGCCTCCGTTCCAGAATGTGCGATGGCGTTTCCTGATCGATGCTATTCACCCTCCAGAACATGAAGCACGTCTCGATCCCGTCGCGCCCGACGCTAAACCCTGTGCTACGACTATTTATTGCCTCTACTGTCATCGCTGCCCTTCCGGAGTCTCCCCTTCCAACGGTACTTGGTGGCTGAGGCGTTCTGGCTGCATTAGAGTTTATATAATCTTTGTCCCTTATACTACCGACTACGCAGTATCTATATCCCACGCCATACCATCTCCGATTCTCCGAACCCCCCCCCGCGGTTCCCTCCACGACGTCTCTACGAGCTTATAATACTTTTTCTACGGTCGCCTCACATTCGGAACCAACCTCGTTAATGCTTTCTCTTTCCCCCCAATCTCCGTCTTCGATAATCCGCCATTCGTGACCCCCCCGGCCCGTTCTCTCGCCACAACCCCGAACTGCACTGGATATATAACGAAAACATGGCGTACCGGAGTGGTGACCCGTCTGAAGGGCGGCGGAGCTCTGAGAGCTCTGGAGCAAACAGCTGGTTATCTCAGGAGACGATCAGGGAAGGGCGCAGCCATCGCCACCTGCAGGACAACGACCATATGAATGGGCGCAGTGTGTCTCCATTTTCGGGGTCTAGGGACTTAGACAGGTAGGAACAATCTCCCTGCCACCTTTACCGTTGTGTTGGACCCCCCTGTTGCGGTCGGGGATGTCTTGTAAGGAAGCGGCAGAAACAGCTCCCAGGGACGTGGAGTGGGTATTGTGCGATGGCCTGGCTTTTGCTGTCGAGTCATACCGCTGACGGGCAGTGAATGATGAATGAACTGGCTGCCTTTCATACCCGCTCGCCCCAGTGAGGTCATCATGAGCTGCTGCATTGTGTGCCTGCATTCATCCTGTCTTTACCACCGTTGGTGAATCCTGTGTTGCTGCTCGCCAGTGACTGCAAGCATGGACCATACCCATGATGTGCCTCTCCTTCAATGCAACACCAAAAGAACAGCGCCTGAGATGTTGTTTTGTCTAGCTAAGTACTGACTTGTATTAGATCCGATTCACTGAGCCGCAAGTCACCAACAATCAGAGACCCAAATGACTTCTATTCATCCATATTTTCTTGGGGTTCTTCCGAATTTGGCCCCAAGGATCAACAACGCAAACCCCCTCAGTTCGGTAGCCATCGAAAAGCGTTGAATGTGCTGGGAGCCGATGAGAACGTCATCCCCGCGGCATCCAGCTCCAGCTCCCAGCTGCCGGACCTGAATCTCAACAACTCCGACTATCCTCAGCCCGACCCGGACCCCTCATTATCTTCCTCCCCCGCACTGGCACCTACTGATGGCCCGTCTACCTTTTTTCACGACTATTCAGAGCAAGAAGCGTCCCCCGCATCCGCCACATTTCGCCCGGGAACCGCTCAAACGTATGCAAGCGAACCTTTAGAGCTGGACTACAATGGTGATCATCGACGGCCGTCGGTAGCTAGCGCGATGACAGTCAGTAGCCAGGGGTCTAAATCTAGCGCCGGTGCACTGTTTCGAAAAAAGCTACAGGGCTTTTTTGGGGATGAGTATCTTGGGAATGGTGATTCAAAGCATGACTCGGACAATCACACCCAGGGCTCCACCACGAAGCCTTCGTCGCTCGATCAATTTAGAGCCCGAGAACGAGCCAATTCCGATGGCTCGCGGAGCACAGCAGCGCCAAAAGACAAATCTCAAGGTCAGAGATCCGGAACAGCTGTGCCGTCCAAAGAAGTTACTCCATGGCTCTACCAGAGCGTCAACGTAAGTTTTAGCACGCAATATGTGCCCTTAGCTTCCTGGATTTTGGAATTGCGATATTTTTTTAATATTTGTAGAGTCAATCTAACCCGTTATGTATCACAGGATATCTCTCAGTACGGAGAGGCTCCTGTCCGAGAATCGCTCATAGGAACTTCACCAGCGCCCGAGGGTCACCGTGGCTCGACGTCGACATCGACGTCTCACAGGGATCATTCCCGGCGACATTTTAGCGGTCACCGCCATTCGCGAAGCAAGGAAGAGAAGCCAACAGCGGCGGGTGACCTGGCAGGCTATTCACACCGTCCAGCGACAGGACGTGATGATTTTTCTCTTGGATTTGGCCCGTCTCGAGAGGGTAGCTTGAACTTTCCAACGCCGATGACTTCTACTACAACGCTTGTCGGCCGTGCTACTAGCCCAACGCCGAGTGTCCAGAGCAGTTACTCTCGGGAGCAGGGCCAGAATTCCCCCGGAGCACAGACAAGTAAGCGTTCTTTCCTGGATAAGATACGTCGCCCGAAACACGGCAACCTGAAAAATATCGCCGGATCAAAAGCGGCCCTGGAGACAAGTAAAGTCGCCGCATCTAAGCTAGCTCGGCGTGAAACATCACCCGCCAGACGTGGAAGACAGGGAAGCATTGAAAGCGGAACATCGTCTCGTCTGGTTGAACCTGGAGATGGCGAGCGGAGAAAGGATAGCAAAACTCTAGCCCTCAGTGCCTCCAAATTGAGAGCCCGCCGAGGCCATGGAAATGATCTGCCCCCCCCAAAGGATTTCAGGTATCCTGACGAGGCGAACGTGTGGGCTCTCGATACAGACCTGTCTCATATGGAAGGCATTGTAAACCCGCCATCACCGGGTGAAAGAAGCAAGCCGCTTGATGGGGCGGCGTCAATGCGGTCTGAGGAAACAAAGCACAATCCCGCAGGCAATTGGGACGCCCCGGAAAGCTGGCAAGTGAAAAAGCAAAGGGAGGAGGTTTCTACTCTACTCCCTCCGGACACCTTCGAACCTGGCCCAGCTATCGCCGAGTCTGACGGGGGGACCTGGTTTATACGCGTCTTTCGCAGGGACCAGACATTTGTTACGCTGTCGGTTGGGCTATACGCCACTGTTTCTGACGTGATCCATTCGCTCAGTCGGAAGTCCTTCGCCGGTGGAACCAATAACACCGAATTAGTAGTGCAAAAAAATGAACTTTCAAGACAGCTTGATACGTCCGAAATGCCCATTCTCATGCAAAAACGGATGCTGGAGCAGGTGGGCTACACTGAGAAAGACCGGATCGACGAAATTGGGCGAGAAGACCACAGTTACATTATGCGTTTCACGTTCGTGTCCGGTAAGATCAGTGGTGGCTACAGCAGCCTCGACGGCAACGATCCCCTTTTCAATAAGGCCCAGCAAAAGTTTAGTCACGTGGACCTCTCGAGTCGAAAGCTCGTCACGATTCCCATTAGTCTCTACAAGAAGGCTTCGGAGGTCATATCATTGAATCTATCGAGGAACCTGTGCTTGGACGTGCCAAAGGATTTCATCCAAGGATGCATAAACCTGCGCGAAATCAAGTTCGTCGGCAACGAGGCCCTCCGGTTGCCTGCAAGCTTCTGTCTTGCGAGCCGGTTAACATACTTAGATGTGTCGAATAATTCCCTGGAGGATCTAGCACATGCCAACCTTGACAGACTGCATGGCCTTGTCAGTATCAAAATGGCCAACAATAGGCTTTCACTGCTGCCGAGCTACTTCGGCAACTTCCATTTTTTAAGAAGCCTGAACCTATCATCAAATAACTTCCAGGTGTTTCCGGAACTCCTCGCCAACCTAGGTAGCTTGGTGGATCTTGACATCAGTTTCAACCATATCTCCGAACTTCCAAACCTCGGCAACATGACATCTCTGGAGCGAATTTGGATGACCAACAACATTCTTCGGGGTGCTGTGGATGATGCATTCAAGGACCTCGTTAACCTGAAGGAAATCGACGCTCGGTTCAATGAAATCACGAACATCGATAACCTACGTCTCCTGCCCCGTCTGGAGCAGTTAACCGTCGGCCATAATTCAATCTCGAAGTTCAAAGGATCCTTTCCCAAGATGAGGCACTTGGCTCTCGACCATTGCCCCATTACCCAATTCGATATCGACGCACCCATGCCTACGCTGATGCATCTCAATATAGCTTCTGCGAAGCTGGTCCAGTTCCGCGACAGCTTCTTTGACAATGTGCCCAACTTGACCAGATTGACCCTTGACAAGAATCACTTCGTATCAATTTCCCCGCACATTGGTAAATTACGCAGGCTTGAGTTCTTGAGCATCATCAAGAACCCTCTGGCCGCGCTTCCCGCCACTATTGGTTGTCTAACGGAGCTCAAATATCTCAACTTGAGAGAATGCAATCTGAGAAAGCTACCACCGGAGCTTTGGTATTGCCTGAGACTCGAGACACTGAATGTATCGTCAAATGTTCTTGATAGCTTTCCGAAACATGGATGCCCTCAGCCCCAGATCCCTAACGAGGCGGCTGGGACTCCCGCCGCAACCCCTGGCGTATTAGTGAACTCGAGCTACGAGGAACTCGGTGCTTCCGAAGAGCCAGAAACACGCCGACCAAGCCAAGCATCGGGTACGGTTCTTAGCGCGGGCAGTTCGCCGAACGGTGGACCCTACAGGAAGCCTTCCGTCGCATCTTCCTTGGGGCCAAGCAGAAAGGTCTCTACGGCCTCCCGCTCCCTCGCCGATGGGAGTCCGTCTTCTCGCAAGGACTCAAACTTTTCACAGCATGTGGCGACGACTTTAGCTGGCTCCCTCAGGAATCTCTACCTGGCGGACAATCGCTTGGAGGACGACATATTTCGGGAGCTTTCGCTTATCCCAGAGCTGCGTGTCGTGAATCTCTCGTACAACGAGTTGACTGAGCTACCTCAGGGATTGTTGAGGCGCTGGCCTCTGCTCGTTGAACTATACGTCTCGGGCAATGAACTCACCTCACTTCCTTCCGATGACCTTGAAGAAGGGAGTAACCTCAAGATTCTTCACATTAATGCGAATCGGTTCCAAGTGCTCCCCGCCGAGCTCTGCAAGGTTACCAAATTAACGATTCTTGATGTCGGGAGCAATTCTCTCAAGTATAATGTCTCTAACTGGCCATACGACTGGAACTGGAACTGGAATCGGAATCTTAAGTATCTGAATTTTTCCGGCAACAAACGACTGGAGATCAAGCCGCCTGGATCCTCTCTATCGCACCAACAGCAGCCGCAGAAGGAGCAAGCGAAACTCACCGAGTTCACTTCTCTTATCTACCTGCGGGTTTTAGGGTTGATGGATGTCACTCTTACGATCACGACAATCCCGGAGGAGCATGAAGATCGCCGTGTGAGAACATCCGCTTCACTTGCTGGCTCACTTGCCTATGGCATGGCCGACTTCCTCGGTAAAAGCGAGCATCTTTCTATCTTCGACATGATAGTCCCTCGCTTGAAGCCGGACAAAGTGGAAACGGTTGTAGGGATGTTTGACGGACAGACCCAACCCAATGCCGGTTCTCGAGTCGCGAAATTCTTGCACGAAAACTTTATACATACGTTTTCTTCCGAATTGAAGCGGCTGCGGCCCGAGGTGCAAGAGACACCGTTAGACGCGCTGAGGAGGGCATTTTTGACCCTGAACAAGAACATGGCTGCAGCATGCTACAAATCCCTTGACGCGGATGTTCGACGGTACACGGAAGAATCGCCTGCGCCAGATCAGAAGAAAGTACGACTAAACAAAGACGATATTCACATGGGCGGCATTGCCACCGTCATGTATCTCAATAACATGGATCTTTATGTTGCGAATGTGGGAGATGCTCAGGCAATCCTCGTCAAATCGGACGGTTCTATGAGATATCTGACCCGGAACCATGATCCCGCTGAGTCTCACGAAAGAGCAAGAATCCGAGCTGCTGGTGGATATGTCTCCCGCGCAGGTAAATTGAACGATACTCTTACCGTCTCAAGAGCCTTCGGACATTTCGAGATGATGCCTGCGGTCATCGCGGCTCCATACACTATGCATGTCAACCTCACGGAGCAGGATGAGATGGTAATTTTGGCGTCCAAAGAACTGTGGGACTACGTGACACCGGATCTCGTCGTTGATGTTACCAGAGCCGAACGCCGGGACCTCATGATTGCGGCGCAGAAGATTAGGGATCTGGCTTTATCTTTCGGTGCGACAAACAAACTGATGGTGATGATTCTGGGCGTGGGTGATTTGAAACGGCGCGAGAAGATCAGGTTGCGGCCTAGCCTATCCATGGTCGGTACGCCCGAGGAACAGATCATCCCTAGCACCAAGCGCACCAAGAAGCCGCGCGATGCACCCGGCGACTCCAGACTTGCTCGGTTTGAATTTGTCGATGCACCCGTCGGTGAACTGGCGATCATCTTCACTGACATCAAGAAATCTACGAGTCTGTGGGAGACATGTCCCGAGGCGATGCGCTCGGCCATCCAGATTCACAATGACATCCTCCGCCGGCAGCTAGGCATCATCGGTGGCTATGAGGTCAAAACTGAAGGTGACGCATTCATGGTCGCATTCTCGACGACTACGGCCGCTCTGCTATGGTGTTTCAACTGCCAGACGCAGCTTCTCGAGGCTGAATGGCCAACAGAGATCCTTGAACAGCCCCAATGCCAGGTCCAGTATGACATGGAGAACAACATCATCTTCAGGGGACTGTCAGTCCGGATGGGTTCGCATTGGGGCGAACCCGTTTGCGAGAAGGATCCCGTGACCAACCGCATGGACTATTTCGGGCCAATGGTAAACCGGGCATCGCGTATCTCCGCAGTCGCAGACGGCGGTCAGATCTTTGTATCATCGGATTTCATGAGTGACATCCAGCGCAACCTGGAGGTCTTTGCCGATAGTGAACGAGCTGCCTCGACGGGTTCGGAAGACAGCTATGCGCTTGACGCCCTTGGGTACAACATTCGCCGTGAGCTGCAGCAACTCAATAGCCAAGGCTTCGTCATCAAAGACCAGGGTGAGCGCAAGCTAAAAGGTCTTGAAAACCCGGAGCCTCTCTACCTGATATATTCTCACTCCTTGTCCGGGCGGTTAACGACGCTGGCCAAGGATGCAGGCAACGAGCTTGCTCCAACTACCATCAGCAAACATTCCCAGCTGGAGATTCAGACGGATCTGATCTGGCGGTTGTGGGAGATCACCCTCCGTTTGGAAAGACTATGTGCTGCGTTAGAGTATCCCGGCGAAGCCAGGCTCAAGGAACCCAATGTGGCTTTGTTCAACGTGGTCAAGAATCATGGCGGTGAACTAGCAGACTCGACCGTGGTCAGCCTAGTTGAACAACAGGTGACCCGCATCGAGGTAAGTAACGGCAGTCTTATCCCATCCGTGTCCTCCAAATATACTGACTGTTTGCAGCTCTGCATCAGTAGCCTTTCCATCCGTCATATGATGCGCCCCTTCAAGCCCGGCGATCAGCTCAATGACCACGCCATCCCCATTGCCGATGTGATGCTTCAATTACAGACCCAGCTCGCAGAGTACCGCGCTCTGAAGGAGCAGATCGATGTCAGTGCTGGCACTGCAACGAGCTATACCGGCACCGATCCCCAGTATAGCCACGGCGAGAGCGGCCCCGGCTCCGACTCTGCATCGTCGTCGGACGAGTTTACCCCTGGCGGATCTCGTCCTTGAATGTCTCCTCCCTCTCACTATCCTCTCCCACTTTGCCTTATAATTCCTGATGGGGGATACTGGCTTTAATATCATTGTATCTACTTATTGCTATTTCTTTTCCCTTTCTGTTTTTTCTTTTTTTTTGTCACTGCACAGCGGCGTCTCGTGGGTCGGTGGGGTGCATTGCAACATCTTTCGTAGCATGGATAGGAGCCATGGAAGGGTTGGTTGGATTCGATTTCGTCTTGCTTCTTGCCCTTGTGTCTCCTCCTTCTCACTCCGTTTCTGGGGGCACAGTTCTTCGCGAACACTTTTTGGTTACTGTGCATCTAATGAAAATCTAAAAGTATCTGATGAGTGTCTATCTTTCTTTTGCTACTGGGAATAGGTGATTGTAAGTAGATTTCTCTTGTCGCCTGCGCACTGCTGCTTGGCTGATAGCCCCTGACGGATTGTGTCGGCCACACCTCCACGAACCAACTTGCCTCACCTCGGTGGAATGCCTGAGTAAATCCCATTCGGAGTATAAAAAAAGATGAATCAAGGATTAAATAACTCGACCATATTTAGGATTAGAGCCTTGTGAAGTTGTGAATTAGTCCAATGACTATTCCAATATAATGAACAGTAGTACATAAAACGTATTGATAGGCTAGGTCTTGAGATACCAAGATCAATGTCTAATTAATAAGATGTGTGTTGTTTTTCTCAATCATAGTAAGTATTAGGGAGATTATATTCCAGTTATTGATATAAATAGTGTTTCAATTTTGATTTGTTTTTTTATGTCTTTTTTAAAATGGGATTTACTCAGCTTCCTAGCAAAGCAGGTGATAAGTTTGTGGTCGACATCGAGGAAACATGTCTAGACACCTGAGGTTGAAGTATGTATGTACAGCCTGAGGAGGCAAGAGGGCTGGCTGGCACCTCAGGCGTCAAGTAATACCTTAGGCAACCGTTATTTGACACCTCAGGCAAGGTTTGGTGATACCATATCCACGTGACACACGGACTGTTTGTTGTGGTTTGATTGGGCCGGGGCGTGTTCGCCCCTCGTCATCTTCACTCCAACAACTCTCCAGCTCGTCGTCCGTCCCATTTTCTCCTCGTTCCATTCTCCCCTCTCCCCATCCATCACCTCTAAAATTCCTGCAGTTTTCATCGTCCCTGCATCGCAATTTGCTTCCCCGATACACATTCGCTACTCTCTGCCATATCCGAGCCAGCCAGTTGGCTTCTTCGCCACGGCCCCGCTTGGTTGCCCTGGAGACGAGGCGATTAACGGCTCCTTCCGTCATTGACGAGCTGGGGCTTGCACATTATTCTCACCACAAGAGCGGAGACCCGGGAAGATCTTTCCTTTCCTTCTTTTTTTCCCACTCGTCTCCATATCTACGCCTCCCCTGTTTTTGGCCCAAACTCGCGTGGTACGGATAAGTACGCGGAGCGCTTTCACTATGGCGGACAGCTTGGAGTACCTCGCGTCTGATTTTGACCTCAATTCCCTCACCGTACCGCGTCTGCGATCCATCCTCGTCAGCCACGATGTCCCCTACCCGGCTTCGGCCAAAAAAGCACAGCTCATCGCCATTTTTGAGGCAGAGGTGCTCCCTCTCGCCAGAAAGCTTCTGCGAGAGCGCGAGCGCGTGAGAAGGACCAGCGAGGGTATCACGGATATGCCAAGTCGCGGGGCATCTGTGGCCAGCGACTACGACGAACAGCGCGAGTATACCAGAGACTCTATGCCACCACCACCTACCCCATCTACTGTATCAACAACCACTGGAGGACGGAGAGGGCGCTCTAGAGTGAGTGCGAGAGCCTCGACGGCGGACACGGAGGAAAGAAATATGACCGCGACCCCGTCGGCAAGCTCAAGAAAATCGGTTCCCAGGTCTCAGGCGAGACGCCATCGCACCTCAGACACGGAGTCGCATGATGACGCGCTAGCGACCCCTGTCGCGTTCGAGACTACAACCCCGCGAAAGTCCACTGTTAAAAAGCCACGGCGAAGCGACATGACTCCATCAGCGGAGCCCCAACCGCCTTTTTCTGCCATCAAGTTGGAACCCAAGGAAGAAAGCGTTTTCACTGATGATAATCCATTCCAGAGTGGATCGCCAGCCCGCTGGGAGCACAGGACTCCCAGGGCTTCTAGTCACAAATCGGAGCGGAAAAGCGGTTCGCGATTCTCTCTGGAATCTCCTGCCCTCAGCAACGGAGTTCGATCTCGGAAATCTGCAACACCAATGGAGCTGCATGATGAACATGGGTTCACTCCTTCCAAGAGCTCACCGTTTGCATTCCCGATCTCGAAGATGAGGACCCCTCAGAAGGAGCCCGAATCAGAAAATGAGGAGGATGACCAGAGTGAACTGAGCGCAGGGGAAGAATTCACACCGGATGAGCAGTTGGCGCTGGAGAGGGAGCATGCAGACTTGATGTATGGCGCTCCCACCAGGCGGCCCCAGAAGCAGGGATCCGCAAGCCGAGCTGCGCCATGGATCATTATCCTGGTGCTTTTTGCTGGATTTGGGCTGTGGTGGCGCAAGGAAAAGGTTGAGATCGGCTTCTGCGGTATTGGAAAGCCTACCTGGTCCTTGGCTGAGACAAGAGTCCCCGAGTGGGCGAACGTCCTAGAACCCCAATGTGAACCCTGCCCTCCCCATGCTTTCTGCTACCCTGAATTTGAGGCTCGCTGCGAACACGACTTTCTGCTCAAGGCACACCCGCTATCGCTGGCAGGGCTGGTCCCGCTCCCCCCTACGTGTGAGCCCGACAGCGAGAAAGCACGCCGGGTGAAGGCTGTCGCAGACAAGGCCCTGGAGGCGCTGCGTGACCGACGGGCCAAGTGGGAGTGTGGAGAGCTTGCACAGGATGGAGAAGGCGTGACGGGCCCGGAAATCAGCGAGTCCGATCTGAAGCAGGAAGTGGGAAAGAAACGTCGTAAAGGCATGAGCGACACCGAGTTCGACGAACTGTGGAAAGGCGCACTGGGAGAGGTGGTGGGTAAAGAGGAAGTGGTGACCAAGGTGAAGCAGTAAGTGACTTGTTATTTCCTCCCTTGTCGGCCGTCGACCGCGCCAACCTGCACCTCGTGGCGAGACCAAAGCTTTCAGATTCTGACGTGTGTTCACGGAACTAACAGAGGCGACCATATGATTACAGACCATCTTCTGTCCTCACCCTCACTTCGACCTCCATCCGCCGACTCCCCCTCACATGCGCCTTCCGCCGCAACCTCCGACTCTCTCTCGTCGCGTATAGACTACCTCTTTCAGTTCTAGCCTTCTTCGCCTTCGCCTTGCTTTATGCGCGTTCAAGAGTTCGGGCTCGTCGCTCCGACAGGGCCCGAGTCCCTGAATTAGTCGCCACGACGCTCGACCGCCTCGCGACGCAGGCCGCGCTGCACGCTCGGGGGGCTGCTCGCGAGCCGTACATCCCAATTGGGCAGCTCCGTGACGATGTCCTCCGTTCCGAGCTGCGCGGTAGTCGGCGGGAGGAGCTCTGGAAGCGAGTCCGCAGCGTGGTGGAGGGCAATGCCAACGTCCGGGCCTCCGTTCGCGAGGGCCGCGGCGGCGATGTTGCCCGCAGCTGGGAATGGATCGGAGGGATTGGTAGCGTTCGGGCTGAGATCGAGAGCGCCGCTGCCACCGGCCGCGAAGCCAGCAAAGTACATTTTCCACCTCTCTCCACCGAGCACAGCCGTAGCCCGGCTAACGAGGCGACTGCGCCAGTGGCCAGGAGCCCGGGCGAATCGCGCAAATGGGATGAGGGTCGGCCCATCTACTAAGGGTCCTGTCGTTCAACCATTTCTTCTTGGGGTCATTATTTCTTTTGCTTTACATTATTTTACAATGTTGTGTGTACACAGGTTTCAGATTCTTGTCTTTCCCCCCTCCTTTCTTGTCTTTTCTTTCCAGGATATCCAGACAGCTCGGTTTCAGGACGTTGAATTAGGCAGGATACTGCATTTTATTTGTGCGGTTTTGGTCTATATGCACCTACCCCCCAAACTGGTACGGTAATGGAACGCGTGCACAGGCGGCCAATCCTCTCCTGGTGCAGACAACCCGTGTTTTTGAAATCATACGCTTTGGGCCTTTCCCCCGGGGTATGTGGCAAGAAGTACTCTACATATTCTCCGTTCGTCTATCGGTACCCTACACCGCGCACGTAGTCGACGACTCCATTGTTCACTGCCAGGCTATCCCGGGTTGGGATGAGATCACTTCCGCGCCTGAGTCCGATGATTCGTCCGATCAGACGACCATTAGCTGCCCCAGCAGGGACTAGCCTAGCCTTGGGGGCTGCAAGTTCAAGAAACCTGCCGCGTCCAAGTGATACGTTGAACGCTTGACCGTATTTGTAGTTATCATGGCAGACTCAACTATCCCTTGCTGCACCAACGATCCTCCTTATGCGGCCGCAATCGATCCAGCGGATCTGGGGTCAGGCGTGGAATGGCGACCCGTGTGCCTGAAGCGCGTCAGCAATCCAGGAACGGGGCTCCCCAGGATGCCATCGAGGTCGCGTCGAGTAGCTAGAAGAGGGCTAGTCTCCCAACCTAATCCCCAACTTCCATCCGAACCATGGGATGGAGATACTGTGTACCTACCGCACAGACCGTAGGCAAGTTGATAGGTAAGTAGGATGGGCTCACTGAGACCGTGATTGCAGGAGACTGACTGGTTCTGGTGTTCCCGAGTTTAAAGAGCGCCTCACGCGCATCATGCACCTGTCATGAGAAGTGTGCTGATCTTCCCCGAGTCCGGGGGAGAGACGATAGTGGTACGGAGTAGGGGAGAGCCATGGCGAGGGAGTGAGTCTGAGGGTCAGTGGCTTGGACTGAGCAGTGGTTGGTCCATCCGGCGCCTTCCCCGACCGGGTCAAGGCGGGGGACGCGCACGTGAGCGTCTGCCCTGCGATGACAGCTGCCTTTCCATACTTAGTACTTACTTCATTTCTGTACCAGCCACAATACTTCCTTCCTTCCCTACCGATCTCTCTTCCTCATTTCCTCCCCCCCCCCCCCCTCCCCCCTTTTCCATCTTTGTCCATGTATCTGCTGGATCTTCGCTCAGTGGCTTGGATGCGGCCTTTCATGCAACAGACATGCACCGTACTTTGTACTCGCACCAACTGCGCCGACTGCGCCGACTGTCAGAAGGAAGGGTGGGAGACGGACACTTAGAACCGGTGTGGAAACGGGTGGGACTGCCTCGCATCGAACACTCACCTCGTTCGGGGTCCGTGTCGCCCAGCCAGTTCTAGTCTCTCACCTGCCCGTTGGTCATGTGGCTATACGGCCTTGGGAGTTGGCCGTTGGACTTGGGACAAGAGCAGGTAGCAGCATTGCCGAAGACCTCGACCCAGCGGGCTGAGAGCCTAAGACACTGGACCCTCTCCTCGTTCCACCGTTTTTCTCCCGTCGTGGCCTATCAAACTATGCGGATACAATATCCGGGAACATAAGGCCGTCGAATTCGCGCAGAACTCCTCAGTTAGCTTTCCAGAGTTATGTTCCCAGGACCCAAGTAAATCCCCCCTCCCCCCCATGAAACCTCGAACCAAGCCCCCCGCAGCAGGTGAAGACGACGCTCAACCAGGCACGCGGCCCCCCCCCTTCTAAGGGTGAACGAGCCCGTCCAGACCAGGGAACCATCCGCAACAGAGACAAGGAAAGGGGGTTCGATCGGGAACGCCTCCATTCTATAATGGCCAGGGGCATCCAGGAAAGGGGGAGCCGGCAGATCCTCTCGAAGGGGAAGAAGGGTCGGGGCGAATGGGAGGCTGGGAAACCAGGTTACTCAGAACGAGGGCCGGATGGGCCCCTGGCCCCATTCGCTGTGCCGCGTCGTGGTGACCAAGAATGCTCTACCGCTGCTAGGCGATTCCTAGGGCAGCTGGGTCCTTGACAGTCATGCAAACCTGTGGTCCGAGGCGATGATTCGATGGACTCGTCATTTCGGCCGTCAATCCAACCTCGCCAGCCGAGAGTCCGCCGCGCCCCTCGATCTGGCCCTCAGCTGCTGCAGGTTTCTTTCCACGCATTTCTGGCCCTACCACCTTCCCTCCCATCCGGTGGCTAGCTGGAACGACTGAGGGCTGCCGCGCCTTTTTGTTTCCGGAGGGATGGCCCGTGGGCCTTCGTAGGCCGTCTCGCTCGCAACACACCGATTCTTTTTTTTTCCCACTTGTATTGGGCTGTAATTTTGAGTTTGGGAACCCCCCCTCCCCCCCAAGATGATTGTCTGTCTCCAACCACGGATTTGGGCCGGTCTTCCTGTCGTCTGCGATTGCCCACGGTAAGGGTGGTGTGACGCAGCAGCAGCAGCGAAGACCTGGCCACTGCCCTAGCTTGGTCAAGCATGACCTTTTATAATCGGCCGGCATAGATGCGCCTCCCAGCCTCTCTGCCCGGGATGTTATCTGTCACCTCTCTGGCTTCCCCTCTCAACCCCCACGGGCCTTGTTTCTTCTCCTCCCCTGCTTTCTTCCTCGTTTGACACCAGATCCTGGCAGTCAGAGCCTTTCCTCAGCCATGCCTCAACAGGCCTTCCGTGCTATCGCCCCTAGAAGAGTACCAGAGTCCCCAATCCCGCCTCCTGCGCCCGAGGAGGGGAAAATCAAGCGAGCATCCACGGCTTGCGGGGAATGCAAACGTCGTCGAACGAAGGTAAACGACGGCCCCCTCCCACCCCCACGGACCATTCAGTGCCCTCTCCAATACATCAGACTGGTCTCATACTCCTCTGTCGTTCAACTGCCCTTCGTTGTCGAGTCTAACATGCATGTTCTCATCAGTGTAGTGCAGTGACAACGGGGATCCCGTGCGCTGAATGTGCCGTCCACAATCGGGAGTGCGTCATCGACGAATATGCCGACAAACGACGCAAGGTGGCCGCCAAGCGGACTGAAGAGGCGCTCGTTTACTATCAGGGCTTTCTAAGTCAACTGCTGCACTTCATCCGATATATTGACGGTCCTACTCTCACCGAAACTATGGACTTCATTCGGTCGGGCATTTCCGATTCTGAAGTTCTGGCTACCGTTTCGCGGTTCGGACCTAGAAACGAGCTCAATGTTACCGACGGAGTGGACGAAGGAGACGAAGTGGACGGTGTTGATGGCGTCGAGGATACGGATGGTGTGGACGCCGACGGTGTGGACGACGTAGAGCTTGGCGCGACTGAGACAACAGAGACGACAGAAAATACCCCGTCTACCAAAGGCAACAAACCGGATGGGGCGAACCCCATGGGACACGATCTCATTCTCAACCGATGACACCAAACCGCTTGATGACAGCTTGCCTTCCCTCCGCAAACACGATGCCCGACTCTCATGCACACCGTGACCGTGTCGGCACTCGACGGGATTCGGACCGAACAATGCGCCTGTGACGGAGAAGAGAAGCAAGAAGAAAAGTGCCAGGCTATGTGGAGGATACCGTTACGTTACGTCTCTTAGTCGCTGTTAAACAAACAGGAGAGAAGAGCATGCTTTCGCGCTGGGCCAAGCCTGCTAAGCCCCTTATTACTTGTCTTCCCCGTTTCCTTCCACCTCTCTCTCTCTCTGCCTTCTCCCTGGGCTCCAGTCGGTGTGGTCGGCCGACTGGATGGAAATTGTGCGAGACCTGCGTGGCTGTTTACATTGTTATTTCAATAAACTACTACGCAATTGGAGAGACTGTGAGAACCAGCCATGTCAACTCTAGCTGGTCTTTTATATACATCGCTAAACACAAAACCCCTGGCCAAACTTGCCCCTCCCCCCCCCTCCCCTTACACCACAGAAACTCCCGTGCGTGGAAGACTAGTGGGAGAGAATGAAGCACGGGGGGGGGCTGCCAGCAGTTCATGGCCCCTCCTTGGCGATCTCACTCGGGATCGCGATAAAACACACGGGGAGAGGAGGGGAAGGGAGTGGGGAGGGGGCATAGACGGTGGCAAATAATTCGAGTGGTCGTCTCACTAGTAACAGAACCCTCATCCATCCGTCATATGTCGATCTGTGTTATCTTCTAGAATCAGGAATGATGGGTCGGTGACAGCGAATCGTGCGTATGAAGGACCGGCTATGATTGGCTTGCACAATCAGTTGCAGCTCCATCGGCCAACGCCTCTGGCTTTTGCTCTTTCGTGGTCCTGGCTTGCTGAAGAACGATCTTCCCTGTAGATTGGGCTTCAACGGCGATCCCGATGGCTGATCGTCACGGACTCGGGGGGTCATATTGGGTATTCTTGCGACGCTGCGGCCCCCGCTGGACGGGTGCCTTCAAGTCCAAGCACCGGGCTGCCTGGCTGGTAGGTAGGTGCTGATCACCACACGACTATAGGCTATCTGACTTGCGGGGTACAAAGTATCTAGTCGATGGTTGACTGTTGTCGTTGTCCCCAGGCCAGCACCGGGAACATCTCGAACCGGATGGGATCGTATGGGCTCCCTCTCACCACCCACCATCAACCACACACGCGCACTCTCTTTATTGGCCTGGTGGCGTGGGTATATTACCCACATCCTCGCCCCCGACCTATCTACATAGTACTGTACTAGTGTCTACTACTACAGTCCAATCCGCTCAGGCATGCCCCTTCCTCGTCCGTTTACTATGCACGGCCTATACAGATGGTCACAAATACTGAGTATGGTACAATACTCCTTGCCTCGCCCCTTCCCAGAATATCAAGGGGCTGCCTTTTTGCCCTTTACTCGGCCTTGAGGGCCTCGCCTCGGCGCTTGACCACCAATGATCACCCGCGCTAACCATGAGCTTGTCCTTAGCAGTTGCCGTCTTGCCCCGAATAATGCGCGTTCTGCATGATTAATATTGCACCCCCACCATCCTTGACCTGACGAGTGTGGCGTCAACCCTCAGGCTCAGGCTCAGGCTCAAGGTGGTGATGCATCGCGTGGATCACATGACCGACTCTTCTTCTCCCGTCTAGGTAATAATGGGAATGGGTATTGTCTCTTCCTGGATCCACTCTGGACCGCAGAGTGCAGACTGCAGATGTCATCCCACTACTACTACTACCGTGACAGCCTCCGGTATCTCCGCGACCAGACCCGGACACGTTACCATCTGTTACTGTTGGATATCGTGCACATATCTATCGCCAACAGTTGAACACCGAACAGCAATACACTACTGCATCGCGCACGCACTATCCAGCTAGCGCCCGAGGGCTCCCGACGGTGCAACTAATCCCCATCGGCGTCCAGTTGCCTGATTGCGCGGGAGAATTTATCCTGCTGTCACTTTGAGATTCCTTTGCGCCGGATGGGGGGATCGTCGCGTTGACAACTTGTCCGTGCCTGTGGTCGATTTTCAATCCCCACGACCACAAATCCACAGAGATCTTTCCCTTGGGATTACCTAGAATGGTATGGCCTTGTCTGGCCTACCTAGGTAGACTACTCGGCTCCAGAGTCCTCAATTCCCCGAACGAGAGGGGTCTGAGAGACCGGAGGGTGAGGATCGATCGTACCTTCCCGTTATCTGATCATCTGATGCGTGGGCCGAAAGGACGGGGCCCTTCTTCCTTTACCTTACCCTGTGTTCCCGGGGGGGGGGGGGACTGTCAGGCTTGATTGATCAGGGTTGGGTGGAGCAGTGTGCGCAACTTGAAGTAGTATTTTCGTGAACTACGGCGTACAATGGATGGATAAATAAAGGGTGGTGGGTGGTTTGGAGTACTTTGTACAACCGCTAACAGACCAGTCATATATTCCATTATTCTCATACTGCTATTCATAACTGGCCTTTCTCATCTCTATCCACATTATTACAGTATCTACGACCTATCTACCCGTGGTTCCTGGGGTAAGATTAATTCCCTCGTCTTAAGCGGAGATAAACCCGCTCTTGTACTTTTGTAGCTATCCACGACTCCACATAGGGCTTTGCTACTGATCACACAGTGAATCGCAGTATCTAGTAAAGGATGGGGACTGGGATCAGACCGGAGGGGTGCTCTTAGGGCAATTTTTTTTTTTTATTTTTTTATATATAGGTAGATGGTAGATAAGTCTATGAGTCATACGATCAATTAGGATTGTGTAAACTAGGTACCTACTGTGAAGATGTTTGCTTTTATCCCTGCTATCTTTAAGAGTTTTTTTAGCCTCGTCTAGTCTCGTCTAGTCTGGGATGCTAGGTTTAATGTTTATGTTTATGTTTGTCCGAACGCTGTTCTTGGTATGGGGTAGATAGGAAACGCTGGATGGATCGATACGATACGATACCTACGTAGGTAAGTAGGTAATTGCAGATCTATAGTACCCCCCCAATGATTATCTAGCTATATCCGTACGTTTTCCAAGCAGAAAACCTTGGTGACGGGTTGGATACCGGTGCTATACTTCCCGGATGATGTCGCTGGGACAGCGAGACTGGTAATCCCGCCCTAATCAAGGCACATTCTGAGGTTGTACTACTTTTTTTATTTTTTTTATTTTTTTTGTGGAATTACTCTCTTCCTCTCGTGCCTGTCAGAAGATAAGATTCTTAATGCCACGCATTGCCCTAGCCCTCCCTTTCTTCCGAATAGCACCGGCACCGTTGTGGGTCTCGGAAGGTCCCGCGTCGGCGATAAACCCATGAATCAGATCTCGGATTCCGGTTGCTTTCCTATGGCCAACGAGAGGGACACCTCGGGTTGTTGGACTTTATGCAGGGGAGAATAATCATGGCGATGGATCCGATCGATCGAGAAAGGAAGGAGCTCGGAGTCTGGACTCGCGACCTTCATTTTGGCCCCCTCTCGCCAAGATGATGTTGTGTCGCACGCGAGCTCAACTTCACTCCCCTTCTATATATATTACACTATGGCTCAGATGATGATGTTCGACTGGCAGCCTTGCTATGACGGGTGGGTCCGAAGTACATAGCTGGAGTACAGACTCTGGGCTGTGGACTTTTGTCTCGTCTTTGAGAGGTGAAGACTCCGCCTGGGGAGGCACAGCATTTGTCCGTCAGCACCTCTGAATCACAGACCCGGGATGGTCAACCTGCAGCACCAATCTGCAGATCCCCAGCTCGTCTCAAGACAACCTGCAAGTGGGACTGTGGTCGCTGCCCCTGGAGCCATGTCCCATGACTATAGGAACAGGATGAAAAGCTAGCAAGATTCGAAGTGAGTACAACAAGGTCCCATGGTGTGCAGTGTGCTTGAGCACCGATCCATATCAGAAGCCAGTCCGTCCGTCCGTTTTTGCCATACCTTCTAGAGTCAATCCCATGCAGGACGTTATCGACCAGCAAGACCATTGCGATGATCAAACCCCTCCTTGTTTCCGCCCTGTTCGCCTGGACGTTATCCCACGGCTACAAGTGCGGCACCGACGCGAGCTACGACTACGTGATCGTTGGCGGCGGCACGGCAGGCAGCGTGGTCGCAACCCGTCTGGCCAAGGCTGGGTTCGAAGTCGTCATCCTCGAGGCTGGTGGCATCTATGAGAGTATTCTCCCCGAGCTACAGGTTCCGGGCAACATGTATCTTACCTGGGGAACGGACCTGGACGATATCAACCTCAGCGTCGACTGGGGGTTTGTCACCACGCCGCAGGCTGGGGCCAATGATCGGAGAATCCACTACGCGCAAGGCAAAGGGCTCGGGGGGTCGTACGTGCTCTTGCTTCTGTAGATTGCAAGTCAGATATCGAGAGCCTATTCTCTAACAGTATCCAGGACCGGCGAGAATGCGATGGTATATCAGAGGCAAGTCCCAACAGTCCTTCAGGTGAAGACCTGCTTCTGACGGCCACGCAGAGGGACGCAAGGATCTTACCACGCATGGGCGGAGAAGGTCAATGATTCCAGCTACGAGTGGGAGCAAATCCTCCCCTTCTTCAAACGAGGCATCCGCTTCACGCCGCCGGACCCCCTGAAAAGGCCCCGAAACGCCACCGCTGCCTACAACCCGGGGGCGTTCCTGCGCACGCCTTCCTTGATGGCGGTTGAAGTGAGCTACTCCAACCAGGTCGGAGCCTTCCTGACCTGGTTCAAGAGGAGCCTGCAAAGTGCAGGGATCCCCGAGATCCAGGACTTCAACAGCGGCCGTCTCCTGGGGACGCAATACTGCAGCTCGACCCTCACCACCAAAGCGCGTCGCAGCAGCGCCGACTCGCTGATCGCCGTCCTCGCAGGCACAGGGAAGTCAACCCTCACCGTGTGCGTCCAGACCATGGCGAAGCGAATCATCTTCGACGAGTCCAAAAGCGCAGTCGGCGTGCTGGCCGAGTCCAAAGACGCCGAGTTCACCGTGTCGGCAAAGAAGGAGATCATCATCGCCACCGGATCCTTCCACTCCCCACAGCTCCTGATGGTCTCGGGGATCGGACCGGCGGAGACGCTCGAGAAGCACGACATCGCCGTCCTCGTCGACCTGCCCGGCGTGGGCCAGGACATGTGGGATCATCCCTTCTTCGGCCTCTCGTACCCCGTCACCATGACCACCGCCACCCGCTTCATCGTCGACCCCCAGTACCAGACCGACCAGACCCTGAAATACATGGCCTACCACAAAGGCTACCCGTCCCAAGTCGTCGACACCCTCGGCTGGGAGAAACTGCCTCTCCTGTACCGAAAGAAGTTCCCTCCTGCCGTGCTCGCCGACCTCGCCAGATTCCCTGCAGATTGGCCAGAGGCGGAGGTAAGCTGAGATCAATCCCCCCCCCGTCACCACATCCACTTTCATAATATAAAATACAACAGTACATCGGAGCCGACTACTTCGTCAGCAACCTCTCCAACGCCACCGCCCAACAACCTCGCGACGGCCACTCCTACGCCTCCATCCTGGGGGCCCTTGTCTCCCCGACCTCGCGCGGCAACGTCACCATCGTCTCCAAATCCACCCACGACCTCCCCCGCATCAACCCCAACTGGCTCACCACCGAGACCGACCAGCACGTCGCCCTCGCCATGTTCAAGCGCATCCGCAGTCTGTGGCGCTCCGAACCCCTGCACTCCATCGTCATCGGCCCGGAAGCGCATCCCGGCGAGAAGGTCAAGACGGACAAGCAGATCCTGCATGCCATTCGGGAGAGCGTCATTCCGATCTGGCATCCGGCGGGGACCTGTAAGATGGGGATGCGCGGGGAGGATCCCACGGCGGTGTTGGATTCCAGGGCGCGCGTGTTCGGCGTCAATCGGTTGAGGGTCGTGGATGCGAGTGCCTTTCCGGTCTTGCCGCCGGGGCATCCGCAGAGTACTGTTTGTGAGTTTTTTCTCTTTCTCTCTTTTTTTTTCTCTTTCTCTCTTTTTTTTTTTTTTTTTATATATAGTATTGTTGGTGGCGTTTGTTATGACTGTTATTTTGGTGTGTTCTGCATGAGTAGGGCTAATCAAGATTGGTTAATTGGGTTTGGGTGTAGATATGCTGGCGGAGAAGATCTCCGCTGATATCATCAAGGGGGAGTCAAGAGATCCGGATGGAGATGGAGATGGAGATGGAGATGGTCAAGACTTCAGACGGGGATGAATCCATGAATGATCACGACCAGAATGAGTAATTCGGTAGAGGCGTGGGCGGGGGGGTAGACTGAAGTCCGAATACTAATTAGGATGGAGATTTCGAATGTGAATGCGAATGTTTGGACTTTGCGATAGTCTGGAGAGCACTCCACTCCACTCCACTCCACTCTCCTATCCTCTACTCTACTCTATCCGACCCTAGTCTTGTCTGGTTTATAGTCATCCCTAATAATGACAGGTGCTTCTTTTACAAAATGAACATGGCCATGTACCCATTTAGCAGACCTCTGGGTGTATTGAAAATAATGAAGGCTTGTATTGGAAAATTGAGAAGGGAAGAATGTATAGTCTAGCAATACTGCAGGATTAGTTGTCTTAAGGCAGTAAATATCCCCCCCAGTCGTACAACCAGCCCAACAGCCATAAGCAGCAGCCCCAACACCCAAGCCATTACCACATCGAAAACGGCACATGGGGATACATCCGGCAATGCAAATTTGGATGGTTGGCGTGTTGATAGAATCTCATCCATCGAGGTATATAGCCAAGGTTAGTGTGCGTCCTGATCAAGAGGGCAGGAAAATGCGGGTACGTACTGGGGATGGCATTGGTTTGTTTGCCTGTTCGGCTTCAGGATATGTGAGCTCTGGAAGAGGAAAGCCCGGGATGATGTATTGGGCGGTGAGGATTTTTGTTTGGTTGTAGAGTCTAGAAAGAAGAAGAAGGGGGGGGGATGTGGTTAGTTGGGTTGTGGTGTGAGAGGAAAAAGAAGGGGGGGGGTATATTTCCCTTTTAGGAACTGCTGGCTTGTATCGTTCCTCCTGGGATGCCCTCTGGGAGACTAGAGATACTACTAGGCTCCGGGATATTCCCCGGGGCCTGATAGTATCCCTGGGATGTCTCTGTAGGCCGGCGACATCTCGGTTCCGGCTCACTTGCGATCGGAGAAGCCAGAGCGCGTGCACGTTGGGAGTCCGGGGATAACAGGGACCTCCACTGGCTGTCATTCCGCAGGAGTAGACGCTATTCTGGGATCCGAGGAGGGCTCGATCATGGCCATCACTATCACTGCGGAACGAAGCTTCATCTATACCGAGATCCACCAGGCGAGGGAGATCCCTCATCCACACGAAAGCCTCCCGCCATGTGCCCGTCTCGAGACGACATTCCGCGAAGAAGATGCGTTGGATGGAATGCCGACACTGCTGGAGAAGATGCAAAAGCGCCCGATCGGAGAATCGGACCCGGCGGAGGAAGAGGGATTCAAGACGAAGGGGGGAGGGGCTGAACGTGAACCGGGGAAGACGCGATTCGTTCACGGACCCGATCTCAAGGGCCTTGACATTGACGGCCCAATCGGCCAGCGGGAGGGTCGGCAATTCCATGATCTGCTGCAGGTTGCTGCCGTCGGGCTGTCGTGTCCGATGTCTGAGCACAAGAGCCCCGAGATGTCGGAGACGGTGAAAGACGTGTCGCAGGCGCATGCTGTTCGGGACATTCAACCGAGGTTCGATCGCGTCAAGATACCAAGTCCGAGGCAGTTCGAGCCGAAGCTCCTCGCGATCCAGCCCGGGCACCTGGCGGAGACTATCCGCCACGATCCGGCAGAGGGCAGAGTTGGCATCGTCCAGATCCTTCAGGGGGGAACTGGGGTCATCCAGGCCCAGAGCCTTGAGATTGGAAAATTTGGCCAAGCACGATGGTAGACATTCCGCCAGCGCCGCCTCGTAGGCGCCCCTCTCAACGCTGCCACCATCATCTAGGTAGGGGGGTGGCATAGACGCCTGTGACCATCGCTGCCTACCATCCCCTCGGATGGATCGGGCGAATCCAAGGTCAACCTGGCGCACATGCCGGGCGTGCGGGCTGTTCGCGATCTGCTGCAGCCTCCACACCGGGGGCCTGGTGTAGCTGCCGGTGAGTCTGATATCCACCTGTCGAAACAGCCATGGTGAGGCGATGCGGTTGAAGGTCTTGTTCGTGAGACGCAGGCTGGCCAGAGTCTGGAGACCGGGTTTGTTGCGGCGTTCGTTGTTGGACTGCCGCGCGTGCTTCTTCTGGATCGTGAGTTCCGAGCTGTCCATGTCCAGGACATGGCCCATGATCTGATTTGCGAGTTTAGTCTGGGTCCGATGGCCTGTCGGTAGGGTCTTACCATGTCGAGAATTTCTTCCGGGAGTTGCATGTTGGTTAGGGGGGCAGTTCGATGCCTCGGGTCGGTCAAAACGGGGTGTGGTTGTAAGACCTGGAGATATCGCCGGATGGAAATTTTTCTTCGACGAGGCTGTGATTCATGACGATATCCATCGCTCGTTGTGACCTCATTAGGGTGGAGGTAGGGTGAGTTGTCGGAACCAAGATCCGCCTCGGGATGTTGTCGATATAGGGCATGGTCGACTGTCACGAATTGGTTGGAATAATTGAGATACTATGAGACATGGCTCTGACTCTCTGCGGGGCATTCACTGTCTCTTCTCTTGCCTCGAGCTAAGACCTTCATTTTCCCACCTATATATCTCCCTATTTTTTTTTTTTTTTTTTTTTTTTTTTTTTTTTTTTTTTGTGATTCCGCTGTTGTTTTTCATCAATCAAGATACTATATGTATATACAGTACCGTTTGTAGGGCGGCGGTGATCCGATGCCGAAAGCGGGTGATGTTGACGGTCTCTCTTCTTCACTCTTCTTCTCTTCTTCTCTTCTTCTCTTCTTCTTCTTCTCCTCTTCCTTCTCCCTTTTATCCTCCCCCCTCTCCTTTCTCCATCCATCTCTCTCTTTCTAAACTCTCCCCAGCATCAATTCTTCACTGACCACACCGCTCCCTTTAATTGTGTACTTTAATAGTGTGTACCCCCCCAATCTCCCCGCGGTGGAGCCATGCAGTCCCCCCATACAGTCCCCCCATGCAGTCCCCCCCGACCCCGCACGAGGCCCGCTTCGCTCCGTCCCTCCGTTTTCTCCGTCGCTTGTCGCTTGTCGCTTGTCGCTCGCCGTTCCTGACCCGGAAACTTCTCCCTCGCGCATCCCAGCTTTCCCTTCCTCGAGCCTACATTCTCATCCCTTAGCGGAAAAGGACCGGCCACGTTCGCCATTCATGTCTCGGTTCAACAAGCCCCGAGGCAAGCTTCTTCCGACCTTGATTCAATGGCAGCCACTCGGGACAGTTCCCTGCTCTCGAGCATGACCGCCGGTACTCGACGTCGCTCCACCTCCAGTACCGATGGGCCAGTCCCCTCCAAGCGGCGGAAAAGAACCTCGCCCTCCCCGGCCACCAAGCCTCACGGACCTCGCCAGAAGATCACAAGGGCCTGTGACCACTGCAAGGAGAAGAAAACCCGCTGCACGGGCACTCTGCCCTGTGTGCGCTGCTCAAAGCTGTCGCTGCCTTGCGAATACAATGCGGCCTACTCTCGAGGCCTCCCCCCGGTCCCGCTTCCCCCGCCCCTATCGATGGGGGAGGATGGTGCAGACAGCCCCCGTGTTCAAGACGTCGTCGTCACTACAAACGCAAGTCCAGGCCTGCGCAGGTCCGGGTCTGCCCGGCGCTCCTGCAGACCGGTCCTTAGCTCACGCCAGCCCCACGGGGGCAATGAGCTGTCTCAGCGTAACTCGCCGGACCCTGCGGTCACCGACTTGGAGGGGAACTACCTGGGACCGGCATCAGGCGTATCCTTCCTCACTCGTGTCTGGGGTCGCCTGCACCAGGATAAGCTGCACGCGATACCCGATGGGCTGCAAGATGAGTCTTCCAACAAGAACACCTCCGTCTTCATGTTTGGCGACAAGCCGTACTCGGACTATCGGGAGGCTACCTTTACGCTGCCACCGTTTGACAAGGCCCAGGAGCTGGTCGATATCTACTTTGACTTCTCCATGGTCACGTATCGCTTTTTACACCGGGGAAGCGTCGAGGGGTGGCTTCAACAGGTGTACGAAAGCAACGTCTCCTCTTCAAATCCTCCAGTGGGTCCGATGGTGGTGCGAACGGCCATCATTCTCATGATTTTCGCCGTGAGCACCCTTTACGAAGAACAACGACCTAGTCGCCAGGTGGACGGATGGTGTCAGAGGTAAGTGTCGCCAATCTAGCCCTCATTCTCGATACGATACTAGCCATCCTAGTGAGCAATGGTATGCGGCCTCCAAATACATGACCTCTTTAGAGTCCGGACCCCCGCGACTGGAATCGGTCCAGGCAAGGCTGGGCCAGTGTCTCTACTTGCTCGCCACCTCTAGAGCAAACGAATGTTGGTACTCTTTTGGCACAGCCCTTCAGCTGGTGACTGCCATGGGCTTGCACCGCAAGTGCCCCGGCAAGCGTCTCAAGGGAGGGAATACGTACTTGGATCGAGAGCTGCGCAAACGCATCCTGTGGAGCGCTTATATGCTGGACCGATACCTCAGCATCATGTTCGGGAGGCCGCGCTTATTGCATGATGAAGACATCGACCAGCACCTTCCGGAGGAGGTGAATGATGAAGATATGCTGCAGGATGATCCGGCGCGAAGGTCCGGGTCCGCAGACTGCATGATGATTGCGTCCATTCTCCACTTCAAGTATGTTTCCCGTTCTGTGGTAGCGCCAGTGCTGACGGGACAGACTCGGCCGCATACTGGGCGACATCTCCCGGCAACTCTACACGGTAAATCCTTCTTCACGGAGCCCAGCTCTGGAGACTGCTGCTCGCCTCACGTCCGAGCTGGAGCAGTGGAAAGCGACCGCACCGGCGCTTTTTAACAGTGTTCGTGCTACTAGCCTCATCCCCCCACTCTGCAGACAAAGCCAGGTTCTGCAATTAGCATACTCGCACGCCGTAATCCATGCCACACGGTCATTTCTTTTGAATGACTTTACGGATCTGAGACGCAGACCGCAGGCCCCATCGCCAATGGTGTCTAGTCACGTACGGAAGTGCGTCGAAGCCGCCCAGCAAGTCATGGAGCTGGTGGATAGCCTTGCCAAACAGAGCGTCCTGATCCAGTCGTTCTGGTTTACCCACTATGTATGTTTCTGCGCCATCACAGTTGTATATATCTACACGATCCAGCAGTATCGAACGGTTTCTACCCCGGAGACGCCTTCACAGGGCACCGAGGACATCAGCCGTCTGTGTCCGCTCTTCCAGCTCGCAGAAACGTGCCAGCACCACCTTGCAGAGGCGACCCGCAAGAACTGCCCGAGCCGTCGCTATAGTATTATCCTGGAGGAGCTCCGAAAGGAAGTGCACCGGCAGATCGGTCCAGACTTGAGCTCTGTGAGTGACTCATCTGAGCAGTTCCAGAGCATGTGTGCGAGTCAGCCAGTAGCGGAACGACATCCCAATCTTACCCCGGTCTACCCGCCCATGCCGCCGGATGTTGGGCCCCTCCACTATCCGGGTCTGCAGCTCGACCTCACGGGACACCCATTCGGCCCCGATGGCGACATTGGACAGTCGATCGATAATCTGGAGGGGTCTATCTGGTGGACCCAACTAGACTCTTGGGTAGGTTGATCCACGTCTACGTGTCTCTTGCTGATTGGGACTGCAGGCATTCGCTAGTTTTCCCGGTGATCCCTCGACATTTGGTTTGTAGGTGGCTCGAACCGGCCAGTTGTATATAGTATGGCCTCGCCTCAACCGCCCTAGGTTAAACTTATGTTGAGCAGCCAAGTGGATATCTCCACATCTGGCGGCTTCGGGCGGATGAATCAGTCCTATACACGCTAGTACGCTTTGGCTTATCGCTCAGTAATTCCGGCAGATTGCCAATGAGTCATGGTCACAATGGTTGGGGGCTGGGTAGGGTAGATACGGGTCAGCAGATGGGTATTTTATATTAGTTTTCAACTCTGACCTCAGCGCACTAAATGCTGACCCCACGGATTGGATTGATTGGGGCCAACCATCAAGTGCTTAGTCACCGACTGACTATAACTAACTATAAAGTAGCCAAGTAGTCGGGTGTTCGCCTTCTTCGTCAAACAATACTCTGTCAGATAACACTCAAGAAAATGGCTGTCGGTAGTTGTTTCTGCGGCAAGATTCAAATCGAAATGAATGGCCAGCCCCTGACGTCGGCAAGTACACCCACAGTATCCCTTATCAACTCATCTAATCCTATTCCACTAGGGACTGTGCCACTGTCTCGACTGCCGCAAGCTTACCGGGTCAGTTTTCAGTTACAGCCATGTCGTCAAAACCGCAGACCTAAAAATCACGGGAAATCCGAAGGCAGTGGCCAAAACATCGGACAGTGGAAATCACATTCGGAATTATTTCTGTCCTGACTGTGGTACGCATCATAAGTCAGACTGCATTTAGCAAGGAAGACGTCTGACGAACCGTAGGCTCGCCGCTTTTTGGCCGCAGGGTAAACCCCGATGGCGAACCTTGGGAGAATACAATCGTCCGGGGGGGAATCTTCGATGACGAACGATTGTTGAATGATCGGAAACCGGACGCGGAGTTGTTTACCACCAGAAGAGTAGAGTGGGTGGCTCCTGTCGAGGGGACTGCCCAGTTTTGCGGCATGTTGCCGCTGCCGTGAGCTACCCAGGCTTGTCGTGGGCTGGCTTACTCGTGCTGGGGTCGACGTGAATGTGTGGTGCGTCAGGTGTCAGATCTGGCACCATCACGCCTGCCCAGGTGCCGAGACAGCTGGGTCGTCGAATGGTATTATCAGGGAACGGTTGCTGCGAGCTAGCGTGTAGTTTGTTTTCCGGGCCAGCTAGTCGGATATTTCTTTACTTCAACGCACCCAGTCCGCTTTATCCGGCGCAAAGAGGATGGATGAAGTTTTTCCGAGGCATATCAATGTCGATGGGCGAGGTCTGGTTGGCGATGATCCTCGCGGATAAATATCCGACTCGCGGCTTTTCCACTCATGGGGATCAATAACGTCAATATGAAGGCACCCAGTGGTTTGAGGCGGCGAAAGACAGGCGGATGTAATAAATAGGACGGATGCTCCGGATTCTGGGCTATTACTACAATTGATGATCTCGGAGCTATCACAAGATTGATCTGGTATATACGAAATCATTTATTGCCAAAAACACCTGCCGAAGATGCTCTCCACAATTCCTCCTCAACCACCAACCTTACATGGCCCTGTCTCCAAAACGGACATCCCCATACTGGACAAGTCTCCAAGAGAGCCCCTTACAATCGATGAGCTCGTTAGAAGCCGTGCGTCCGGAGCCTTCCAGCCCGTCATATCCTATCCACGAACGGGCATCGAATATGTGGACTATTCTCTGAACCAATTGGATATCTTTGCCTTTCGCGTCGCCAAGGTGCTCGCAGATCGCATCCCCCCGCGGGCCTCATCAGCAGAGACCCCCGCGGTCATTGCGTTGCTGGGGCCTTCGGATCTCAACTACCTGGTTATGATGCTGTCGTTGGCGAAGCTTGGACACAGCGGCCTGCTCCTGTCGACACGGATATCCGTGGACGCGTATGTCTCATTGCTCGACAAAACCCAATCACGACACATCTTCATCCACAGCTCCTTCCGGGACACAGCTGCAGACATCAAACAACGGGTTCCTGGCCTGCGGATTGATGAAATCCCAACCGAGGAAGCTTACCAACGTCCCATCTCAGAACCTGTCGACACGAATCTGGTCCCATATCTGGATCCGGTAGCCGAGTCGAAGCATATCGCCTGGATCATCCACTCGAGTGGATCAACAGGACCTCCCAAGCCTATCTTCCATACCCAAGCGGCCGCCTTGCAGAACTACTCCGGACACATGAACATGTCCGGCTTCGTGACCTTGCCGCTATATCACAACCACGGAATCAGCTGTCTTTTCCGGACCATCCACGCCTGCAAGCAGCTGCATCTGTATAATGCCGAAATACCGCTAACGCGGCAGTATCTGCTTGAGATCATGCGGACGAGGGATGTCGAGGTCTTCTACGGCGTTCCGTACGCGCTCAAGCTGCTCGCCGAGTCTCCGGAGGGCATATCCGCTCTGGCGGGATTCAAGGCCGTGATGTTCGGCGGGTCCGCATGTCCTGATGCTTTGGGGAATCTGTTGGTAGACAACGGAGTCCATCTCATCAGCCACTATGGATCGTAAGACACCTTTCACTACGGTGATACTCTCTCCGCTAACAGTGTCAGCACCGAAACCGGTCAGCTAATGATGTCCGCCCGCCCTCGCGAAGACAAAGGATGGGATTGGCTCCGTCCGTCCGAGACCGTCAAGAAGTTCCTGCGCTTCGAGGAGCGGTTCCCGGGGATCTACGAGCTGCTGTGTCTGGATGGATGGCCTTCCAAAGTTGCGAGTAACCGGCCCGATGGCTCGTATGCCACCAAAGACCTGTTCGTGAAGCACCCAACCATGGAGGCTTACAAGTACTATGCCCGCCTGGATGATACCATCGTCCTGGTGAACGGCGAGAAGGTCAACCCGTTGGACCTGGAGGGACGCGTCCGACAGAGCAGTGCCGTTGCCGAAGCCATCGCCTTCGGTGCGGGCAAGGCAAGCATCGGACTGGCTGTCCTCCGTGCCCCGGATACCGAGTCGTCCGACGAAGCCATCATCCAGGATATCTGGCCTGCGGTCCAGCAAGCAAACGAGTCCCTGCCTGCCTTCGGCCAGCTCTCCAGAAGCATGATCCGTGTGTTGCCAGCGGAGACGCAATACCCGCGTACGGACAAGGGCACGGTCATCAGACCGGCCTTCTACAAGGCCTTCGATGGTCTGATCGAAGAGGCCTACGCCGCGGACGATGCCCTGGCCGGAACGCTTGTCTTATCCGAGCCGGAGCTGAGGGCGTTCCTTAGAGAGCAGCTCCTCCAGATGGTGCCGCTCAAGAACCCAGACCTCTTGACGGATGACGCAGACTTCTTTTCTCTAGGCATGGACTCTCTCCAGGCTACCCAGCTGCGCTCCATATTGATGACCGCTCTCGACACTAATGGCCACACATTGGGGCTGAATATCGCGTTCGAGCGGCCCACTGTCGCTTCTCTGGCCCGGTACCTTGATGCCCTCCGCACTGGGGCCGCGCAAGACAACCAGCCCATAGTCGAGCAGATGCGTGCCCTAATTGACAAGTATAGCCACTTTGAGCCACAAGTCCCCCTGCCCGGCAATCTTAAGCTTGACCTTGACAGCCCGGGGCGATGCATTGTATGTTTTCTCCCGCCTTCCACCCTCCCCATTCATCTATCTATCCAGACCATACCTCCCACTTCCCTTCCTCCCCAATCCATCCCCAATCCATCCCGAAAACTAACATCAACATAGCTCCTAACCGGCACGACCGGCACCCTAGGAATCCACATCGCCGCACAACTCTCCCTCCTCCCCACCGTGCGCAAGATCCACTGCCCCATCCGCGCCCCGGACCCCAGCACTGCGCACACCCGACTCCACGAATCCCTCCGCCGCCGACGCCTGCACACCCTCCCCGCGGAATGCCTCTCCAAACTCATCGCCCTCCCCTCCCCCACCCTCAACCACCCCACCCTCTCCCTGCCCCCGGCCACCTACGCAGCCCTGCAATCCGAAACAACAGATATCATCCACAGTGCGTGGTCGGTGATTTACAATCTGAGGCTGACGAGCCAGGCGGACGAGAATCTGCCCGGGTTGCGGAACCTGCTGAGCTTGATGATTAACTCGCCCAGGGGGGAGAGACCGACGTTTAATTTCTGTTCGTCGGTGAGTTCGGTGAGGGAGTGGAGGGTTCGGGGTGGTCCTATTCCGGAGGAGGTTCCCGATGATCTCTCTGCTGCGCAGGGGATGGGATATGCGCAGTCGAAACTTGTCGCGGAGCATGTTTGTTTGAATGCTGCTGTTGCTGTGGATGCTGTGGATGCTGCAACTACCAGCACCAGCACGACACTGACACCGACACCCACCCCCAGCAAAGCACAAGAGACCATGAACATGAACACAAATATAAAAAAAAAAAAGAAAATCCGCATCCTCCGCATCGGCCAAATCACCGCCGACTCCATCCACGGAATCTGGAACCCCACCGAAGCCATCCCGCTCATCTTGCAATCCGCTCTTACTGTCGGCGCGCTCCCAACCCTGGATGATTTTCACCGCTGGTTGCCCGTGGATGTTGTCGCTGGGGCTGTTGTTGATATTTCGTTGATGGATTCTGACTTTTTCCCTCAATCTCAATCTCAATCTCAATCTCAACCCCAACCCCAACCCCAACCCGAAAGCGAAAGCAAAACCAATCCCAAACCCACTCTCCACGAGAATGAAAATCAAAATCAAAACAGAAAAAATGGCTATGAGTATGACCAGGTCTACCAAATAACCAACCCCACGGCCTTCCACTGGACCACGCAGCTCCTTCCCGCCCTCCGAGCCGCGGGGTTACCCTTCCAGGAGCTAAATCCCCACGACTGGCTACTGAGGGTGCGGGGTGTGGATGATCCGGTGCGAAATCCGCCTTTTAAGTTGGTCGAGTTTTTCGAGCGGAAGTATGGGTATGGGTATGGGGCTGGCTCCGGGATTGGGCGTGGTGGTGATGCTGTGGGAGAGAAGGGGGAACTGGGGGGGAGAGGAAGAGGGATGATGATGGTGGGGGGGAAGGGGAAGGGGAAGGGGAAGGGGGAGAGACTCGGAACGGGTAGGGGCAGGGGCAGGGGCAGGGGCAGGGGCAGGGGCAGGGGGATTGGAGTATGTCACTGCTAGGGCGAGGGGGGTGAGTCAAGGGTTGCGGGAGGTGGAGGGGTTGGATGGGGGTTTGGTGCGGAAGATGGTTGGGTGGTTTCTTGGGGGGAGGGGGGGTGGAGGTGATTTAGTTATTATGTTAATGATATCATGTGTAATTAGGGAGGGGTGAGGGTGAGGGTGAGGGTGGGGATTGGGGTTGGGGTTGTTTTTGTGGATGTTATGGTGGTGATGATTGCCTTGAAGGAAGGATGATGTTGTTCATTTAAGTATCTCGGGTCCGGTACGGTATATTTGCCTATTCAATACTATGATCATATATAAGTATATAACAGTAGTTACTATAAAGACAGTCATAGTAAGATCATGATGATAGTATGTAATTAAAATACAAACCGAAACTAGAGCTCATATAATACTATATCACTATATCCAATGACCCGAATCCCAGGCAACTAACTCAACCAGTAAGTAGCCAGCGCCGATAACAGAGAGAAACTATACAAATATCTAGACGAATCCTCAACCCTCAGACACCACCGATGCCCTAAACATCATCAATCTCCCCCAACCCCCTCTCCTGCAGTCCCTCATCAACACTCTCCCTCAACATCCTCACTGTACCCCCCCACGACATCCCGAGCCCCTCACCGATCTTCCCGCTCGGATCCGGCGTCTTAAAGGCATCCCCATCTCCACCCCCATCCTGATCCTCAACCAACCACCTCACCCACCCCACCACCGAAACCGCCTTGTCGATATCGCGCTCGTCCACAACCACCCGTCTCAGATACCTAGCCAGAGCAACCACGTCTTCATGCAGAGGTCCCTCATCGCGGAACTCGGCGTGCCAGGAGCCGACGGCCTCGCGGAGGTCAGGCAGTGAGGTGAGCTTTTGGGAGGTGAAGCTGGGGCGGGGCGGGAGGGGGGCAAGGGGGAGGGTTCGTTCTTGGCGTTCTGGGGGAGGGATGGCGGATTGGGGCGGGCTGTGGTGGTTGTGCTGGCAGGGCGGGATCTTCGTTGTCGTTGCTGCTGCTGCTGCTGCTGTTGTTCTGAGAGGACTTCCCGGCGGATGTCCTCTGGGAGGGCGGCGAGGAAGTCCTCTGAGATTTGGGGGGGTTGATCTTGGTTTTGGGGCTGGGGTCGCGGATGGGGGAGCGCCGGGATGGGAGGCGGTCGGTTGTGCTGCTGGATGTAGGTCGGGGGAAGACGAAGCGGGCTTGGGTGAGGGCGGGGTTTCCCACCGATTTGGTGCTGGGGCGGCCGCGGCGTTTCTTGGGGGGACTGGTGGGTTTGCGCATCATGAGGGAGCCGGAGCCGGAGCCGGAGGAGGATGGACGTGTAGGGGCGAGGGCGGGAGATAGGGCTGGACCAGGGCTGGCGGATTGGCGGGTGTAGTAGCCCAGCACCTCGGCACGCACGTCCTCTGGCAGCGCCGCGAGAGTGTCGGGGTCGAGCTGGGACTGGGGAGGGAGTTCGGCGCTGACAGATGGTCGGGCGCGAGCGGGCGGACATGGCGACACGGAGCGAGACTCGCGGCGGGCTTTCCCTTGGGATATCAGTCGCGAGCGGATATCCGTCGGGAGCTCGGCAACCACCCTGGGGTCTGTCTGCGACGGCATGATGAATTGGGTTCCTGACAGGTTTAACGGCTTGTGGTCGCTGTCGCGGAACGAAGGGACCGGCCGGATCGAGGGTGTCTCTCCCTTGCGAGGACTGTCCAGGTCGTCGGGATCTTTCTGCTCGATGCTTTTGCGCACAGGGGACGCCTTGAAGTTCAGCTGGCGCTGGCTGCTCGGAGACCCTGACTTGAGGTGCTCGAGTTTGGTCATTTGCACGCCCAGCCCCCGCAAATCCCCCGGGGAAACCCCCAGGCTTCGTAGCATCGATACGGCCTCCTTTCCGAGAATCTCGGGGGCATCTGTGGCCACCCCGAGGACGACGCTCTTGTTGAAGACGTCGCATTTCCCGTGTCCCAGGTGCTTGACCGGCTCCAATGGGGCGTCTGCAGACCGTCTCATGACCTTGAGGGTCAGTTGCTTTCCCTTGACCAGATTCTCGACCAGTCGGCGGTGCAGTTCCTGACACAACGACCGCACAAAGTCGTCCGCTTGGGTCTGATCCACAAAGCGGATGCCCCAGTTGACCTCGGCCGATACGGACTTTCGGAGGACTTCATTACCCACTTCGGTGCGATCAATGCCCCGAGCGTACTCCCAGATCTTGACGCCGGTCTTGGGACCCAGGCTCGCGGCAAGCCGATCGCGAGGAAGTTCCCAAGCATCTTTGACGAGCGTCACGCCCAGCTGTTCCAGTTTCGTCCCTAAGCTATACCCCACCCCTGGGAGATCCCGGACGGTAAGATTTCCGATGAACTCCAGGACGGCGTCTGGTTTCAGCTGGAACTGGCCTGCAGGCTTTGCTTTCCGTAGCGCTACCTTTGCCAGTAGGATATTACCCCCGATTCCCACAGAGACCGCGCAACCCGAAGCCTTCTTGACCGTTTCCCGCAGGCTTTCGCCAATCTCATCGGCCTTGGCCTGTTCCCGGTACACCGACCCTTCCGATATGCCCCGGCCGTCCGAGCCACCCGCCTCGAGACATTGCATGGTGATGTCCACCAGCGCTTCGTCGATGCTGACACTCTGGACCATGCCATCCACGGCCAGGATGGCACTGTAGAACTTGCGGCTGGCGTCCTCGTAGGCGGGGAAGTCGTACGGCACGACGTTCAGGTCGGGACAGGCTTGCAGCGCACCCTTCATCCACATGCCGTTTTTGACGCCATGTGCGCGCGCCTCGTAGTTGCAGCTGGCAATCTCGGAGCCCGACCCCGTGCCGTGTGCCACGGCGACGGGTTTGCCCTGCAGTTCGGGGCGCTTCAGGGTCGACACGGCCGCGAAGAAGCAATCGAAGTCGACGTGCATGATGTACCTCCGGGCACCTGCAACCGGCCTTCTGCGCTTGAGCTGGGTGTGCAGCTTCTCCTTGGCCGCGGACTGCAGCTGGGCTTTTAGATCGGCCTTCCACGTGGAGAGGTGGTGTAAGCGAGACTCGCTGTAGAATTGCTGGATGAAGTCCGGGTTGGCCGCACTGGCGGTTCGCATGCGCGGGTCTGCCAGCAGCTGGGCATTGTATTCTTCCGAAGTCATCTCCGGTTTCAATGGGGCCGATTCCCGCACCAGGGGCAGCGGTGCCGGAGCTACATCGAGTTGGGTACTCTCGGGCTCGGGTTTCAAAAAGGTTCTAGGTTCACTACGTTGCGGAGACAAGAGCTCTGGCTCTGGGGTCTGGGGCTGGGGGGACGGCTGAACCGGTCGCTGCGGTGTTTTGCTGGGCTCGTCCAGCGAGGCAAAGCTGGGAAACTCGCCATAGTCCGACTGCGTGCCTGTGGCTGGCAGTTCATCGGCGGGCTGAGGCGTCTCCAACGGTGCCAACGGGGATCGCTGCTGTTCATCCCCCTGGCCTGCAGTTGCGAGGGATACCAGCTGGCATCGGATTGTTCCCGGTAGCCGGATCGCGGCGTGTTCACCTGGCTGGCCATGCGCCCGTCGTCAAACTTCAGCACCTTCTGGCCCTGGCCCTCGTCGATGACCCGGAAGGCATCCCAGGGCAGCAGCCGACCGGCGTTGACACTCTCGACCACCCATGCCGGCTTGACGATGCGATAGCGACGGAACTCCTCCCGTTTCTTGGGGGTCAGGGCGCTGGCGATGATGTGGGTGGCTTCGGTCTTGCCACTGAGGTACTGAAGGAAGCCGCCGCCATGGGAGACGACGAGGCGATGGAGGTCCTGCAGGGAGGGCTGGGTGTAACCGTTGACGTGGGCGACGACGCCGCGGAAGATGGGCGGCCGGTCGGTGGAGGAGGAGCGGATTTCGGCATCGAGATTCTGCAGCTTGATCTTCTTGCGGCGCATGTAGTCGGTGAAGCCCCCGAAGGTGGAGGCCTCGTACTCGTCGCCGTCCTCATGGTCGAAGTGGTCTGGAGAGAGCGAGTGAGCAAGCAAAGCGGTCAGCGGAGAGCTCGTGGATGATGTCAGTCGCGGCTCCACTCACGGGCTTGGATGCGCTTGCGCACGGCGCTGGAGTTCTCGTTCAGCAGAGACCCCATGCTGGTGGGAGTAGAGCATGATGCGGGGGGAAATGAGCGAGTCAGCCGGGTTCAGAGACAGGCGAGGAGGAGGATGATGATGATGGTCAAGACGAAGACGAAGGAAGACAGAGAAACTCGCCGCAAACACCAAAAGGCGGAGGAAGGCACCGCGGCACGTGATGCGGAAGGCACCACGGCGGTGGGCAGCGGCAGATCCACCGGGTGCAGCATGGTGATTGGCTGGCAGCTGCGGCGGCTCGTAAGAAAAAAAAAATGGTTGCCATCGGTTGCCATCGCCATCTTCTCCATCCCCGGCAGCTTCTGAACTTTTCCCTCTTCCTCCGTCCTCACCTTCTCCTTCCCACCTCTTCTCTCTCCCTCTCCCTCCCCCTCCTCCCCTCCCCCTTTCACTTCCCTTCCCTTTTTTCTCTGCGCATCAGGTAGACGACTTCTCCTTCGTTCCTCTCGTCTCCCTTCTATCTTTTTCTCCCTCAACATGTCTGCCGTTCTCCCCGTTGCCGTCTACGCCCTCCGGGTGCCCGCCGGTGGTGCCCTCATCCCCGCCGTCCCCGAGGCCTCTGCCATGGTCAGTATCCCTCGCTTCAGCTCCTGCCTGTCCGCAATCGCTAATCTGGACCCTAGTTCCGCATCAGCATGGCCGCCATTGACCCCGATGAGGCCCCCGAGTACGAGGACGGCTACGACTCCAACAAGCGCCCCCGCGCCACCCTGAAGCTCGTGCGCGCCCCCGAGGGCCTCGACCTCGACGACGAGGATGATGAGGACTGGGAGGACGACGACGAGGAGGACTCCGACGACGAGGAGGTCAACGGTGGCCCCAGCGACAAGGAGAAGGCCCGCAAGCTGGCCGCCGCTCGCAAGCTGGCCGACGCCATGGACGAGGACGACGAGGACGACGAGGATGAGGATGATGACAGTGACTTCGACCTGAAGGCCGCCATCTCCAAGCTCATCAAGGGCAAGGGCCCCGCCACCGACGACGACTCCGATGCCGACTCCGACGAGGGCCTCGAGCTCGAAGAGACCGTCATCTGCTCCCTGGACCCCGAGAAGGTACGCACGAGTGCCCGGCCCGTCGTGAATTCCCGCTAACTGTGCGCAGAACTGCCAGCAGACCCTCGACATCACTGTCAGCGAGGGAGAGCGCGTCTTCTTCAAGGTTACTGGTACCCACACCATCTTCCTGACCGGTAACTACGTCATGCCCCTCGACGAGCCCCGCGACGACGACTCCGAGGATGAGGATGACGAGGACTACGACCTCCCCCCCGGTGTCGACGAGCTGGACCTGGACGAGCTCATGGGTGAGGACGACGAGAGTGACGACCTGGACGACCTGGAAGACCCCCGCATCACCGAGGTCGAGAGCGAGGACGAGGCCCCCAAGCTGGTCGAGCCCAAGGGCAAGAACAAGCGCGCCGCCGAGGCCGAGAAGGCCGCCGCCGAGCCCGCCCTCAGCAAGAAGCAGCAGAAGAAGCTGAAGAAGAACAACGGCGAGGCCGCCGCCGTCGAGGAGAAGAAGGACGCCAAGGAGGGCAAGGAGGCCAAGGAGGCCAAGAAGGTTCAGTTCGCCAAGAACCTCGAGCAGGGCCCGACCCCTTCGGCTCCCAAGACTGCCGAGAAGACCACCGGCACCCTGGGTGTCAAGGAGGTCAAGGGCGTCAAGCTCGACGACAAGAAGCTCGGCCAGGGTGTAGCTTGCAAGGCCGGCAACACCGTCGCCATGCGCTACATCGGCAAGCTGGAGGACGGCAAGGTGTTTGACTGTAAGTGTCCCGGGGGTGGTTGTTGCTCTTGAGGAACGGTGGCTAATCCGTGCACAGCCAACAAGAAGGGCAAGCCCTTCACCTTCAAGCTCGGCAAGGGCGAGGTCATCAAGGGCTGGGACATCGGTGTGGCCGGCATGGCCGTGGGCGGCGAGCGCCGCATCAGCATCCCCCCCCACCTCGCGTACGGCAAGCGTGCCCTGCCCGGCATCCCCGGCAACTCCAAGCTGATCTTCGACGTCAAGCTGCTGGAGATCAAATAGATGTTTTCTCGTTTCTGTTCCACCGGTGTTAAAGGGGTTTCCAAATCTGACATGAGTCCTGTGATATCCGACTTGTTTTTTCGCTTGCACAGCCGTCGATGCATCTGGCAGGGATGAGGATATCGCACGCGATGCAAGCATCTTTGTCTAATGAAAAGTGGCTTTGGTTGGAGTTGATGTTTCTTTCCCTGTGTAGTCGTAGTATCCAGTCGACATTGGCATCCCCATCGGTATCGTCGTACCTTCCCCAGGCCCCAATGTGTCTCGTCTCAGTCGTACCTGCCTGGTCTCTGCCCTGCCCTGCCCTGCCCTATGCACTCCCCGTCCCATCCCCATCCCTCAAACATCCAACACCACGGCACTGGTGTTTCGCAGTCCCACCACTACTTTATCTGCATGCATGTGCATTACATTCTCTCATCCATAGTCCATCCCATCCCATCTCTCGTTGCAGCAGCAATAACAACAACAACAACAATACCCATTTCCCCAACGCAACGTACCCAGTTCACACCGTACAACACGAGGTGAACCATAACCACCACCATGGTCTCCCAACCCACCGACCTGCCCCCGTCCCCGTCTCCAGAAGACAGGATCTCCCTGCCCCGGTCCCGGTCCGCTAGCAACCCGGACATATCGGATGATGTTGAAGGGGATGTCCACCACAACAGCTATAACTACAAGAGCAGTCGGATCCGCGAACGGATTCGGCAGCGTAGTTCGCGGATTCTATCGTTATTGGGGTTGAGGGGGGCGGGAGGTGAGAGTTTTGCTGCTTATAGTGGGAATGGTTGGGATAGGCTGACGGATATAGCTTCGGCTTCAGCTTCAGCTTCAGCTACAGCCACAGCTTCAGCCAGCAGAACAGTCACGCCGCGAGAGCACGACGGCCCACCCGCCAGCGACAGCTCGTTCCATTCCTTTCCGGCGGAGAATCGAGTCCCATCTGGCAGCACAGCCATCGAGTCAGAGATTGCCCCCCACCAGGAGAGCAATCCCGCCCAACTGTCTGCGCCATGTCCGGAACCAGATATCCGCAAGTCAGACCTGCACAGCAAACTGGCTGCCGGGATGAAACGCAGCCAGTCGACGCCGGCAGCGCTCACGAACATCGTGTCCACGAAGCTGTCGACCACGTTTGGGAGCCCGACGGTCATCCGGCGGTCACATCTGAGAGCGGCGCCGAATATCCAGACGGTGCAGTTCCAGTCGCTCGCGCAGGGGCTGAACAAGGAGGGCGACAATACGAATGACAGTGAGGATCCGGAGACGTCGCCGGATAGTGGCTCGCCGGTGAGTACGCGGTCGACGCCGCCCACCTCGGAGGATCCGTCGAGTTGCTCGAAGCAGATCAACAGCCCGTTGGGACGGGATAGGGCTGGGGGCAAGTCGCTGGTGTCGAAGGGGTGGGGGTCGTCGTCGTCGTCGTCGTCGGCTGCCACGCCCTCGGTGGTGACGGTGGAGGCGACGACGAATGCCAAGGTGTTCTTTGAGACGTATTTCAATGCCGTCTTCTGCGGGGGAGATGCTCGATCGCAGCGACGGCAGGAGCTGGAGCAGTACCTCTATGGGCTGCCTCTCAGCCCGGAGGAGAGGGCGCGCATCTGGGACAACTGGGTCACGCAGGAGCGGCACTATCTGCGGCAGTGCCGGGTGCTGAAGAGCCGGTCGCACAGTGAGCGGCACGAGGAGACGGTGTCGCTGGCGGGGTTTGAGGTGCTGAAGGTGCTGGGGCGAGGCAGCTTCGGGGTGGTGCGTCTGGTGAAGGAGAAGCGCGGGGATGAAGCGATTCAGGGCTTTCAGGGCTTTCAGGGCTCGGATGACAAGCTGTCGCGCTGGAAGAACGAGGCCACGCACGTCCGCTCCCACGCCCTGGAATCGCTCTGGGCCAAGGGCACGCGGCGGCGCATGATGACGGGCGTCAAGAAGGACGTGTTTGCCATGAAGGTGATCCGCAAGTCGGCCATGATCCGCAACAGCCAGGAGGGCCATCTCAGGGCCGAGCGAGACTTCCTGGTGGCCTCGGCCAAGTCGCGCTGGGTCGTGCCTCTGATCGCCAGCTTCCAGGACTGCAACCACCTGTATCTGATCATGGACTACATGGTCGGCGGCGACTTCCTGGGCCTGCTGATGCGCCGCAACATCCTGCCCGAGAATGTGGCGCGCTGGTACGTGGCCGAGATGATTCTGTGCGTCGAGGAGGCCCATCGCCTGAGCTGGATCCATCGCGACGTCAAGCCCGACAACTTCCTCATCTCGGCCTCGGGCCATCTCAAGATCTCCGACTTTGGCCTGGCCTTTGACGGCCACTGGGCCCACGACCAGGTCTACTACAATGACCACCGCTACTCCTTGCTCAGACGCCTGGGCATCCACGTCGAGGGTGACGCCCTCGACCGCAACGAGGCCAACCCCCCCGCCGGCGACCAGGAGGCTGCCCAGGGCTTCACCTGGACGCCCCCGGCCGTCGGGCTGCTGGGATGGCGAGATCGCACGCAGAAACGGCGGCTGGCGGGCAGTGTCGTCGGCACCAACCAGTACATGGCCCCCGAGGTCATTCGTGGCGAGTTGTATGATGGGCGATGCGACTGGTGGAGTGTGGGCATCATCCTCTACGAGGTAGGCCCTCCCCCGTTGTTGCGCAGAGTGGGTAGGGCTAACCGGTCAAGTGCCTCTATGGCTTCACGCCCTTTGCCTCGGAGGATCGGCAGAAGACGAAGCTGAAGATCCACGTAGGCTCTCGGTCCCGGCGTCAGAGAAGCAAGCAGCTGACCAGCTTTAGCATCACATTCGCACCCTCTACTTCCCCACCCACCGGCCGACTGACAAGCTCGTCTCCGCCGAGGCCGTCGACCTGATCAACCACCTGCTGCAGGAGAAGGAGCAGCGGCTGTGCTCGAGCAAGTACCGCGTGAACGACTCGGTCAACTGCCGCCTGGCCTCCAAGCATCTCTTCTACAGCATCGACCCGCGCAGCCGGAACTACCGCGGCTTCTACGTCTATCCCAACGATGCCACCGACATCAAGAACCACCCCTTCTTCCGCCCCATCGACTGGGACGAGATCCACCAGGCCATGCCCCCCTTCATCCCCAAGGTCAAGGGCTGGGAGGACACCCGCTACTTCGACGACGCCGGCTACGAGCACGAGCACGAGGACGTCACCGCGCCCTCGGACGGCGACCACCCCGAGGACGACAGCGCGGAGCCTGCGGAGCCTGCCCCTGCGCAGGACCAGGGCGAGCCGCCCCAGTACGACGACATCGTCAGCCAGCCCCCGCCCAAGAACCGCCGTCGCGGCAAGGACAAGAAGCGGCCCCGGGATAAGCTGCTGCGGGACCGGAAGGTGCGCAAGACCGTCCTCGAGATGCGCAAGAGGGGGGCGTTCTTGGGGTACACGTACCGTCGCCCCCAGGCTGTGGCGATGGCTCTGGCGCCGGATCGGGGGAGGGCTGTCTTGCCGCGCGGGCATCTGTCGGATCTGTATGGATGATGAATGTATTCTTGGGATCATGTGGTGACATGGCTATCGTTATGTATTCTTGGCATATTCTTATGGGAGAGAGACTATTATCTCGACCGTTCCATTCTCACCCACTCATCTCCAGTCATTCTGTATGGATTCATTACTACTCCTCCTGCTTGTCTTGTTCATGGTTCATGAGACATTACCATTAATTACCATTCCCATTCCCATTCCCATTCCCATTCCACAATCAATACATGTATCATTGTGATGCTGTTGCTGTTGCTGTTGCTGTTGCTGTCTGTCTGTCTTGGATTATCCGTCCGACCGTCCGACCATCCATCCATCACATAAACATCATGAAAGAAGAGTAGAAGAGTAGTAGTAGAAGAAGTAGACCCAGAACAGGAACCGGAACAGGAACAACACGTTGAGAAGTAGACTAGAATAGAGTAGACATCCATCTGCAATCCTGCCATTCTGCAATTTCGGGTTCATAGCGATAATGGGTCAACCAACATAAACCGGGTGGTGGGGTATCACGTGGAGTCAGGGAAGTAGTGGTTGGAGCGGTGGTAGACGTTAGGGGTGAGGAGTAGGGGTAGGAGTGGTGGGTAGATAGGTAGATAGAAGTAGATATGACGGTTGAGGGTGGGGTGGTGGAGTGGTGGTAGGTAGAGGGGGGGTAGGGGTAGGGAGGTAGGGAGGTATGGAGGTAGGTGGGAGTAAGTGGTAAGTAAGGAGTAAGTAGTCAGTAATAGTAGTACGTAGGAAGAGTTAGGATGGAAGAGAGAGAGAGAGAGAGAGAGAGAGAGAGAGAGAGAGAGAGAGAGAGAGAGAGACCTGGACGGAGGGGTCGATATCGATGCAGGTGTGTGTTTTGTTGAGGACGGCGGACATGGATGATGGGATGGACACGGCGATAAAGACGACGTCGATAGAAAATAGACGGTGGAACGGAGGAAGGACGGGGGAGGAGGATTCGGTTCGTCTCGTATAGGAAAAGGTCTTCGTCGTTCGACCATCCATCCATCGTTCATCCATCCCATCCGGTCCGTCGATAAAATCCGATCATCTTTTCAAAGCCTTCTGATTCTTAAAATCAACATCAACATGATGAAGATGAGAATGATGATCAAGATCAAATAGCCGGCGGCGCGCCCATCGCAAACGCAGAATCGCTAACACGGTCTTCGGGTTTCATGGTTCCGTTGAGGAGGGGACAGAGTCTGTTTTTTTTTTTTTGGCAAGGTATTAGCATGTTGGTTTCCTTTCTTTGTGGGTGTGTTTGTGTTTGGGTCCGATGGTTATGGTTCAAGGGGGTGGGTGGTGGGGTCCAGCAGTATGGGACTGCGGCTTTCCATGGGGAGATAGGCAGGCAGATATGCTTATTTCTGCGCCTTGGTTTTGGACTTTGACTTCTTTTTCTTTGGCTGCGGCTGCGGCTGCGACTGCGGGGCAGGGTCTTGGGGAGGAATCACAGTGTCCTGGGGGGTTTCTGTATCGGGGGTCTCTACAACAGGGGCTTCCGTGTCAGGAGCCACATCCTGGGACACACCCTGGACACCCTCAGAAGTCCCCGTCGCAGCCGTCGCAGCCGTAGCATCCGTAGCAGCTGCAGCCATGGGAGCGGGGGCAGTAGCAGCCGCAGTAGCAAGAACAGGGGCAGGGGCAGGGGTAGCAGCAGCAGCAGTAGCAAAAGCAGGGGCAGCAGCAAAAAACGAAGGATTAAAATCCGCCGGATCGGAAGGGAATCCACTGGCGGCCCAGGAACTGTAGTAAACGCACTTTTTGTTTGTCTTGATATGCCCGACCTGGCCGCAGTTGGCGCACTTGCGCTGGGTGCCGGCGGACTTGCCGGTGGAGGGGCCTTCGGCGGGCGAGTCGCCGGCGGAGGTGCGCGTGGCGCCCTTCTGCTTCTCGCGGGCGAAGCGGCGCTCTTTGTTGCGGTTGAGACGGCTGAGTTCGGCTTCGAGGCTGGCGGTTGGCTGTGGTTAGGATGGTGAGAGCGATTGCATGGGAGGGAAGGACGTACAGTTTCTTGTTGCGCGCGTCGATTTCCTTGTCGCCGGTGGGTTGGAGGGAGTCGAGCCTGGACTGTTAGTTGGTCTGTAAAACGAACGGGAGGGGGCAGGGCGTACTTCGTGGTGAGTGCCTCCACACGATGACGGTGCTGCATGTAGTGTCGGATGACGCGCGGGTCCCACACCATCGACTCCTTCTGGTAGAGCTGGCCCTTCTCGTCGCGATGCGTCCGCCAGATGCGCAGCACCTTGCCGCGCTGGTCGGGCATGCTCATCTTGCTGAACTGGCTGGTCGTCTCGTCGTCGCGGCGCCCCGGGGCCGGCGTGGGCGCTTCGGACCGCGGCGTCGGCTTGCCGAACTCCATCTCCTCCTCGCGGTCGATGTCGCTCTCTTCGTCCGAGTGCTCGACCGTGGACGACAGACTGGCCTTTTGGGAGTCCCAGATGCGTCGGATGGACGTCTCGTACGACCGCTGCTGTCGGGCCACGTTGTAGCTGTGACCGCCGAGCTCCTTGAGCCGCTGGGCATCGAGTTTGTCTTCCACACTCTCGCCAACCGCCTTGAAGCCGCCCTTCATGGAGGTCTTGATGAAGTTGAAGCCTTCGCCACGTCCCGTCGGGTCGCCCTCGCCGTGCAGCTTGAGCATGGCTTTGCCCTGCGAGGCCAGGAGGAAATTGCGCGTCGCCTTCCACGGGGCCATCTGCTGCTCGAAACTCTCGCTTTCTTCGTCGACGTCCTCGTCGCCTCCGGTCTCCGCGTCGTTGCCGAACCCCGTGTCGTGCAGGTGCTGCTGTCCGACTTGCATGGACTCTAAAAGACACACGTCCTCGGGTTGGACCCAAGCGCGGATGACATCCTGCTCGGGGACAGGCTCCATCGGCACCCAGTACTTGGAGTCCTTATCGTGCTGGAGAAAGTCCTTGACCTTCTGCCGATTCTGCATGTCGCTGGTGCCGGGGATGTGCGCGGTGACGTCGCTGATTGAGAGTCGCAGGTCCGGGCTCTTCTTCAACAGGCGGTACACGAGCATCTTCATGCGGTTCTTGGCCACGGTCGTGACCTTGCGGGAGTGGGGGCCCGGGACGTCCACCGAGGGGAACTGCTGTCCGGCAACGAACAGATTCTCGATGGTCCGGAGGTAGTAGTCGCTGCCGCCGGAGCCCGTGCTGCTGCGCACTATCAAGAAGTCGGTCTGCTTGGCTTCGTGCTGGAACAATGGAGCGCGGTACATCGAGTTGGAAATAGCCGGCGTCACCTCCCCGGGGTCCACATGGCCGAAGATCGAGAAGGGACTCTTGTCCTGGGGGAGCAAGACAGCAGTTTCGCCAATCTCCGCCTTGGGGCGCGTGGGATCCTCCATGCTTTTTCTCCGGTAGTAGTTGATGATCCGATTGGACATTCCAAAGTTGGAAAGCATGAGGGGAACCTCCTCCGAGTACTCGACCAGCAGGACGTGGGAGTTATCGGCCAAGGATAGCGACTTGGTGGAATCGTAGAGCGCCTTGACGTCTTTTCCTCGCTGGTGCTTGCGCTTCAGGTGCGCCGGGTTCTTGAACCAACACGTCTGGCCGGGTCGGAAAGACAGCGAGGGACGATGGAACGAACGCGCCTCGGCCTTGGCCAGCTCTGTGCGGTAGTAAGGCCACTGCAGACGCAGCGCCGGCATACTGTGCTCGAGCGTGACGTTGCCCAGGGTGCTTCGGACCTTGTTCTGGTGGTTCTGCTTGAGCATGTCGTACGCCTGGTCGTTGGAAATGTTGTAGCGCGACGTGAGACGTTTCGTGACGCTGGCATCCATGTCCTCCCGCTTGAGAGCCCCCAGTGCCTTGGGCTTCTGGACGGCCGATTCCGGCCCGCGCTCGTCCAGCAGGATATGCGGGTCGTTCATGTCGATCGTGACCTTCTGGGCGATGCGCGTGGTGGCTTGTTGCGGGTCGTCAATCACAGGCACGTCGATATGCGACAGAGCAACGACCTCCATCGGATCCCGTCCGATCTTGCGTTTCTTTGCGGGACGGGTCTCCGTCAGCCAGTCGTCATCCATGGAGTCGTTGTCCTGGGGCTCCGGCTCGTCCACCTCCATCTCGGAGAAGTCACTCTTCACGTCCCAGTCCGCACAGACGATGCGGAGGTCAGTATGGGTGATGCCCCCGGGCAGGACGTCATCGGTGTCGGTATCGTGGTCGAATTCCTCCTTGATCTCCTCCCCTTCTTCCTGGGAAGGCTCCAAGACCACGACAACGCCCGAATGCTCCGACTCCAGTGAGCGCTTCAAGGCCTGGCCGCCGGACTTGAAGGCGCGCTCCTGGTCGTGGGCGAGTTCGATGTTGACCTTGTTCGGGATGACCGGTTTCGGGGGCTTGAGCGGCTGCTTGCCCAGGAAGAAGGCCTTCTTGTGCGGGATCAGCTCGAGGAAGCGCGGGAGGGCGTTCTTGTCGAACATGGGGAACAGCGAATGCAGCAGCTCCTCGACGTTCTCGGGCGGCGCGGGCAGGTTCTCGTGGCCGTAGGACGACATGGCGAACAGCGCCTGCTGCAGCTTCCACGCGCGGAGGGAGGCGGGGTCCATGTCCTCCGCCGTCGGGCTCATGGGCTCCTCATCCTCCTCCTCCTCCTCCTCCTCCTGCTCCTCCTGCGGCGGCTCCGGCACATCTTCGTCCATCGGTACGGGCTCGGGCTGGGGGGCGGGGGCTTCGACGGGCTCGGGCACCTCGGGCGGCTTCTCGTCCTCCTCGTCGAAGAAGAGATCTCGTGTCGGGTCGGCGTGGTCGGGGCCTGGCGACGAGGGGCCATCGCCGAACAGGTCGTCGAGATCATCGCGCGGCGGCTCCTGGGTGTCCTCGTCGGGACCGCCGAAGAGACCCTCCTCCTCTGCTTCGAACAGGCCCTTGTCTTCATCCTCCGGCGCGTCTAGTCCGTTCTGTGGCGGGAGGCCGGTGCGCTCCTCCTCCTCGGGCAGCTCGTCGTCGTCGAAATCTTCGTAGTCGACGGCGTCGTCGGCCTTCTCGCCGGGGTCGAGGTCGCGGGAGAGGAAGTCGAAGTCAATGCCGCCCTGGCCGATGGGGCCGTTCATCTGGCGCATGACATCCTCGAAGGCGGCATCATCGACGTCGGGGGCGGGGGGTCGGTCGCGTGAGGCATTTTGGGGATCGGGGAGCGTGTTGTGGTGTGTCGATGTCAGTTGGGGATGATTGGAAGGTGATGGGAGGGTGGAGTTGAGTTTGGGGGGGGTTGGGGGGGGGGGGGGAGTGAGGGAAGTGAACGTAAGAGAGAGAATCAGGAGGGAGAACACATGGAGGCCGGCTGTCTGCCAGAGACTTTCACAGCCAGGCCTGAATGTGAAGGTCGGAAGAAGAAGACAAATGATCTCATTGCGGTGGTGCCAAAGAGAAGTCCGCCGCTCTCCTCTACGGTGGGCGGGACCGGCCAGACACGCAGTCCCGGTCACGGCCTTTCCTATTATGCCTGCTATTGTGCCTGCTATTGTCACTGCTATTGTCGCAGTTGGCTGTTACTTGCTGTTCACAGGCAGTGACTCTGGACTCTGTAGCCTGGCGGATGATCTTCTCGTGCAGATACATACTGCCCCATCTCCACTGACACCTACATATACCACCCTAGTACTCAATCCACAGCACATCAACTCAGTGAATCCATGGGTATTTGGTTAATACAAAATAAAACTGTGGTATTGTACATGAAAAGCAAACCCCATCCATCAACCTCACTCCAGTGAAACCCGAAACAAGCAATCCGAGAAAGAGCAAATCATTCCACATTCCATGCGCCATAATAGATACACAACGCCTTGCTGGCCCCCTCCATGCAATAATGCTGCACTGTCGCCTTCTGCCCATCCTTCACCACCTTGGCCAGCTGCTTCACATCCGAGGTGCGGGGGAGGTAGAGGGCGATGTACTCCGTGAAGAGGGCGTATTCATTGTACAGCTTGGCCAGCGAGTACGGCTCCATGGTGCGGAGATTGAAGACCTTGTCGGAGCGATACCCGGGACCTAGGATCGTCAGCTGTGTGTCGAACGAGATGAGGGAAGAAGAGTGATGCGTACCGCCCCAGGGGGGACTGGCAAACAGCACGCTGTACGGGGCCAGGTCCATGAGGTGGGTCTGGATGATCTCGAAGCAGTCGCCCTGGAACCAGGTGATCTTGTCGGCGACGCCGTAGATCTCGGCGTTGTGTTTGGCGCACTGCAGCACCGCCGGGTTCTTCTCGATGGCGTAGACGCGCTTCCACTTGCCGGACAGGGCGAAGGCGATGGAGTTCCCGCCCGCGCCGGCGAAGGCGTCGACCAGGACGCTGCGGCCGGGGGGTGCGGCGGCGGCGAGGTGGTCGGCTATCTTGCTGCGAGGGGGTTAGCAGAGCATGAGCGCAAGCGAGGACAGACAACGTACTTGGCCACCGGCTCAGGTGTGACTCCGAACCAGGCATCGTCGGTCAGCCAGACGCCCTCGTCGTACTTGGAGAAGATCTTGTAGCGTTGTGCCCAGTAGCTGCGCCGTCAGGGGGGGGTAGCCACGGGAACAGGACACGAACAGACATACTTCTGGATATCCCAGGGCACCTCGGAGATGTCCTCGTAGTGATGGACCTCCTCGGGAGGGAGATCGAGGGTGGGATGTCGAGCCATGGCGGGGAGGGGAGAGGGGAGAGGGGAGAGGGGAGAGGTCAATGTTCCATAATTTGGAGAAGATGCGATCATCCTCGGCGATAAGCCTGTTTGCCGTGTTTGCAAGGCCACCCACCCACTCTCCACGTTGCCTTGCGGCCTTCTTCCTTCTTCCTCCGCGATCCCCGCTGCCCAATTCAACTGTCTGTCCTCCAACTCCCTTCTCCCCGTCAAGATCCCCCTTCCGTCTCCCTCCCCGCCATGTTCGGCGCTTTCAATCGCCTCATCGGCCTGGACGCTGAGCCCGTCCAGCAGCCCCGCGCCCAGAGCACCGCCGACAGCTCGTTCGGCTTCCAGGTCCTCCGCAACAAGGACCCCGAGCTGCCCCTGGAGCCGTGGTTCGACTTCATCGTCGGCATCAACGGGCGGTTAATAGTGCGACTCTCCTCGCCGTTCTGTTCACGATGCGCAACTGACAGAATATTCTGCAGGAGGACCCCGACCCGAACCTCTTTGCGACCGAAGTGCGCAACTGCGCGGGCGCCAGCGTGACCTTTGAGATCTGGAGTGCCAAGGTGCGCATCCTACCATCCAACCACCGAACAAGACGAGACAAGACATACTCACGCACCGCACAGGGCCAAAAGACACACACCGTCTCCATCCCCATCCCCGCATCCAACCCGACCCTGGGCCTGGCGCTCCAACTGGCCCCCCTGTCCTCCACCCAACACATCTGGCACGTCCTGTCCATCCCCTCGCCGCTCAGCCCGGCCTACCGCGCCGGCCTGCTCCCCCACTCCGACTACATCATCGGCACGCCCAGCGGGACGTTACGCGGGGAGTCCGCTCTGGGCGAGCTGGTCGAGGACCACCTGAACCGCACGCTCGTTCTGTGGGTGTACAACAGCGAGTTCGACGTGGTGCGCGAGGTCGAGCTGGTGCCCACGCGCGGCTGGGGCGGGGAGGGGGCATTAGGTGCGGAGCTGGGGTACGGCGCGCTGCACCGGCTGCCCGTGGGGCTGGGCGAGGAGGTCGAGGGCCCGGGCGAGGTGGTGTTTGAGACGCGCGAGGACGGCACATCCACGCCCGTGCTGGAACCAGGCCCGGCGCCGCCGTCGGGGCACTTCCTTGTGCCGGCCAACATGGCCTCGCCGCCGCCGCTGGCCGGGCCGCCCCGGAACACGGCGTCGCCGGCGAGCCACTCCGGGCGCCGACATAAGACGCGGCATGCGGGGACGTCGTCGTCGCTGGCGGCGTTTGACGAGTACTTCGCGGAGGGCGAGCAGAAGAGCAAAGACCAGGACTATGCGCCGTCACGACGGGGGACGCCGCTGGCGCCGCCGCCCAAGGCCGGGGTGTCGCCGAGTGGTGCGGAATAGGCGTAGTCAGTGCAGAAGCCTTGAGCGGTTGTACAGTATCAGTATCATGAGTCCCGGCGTTACGATGCGATCGATTTCAATACATTTACATTCGTGCCAATGCCATTATAGCCATGGCCTCGACTCAGCCGGCCCATGACGGGCAGACAAGGCTGAATACACCGTCTAGCTAGCTCGACTCGGTAGTCTTACGAGTCACGACAACGAAATCAGATTATATTAATTAGGACGGTGATTGGGCGGATCAGCACTAACGACACCAGGATGCAATCCGACCCACGGGAAGCTGTCATAGCCACAATGACAATGCTACACCATCATACCAGATACTCCCTCCGGATCTAGATATAAGTATGAACCCTTATCCCCCATTCCATTCCATCTCACCCCCAACCCTCCCCTCTCATCCCATCCCCACCATGACCCTCCCCCTCCCCACCCTCATAACCACCCTCACCACCCTAACAACAATCTACACCCTCTACAAACTCCTCGCCCTAACCCAGAACTACTTCATCGCTCGACGCACGCGCCTCCCGATCTTCATCTCGCCCATCCCCTCCACCAGCATCCTCTGGCAGATCCTGGGCCCGACCTTCCAGCGCCAACTGCAGCAGTGCCTACCGGAATGGATCTACGTGCGGCTGGACGTGCTCATGCACGGGTGGGAGTTCCGCCAACGGGCGAAATTGCATCATAGGCTGGGGAAGGTGTTTGTGGTTGTGACGATGGATGAGTGTTCGCTCTGGTGAGTGACCGACCCATCCATATATATGTATATATATATATATATATATATATATATATTAATATGCAAAATGAATCAATAGCGTCGCCGACCCCGCAGTCAGCACCTCTATTCTGGCTCGCCGCAAAGACTTCGTGCAGCCGCCCGTGGTGGCCAGATTCCTGGGCTTCTTTGGGCCGAACGTGCTGCAGTCGAACGGGGAGGATTGGCAGCGGCAGCGGCGGATCATCGCACCGAATCTGAATGAGAACATCATGCGCACGGTGTGGGGGGAGAGTGTGAGGCAGGCTGGGGAGATGGGTGATTTCTTGACACGGGGTTCGGGGGGCATATCAGTGGAAAGATGAACATGGATGCCGATTCGACTCCTAACAAGGATGATGATGAGAAGAAGGAGAAGAAGAAGAAGAATGAGGGTAGCAACGATACATTAACTGGCCTCCGCACCCTCGCCATCAACGTCCTGGGCCAGGCGGGTTACGGCCAAAACGCGCCGTGGACGCCGGATTTCGATTTCAGCGATACAGGGACAAGCTCAAACTCGACCTCAGACCAGACCAGTGGCCGAGTATCCTACTTCAAAACCATCGCCATGGTGACAGACCGATTCATCGAGGCGGCGCTGATTCCTGGCTGGATCAAGCAGCTGCCGTTCATGCCCGCCTACCTGCAGAGACTGGGACGGGAGATGGAGCGGGTGCCGGGGTATATTCGGGGGATTTTGGATGAGGAAAGGAATTCTTCTTCTTCTTCCGCTTCCTCTTCTGATTTCAGTGCTACTGCCACTGCTACTGCTACTGCCAGTGGGGGTAAGAGTGGGGGTGAGAGTGAGGATAGGAAGACAAGAGGAGGCAACTTGCTTGATTTGTTGGTGAAGTTCTCGGATACGAATACCAACATCAACGCCAATATTGATAAGGATGGTGTGGATGGGAATGAGAATAGCGCCGAGCGAGGCCTATACCTAACCGAGTCCGAAATCAGCGGCAACCTCTGGGTCTTCACAGCCGCGGGCTTCGACACGACAGCCACCACGATGGGATACGCGGTGATGCTACTGGCCGCGTATCCGGAGTGGCAGGAGTGGGTGCGCGAGGAACTACACTCCCTATCAGTGGAACTGGGTCTGGGTTTGGATCAAGGGTCGGGGTCGGGGTCGGGGTCGGGGTCTGAGGTGGAGAAATGGCGCTACGAGGATGTTTTTACCAGATGTACGCGATTGTTGGCTGTTATGGTATGATTTCCCTTTCCCACTCCCCCCCTCGTCCCTTCTATAGGAGTTATCTGCGACTGTCATGTTCCGGATATACCAACCTCCCTCCCCTCCCCTCCCCTCTCCTGGATCAGATACGATCGAATAGGATAATAAACTACCTCCCCAACTAACAAAGACAAAAGTACGAAACCCTCCGCCTCTACACCCCCGTCCTACACATCACGCGGTCGATCTCCACGCCGCAACAACTCCATTCCACCCTGGGAACGCACAACCTGACCCCCCCCATGAACGTGTACGTCTCGTCGCAGTGCATCCACCGCGACGCCGATATCTGGGGCGAAGATGTGGATGAGTTCCGGCCGGGGAGGTGGATCGATCCTTCGTCGGGGGGGTTGGTCGTGCCCGAGAAAGGCACGTTCGTGCCCTGGTCTGGAGGACCGAGGGTTTGTCCCGGGATGAAGATGTCGCAGGTGGAGTTTGTGGGGACGATGGCGGTGTTGTTTTGCGGGAGGAGGTGTGAGGTTGTTCCTGCTTCTGTGCCCGTTGGTATACCTATTCGGAACGGGAATAATGGGAAGGGTGGGGATGAGGATGGGATGGAGGAGGCGAGGAGGAGATTGACGGCGCTGATGGAGGATTCGGTGCCGAAGTTGACTTTGCAGGTGAGGAGGCCGGAGGAGGTGGTGTTAAGGTGGGTTGAGCTTTGATGTCTACTAGAGAGTTGGGGTTGTGTTTTTTTTTGGGGGGGGGGGGGGGGGGATGTAAATACTTAATGGCGGTTGTAGGGTAGGGTAGGATAGGATAGAAAGGAGAGTTAAAGGTATAGTGGTTGTTTATACTAGATACTTACTTAACTAGCATCGATGAGTAAAGTAACAAGGATCCGTCAAATGTACCTCAGTTGTTCGAATAGAACATCGCATCAACTGCGCAAGACTGACAGGACACCAGGATGACTGTTATTCCACCACTTCAACAACCACAGAACCCCCCCATCTGTGTCCATTCCCGTGGTCGTGCCTTCGCAGCCGGACTGGCGGGTTGGACGTATGGATTGACATCCGGGGAGGGAGAAGGTGTACGGACTTTTTGTCCGAATGACGGCCTGGGATTGTGGAGTAGAGGGCATCTGCGGGTACTATTGGACCTGATTGGAAGACTCTTGGTTACGGTCACATTCATCACTTTAATTCTAAACGACACTGTGATTTGAGTCCTGGTTGTGCAAAGGTTTAATTAAGGGATAGTAGGGATAAGAGCTCAAGCTTTAATATCATAAAGTATAACTATTTCTTACATAACCAATGGTAATCAAGCTCAGGGTCTTAACAGTGCCGGATCTCAGCGTTCTTGAAATTCGAATCCTGTTGCAGACCCATTGATTGAGTAATGAATAAGGTTAGGGTTATGGATAGATCGATCACTTACAGCCTTCTCCGTAGTATCAAGAGCATGACTGACAGCGCCTTGCCACTCCGCACGAAGATCACTCCATTTATTCGATAAAGAAGAAAGACGACGTGATGTTGCTTGGAATATTACAATCATTTCAGATCAATAATAAAGTGTCTTGGATGATCAAGGGCAGGAAGGACGGGTGCTTCGCAGATTGGCGATTTATTAGTCCATCATAGCGCCTAAACTGAAAGACTCCAACGTGCCCCAAGACGCGAAAGAAGTCGGGTTCGGATTTCGCCCGTTCTAAATCAAGATTCACGCGAAAGAGTGGTTTCATGTCTGCTCTGGAAACCACTACCTCACCAACAATCCCACCTGATCACCCTGGTCCCCAAAGCGCTCATTCACAATCACATCTTCACAACGGTTCTTACCGCCGCCGTCTTATTGATAGTACTTGGCTTGGGATCTTTACATCCTCTCACCACCACCAGAGGGTTTAAGGGTGAGGAGGTTGAGGAGAAGAGTGAAGAGTGAAGAGTGAAGAGTGTAGGAAGTATAGGGAGTAGTGATGGGTTCTGGGTCGTGGGTGGAGAAGGAGGCGTAGGGTGTGTCTGCGCTATTGCCTATGGACTAGAGAGGTGTGGTGGTGTATCTGAGTTGGGACTATGCAGGGAGTAAGGATCTTGATGGGAGGTGGTTCGCTATGATACTGACGACTAGCTTCTGGGTTCGAATATGACAATAAGAACGGTCGAAGGAGACATCAGACGCACCGACGCTAATAATATCAACTTGACGAGACACATAGACCATACCACCGAAGCCCATGTAGAAGGCATATCTGCCGGTTACCATAAATCAAAAACACACCTTTACCAGACACTGCACACTCAAACTCACAACACAACTCGGAGCATGCTAAATCACTCTAATCCTCTTAAAGTACACAGATGCAAGCGCGGCCCATCCAAACAGAAATCTTACCGCTAGGAACGCACGCAGCAGCAGCCGCCACGGCTAATGGCCCTTGCTGACCACCTCCTCCAGCTTCTTCCGCACATCCCCGATCTTTTCCTCCATCCGACTCCGGGCCATGCCGCTGTGCGCCAGACCCGTGTACCAGATGTGCTCGGCGCGCTCGCGCACGGCCAGATGCGAGTCCGCCACGGCGGGCACCTTCTTCTCGTACTCCCAGACCAGGTCGGACACGTTGCGCATGGTCACGGGCAGCAGGGTCCAGGCGGCGATAGTGCCGAACGCCAGCGGCGAGGCGGTGCGCAGGAAAATGCCCCGGTTGCGGGACACAATGGAACCCGCCATGGCGGCCACGACGGCGTACACACCACCGGGGAGCAGGCGCTCGCCGGACTCCGGGGAGGGGGCCAGCGAGGCGACGGTGTTGGTGAAGGCGTTCTCGACGTGCAGGGCGCGGGAGAGGAAGTTGTTGAAGCAGGTCTCGACGGCCAGCGAGTTCTCGTACAGGAACAGGCGGGCCAGGCGGACCTGGGCCGTCAGGATGTCGGTGGGAGTGGGCGACGACGGGGCGGAGGGGGTGGGCAGGATCGAGAGGGCGGGGGAGGGAGCAGCCGGGGGGCGACGGGCTTGGAGATGGGAGTGGCAGGGGCGACAGGCTCCTCGGGGAAGTCTTCGTAGATGGACTTGCGCGGCGGTGCCTCTGCAAAGGCGTTCCGGGGGTAGAGAGCGACACCACCGGCCAGCACCGAGGCGGCGAGGGGGACAGCCCGCTGGGGGGGGGTTAGCCGAGATTAAAGTGAGTGGAGCAGAAGAACAAGACTGTGAGACTTACCGAGTGGAACATTGGGCGGAAAGACATGATGGGGGATGGGGAGGAGGGGGGGGAGGGAGAGGGAGAGGTAGAGAGAGAGAGAGAGAGAGAGAGAGAGAGAGAGTGGAAGTCGAGAATGACGCCGGGGAAGGTGGTCGGCGCCAAGCCTTTTTTTTCGGGTGGGCGAAAGGCGGCTCCGTCATTCTCCGTCCAACTCCATCTTCTTTCTCTCTCTCTTCATCCCACTTCCTCTCCTGACCCCTTCTTGCTCCCTTTCTCCCCTTCTCCCCTCTACACCCTCTACACCCTCTCAACTATCATCTCCCTCCAGCAATGATCAACATCTCACCTGACTCTCTCACCTGAACACTCCCCCCCCAAATCATGGGACTCCGACTCACCCCCATCCTCCGGCCTCGGCCATGGACCTGCCGAACATGCCTGCTGCAGGCCCGTCGCTCCCTCGAAACCGCCGCCTCCGCCCAGCGCATCGCTGCTGAATACCTTCCCCACTCCTCCTCCTCCTCCTCCAAGAAATCCGACGACGAGACCCTCCGCCGCGTCTTCGACTCGCAGCCCTTCTGGCGCGAGTTCTCCCACCGCAGCGCCGCCCAGCTCAAGCCCACCGGCCTCGTCCAGAACCAATACCTCACCAGCCCCGATGGCTTCCGCGTCTTCGCCACCACCACCCTGCAGCGCTGCCAGGCCATCGTCGCCAAGGTGCTGGCCGCCTCCAGCCTCGACGACTACCGCTCCATGGCCCGCGACCTCGACCGGCTCAGCGACCTCCTCTGCCGCGTCATCGACCTGTCCGACTTCATTCGCGTCATCCACCCCGACCCCCGCGTCCAGGACGCCGCCACCCAGGCCTACGCCCTCATGTTCGAGTACATGAACGTCCTCAACACCACCACCGGCCTCAATGACCAGCTCAAGAAGGCCGCCGCCAACCCGGAGGTCACCACGCACTGGTCTGACGAGGAGAAGATCGTCGCCAAGATCCTCATCAAGGACTTCTCCAACTCCGCCATCCACATGCCCCCCCTCGACCGCCAGCGCTTCGTCAACCTGTCCAACGACATCAGCCAGCTGGGCTCCAACTTCGTCAACGGCGCCGAGCCCGCCAAGTCGCACGTCTCCGTCAGCGCCAACAGCCTGCGCGGGCTGGACCCCATGCTGGTGCAACAGATCAAGCGCTGGAACCGCACCGCCGCCGTTCCCACCGCCGGCCTCATCCCCCGCCTGGCCCTGCGCTCCGTCCACGACGAGTCGGCGCGCCGCCAGGTCTACCTCGCCACGCGCACCGCCCACCCGCGCCAGATCACCCGCCTGGAGGAGCTGCTGGCCAAGCGCGCCGAGCTCGCTCAGCTCTCGGGCCACGCCAGCTTCGCGCACATGACGCTGAGCGACAAGATGGCCAAGAGCCCCGAGGCGGTGGGCAACTTCCTGGCCTCGCTGGCCGGCAGCAACCGCACATTCGTGCAGGAGGAGCTGGCGCAGCTGCAGCCGCTCAAGGGCGCGGCCGGCCGCCTGCAGCCGTGGGACCACGCCTACTACACGCACCAGCGGGTGATGCAGCACGCGCAGGCGCGGCGGTCGCGCGAGCTGAGCGCGGTGCCCGAGTTCTTCTCGCTGGGCACGGTGATGCAGGGGCTGTCGCGGCTGTTCGACCGGCTGTTCGGCGTGCGGCTGGTGCCGCAGGAGACGGCGGCGGGCGAGACGTGGAACGCAGACGTGCGGCGGTTGGACGTGGTGGACGAGGCGGACCGGCACATTGCCGTCATCTACTGCGACCTGTTCTCGCGCCCCAACAAGCACCCCAACCCGGCGCACTTCACGCTGCGGTGCGCGCGCGAGATCTCGGCCGAGGAGGTGGCCGAGTGCGCCAGCACGCTGGATGCGTCGGCGCACCCCAACGACGGCATGGCCACGGCGGTCGACCGCGCGGCGCAGACCCTGCGCCAGCTGCCGACCATCGCGCTGGTGTGCGACTTCCCGGAGCCACCGGCGACGGGCTCCGGCCGCCCCTCCCTCCTCAGCGAACATAGCGTACGCACGCTCTTCCACGAGATGGGCCACGCGGTGCACTCGATCCTCGGACAGACGCGGCTGCAGTCGATCTCGGGGACGCGGTGCGCGACGGACTTCGCGGAGCTGCCGTCGGTCCTGATGGAGCGGTTCGCGACGGCGCCGGAGGTGCTGGCGCTGTACGCGCGGCACTGGCAGACGGACGCGCCGCTGTCGGAGAGCATGATGCGCGGGATGGAGCAGGACCGCACGGCGCACGGGTCGATCTACGGGGCGATGGAGAACGAGTCGCAGATCCTGATGGCGCTGGTCGACCAGGCGTACCACACGCTGCCGGCGCACGCGGCGGCGGTCGACAGCACGGCGCTGTACCATCAGGTGGCGTCGACGCACGCCACGCTGCCGGACCCGGCCGACAGCAACCCGCGCACGTCGTGGCAGGGGTTCTTCGGGCACCTGTACGGCTACGGGGCGACGTACTACAGCTACATCTTCGACCGGGCGATCGCGAACAAGCTGTGGGAGGACGTGTTCGCCAACGGGCAGGCGGCGGTGGACCGGCGGGCGGGCGAGCGGTACAAGAACGAGGTGCTGCGCTGGGGCGGCGGGCGCAACGGCTGGCTGTGCGTGGCGGGCGTGCTGGGCAGTGGGAATGCGGCCAACGCGGACGGGCGGCTGGTGGAGGGGGGGGATGAGGCGATGAGGGAGGTGGGACGCTGGGGATTGGGGCGGGATGGTGTGTCGGGATGAGGATGCGTATACTCGAAGTGAAACTCGAGGTGCGTGTCCATGCCGGATGTCAGATGGAAGATGGCAGATGAAATGGAACCCCTGTATACTACTGCCTGTCTGCCTACTACTGCAACTGTATCCTATCCTATCCTATCCTATCCTATCCCATTACCTCCCCACAAACCCTAATCCCGCCAAGCAGCCACACACACGCAATCAAATCAAATCAACCCGAGACAAACCACCCGCACGCAACGGTACCACAGCCGATGCAGCCACGAGCCCTGTTTGTCGTCGTCGGACCGATTAGCCTTCTGTGCGACGGCCGGCGTTGGCGCCGGCTGCATGTGAGCGTGAGCGGCTGCATTCATTAGCTGGGCTGGAGAGCAGAAGTCGCAGCAGCAGCAGCAGCAGCAGGTAACTATTCGGAGGAAGGGAAATGAGAGTGCATGCATGCACACTGCATGATACAACGGGGACTGACTGCCCCATTGGTAATACATGGTTGATTGATGGTGCAAGGTGAGTGGTGAGTAAACGATCCGATCTATATTTAAAGCCCCAATCCCATCCCTGTCTTTCCTGTTCGAGGGTCGGTCAGTAGACACCAACCACTGCAACCAGTCAGTCACTCCACAGGTTGCGGAGCAGAGCAGAGCACAACACTACCCAACATTATCCGTGC